GGTTATCCTATCTGTAATAGAAATATTATTAGAAAAACTAGCTACTACACTAGAAGTAATACCAAGGAAATACAGCATCTATATATAAGAGCTAGGCTTAAGCATTCTAATCCATAAGTAAGTAGTCTTGCGCTGTATACACCTCTATAGTGATGACTAAGATATTACTAAAGTTCCTATAGATAAGGATGATACATTCTATAAGTAGATAGATCATAAAGATATAGATGATGAGCATCCTAATAAGGAGTTGCCTAAGGTGAGTAAAGGGTTAATTCCTTTCCTATATCTAACCTATACTCTTATATAATAACCTGTATAGAGTGCCCATATAGACTCTTTTCTTAGGTTAATGAAGTCTCTTAATTCACTGCTATTATATAATAACTAGCTATAAAGCTTTAGGTTAGAGCTATGCTTCTTTTCTTTAGCTAACTACTTACTTAACCTTAGGTAGGAACTTAGTACATATATCCCTAAAGCTCTACTATCTAGTGATAAGCTTTCTCCTCTTAGGAGCCAGAAAAAAATAAAATTAATTACCCTCATCACTGATAGCAAGTACAGCTCAAGTAATTATATTAACCTTATTTAGTTTAAAGATCTGAAAGTACTCGCATGGAGAGGGCTAAATAGATATAGTAATTTTAAGTCTGTTAAGGACTATTTCAGAACCCTTAGTCATCAGATCTCTTCACTCATGCTTAACCTTATAAACTAGGACTGTGTGATGAAGATCTAGGCTAATAGGTTCTACTAATAGAGCTCCCAGAGTATACCTAATAATTTTTTCACCTAGAATGTGCTGGACATCACACCTAAAGATAAAGGGGTTCTTTTCCAGTCTCTTAAACACCTTTATTTATTAGGTGTCTTATTTTACTATACTAGTGCCTAAATACTACATTCCTTTAATATAGTATGTATTAAGTCTTTAGAACTGCAGAACTGCCCAGGGTTACTTAAATTATTATAACAGGTACTCACCTCTGGGAAAATACTAAAGTTAAGGGAGCTTAAACTTTCCCTAGATATTAATAGTCTTTAAAGGCCTGCACATGTGTGCTTAATATAGATTATTTATAAATTTATTTAGTATATATACTACTTAGAGGTGCTCTATCTTATGCTCCTAGAGCCCTTTGACTAGGATTCTCTTATATATGCAATCTCTACTTATACTTATTTAAAGTTATTAGTTATGCATCATCTCATTAATAGAGGCAGCTAATATCTGATTAATAGAGGTATACCTTAGCCCAGCTACTTAGAAGATGTACTATAAGTAAAATAATTAACTTACTTTAGATTATCTATACCACCTAATAAATTAGTACATGCTAGTGCGTGCATCTTATACTATAATAGCTAACTAGAGATATAAGATCACCTAGTTATATAAAGCATAGTGCAGACCCTCATACAGACTCTTATATATTTAGGTGAGTGGGGTGGTCCTGAATAGATTAATAAATTAGTCTAGCTAGTCTTCTGGCCCTATCTATAATTTTAAATATGGTGATGATAAGCTTACTTCATCTTATAGAAGACTGATTATTATAGCATCATAGAATCTAACTAGCCAGACCTGCTGTATGGATCTAGCAATATTCTCAGATTTGCAGAGTAGGCATTTAGCACTAATGGCCTTCCTAACCTTAAGGTTCTCACTTAGGGGGATTTTTCCTATAGTGGCTACTATTTAAAATTTAACATCCTTCTTTATAAAGTTAATAATGGTTATTAACATTTAGCACCCTCTGATATAGTGCTTTTAGATATTTTACAGAATAATATAGGCATGCTAGCAGCCTGTCCTTTAGATGCTATTATAGAATAAGCACATTATCAGGGAACTTTATTCTCATGGGGATGATTAGGTAGTAATAGTCTATTTTTATATACTCTCCCTTATTCATAGGTATTACAGTCCATAAAATATCTAGGCTTATTCTTTATTCTGGGTACCTTTTAAGTAATTCAGCCTCAGGGTGGATAAGCAGCTTAGATTTATCTCTAAATATTAAGGTGATAATGATTTTCTATTATAGAGTTAGGAATTAGTTAGACTTATACTCTATATATAGATAGCTGCTCTCTCACATTACTTCCTAGACTAGTGTCTTTATTAAGCAGTAGAATTAGTAAGGTAGTAGGGTACCTAACTAACCCCACTAGAGTAGTTAGCCCCTCACTAACTTTATGGTTAGAATAGAATAAACTCAGCTGTGAAAAGACTATCCTTCCTTAACTATTGCTATAACTGCAGAATAGGTATGTACAGTTCTGAAAGTTAGATTATATTATTATAATACTAGAATATATATAGGGTTAATGCAGCATAGTGTTTTATACTAACCTATTTCTATTTATTAGAATGCATACCTTGATGATATAAAGTACCTTGTGTAGTTAACCTTATGTGAGACTATATAAAATTAATTAAGTTTACTTACAGGGCCATCTCCTCTACTAGTGTAATTTCCATGTTAGGCTGCTGTGGTTGGGATTTAATACTATAAGATATGCATGGTCTAGGCAGGGCCACTGCCGTGGCTTCTGCCTTCATTAAGGACTCCTACCTTTCAATGTAAGTCAGTGAACTGAAAAGGCTCGGTTTAGGGATATTGTATCCTAGCACACTAAACACAACCATACGGGGCCATTTATATCAGTGGCTGTGGCAACTGACATTATTCCACTGCCTTCACAGCATCCTAGCAATTGGTCCAAGTAGAAATAGTAGATAATTACAGCGTTTGCATTGCCATGAGCGTAATTATTTCGAGGGCCACTGACTCTGTTTGGTGGCGCAGACCGGCTTGGCGGAAGTAGCTTTATTTGGCTGAATTTTCTGGGCAGTTGTGGCCGAGTACGCCTGCTCCGGGCGGTCAGGACTTGCTACTGATTACGTCCGGACTGCTCCGTGAGATCAGCACACGCACTGGGCGTGCTCATGCCACGATCCCCGGCTGATCCCAGAGCGAAAAGCGGCGGTAACCTAAACCTTTTCTGGAAATGGAAAGTCGATGCCGTTCCGCAGAAATCCCTGTTCAATAGTAACTATTTCAGTCCTTTCTCGCTTGTTGTCTGGAGAAGCAACAAAATATAGCCTCACGTGTACCCCACTTGGTTCAGCCCAGTCGATCCGTCACTATCATGAGAACAGAACAGAGGGAAGACGGGTATTGTGCAACAGCCAGAGGTGTCGGGTGCCCTCTGCTCTCACATACAGTGTTGTTCAATAGCGGGATCTGAAGACTTGGGAGAGACGGTCGAGATACACTCGGACCAGATCTCAAGATCCATCATGAGGCCGTGGGTTGCAGTTGGGAAATCCACGGGACGGTTGTCGGGTAGTATCGAGCAAACCCAAGACTCGATCACTCGAGGCGACCTATACTCAACCATTCCGTAGTGTATATAGAGAACAATCACCAACATAATAAGAAGATCACACGCAGGAAGAATCAACATGAGAGACAAAATGAAGGTATCCACAAGATGAGACGAAACCCCGGACTTTTTCATCCCATATCCTATGATCTGATTCATCAGCCCAGCATAAATTCCTTACTCGATCCTCTTCTCTAAATGGTCGATTCCAGAAAGACAAAATTCAAAAAAATTCAAAAAAAAAAAAACGAAGAGAAGGAAGGATGTTGCATCTACAACGTGGCCATGCACATTCCAGGATACCAAGGAGCAAGGACAATAATACCTATGATCAGGATTGCCTCGTGGGCTGGCTCAGCCAGGGTCACACATGGAAAAAAAAGCAAGACATCCTCGCTCCAACCCATCGAATTCGAAAGATTCTGTTCCCTTTCTACGAGAATAATAATAATAAAACAATAACAATAATAATAGTTAACTGAAGGAATCCGTGTGGGTATCTCCATCCCGAACGTCGCCAGCTGAACTTCCACCACAAACCCACAGACGATCACCACCGATTGGCCTCAATGGCGCCAAACTACTGCAGGACCCTTTGCACGGCCACATCGGCCTAGTTTGGAGGGTCGGATTTGGGGCGAAACGCACCAAACGTACATTGCGTATCTGCTTAATTTTTGATCTTGGTGCATGGAATAAGTATTAATAATAAATTAGAAGTAGATCAGATCGCATGCAAAGTAGTACTCTGTGGGTAAATGAAAGCTCCACAGTATTTCAGCTGGGATGTGTTACTGACTACTGTATCTATCTACTGCCTACGGAGTACTACTCGTCGGATATCTACTCCATAGTAGTACTACTGACGAGTGACGACGGACATTCCTCTCCACTACCTTACTTCACGATCCCAGAAGAGGATACTACTGACGATGTTAAAGTCAGAACTCTATTCCACGCTGATAATGTATCTTATGCTTGTGGCTAGTGCACTACTAAGATCTGTAAAGATGATCTTGATGAGGTGATTACGTCCGTGGGGTTTTCCATCAATCAATCAATCAATTGAGTGGTGGGTATAGATAGAAATATAGTGAGTGCTTGGAGCGTCTAGAACCAGGTCAAGCAGCTGTTCATCCATCACAGTCAAATCTCTGACTTACTTGATGTGAGAACATACTCTAGAGTCTAGACCGTTTCATCTCCAAGTCAATGCGACATTCAGACTGAAACAGGGAATCCCCCTGGTGTATCCAAACAACAAAATAAGGAAACCCTCAGATTCAACCGCATCTAAACCCGAAAAAAAAAAAAAAAAAAAAGAAAAGATACACGTACAAAACAACCACTCACAGGATATCATAGCCAGATGGACAAGTAAGAAAAACAGATAGATGGAAGAATCCCCATATGCTCTTTTGTGTCCCACTACAGAGTAAGCGACCCGCGCCGTTCTGTAGAGGGCAACGCATCATGCCACAACTAGCCCCCATATTATTCAAACAGTAGAGAGAGAGAGAGAGAAAAGAAAAAAAGTGCATCCGGAACCCGGCCACCAACATATCCATAGAGAATCCAAAATCCGAGAGCAGTACCATGAACCCTCACGAGCGTGACCGGATACAGGCAAGAATTGCGCTTAGCGACGGGTCGTCGTCGAGCCAGTGGCCTGCCCGGACATCGGCTGCCCGAAGGTCAGCAACGACATGCGCATCAGTCACCTGTTGGAGCTCCTAGTCAATCCGTCAGTGCATGTCTTGTGGAATGACGCAAAGTAAAAGTAGCGAGATTATCAAGTGTCTCACCTGTCGAAATGCGTTGCTCACCGCTTTTAGTTGGCTCGCATGCTGCGATGCAGGTCTCTGACCACGCAACGTATTCTGACGATGGATCGCCCAGCGCTTGGCAGCAGCAGCACGAAGGTAAATCATATGCGCCTGAAATCGGCGGGCACTAGCATCGAGGATGACCCTAGCAATATGTCAGTACGAGGGTGTCAACCTTTCTGGGGGGGAGGAAGGGGACGCGTGGGAGACATACCGTCGCAACTCTGCCTTTTCCGTCTCAGCACTGCTCGAGTGCGCTGGTACCGCGTTCATGTTGTAGTTGGCTGACAGGAGAGACTGCGCTGCAGCCATGCACTCCCTCAGCACCGCGTAGCCCTCTTCCGAAACATCGTCCGGCGATGCATCGACATTCTGTTGAGGAATGTGGATGAGAAGTGTACGATAATCATTGATAATCTCCGCTACCCTCAAGGCGCGGGCTTGGTTGACTATGCCATGGGACGCCCGTTAGCATCATATCGCTTGCTGCTGATCAGTGTCGGGGACGGTGCGACTTACGTCCATCAGCCATTGCTACTTTGTCGGACGAGTACCGTAGAGAATCGTCGGAGAGACGAAAGGAAGACAGCAATAGACTGATCCGATCCCAGGTAGCAGAAGACAACAACGATTCGTGATCAGGTTGGTTTCATTGTCTGATCCATCCCATGGTTGAGGGCGGGCTATCCTTTTAAGCTTAATCACCATAGAGCAAGTCCTTCGACTATCCCAGCTCTGTCAGTGTATAGCTGGACACAAAAGAAAATAAAATAAAATAAAATAAAATAGGACACACGACATGAGGAGAAGCTCTACACAAGGAGAACTCAATCCTGAGTCGTGGCTGGCTGCACCAATGGCTACCGGTGATGGACAGTCAAGACATCACAGCTCGTAAGCACAGCTGGGTTCTGACAATCATGGTGGATCTAGAGCAAGCAAAGGATCCATGGATAGCCATGTATCCATACCACGCAGAAGTCCGTCCCTCTTCTGCCGTACACTATCAACGACTACTAGCGAGAGTTGGGAAACGAGTGCCCCAGACCTAAGCGCGAGACTAAGGTAAGCAGCAGCGACTCTTCGGCGAAGAACTCAACATACAGCAAAGCTTCAGGGCAAAAGAACAGAAAAGGAAAACTAAAAAGAAAAAAGACAGCCACTAAGCCCGATACTGAATGGTCGGATGTTGAATTGATGCATCTTTTCATGTGCCACAAAACCGAGTCAGCGGAATGGTGATCCACAATAGATCTCGGTTAACGGTATCAACTTGGTCTATGCAAATATGCATCATATTTTGGGTGGAGAGTGGAGACAAGCAGTCGAGTATACACTATACAACAGACTTACTACTTAGCAGTGTCCCTCGAGAACAATCACTAATGGCGCTATATCCGATAGAGTCGACGCGAGACCACTTGTCAAACAACCTCCCGCAGACCATTCCAGCTGGATGCTGCTGCTGCTGCTGCTGCTGTCTCCTCCGCCACGCCACTGATTAGGAATCAATGTAAGAATAACAATAAGAATAAGAAGGAGAATAATAATAATAATATCTACATGATTTTCACGTCAAGGCAGGGATGGAGCAAAATAGAACAAAGAGAGTCTGGTTCCTGATTGTCTCGTTCTTGAGTCTGACACGACACGTTAAAGCGATCAATAATAATCCAAGTCTAAATTAATCGACGAGAGACGATAGAACGAACAGTCGGCGCTAAAGCCACACAGCTCAGCCACAAGTCCGGGCTGCAGCAGCGAAACCACAGCTGAAAGTGGGAAACCCTTAGTGCCTGAGGCCTGAGAAAGACCTGAACTTGCGTATCCACATGTGGCGAATTCGTCTTGGGAATCCCATGAGGCGTTCGGATTTCCACCACGTCGTCGACGACGTCCCAAACCCGACCCCCTTGCGACGAACCCTAGATCGTAGTGATCCTCTTGTCAAGGTTTTCTACTCTCAGGTCTAATCCCTGACGTCGCATTATGTCAACCGAAGCCCAAAGGGTATGCCTGTTTATCCCCACCCCCTGGTACTTGCAGCAGCAATCTGCACCTCTTTCGCTTCCCTCAAGCCTCTCAAATTACGGAAGTCTTATATCAGAGCCGACGTCTCCATCCCCAGGAATTGCCACTGTTGTGGAGGACCAACCGGATAAACAATGGTGAAATTGCCTTGGTTAGATCACGGAAACATCCGAGGTTCAGACCTTCCCAAAAAAAAAAAAAAAAAAAAAAAAAAAACTCGCAACCAGGATGGGGTGAGATCAGCGCATTGAACGTCAAAGAAGTGGCATTGCTATGTCGTCTGCATCTAAGAACATGGATACCTTCCCGCCAGTAAATTAGTCCTTCTCGCTGATGGCCTGTAGCCGCTCGTCGATCTCCTCCTCCGTCAGGGCACGGAATGCAATATCCGTCCCTTCCTGGCCATCCGCTCGGGGACCACCGACGATGCCAATCTCCAATTCGTGCTTCTTGAAGTCGACGCTCAGCACATTGCTCAGGGCCGTGATGCCCAGCTCCACAACCTCCTCCCAGCTGCCCTCAGCGTAATCCTTGTTCTTCAACTTCTTCTCCAAGTAATTGAGTGCCTCCTGCTGTTTAGGACCGGAGGCAGTGGCCTTGTATCCAACATAGTATCCAGCAGGGTCGCATTTGTACAGCTGTGGGCCATTCTCTGAGTCGACGGAGATCAAGGTCATCGCAACTCCGAGCGGACGCATGTAAGCCTGGTTTAGTGATCTCGCTTAGCCTACTGCCCTCTCAATCACCGAAAGGGATCCAAATATAAACTCACCCTCTGTGTGTAGACCTGGTTGATATTGGCCAGTCTCTTCGCAAGAACGTCACAAGGCATCTCGTAGCCATATTTGTATCGGAATTCAGCCGCCTCGCCGCGGGCACGGTCGACAGATGCTCTGGCATCGGCAATCGATCCGGTCATGACACAACCGACGGTGGGGGAAAGCCGGAAGATGTGCGAAACGGAGGATGGGTCGATCAATTTATCCTTCAAAACGATCAATCAGACAGCTGTCATATCCCTGTCCAGTACGGTGAGCGGACTTACGGCAACTTTCTTCTGAGACAATACCACGGCGCAGTTCTTCCCTCTCACGCCGATGGAGGTGATGTTAGCAGCTGTGATGGCCTTGAAGGCATATTCTGGGTTCAGCGATGTAGATGTTAGTCCATCGTTGATGATGTGTGCGGCATTCCCGACAGTTGGGATGAAGTGCTGCGACCAGCACGGGCGATGGCAGGAATTTTGTAGAGGTACCTGTACATACCGACTTGGTACAGACGACCCTGGTCTGAGAAGATGGTAATGTGCCTATCGTATCCCGCGCTCCCTGCTCAGAAGAGGATGTCAGCTTCTTGATGAAGTCATGGGGTCCGGTTGGATAATCAGCCAAGGAGCATACCAGACATGATTGCTGCTGTCAAAATTAACCCTGAAACAAAAGAACAGACGTAAAGGAGATAAGTGCAGAGGGTAAAGCAGAATTTAGGATAGAAGCGAGGAAGATTGAAGGATGATAGACTGAGAGTCTTCAACTGACGCGTGCTTGGAGGTGCCTGGCCGAAGCTCCAAGCTTCAGGGCCCAATTGAGTAAGCTCCGCTGTCACCGCCTTCTCTACACATCCTCGCAACCAAGTATCCTTCTGTAGGAGACAGGAGTGGTTTGTTCATGGCCGCAACAATCTACCGATATCAAAATATGCTCGGAAGTATTCGCTCCCTTGGTCTTCAACATAATTATTTAAGCAGGAACTCCGTATATACCCAACCCAAGTATCAAGCTTTTGTTTATATACAATCCACAGGCAAAGAATGCTATTCAGAAGAAGCTTCCGACATCCTCCCGCGTGCATCAATGTGATCTCAATGGCGTAGACGGCAGGCTCAGACCCATGCACCTAAGCAGAATACAGATTAACGAATTGTAAGCCCTAGTAGACAAGTCTCCTTTCAATCGCTGTCGCTGCTAGAGTCCGTCGATGAATCGCTGGAACTCTCACTAGAGCTTTCGTTCTTCTTCTTCGTAGCTTTCTTCTTGCGGCTGTTGTTGTCGCCATCGCTATCACTGCTCGTGTCTGTCGAGGAATCGCTAGAGCTAGAGCTCTCCTTCTTCGACTTCACAGCTTTCTTGGCGGGTTTCTTAGTGACTTTCTTGCTGTCGCCGTCACTATCACTGTCGCTCTCGCTGCTGCTCGAGATCTCGATGAAGGCCGTCCGGTTCTTCTTCTTCTTCTTAACAGGCGGCGCCTGGGTGCTAGGCCCACGCTTCTTCGCCTTCTCAGGATAGAACAGCTTGGCCGTGACTGCGAAAAACACGAGCTCCGCACGTAGCCGCCTCTGGAGCTTTTTCAGATTATCCCCCTCCAGCTGCTCCGGCATCTCAAGGCCCTCTATATCCTCCCTGCCCTGGGACAAACGCTTCCGAAGCTCCTCCACCACCTGGTTGTAGCCCGTCATATCCGGCGAGGCCTTCTCCTCCGTCTCCTCGTCCTGTCCCTCAGCCGCGCTCTCTTCCGCCTCGGCCTTCACAACCTCCTCCGCCATCTGGCGCAGCCGCTCCTTCGCGCCCTCGCTCTTGAGGCCCCGGAGATAGGCAAGCAGCGCAGCGTTGTACTCCGCGGGGACCTGGTCCAGCGACAGGATGTGCTTGAAAAGATGCGTCTCGCGGTTCTTCTGGAACTTCCACGCGGCGCGGTGCTTGTGGTACAGATTGAGATACGAGAGGAGAGGAGACTCATGGACCTTTGCCGCATCAGAGCCAGTTCCCTCCCCGGCCGTCTCCGTCGTCGCCGCCTTCTTCTCTTTCCTCTTCTCCTTCTTCTCCTTCTTCCTCTTCTTCTTCTTCTCATTATCATCCGCCTCCCCATCCGCATCCCCTTCCTCCTCCTCTTCAGCCACAACCGGCAGAACATCCTCCACCTCCCGCACCACCGTCTCCGCAGAAAACGACACGCGCTTCTTCTTCCGTGAGCGCTCCTGCTGCTCAGCCGCCCCGTTTCCCTCCCCCTTTGCTTCCCCGACAGGAGCAGCCTTTCCCTCCCCATCCTCCTCCTCCTCCTCCTCCAGGCGCCTCTTCTTGCTCTTGCTCTTGCTCTTCTTCTCCTTTGGCTTCATCGCGCCCGCCTCGGCGCTGACTACCGGCTCACTGTCATTTTGCTCTGCGTTCTTCGCGTGCTTGGCTTTGACGCCCGACTTCTCCTTCTTCTTCGTCTTCTTCTTTGCTTCCTCGCTCGACATTGTGTCGGTGGGTTTTTCGGGTCTGGAGGAATGCGAGGCTAATAAAGTTTCGGAGGGTGATCAATTAGGCAAAGGTGCGACTCAATCGAGCATAGAAATATGTGTTTCTGGGGGGGTGAAATAATCTTGTGGTGGTTGTTGGTCTCGTAGGCTGCTTTTGCTTTTCGCGGAAAATTAATTTTTTTTTTTTTTTCCCTTTTCTCCAACATGAGTTGCGGAGCTGGGCAAAATAGCGTTTGCTTATCGGTGTCGGGGTTACTGATAAGGAATTTGGACTTGCCATGGAAGCTAGCTATGAACCTACTTTGGAATTTATCGTGTATGGCTTTGTATTTACAAGTCTTGATAAACTGGTATTCAGTGAATAGGCAGGTAGGTAGGTAGGTAGGTATCTTCTATAACACCGGCGGAGACCGTAAGTAGATATTTCATCTCGACGTTATCATGTTTGCTTGACCCCCATTTCCCCAGACTCCGACGGTAAGTCTAAATGAAACCCATAATCTCAAGAAAAAAGAAGAAAAACAAAGAAAAAGGGCGTGTTGTCAATCACGCTCCATTCCCACTGCTGTCCGCACCAGCTGCATCTTTCCTCTCTCGCCTGACTTCCTTCTGGGGGTTAGTCTCTCCGTTTCCTCCGGGGGCCGTCGCTCGACGTCGCGCCCGCTCTTTATCCCTGGAGCTTGTTGTCGCTGCCCTGCGTCTGCGGACTGGTTCATAGACATCGTTGAAGTTCATGACGACGCCGAGGAAGCGCATGTCGACATCGGGTTGGTAGGCCAGGTCGCCGAGGAGCACATTCAGCCGCGAGCGGAACTCCGCGGAGAGCTCGCGCAGCCGTGTGCGAAGGGATGCGAGCATGTGGTCGTCGGCAGACAGATCATGGTTGGGAAGGGAGGAGGGAGTGTCGAAGCCATCGCCGGGGTTACCGAGACCGGGGGCCTGGGCCAGCGACGGCGACAGTGAAGATATGGAATTCTTGTGGGTTCCTGGGCGCCGCGACGATAGGAGATCGCGCTCGGTGATACCCCAGCGGCCTTGGGCAGTGCGCGTCTCGATTTTGGCGCTAAGCTCTTGCCTCCTGGTGAATTCGGCGACAGAAAAGGAATAGAGACCATCGACGGCGTCTTTGTAGGACAACATGATCTTCAGGATTTGATGAAGCTGGGTCAAGAAGCCTTCTTCCTGTTTGTGGCCGGATGCAGTCCTCGACGACGATGACGAGCCTAAAAGGCCCTTGTGTGTAATGGAGTTGAGGTACTTGGTGTGCGCTTCAATCAGGTCGTCGAGCGTACACCCGGGCTTGGAGATGGCTGCCTGTAACTGGTCCCAGCTGGCCTCGATGACCTCAAAGAGGATATAGTACTGCAGCTGGCAAACAAAATGGATCATCTCTGCAATCACACATCTTGCGAGCTTCCAGTCTGCCCCGACTTTGTCACTGACACTCCCCAGAACGCCGCGAGCACCAGTCATGCAGCGCCGCCAGGTGCTGCCGAGGGCGAACTCGACCCGTTTGACACGCCAAAGGAAGTTGAACACCTTCAGGTACTGCGTTGAGCCCCAAGGCGTGATGATCACGTCGACAGGCGCATCAATCTTGTACTCGAGGGTAAAGCAGTCCCATCCGATCTCTCCATGGCTAAGCTCCAGCATGCGGGCATCCAGGCGGCGAAGGACATCAGGTGGGTCGTATTGCGCATTCGAAGCACGGATGGCATGTTCCAGCTGTGCAGTCAGTGTATGTCTGTACTGTGAATTCGCCGGCCGATCCAGATTCGACGCCAATGACTCCATAAGCAGGGCAATAAAATCTCCCTGGCCCAGCAACAGGTATTTCTTTAGTGCGTGAAGATGATCAAACAGTTTGAACTTGTCATCCATGAGGTGGATGAGCCGCGCCATGGTGGTTTTGTAAGCCTCGTCGATTGATGTCTCGAGACTTGCTGTATCACCGTAATGCAACTCCTTCGAAGCCTGCTTAGAGTAGGCCTCGACCCATCCAGAGTCACCGCACCCATATCTGATGAAATTGAGTGATTTGCCGATGAGGAAGACCTTCTTCGCAAAGTCCTGTGTGATGATGGAAGGCACCATCTCATCGTCCAGTTTGTATTTATCCTCCCAGACGCTGGTTGCGATACGTCGCGGATCGGTACTTGGTCGGAATTCCGGCTCCACGACAAAGAATTCCTGATAAGGGTCTGAAAGCTCGCCGTCATAGATCCACAGCCGCAGCATGTCGTAGAACGGACGTGTGACGTGCCCAAGCAGCTTTTCGGCAAATGTATAGACAAACGGGTCTCCGTGGGAGGTCGAGAAACTGTGGATCATGGATACCAATTGACCACCCTTCTTATCTGCAGCGCCCGTTAGCCAATTTAAGGATTCTAGCTGGTCCGCGAGAAGGAAGACTTACTCCGAGCCTCCTCCACGATCAAACTCATCAATCGCAAGGCCATCGTCGCATCTCGAGTCCATACCACGCAACGTTTCAACGTCACCAGTCCTCTTGACGAGTCTTTGGGATGTTGAGGGTCCCCGGTAGCGGCCAGCGCCCGCCGGATCTCTCCTTCCAAAGTCGCAACGAGACCCAAGTAGGAACGTAGCTCATTCGATAGAGCAGCACGTAAACTTTGGGTAAGCAGCCCGCCTCCGGAATCCTCCACATATGTCGATAGACCTTTGTATAACAAACACGGCTCGGCCAGTGTGTTTAGCAGCGATAGCACAGGTATAGGAAGGGCGGAAGGTAGTTTTAAGATAGAGGATGATGAAAACTCCAGATTAGAGGACGACAAGCCCTGCAAGTTGAAGGGTAGGTCGCGCAACAGCCCCTGTTCGGCCGGCCGCTTCTCCCCCGAATCCGTGGTGAAAGATGGGGCCTGGAATGAACCCTTCTGCTCTTCCACCACATGATGGTCCCTCGGCGCAGCGACTCGACCCTCCTTTGCGACATGCCCATGCTGTTCCGGTTCGACATCTCTCTCTCGCTCTCGCTCTCGCTCCCTCTCCCTCTCCCACTCCGGCCGCCGGAGCGACGCCTTCCTCTCCATCTTCGCCGCAACCTGCGACGCAGAAGAACTTACAGCCGGGCCATCCTCGTCCGAGTCCCCCGCCAGTCTCGTCGGCACCGCATGCCTCCCCCGGCCCCCCTTCAACACCACATTCTGCAGATTCCCCGCCTCCAGCACCGGACTCCGGCTCCGCCCATGTTCATCCCCGGTCTCAGCGGGAGCCTCCGACCCAGACAGCCGATACAGCAGGTACAGAATAGCCCACTTCTGCGACAGCACTGGCTGCGTCAAGAGCCGCGAATACAGATTCGAGAACCGCACTGCCTTATCGGGACTCGCGTTCTCGCGGAGCAGCTTCCGCTTGATCAGATCCGACGCGTTGTTGATGTTCTCGCCGCCAGCGAGGCTGCCGCGGCGGGCGATGCCCAGACCCGCGCCGCCGGCGGTGGGCGAGGCCGGGTCGTTCGTGGAGGCTGGGTGGGTGTCGATGATGCGCCATGCATGCTCGAGAAGCTCCTGGTGGCGTCGGTCTTCTGCTTCGGCGAGGAGATCCTCCGCGTCGTCGGGGATGGTGTCGCCTAGCTCGGAGAGGGAGAGCGGAGGGGTGAGGGAGTCGACGAGCTGGGAGAGGGCATCGTCGATGCGACGCGGGCGCGCGGGGTGACGCGAAGCCATTGTCGAAGTCTTAAGCCGACTGCCGCTGGGTGCGGGTTTGGCGCCTCTCTGTAACCGCCTGTTGCTTTTCGTACCAATCTATCCTCGAGTCTGTTTTTAAAGTGTGTGTAGGTGTTGCGAGACTGTTGCTAGCAATCGAGGTTTCAAGGTGACGCGGATAAGGCAAAACGCGAATCGGCGGGGATTTGGTTGGTCAAACGTTCACAGTCAATAGCAGGTTTCGAATTGACGCGTTGCATCCTGAAGCCAGTCGTAAGTAATACCGTGTAAATTTTCTCTCTCTGCTTGACCTAAGAGGCTCACAATCTGTGGCAGAAGAGCTCCTCCCATGTGAGCTTGGAGTGTTTTTGTGTTGACCCAGCAGAAGTGGTTGCATTTTGGGCCCTGCCAAGACCCGCATATGTCAGTGGTTGCAGACTTCCTAGTTCTTACTACTCTTATGTCCAACGGGGGATCTACTAGTAAGAAACGATCTTATATGTATAGAACTGACCCGTTTCTGTCGTTTCTACAAGTGGTATGGGAAGACAAATGAGTAAAAATTTGAACTTTGTGTGTTCCATTCCTAGATGCCTAAACATCGTACATGGAAAAGAAAAAAAGATTGAACGCAAAAGCAAAGCTGAGCCACCTATACGCCGCCCGATTAAGACGTGAAAAAAAAAAAAAAAAGAAAATAGGAAAATAACACCTGGGCACCCCCTCCCCAGAAGTATGGGACAAACGAAGAAAAATCCTGGATGAAGAAGAAAAGGAACGGCCAGAGTACAGAGAGACTATACAGCCCCCGCAGCTTGAGTCTTGAGAGAAAAGGATTCGGGATAGGAAGACACGAGAAAGAAAGAGAAAGGGGAAACTCAAGTAGCCAAAAGAAAAAGAAGAGGAAAAGGTTCATGCGCCCAATTTGCACCTTCCGGTAGTGCAATAAAGATCCATCGCACCAGCTGGTTCAACCCGTCCAGTTTTGAAAGTTCGTACACATCATTAACACCAGCCCATGCCATAGAGATTTCGCGGGAGAGTCGCAGCCGAGAGAGAAAGTTCGAAATGTAACAATTCCGCGCAGGGGGAAAAGATGGAAGTGGAAAACACCGTGCCGCCGTCTAGACCAAAGCGGCCCTTGCGCACCGTGGAAGAAAAGATCGCATTTTTAGATATCATCATCATGATCAGGCATCAATTAAGATCATGGCTTTGGGTGAATCACACATCATCGTCGCATTCCCTGGGTAGGGATAGGTGCCCCGGGCTGCATACCCATGTTGCTCGGGATGTTGTACGGGTGGGGGTCGAAGCCTGCTGACATTCCATTCATCATGAGGGGACCCAATCCTTGAGCTTGAGAGACAGGACAGTCTTTATGCGCAAGCAATAGAGTCTTGAGGTTGACAATCTCCTCACGGAGCTGGGTGACAGTAGCGGTGAGAGCATCGTTTTCTGTGGTGAACAGCTCGACCTTCGCCTGAAGATTGGCAAGCCATTGTTTCTTCCGTTGACGGCATTTGAGCGCCGCGACCCTAGAGGAATTTCGAGTCAGTACTGATGAAGGAAACCTCCAAGACCAATGAGTAGTTTGACCTACCGATTCCTTTCCAGAAAGTTTCTTCTCTTCTCTTCATCAGTCATCTTCTTCGAGTCGTTCTGGATCTTTCTCTTTAGTTCTTCCTCTTCTTCCGAATCACCGGGATCGGAAGGAGGCTCAACGCTACCAGCGCTGTTGTTGGTCTTGGCCTTCTTGTTCGCACCCTTGGCAGGAGTATCGTCGGCCTTACGTCTGTTGTTCGGGGCGGTTCCTACTTTGGTGGCAGAATTTCTCTTGGCTTTGCCCTTCGCGGTGGGCTTAGCCTGCTCCTGCATATCAGATGCATCACCACTCATCTCTCTGCCGCTGCTGAGCGCGCCGTTGACATTGTGGGAACCCCGCCGATCCATATCATGCGATTGATCGGCACCCTGAACAGCGTGGGAGGGAACAGATGAAGGGTTGGAAACAAACTGATTTGCCTGTCCGCCTTTGGCCAACATGAAGAGGCCATTGGCCGCATCTGCTGCGTCGTGATGTGTGAAAGGATCGACGGCAGCAGGCTGGCTGCCTTTGATGTCCATGCTCACACCGTGAACTGCCTCCGGGTCAGTCGTGGGATTGGAGGTGGGACCGCCCAAGCCGTTCTTCTTCGCGGCGTTCAGGGCAGTGCGATGGAATTCAATCGTTGAGGGGGTCGCGCCTCCACTCTGCAGTTGCTGGAGAATCGCCTGCGAGTTGGGGCTCGGGGCAGGGAACATAGAACCGCCACCACCTGGCGTCAACCCGGTGCGAAGCGAAGATTCATTAGGTGTTGGGAACCCTCTGCCGATACTATCGAAATAATCATTGGGTCCTGTTGGTCCAGCAAGCATGGCAGGGCTCAGAGGCCCAGAGCGCAACGAGTTCGACCAGTTATAACCGCCGGCAGAGCTAGCACCGGGCAAGGCGGGAGATGTAAGAGATGCGACGGGAGGAAGTAACGACTTCCCAGGGGTTTCGCTTGGGTTACCACCACCACCGCCAAAGGATTGTTCAAAAGGGTTGGGCTCCAGGGAGAAGGGATTATGTACGGAGTTGAAGTAGTCTGGAGTATCTGTGGCCGTTGTTACAGCAGGTCGCGGAGGAGGCGCCAACGAGGTTTGCGAGTCGACATCAGGCTTCTGATCTTTGGTATCCGAGGAAGGCGCCTTCGAGTCTATAGGAGCGCGACGCGACACCTTGAGTCAGCAAGCTGAACGACTAACAACAACAACAAAGTATGATAATAGCGAAAGGCGACGGCGAGGTGTGATGATGATGATGATAATGATGATGATGATGATGATGATGATATACGACGAGGTGGTTCATATTTTGTCGTGTGGTTGACAGGGGACCGATCGGTATCAGATAAGGGACGATGTTCCCCAATCGATGACGCCAAGTGTGAGGTCATCCCGACGGCAAGAGAGCGATCAAAAGTATCTGGGGAAGAAGGAGTGGCGCACTTCCCGACCACAACAGGTCAAGGCTGAAGACAAGTAGGGGGGGGAAGGGAACACCAGATGCAGAGACAGAAGAGAGAAGGTTTGTGGTGAAGAAAAAAGGTACCAACATCATCACATCATGACACAGAATGATGCGACTCACCTTCGTTCAACGCGTGCTTTTTCGAGTCCATTGGCGATGGATTACGATGATTTGGGTTATGCGGTAAACTGGGAGGCATATTTGAAGCAACGGCCGCAGACATCATCGATGATCTCTGGGAGGAAAGAACAATATACTTATTAGGCGAGACAAAAGGGGGAGAGGGGAGGCAGTAGCAGTGATGAATAGTTAGGACCGCCCAGTCAAGGTAGGTAGTTTTTTGAGTTGACCAAGGATAAGGTAGAGAGTCAGAAGGGAAAAAGACGGGAAACAAGCGAGTGGACTGAGTGGCAAGGGACACCAGAACGAAATGGTAATGAACCAGTAAGAATTGAGGCGACCGAATTCAGGAAAAAAAAAAAAAAAAAAAAAAAAAAAAAAAAAAAAGAGGCAGAGAATAATGAGAAGGAGTTCTGCAAGAGAAGAGAGAGAGTAGTAATAAATTATTAACAGTATTCTTCTCTTTCTTTTGTCCTTCTTTCTTTCTTTTTCCTGTTGTTCGGAATTTTTCACTCTATCTGCTGGCGCTGTACGTGTAGTATACTATACTTGATAGATAGATACCGTACGCGGACAGGCAGAGTAACTTTCTTTTTGTTTCGCGTGATGGTCAAGCGTCAAGGGGGAGGAAGAGAGAGAGAGAGAGAGGGAAGGAGAGAGAGATTGTGACGTAGTCGGGGGAGATCTGAGTCTGACAGCGAGTTCCTTTTAGTATTTTAGGGAAGGGGGGGAAATGGCGAAGAGGGGACGGGGGCGGTGGTGAGCTAAGCGGGTGCTGACTGGCAGTCTGTAGATTATGATTCTAGGTAAGAGAGCCTATAAAATAGTTTCTACCTGTATTCAATCGAACCATGCAACCCTGGATGCGTACAAAAACCCGTGGTTGTCCTGCCAGGTTGCAACCTCGAAGAGAGAGTTGCTCCCGGGAATCTACTCTGTCTGTGTTCTTTGCCTTCTTCTCTTCCTGAATCGTCGTCTTTTTCCTCTCTCTCTCTCTCTTCTTTTTTTTTTTTTTTTTTCCTACTTCGGCCTTGGCTTGATTTCTGATCTCTCTCTCTCTCTCTCTCTCTCTCTCTTTTTTCTTTTTTTTCCCCATGCTCTCACCAACTATTGAAAATGAAATAGTGAGAGAGAGATGAATTTTTTTTTTACAAAAAAAAAAAAAAAGAAAAAAAAAGGTCAAATAGGAGATAACAAGAAAATCATCAGAAGCGAATCGAATCACAGTTAACAATGATATGGCCCTTGCTTTCTTGGTGGAAGAAAACCTGAGAAAGACTGGTGCTGTGGACTCTCCGGCAAGATATTTCGACCAATATGAATGACGAAATCCCCCGTGGGAACCACGCCAGACGCGGTGGTTGGAGGAGGTTTGGATTTGTTGGAGTACTAAGGTATCTTATTGATAAGCAACTGCCTCCCACTCTTTTTTTTTCAGGCATAGGTTAGGGAGGTTAAGAATGCTGGTTGTTAGTTACTAACGAACTATCTCCAAACTCAAGCTGGGAAGCCAGAACAGTACTGTAGAGTGTATCTAGATGGTTAGCAGAAGCAGCGAGAGAAAAACATCGACTCCAGGAGGGAAACATGGATGAGATCATGGTGACGACGACAGGAATTTCCATTGGGGGGCACGGTCGGAGTCAGACCAGCCGGGTGGCCACTGGGCGGCCGGTGGGCCCACTTGCTTGCTCCTGTCAGCCATTCACGGGTTTTTCTTTGTGCCCCGCTTGCATTTGTGCAGCACCGGACAGAGACTCAATTTCTAATGAGGAGGTAGGGAGTTCGCTAGCTGGTTAAATCCTCGACAGTACCTAACTAACTTAAGTAGATAGATATCTATATTTCTGTGGTTTGTGACCTTTCCAAGTAGACAGGCTACGGAGTAGTTAGTAGTAGAGAGAAGAATCAAAGAAGCCAACTTGGAACTTAACAGAGGTGTACATACTACATACAGCTGAAACTGCAATGAATCGCTTAAAAATCCACCCTTGATGCCCCATTCAACGAGCGTATGAGGAGTCACGACACAGCCTAATCCTCGGGTCTGGAGTCTCAGGTTGGGACTTCTCCTCGCCTGCCGTTCTGGATTCCCCCCCAAAGGATCCCATCACGTCGATCCTCTGGACTGCTGATTGGATTTCAGCAATGACGCAATGATCGAGCCCGGTTATTCTGGGGGTATTGCTCACGTGACACATTGATCTCCGCTTCTGGTTGGACAACCCAGCGAAAGTTGGAGGTATCAAGTTGTGTGCCGGTTTGCCAGTTGCCACCTATTCTCCCAACAATCAATCCTTCCAGCCTCCATGTCCATCTCCACGGTCTTCAGTGGATAGTAGGACTATCCTTCGCATTGCACAATAGCAGACACGAACCAACTATCTAATAGTATGTACATACAACTGAAGTGTGAAGAAATCCAACCTATTGAATTACAATCAGCTATCTAGAATAGAATCTAGTGACAACCCACAGTACGTACACAAACTGAAAATAATACCTGAGCTACATATGACATATGCCACTAGTTGCCAGGAGTCAGGACTCAGGACGGGAGTAAAGACGGATTGCCTGCATTGGTTAGTGGTTACCGGCAGCGCCTAGCGAGGGAACGGAATCGAAGGCTTCTTCCAACGACACTGCACAGTACATGCCCCTATGCAAGCTTGGGTTCCTGTTGGCTGCTTATCAATGAATTACTCAGGCCCCTGTTGTTAGTCTAGTGACTGTAGCCTCTGTAGGTATTTCTCCCTACTCCATAGTAGATAATCCATAAGCCCAGGTAGGTTATAGACTAGTTAGTAGTTACCCGACCAAGCGGACATGAACCATGTCTTGGCTTTCCGGACAGAGTACACATGAAGCGTGATTAGCAAAAAGCAGGACAAACTGGTCTAGGAAGTTGTTCAAAAGCCTGCATTAAAATGGGAAACGAATTGATTATTGTACTTAGCAGATCTCTACTTTAATAGTGCCCAGTTCTTTCATACTCTGCAGCAATCTCCTCATGAGGCCAGTCAGCACTATATGCACCAGTTATTTTACCCAGTAAATGAATTAGTGAGCCAGCTCCAATGAAGAAAGGCCTCTCGGGTAGGTCTATACAGTCATAGGACTGGTCATAGTTTCTGACTTGAGCCAGAAGCTCTTCATATGGTAGATATCTCCTGTAACACGTGCCGGAAAGGCCTTGGCATTGACTCTGAAGAGGCCAGGAGCAGGCAGGGATGGAAAAGATGACTCTTCTCCATATCATTATCCTTGGCGTTAGGGGACTTGGTAGCTTGCGTAACGGACGAGGCCCTCGTGCGGGGTATTAGGGGACTTTGATCTTGTTGGTGGCATCGCGAATAATGTATTCGAAGCAGGATGGGGCAGGAGATTTGATGGCTACAGTTTCAGGAATCATTTGTCAGACATGGAAGACGATCTGTATACGTCGATATTACCACGATGCCCTCCATTTCATCTATGGTCAGGTGATATAAACAGGTCTAGGTAATTATTGTCATGTTTGAAGAGATCGATACCCTGTCCTCCAATATGCTTTCTGGTCTTCATCAGAAGAATTCTCTCCTCCAAAGTAGCTTCCCTGTTCTTCGCTTCGCTATTCCTTCTTCATTCTCACTTAAGAGAAAGAGTACTACAGTTTTGCGAAACTTCCTAAACCAATGCCCCATTGAAGTGAAGCATTGATAGTCCTACGACACATCGTAAAAACTCCTGATCTCTCAGATGCCACGCAAAAATATCCAGAACTCGACCCTGCCACAAAATCAACCTTGTAAGATATATGTGTTTTCACTCTATATTGCAGCCCGCGACACCACCATATAGGAGATCTTTGGACTATCACAGCAGAGAATCCACATAGAACAAGATTATAGTTGTATTTTATGCTGATAAGTATCTAGAAGGCTTGCATGTCTGCTTAGGTAAGCCCGTAGGTGAGCCTGTTAGGGAGGTTGGGGGAGTCTTAGACAGGCTCGTAGGGGGCCTCCTTTCAGGAAGTCCCGCTAGTTGCCCGATTACCAGCCATTACTCGTGTAGCTCTCTTAAATAATAGCAAGTGGTTGTTGGTATTAGCAGAACTTCATGGCAATAGCAGTGATTTCCGTGTCGGGCGTGGCATCCGAGAGATCAGGCGTGAAAACATGAGAGGCATTCTTTTTTTTTTGATAAGTTGAACTATGTTTCATTGCTGGAACATGATTGGCCAAGGCACTATTCTGATATGGCATTAGTGAAAGTATCTAAACCCAATGCCCTTCCAGAGCGTACAGAGCAAAGAACAGCATCTAAAGTATCAATATTCTTAGTTTCCCATGAAGTATCCGCGGTATTATGGAGTATGGACACTTTGATCTCATCATGAGCCAGAATGAGTACATTGTGTGCGCTTGAATCAATGGCCATATTACGAGCCCCGATAAGTAGAATAATTCCAAGGACCCAGCAGCACCGGCACATGATAATGCCGCCAACCCTCCTCCCCTTCGCGACCCCGTCCCTTAACCGTAAACTTCACCTCCACCTCGGGCCAGAAACTCTCGATTCCCTGCGCCTCATACCACGGCCCGACCTCGAAGCGCACAGCCCAGTTCGTCTTGCTCTCGGCGGTCGGCAGCGAGGAGAGCAGCCCGGAGACCGTTGCAGATGCGGCCGCCGCGGGGATCCAGTTCTTCACCCGGCCATCGGCGTCGGTGGTTGCGCTGAAGGTGATGGGATCTTGGGTCTTGTTACTGCCGCTGCCGCTGTTTCCCAGGAAGGTCAGTGTCACTGGGAGGTTTGCAGCGGGGGTCCCCGTCAGGGTATTGAGGACGTGGCAGGTGATGGGGTCGCGAGACATCGAGGCGGTTGCTTTTGAGATGGTGGATGTGGGGTGACTGGAGGATATGGGTTGTGGCGAAGAGTTGGATGTCTGGAGAAGCTGCTTCTGATAGAGAGCGAGGCGGTCCGTGATTTTACCCAAGTGGTCGGTGGACTGGGGTTGGCTGTGTCCAAGGTCCATTGAGCAGGAGAAAAAGGTCTCGAGGAGGAATGATGAAATTCTTTTAAGGGGGATACAAGGAAAGAAAATATTTGTTGCAAGAGCCAAAACTTCGCCCTTGTGCTGGCAACGGAGCTCTTTTCTATCTCCGCTTTCCATCTATCGGAGAGCACCGACAGCTGTACGGAGTATACCTTCAGTGGGGCAGTTCTGCAATTGAACCTCTAGTCGGCTTCACACCCGGGTTTGCTACATATTGTAGCATGTAGATGGCTTGTAGCAAGCATTCGTAGCCGTTTCTACTACTAGAATAGCCGTCTCCTCTCCGTTGCCATTGGAAGCTTTCAGAGCCATGTCTCCAATCATGAGAGGAGTGTTGATGCCTCAGGCAGAGGGTTTCCGCACGTGCCCCGCCAGCCATGGCTGAAGCCACCACGATGATTTTAACGTTGTACATCTCTTCTCCTTGAACCGTGACCAGTTCTTTGTAAACGGCTCTTTGTGCCTTGTATATCTCTCCCGCTCCATTATACGAACCAAGTCTTCTGGTGAGTCACTGCGCAACTGTGTCGCGTCGATCTTCCGGAAGCTTCGACTGACCACAATCAAACGTTAGGCCTTTGCGGGGAAGCCAATACATTACTTCCAACCTCGTTACAGCTCACTAGACAGGTAACCAGCCCATATCTTGAAATTTTCCGAACTTCTGCTCACCTCAGCAAAACAATTGCAGATTTGAATCCTAAAATCGGCCCATCCTCAATCCCCGTCAACATGTCTTCAGCCGCCGTTGTGCACCATGACGATCTCATGGAGCCCACGCTCCAGTCCATCATCAACCAAAAGACTCTCCGGTGGATCTTCGTTGGCGGTAAAGGAGGTGTCGGAAAGACGACCACATCATGCTCGCTCGCCATCCAGCTCGCCAAAGCTCGCAAGTCCGTCCTGCTCATCTCGACCGATCCCGCACACAACCTGAGCGATGCGTTCGGGCAGAAGTTTGGAAAGGAGGCGCGACTGGTCGACGGATACTCCAATCTCAGTGCGATGGAAATCGATCCCAATGGCAGCATTCAGGATCTCCTTGCCAGCGGAGAGGCGCAGGGTGAGGACCCCATGGCGGGGCTGGGAATGGGTAACATGATGCAGGATCTTGCCTTCAGCGTATGTATACTCCCTTATGTGCAGGGAGCTGCATGTCCGTCGATGCTGACAACCCGGTGCCGCAGATCCCCGGTGTCGACGAAGCCATGTCCTTTGCCGAAGTCTTGAAGCAGGTCAAGTCCCTGTCGTACGAGGTCATCGTCTTTGACACTGCGCCAACCGGTCACACCCTCCGTTTCCTCCAGTTCCCGACTGTGCTTGAGAAGGCTCTTGCGAAGCTGTCCCAACTGTCCTCTCAGTTCGGCCCGATGCTGAACTCGATCCTTGGTGCTCGTGGTGGCCTGCCTGGTGGACAGAACATCGACGAGCTTCTCCAGAAGATGGAGTCCCTGCGGGAAACCATCAGCGAGGTCAACACGCAATTCAAGAACCCCGACATGACCACCTTTGTGTGTGTCTGCATTGCTGAATTCTTGTCGCTGTACGAAACCGAACGTATGATCCAGGAGCTTACCAGCTACAGTATCGATACGCACGCCATCGTCGTCAACCAGCTGTTGTTCCCCAAGAAAGGAAGCGAATGCGAGCAATGCAATGCTCGCAGAAAGATGCAGCAGAAGTACCTCGAGCAGATCGAGGAGCTCTACGAAGACTTCAACGTCGTTCGGATGCCGTTGCTGGTTGAAGAAGTCAGAGGAAAGGAGAAGCTTGAAAAGTCAGTCAGATACCAAAGCAGTCAGAAACGATGTGGCTAACAACTTCTACAGATTCAGCGAGATGCTCGTACACCCCTACGTTCCTCCGCAATAAATCAATGTACTCCTACCGTTTTGTTTCTATATGAGATTCGGGCGAAATATAGTTTTGGATGAGTAATGATTGAATAGACAATAATGCATTCAGTGCCTTGATGCTTTCTATGCTATTTTTTAGTCGCCCTCGGCTATTGGTTTTGATGTTGGAAGACTACGTGTAGCAAGTTAAGACGTTTTGTCGACATATTCACTTCCAATCGCTCTACAGACCACAAGATTTACCCACAAGCTTTAGATGCTCTGAGCAATGGATCTCATCCAAACTCAGGATGTCACGCAAGTCGGCGAGATTCAGTTCGTGTAGCTAAGGGCGTCCCTTCTAAACATTATTACCCGGCCATGGTTCTCTGGTGCGCCGGTTGGGCTTGTGATAGACCAAAAGTGGTGTCTATATAGCTGAGGGTCAAGAATATCTTCTTTGTCCCAATTGCGCCGAGAAATGTTATTGTAACGGCTTGCCGTAGCTCTTTCAGGCTGTTGGGCAGCCTGTTGGTCCCGCTTTCGGGCGTATCTTCTTCGATTAAGCATCGCCAGCCTCACGTCCCACATCCAAGGCGAGAGGGTATGAGAGGGTACCATTAGAACCAGTGATTGCACGGCAAAGAATGTTAAGCCTTCTCACGCCGATGATGTTTCAGGTTTCGTCCCAAGCAAACAGTTCAGGGGGCCAGGCAGGTAACAAGGTGTGGCAGGCCGGAATCGGCTCGAGAATTCAGAATAATCGAGGATCTCATGGACCACAGGCGTACGCGGTCTTGCTGGTCGCTGTCCAAGAAAGTTGTCTGGAACCTTGTCTGGAAGGGTTAATTGGTTCATAGTTCATAGATGCATCTGTCAAACAATCCGCCAAACAAATCATCAACTCTAGATACCTGTTTGAGTGGAGAATTGTCTGTACCAGGTGGTGATTTGTGACCTCTTTAAGTCTGTTCTGCCACAGACCGGTTTCAACGAGCCCGCAAGACCCCTGGTTGGTTCTCTTCCCCAACTTCCTCCCATCATCTCTGCGAAATCGGTGCTGGAGGGCCCAATCGAAGAGGAACACACATCCGCAGCAGCATTCGTCGAAGCCATTGATGCTCGACGCTGGAGACTTTCCATTGTGGTTTCCGCGGGTTTTCTCGTTGAGGAGGAAGAGGATGCAGGACCATCCTTCCGAGACACAGCACTCGATAAATATGAGTTGCGGGGAATAGTGCATGGAAGACACACAGCTTCGCTTCCTGAACCGGCCGCGTGCATACATCGCAGTGGTTTTTATCTTCGACATCTGGATCATCAACTGTTGTCAACCGGTCCATGCATTTCTAGGAATCCACAGGTCGTCGTCAATCGAGACCATTCCTTCTGTCGGTGGGAATCAAGAGTGAAGTTGCATCCTGGGCCCGGCTTGCTGCTTCGGCTTTTCTTTTCTCTTTGTCATTTTATTTTTGTTTCTTTTTCTAACGTCCACTGGCTGTCTTCCAGATACACAAGTCTAGATCGAACCTGGATTTCCAGGATCTGCGAACAACAAATCTACTGCACACAATCACTCCGATGTCTGACAGCAGCCCTCATTGGGCTTCTCGGCCTCGTCTCTCTGCAAACGTTGATCTCAGGATGCGATCAATCCTGGAATAAGCGCCCTCTCTAGCTGAGGATAGCTAGTATAGTCTCCAGAGGGGGGCTTACGAAGTTACGATATTTATTTCTCCGACCTAGAACGCTTCAGCAAGTGACCAAACCCTGGGAGCCACGACAGTCCATCCCAGCGGACCAATTTGGCGCCGCATGTTCACCGCAAAATAGTCCAAGGGTCTTAGAATGACAGAGGCATGATTAAAGATCCTGGGCGGAGCAGCCCAGGAGCGCATGGCATGGGTGCAGCCGGTTTCGATTTGCGGAAGGTCATTAGCCTTTGTCGAAGTCAAGCCTCACTTTTTGTATTTTTTTGGTGCGGAAAAAAGGGGGGTGGGTTGGATCTCGTCCTCTCAAAGAGTGAGGCGGTTCTTCCGGGATCCGGACATGAACAGCAAGCCGAATTGCCTTCTCAGTTCTCAGCCATCAGGTCACTCCTGCTCGTGACAGACTGGTCCTCTTTCGAGGTTCTGGACTATCTATCTATCTACTGGGAGGGCAATCTCGTCTCGAAGATTCTACCCCGGTGGTCTTCGGGGATGCAGATCGGCTCCTCTAGTGGGAAAGGATTATGCTGCAGCTGGGCATCGTGGTGTCTGCTAGGGTTGATTCAAACTATACGCGGGCAATATTCGTATTTATCTCATCATTCTCCCTTACGTGAGTGAGGTTTGGTCGAGATATATATTCAGCATACAATCAATGTCCGTCTAGTCTACGAGACAATCTGGAGCGATCAACACCCTATTTGGATAGTTCCCTCACACCCATATACTTCCGAAATTTCGACTCTACGACATTCAATCTCAATGAAGATGTCTCAAGTCCAGCAATACTGGCTCCCAGGCTATGGACTATCAAGGCATATTGTGCTGGGGCATATCCAGTACTTCCTAGGACCATCAGCAACTGTCAGACCCTATACATACCAGGTAAACGAAGACATAGCTGGCACAGCCGCATCATGAGAACAGTCTGCCTAACATGTCAAATCGAGGCAAACAGGGCCGCGAAGGCTATCTTATAGTTGGCGTACCTCTCACTCGGGTCTCTGCTCCATGCTCACACAGCTCCTCGCGGTTGAGTCCGCCGGCTAACCTTCTGAACAGGAACAAATAGACGATCTGGCCGTCATGTCCAAGGAATACGAGCGGCAGGAGTCTCTCCGAATGACAGGCGACGTCCTCGCAAGCAATACATGCCGGCAGTCAGAGCCCTACATCAACGAGATCGTGCCTGTGCGCGCTTCGGGTTCTCGCAGGCAACCCACCGAACACGGGGCACGACGAGGACGATGACTCCCCATATCCCGCCATTCACGAGAAATAGATCTTTCTGCGATTTAGAGCCAGTGATATCCCCCAAAGCGCTTCCGAGTTTTGCGTCATATACCCCGCCATCGGCTGACCGGATTCTTCGTCTGTCGTTTCACATGTCCCTGGTTACTGTTGTTGTTATTTCATTGAGTTCAGCGAGTTCGAAACAGGTGCTGCGTCGCCTTCAGTATATAGGGAAGATGATGGCGTTGTGAGACCGTCAGGGATACGTTGGCCGCCCTTCCAACATGAGATGCTTCCGCTTGCTTTAGCTTGGGTGGAGTTAATGACCAACCTTTCGCGTCGCATCAGGGGCAGAGAATGCGCCATACCTTTTGCAGGGACACGAGTTGTCATCTGCAATGCGCCCAATCTTGATCCCTTCCAGCAGGCAGCCAGAACCCACAGAGAAAAAAAAAATAACATACAATGGCCTGACACAAGGACTCGTTATGAAGCAGCCGGAAGGTTGATACTGAAATTCACTCATCTCTCTATAGACAATTCGTAACAGCATACATCAAAAAAGATCGATCAAACATGAAAAGAAAGCTCTAAGCCCATGTGATACAAGATGGCTTTCATCACTCGTCCAGTTCGATCGAAGCCCGCTCACCTCTCGGATGGAGGGAGGGTGAGCTCGCGTTCCTCTTTTTCGTTCTTCATTTCCTCGCTTTTTTTCAAGCACAAAGTTTGTCAGATATTCGAGCAGCAGCCTCTCTATTCTTTCTTTTTTCTTTTTCGTCACTGCAGAGGGGGAAAAGATACAAAAGAGTTCAGCAGGAGGCCCAGGTGAGAGAGATATCTGAGAACGACAACATGAAATCCGAAGAAGGAAGAAAATTAAAGGAGAACATGAAAAGTGGGACCACCTGAACGCCAGCCTGATGCCACTCTGCTTGGTCCCATCACACAAGAAGCCCACAGTCCGCGGGTATAACCAACATGAACAGAACCATTAGGAGGAAGGAAAAAGGACGAATTTTGATGTTTTCTTTCTTTCTTTTTTTCGAGGGGCGTTAATTTGACGTTTCTTGCCTTTATTTCGCAACGGCCGCGCTGAAAGAAGGTTGGATGTTAGTTCGGATTCCACACAATGGGGACATTATATCGGGAAGACGAACCTCAGCACTTGTGTCCGGAAGAATGCACCCTTGGTCTTCTCAATGACCTGCTGGTACACCGACTGGGGAGGGTGGTTCATGATCACGGTGCCCTCCTTGTAGTCGATCTTGGCATCCACGCGGGTGTCACGGATCAGGTTGACGATCCACTTCTCACCCTCATCCTGGTTCAAGCCAAGACGGGTAGACAGGTCCCTAAAGCTCAGATATTAGTTTCCGTTTCCGTTTCCCGAAATCACATGTTGTTCGTTGAATCATTCTATCCGGGAGTAACATACTTGATATCGATCCGCTGGTGAATCTTGCAGTAGCTCTCGGAAATGAGGTGCCGGGCGGCCTCCACAAAGGCATCCGCGGCGGAAACGAGGAAGAAGTCACTTCGGAGAACATCCTCGGCCTCCCCCAGCTTCTTCTGAGCCTCTTCGAAGTCGAAATCGATGTAAAGAGCCTTGACAAAGTCGGTGATGGGGTCCGAGTACTCATAACCCTCCTGGCGCACGACACGGATCAGATCCTTCAGCTGCTTCTGGTACGAGCCGCTGCTCTTGTGTGCCCGGTTACGGTTGGTGATGACTGCCGCGGCGAGGTATCGGAGAATCCAGGGGCAGTTGGTCTGGATGGTGTTGATGTAGGCGGGGGAGAAGAAAAGTTCGGTCAGGGCATCGCGGGCGGGATCGTGGTTGAAGAAGGGGAAAAGGGCCCAGTGAATCAGCCACGAGCGGTTCTGCAGCTGACCCAGAGGGTTGTTGAATAGGCGGGTCTCAATCGAATCCTTGACCTTCAGGACCTCCTCCATCGCAGCGTCCCAGCTGGTGGTGAGAATCTCCGAGGCCAGCTTACCCCATGTAGCCGATGCAACCTTGTCGTTATCTGTCGAAAGGACACGGAACTGGTACAGAAGTTCGGCGGCGTTACCGTAGCTGCCGCAGCTGTACTGGAATCGACCATACTCGTAGAGGCTGTTGACCATCTCAACGGTGACTCCGTGCTGCTCCTCGAGGAACTTCAAGTTGGCGGCCTTGTCGCTACGCAGGTTGGCGACGACGCTCTCGTCCTGCAGCAGCTGGGTGATCTTGGCGCTTTCCTCCTCGTATTCTTGCAGCTTAGACAGAACCTCCTCCCTCTTCTTTACGAATTCGTCGGGGATGGTATCGGAATTGTGGATTTCCTTCCACAGGTTGGCGACATAATCGGTCATGTTTGTATGCTTAAGAAGTTCATATTTCGCACGGACAACCTCCTTCTCGTCATCTTGGCCCGAGCTGAATTCGAGAAGAGGGAAAACCAGGTGACGGTCGAGATAAGGGATCAGCTTGGGCAGCAGGTTGTACTGGTTGGCGATTTCTTCAGCGGTCTGGGGGTGAGCGGCGGCACCGCTGAGGAGGGTCTCAGCAGTAGGGGGGGCGTTGTCTGCCATGATGATGTAGAATGACAGGAACAGGAGAGATGGACAAGGGGTGGGTATATGATGAGGATCTCTCTCTCTCTCTTCGTCTGCTCGTCCCGTGCCAACAAAGATGAGTGTGCGGCGGTTCTTTTGCGCTGGCGAAAATGTGGGCGGGAGGGCTGGTGGTCGCGCTAGTCCGTATCCGGGTTAGCGGAAGGTCTCCGCGCAGAAAGCAAGAAATCGCATGTTGGATGGTGATTGCTTGACACTTTCTGTAGTCCCTCGTCCTCCATCCCATCGTCTTGACGTCTGTCTCCCCGTGGTGAAACCCGTTCGTGGTTGGGGCTTTTATCTCATTCTACCATTACGACTGTCCGGTTTTCATCCGTCGCTGGCCACTGTTCATCCTCCTTTAATCCGATGGCTTCTTTCCTGCAGTCTCTGCCGGTCTGCTCGGCTGTTCGCAAGCAGTCGACAGCAGCTCCTCTCTATCTCAATGCTTCACAGTTCATCGCTTCGTCAAGGACATGTAGCTCTTTCTCCACATTATCCTCGCAATCTAGATTGGTCCAGTCTCGTAAGTCTCGACTGTCTCCGCCTGTTCCATATCTCTCTGTATCCATAGACCTCGAGACCGGAAAGATGGTGGCAGGGAAGAGAGGAAAATTTCTGAGTCGTGGAGACCAGTTGAGAAGAAGCACGTCTTACTGATTGATGATCCTCCAGATCGCGCATTGAAATCTGCCCACTCCTCCAACTCACGGTTTCCTACCCAGCAGCGCCGGACATTCCTGGTTCAGCTCAAGCGGCAATCCCAGACTCTGAAAGAGACTCCTACATCGACAGGGGCCGTCCCTCCCCCGGGTGCCAAACTCCAGCTCACAAATCTCCCCTATTTTATCCGTCGTACAGCCTCGAACCAGCTCCCTGTATACCTTGTCACAAAAGCCGGTGGTACCAAGCAGCAAACGAAGATCCAGAAGACGGAAGGTGATCTTGACGCCTTGAGAAGCGATCTCGCTCGGTATCTCGGACTCGAAAGCAGCGATCCTCGCGCACCCAAAAGCCCCGACGTTACGATCAACCGCCTCAATGGCCATATTGTCGTTAAGGTATGTTATCGAGGGCATTCTGGATGTCATGCTTGTCCCAGCCTCATTTCTGTCAGATGAAGTGATCGCTAATTCCCATACAGGGCTGGCGGAAACCCGAAATCACCAAGTTCCTCCTAGAGCGTAACTTCTAAGGGAAGAACCTACGACCCTCCTCGCATGGCCGTTGCTCTCCTTCACATACTGCATCTGTCTCCATCCTCTACCCAATAATCAACCACCTACCCACCTTCTCCACGAAAAGTAGCAAAACAAGCCCGGAATTCCAAAAGCACACTCGAACAGAATGAATACAGAGCAAGAAGTTGAAGTCATGCAAAAGGGGGAAAGCAGAATGGCTGAGAGATAGCAACTAGGAAGAAAACAAAAAAAGGCACCAAAAAAGTGAACGGTGATCAGACTGAGACCCTATCACTATCCGGAATGATTTCATTATTCTCAGTTTCTCTTATATTTCCTATTTCTTATCGCCTTGAATCCCTCTTCTTCTTCGATCAATATCTCGCATCTGTCGTTCCTCTCTGCATTGTACTATGCTTTCGTGCGGGTGTTTGTGTTGCATGCTGTTCATTATTCTCGTCAATGGTTTTGATTCAGGTCGTTCTGGTCTTCTGGGATGTTATCAGTTCAGTATTTTCTTGGTGTTTTCCCTTTTTCTTTTTCTTTTGCCCCTTTCAAAGTTTCCTACGTCTACTCTCACCTCTGCCATTCATTTTGGCTACCCTTGTATCATTTACTCCCTGTACATGTCCCCTGGTAATCCAAGTAGTCTAAGTGACATGTGCACTGATGAAATTAATCAATTCCGATCCGATGACGATCACACTTGGTCCTATTCGCACTCCTGATTTGAGAGGGATGTTATTATCTACAGTGTTGAAATCCAGCAGAGGAGCGAGCCACCCACAATCTATGCTGCATAGAGAGGTCGTGATCGAATGGCAGAGGATAAGGTCATTGGGAATATTCGAACAGGAAGATCGTTGACACAAGCCAGGAAGAGAAGAGTCCGATTATACCAACGATGACAAGTTTACCCATATAGACATCATGCATGGCTTTCTCTCCCCGAGGGTATTTGAGCATTGTACAATGATAGATCGAGAAAAGAAAAAAAAAATACACAGTCACGCCCACAGTATTCTTCCCACCGGCGCCAAACAAACACAAAAAGGTCGTGTAAAATTGTGTGAATGATTCCTCATTCGAGATGGTAATAATCAAAAGAAGACATGACAGAATTGAACATTGAATTGGCACATTCAGATGCCTGGGCCGCTGCGTTCGCTGAAAATATCCAGATTAACGAAAATGATATAGAAGAGAGACAAGAGATGGTGGAGTATTGGAAGTAGATCCAACCTATATCATATTACTCGGCTAAGCGAGCATAGGATATCAGCTGCCGAACAACGCCTGGGTCCACGTTGGGCATCAACAATGCTCCTAATAAACTCTCCTTTTTGGGAATAATTCCAGACGGGAACTGCCGCGTTGAATTACTATCAGCGAGTTTTGACCTCTCCGCCAACCGACAGAGAATCGTCAGCCCTCGGTTGATGATCGAACCATATGCTGCGGCTTCCTCGGCCTGCCCTCTGGCAGCGTGAGACTGGCGAGTGTTAGTTGGAGGTGGGGGGACGCGCTCCGTACTAAGAAGGCAGGATAGTCGCAGGAGATGAATGGCAAATCCATCCGTTGATTCAAGCCATTGTTGGGCCAAGGTACCATCAGCAAATGAAGATAGAATGTCGGCTGCCAATAAACCTTGCATGAGGAATACTTTTCGGGCGTCTGCTATCGCCAGATGTTTCCGTAATTGATCAGGAACAGGACAGATAGCTAAACCAAAGGCACGGGTAAGCAACTCATATTGGGCAGTGGAGCCCGCATCGCTTGAGAAGATAGCCTTGAAAAATGTCCGGTTGGGATCGTCCCGAGCCAAAAGCTTGGCTAAGCTATCCACTGCGGCTGGTGTATATTTGTGTATCGACGCATTGTAAGGTGTGAACATGACCCCGTCCGGTCCTATGGTTGGGGCCGGGAATGGAGCGAATGACAGAAGGAAGTGCAATAGACAGTGCGCCTCCTCTATGCTTGGCAATTGGATCAGATGCGCCAAATTGCTGAGATATGTGACGGCATCTTTCATGAAATCCAATGTATTCTGGTGCGTTCGAAGGAGCATATTTCGGGTTCCTAGATAGCGGATGATGGTGGACATGAACTGGACAACGGAGGGAGTCGAAAGTATGGCAAAGTTTGATTCGGTGAAGGAGAAATTCCGCAAGATAGTCGTGATACAGATGAGTCGGTCAACCGCTCGATCAAGCTCATATTCGAGGCTGCCGAATTCAGGCACATCGGCTAGCGATGTCCACTCGGCTTGACATCCACGAGTTATCTCCTCATATGGTGGTAGCAACATCACATCTGAGACCTCAACGGCATGTTCTGCAAGAAGGTCGGCTTGATCCTCAGCGCATTCAACCAGACTATCGACCAGATCTTCGCAATTATCCAACGAGATCGGAATTCCTGGCTCACAGGAAATGGTTACAAGGGTATCCAGCGCCAGGCGCATCTCTGCATGAATTCCAGATTTGATACCCATTGTGAGGGCGTGGATGTCAATGACGCCAAGCTCAAGAAACGAAGGCACGTCTGGCTTCAGTCTGGAGATTTCTTCTCCGAGCTGATACATTTCATCCACGACAATCGGGCCATGGAGATTGCTCTCCGGTAAGACCATTGGCTTGAAAGGGTCTTCGATGGGATGTTTCAGCGGTTCGTTAGGGGGCTGTTCGAACGATTCCGTGGTCTTGCCAGGGACACTCCCAAGGGGTTTTGCGGGCTGTGCAGGAGATTGGCTCGCTAATTGACCGGTAGAATCCTGCGGCGTCGCGGGGGGCTGAGACTGACGAGAGACGCTTAATCGATGCTGCTGCTGCTGCTGCTGCTGTTTGCTAGGCGCTTTGGCTTGTGTTGGAGCGGGAAACCCATTTGGAACACCATGCGGTACATTATTCGCCATCGGCGCGCCGCTCGGTGACCCATGTCCTGCTTGTTGGGGCGTTTCAAACCCCTGACTCTGCTTGACAGTTGGTGATTGAAACTGCATGGCAGAGGGGTCGCTAGCTTGCCGCGGCAGCGCATTCTGCTGCATCTGATCCGTAAACTGCTTCTGTTGAGTGCTGAGGAAAGCTTGCTCGTATGCAGCGAGGTTTCGTTGGTAATGTTCTCGGATTTCCTGAACAGCCATTGGGAACTGCATCGGGGGGAACTGCAGCTGCTGGGCTATGACTGGCCACATATTTGCAGCGGTGATCTTCTTTGACCCGCCCAGTTTCATGACGGTGGCATAAAGCTGCACCAAGTTGATCGGACGACCACAAACGATGGGATTCGGGTCCAAGTGCATGTTCCGAGACATCATAAACTTTTGAAGCGATCTCATAAACCCTTCTGGGTTTGGAGGCTTTGCCATATTCTGCTGCATCTGCCGGATTGCCGCCATTTGCTGAGGATTTGCCATGGCGTTCATGCCTGCCGCCACAGGACGCCCCGCCATTGCGGGATTCATGTTGATCGGACGGCCTTGGTTCTGCATCTGCAATGCATGCAGTCGCTGCTGCTGAGCGGCCATCGCTTGCTGATACTGAGGCATGTTGCTAAAATGTGCCTGCATCGGCGCCTGTACCGCGCCAGTCGTCATTGTGGGAGCCGGTGAGAACTGCGGCCCCATTCCCTGAGGAAAGGGCTGGCCTGGAATGAAAGTGTTATTTTGGGGTGTATTGACTCTACTAGGGTGGTCTGACTGCGAAGGGGACATGTGAGGACCGCCAACATGATGGCCTGCAGGTGAAAAAGGACTAGGAGACGCTGTCCCCATTCGCTGCACACCATGCTGGTCGAAATCTTGCATGATTGGAGATTGCGTGACATTGGTCGGCGTTCCTTGCTGGAGGTGCTGATACGGGGCGGCGTGGGAAGGGAATTGTTGGGCGCCATTCGCAGGCCCTTGATAGCCTGGAAAGGGCACCTGATGAGGCGTCTGCGACCGCGATGCGGAAAGTCCACCAGGCGCCTGTCGCGGCGACATGGACATACCATCCTCCGGCCGCGACCGCTTAGAGGGGATCACCTGGTTGGGGTTGTGAAATCCAGGGGAGGCATTTCGCGGGACTCCATTATTGAACATGCGCTGGAACTGATTGGGATCTGGGGGAGTGGGAGATGCATGCAGGAATGCGGTAGCAGGGTCAATGGTCGTTTGATGGAAGGCACCATTGTCATGGTTCTGAAGATTCGAGGCGTCGGCTAGCCAGGCATTCATGTCGTGTGGTTTTACCAACCCATCTGCGAGGTAAGGAGGATGGTCAGCGAATGTGACACACGCACAAAACAGGCTTTGTCATCGTCATCATGAATAAGCGACCGTCAACTTTGCGACAATATCGCCATCAAAATGAGATGTAGTTTAGACAAGCAACTCTCAACAGGGTCGTCAGAAGATCAAGCCAGGTTGAGGGCTATAAGACGCGTCGGGGAGGTCTTGTGGTGAGTCGCGCTTTGGGTCTGCGACACGGGCACTTCCAAGGCAACGACCACAAGCAGAACAAGCCATCCCAACGGTCCGGTGTGGGAGTCTAGACCAGTGATTCGAACGGGGGAACGAAGTCGAAGGAATAAAGAAAGGGTATACAGATAAGAGGAGAGAACTTGGGTACATACCGACAAGGCTGGATAACTTAGATGCCGACTCACAAGCGGACGATTACACCGGTCCCGAAATAGCAGCCTGAGAGGCTTGAGGAAGATTGCAAGGAGAACAGGAGGTCACGGGACCAGAGATGCCGGAGCGTAAAGGCAGAAAACGTGACTATATGAAGGAGGCTCAGTCATCAGCAAAGGGTGAAGCAACGCGAGTAAGGTGTAGAGACAACGAGTGCACAAGAATCATGATCAGAAAGGTAATAATCATAATAATAATGACAGCATCGATCAGGAACTAAAAAGAATATAAGCCAGACCGGTGCTGAAACTTATCAACACTGCAGAAAATAATAATAGTAGTAGATGATAGGAACTGCAACGTGTGTGATGGTCCCGAAGAATGGCCGGATTGGATCCCCCGTAGTGCGTGGCGACAGATTGTGTCAAGCGTTGGTCTGGGTTAAAGCAGACAGACGCCAATGGCATGAAACAGAAAGGGTGGATGTATCAGGATCCAACATACCAAGACAGACAGCTCAGAGCTTGAAGAGAGCCGTAATTTTATTTTTATTTTAACAGGAATTCTCTCCAGTCGATAATTTGGAGATTGAGGGGAAGGGAGGGGGGGGGGGGGGGGGCTTTGCAAAGGAAGACAGAGTGGATGGCCCCGGGGATGGTGGTTGTGATTGTGTGGGAAGATAAACAGGAATGGGACGAGCGCAGGAAGAGGCTGTTCACGATCAAAGAAGATAGAAAAGGATGATGAACCAGGTACATACGAACAAGATACAGTACGGAGTATCTAACTGGGGGGGAAGAAGGGGGGAGAAGTTCTGGGTAGCTTTTCCAGTAAGTTATTTTACCAGCAGCAACAAGTTGACAGCAGAAAGAGTCCAGGGAGTCAGTCTAGCAGCCCGGTGGTTATGTAAGCGGGTCATGTGGAATGCCCGCTGTTCCTGTTTGGGCCGTCCAGGTGGCTTAGTAGCTTTCGTTAGGTCCATTTTGTTGCTCAACACTGGCCGGTCAGTATGATCAGGAAAAAAAACAGTCATGATCATTCTGTCTGATATCGTGCTGTAGATAGAGACCCGAAGGGGAATGTATTAGATGCCTGAATTCCCAACGTCTGTTGATCTGAACATCATGCTAACTTTGACTGCCTCTGGATCGCTGCTAGGCTGAATTGGGATTAGTTGAGGTTGGCAACTGCGGTAACTATCTCGGGTAGTCGGGTGGCATGAGTAACGAACGACTAGGACGGATTAGTTAGCTGCTTCTGGATGAGTGCATCATTGCTGGTCTTGGTCTCCCTCTCTCTGTTTGAGAGTCGGGGGTACTTTTGAAGTAGGAGTCAAAATGATCGAGATAAGAGCCATCACACATGATTTGCGGTAAGCATTTTGGCTCTCGATCCCTCCTCTGATGGACCTCTTCATCGTTTACTGTCAAACTGTTGATCATCGAGACGTGATTCTCCATTCTGGGCATAAATCCCACGGTTGGTGTGACTGTGACCTGTTGTCAACCTAACCATGGGAACTCGGGCGAATGAATGAAAGACTCGAGAGGTGACAACGAGTTTGAACAAGACGGCCGAAACAACGAGAACTTTCAAACGGGGTGCCGCGAGATGGGAGGAATTTAGTGATGAGCAAGTAGGGGGAGGCTGCTTCTTATACTCTACTACTCGGTAGACGGATGACAACAGAGATATGGTGCCGAATAATCACGGCCCTCATGCCCATATTTGCTTGCCCAATTCCGAGCCAGGTAAGGTGAGGAAACTACCTAGACTACCTAACGAATGCGCTTCCATAGTTCGCTATTAGCTGGAAATCCGCCAGCCTGACGGTTCACGGTACATCCATACCTCGATCATCCTCATGATCCCCGCCCCTGCAGGAAAAGCCTCCATTGATGATGAAATCCCTCAATCTCATGCGCGCTAATACTACATGGACTACTTATAGTATCACCATTATAGCACTCTTCGGAGTATTGAGTATAATACCGGTCACTTATTTTTCGTCCTTGATTACTTGGATGATAGTTGGAGGTTGTATGGCAGCCTACGGATGGAGGTTAAGTGTGAGCCTCTTTCTCTTGAGCTATGTAAATGATTGGCAACACTTGACCAGTGATCATTGGAGTATCTGTATTATGTGGTCGTGTAAGAGTCGAATTATTATTGAATGCCTACCTGTAGCAACACCAAACGGCACGATATATATTTGGGGTTGTCGATGGTGGGAGCTTGGACTACTTAGCTGACTCAATAACTAACCCATAAATACTCAACACAAGAAAGTGTACACACATGAAGATCGCTCACAGATGTATAGCTCAACACTGCACTGCATAAGTTGCTTGAGATACTGCCCGAGTTACACCGGGCTTGGATGTTGTTTGGCACTCGAGAGTCCAGTGCTATGACAGTAGTGATCATTGCTCAAGATTGACAAGTCCACCGACTGATTCTAGAATTTCCTTATAATTGATATACATATCAAGTATTCCCACTTCAGACAAGAAAGCCAGAACTCCGTTCTCGATGAATCGACTACTCTCTCTAGACCATGGCGCCGAGTGACATTCGGAGATGTTCGATATCCATCTGGCTGCGCCAAGGTACATAATCACGTGACTAAACGGGTGTAAGCTTCAGGTAGGTACGTGAGCCTGTCCTCATCCAAGCAAAAGCTCTAGCCGAGAAAGCAAACTCAACACGCAGAACATCCTTTTCACCCGCTATTTTTGTTGTTCTCGAAAGATCATCCATCCTGACAGCTTCAGCAGCTACCTCCGTCTATCCTACGAACTTGAACTTCCTTTCGCCATGGCCGACGTAGCCGTGGAGACTTCGGCGAACAACGTCACGCCTATCAAGCCAGCTCCATTCGACACCATTCCCAACATCGACTCCCTCGAAGGCACAGACGCTGATGGAGGCGACGAGTATGCTACTTTGAAAAGGCTTCAAAGGCATCTAGAGTATGAACTTTGCTATCTCAGAACTCGCGCAACTGTCTTCGTCTGATATTGACTGAAACTAGGTATATCCAGCTGCAAGAGGAATACATCAAAGATGAGCAAAGGTGAGGCGTCATCTAAACTCAAATACGTTGACAGCCTGTACAATAGCTAACGCTTATCTGATTATAGGAGCTTGAAACGAGAGCTCGTTCGTGCGCAAGAAGAGATCAAGCGGATACAGAGTGTGCCCCTGGTGATCGGACAATTTATGGAAGCTATTGATCAAAAGTATGTTTCAAGAAGCTGTTGCAAAGGGAACAACGCTAATGAGACCCCATCAGTACGGGTATTGTGCAGTCGTCAACCGGCTCGAACTATGTCGTCCGTATCCTTTCCACACTCGATCGCGAGAAGCTCAAGCCATCATCCTCGGTCGCCCTGCACCGTCATTCCAACGCCCTTGTCGATATTCTGCCCCCGGAAGCAGATTCCTCCATCGCTATGCTCGGTGAAAGCGAGAAGCCAGATGTTACATACGCCGACGTGGGTGGCTTGGACATGCAGAAACAAGAGATCAGGGAGGCCGTCGAGCTACCGCTTACGCACTTTGACCTTTACAAACAGATTGGTGAGTCGGAGAGGAATGAAATAACTAGGTCGCGCCGTTGTGCTGACGCTTTACAGGTATCGATCCTCCTCGTGGTGTCCTGCTGTACGGCCCCCCGGGTACTGGCAAGACGATGTTGGTCAAGGCGGTCGCAAACAGCACAACTGCCAGCTTTATTCGTGTGAACGGCTCCGAGTTCGTCCAGAAATACCTCGGAGAAGGTCCACGCATGGTCCGTGATGTGTTCAGAATGGCCCGTGAGAACTCCCCTGCTATCATCTTCATTGATGAAATCGATGCCATTGCTACCAAGCGTTTCGATGCCCAAACCGGTGCCGATCGTGAAGTGCAGCGTATCCTGCTCGAACTTCTGAATCAGATGGATGGCTTCGAGCAGACGAGCAATGTAAAGGTGATCATGGCCACCAACCGAGCGGACACACTGGATCCAGCCCTTCTCCGTCCAGGTCGTCTAGATCGCAAGATTGAGTTCCCGTCGCTGCGTGACCGACGGGAGCGTCGACTGATCTTTACTACCATCGCGTCCAAGATGTCCTTGTCCCCAGAAGTCGATCTGGACTCACTCATTGTACGAAATGAGCCCCTGTCCGGTGCGGTTATTGCCGCCATCATGCAGGAGGCCGGATTACGGGCGGTTCGCAAGAATCGCTACAATATCATTCAGTCTGACCTTGAAGATGCCTATGCTGCCCAGGTCAAGACTGGGCAGGAAGCGGACCGGTATGTATATCCCTCCCCAGATCGGATTTGTTCTACAATTGTCTCTGGCTCTAACAAACTGTCACAGGCTCGAATTCTACCGGTAGATCACATACTCCATTATTTACGAGTCGGAAATGGATCCTGTGCATGGCGAAGGGGCAGTTGTGGGTTGTATCATCAACATCTAGGCAATCTATTTGTAGTACAACGATTGATACATAGTGGAGATTCTCCCCAGAGCATTGCCTATCTTGCCACGACTGTAGCACATATCATATCTGTTGTCGCCAACAAGTAGATATAATTTCTGACATCGCCACTTGGCTTGCCCTAGTCGACTAGGTAGATACTCACTTGAGTCCTTGACTGCAATACTGCAGCAGCCGACGCCAAGTCCGGCTTACTTGATCGGGTAGATAGGCAACAGCGCCAGCACTAGTCTATCGGCTGAGAGAACCTGCAGTTACATCATCAGCGCAAACAGCGTGATTGTACTCCATAGGTACACAGATCGTTTCAACCGTCTAGAGATAGAACATGGAAAACTAGTATAACCTACTCTGTAGATAGGGATGATCAACCGTGATTGCTGCAGATACTTGTTGCCAGGCACTGTCAGCACCTCCTTACGCTGTACAGCTGTAGTACGTACGTCGCAACCAAGCCGGAACTGCTTATCAAAGCGATCCGATAGACCGACACCCAAGCCCCAGTGACGCAGCTGGGTCACGCTGATTCGTGGATCCGAAGCAGGGGGAGTCGCTCCCGCGGGCAACCAGTCACCCGCACTAGTAGGTATCACGCTCCATCGCCTTGTTCCAGCTCCCGTCAACTTACCTCCTGCCTTCCTGAGGTACCTCCTCACTCTTCCTCTCTTAACCCATCAACTCTCCTACCTTTTGTCGGTGGTACTATCAACTTCATCATCAAGATCCATACGTTCCTTGTGATATTGTTCTTTTCGTTCTTTTTCCGCTGAATTATTCTTTCTTTTCAACTGCTATCGCCCATCATGAAGACGGTCTCCCTGCTCACAGCGTCTGCGCTGTTGGGCTGCGCCTCCGCCGAGGTTCACAAGCTGAAGCTGAACAAGGTCCCTCTCGAAGAACAGCTGGTAAGTAGAAGGCGAGATTCATGATGGAGTTTGCACAACTTTCTCGATGGAAACTGTTTGAAATGTGATGGGGTTGCTAATGGCCTGATAGTATACTCACAACATTGACGCCCATGTTCGCGCTCTGGGTCAGAAGTACATGGGTATCCGTCCCAACATCCACAAGGAGCTCCTGGAGGAGAACTCGTTCAATGATATGAGCCGCCACGATGTGTTGGTGGATAACTTCTTGAATGCCCAGTGTATGTCGCGGCTCGGTTACCAATCCTGCTTGGGAGTCGTACTAACCGCCATGTTTGTCTAGACTTCTCTGAGATCGAGCTTGGTACACCCCCACAGAAGTTCAAGGTCGTCCTCGACACCGGTAGCTCGAACTTGTGGGTTCCATCTTCTGAGTGTGGCTCCATCGCTTGCTACTTGCACACCAAGTACGACTCGTCCGCGTCGTCCACTTACAAGAAGAACGGCACCGAGTTCGCCATCCGATATGGATCTGGCGAGCTCAGCGGATTTGTCTCCCAGGACAACCTTAAGATCGGTGATCTGAAGATTGAGAAGCAGGACTTTGCCGAGGCTACCAACGAGCCCGGTCTTGCCTTTGCCTTTGGTCGCTTTGATGGTATTCTCGGATTGGGCTACGACACCATCTCCGTCAACAAGATCGTTCCTCCTTTCTACAACATGCTGAACCAGGGACTCCTGGACGAGCCGGTCTTTGCCTTCTACCTGGGCGATGCCAACAAGGAAGGCGACAGTTCCGTTGCCACCTTCGGTGGTATTGATAAGGATCACTTCACTGGCGAGCTGACCAAGATCCCTCTTCGCCGCAAGGCTTACTGGGAGGTCGATCTCGATGCTATTGCTCTTGGTGACAACGTCGCTGAGCTCGACAACACTGGTGTCATTCTGGACACCGGCACTTCTCTCATTGCTCTGCCCTCCACTCTTGCCGATCTGCTGTAAGTTGAGATCTTTTCGCTCCCAGAAGTTTGCTTTTACTGACTCATTCTGATAGCAACAAGGAGATTGGTGCCAAGAAGGGCTTCACCGGCCAGTACTCCGTCGAGTGTGACAAGCGTGATTCCCTCCCCGACCTTACCTTCACCCTGAGCGGCCACAACTTCACCATTGGTCCTTATGACTACACGCTTGAGGTCCAGGGCTCCTGCATCAGCTCCTTCATGGGCATGGACTTCCCCGAGCCGGTTGGTCCCCTTGCCATTCTCGGAGACGCTTTCCTGCGGAAGTACTACAGCGTCTATGACCTTGGCAACCACGCCGTTGGTCTGGCCAAGGCCAAGTAAATGATTAATTGCTCATACATTGCCCAGCCACCGCGTCTATACTAATTGTGCAAGAATGACGTGACGTATATAGCTCTATCGCGGTAGCTCAGCCTGTTGATTTTGGAGTTGATACCTGAGAGCCTCTGCAGGAAGATGGACCATGGTTGACACTATCCTGCAAGCTCGTGCAGGTCTTTGATGTGCTTAATGGAATTTTTACGTGTACTTGTTGATGAATGAAATTGCTTTATCCATGCTTATTTGCCAATTGCATCTCTTTGTTACAGAAATTTAATTGAGGGTACTGTATGCGAATAGTCTCGGTTCCAGGGAACAGAAAGTACCGGAGGAATTCTGTGTATCTATATTCTGGGTGTGAGAGTCATGCTGTGTTCCTCTGGTTTATTTAATCGGAGACAGTCGGAGTAACTCATCATCCTCCATTATTATTCTTCGAGTCCAACAGATGTCTTCTCTTGCCTATCTCTGGCATGATGGTCTGGACCCGAGCAACAAAGCGACGCCAGCTTGGTGAGGCAGCCAAGCTAGTCTCAGATAGTACTAGGCCGTAGAAGCTATGTAAGCTAAACCTCTTCCGTGATTCGCCGCCCCCGCTCGGCCACACGACTCTTTGACTGCTCTTCTCTCTTCTACTTCTACGGCGTACTCCAACAACATCAACTGCCTTTCTTTCAACCACCACCACCACCACCACCACCACCACCACCACCACCTATCGCCTTTGTCTTTCATCGCAATTCTACTCATATATCCTTAACTTGACTGAGATTCAGCTTGCTTGTTCAGCATACGAGTCCTACAACACCTACAGTACTCATTGCGAGGTTTGGTGTTGGACGAATCCTGTTTTCTTTATTGCTTCTGCGTCGCGTCATCTCGTGGCAATCGCCTACGCTACCTCTGCTTTCCTCGTCCACACCCTGTCGGATGAGGATTCTCCGTGTTGCAGCTAGATTTTGATAGTTTGTGAATCAATACTACCAAGCTTCAACGTTCGGAATATTGCGTTCGTCTGCTCGCAAGTCACACCTACACCGGGGCGCTTCGGGCATGGATCCCTAGCGGCCAGGCACTCTTGTTTCGCTCGCGACTGCAATCAAACCCCCCACCCCCCCCTCATCCTCCCTTCCCCTATATCGTTAAGAGGGGCGAGGATTGGCCGGGGGCTGGATAAAGAGAAATCGCAGACGGGAGTTCTCGGCAAGCCGACTACAGGAGCATGCTTCTTCGTTTACCGCCCAGCCTCCATTACCCGATCACCGTGACGTCCCTGCTGAAACAGCCGGGTGATACGGTGGAGAGGGATGAGGCTTTGTTCTGGTACGTGTACCAGACGACTGTCACCGAGGGTGATGGGCTGGGCAACAAGATCGAGGTTCAGCGCAAGTTTCCCACCAAGTTCGAGTCGGCTGTTGATGGGGAAATCGTTCAGTGGAAGATAGCAAAGGGGGATGTCATTCAAAGACCGTATGTTTCATTCTTTCATTTGAGCTTGCGTCCAGCAAGTTGTGGATTGACGTGTACTGTGTGTGATGCTGACTTTGCTATAGTATTGATGTAGTCGAGATCGACGAGCCATGCGCTCACGAGGTTCAGTTTGGAGGGCTCTGCGCCGAGTGCGGCAAAGACATGACTGAGTAAGTGCTGCCTCGTTCTCTAGCGCCTACACATGTCGAGATGGCAGAAGACTGACTTGTGCTACCATTGCAATAGGGCAACATACAACACGGAGATCATGGACTCGATGCGCGCTCCAATTCAGATGGTCCATGATAATACCTCACTCACCGTGAGTGAAAGGGAAGCCACGCGTGTGGAAGAAGATGCGAAACGTCGCCTGTTGGCGAATAAGAAGCTTTCTCTCGTTGTCGATCTGGATCAGACCATCATTCATGCCACCGTCGACCCCACAGTCAGGGAATGGATGGAAGACAAGGATAACCCGAACCATGAAGCTTTGAGTGATGTTCGGGCCTTCCAACTGGTGGATGACGGGCCGGGAATGCGCGGTTGCTGGTATTATGTTAAGCTCCGACCTGGTTTAGAATCCTTCTTGCAGAATGTCGCGGAGCTCTTCGAACTGCACATTTACACCATGGGCACTAGAGCCTACGCGCAACATATCGCTGCGATCATCGACCCAGACCGGAAACTATTTGGTGACCGCATCCTCAGCCGTGACGAGAGTGGGAGTCTAACGGCTAAGAATCTCCAACGACTATTCCCGGTGGACACAAAGATGGTGGTTATTATTGACGACCGCGGGGACGTGTGGCGCTGGAGCCCTAATCTCATCAAGGTTTCTCCTTATGATTTCTTCGTTGGAATTGGAGATATCAACTCTAGTTTCCTTCCGAAGAAGCAGGAATTAGGGGGGGCTAATAAGCCTACGGAAAAGGCCCCTAAGGAGCTGAAGGAGCTACCGGCACCACAAAACGGTAATGGTGCAACTGAGAAGGATGCAGCTGAGGTTTCGACGTTAGAGCAGCTTGTAACGATGGGCGGCGGAGACGATCCAAGGCTACTCCAGGAACAGAGTGTGGCACAAGAAGAGACAATCATGCATCAGGTCGAAGACCGCCCTCTGTTGCAGAAGCAGAAAGAACTCGACGCGGAAGAAGAAGCCGCCGAGAGTAGCGATTCCGCTTCAAGCGTAGATGAGTCTCAAGATATGAGCAAGCACCGTCATCACCTCCTGGAGGATAATGACCGCGAGTTATTTGCATTGGAGGAACGGCTTGAGCAAATTCATAAGCAGTTCTTCGAAGATTATGATCGGAAACGATCGCGGGCGCTTGGGGGAAGAGTGGCAGCGCTGAGAGGAGAGAAGACTCCGCTGAAAGAGAAGGATATTGACCTCAAGTTAGTACCAGACGTCAAGGATATCATGCCGCGGATCAAGCATCGCGTGCTTGGTGGCGTGGTTCTTGTTTTCTCTGGAGTGCTACCGCTTGGGACCGACACGCAGAACGCCGATATCTCCCTATGGACCAAAAGCTTCGGGGCGGTCATCTCCACGAAAATCAACCGGAAGACCACGCATCTTGTGGCTGGCAGGAATCGCACGGCCAAGGTCCGGGAAGCCACGCGATATCCCAACATCAAGATCGTGACGACTCAATGGCTTCTGGATACGCTGACTCAATGGAAACGGCTGGATGAGGAGCCATATCTGCTGCCGGTACACCCTGATGATCGAGGCGAGCCTATTTCGCCTGGCTCCAAGGAGCTGGAGAGTGGGTGGCTTTCATCATCCGAGGAAGGCACCGGAGGGTACTGGACAGATGATGAGGACTCTACGCAAGACCTCTTGAAGTCCAGCGGCCTCGATGAGATGTCCCCCATTGGCTATGACGCCGAAGAGCAAGCCGCAGTTCATGATGAGCTTAAGGAGTTCCTAGGAAGTGACAATGAGAGTGAGAGTGACAGTGAAGTGTCGACTCTGGCGGATGAGGCGGGAACGTCAGGCAAGAAGCGCAAGCGCGATGAGGACTCTGAAGGCACCAGCGAAGGAGAAGCGGACAGCAGCAAAGAAGAAGAGGGAGAAAAATCTCGCTCGCGCCTGGCGCAGCGGATCAAGCGATCCTATGAGCGCACCACCAGTCTTAAAGAGGTCGCGAGTGCGGATAGCACAAGCATGGCAGAGCTATCTCACACCAGTTTACCGACGGAGCGCAATGGCGGTGACCCAGAGGCGTTGGATGAGCCCGAGGAGCCCGCAGCGCGAGGACAAGATGTCAGCTACCCTGAAGACCCGGTGGACGACGACGACGAACTGGAACGGGAGATGCTCGCTGCTCTGGAAGATGGGGGCTATGACGCCAAAGCCGAGGAGGGGATTGCCGCCGAGAATGGATAGAATGGCCCTCTTGACCGGGACTCATTTTGGCTATCTGTACATTGCCACACTTTCTCTTCGATGCTTGTCTGAATTGTTTCCGTTTGCAGTTGCGATGCGATCTGGCATAGCGACGGCGTTTTGGGGCTGCTTGATGCTCTTTTGACATCTGTTTCAGGGAATTTGTTCCTCCGTGTTGATTTGAAAAGAAGTCATATAAGTGTATTGGAAGATCATTGCCTTGGCCATTATAGGAATACAAATCGAGATCTACCAGGGACCAAGCAATCGAGATCCAAAATAACGCCTTTTCCATGCACATGCAGAAACCAAGTGTATCACACAAAACCAAGAACATAATTCATATCGTGTCATATCATGTCGCGTCAGCCATCACCCATATACATCCCGATTCACCTGCCAGGACATGACCATCATCCACAGAAAGAAGATGGTATTGACGAGTTCGAACGCAAACGCGGTCTTCCAGCAATTACCTATCACCAACATTAGCATCTGTACCTGCACCTGCACCCGTGCCTGCAGCGCCGCAAACCAAATCAGGGGGAAAAAAAGGGCAATCAACAACATACATATCGTATTCTGCGCCAGCCACGCCATCGTGTCGATATTATTCCCCGTGGACGGGTTCTCAACTACATAGTTCTGGCAATTATCGTTCACATTCCCCACAACCCCATACAGCTGCAGCGAGGTCTCGATCAGGCCCGTCAACCAGAGCACGAAGAGGATAAAGCTGCCGATGATGATGATGCCGGGGAGGAGGAAGCGCTGGGCTGCGAGGATGAGGATGAGTAGGATGAAGAAGACGCTGAGGCTGCCGCTGACGACCATGTAGGGGAAGAGCCTGGGGGAAGGTGTTGTGGTTTAGTTGGGCTTTCTTTCTTTCTTTACATTCTTGGTGTGGGAAGGGGGAAGTTACCAAGGCGTGCCTAGCCGCAGCTGTGACTGCACGGCCATGAACCAGGCGAAGATCCCGAGACAGATGGCGGAGGCGGCCAGGACGACGATGATCCAGATGTTGAGTTGGAGTTCGGGCCAGCGGTAGCGGCGACGGCGGTAGACGCGGACGGCCATTCTGCTCCTTCTTTTTCCCCCTCTGTTTTTACTTTTTGGCGGTTACGGGCGAGGCGAGGCGAGGCGGTCGTGGAAGGGTTTTGTATGCATATAATGCATATAACGTTTTTCGTACCCGTATAGATCGATGTCTTTTGCGGGGCTATAGATCGTGTTCTCTCCCCTCCCCAGCCCAGAATCTTGGATTTATACTCCGTCCGGCAGGTTGGGTGTCAACTGGCAAGCGGACCCGTAGGGCGTAGAGACGGACAGCGCATCCGCGCCGTGATATCCCAGGTTGACGCCCGCTTGTGCGCGATTGGATTGGATCTGGATTGGGCCGAGTTGGAGATCGAAAGTGAAGCTGTTGTTTGTTGTTGGTGGTGGTGGATGCGTTGGTCGGGCGGTTATGTAAGCGGGCCAGACACAAGGAGACTCATGTGTTGCGATGATGTAGGAGGAGGGGGATAGGAGATGGGACTGTGGTAGGGAACTGGATTCTCGATGTTTATTCCATTGTGTCTGTGGTCGGCTGAATGGTGAGGAGGAGACATTTTGGAATGATGAATTGGGGTGGCTGGAGGATCTTTAACTCCCCATGTGTCTGTAGAACGAGAAAATCGTGGTGGCAGGAAAACGGCGCGGATCGACGGCGTCATTGGAGGGATCACCCGCGCTACCGTGCATCATTTTTTAAAAATAACGATGAGAAGGATAAAGGTATAAATGCGTAAGTGCTACTATTGAATCTTGCATTTCACTGATTCATTGTATGCCTGGCGGCACTTGGCCATGTCTAATCTAACTCATAATACATTGGTCTCACCTGGTCATCATATACCATAAACAGAATACAAAACAGCAGAACGATCCTCACAAAAGTGTATCTCCCAATGCACACCGTACCAGTGAGCAGCCGGCCCGGATGGTTTCTGACGCGCCAACGATTTCCAGACTGGGGTTGACCTCAACCAGATCCATGGCAACCAGATTACCTGTCTCGTGGACACACTCGCAGATGAAGTCACCTTCTCGCAGAGTCAACCCACCGCGGACGGGGGTACCTGTGCTGGGGGCCCACTGGGGGTCCAGGGCATCAACATCGAACGAGAGGTGGATGGGAGTGTCGTTGCCAATGTGGGCTAGAGCCATTTCGACAACCCGGCCGATTCCATATCTGTATCGTCGCATTAGAACCCGATCATTCATGTGCGGAAACAAAGGGAAATAGAAAAAAAAAAGGCTTACCGGTCAATATCATGCATGCTGAACGCCTTGATACCGTGCTCCCGGAGCAACTGCTTCTCGCCACGATCGACATCGCGCAAACCGATGTATACCAGCTTGTTCTTGTTGACAATGTGATCATCCTCCAACCACCCAAAGATATCTTTCTTGTCCTCGCGGGCCAGCCTCGTCAAGAAAGCCATGGGCATCCCGTGAATGTTACCGCTGGGGCTCATCTCCGGCGTGTTGATGTCGGCGTGCGCATCGACCCAGATCACCGCGATCTCGCGCCCCAGGCGCTCGCGGATGGCCTTGGCCGTGCCGGAAATGGTCCCGATGGCGATCGAGTGATCGCCGCCGAGGGTCAGCACGAACTTGCCGTCCTTGGCGTGCTCGTACACCTGCTTGCTGATCGTCTCGGTTGCGATGCTCACCCCGCGCGGCTTCTTCATGCCCCGGTGGTCGGGATCGTTCATGGGAGTGAGGTTCTCGTAGAAATGTACGGTGTCGTCATAGTGAACGTCGTAGCCCAGGTCATCGCGGACTTGATTCAGAAGACCGGCTTCGATCAAGGCGAGGGGAGCAGCTTCGACACCGAGTTTGCACTATTAGGAAAAGAGTGGTTAGAAGGTATGTTACTTCGTAGCTGCTATGTGGAGGCTTGGTCTTCAAGCGCCAAGGCAAGTTGGGAAGTATATGGAGGGGGCGTCATACCTGACCACCGTTGAATCCGACTGCCACCACGCCGAGCTCATTCGACTTGGAGAGAAACCGTTGCTTGATGGTCGATGGAGACGTCATTTTGAAGAGATGTGATGTGAAAAAGGGTACAGTTAAAAATAGAAAAAGTGAGGGACTGTCTGTTCCAGTGCTTCTCAATCCGTTTTTCAGATGATACAGGACCGATAAGGGAAAAGTTCTAGAAGAAGAACTAGTGCGATAAGATCGGGAGGCGCGGTGGAGAACAGATCCGAATAACAAGAACTGTTAGAACTGTTACTGCGCTGGTTCTCCTCTGTGAAATTGGGAAAGATGTACAACCGAAGAGATGAGAAGAAGAAGAAGCAGCAGCAGACATCCGGTGAATTTATGTGTTTCCCTGTCCGACGACAGCCGTGGGGCCGTGAGAAACGAAGGACGAAGACGGCACAAGCAGACAGACTACTCCCAGCGATCGCTAAAAACTGCTTTTAGGGATCAGTGATTTCCCCTAAGTACAGGTCCAGGAGAGACGCCTCTCCACCCTCATGTTGCTATGACCAATACAGCTAGAGTCCTGGGAATGGAGCTTTTATCAATCAATGATTATCATTCATCTATCTATCTCTGGCTGCGATCACCAGCAGATGGACTATGGACGATGGACTACTCTGGAGTAGATGTGAGTGTGGCATTATCTATTATTGCTCTCCAGTAAGCAAGCAGGTTTCTCTCCCGCCATCCATATCTAATCCCTCATACTAAGAATGCGAACTACCATGCACATTAATATCTCTCAAGACAGGGGGTATCATTCATTCGATAATTCAATCCCAAGGTATACTAGCCCCTGGTATAGATATCGTTTCTACGGCTGGCTTCCCGACTGGCCGAGAATTAGCTCTCGCAAGATCTCGTCCGCCTTCTGAGCCTCTACCCGGCCTTTCTCACCCATGCGCATCATCTGTCCGACAAACCATCCTAGCTTACCAAGCTGATTCTTGCTGCGGATTTGCTCGACCATCTGCGGATTTTGGCTCATCGCGGTCTCTGCCAGAGCAATGTATTCCTCCCGCGACAATGGACGGAGAAGCAGATTTTCTTCCTCCAACAGCTGGGGGAGAGAGCGTCGATCCCCGTCAAATATCATGACGAGGACCTGCTTCGCCGTAGCTCCCGTGATACGTTTCCGCTGCAGCTGATCAATGATCTGTGCAAGCGTCTGGGGAGGCACCCGGTGCGCATCCCAGGCCAGGTCCGCCTTGGTCCAGAGACCCCCGAACTCGTGAAGAACCCAGTTGCCAGCGACCCGGGCAAGGATGGTGCGGGACTTGGCATCTTGATCCTGCTGCAGACTGCGTAGGATCTCCACCACATCTTGGTAGTATTCCAGTCGCGCTCCGTCGTCCAACTCAATTAATGGCTTCGCGTCCTCAATGGGAAGACCATAGTCCGAGCCAGCCAGCAGCTCAATCAATTCATCCGGAGGAGTGGGGAGCGCCTGTCGCAGACCGGACACCAGATCTTCGCCAATATACAATGGGGGCAGATCTGGGTCCGGCATGTAGCGATAATCTACCTCGCCTTCCTTGCCTCGCAGCTTCCGAGTCTCGGTGCTGCCGATGGTCCAACCGCGCGTCTCGCCTTCGATCACGCCTCCGCTTTCAAGAACAGCAATCTGCCGGTTTTTCTCTGCAATGATAGCGTCTTCAACAGCCTTGAAACTGCTAAGATTCTTGATTTCCGTCCGTTGGCCAAGCCCGCCGATTCCACCGTACTGGTGGGTGCCAGGTGCTTCATCCCGGCGGCGAATCGAAACATTCACATCCGCCCGCAGGCCTCCTAGTTCCATGCCAGTGGTCACTGCACTGCAGGATTGTAAAACAGACTGGATTTTCCGAACACAGGCGGCGGCCGTGGCGGGAGTGTGGATCTGTGGCATCGTGATGATCTCGATGAGCGGATGGGATACTCGGTTAAAATCCAGGAGCTGAGTGGAAGGGGGATACTCCTGGGACTTGGCCGTGTCCTGCTCAAGCTGGACTTGTTTGATACCGATGCGGACGTGATCGCCGTCTTCGGGTGCAATGCCGTCATGTTTAAACAGATCGATGTAGCCGTTTCTCGCAAAGGGCTCTAGAGACCAGCGACTGCCCGTTAATTCCGTTCCGTCTCTTCGAAGCAAAGAGAGCACTCACCGTAGTACTGTGTGATCTGGTATCCCGCGGGTTGATCCTGGTAGAAATAGTGTTTTCGATCGAACCGACTGATCGGTTGAATGTCGCAGTTCAACGCAATCGCGGCGCGCAGGGCGGGCAGCAGCGTCGCAGCTTGAAATTCCTAGACCTCCCTCAGTCTTCCTGCGAATGGATCACGTAACATCAGAGTGCGACGAACCGGCTGGCTACCCGGAAAGGCCAGGTCAAAGAGAGCGACATTCGAATTCGGGGTGTCGGTGCTCGACGTGGAGGCTCCTACTCTCCAGAACAAGATTCAGTTAGTTCTCCATAGTTCAAAGAAGCCAAAAGCCAAAGAACGACAGTCCCACGCACTTGAGAATAACTTTGTTTCCGTGTTCAGTTGCGCATGGATCTCAATGCCAACCGTCAGCTCCCATGTCTGCCGCGACGCCTCCTCGCTTTCCCTCCGTTGTCTTTTCTGCGCCTTGAGCCCCTTCGCACCTTGCTTCAGCTGTTTCCGCAGAGGTATGCGCTCCTGCGACTCGGCCGCTGACGTCTGAAGCGATCGGATTGCATGATACGTGGGAGCGCGCTGGGGGCTAAGTTGGAGAAGGGCCGCTTGGGGGCCGCGATAGCGTGAGCATCTAAGAAGACCGGCTGCAGCGGGGCTCTGGCGAAGCCATTGTTGGAGCATGTGTGAGGCGGAGCAATGCAGAGGCTGATTTGGAGCGATAAGTATAGTTGTAAAGGTCGAAATCGGGTAGAGCAAATGCTGTTTCCTTAGTGGATAGTTGGGATAGTGTTGATGATGATGGAGCGGAATTTGCGTGATATGCGGTAATCAAAATACAAGCTGTACCTTCGATTCTGGGCCATGACATCGATATAATCCGTCAACTACCGGTAAATACCGGTCCAGTACTCTTTACCACTGGGTTCCGTCGATCATTTTAGTGAAGCTTTAGTCGAGCAGAGACAAGTTCTTCAAGGAGTACGAATGCGATATCTTTTGATTTGAAGACTCTCTAAGTCTCTATGGACACTGATAAACATCATTAGTTACACGAGAACAGTATGTTGGAATGATGTATATGCAAGCCATGTCATCCTCTCTCACAGTGTAGAAACGATCTCCTTCATCAGTCATCGAGCTACATGGGAGTACAACATCGTAGACTCCCCAGGTTTGTTTCATTCCCTCGTCTGCTGATGGGGTCATCCTCGACACCTCCCCAAACAGCCTTGTTTCACTGGCCATACTATATCTAACTATTATCTATCATCTCTCTACACCAACCATTCCAGAATGAATCAGCAGGTCGCGCCGAATCACAGAGAAAATCTGTTGTGCATCCCGATTCCCCACCTTAGGCTTGTCTGGCTGCAAGGCATGATCCGCAGCGAGTCACCGCCAGCCAACACATCGCGTCTTTTTTGTTCTGATGAATGAGAGCCCTTGTCTCACCATGCAACGATCTCTCTATCAAGCATGGTGCCATCGTATCCAGGGTCTGAACTCGAACGATGAAGGAGGCCCCACCGATTGTCCTTGTTGACTGTTGACATGTCCGGGAGGATCAGATGAGATTACCGAGGGTATACGGAAACAGAAACACAGACAGAAAGGAAGAGAAAAAGAGCAACAAAATCCTACCAGGTTTATCTCTCGAAAGGGTCTCCTTCCTCATCATCCGGCGATCAGACTTCATCTATTTCCTTCAGCCTTCGGTGCCTGCTAGGGTCTTCCTGGAACGAATTGGACTCATCCATCCCATAGTTGCGATAAGGCCAAGCGCTTCTACTCATCGAGTAATTATTAAATATAGATCCGACTTCATCCCAACACCTCAAACAGTAACAGCTGCGCCATCCTTCTCGTCTCATTTTGATTATCAGTGCTGGGGGCGAAACACTGCGCCTGGTCTACTTCAAATCCCCCCGCTGACCATATCAGCATTATACTCATACGCAAGACGCCGTCGTTTACCTTTCCTTGGAACCTGTGTGCACAGGGTACAATCCTGGTCGGCAGTCATAAAACATATACATTCCAACTCTATTGCAGTTCAAGCAAGAATCATCCCCTCCCACATTCTGTGCTACATACCTCGTGTTCGTTCCCTCTTGGAGAGACTTAGGCTGCTCAGGACGGCTCTCTGTCTTCTTGATATGCCTCGTATGTTGCTCTTCTCACTCAACACACACCAAGCTTTGTCCTCTCCAAGACATCGTCGTCGTGTCTTGACCTCCTCGGCCATATACACGGGAATGTCCCGAAACATCGAGCTTGCAAATTATCCCCAGCGAGTGACTCGAAATTAGTTTTGCATCAGTCACAATGCCATTTTATTCTAGTTCCAGCCGTTCCAAGAAGTCGAACAGGTCCTCCGCGGGGTCCGTCCTCTCCATGGCTTCAAAGACAACATCTAAAGGATCCAAGTCCTCCGTAGAGAAGAAGGCCCTGAAAGAAGATATCCACTTGTCACCTGGCGCACAGAAGAAGGACGAAGCGAACATTGGCTCCTCCCAGAGACCGCAAGACGCTCTGGATCCTAAGCTCAATGCAGAAAAAGGGCAGAAACCATCTCCAAACGTGTTCGAATATCTCGACGAGGATACTTCCTCAGAGGATGAGAGCTCGTCAGAAAGGGAAGATGTGAGTGCGCCTTCTGCTCAAGCCTCTAAACGTCTCAGGATGTATTCGAGACCCACAAACACTGGTTCAAATGTCAATGCTCATATCAATACCATGTTCCAGCCCCAGGAAGACAGACGAGCAAGCATTCGAAGTCAAACTTCATCGAAATCCAAGACACCCGTCAACGCCCGGCAATTGTACCAGGCTGATGCCTCTCCAAGGACAGTGTCACCACAGCTGTTGCGCAGCAATGCAACACACAAGAAAGTCTCATTGGAAGAAGCGTACAGGATGCCGGGTACACTCGCGGATAGCGTAGCTCCTGGCGATCTTAACCTGGATCTTACGACCCTACCAGAGACTTACCACCCTTCTCGAAATCCCACAACACATAGACCTCCTCTTCCTCCATCACCTCCGCGAAGCCCCAGGGTGGATCTTCACCGGACCCCGAACTCAAAGAGATCTCGGCGAAATACCAAATCTTCGCACATACCGCTTGGCTATGGAATTCTCTCCAACCAGCTGAGCTCGTCTTCGGACAGCAAGGAACCTCATCTCCCTCCGCTGTACCGCCGATTCGAAGATCTCAATCACCGTGTGCTTCTGTATCTCCAAGATGAGATCGCACAGATGGAAGAAGATCTCCGAGTTCTCGATGAATACGAGGAAATGCATCGAATTGCCACCGCTGAACAAGAAGGAACGAAAAAGATGCCCGCCTCGAGACGGATGGATGCCCAAGCTCAGGTCTACTCATCCTTGCACTACAGACGGATTGAGGTTATGGGTGCTTTGATCCAGAAAACGGAGCAATATAGTATGTTTACAGGAGAAACCCGTTATAGAGCAGTTCGTGCTAATACGAATACTGCCCTTAGACAACGCACTCGCCGCATATAGCAAAGTCGTCCAAACCCTACCACGTGCCTCCGACAAGGACATCGACACCTATCGCACCTGGATGAAAGAAAATTCGCCCATCGTCATCGCGGAGAGCCGGTTCCTGGACCACGGGGAGGACCTCGTCTCTCTGACGCCCGGTCGTGCCGCCCATTCGACCCCGGTCTACTCCGCCATCATCATCGCCTCTGCCGCCATCCTCCTCCCCTTACTCACATTCAGCATGATCGCCGAGTTCTCCGGCCGGCTGCTCGTGGTTGCCCTCGTTGGCGGCGCAGCGTCCATCATCGCGACAAGTTACTCCGCCGGCGCAGAGCACTTGGTCGAATCACGGGACGGATGGAGATCTGCTATGCTGTATGTCCTGCCCTCTGTCTTTGGTGGTTTTTCACTACCGTTGTTTCGACTTCTCCCAAGATCATTTCCTTTCCTTCAAGGCCTAACCCTTCTACCAAAATAGATACTTCGGCTTCATGACCGTCGCAGCCCTGTTCATCCCCTGAGCCATCAACCACTCGAACCTCGATTGAGATCAATCGTTATAACGACTTTTGACGAATCCGCCCCAGGGTATCCCAACACCCATGTGCCACACCCAAAGAAGAGACTAGTAATAAGAAAAATGACGCTAGAAACGCCGCACCGCTGGAATATCGTCTTTGGCTTCTGGAACGAATCCGAGTCTTGTATTGATATCAGAGAAATTGTATACTATCTTACACGCTGGGTTTGGGCTGTTGGTCATACAAGAGAACATCAATTCAAATTGATAAAGTAGGAACTTCTAATCAAGGTAGAACATAGAAGACATATATGGTACACGTACACGTTGGGAGAAACTCCTGGCCATATCATCCACAGATTTCGGATGAATAAAGTCCGCGCCAATTGCTGAGAAAGCCCTTCCCATAAGCAGACGGCAACAGTTGTTGAGATGAATTGGAATGGAAGATAAAGACCAAGGTGAAAAAAAAAAGAAAAGAGAAGCGAAGAAGAGAACCAGTCATTCTAGCGAGTTACACATTTCACTTCAATGGAAAAGAGCACGGTAATAAAGTAGCATAATTGATAAAGAGACACGGAAACGGGTTTGAGCCTGGTTTCCCAACGCCAAATCTAACAGGGAAAAAAAATGAGAAAAAGAGGAACAACCAAAGAAAGGTACAATAAGACATGCCCAAGGCCAAACCAAATCATCACATTTCGCCATTACCCAAGCCTCATTCTTTTGAGGGCCCCAGTGACCAGAGAAAATTAAAGCCGTCGATTTAGTCAGATCCGTTGCTCATGAAGGCACAGGGGTACCGTTCTGTTTGATCGCTGGGGTGACGCTGCGGTCTTGCGAGCTGGCATCAGTAGCCGGCTGAGGGGTTGCGCTTTGCCGGGTCTGTTGCGCTGCTAATTGAGCTTTGTTGCGGTCCATCAATGCAGCCTGTTCGGCAGCGCTTCGAGCATAAGTCATTGCAGCGGCAGAATTGGAGTACGTGTTGGGCGCAGGGGGGGCTTGGTTAGAAGGGAAGTTGTAATGGGGTGGTGCTGGTTGCTGCTGTTGCGGGACATACCGCTGCTGAGGGGTTGCCGGAGCCGGGCCCGGTGCCATATACGGCGTCCGTGACCGAGGTGTGGCATAGGTTGGTTGCTTCTGCGGCGAGCCACTGCGTCCTGCAGCATATTGCGCGTTGTATGTCCCAGGCTGCGGAGGGCGGGGAGTATAGGGCTGCGGAGAGGCCTGGGCAGGCGTCGGGGCTTGTGGTGCGACATAGGGGTTGTAACCGTTCTGCCCTGGACGCTGGAACTGTTGCATATTGACCTGATTGTACTGTGGTGTGGGTTGTGCGTAACCGGGGACAAAGCCTGGTCGCTGTGAGGGTGTGGCTGGCGGACGAGCACCCGCGTAATGTTGTGGATGGCCTGGAGTGTATGGTCCGGGCGTAGATGGCTGTCTCGCGCCGTAGTATGGCTGGGGCGCTTGGAAATTAACAGGCGGCGCCTGTACGCGGGTATTAGCAGCGTAGGCACGTTGATTATACCCAGCTTGATAGTTTGCTGAGCGGGCGTTTGGTGTAGAGGTTCTGTTAGGGGCCGCAGACATGGGGGCAATTGCAGCTGCCCGTTCCTGTTGGAGGGTAAAATCGTCCTTCTCCATAGTGCCATGGTAATCTGGATTGTCAACTAGGACCTTTGCACTGATACTCAATTCGGCTAGTTGATCGCCATCCAATTTAGCAACGGCATACGGCGGCAAGTTAGAAACAAGTGCAGAAAGACTAGCTTTGAGAGTCTCGTAGATAGTCTGCTCCGCTGCTGACGCTTGGGACGGGGTGCCCTGATCTGACGCTTTATCTTTAGGTTCAGCACCCTGACCAGCAGGAAGTGGTAATTCGAGGTTGCGAATCTTCTGATACGAGCTGAGTGTTTCCAGCAACTCAGAGACATCGCCAAGGAGACCTTCCATGTCCTTAGACTCAATGTCTTCCATTTCCTTTTGAGGAGCACCGGTGTGGGAAACGTGATCGGCGAAATCATCAGGGTTGAATGCATTGACCATTTCCTCCAAAGTGCTTTCATCCAGTTCGCCAATGTTGGCTGGTTGATCTGCTACCGCCTTTGGTGTTTCTTCAGCCTCTGCAGAGTATGCCATGGTAAGAAGAGTATACAAGCGTTTGGTCCCCTTTTTCCCCCACCAGAGCATATCCTTCGAATCGGCCTGGACAATGGCTCCAGAGCTGTCAAACGAAGGAGCGAAAGAAGAGTACACGCCCTGTAACACGGACGCGTCATCATCCGTCCACAGTGCCGGGTCCTCATGATACCTCTCGTCTCCATGCTGCTGAACAGAGTGCTGCTTCTGCCTCCGATCCCAGTAAGATGGCGAAGAAGTAACCCCGCCATACTGAAGCCACTGGCCGGACGGCAGAGGTGCAAGGCAATAGTTATTACGTTCCCCGGGGAAAGTCTTGTAGTTGGTGATTGCTTCGAACGGGTCAATCCAGCCTCCAGGAGCAGCGCGAGAAGACGATCTAGCTCTGCGAGGCGGTTCTAGTTGCGGCAGAGTTGGACGAGGAGCAAAAACCTCACCAAAAGTGCGCTTGGCCTCCTTCGGTTTGTTCTCAAGATTGTAAGGTGCGACTTTGGTGGTAGTGACGCCGCTAGGTAGCCCGATCTCGCGCAAAGGTGCTTGAACTTCCACGTATTTCTCGGCAGCTGCCTCACCGGAGGGCAAAGAGACCTTAACTGACTTCTGCAAGCTCGAGAACAGCTGTTTTGGGTTGGATGGATTACCGAGGATGGTCAGAACCACATTGTCACTTCGTGGTTCTGTGGTGGATGGTGTCAGTCTTTCTGGTGCTTCTGCATCGTCTTCCGTACTCTCTCTCTTGACACTAGGCTGGCCAACAGATGCCTGGCGCACAAGACTGTTCAGAAGCTTTTTGAATGCTGCTATACGATTGACCGTCTCTGTCAAACGTGTACCGTCGGCCGCCTCGACCCCACTGTTCTGGGATTTACTCTTCTCAATGACGGCTGCAGAAGCTCGATCGATGTCGCTCAGGAACTCAGAGACAGTATTGTAGCGATCCGTAGCGACGCGTGCTTGTATACTTGCACTTTCATCCTTTTCCCCAGATACCTTTGCGCGTTTTGACCGCGGCTTCGCGGGGGATGACGATAATGGACAGGAGAGTAGCTGGAGTTCCGTATCATTCCTGAAACACGTCAGTTGGTCAGAGATGAGCAGTCAATACAAAACAGAGCAGATTGGATGTTCCGCACTTGCTAAGGATCTCCACAATATTACGCAATGTCTCGTGGAGCTTTATTCTTTCTTGCGACTGTGACTCAGAGGTAGACGCATCTTGAGCAGCTTGGACATCGTGACTGGACCCACGCTTTCGCTTGCCAGGTGTTGACAAAACAGGCGGATCGGGGGTAGGAGGTTGGAGTTCGCCGTTGGCGGCCGGAATAGAGAGCGTTTCTCCGCCGTCGTCTGCGCTCATGGTTCCTCGATCTGGACTTGCGCCGTAGTCGCAAGGAGTTGAGTTCTGGGACGCGAGAACCAAAGGTAATTTCGTCCTAAGCTGCCGTGGGATGTTTTACAAGACAATGGAGATCACGTCCTGATAGCGACGCGAAAAGGCCAGGAACACTCAAAAAATGCTGAGACGCAAGCTAAGACCAGAAATTTCTGGGTACCTGACAGAATATCGGTGTTTTGAGGGTTTCTCGATCTCCGATGCGGATGCGCCAATCGTGACAGGGCCGAGCGAAGGACAGAGGGTCGCAACTAGGGACGGAAAACCGCGACGGTATCCCACGTTAGACCATAAAAGCGCAACAATAGAGTGGAGAGGGATCCTCGACTGTCTGCACGTCTGTGAAGAGGGTGAATAAGTAATGGCAGGGGGAAAAAATGAACCCCAACAACGTTTCGCTCCGTCTCGGATTGCAAAGGCGGGAGGAGAATCAATGCAATTCACTAAGGCAAAAGAGGGAGATCCGGGTGATGCGCGCCAAAACGTGACAGCCGCTCACGTGACAGAACTTTTTCTCCCGAGTCCCAGTACACAGTGTCTTTGGTGGAGAAGCCGATGATTGCGCTTCATCCATTGTCCTCACGCCTAACTGCTCAGTTGATGTTCCTACCTGGGCAGGGAGGCTTCTTTGGTTCCGATTTTGGCTCCTCAGCAGCCTCCTCATGATTCTCTTCATGGATGTCATCGGTCTTCAATCATGTTCCGAGCCGCTCGGGGGCCTCTCTGAGAGCGGCGCATCTTTTTAACAGTCGTCCATGGTCGAAGGTACTGTTTCTTACGTTGGAAATGGCACAGGGGCTTTGCATCTTGAGATAAAATGCTGACAGCTAGCTTTTTTTGCATTCTAGGACCGCTACTTCAATCTTTCCTCGCGTACCCTTCGAACAACGCAGCGGCTATGGCCGGGCAATGCTTCTCCAGGTCCTACAGTTCTATTTCGTTCGCTCGGCAGTCTTGCCCCCGTAGAATCCGATGGGCCACCAGATTCGCGGAGTGAAGTCTTACCTCGTGAAGAGCATCGTTGGCCCGATTTCTGGAGCAGAATTCGAAATCAGTCACAACTCAGCCAATCATTTATGCCCTCAGACCCGACAGATCAACAAGAACACCCGCGAAGCTGCGATAAAACGGGCGATTCGGAGCTTTCTACCAGTGCACAACTGCATCAGAATGAGACAAGCGAGGTCCAGTTTTCAGAAACCAAGGCTAAGCCCTCTCAGCATATCACGAAGTTGAAGAGTACACAAGTTGTGGTTCCGACTCCTACTCAGTACCTACTTGATACACTTCAAGATTTTCGGTGCAGTGTCATTGATGCAGATGACCAGATTAGGGCATCAAAACACATTGTTGACGCGACGATCGAAACATCAGAACAAAGATCAGATCTCTTACGGCAGAAGAAAAGTAACAAGAAGCCTCCCAGACTGTCATTGCAGACTATTCTTGCGGATTATATACGAGCTGTGGACCCACTGTTGAATAGTGCAGGTGGAACATACTCCGACATTCCAGCGACAATAGAACTTGATGAGGCCTTGAGAAATGTTTTTGGTGATAAAACCGTCCAGTATCTGGAGACACGGCATTACAACCCTGCGGATGTACAAGTTTGGTCATGGATCCTAAGAAGCACCACCCCTTATGAGGCCATGCTCCGGATCTTAATGCTGGAGTCAGCCCAGGACACAAGAGTCGGCTCCAAAGCTCGAATAATTCCTCCCTTCATCCCACTTCTCCTTTTGCGCAGGCAAAATCTCGACGTCAAGACCTTCCGCTTGCTTTTGATATATTCCCTGCATGTCATTACCGGCCAACCAGTCCCGCCATTTGATCTCGCCAGGAGTGAACAATGGATTGACTCGGAAGTGGCGACGAGGCAGGAATCACCCCAGACAGAGCTCCTTGTCGAGCCTACCACTTGTTTTGCGTTTATAATTCGTCTACTTCGTCATGCTCGTGAAGTATGGCCACAGGCTCAGCTTACTATTGCACGCTCTTTTTCATTCTATCTGAATCTTCTCCAAGCAGACAAATGCAGTTCAGAAGCGACCAGGCAACGAAGGAACCAATTCATGGCCGACAAATTCAATGCGTGTCTCTGGCTGCTTTCGTTGCCGTGCAAGTCCGGCCCATTTAAGTCTGTTTCTATTCAGCAACAAGCTCAGTTTGAACTCCTCAGAGCCATGGCAGGACATAAACCAGTTCTGCCGGTCACCCGGCAAGGATATCAAGGCATTATTGCTGTCCAGCTGGCCCACAAAAAGACGTCTGATGAACGGCAGTCGGCGGATCTGAAAGCACCATCCTGGCCACCGTGGAAGGAAGAGAAGCTTGGAATCGATTCTCATCGAGGTAATGAAGGCATGAGAAGTCGCGCCATGCGTGTGATGGCCCAGATGAAAGAGGCAGGCTACTCTCATACGCGCTGGGAAGAGATCTCTGCCATCTTGGCCGGCTGGGATACAGACAAAAGTCCAACGGTGCAAACGAGGTCCTTGATGCGCCGGCCCCAGTTGTTACGTGGACCTGCAGGGAGCAAGCCAAATCATCATGCTGTCTGGGTTGCCCGAATCCGCGCTACACGCACAGTGCGGGAAGCCTGGGCCTGCTTCTTATCATATCAAGATCAAGGCCTACCCCCGCGGGCAAGTGTCTACGTGGCCATGGCTGAGAAACTCATCTTTCGGCGTCAAGCGATCGAGAACCATTTTGATCAAATCAGCCATGCTCTGCCGGGAGATGGACTTGAGGTGTTCCCGGAGCCATCTTCTGCCCGCGATCTGATTTACGTACATACGGAGCCTGCCACGCTGGAGGAGCTTCTCAAACAGATGCTGTCGCAAGGAATTCGTCCCTCGAGGAGATTTCTGGCCCTGCTTTTGCGGTCCGCACAAACTTTCAGCTCGGGACTGGATTACCTTAGTTGCAGTGACCTAACAGACGAACAGATTGAGGTTTTGTGCACTGTATGGGGACGTAAATCTGATTACCAAATGGTGGATCAAGATGCCATGGAGAAACTTCCTGATTATGTCTTCTCGTCTTTTATATGCTTCTTATGCAACTTTTCAAATCTCGACTCGTTGCATCTGGCTCGGCATGAGATTCGCACAGCCCATCTCTTTCCCATTCTGATGGGTGATGCTATAAACCGACTGAAGACCTCAACGTTGTTCTCCTATGCCAGTGATTCTGGGGATAGCGGCGCTTTGCAACACCCTCGAGCCTTGTCGCATGCGATCCAACTGCTGAGACTCCGACAGCCTCGCTCTCCCCCTGCTTGGATTCATGTCCTGGCCGCTCTTGGCAGAGATCGCATCACCGCTCCTTATCGCAGAATGAGTCGAAGTACGCAACGGATATTGGCTTGGTATGAGATTTTAGAAGTCACCGGCTGGATGAAAGAACGTGCGGTTGAGCCTGGTCTTCAAGGATTCCTGATCCTCTGTAACAGTTTCACTAGAGCGGTGGTGGCAGGTCTCAAGCACCCAGATGCCGTGGAAGATGGCCTAGCGCTTGTTCAGGAAGCAGCGCGATGGGGAAATATCGCACAGCTTGACGATCCGCATCCCCGATATGAAGATATGGTTCGGAGTGGACTTGGCATCATTAAGGAACACTTTGATCAGCTTGTCCTGTCCGACTCGATGACTTCTCCTCTCTTGGAACGCACCGTGGCCACCCTCGAGAGCGCTACCAGCTCACAAGTGAAAGTCCCGCCCATGATGCATGTTCCAACCCCAGCTGTCTTGCACGCATTCGTCAGAGCGCTTGGACTGGCTGGGGACCGTGATGGTCTGTTAAATCTTGTCCGATGGATGAGCCACAATGCAGAAACTCTCAAAGAGACATCCGATGAACATCTGAATGGAGATCGTATGATGCGGCGTACGTTGATTGCGCTACGTGTGTTCCTCGAAGGACACGGAGAGAAGTTGTTATCGGGGCTCTCTGGCGAGTTTTCACATGGATCGTCTCATGAAGGCGATGAGTATGCTCCATCACTCGAATCTGGCTCGCAAGCTGCAGAGACGATCTCATTTTCTGATCCATACCTGCAAGAAGCATATGAACTTATCACAGCCACTTCGTCGTGGGGTTCCTGGCCGAGTGATGATGAGCTCTGGAAGTATTTACACTGGGAACACTAGGTGGTTTCTGCAACTGGCGTGGCGTGCTTGTACATTAGCTTCCGTGTATATATAGATCTTTTTTTTTTCTCTTCCTTTAGCGATAGTTCGTATGCTGCTCAATACAACACTATTGATACCCTTGACCTGCCCAGCCACTGTTATCAGCAACAGCAACGTGACGTCGCGTCGCTTATCCGCGGCAAGAGTTTCGGTTCTCCACAGCAGCTTTCCCCGCGTCGTCGGCTTCATCTGAATGCCTCCGAATATATTTCCCACTTTTGCTTCAAACTTCAATTCTTCTCTGTTTCCACTTGAATAACTACTGAAGTTACTTGAAATGCCTCCCCGACTCCCACGCCTCCCAGTCACCCTCGCGGGACAATCTCTCTATCGCCCCATCTCCATCCGCGTCACCGTCTCCAGATATAGCTACAGCACCGCCAGCGACGACGCCGTCATCCAGACCGAGCAAGTACCCGCCCCCGGATCCGGCAGCATTCGCGTGCTACTCCTTAACAGACCCAAAGCCCGCAATGCCCTGTCGCGGAATCTCCTCGACAACCTCGCGAAGCAGGTGCACTCCATCGCCGCGGAGAACGGCACTGGCCCAACACGGGCGCTGATCATCGCCAGCAACGCAGACGCGGCGTTCTGCGCAGGCGCAGACCTGAAGGAGCGAGCCAAGATGACCAAGGAGGAGTATGTTCAGCCCCCTCCCCCCCCCCCAACAAATCCCCCGTAACCACGCATCGCAACCCCATACTGAGCGCTACATCAAAACAGGACGAACGCATTCCTCACCAAACTCCGCGGCACATTCCACGACCTCGCCGCGCTGCAAATCCCCACCATCTCCGCCATCTCCTCCATGGCGCTCGGCGGCGGCCTCGAGCTCGCCCTTTGCACCCACCTGCGCGTCTTCGCCTCCTCCGCCATCGTCGGCCTCCCCGAGACCCGCCTCGCCATCATCCCCGGCGCAGGCGGCACCTACCGCCTCCCTGCGCTGATCGGGCCCAACCGCGCGCGCGACATGATCCTGACGGGCCGCCGGGTGTCCGGGCCCGAGGCGTACTTCCTCGGTCTCTGTGATCGGCTGGTCGAGGTGCTGCCGGAGGAGGAAGGGGAGGCGGGTGCCGCGAGGGAGAAGGTGCTGCGCGAGAGTATCAAGCTGGCGCTGGATATCTGTGAGGGCGGGCCGATTGCGATCAAGCAGGCGATCCAGGCGGTTGCGGGGTACCAGCGCGGCGAGGTCGCGGAGAATGAGGCATATAATGGGGTAATTGAGACGGAGGATCGGTATGAGGCGCTCAGGGCGTTTGCGGAGAAGAGGATGCCGGCTTTTCGGGGGAGGTGAAGTGCTCCCTGCGTGTGTAATACTATCTACCGCTGTAGGTGGGGGGGGGGGAGGTTTGTTGCTCTATTGCCGAGAAGCCTGGTATCTATGTAATGCACCCTCGCTCCCTGCAATAGACAACTGATGCTCAAACAACACCATTTGAGATACAATGGATGCTCGGAGAGCAAGATATCAGAGTGTCCGCTTCTTGAAATGGAAATATGACACGCCACTAGGCAAGAAATGGATAATCAACAAGCAGGAATCTGATTGTGGGCTCTAAAACACTACCCCTTACTTCAGATATCGATATCATGGACCCTTTCGTCAATGTTACTTGATAGCAGCATTCCTCCGAGACGTCCGCTCTGGCTATAGTAAAGGCCCTCGCTCGCACCGAGGACGTCAAGTATGAACGAAAAATCACATTTGCCAATATGGCCCATTCGGACGCCGAGAAGGCCAGTCCGGCGGGCTATCCAGTCGACGATGCCCCGTTGCAAGAGCACGATCTTCCAAAAGAGCTTCCTGAACGCTTCTCTGCACTCTCGGCTCTGTCATTTGCCTATGTCGTCACCAACTCCTGGGTAGGATATTCCGGGACGTTTACGATGGCGCTGCTTGCTGGCGGGGGCCCAGCTTTATTCTTCGGCGTCATTGCTGCTGCCAACGTCTCCAGTATCATCAGTGAGTACTGCTGCTCAGTGAGTGTAAGAGTGCTGAGCTGAATGGCTGCTCCTCAGCGTTAGGCCTTGCCGAGCTGGCGTCCGCGTTTCCGTCGAGTGGAGGGCAGTATCATTTCACCTACATGGTGTCCTCCCCGGGGACACGGGCGCCTTGTGCGTTTGTCAGCGGGTGGCTGAGTTGCCTTGCCTGGTGCCTGTCCACAGTATCCGGTGGTATATTCTGTGGTATGTCTACGGCCTGGAAGTCTGTGAGCGAGCCTAACGGGGAGTCCAGCACAAGCCATCGTCGCCCTGGCTTCGTTCCTCAATGAAGGCTATCGATCAGAGCCTTGGCAGACGTATCTCGTCTTCCTTGCCATCCTGATACTTGGCACGGCCATTGTCTGCCTTCTGAGTCCGTGGTTGCCCCGGTTAGAAGCATGCTTCTTCTGGAGCAGTATGTTGGCCTTTGTGGTGTGCCTTGTCACTGTTATCGGGATGAGTCCCAGCAAGCAACCCCCCAGCGTGATATTCACCCAGTATGACAATCGAACGGGATGGAACGACGGATTTTCATTCCTGATAGGAGTAGGTTCATGTATGTATATTTTCGGAGGAACAGACGCGGCGACCCACATTGCCGAGGTATGGTTCCCTGGAAATCAATGGATAGTGTAGCTACTGAGACGGGCTCACATGGTTGTAGGAAGTACCTGACCCTGGCAGAAACATCCCGCGCGTGATGTGGCTCACTCCGGCCATTGGGATCGCAACAACCCTGCCGTTTGTCCTCGCCACCCTTTTCTCAACATTCGACCTCAACGAGATTGTCCACTCTGAACTGCCGATCTTGACCTTGTATTACCAAGCGACGGGTAGCAGAGGCATCGCCGTGTTCCTGACTATCTGGCTCCTTCTGAACTACTTTGGTGGTACTCTCAGCTGCATTGCGACGTCTGGTCGTCTGACCTGGGCGTTTGCCCGGGACAATGGACTGCTGTTCTCCAGGACGTTAGCCACCGTGCACCCTGGTCTCCAGGTGCCCGTCGCGGCGACAGTGAGTTGTGCGTTGGTCATGGCGATGTACGGCCTCATCTATATTGCCTCCAGCACAGCATTCAACAGCATCGTCTCCATGAGCATTCTCTCATTAAATGTGACATATGTGATTCCTCAGGGGATTGTGCTGTTTCGAGGCAGGGACACAGTTCTCGTCGATCGGCGTTTCAACCTGGGGCGGTACGGGGTGTTTGTGAATGCTTTTTCATGCCTGTGGGTGTGCCTGTATACGGTCATCTACTGCTTTCCGACGTATATGCCGCCCACGATGACGAATATGAACTATCTGAGTCCGGTTGTGGTGGGAATTGTGATGGTGATTCTCATGGTCTGGTACGGCGGGAAGAGGAAGACGTTTGTGGGTCCGGTGAGTGTTTCCCGAGTAACGCAAGCGGAGGCTTGGACTGACCAGCTTGTAGCCTTGTACACAGCTGAGTCAAGTCGAGATGATGATGGAGGATAGACCTGTGACGGAGGAGTGTATCAAGCGCCACTCGAATGCGTAAGATGGCTGGATGATCTAGAATGTTAGTTGAACTATAGATGAGGCTCCGATGAGAAAATTACATCACATCAATCTGAGGAAGGAAACGTGTACTTGCTCATAGCCATCCAAGGGAATAAGACATCTACGAAGGAAAGAAAACAGTGCTGCCTGGGAGGAGAAGGTGTTGTGCCCTGGGGCACTGGGCAATGAACCTTGGATATTGAGTGTCGTTCGACCTCAGGGACGGGGAGAGCCTAGTGGACTGCCTCAGGCTAACCGGCTTATTATCACTTTAGCACTTTATCACTACTGTGGACTGTGGAGAGTGCACTATGAGGACCCCGGGCGGCCCGTAGATCCACCAAAGCATGGAGATAGAAGCCTAATAATACATGATATAAAACTATATTAAGATCTCAGAGTATAAGAAGGACATTTCAGGCATGACAGATTGTGGTACAGATTAATGTCAGGTACATAAATTCGAGATTGAAGAATTGGGGATGGACACGTTGCCGAAAACTCCTTAAGGGTACCTGCGTAGAGGAAGGAATCCTCTCCTCCAGTGAAAGCCAGTCGCTCATTAAGAACAGGAGATGCAAGTAAGACGCCCCGATGACTGCGGCTGAGCCGAAAGTGATGCAGGTAAGACAAGAAGTTAAACTAGGGATCCCACTCGAGGGTCTGAAAAAGTATTTAGTACTATAGTACTAGTCTACTACTAAGAGTATAGTATAGTCAGGAATAGGATAGTTCTCTGATGAGTCACGATCATACCCTGGTTCAACTCTTGTATAGCTAGTTAGCTACCCATGGGTAGTGTACTCTGTCAGTACTTCTGTTTACTATCATCTCCAACACCCAAGAGCCCCAGACATAGCCACATAAGGCTAACAATCAGTCAGGGATCCTTACAGGCCTGAAGAACTCTTGATCTAAATCGTCAAGGATTGTTGATGGAATGGAACAGAATAACTAATAGCAAGTATCTATCGTCTATCATCCTCTCTAAGTATTCACCATACACATCCATATATATATGCCAGTGTTGGAATAGATAATTGGAACAATGGATGGATAGCTTTCAACCACAATATTGTTTATTGATAAGGCTCGTATTCTGAATAATAATAATAATAATAGAGCAACTAAAAGGACTACTGCTCTCCCATGACCTCCCCGACCTTTCTCTGCCCGTCAGCCTGATCTCTCTCTCCTACTGTTGCCCTGTCCACGGGAACTGCCTCCATCCTCGTTAATGTGACCCACGAAGCTCTGCCACCCGCAGGCACCATCATACACTAAGTCATCATCCACTGTTGTTTCTTCCTTCAACGCATCAAAATCAATGATCGCCTTCTTCGGGGTCTAGCGAGAAAGAGAAGAAAAAAAAAAAATTAGTATCATCTGGTCCTCCCGGATCTTCATCCTATCACAAGAGCTGAGTCCCTGCTCATCGTCTGGGTAACAAATCATCATCTGCTCAGTGATCTTATTTAAACCATACCTGCCGACTTACCTATGCATCTCTCTTCTTCTTCCTTTTCCCAACTACTCTCGCTCTCACTTCCCATTCATCCTTCTGGTGCATGATGCTCCCCTGGTCTTCTCATTCAATTCTTTTCAAGTAGCGTCTTTTATTTCCTTTTTCTCGGCCTGCTCCCTGGTGGTTTAACGATTGAATGATTTGTCCTCCTCGTTGGACTCGGCAATTCAAGCTCCATCCTTCCACCCTATCTCTCGGAATCGATCTGAATGAATCAGAGCCACATTATGTCCGACCGAGCTGCCAAGGTCAAGGTCAAGGACCTCGGTCTCACCCAAGTCTACTGCTCAGAGAAACCGCTGGTCGATATTGTCTTTGTGCACGGACTGAACGGCCATCCACACAAGACTTGGTCGACAAACGATGTGTTCTGGCCCGCCGATCTACTGCCTCCGATGCTAGACCAGCATCGGGTGCGCGTCCTAACCTATGGATACAATGCAAGCGTTGTAGCATTTACCGACGGCGTCTCCAGAGACCGAGTCCATAATCATGCCGAAACGCTTGCCTCGGCGCTGGCCGCCAACCGCAACGTAGGTTACTGACGCCTCTCCATGCTCCATTTCCCGATAGCCTTGCTGATATGTCGGCCATTTCTGTAGCTCCGAAACTGTTCGGATCGGCCCATCATCTTTGTTTGCCATTCATTGGGGGGTCTCGTGGTCAAACGGGCCTTGATCTACTGCCGGAGCGTCTCCAACGAGAAGATTGAGCACCTTCGGTCGATCTTTGTCTCGACGTACGGTATTCTCTTTCTAGGAACACCGCATAACGGCTCGGACATCGCCAAATGGGGCCTCTTGCTGCAGAATATCTGTAGCGCTGTGCTGCCCAAGAAGGTCATGGACACTTCCGGGGACCTTGTCAAGGCGCTCAGAACGAACAACGAGACTCTCCAGAATATCAACAGCCTCTTCGCTGATATCATTGGGCGTTTCCACATCTTCTTTTTCCACGAGACCCGCTCCACTGATGTCAAGGGGACTCGGGAGATGATCGTCGACGAGAGCTCCGCAGCCCCGTATATCGATGGTGTTGAACGGAGTGGGATTGATGCGGATCATAGTCACATGTGCAAGTTCGAAGATGACAATGCTCCCGGCTTTGAGAGTGTTGCCGATGCTCTGTTCCGGTACGCGCGTGATGCACCTCATGCCATTCTCGACAGATGGGTTGAGGAAGAGAAAACGCGTTTGATCGCCAGGCAAGCCAAAGCAAGGGAGATCTTCAACAACGGTAATGCCTCTTCTGGTCTCAATTTGGTGGATCACTTACTCATGACAAGAACAGAGAATATGAGTCCATCGCCAAGCGTGCATAATGCTCATCCAACCGGTAGGAATCATCACCTTCTCCTTTCACCTCAGCAATCTGGATCGGTTACCTTGCGTGATTATGAGATTGAGGAACCCGCAGATGCTTGAAGGTAGCCTTAGACCGGGGTTGGTTCAACACCGAGGCTGCCATGATGTGAAATTGCCCATTGCTTTGTTCTGATTATGCTCTTGCTATGTTTCAATTTCGTTCTTGTGGTCTGGAGACAAGCCTGCTTCGCTAAAGTGTCAGCACGCCAGACACGGGTGATCCTGGTCTATGAATCTCGAAGTACTATGACTGTCTTCTCTGACTTCATATCTTTGACGTTGAATGACTTGATCAGACTGCGCAAGGATGACAGAAAGGCACATGGGAAAAAAGACTGAAAAAAATCTTGTTTTTCCTGATTTCATTTTGTTGTGAACTTTTCATGCAGTTGGAGGCTGCCTCGTTTCTTGTATCATAGTTATTGCTGTACCAGCCAACATAGTTTTCTTAGTCAGATCATGCTGACTCGTTTGCTCTTAGAAAATCCCCCGGATCGTCTTGCCTTGAAGGGAAGGGAGTCTCCTGAGCCCGGTCCATCTGTTAGTACAGCCACTCTCGCCCTGTCGCGTTCGTCGTTGAAAGGACCCCTGTTTGTGGCACCGACCGGCTTTCATCCCAACGCGACCTTCTTTGGAATGACACGAGAATTGGATATACTACACAGTCGCTTGTTCCGAGCCAAGAAACGAGCTGAACGCCTAGTGGCCGTTCTGATATGTGGCGGACCCGGCTTCGGGAAGTCTCATCTTGCGCGGCAGTATATCTTTACTCATCGGGACTGCTATGCTGGAGGTATCTTTTGGGTGGATGCAAAATCACGCGAGTCTACAAGCAAATGTTTCTGGGATATCGCACAAGCGGCAATGCTGACGGACGAGCTGGAGTTTGAGAGTCCCGACTCCAAAACCCCTCAGAGATACGTGGAAGTGGTTCGCAACTGGTTTCAGACTCGGGAAGAATGGCTTCTCGTGTTCGATGGGCTCAATTTCGACCATGAAGATGATCTGAATCACTTCAAGCAGTTCTTGCCCTTCAACAAACGGTGCAGCATCATCTATACCTCCGTTGATCGAACACTACGGAAGAAACAGCGACTATATGAGCCATATTGTCTCCAAGTTCCCCCGCTCACAGTTGAAGATGCTTGCAAGCTGTTGTTCAAGGACCTCGGAATCAAAAGACCATCCAAGGAGCAAATCCGCAAGGGAACTGAGCTGGTCAATCATTATGAATGTCTTCCGCTCGCAATCCACGCCATCAGTCACCGTCTCAGTGCAATGTCCAAACCTATTGAAAAGTACCATATCGACTCCCATCTGACCGATGAAAAGCTTGCGGAGCCCTTTCTGAGTATCATGCGCGACCTCTTTCGCATGAACCATCTTGAAGCCCTGAGTCTGATCAATATTCTGTCTTTCCTTGGTCATCATGTTCCGGTTGGCCTCATTAATCTCGGCAGGCCCGCCCTGGAGGTTTTGAATGTCCAGATTTTGACAAGCAGCAGGCCGGGGGAACGGCCTGATATCGACACGACTCTTGGAATCCTGATTAAATACGGACTGATCGAGAGGACTTCCGATGCGTACGCACTGCATCCTCGCAATCTCTCACCCCAATCTGAGAAGGATAACATCTTGGAGGCCGGAGATGTCATCCCTGACCTATCCGAATCCCAAACGGAGAGTAGCCAGGAAGCATTCTTCTCGGTCTATCAAAGCGCAGGTTCCATCGACGTCATCAAGATCCACAGCGTTGTTCAAGGATTCTGTCGTGACGAATTAAAGATCATGGACGAAGAGATGAGAAAACAGCCCGACAGGCCGGATACTCCCAAATATGCCGAAGATTACTATCCCTCATGGCTTGTTGTTGCCACACGAGTTCTGTGCAGGTCCTATGAGAATGCGAAAAAGAGGATGGACCATGTCGACGACTATGGTCTGGTCAAAGACTACCGAGAATACGAGACGCAGGCGTCACGGTTGGTCGAGAATTTTCCCAGGAGGCGTTCAAGTGAGCCAGAAATTGTGCGGGAGGCCCGTATCGACCTAAGGCAGATGATGAAGAGTATCTCCGACGCGATCCACCAACTGTCTCCTAGTTCGTCGCAGGATTCCGTTCGTAAGCATCGATCTGTCTTTGATCGGTCTAGCAGCTCGTCTTCATCCATGCCGGATTCTTCTTTTGACGACGGCCCTTCGCGTCAATTGACTTGGGACCTAAATGATATGGTTGCGGTTAAAGTTGAATCGCCCAAGGAGATGCCGCCGGCGGCCCATCAGTTCAACTTGAGCCCCTTTATTCCTCATATTTTCAGAGAGTCCAGTAGCGGAAGGGAGGGGTATGAGTCCGACAATGAATACCGCCCAGGCGAGACGCGGATCTCTCCGGCACACTCACACATCAGCCAAAGCACGGAGAAGCCCAGCCCATCTCAGCCCCCGAGCCCGCCACGGGATGATCAAGGGTGGCAGGTTGTGGAGAAGCCACAAAAACCGCGACCAGGCAAGGAAAGACAACCGAAGCAGCGCCCCAAGTTTCCCCGACATATTCAAGGCGCAAGACTGGCCGCTCCCGTTCTCGAGATATTCCCTGTGGAAGGACGGAGTATATCGAACAGTAGCTTAAACAACGGCCGAAGCAGTTCTTCTGTTTCAGCCACAGAGGCACTCACGGCCGTGCATAACGCTAGCTCACCTCGCACCTCGGAGGAAGATATTCACTGGGCGGGCACTGAGCATGGGTCCGGCAACAAAGAAAATTCGCGCACATGGGCTGCTGTGGCAGCGAAAGCCAAGCGCGCTGTGGATGTTTCTTCCCCCACAAAGCGAGCTTCATCGTCATCGCTCGGCGCAGAGGTTGGTCCAAGTTTGCTCGGAACGCAGCCATTGCAAGGCAAGTCTTCAGTCAAATCGTTGGATACCCGACCTAGCACTGGTCAAGGGCCATCCCCTCCCCGTGAGACCCAGATAGAGCGAATGAGTCGATCGACGTACAGTGAGCCAAGCCAGGACTATCTTGCACAGCATTTGAACGCACTGGATCTGAGAGCTGCTCCGGAGAGCCGCTATCATGCTCGCCAACTCTCTGCGGTCGCACCAATGGCAGCGGCACCATTGCGGGATATGTCAGCCAGTTCTCCGTCCCTTCTCCCATACTATCCGCCCCCGATTCCGTACGAAAACCAGATCGAGATTGCAGTTGCGCGGCGGCTGAACGCGACTGCCCAACAGGTACCAGCACCGGCACCTGTACCTATCAGTCAGACGGCGACGAATCTCAACCCGATATTACATCCCTCCGCCATCATGCCGGGGGCCTCGCCTCCGTCATCGCTCATGGCCGAAGCGGTTGGATATGGTGGGTACATATCCGACCCACCTCCGGTGCTGGAGCCAATGTCACGAGGACCATCTGGACAGTCTCAGCAGTCTTGGTACACAGAGCCGGTTCGCTTTCCACCGCGGTTCCCTCCCATGCCTGCCACTGCCGCCACCATGGGACCTTTCTTGCCGCAACAGCAGACACTCTCCGGCGCTGGAAGCTGGATCGGTGACGGCCAACAGCCGGGTGGCTTTGGGGCAGGCATGCCGGCGGACATTGCGTTTGCGGCCCGGACTCAGACGCGACCTGCCAGCTCACTCGACAGCTCGCTGCATGGCAGAGAGTTTGGCTGGGAAGGAGAGCCTGTGCCAAATATCGCGTTCCCGCCGTCAGCGACAACACTGCACTTTGGAGCTCATCAAGTGGATGTGCGAGACGCGCGGCAGCGATTCGAACTGAGCAGCCGGTACCCGGTCCAGGGGCCGAGTGCTCCTGCATACCACTTGTATCATTCCAATCGATCGGGGCCTCTGATGCGCCAGACTCAGGAAATGGCGATCCCAGGACCCGCTCAGGGAGCCTACGACCGGCGAGCACGGAGCGGCAGTTCTCCTCTGAACCCTGATTTTCATCATCTAGGCTCGAACCTATGATGATTTCGATTCTCCTGTGTTTTTTTTTTTCTCTTTTTTTTTTCTCTTTTTTTTGGGGCATCAGTGGATAGGTACAAGGGAGAAGAAGGAAGGGAAGAAAAACAACAAAAAGCCGCTATGGATTTGCATTAGTCAGGTTGGAGTCTGTGTGGTTTCTTTCATTGATGATTCACTTTGATATTCAGACTGTGACATCAGGGTTTGCATCTGGATACGGGGAGGCTGGGGAAAATCACAAGCTGGTGTTCCTGGATGAGGTTATTTTGTTTCTTCTACGGATAGTTCGTTTACCTTGCATTGTTTCATGGGGTTATAGATGGGGGGGTGGGCTACTAGGATAAGCATCTGCATCACCACGATAATCATCATAATAGTACATAGTAATAGTAATTAAGAGAAATCATAGAGCCTTGGTTAGAGTACTTAGATCTATCCATGAGACACAGCATAGATAGTCCTATCAATTCATCGATCTACCCGGATATCTCAAACACTGCACACTCTGTGACTCTGTATGTAACCAAGAAAACAAATACAGTGGAAATAAAAAAAACATGATGCCTTGATCCCAACCCCGCTAAACCGGATCCGGCAGACAAGCTGATGGCGCATCGACGTAATCGAAAGAGACGAGCATGACGTCGTCCAGCACGCAGGTTATGGGAGGTTCGCAGCAGGTGCATATATATATAGATATATAAGCTCTTGTAGGGGGGGGCGAATGGAGCTTGGATCCAAGGAGATAGATCTCTAGAATCAATCAATTTTCTGAACTACTCGAACAACCTCTGCTGTACTACTTCGTGCTATCATCTTCCCAACGTTTTCAAAAAAAGAAAGCCTCAACAAACAATCCCATCACCATCACCATGTCTGCTCTTGCACGCTTCGCTCCCCTTACTGCCCGGGCTGCTGCCGTCCGCACCGTCCCCGCTGTCACCGTCGGCGCTCGCTTCCTCTCGTCGACACCCAAGTGTGAGAAGGGGCCTGTGGAGACCACCAAGGATACACTGAAGAAGGCGGATCGGATTGTGTCCGACTATGCCGTCAAGGGAATCAACAAGGGTGGTACGTGTGTTTTTTTTTTTTTTTTTTTCTTCTCTCGTCCCCTTCTTAAAAGGGTAGTTAGATGGAGACAGATGCTGATGACTCGCAGAGGAAGCCACGAACAAGCTCAAAGAGACCGTAGGCAGCTCGACTGCCGAGGCTGAGGGTAAGGCGAAGGGAACGGTGGAGGAGCTGAAGGGTGACGCCGCGGAGGTTGCCGGCAAGAGCAAGGGCAAGGCGGAGGAGGCTCTGGGCTCGGCCAAGGGAACAGCCAAGGAGGTATATGGGGAGGCCAAGGGCAAGGCCAAGGAGATGGGTAACATGTGAGGTGCCCAAAAGGATTCAACAACCGATCTGAAATAGAAGGTCCGGGGCCCGGATCGATGATGGACGTCCGCGCAACGCATGGGACGGGTTTCCTTATGCTTTTCCTAGTCAGGATTTGTCTAACGGCGTGTTCCATCAATTGTATAATAATCACACTTGCTATGATTCAATGTTTTCCTCTTTTGAGACTTGATTCCGGATATCCGTAGTGTGGCATTGTTTTTTCTTCATTTTGAGTAATAGTACATTCGCGCCATCGTGGACGTTCGATCAATCCGGCTGCGGGAGCATGAGCACGTATTCCCTCGAGCTTGATCCGAACTTGAGGACATCCTTGTCTCTCAATTCGACGTAGCGTCCAGCGGGAACCGGATCCCCGTTCACGAGGGAACCGTTGGCGCTCTCCAGGTCAATGAGATACGGCTTCACGCGCCCAACGCGATCACCAAATTCATTCCGCTTGTCGACGAATCGGAATTGGATGACCGCGTGCTGCTTGGAGCAGCTGGGATGATCCAATGGAAAGTCCACAACCAGACGCTCCCTTCCGATGAGCCAGCAGCTGCGTTCCCCGAGCTCCACCACCTCCAATAGATCTTGTCCCTTAAACACATAGAGCCGCCAGGGCTCCTTGGCCGGAGGCTTGCGCGCCTCGGGAGGTTCGTGGTACTTGAGCACGACTGTCCCTCCGTTGACATTCACAGTGTTCGTCTCAGCAGCCAAGCGGCCCGTGTTTTCATAGTTGGGTTTCTCCTTCTCCGGCGGCGGAGCCGACCCCTCCCCTCCCTGGGCGATTTCGGATGCGTAGGCGTCGTTTTGAGATGGGAGAGGGCCTTTCGAGCGCGCGACGGCACCTGGTCGTGGGCTGCGTGAGTGTCGAGCCGGAGAACGAGACCGGGATCGGCTTCGATGTTTCCGCGAAGATTTCTCTCGATCGGCATAGTCTCGATCACGATGTCGTCGGTGTCGGCGCTCCTCCGATGGATGTCTCCGTCGCCTTCGGTCATCAGATCCATCTTCTCGTCGGCGGCTCTCACGTCCGGTTGGACTGCGCGAGGACCGTCGTCTTGAGCTGTCTCTGCGAGAGCTCTTGCGTTCGCCTCGGTGTCCTTCGTCACGCACGCGTCGTCTTCGATCGCCGTCTCTATCTGAGTGTCCAGGGTCAGAAGGCGACCGGCGCCGTCGTTCCTTGCGGTAGCTGTCTTGTGAGCCGGCCATGGTCAGTCGTGCTGCCGGAGCTGAATGGTCATTTGACCAAACATTGGAGAAGGTATCGGCGAGAATGACGGAGGGAACCATGGGCCGGGCACGTGATCTGATGAGGTCGGAGGCGAGGGAAGAGCAGGTTGGGGAACCATCTTGGATCAGACAATGCCCATGGCAGTGACTAACTAGTATCAAATTGAGATTATTGTATTACATCTTTATTTATTTCTACGGGAGAACATGGTGTGTTCTCTCCTTTGAAACATGCGGCCATGCCCAAGAAATCCAATCTCCTATGCTATGGTGGTCTCCCATCACTGATTCCATCCGCCTCCCCGCCACCCGTCTCTCGTCGACCATGGTGCAGGCTGTATGCAACAGCTCACGATGCCCATGACAGGAACTTCTCGTGGCCGAGCTCATCATCTTTTACCCCCTATGATATCTTCAGACAGGACCGAGGAGCTCCGTATTCGAAGAGCCGTTTCTACGACCTGGTAAAGGCCTACCACCCCGATCGACCGTGCAATGGGCACCCGCTGTGCAGGAATCTCACGCCCGAGGTGCGCCTCCAGCGGTATCATCTAGTGGTCGCGGCGCACGAGATCCTCTCCGACCCGGCCAAGCGCGCAGCGTACGATCAGTTCGGCACCGGATGGAATCTTCACCCGTCGCGTGGTCCCCACGCACATCCCTCCTGGGCTGCGACTGGACCGGGCCCTCACGGCTCCATCTTCAACAATGCCACATGGGAAGATTGGGAGAGGTGGCACAAACGGCATCAGGGGAAGCAGCAGCAGATTGTAGACCACCGGACCTTTGTTACCTTTATCTTCCTTCTTGTGCTTTTCGGAAGCGCCGTCCAGGCCTCGTGGATTGGGCAGCTGAGCACGGGATACGAGGACAGACTCCGGGAGGTCAACGAGGAATCGGTGCGGCTCCTTGCGGGGCGAAGAGAGGCTACCGCGAAGCAGATGGGGTCTCAGAAGGCTTCTGTCGAGCATTTCTTGATCCGCAGAGATCCGTCCGGCTTTGGCTTGAAAGGGGAGGAGCAGCCCGTGTACCAGGAGGTGCTTCAGTCTCGCAACCAGCAGTCCAGTCCGCTTTTGCAGATCGAGGGCCCGGCTAAATCGAGCAGCCCTTCTGTCGATGCTGCGGTGAGACCTGTCAATGACTCTTGATACATACTTTGCTCTCATCTGATCTTCGTATCCGTTCTTCACCTACGTTGGGATCTAAAAAGCTGGTTGGTGTTTCTCAATTGACAGAATTTTTTGCGTACATACAAGCAAGATTTGTATTTAATGAACTATTCCACTCTCATTGAAGGCTATGCCCTCTGCTGCTTTTGGGGGTAGGCCATGAAGCCAAGCAACTGGCACTGAGGTAACAGCACTCTATAGCATAACCCCCCAGCAGCCAACCTTGCTAAAATGGCTCATCTATCGACAAGGTACGGACTATGGTTGGGATTGAATTGTCTCGATCATCGTAGCAATATGAGTGTTTCGCATGGCCGTAGGGGGAGATCTTCGTGTAGGGTGGAAGAGCTTCATAGATAATCCACTTCCTCTATTTCATTAGGAGAGCACCGTCTCAGCTTGTTGAGATTTTGTCTAATCGATTATCACTGAGTGTGATGACGATTGCCAACATGAGAGCCATGGTCAAAAAGTTTATGGATTGTGGTGTTGATGGGCACCGCACCGCCTGGATGGAAGAGAGCTCACCATCTTAACCCAAGCACGCATTTTAAAACTTGATAAACGCTTCACATACACTGGCTGAATGTACTCATGCTTACACCAATCCGCCATCTAATACTGAGATACTGAATGGTGTCAACTCAAGCCACTCACTCTACATCACTCTTCTCGGAATGCTCCCAACACATGATGGGTCCTCCTAGTCAAAGTAACGACTACTCAAGGCCATGCATGCCGAGAGCAATGAGGGGAATCCAGAAACTATGCTGGTCGACGCGCCATGAGCCCGATCCCTTTAAATGTCCTTCATTCTATCCGGTTCAATCCAAGGATGAGTGGGATACGAAGTACTTTCGTTTAGGTAGTTGATAGAATTACCCAAAAAGGTAAATCAACCAGCACACTTCCCCCACCTGGCTCTTGGACATCTCGAAGTTCATTATTCTTTACTCTGTATTACTACAAAAGCACGCACCGGGAAATCATCGGGTATACCCTCAGACCCATTCCCAATACTCTACGGAGTAGCGCCGGATCTATTTATGGTCTTGTTGAACCAGCGATCTTGATCTCTTGGACTAATAATAATAATAGATAATAAGAGAAACGCAACGACCGACATTCAATCCTAACTCTATCCAGCCTATCATTATATGTAACTCCAAGCTCATCTCAACTCACTTCTCTCCGCCAAACTATACAGCGACACCATCACAATGGCAGCAACCGAGAAGCGCCCCGAGATCATCGAGCTCGCACGGGGACTCAAAGATGTCCCCATGTGCGAGGAATACGAGCTCATGATCTCCGGTATGATGTACAACCCGCTTGTGCCCAAGCTGCTCGAGGCGCGGCATCGGTGCCGCGGGCTGACTGCCGACTACAACGATCTCGACACCAAGACCGTGTCCTCCGACGAGATCTCCGAGAAGCGACTCGAGCTGCTGCGTCGCTTGGTCGGCAAGGTGGGCGACGGAACCTTCATCGAGCCCCCGTTCCGGCCTGATTACGGCTGCAACATCATCATCGGCAAGGATTGTTTCATGAACTGGGGGTGTGTATCCCGTAACCCTGGTATCCCTCGCTTTTGGAACAAACGTGACTGACAAGAAACAAGCGTCACCGTCCTGGATACCAGCCTCGTTGTCATCGGCGACCGGGTCCAGATTGGAACCAACGTCAGCATCATCACCGCCGGCCATGACACGAGTATCCTGTCGCGACGGAAGTTTGTGGAATTCGGTCATCCCATCTTCATTGAGGATGACTGCTGGATTGGTGCGAATGTGGTGATTCTGCCGGGCGTTAGGATCGGGCAGGGCTCGACCATCGGCGCTGGGTCCATTGTCACCAAGGATATCCCGCCATTTTCTGTGGCGATGGGGAGTCCCTGTCGGGTTAAGAGGACGATTCCTTCTGCAGAGGAGGAGGAGAAGGATGAGACGAATCCGTACCGGAATCTGGTGCGTCAGTTTTGATAGAGTGTAGGTTCAAGGCTAGTGGTAGCGTCTCGAAATGCTTTGACAAATGGCACCTCCCTTTAGAAATGTAGATTGACACTCAAGAGACATAGATATATATTGTAATCCTCAGTCCACACTGTGATGATACGGGTCTCGGAAATATCCATGTAGCCATCATCACTCTGAGATCGCATTCAGAAGTTCAAACGCTTTGTTCTTCAAGCAAAAAGAGTTTATATCAGATCAGTCCTCTGCACCACCACCACCACCACCACTACCACCACGACTACCAACTTCAGCTCTTATATCCCCGATGCAACTTGATCCACCGCATTCGTGCAAAATAACAGCCAAGAGGTTCGTTCCCTTGCCTACAGCCAGATAACTGCTGTTCAAAGCGAGGAGACAAGAACGGTGAATCTTCGATGGACACTGATTAGCTTGAATATAAGCAGCTAACAATGGGCCACCATAGTAAATGCAACAAACAAATCACTACAAACGATATATTGTCCAAACAACCAGCAACACGAGAAGAGCGTCCAAATATACAGGGTATAAGGCAAGGATATAAACAAAACGCCATCCACTCATCCCCATCCAACACTGGACTACAGCTTCGCTTTTTCAGACCACTGCCGCTGCAGCTCCTCCTCGCCTCTCAACCGCCACTCCGCAGTCCTGCGCAGCAGTCGATCGACCTCCTCATCACTCAACGTACTCGCTCTCTCCAGCGGGATCTCCCGCGTCGAGCGTAGCTTGAACCCGATATATGTCAGATTACCCGTCGCCTTTACACGGCCCGCCACCGCATCGCGACAGAAATCAGCCATGCCCTTGAAAGACCGCTGTGATGCAGGTGTTCCGTCCATGACCATCCCGAAACAGTGCGGCATGCCCTCGAACTGCTCCACGACGACCGGCACGCCGACCTGGTGCATCTTGCGCGCCAGCAGCAGACCCTCGTCTGTCAGGCCCTCTTCGCCGATAGACATAAACACAGGCGGGGAGTCTTTCCAGATCTCCTTGCGGGACGCGAGCGGCGAGACAAGCGGGTGCAGGATGGCAGTCGCGTTGGCGAAGAAATCGCCGCGGGGCGGGCTGCACGGCCAGATATCGTCCTCGGGGATGGGAAGCGGGACGAAAGTCGTTTCTGGGGTCTGGATGGGCGGGTCGAGGAAGTCGTAGCGCGCGTTCTCGAAGACGGATGGCATGGACCGCGTGAGGTCACACCAGGGAGAGGTCGTCGTGGCGCCTGCGGGAAGTTCGATACGTACGTCCTGGCCGTGGAAGCGGACGGTTGGGGAGATACGGCGCAGAGTCAGAAGAGTCTGCAGTAGGGCCAGTGAGAGATTGCCTCCGGCGGAATCACCGGCCAGGATGATCTTGTTGGCTGGGACGGGTTCGTGGAGGGACCCCGGGGGTGGGGCGAGGAGAGATAGGTACGCAACTAGGGCGTCGACGAGCGCAGCAGGGAATGGGTGCTGAGGTGCCAGGCGGTATCGCACAGAGAGTACTGGGGCTCCTGTATGCTTGGACAGCTGCGAGACAGTCACCCTGTGTGTGCAGGGGTCCATGAGACTGTGATGACAATCAGGATACGCCTGTGACCTTGAGAGCCTCGGTGGCCGACTTACAAGTATGCGCCACCATGGAAATACAGAACAGCCATATCAGATTGCGTCTCCTGGCGCAACAACCTGTACTTCTCCTCTTCTGAGACATCAGGCTGCGGCGCCTTCTTATCGACGCCACGGCGATATGCAGTCCACACGGCCTCAACAGGGCCAACACCGGGGATGTCGTATGTTTCATCCCCATCCTTCAGGTCCTCAATCGCCTTAATCACCGCATCCTGGACGTCATCCTCAGGCTGGGGCAGGGTGACCTTGGATACCCACATAGGACCTTTAATGCCCGGATCGCGCATGCTGCTTTTTTGCTGCTTGCCCACGGGAACCTTGAGGTTGATAAAAGAGCGAATGATGGCGACCGTCAATTCCGTGCGCAGATCCTGTTTCCCAGAGACAGGAGACATCTGGACGCCATGCAGTAGAACCGTCTTCAGAATCAGCGGGAGCCTTACCAGCATCGCCTTCAGTAGAGCGACGGGGTTGCCATCGAGGACACTCATGGTGGCGAATCTGCAAACTCCCTGGCAGTGCGATATTGATAGAGGGCACAAGCGAACGCGACGAACAACACCGACAAATGAATGAGAGGAACTTATCTACAAGACAAGCAGACGAAATCAAAAGCAATCAACGAGCGATTGACAGAAGAGAGATAGTTCATTAGGGACAATGATGGTCCCCTTTTTTATGCACCAGGACACGGTCCATCTTAAGCGTGCCTGCGGGGCCGCCAGAATACCTCGGTCCATAAAGAATTCGTCTACAGTGGACCTGGCATTTGGTAAATTCTGTGCTATGATTTCATTCGATCGAAGCCAAGTCGTGTCTTTTTGTATGAAGTTGTTCGATTGACTATGAAGGCTTGTTCTATACTGAGCAAGGGGTATTGGGGCAACATGAGGTGATTGATATCTTGCCCTCGGCAACGCTCCTCCAAAAGCCTAACTACACTGTAGGACGACTGTTAAAGAAGATGGTATCTTTAAATTATTCCCAGTACATCAACAGCCTCATAAAAAAAATCAAAGAAGACGAACGCCATGCACCAGCCGCTGTGCCAGAGTAAAAATTGACACCTGGGGAAATTGCAACTGGGAAAGGGAAACGGCAAATCCCAACGCCATTACATGCATTGCTTATAATAATTCGTCATCATCCATCGAGTCATCGTCCCAAGTCCCTCGAGGCACTTCCTCCTCAACCACCTTTGACAGAGGGACCGTTTCGGGCGTGTAAACAGCTTCGGGCGTGTACTTGGGCTCCTTTGCCGGCCATTGTCTCGCAAAGAAGCCTGGGGTAGATGTTGCAATCACAGGCGGCTGTGCCATGCGGGTGCCGTAAATGCGAACTTCGCCAGACAAGTTGAGAGTCCGAGGCGGTTCATCTACATAACCATCCCACATGCCTAGGAGCTGCGCAAGAAGTCGGAGGAACGCAATGCCAACGGTTGCCACTGGGGCCAGGACAGCAGAGAGATGGGACCATCGCCATAGCATTGTCGGTATCACAAAGGGGTACCGTGGTGCATCGCGACGCAGGCAGTTGCCCTCACAGACGGGAGCCACAGTCGGATGGCAGTAGTAGTCACACATCTTCGATTCGGTGATGAACCAAAGAAGGGACAGTAGGAGAAACCAACCGAGGCGTGTGGGATGGATGCGTCGAGAAACTGGGTTGCGTCTCCATAAAAGAGGCAGAGGAATGGAGACATAGATGCGGCCGTCAGCTGCCGCACCGCAAGAATCACATTTCTTGCCTGTGCGGACGCGCTTCGACTTCGGCTGAGCCTGAGGGGGCTTGGGACGCAAAAATTCTTTGGAAATCTTCTGAGTCATCTGATCTTCCACGCTTTTGATCTCCTTCTGCACGTTTTCCTGGTCCTGTTCTAGCGATCGCAGCTGCTTGTTGACCTTGGAGTCACCCGAGTCCTTCTCGCCTTGGCCGCGTTCTAGTTTCTGAATCACTGACTTCTCATATGCAGCATCGTCATCTGTGCCAGCCTTTGGTTCAACGGACTCCTCCTTCAGCATTTCCTGCAGGCTTTCGAGCGTGTCGTCGCCCACATCTAGTGATCCTTTGTCCGCCTTGTGTTCCTGCATGACTGCTTCAAGGGCGCTTTTTGGGAGATCGGGTTTGACGAGAGGCACTTTCGGCTTTTCTCTTTCCGTGCTCTTCTCCTGTTCCTCCCTCTCCCTCTCATTTTTCTCCTTCTCTTCTCTTTCTATTCGTTCTTTCTCTTGTTCCTCCAGTCTCGCTTTCTCTCGATCTCTTTGCCGCCCTTGCGCCCTTTGTAGTTCCCTTTCCTGTTCCTGTTGTCGCAACCTTTCTCTCGCACGTTCTCTCTCTCGGGCCGCTTTGTTCTGCTCGGATACGGTATTCGATTCTCCGTATATTTGGGCCATTGAGAACTCGACATCCTGCGCGGCTGCGAATGGCATATCATTCTTTGTTGAGTCCTCTGGTCGCTCAACCACTCTATCAGAAACGCGCTCAGTCATTGGGGTATCTATCCAGGCGCCTGTGACCACAGGGGTTTTGTCATATATCCGGTGTTGACCACCTTTTGGTGCTTCAGGAGTTCTTAGCTCCGCTTGGTCCCGGCGTTGTTCTGGACTGGCTCGCCTTGCAAGCTTCTGTAGTAGGCCATGGGAGTCTCGCTTCGAAGGAGTCGGCATGTTAAAAGAGGAGTTTTTGTAGACCGTAATCGGCGTGTTGGCAATGTGTTCTGGATCCCCCTGGATCCCTTTATAGTCCCTTTGTGCCGGCAGCTTGTTTTCAGCATCAGATAGCGGCGCCCTGTTGTCTCTGGTCGCTCTTGCTGGTTCTTTGGCTCGCGCGGGGCTCGTGTGGAAGTCGAAATCATAGGTGGTAGTTGACCGTTGCGGTGAGATGGGGTTCTCGACTTCTGACTCGGGCTCATTAAATGGGGCCGATCTTTGAAGCCAATTGCTAATGTGTTTCGCTTTGCTGCCCCAGCCAGAAGGGACATTGAGCTTAGGCTTGAATACCTCGTCGCTAGATATGGGGTCGTCCATATTTTCGTGCCGCTGGAGTTTCTCTGCCGTGCTCGTCTTGACGCGTGGTGATAGCACGGGGGAACGACTAGTTTTGGCTCGTCTCAAGCGCTCCTCATCCTGCACATGGTCGGACAATCTGCGGCGTGGAGACTCGTCTGTTGCCTGGTCGAAAACACCATAATCTCGCGCGGGATATGCTGGCGAGAACTTGTTCCAATTCTTGTGAATATGATACTCGTCATCTGTATCCCGACCGATTAAGCTATCAGCTTCATCGATGCGCCGATACGACTCTGCAAGCTCATTCGGCGGGTTCGACTCGGGAGAGAGTGGATCAAATCTTTGTCGCCGTCTGTGAGGACTTGGAGTCCCTGTCGTATATGGAGTGGATGTCGCAATATCCTCATCATCTGCCATGGTTGTGTAGCCCGATACTGTGTTGAACGCTCCAGTCAAAGTATTTGTCCGAGTGAAAGTCCTCCGAGTTTGAGCACCATATTTCGACGTCGGACTCGGAATATAGGACACGCCAGAATCTCTCACTGAGTGGGAATCGTTACGAGCTTGACGGAATGGTGACCCTTGTGGTTGTTGTTGTTGCTGCTGGTAGTTGTAGTTGCGACGCGACGGCGACAGTCGGCCGGTGTTGCGCTCGGGGGTGGGCATGACGACGAACAGGGGAGACCCTCGAGTGAATGTCTAGAGGTCCCTTCATTCAATACCTCGGGGACAATGACGCGTGTAAATTCAAGAATGCAATGGAGAATAACTGCAAATAATGCGCAAGTCAACAACAAGAATCACTTCACGCTTTCCACTCCCCGAGTTTCGTCTCGCCGGCTCAAAAAGGCTTAGCGCTGCGGAGAAGGAATGACAGCGTCATTTCAATCCGATGAGGAGGGAATGAAGATATACACAGTTGCACACAACTGCAATGCTCGCTCCATAGCTAGCCTACTGCTGAGAACTGCTGGCTTTCTCGATCAGAATCTTGGTCCCCTGTTCTAGCCTACATGGTGCGACTTCCATCTTCCCAATCACCCCTCTAGAGCTCATCCTGACTGACATGTGACCGACTCAGACCTTTTGATCATCACGGTGATCGTGTGCCATGCGCACAGCTTCCTGATATTCGAGAGTACATAGGAAGAAGAATCTGCGTCTCGAGACATAATCAGCGATCCACGCCCTATAAGTCGCCCATCCCACGCGCATCTTTACCTCTCTTCATCAACACAACACAACAAAATGACCAAGTCTGCAAGACGAGCGGCCAAGGGCAAAGCATCAGTGACGCCCTCTGCCTCATCTTCCGGTTCCTCAACCCCCAGCTCGGGAGCAGGTCCTCTCCCACCATTCTCGAAAGCACCGAGCACCCTCCAACCTCTCCTCGAGCTCCTCTCCCCAGAAGAAGTCTACCTGATCCACGTAGACACAACTCCACCAGACCTCAAGCGTCAAACCTTCATCGTACCGGTCTTGATCAATGTCGTGATTATCGCGATCCTCGCGCTGCGCGTCTATATGGTCCGCCACACATACCCCGCCATGCTCGCAACCGTAGTTGGATTCACCAGCTCCATGGACGTTGACACCTCCAGAATGCCCTGGGATGAGATGGCGAGCATCATCCTCCGCCGCACAGGCACTCTAGCCATCGACTACTTTCTCTTCACCACTTTCCTACCCTGGCCGATCCGCTTCATCCGCGGACCCGCCAAATGGCGCCGCACAGTCGGCTTCCACGACCGCGAGGTCATCGTCCGCCGCAGCCAGCCCGCCCTTACCCAGACGCTTGAACGCAACCGCTGGATCCGCGACAACGACGAAGCACGCGACAAGATCGTCGCAGCCGTCACGCCAGACCGGATCCAGAAGACGGGATACCTCCTCGTCGACGCGGACTGGGACCTGGACTACGCCGCCATGATCCGGGCGCACGAGATGCTCGACCGCACGCGCAAGGGCGACGACGTAGCCCTGACCGAGTTCCGGACCGCAGTGCTAGTCAACACCGACGCGGACGGGTGGCTGATCTGGCGCGTCGAGGACGAGGATAAGGATACCGCGGCGGGCCAGACGCGGTCCGCGCAGCGTGACCAGATCCTCGCGTTCAAGGACAAGCTGACCGCCATGGGCAAGGAGGACCTCTTCTTCCGGTGGGTCGAGCTGATTCAGTACGAGAGTACGCAACCTGGTGGCTTCACGCCGGAGAGACAGCGGTCCGCCATGGTGCAGGCTAAGGAGCTGTTCGAGAAGGAAAACGTCGATTTTGCGCGCTTCTGGCAGGAGGTTGGGGGTATGGAGGGATTTGTGGACCAACTAGATTGATCCGCAGTAGCCAATCTTTCTAGCGCGTTTTTTTTTCCCTCTCTGCAGCATTATCGGGCATATTTACATATAATGGAGTTTCCACAGTCGGGATTTGGGCATGGATGGTTCGGAGCATATAGATCAATCATTTGCGGGTTCAATTCTCTCTCCTCTATTCCCATTGCAACAACACATAGTCAAAATCAAATAAAAGTAGGCAGTCATAGGAAAGTGGATGGGTATCACTCAAAACGTGGCATGCTTCAAATCGTGACGTGACAGATCTCAGTGCGACTCCGTAAACCATTAGAATAGCAAAGTTGGTCTCTCTCATTTACTCCCACTTTCCAGTCGATAGTCGACGTACCAGAGCTTCTCCCAGGGCCGATATCTGTTAACCGAACGCCGATTCGACGGGGACCGCGACGGCGAGGACGCCTCGCTCTCTTCTAGAGGCCGCGAGATTGAAGACCGCAGGCTCGAAGACGGCTGTCGTCCGCCGGCTGGAGCTCCGCGCGTTCGTTCCGCACCCTATGACGGTTCCGTCAGCCCCTGTGCGGAGAGTCACACAATGCTGAAGAAAAGAAAAAGAATGAAAAAGTTCGGGATCCGTGAGTGATGTCTCACGGCCCCTGGAGCTGGTCACGGCGAACCTCTTCGGGTGTAGAAGCGGCCTCCCGTGCTTGCTGAGAGCCCGGGGTGCCAGATTCGGGTGGTCGAGTGAGTTCGGTTGTCGACTCGTTGGCGCGTTGGGGAGTTCCCAAGGGCCCTTTCTTGGAGCTGGAGCTATTGCGCCGGCTGTCCAAGCTTCTCGTCAAGGTTTTGGCCACATTCCCTCCGTTTGTCGAACGTTTTAATCGGATGCTACCCCGCGCATCTACGTGCGCCGGCGCAACTGTGCTCTTCCCAAGGCCTGGGGTTGCTGGAGCGCCGGGTTTCTCCTCAGCTGCGTCCAAGAGATACCAGCGAAGACCATCGGACAGTTCGAAAGGATTTTCATCATCGAACGAGGTGGCATCGCTCGTGCCACCAAGGGATTGGCGATCGGGATTAGCTCCATTCAGGGATTTGGAGAGATCCACCACACGTTCCTCGATCTTTGTGATACGAGCCAGCAGCCAGTCGCGTGTCTGCAGTTTGTGTGCATCCTGCTCGCGCAAAAAGTAGTGTGGAGCTCCGACGTTGAAAGCTGCCCAGGACCGAATGGCCTGGTTGCGGGTTGGGAGAAACAAGGCAAGGTCACCTTCTTTGAAGGTTCGATAGGCGATCTTTTCGTGGGCCTCGCTCTGAGTGCGGTGATACTTGTCTCGATATCCTCTTGCTTCCTTCTGCCATTTCCGAGCAAGAAGCTCAATATCTTTGACGCGCTTAACTACCGTGTCCCCGAAGACCTCTACATCAAACTGGTATAGAGACTCCAGGAATGCCATATACCGGTCCGTCTCCTCTTCGGCACTGTCAGCTTCCATCCAGTCGAGAAGGCTGGGGTCGGGCTTGACAGAAACCACTGCAGATTGGCTGAGAGTGTCTCCAATACCCGATGCGGCGTTGACCTTCGAAGCCCTCTGAACCACGATCTCGCCATCCTGCCGGATCACGGTGAAGCCCAATTGCTCAAGCATATGCTCCATCTTCTCAACCTGCCCAAAGAGCTGCCGCGACAGCTCCTTGGATCTCGCGCCCCGAATCTCAATACGAGCCGTCGCATGTTGCTCCGCTTCCGAAATGGCATCGACCTTGTCCTTCCATGCAGATACTTCGTGTTCAGATTGCCGAGCCTGGGCCTCAACCTCATTCAATCGTTGAGATAATCTGGCCAGCTTTTGCTCTTCCTCAACAACACGTTCCCGCAGGGCATCCGCACCTGCGTCGCCAGTTGTATGCTGTGACTGCAAGGTGCTGAGTTGTGTTCGCTCTTCTTGTAGCTCGGACTGTACTGCAGACAACTTCTCCTTTTCTTGGGCCAAGTCTTCCCGCATGCGAGACAGTTCTGACGTGCGCTCATTTAAGATCTTCTTGGTCTGGTCAAGCTCGCTCTCTATCTGATTGACACGCTCCTCGAGGGTCCTATTCTCCGCTACAGCTTCCGCCATGTTCTCTTCGGCATTCTTGGCATGGATCGACAGCCCTTCGGAAAGCACCTCAATAGCTTTGATGATGCTGGGAATTTCTGCAGGCACCGCGCCTCCCGGAGACAGGCTCATGAAAGCGGCTTGCAAAGACAGAAGGTTCTCCTGCTCTTTTGCCCGACTCTCTGATTGCTGCTTCTCAAGCTCGTTGATGCGCAGCTGGAAATCCTCCTCCGCCTTCTTTTGTCTCTGCACCTCCTCGAACAAGCTGTTGGCTCGGTGCATCTCTTCTTCGGCATGAGCGTGAATGTTTTGAAGCTCGTTCTCTAATTGATTGATTCGTTCATCGGCGTCCTGCTTTTCATGGTCGCGGCTGCCGGTCATTCTATCGAGTTCCTCCTCAAGCTCCTCTGTGCGAAGTCGATACTTCTTCAATTCACCCTCAAGATACCGCCGTTCCTCGTCGAATTCGCGTTGGCGAGCTTCGAGGTTTCCAATGAGGTCTTTTTTGGTGGATTGCGCCTCCTGTATCTTGTCCGTGTTAGACAGCCTCTCGGCATGCGCGTCCTTTTGGAGTCTTTGGACGGTTTCCCGTTCCGCAGCCAACTCCGCCTCAAGGGTGACGATGCGTTGAGCTTGGGCCCTTTCCTCAGAAGATTGATTTGCAGACATCCGCCGGGAAGACACTGAAGAGCGCCTAGAGAGCGGATCGGGATGTGGTGAAGCTGGCGAGCTTGGAAATTCTAAACTGAAATTTCCGCTGACTGGGCGGCTCATCTGGCTCTGCCGATGCAAGAGGTCTTCGAGTTTTCGGATCCGACTTTCAGACCCCTTCAACTTCTCCTCAATCTTAGACTTCTCGTCTCTCAGACTCCGAAGCATATCGTCACTGCGGAGAAGTAGAGAGCTCCTGCTCAGGTCAAATATGCTGCCTTGTTTGAAAGCCTTTGCTCTGCGACGTTGGTGACGAGTTGGTGCATCGAGCTCCTTATACTGTTGAGTAAGCTCATCGGCCAAGCCAGCCAAGTTAGGTCGAGCTTTGAGCTCGTTTATATAGGATTCAATGTCTTTCCGAGTGACCTCGGGCCACTGATAATCCATGCCCTGAAGATTTATCTCGACGCCTGGCGTGGTGGCATCCGTGATAGAGATGAAATCCCCCATGCTCTTCAACCATCTCTTCCTTCGACGTTGCTCCTCGTCCCGAAAAACAGCCATCTCTTCTGCTAGAGTTAGGGAGTCGGCTTTCATCTTCTCATTAAATTCGCGGCGTCGAACAGATTCCACCAAGACGGAGCCGTAGACCATAGGCATGTGGTAGACGGAGAAAACAATATCAAATGCATCGCTCTGCACATTGAGGTTGATGATTTGAGATTGGACATCGGCCAGGCGCAATTCAATCGCAGAGATGGTTCGCATATGCTCGAGCGCTTCTTTCATTGCACCATTATATCGCCGGATAGCTTCTTCAAGTCCCGCATGGATCTCAGCGCTTATATCCAATATAGATGGTAATAGGTCTTGAGTATGCGTAAGTGCAAGCCTAGAAATATTTGCTAGTGTTTTTTGATTGTTTGGTAGGGCCAGCACGTGCTCGTAGTCGGAACTTATTTTCTTAGCAATGGTGATCACTTCTTGTAATCCGTCGATGACCGCCGGACTTGAGGGGATGGCATTTTCGATCAGCTGTTGAGTATCTGCGGCAATCCCACCGACGGCTTCCGAAACATCCTCAATCTGACGGGCAAAGCGCGACGACTCGGTCGACGCCCCAGCTCCAGCCTTGTGCACCTCCTCTATATCCACGAAATCCCGCAATGTCCCCGATGATCGATCTTTGTGCTTGGTTGGCGTTGATGGGCGGCCAAGGAAGGGAAAATCCGTGAGTACCGGGATGCTTTCCAAGGTTGAGAGCGCGCGCTGCCATCCATCCAAGGCGGCTTTTTGTTCTTTCAAGAGATCATTTGCCCATGCCTGGGCTTCCTGAAGCCGATGCTCCAAATTACCCACATGTGTCTTGAGATTCTCGAGAGCTACGCCAGCTGCGCGGTTGATGATATCCGTTCGCTCATTGTGTTCATGGATTTTCTTGTCCATTTCCTCACATTGCTCCGATAGGGTCAGAGCCCATGACCTTCTGGCCATATAGAGATTCCGCCATGATTGTAAATCGTTCTGATTCGCAAGGGTATCGGGAGGATTGTCTGGGGTGAAGGATTCGGGAGAAGGAAGCTCCACGAGCTCGACGTTATCCGGTTCGCTAACATATCGACGGTCGTAGACGAAGATTTCATCCTGTTGGGAGAACGATTAGAGATATAAGCATGAAGGTGCAAGACATCAACCATGGCTATCTTATCGTACCTCAGTAGCAAGCGTCTGTATCCTGACATTCTTCCCACGAGCAGTCATCAAGATCTGCCTTTGTGCAGGTATGGAGGTATTACGAGCAATCCATGATCGAAGTGCATCTGGTCTGGATCAAAATATCAACGGGATCAGTATGTTGTCGCAAATGGGGGCCCAAAGATAGCTTGGGCTACAAGGACGCAATCAGCGCTCTAGACAGTGGACGACAGAGTACATACGAGGCAAACGACACCGGGTCAGCGAGGAGATGCTCACCCGTGTGAGCTATATAAATATTCAAAGACATCCCCTCCTCACCGACTGAGCCAAGATGCCCAGGGAGTGCAAGATGTAAAGGAATGTAGAAGGAGGGTGGGGAGGTGATAAAGGTGAGAGTCATTTAAACGCAAGCCTTCTAGGCCCCAGAGAAGCTCCAGCCCAGGCTATGTTTAGAGTGTGTCACACCCCCGGAACCAGCCAGCGACAACAACCGGGATTCTCCACCGCTTCCCCCCGACCGTTGGTAAAAGAGAAAAAAAAAAAAAAATAAAGGCGAGCTAGCTTGGCTAAAGATATCACAAGATGCTATTCCCGACCTGCCACGAGGTCCGGCTTGATGGCATCTGCAAAGATCCAACCCCTGCCTCACCTGAGTCCTGGTGAGGTTTCCTTGCTGGAGCTTGCGGCTGATGACCCTCGCGATGTGATCTCGTTGTCCAAGAAGGAGGCATTAATTCTGCGCCTCTATGATCAAATCCAGGAACAAGAGCTGGAAACAGCACTCCTCAAAGAGGGTAAGCTTCACATATTTACTTTGGGGATATCTAAAAGCGCTTTCTTTAAAGATCTATCATGCTAATTTTTCAGATTTGGAATCATCCTCTGGCGACAATCCAGATGAGCAACTTGCAGTGGCAGAACGTGAGCTGCTTGAGGCAAGGGCCACTTATACGGTCAAGAAAAAAGCAGTCGGTACTGTTCTGATGACCGACCCTACATTAAAAGCGGTTCATCTGAGAGCCACATCGCCTGCTGAAAGGTTGTTTCTCTTCCTCTCTTTCTAACGCGATTTGTTTCCCTCTCAAGTCCACGCGTATCTTTGGAAGGTAATCGACTCGATGCTGATCGTTTGCAGGGCTCTTTTACCCCTGATCAATCGCCGTGATGTGCTTTCCTTGGCGTATGAGAATCTGACTACTGCGGACAATGCTACATTGAGAGAGTTATCCAATGTAGAGGTACAGAATCTGCAGCTCAATCAGAGGAACCAAGAACTTGTCGGTCAGCTTCTGGACATGACGAAGGACGATATGTCGTGGAGGGAAGATCTTCAGGACGAGGACCTTCGGGCGCAACTGGAAGAGCTGGAATCTGAACGAAGAAAGAGCAGAGCCAGATGGGAGACGATGAAGAGCATCGCAAGTGCTATTGTTGTGGGGAGCGGAGTGAATTGGGCCGAAGATGATTCACTTACAGCACTTGTGCTGGACGAACATGACGACTAATGTGGTTATATTTGGAGATTTCTGTCTCTTTGAATCCTATCAGGCTATCACTACCCGACCTTCGATGATTTTGAATATCGCCAACTTCTGGGGGTTCAGACTGGGATAGACCACACTGGACTACGCAGCGCTTATGACACAATGATACTCCCGCTTAATCTTTGAAAGAAAACTCCACAAAATATCTTTTGTAGATCTATCTACAGAGTAGGATACAATGATTACAAAGGCAAGGAGAGACTCAAATGTCTCCACACTCATAGAGCACAGTGCCGCAGTGTGAGAGCTCTCAAGAAGCTGCTTCGGACGCGCGCCCACTCTTCAGTGACCCACGTGACATCATGGTCCGTCCTCGACAAGAATCCTTCGTCAATCACCACAACTACGGAATATTTGCCTCATGCTACGGGCCCGGAGATGCCTGGTCCGAGTGATTTGCAGTGAAACTAAAGATAAGAACCTTCGGCATTGCAGTAAACAACTCAGCAGGTATATTCATTAAAACCAGCGTCTTATTTTGATCCAACTCTCTGATGCCTCTGACCGGGCTGTCTGGTGCACAGGCACAATACACCATACAAGATGCTGTACAAGCTGTACAGACTCCGGAGCACGGAGTAACGACCGCACTGCTGATGAAGGAAATAATCAGCCCAGAGGGAACCGGGCAGTGTTTCCACCTGAACCAAATAAAACTGACACACTCTATGACGACTCGCCTCATTAGCCTGAGAGACGATAGTTCGTATCATTGTCTGCTGACAGTCAACTTACAGGTATGTTTCTACTTGGTTTCCATTATTATTACAGGTCCCCTTTCTTCGTGGTACAGTCATGTATGTATGAGCTCCGTTCCTAGGTAGGATACCCAACCGAGGTAGATACCGACGGAGTACCTCCAGCTGTTAGTTATTTCTTGGAGCTTCGAGTAGTGTATTGAAAAATCAGCAGGCGGTGGTGGTATTTGGCTCATGGCTTGCATTCCAACCCATGTGCACACTACTCTGAGTACACTGACTGCCCGCGCTCTCTATTTATCCACTCTGTATTGGCTTCCATCTACCATTTCAAGGTCTTCTTATGCTGCGAGGCACTATCAATCTTTGAGATGAGATCTAGATAAACTAGAATGGTTGCGATTATACGGAGTAGAGACGGAACGTTATTGACTTTTGGTTGAAATAATGATTATTAATTACTATTATTATTTTTATTATTAGGTATTATCATTTGGTCCATCTTCATAGTACACAAGAACGCCCTTTGTATCGACAGTGGATGTGATCCTTGATAGTACTGAGGCGCTACCTCCCATAGTAGCTGACTCGTCCACCGGTCCAGACTCTAGTACTTTGGCAGCATCTGTTCGACGGGCTGGGGCATTTCCATTCTCAATCAAGGACAAGGCTCAATCACAAGATTCTTCGAGGTTGTTGCAGCGCCGGCGGCCTGAGTACCTTTTGCAATACTTGCTTGCGCCATTCGTACGTAAAACCGGGTAAATCAAGGTATTTATGGTCGCTAGCAAGGGCGGCGGTTTGATCGTTGATCAATCAATATTGTGCTAAAATTGGACTGAAGTGAAATAATTCCACACATGCAAACGACGGTCCTGGCCGTTGTCGAACAACCCTTTGGAAGACTCAAGGGCACAACAGACGGAGCCTCGATGAAGCGAGCTCATCCCTAACTACTTGACGGATCTGAGACTGGACAGTGAACGGTACTTCACGACAGCCTGCAAGCAGTGATAGGAGCTCAGAGGAGAAGCTGATACAAAGAAAAGAATGATAATATGGGGGAAAGCATGAGAGAGAGTCGGAGCATATCATTCCTCTCCAGGGCAATTGATAGGTAAAACTACTACTGTCCTTAGTCCTTATCCTACTCTCTCTTCCATTCTGGAAACATTATTAAACAATCAAAAGTAACATAGTTAGATGAATACCATTGGACTCTCTTAAAGGAGAAATGCAGAACAGCAGAGCAATAATGAGCACTAGTCGGGTTACGCCAAGGCACCCGGCCCTGGGTGTGTACATAAAAGCAAGAGGCAGTGGGAATTACTGAAGAACCCACAGTGCTTATTCCTAGTCATACTCCGTAGATACTTCAAGTCTCAATGGTATCATGACAAAGAAACCTAGTTTGCTTCAAGGGTGAGACGTATCCTCTTTTGACTTTTAAGATCAGTGGATGAGTAGACTCGATGAGTCGGTCAATATGTAAACGAAGAATGCAGGACCTGCTGAATCAGTATTGCGGTAGTATCAAGCCCCGTAGAGACTGTAGCACATACATTCTCTTGTGTAATAGTAACAGTACTACAGAGAACGTCCATATTATTCTCACTACCTACTGGGGGGAGGGGGGGGGGTTTGAGGTTATGTACTCCGTATGCGTACTCCGTATGGTAGGTAGGTAGGTAGGTGCCCGGTTTACTCACTGTGCTCTGAAGGGAGAACCTACCTAGAGGACGAATATGGTACCATGCTCTCTCCGGTGATGGAAAAGGTACTGCTAGTATTGTGGTACCAGCTAGTAGGGAGACAGAGAGAGTGGATGTGGTGAGTCGTACTATGACCGTATGGTATCTCCCATACCCATCCATGATGGTGGAGCTGCATCAAAGCAATGGGCTCTCTACAGAATACTATCTGGGACTGCTGTCTGTTTGATGAGAGCAACCTATATCATTGGGTCAGACAAGATAGTAGCATTTAGCAGGCGGGTATACTCTGTATATTGGAGCAAAAGGGGTGTGTAATCACATTTTGATCCATGTGCTCTGCATGAAATGACTGGGCAATCCAAGGCCGCTGCTAATAGTCGCAGGGAAAGCGTCGAAGCGAACCAAAGAAGCAGTGTATGAGACAGGTATGGTACCATACCAGTCATTCCCCAGTAGGCCGTCGAGCCAGTAGTAGGTGGTAAGATTCGTATTATTCCTATTCCATTCCCTTACCTGTGCTGCCCCCCTCCCTCCCAGTCAAACCAACCCACGCCAGACTGAGTGAGGTACGTATGGAGTAGGTAGTATCTAGTGTATTAGGTTATATTGTTGTTATTATTATTGAAAGGTGGTGGTGGTGGTGGTGGTGGCCCGCAGTCCCCGTCCGTCTCCCTCGCGCCCTCCTCTCCCTCTCTCTCTCCTACTACTACTACTCTCCCTCCTCTCTCTCTCTCTCTCTATTCCCTCACTCCCTCACTCTCTACTACCTCTCACCATACAAATCCTCTCCCCATACAAAAAAGTACTACATATCCGAATCGGTGAGTTCCCTTATAAACATTCTCATATTAAGACACTTTCTCAACCACACAACCCAATTATTATTTCTCATCGCATCTGCTTGTCTTCATCTTGAATGTCTTTTTGCAAGCGTCATTTGCTCGATTTTTCCTTCATGGCTGCGAGATCTCCCTGTCGCGCATCTGCGACCGCAATCATATAGTTCCCAAGGCGAAAGACAGCACCAAACTGATATTCTTCCTCTCCAGGCCAAAATTGTCGATTCTAATTTTTGAATCCTCTAATTCTTCTCCGAGTCAAATCTCAGGTGAGTTTTTCGATGCGCGATTTTTCCTTCTCGTGTCATTGCCGGACTTGCGACCGCGAGCGCTGTTTGTGGGCGCGCGCACCACCCAGCTTCTGCGCGCACTCGAGCAATCTCCCCTCAACCCCCATCCTCTGGCTTTGGTCTCGTCTCTTTGATCCCCCCTTGGATACTTGTCGACTTCTTCAGTCTTTCCTGTTCGAAATTCCTCTTTCAATTGACAGCTCTCTAACACCTCTCCTCTACAGTCCCCTTCACAATGCCTAAGGAAAAGACCTCCACCCGCACCAAGACCAAGCGTGTCGAGAGAAAGAAGAAGGGTATGTTTTGTGTGTCCTGCTGGGCGCACCGTCGCTTGACTAACAGCCGTCGCAGACCCCAATGCCCCCAAGCGTGGTCTTTCCGCCTACATGTTCTTCGCCAACGACAACCGTGACAAGGTTCGCGAGGAGAACCCCGGTATCTCTTTCGGTAAGTTCTCATCTTTCAACATTTGCAGGCTTTCTTCAGTGGATGCTCATGTTCGCTACAGGCCAGGTCGGCAAGATGCTGGGAGAGAGATGGAAGGCCCTGAGCGACAGCGAGCGCCGGCCCTACGAGGAGAAGGCCGCCACCGATAAGAAGCGTTACGAGGATGAGAAGGCGAGCTACAACGTGAGTTATCCTATTACCATCTGACTTCGAAATGGATTCACTCTCTGACAACAATCTTGAAACAGGCTGCGCAGGAAGAAGACGAAGAGGAATCCTCTTAAATTGTCTCCTTTCGTTCATAGGTCTTGAGTGTCTGGACCGAATGGCGTTGTTGAGTCGTGTTTCACTGCTTGTCTAACTTGTATTCGTCGGTTTTCTCTCTATACTCCTTTCTTTTTTTTTCTCTCTCTTTGTTTTGTCTCCAACGGCTTCTGGGATGGGATGACGGTGGTTTCTCGACTTGCTTTTCTGTTCATGAAGGATTCTCAATGGGAAATGTTGTTTACTGTACGGACTGGATTACACTGGACTTGAACCAGGGAAGAGGTTAACCCCTGGTTTGAGCCCGGGGCGGAGGGATAATGACTGGGGATGCAGAAAGCGATTTGAATGAAGCAAGCAAGATGCTGTATACTAGCTTAATCAACCGCATCCTTTCCACCATGTTGTTTATTTTATTTGGGGATGATGGACAGCTGAGAGGAGAGTTGAGACTTACAAAGAGTCGAATCTTGCAGCTCAGCGATGTGGCCCAAGCTCCCGCAGAATGACGCGGGGCCCATTTGTTTACGTGTGGCGATTTGCAAGTGGACGCGTCGCAGCTCCGATATCTCCGACGGCTGCCTTGATGCCTTGGGCTCATGTAGCCTCATGGTCGATCTATATCTACCTACTACAATGCTTCTCTTTCAAAGGATATTCTGTCCATCGAACTCGGATTAGCCCCGCCAAGAACTCAGGCTGATTGATCATTGATGATGAGAATTGAGAAACCGATAGTGTCTGTCTCGGGATCTGCAAGGAATGCGAGGTAGAATCGTTTAGAGTTGCTTGTCAGTGTCAACTTTATACGCTGACAGTGACTGACAGAAGGCTTTGAAACTCTTCATCTTATCGATCGTCATGGCTTGTTCTAATCTCTACGGACTGTCTAGGCTACGGAGTATACCCTCGACAGAGAGCCTAACTGTTACCTGGATCCTCCTAAGGTCGCGGAGTGGCCGACATCAACAACCTCCTCCATTATTGGTCCTCAAAGCCTGTCCTCTGCACGACCACGTCGACCACTTTGATTAGACGGCCCGAGGGAGGAATCTATCTTTTGCTGGGGGGTTTCGCTCCAGAGCCGCAGAGGAATTGGGGTCTGAGGATCTTTGAGACGAGACAACTCAGGGTCTCCAACTGTCTAACTATCTATTTACCTTCTAGATATATCGCTGGAATAGACCGTTGACACTCTTTTGACTCAGATCTTGTGCCCCACTTGAGGATTCTTGACTCTCCAGAGTATTTTTTTACTGTCCGCTTCATATCGTTCTTCTTCTATCTTTTATTCTTCCTTCTATTCTTCAAGCCTCTAGTCCAAGACATAGCGTTTGTTTGTTCACCTGTTTGCTTCCTTTGTGTCCGGGGTTGTTGTTTGGACAGAAGCTTCTTTTTGTCGCTTCTTCTCCCTTCCACCACTACGATCTACTACTAACTACTGGAGCCTCTAAGTCGACATGCATCCGAGGGCTGATCCCACCGATAACACAACACCATTATTTTTCAAACAGTAATAGTCCGATCTTCGTCTGAGCTGGTCGTTGCGTGCCCCTCCGATTCTAACTCTTTCCCTCTCTCTCTCCAACGGTGAGCAGAACACAATTTGTATCCTCTTCCATGTAAATCCAGTCCGATAGCAACTACACACTTTCCTGCAATCCCTGTGTATATGCTTTCCCACCTCGACTACTTGTTTCTCAATCTCGACAATCCCTTCTGTCCTTGACAAGTTGACAGCCGTATATAAAACCAATCAACTTTTCTGGAAAGGAAAAAAGAAAAGAAAAAAACCCCGCTACATGACCGCCGCTCGGTGATGTGAGAACTCAAAATGGCTTTGCGAACATCAGCCGACAACGCAGAGGATGTGGCAGCCGGTTTTCGTATGCTCCGCGATCCTCTGGATGAACATGCGACAGAGATCACTGCTCTCATTGCTGATCTCTATAACATCAGTACGTCGCTAAAGAGCCTGGACGACCTCACCAAGAATCGCCTTTATCGACGCACCGTGAAAGCAGCCGAGCCCGATCTGGAACTCGTGCAGACCAGCTTGAAATATACGCTGGAAGACATTGTCGATTTCTTCGGTGACATTGAAGCGCGAACAGGATCGAATCGCGACAATTACAAACGCACATGGCTCGAACTCAGCTCGTTTTTTCGCAAGGAGTCGCATGAACCTCTGCCCTCGCGGCTGGTCAAGTACAAGGCGTTCCTGGGACACCTGGAAGATCTGATCAAGGGGTGTGTTTGTAACCCCATTGACCGCTATCTCGTCCGCTAAAACTGATTTTTTTTCTTTTTTCAACGGTAGCAACCTTTCGGATATCTCGCGCTTGAATAGCTTACGCAACTTCTTGAAAGGACTCCTCATACAGCAAGAGGACCGTCTGACGACACGCTTCAGCAGGCTTTCGATGAGTAGCCCTTCTTCGAGCAGTACCAGCGCCGATCCAGGAAGCCCAGTGAGTGATCGGCGACCTCGCAATCGCAGGTCTTATGAACGGGCGAGACCCTCTCATCGCTCGCCGCATTCGCCGCATTCGCCGCATTCGCCTCTGTCGCCTTCGTCAGCGACATTTTCAGATATCCCACCCTCGGCGCCAGATGCGCCGGGGTCGCCTCTGACTGGTTCCACAACCACAACCAGCCAATCCGACTCTAATGCGATGACGAGCGATCATTGGGCTAAGCGGGTGTTCCTGGAGGAAATCACAATGACGCCGATCCCCAATCGAGGCGACAGGTGAGGAGAGTTAATGATTTCTTACTGTTCAGGTACTGATCTTTGCCTCCCAGGTCGGAATGTCTCGGAGACCATCAGCCTGGGCTCAAGCGATGGCTGAGTGAAATGGAGTTTGAGGAACTCTTCCAACTGTGAGTCCTATTATACGCTAAGCGAGTCATACAACAAGCCGTTAATCATAGCAGGGCGTTCACCGGCGACTCGGACCTGCGAGTCTACTTCTACCTTCGGGAGGACGATAATCGAGTACGGATCGTGTGCAAGGCTCCCCACACCTCACGACCAAGCGAATATTTCTGCTTACCTTTGAACCTCTTGGAGATCGTCCGGGTTGGCTCCTGTCTCAACCTGTGTCGGCGACGGCATGGGGGGAGCGAACTCGAACTGTGGGCGAACCTCAAGTTCAGCGCCATTGAACGTATGTCTTCACCTTATGTCAATTACAGGAAGATAACTGATACGTTGAGATAGAAATGGTGTTGTTCTTCTGCACATTTCTCGCCCTGCGCTCGCAGGACGGAGGTCGGCCGGTAGAGGGCATTCGCGACTACGAGCTGGATAAAGAAGAGGAACTCTTTGGCGGGTAAGCTCCCCCCCTCCATTAAAAAAAAGTGTCTGACTGCTGATATTTACCAACACGGACTGGCAGACAAATTCTCGACGACGATTATCTGCACGCCTTGCGCGTGTACCGCGACAGAGTCTCCAAAGCCGTGCGACTGCAGGCCTCGGTCCACAAAGGCGAGATGAAACGGTATGTAGCGAAACACCCCCCTGATATCCCTAGACTTCAGCCTGATCCTTTTTTTTTTTTTTTTCCTGCGCATAGTGCACCCGTCTGGACTGCCTTCATCACCGAGCACATTGGCGCCCGCAACTGGATCCAGTATCGGCCTGGCTCCAAGATAGTCCTGCTACGTGAGATCCAACAGCACATCTTCATGTTCTCGACAGATTACTCGCCGAGAAAAACGTCGAGGGGAGAGCACATCCTGCAGTTCACAAACCGCGCTGGTAGGTTTCACAGTTCTGTCTGTAATCATAGTACTAATGTGTTTGGCAGACGCGCAAGCCTTCGTGGAGACCATCACGGAGCTTGCCGAGACGCGCGGAAGACGACCTTGAGCAGGTTGTGAGGAGAGTGTTGGTTCGAGTTTGAATAATAGGAAATACTCATGATTTATGCGCCATGACTGATGAGAAATGTTGATGACTGAGCGGCTTACTCTAGCGATGGCTATGTGGGAGGATACCTTGCTATCCTGATGAAGCATCTATACAGGCCGAGGCCTATAATCACAATCACAAAATTCGATATCTGTAAGGGGGTATCATATAGAAAAGCAGAGTACAGTGCGTAAAAGTCAACTATCATTGAGCATCCGCCCTCAACGCTCCCAGATCCCCTAGTCCAGCCAAAAACGTCTCTGCCCATCTCCTCGTCCGAAGCTCCTCGATCTGCCTCCTCCGCTCATCCTTCACGCGCTCGCGCTGGGCCCGTCTCGCCTGCCTCGCCTCACGCTCCCTCTGCGTCTCCTCTCTCGCACTCATCAGCTCCTCCATCTGCTTCCTCCTTGTCTCCTCATCTCTAGCAAAAGCGTAGAATCCCGTCCCGCGGTTCCGCACCTCCGCCTCCGCATCGTAATGCGTCTCCTCCGGTGGCGTAGGCGAGCGGTCCCGCCGCGCAGCCAGCGAGGCCATCTCCGCCGCCGCAGTGGACGACAAACTAAACGCCTCCGCCTGCACCGCAGCCCCGTAGATCAAATTCTCCGGCCGCGCGGGACGCCAGCGCTCCGGGCCACGAGCCTCGCCGGCCTCCTGCGCCCTGGCGACCGCAGCGCGTGCGGCTTCCGCCCGAGTCCCGCGCCGCGTCCGCCCCAGCTCATCTTCATACGACACAATCGACGCATTGTCATCATCATCCTCCCCTTCCTCTTCACCTCCATCTTCAGATCCATCATCAGACCCCTTCGCCCGCTGCGCATCGGCCCACTTCCGGTCAAAATCAATCAACCCCTCCCTCTCCTTCCTCCGCAGCCGAGCCAGATAATCTTCCTCCCGCGTCCCTGGTGTGTCCTCATCACTATCCCCAGCCAGATACAACCCACTCTTCAGATCCTCGTAGACCCGCGCTTTCTCCTGCAGACGCCGCTTCGAGCGGTGCAACGCCGCCGCGTCGACGGCGCCGATGTCCTGCGTGCGCTTGTGCACCTGCGCCATGGCCGTGCCGCTGTCGTCGTCGTCATCGTCGCGGAGGTCCGCGGCCGCGCGCTTCTGGGCCCCTTTGTTGTGTACGCTGAAGATGTCGGATTTGGTGGATTTGGAGGGTCGTGGGCGGCCGCGGGTGGAGGTTGAGTCGGCGGTCTTGGAGAGTAGGGAGGAGAGTTGGCTTGTGAAGGCGAGGGTGGAGGCGGAGGGGGCGGTGGATTGGGATGTTGGTTTTTTATGACGCGGGGCGCCGTAGAGAGAGGGATCTGACATTTGTGGTAGGATTGCGCTTGTTGTTGGAGGTTGGATGGGATGGGGAGTGTTTGATGGGGAAGGGGGAGAGTTGGAGTAGATAGATATAGAGAGTGAAGCTGCTGAAGAATTGGCGATTAGATAAGGCGCCGTTGTCGTGCTGCGGGCTATGCCTCAGGCCGATAATCGCTGCCCCGCGACCCCACGATCGATGGATCACTTTTGCTTCCTTTTTCTAATTCATCTTCGTCCATATTGATTGACTGCTTAAAGTATCTTTCTTTCGTTGTCTGTTTTCCATTCCTTTCCCAAAAAGTAATTGGATTCGATTCTTGATTGTCTATACTGCTGCTTGTAGCATCTCTCGACTATACCCTCACAATTGACCATGTCTAACATCTATCTCGGTGTCATCGGTGAGTGATGCGTCACGCATCAACCTACAAGCTCGCCTCATCCCCATTGCTAATATTGCTGGTAGGCGTCGGTGGTGTTGGAACCGCCTTCCTTAGCCAACTCGCCCATCTCCCCAATGCCCCCAAGCTGATCTTCCTGGCCCGTTCGACGCAGACTTTCCTGGCCCCGACACCGGCCTACTCCCCCGCCATCCCCGCTGGTGACTGGAAGGCGGCCACCGAGAACTCCTCGCTGACCAAGTCGGGCCCTCTGTCCCCAGAGGAGATCGCCTCGTACCTCGCGTCCGCCCCCGGCCGCTCCATCCTGGTCGACAACACCAGCGACCCGACCCTGGCCAGCTCCTACCCCATCTTCCTCCGCAAGGGCATCTCCATCGTCACCCCGAACAAGAAGGGTTTCTCCTCAGACCTGGCGCTATGGAAAGATATCTTCGCCTCCGCCGCGCAGGGTAAGGCGCTGGTGTACCACGAGAGCACCGTCGGCGCCGGCCTGCCCGTCATCTCGACGCTGCGCGATCTCGTTGCCACGGGCGACGAGGTCACCCGCATCGAAGGCGTGTTCTCCGGCACGCTGTCGTTCCTGTTCAACACCTTCGCGCCCGTCGGCGGCGCCTCGTCCGCCAAGTGGAGCGAGGTCGTTGCCCAGGCCAAGGAGCTGGGCTACACGGAGCCCGACCCGCGCGACGACCTCAACGGCATGGACGTCGCGCGCAAGCTGACCATCCTGGCGCGCATTGCTGGCCTCGACGTCCAGGGCCCGGACTCGTTCCCCATTGAGTCGCTCATCCCCGCCGAGCTGGCCTCGTTGCCCTCGACGGCCGACGGCATCGCGCAGTTCATGACGCGGCTGCCTGAGTTCGATGCGCAGATGGCTGCCATCAAGGAGGGAGCCGAGAAGCAGGGTAAGGTTGTGCGGTATGTCGGCAGCATCGATGTGGGCAAGAAGGAGGTGCGCGTTGGACTGCAGCAGTTCAACAAGGACAGCGCTATTGCGGGACTCAAGGGTAGCGACAACATCATCAGCTTCTACACGAAGCGGTACGGCAGCAACCCACTCATTGTGCAGGGAGCCGGTGCCGGCGGCGATGTGACCGCCATGGGCGTGACGGCGGATCTCATCAAGGTCATTCAGCGTCTGGAGTAGATTTTCTGTGCCACGATTGGGCCAGCTGTGCTCTAGATAGCAAGCAATAACGATAATAAATGCACTTCAACTCCGCAGATAATGCTTGACCGCCTCTCCCCAGACAGACGCCCGCTTATACCAATGGATTTCGGGCACATTCCCTTCCTTCATCCCATCAATAGCCGTCGCCAGCTCATCACCCAGCCCTTCCTCCTTCACCGCGCGAATCGGATACGTATACGTATGGAACGCAAAAACCAGCGCCCTACTCTGTGGAAGCCGATGCAGCGTCTGCCGCTCACACCGCAGAACAGTCTGTAGGACACCATCAGCACCGCCCCTTACCTCGCTCACAATTCTTTCTCCACACGGGGTAGAAGCGTAGAACCAAAACTCACCGCATCGACATCCAACTCCCCCGGCTGAATCCCGTCCCCGTTCCCCTCAGCCCCGGATCCGTGAACGCCCCCAAACGCAGCAAAAAGTCCCGTCCCCGTTGTCACACTCCAGTTCACCCGCTGCACAAACCTCCCCACCTCCAGCCGCGCAAAGAACCGGTCCATGCTCCGCTCCAGCGTCGCCGCGTACCCCGGCACCGGCTCGTGGATCTCCGCCAGCCGGCGGCCCAGCTTCGTGCGCGTGTCAAACCCAGAGGGGAAGTAGGCCGTGTATGCCTCGAGGATGTAGCGCTCGGGTGCGTGCGAATCCGCGCGCTTGTCATCGCCATCCACTTTGACCTCCGCCTCTACCTCCGGTAGCAGGATGAGAAAGTCCTCGTCGACGATCTGGCCGAGCGTCTCCAGCGCCTCGATGGTTGGTTCACTGCCACTGCCACTACCACTGGCATCTGCGTCTGCGTCGAATATCGCGGGGACGACGCGGCCCGTGACCCGGTTCTCGAGGAGGGGCTTGCCTCCTGCGGGCGTGGAGAGGCGGAACATGCGTGGATACCGCGTGGGGAGATAGGTGGATAGCAGGAAGGTGTAGAGCTCGCTGACTGCGGCGCGGGTGCGGGGGCAGGAGGGGTCGTTGACGCCGAGGATGACGTCTCGGTGGGCTTGGAGGAGGGTGGCGCGGTGTGCCATTCGTTGCTTGTATGTCTTGTCCATGGGGATGAGGGCTGATGGGTCCAGGGTTGAGAGGGCTGGGGGGTGGGTTAGTTAGCTGTGAGGTCTGTAATTGTAGCTGCGCCTGCGCCTGCGCCGGCGGAGTGGTCGGGAGGGGTAGACAGACCCATTGTTAAGTGGTATTTTGGTTTGAATGGCCGGAAGACCAGTGGTTCGGTCGTCTGCCAGTCGAAGTCAGGGAGGGGGTCGATGGGGGGATACCCCCGGTATGGATCTGGGGCATGTTTGGATGGGTTTGGAGTCTGGTTTCTGTGTCAGAAGGTGTTGTATGTCCATGCATTGTGAGTGGAGAAGGACGGACGTTTCGGTTCCAGTAGCCGAATAGCCAGATGCTCAGGACGAGGAGCAGGATGATGAGTGGGTTGCGCTCGATATAGATCTGCCATGACTGGACATGGTCTTGGAGCTTCGCGAGAGACATGCTTGTGATGTGATAGTATCTATGATCCATCCATCCATGGGCAGGCTATATAAGTTTGGACCGAACCAAGATGGATCATCGTGTGTACACCGACTCGATATCTGTAGCAGACATCGTGAGTTGCGATTATGATTGGTGGAGTCAACCGTAGACAACGCCGAGTCAATAGTTATATCACCGAGCATATTCTAAAGGTTGTCATGATTCACCTGCAGCTGATAGCCTGAAGCTAAGTTGAAGCAGTGGCATTAGTGATAATCACCATCCAACAGGTAGATAAGTATAAATATACATACAATATTACAACTAGAATATGAGGACCTATGTAATTAATGCTGAAAATAACTACTACTAAGGCTATAAATAGCTATATTTCTACCTATAATTTCCTTTAGTAAGCTATTACTTTAGCACTTAAGCATATATTATAGACAATATGTGTCACGTGAGGCAGAAGAATAGTCCAATAGTGTCCACATCCATTGCCCTTCCTGGTCATCACGTAAACTGATGCCCCTTTCACGCCGACAAACAAATCAAAAACACTTAAAGCTGGCAGTGTCCCCCCACACGAGAACCATGATTACTAAATTTCGCTTCAGTGGCCAACAGCTAGATAACGACCTGGTTGTATCAATTTCTTATCTGCTTGATGCGGCTAATGTTCCAAATCTTCTGTGGGGCAACTATCTATTGACCGTCTACGGAGTCCCCACGATTGTTGACGTTAGTCGCCTCTCCAAACGAAATTTTCTTTTACTGGAACACCACTGCCAGCATGGCTCATTCGACAGATCAGTCATGAAGCCGGAGGAAATTTTGCTGCTGCCATGTTTGGGGTCGACTACTTTCTCGTGTGTCGAAGGACAATAATGCGTCAGAACAATTACTTTCCGGTCAGGCTCCAGGCGCGAAATCGACTCAATCTCCTCGTTCAGCCAGTTCAGATCTGCAAAATGTGCTTCTTGATGGGCTTCTATCGACCAATCGCGAGTGTTGTAGAAATCGTTGAGCCCAAAACTGACGCTGTCTGTCTGTGCGCGGCTGACATGTGAGAACAGCGTGCATCCAAGAATGGTGAGCGTGGGTGAGATGTCGTAGCGGGTCTGATCAAGTAGAACGAGCTTTCCAAGCGTCTCGCCCCCTCGAATGGATTCGTCTATGTCGTCTTTGAAACATTTCACGCTAGATTTTGTCTCTGCCCGACTGCTGTGATAGGCTTCATGGTTGCCTATAACCAGGAAGACGATCCGGAAGATTGTAAGTTGCTTTGCGTAGAAAGACAAAGAAACCGTTATCCTTAGCGTAGCCAATATCACCTAGCAATGCCAAAAATGGCGCCTTGGAGTTGATGTTAAAAATATCGTAGGCTTGCGGAAATGTGGTCAAGGCACAGGTAGATCTTAGCGCTTGAGTTCGACAAGGCTGCGGAAGTGACGTAAGCTTAGCGCCGCAGCCGTGGTGAATAATGGGACTTCATTGGCCCGCTATCCGAAGTCAGGGCTGGCATAACTATTGAAGTTGAAACCATAGAGCCTCGTGGTTGCATATTGATCTTTGAAGCTATATCCTAACTGACAGCCTGGTGATTACTTCGTCTCGCTATTTTGAGAAGCATGCTATCAGATACGCATACGTACAAACTTTGGTCTTCGAAGCGTGCCACTAGTGCAGGATTCGATTAATTGGTTGCAGCAAATGCTCTATGCACAAGATAAGATATGACGTCTTTTGCGCCAATTCGCATTAACATACCTCAGCGGTTAATTTGACAACCAGTGGTTTCGATGAACTCCAGGACTTCGACTATTCACCCTTCCGCTGGGAGCTTTACGCACATACGCAAGACTCATTGGCTTTTATGCTTTTCTTCTAATTATGGTTGCATAAATATATGGCTGTAAGCTCTATGCCTGACCAATGGTCGTTGGAAATTTCTGAGGATGCTTCGTATTGACTACCAAAACTCATCATGTGCTAGGCAGTGCCTAGGAGCGCATCAGACCAATATGTACAAAGGAGATGAGCAGTTTGCCCAAGGAATATTAGTCCATCCTTGCACTGTCTAATTTGCATAGGATTTCCCCATTCAACGGACATGAAACTGGGCAGTCTGGGTATGTACCTCCCGCTGATCACCGATCACCTGATCACCCAGGGTGATGTGAGAATGAGTATCCAAGCTATAACTGCCAAGACTACATTCTCGAGCTTCTTGATGACTTGGAGAAGAAAGGTATAAACAACCATAACAACGCGAGTTATAAAACAAACAGGAAGACTATCGAGGGCAAGCAGGAAGGATTTAATTAGCAATAGGGTCCGATGGAATCCCTCTTCAGGCTGTTGGTGTCTTTAAAGTTCCCCGTACATTGTGGCCTTGTGCCTTAACTTGGCTGAATAGTGGACTTGGAGACACTTCAGCCGTACCAGGAGTGCATTCTCTTTGGATGAATATAGTCTTTGTTTTGCAAACGTAGTAGCAGCGAGGGGATCGAAGCGACGCTGATCGATCATCCCTCGAAGGTCGACGGGGGTGGCAGGGCCAAGATTCACCCGATCCTGGGATTCGATTTTGGGGTTGGGGGTTGGTTCGCAAACTAGCAAGCTGTTGAGGGTGGCCTAAGCACACAGAAACCCGCCTTTGTCAGAGGGTTATTAAGAGCTGTTGTCCTGCCAAAGTTCCAATATTTCTTGTTCGGTCTTCGCAGCTATCGACGTATGACCGTATACACCACAGATCTTCCCTGCTTCTCTACCATTACGAGCCACCCTGCCGCACCAACAAAACGACAAGGCTGAACCTGGGGTTCGTCATCCAGATGATTCTGTATCTTCTTTTTTTGGTGGGTTGGCAGGGAGACAAGGTCCTTAATGTTTTGTCACACATGGATCTTTACAACTTGCTATGGAATGTTCATCTTCTGGTCGTGCTCTGCAAAACTAATTCCATTATGCCGCGAACCACTTGTCTTGCAAAAGCTCTGCTGCGGAAGGTCTGTCTCTTGGATCAAGCTTCATTACTTTTAAAACAAAGTCCTTGTACTCCTTGGATATTTCCTGTTCTGAAATCCGGAAGAAAAGCTTTCTCCTTTCGGGCGGAATTCTTTGCATGATATATGCAAGGGCATTCAACTCCTCCTGAGGGCAGATTTCGCGATATGTCAAAGGGAATGGCCCAAAGAACTCACACTGCCTCTGAAGAATCTTCAGTTCATAATCATCATGATCTGCGGGAACGTCTGGTTTGAATATGAAGAAATTGCCTCCATATAGCAAGGTTATAAGCTGGTGGAGAGTCAACGTTGCTCGACAAGTCAAAGAGGTTGGAACGAACATACTAATGCTCCAAAGGACCATATGTCTGTTGGTGTACCCCAGCCGATTCGGAGCTGCGCTTCAGGGCTCCTCCAGATAGGTGCTCCAATCAAGCCACCATCCTTAGCTTATGCAGAATCTGAAGGAACCGTACTCCCACAGTCTGCTACTTGAACATCTGTAAATCGCACATCCCCTTGGCCATAGTTTACAAGAATGTTGTCGGGCTTGATGTCTTCAAGAAAGATAAGATAGTGAATATAGCCCAGATGATAATTGCACTTACCTGTGTGTACAAAATTATCCTCATGGAGAACCTTTAGGGCTTCTAAAATCCTTCTTGCAACATATCTGATCTCCAGATTTGTAAGTCGTTGAGAGACAGACGCATTCAGAAGATGATCGTCTAAATATCTCAAGACTATGGCAGGTGGGTCAACCGGCTCGACTATTTCATCGATTAAAGGACGTATGAAGGGAGTACGAGATCGAAAGCGGTTCAACACGTCGCGCTCATTCTGGAGGCGAAAATGATGGACGCTTTTCACAATCACGGGTTCATTGCTTTCGCACCTGCTAAACAGTCCATTATAAACCGACCTTTAAGGTCTCGTGCGTTTGGAGTAGCTTCGCACCTTGCAAGCCAAACTGTCTCTTGTAGTTGTTTGCCAACGGTGTATATTCCATTCTCACCCCGAAGGAATTGGCCTATTCGGAGGGAAGACGTCATGGCGACTTGCATGGATCCGAGCTTTATCGTCTTTTCTTCTTTGCTCTTGGTTTCTTGATCGAAGTGGAAGAGCTCTCACCAACAGGCCTAAGAGGCAAATCCAATTATACCAAGGTATTCAGGATCGGACTTTTGAGCCGGCGGTGCTCTGAGATTACACGACAGGGCGCGCGGACCTCCATCAAATTGGTTGTGTGTCGCCGGGATTCTATCTTTACTTTATTCTCTCCCTCAGGTTAGGGGAAAAGCTGCAGTCGCATCGAAGTGCTTGACTGGCGTGGCGACACAACCATGTTCGTCCAGCTTTTATTCGCTTCGACCGACTCTTGACTCTATTTGCGCTCTAAATATGAAGCGAGGCGTGTGATCTGTGGTGCATACCTCTGTCCAGCTCGCCGTTGTCGTCCACTCGTGACAATATCTACAAGAAATCTGAAACAATAGCTATACTTCGTCTTCCTATCTTGTCCTTCCGGCGCCTATAGCTTTACATTTTGGGCAGAACCAAAGGACAAACTTTTCGCGCTTCGACAGCAGAACATAGTAGCATGGATTTGCCATTTCCATGTAGTCCAAACCGCCTTAACCGTGGAATTGCAGATCCAGCGGTCCAACCACGCCATGTAGCGCCTTGACATTGTTGTTGCATGCCTCCCTGTTCAATATTCAACCAATTGCGAACAGTGGTCCCAACCAAGGTTTCGGTCGACCCAATGGATTTCGGGGGGGAAGAAGAAGTTGGGAGAGGGGATGGTTAGAACAGCGAGGGGACGGTTCTTATATACTAGAGGTCACGATGCGGGCGGTGTTTACAAGACAACGTATCGGGAGACCATACCCAAAACGGCAAAACTAACCACAAGAGGGAATTCACAGGGCCTTACTTTACATCCTACATATAGAACCACCAAAGCACCTCACCTTAGACAAATCAAACTATAAAATCAACACAGACACAAACACAAACACACCATGGGTATCAATACAAGACGCACACAGGAATCAATCAAAACAACAAGTCTCAAACGCAGTTGAACAGTCCACAAAGCCAATCCATCCCACACATACACACACATAGACACACACACACACACTCGCCCTATCTGAATATCCCATCAATCTCATCCATCACCCTCCTCCCCCTTCTTCCTCTCCACCAGCTCACCCTCCCCCACTGCCCCCGCAAGCCCAAACACCCGCCTCTGCACCTCCGCCGTCTCATTCAGCGTCGGCGCGCGCGGTCTCTGCCTGCCTCGCGCCCGGCCGCCGATAACCGGGACCTCGTGCGCGACCATCCGCCAGATATACAGAAGCACGTCGAAGATTATGAGCGCCGCCCAGGGGAAAATGGTGACGATGCCGAGGAAGACCTGCGTGTAGACATCCCCCTATTAGCATTGCAGTGCATTGCCTTGTCCCGAACCAAGCTCATCTGGCGTCCAAGGGCGGAAGGGGAAGGAACGTACGAAGATCCGAGCAGCCCAGCTCTCGACGTAGATGAGGTTGGGTGGGAGGATGGAGTACCACGCCATTATAGATCTATAGCGTAGAGGATGTGGAGGTGTGTTTGGTTTGGTTTGGTTGCTGGGTGTCCCAGGGGTGGGGGGGAAAGCTTAGGTCTGCAGGATAACTGGGGTAGAGGAGATCCCGCGAGGATGTGGTTATTCGAGAAGCATCGGCAATGGAAGTTGGAAATGGAGAATTGGGGTTGATTGGAGGGCCGAGGCGTGGTGGTTTGTTTGGTCAGGCTGCAGGGTTGTTTTGAATGCGGAGGTGCGGCGGTGCTGGTCTTATCGGGTCGAGGATTGAGGATGGACGACGAGTCTTTGGGAAGACTGGGATTGAGACGGCATGCCTTGGTGCAGAGAACTGCGTTGTGGAATAAAAGAGAGAAGAGCAGTGCTGCAAGGAGATGTGAAGAGATAGGAAGAAGAGATGCTGCTGTTAAGTTGTTCATAGTCCATCCGAATGCCGCTTCCGCCTGGCCCAATCGGGAAAATTGTACTCCGTAATGCATCGCATCAATAGTGTGACGTGGGTCCTGACTACCTGGAAATCGTTTACTGATAAGATCGATCTTTGTTGAGAGACAATTTAATACAATCCTCTCTCTATTCGCGAATACATGATCTCTACACATATCCAATATATTCAGACTCATAATGTAAATCGTCAAGCCGTATGCAGGCGTCAAGTCGTTAACTCCGTGTCCAACTGTACAAATCCCCGTCACAGATCTATGCAAAAAAAAAAAAAAAAAGCGAGCCAAATGGTCTATAAACACCTCAGTCATATACAAATCCCGCCTCAAGAATCACTATTGCGGCATGCGATAGAGTTCATACGAGGTGATCGGGGGATCGTCCTGAGCAACAGGCCCATAACCCCCCTGCCGCCACCGACCCAGCGAGGCAGCGGAGGTGTCGCTCGTGCCTGGTCCCTGCGCCTGACTCAGAAGCTGCTGCGATTCGCTCTCGCTCGGATGCCGATACAAGGCCCCTCCCATCGCGGTGCTTTCTTCGTGCGAGAGCGGCGGGCGGAAGGCAGGGTGGACATCGCTCGTTGCCATCTCGTAGCTATCGTGCGTCCTAAGTCCGGATAGTGAGGGGACCGATGGCGTTGGAGACGAGGCTCGCGACGTGGTCGGAGACCATTCGGCCAGGTGGCTCTTGGGTGTATGGGACCGTTCGGTCATCAGATCCTCAGGTCGGCCGTAGATGCCACCGCCAAACTCGTCGCGGAAGTCGGGACGGTCCTTGTAAAATGAAAAGTCTAATTGACTCTCGGGGACGACTTCGAAGGGCGCCGGGGCAGAGGCGTCCATTGCCTTGCCCGGTTGCGCGGCGGACATGGGGTCCATCGCAATGTCCGAGTACTCGCCCTGCGCGTCTGTGGCGTTCAGTCGTCCGCGATAGATTTGCTTGAGTACCTCGGCGGCTTTTTCGTGTACCATCGGGGTGATCAGAGGCTTGTACAGGGCCGGATGGCCAAATTTGGAGTTGAGTCGGTCCGAGGACGGCTTCTTGCTCGACTTGCCAACCGCAAACGCTTCGGCATCGGTCAGGTTGGCCCGGTTGTAGTATTTGATGTCATCGTCGAATTTCCTCATGCAGTAGAACTTGAAGCCCAGCATCAGGAACGGCAGTGGAACCACGCAGTAGACCATGTTCCAGGTACCCTTGGTCTTGGCCACCAGTGCAATCACTACATCAGACAGAATGGTCGCGAAAATCAGACGGTTGAACAGGACCCGCCAGAACTGGCCCCCGGACTCGTTCTTGGTCACGAAGACGTAAAGGAGCAAGTACTTCTTAAGCATCGCATCCAGACCGAAATACAACGCAGTAACCGGGAGCACAATGGGCTGCAGCGTGGCGAAACACAGAGCCACGGTTGCGTAGAACAAGAAATAATTGTAGTAGCTAGCGTATTCAAATGACGGGGGCGCGGTCCATTCGATGGCCTGCCGGGGCGTCGGCGCGAGGAAGGTCTTAGAGAACCAGACCCAGAAGAGTGTGACCAGCTGCACCAGGTCGATCGCCGCTCCCAGGTTGCGCTGCAACAGCCACGTAACCCAGAACGGAGACACCTGACACAGCGCGCTCATGACCTTTTCGTAGAAAGCACCATCCTGCAGTGCTTTCCAAGCATTCTCGTCACTATTCCGCGCGTCCACGACGGCGGCAACGAAGGTCCATGCAGCAGAGAAGAGGGAGAAAACAATCAAATTGTTGAACACGAAGAACGAGTACAAATTGCTCAGGACGTGGCGCTCGCGCGATGTCTTGGACACATCACCTGCCTTGATCGACAGGCGACGGAAGATGATGGGCAGGACCAAGTAGACAAGCGAAGTGAGCGCAGGGGAGAGAATACCCTGAACTGCTGCCCATACGCCCGGATTCGCACTGAGCGAGGTCTGAAAAGCCGGCCAGACCAGACCAAGGTTGTTCAAATTAGACAGGAAAATGGCGATCAAGGCGTTGGGAGCAATCCACACCACAGTCAACAGCGAAACCCAGATGAAGTTCATGAATCGTCTCCATTTACGGGTCTGCTTCGACAACGGCAGATTCTCCCAGATGAGATCGTTCGGTCGCGGCGACAGCCTGATCGTTGTGCCCTTGGGGTGCTTCTTCCGCGCTGTATATGCCGCCGCATGTGCATGCTCAATCATTTCCCAGCTGACGAAACCAAACGGCATGGCGTTTCGCTTGTCAATCGACGCACGGACGTGCCGAATCTCTTCCTCAAGCCGTTGGATACGATCCGCGAGGAAATCGATAGCATCGACTTTGCAGTCTGGGTGGTCACCCCGTTGCTTTTTTGAAGGGCGCATCAATGGCCGCTGAGCAGGCAGTTGATTTGGTCGCTTGAGGTATTTCGCCAGTACGGACTCCAGCTGGCGGACGGTTTCCTCATGCTCCTTGATTAAGATGGGCAGGTCCTTGACGTTTCGCCCGATGGAGGCTCGAGGAATAGCAGCGGATGGGTTGATCCCATCCACGAGGCGTAGGAGCGCTTCATCCGAGCGTGCCTCATTGGGGATATCTGTAATCTAAAAACCGTTAGCATTGCCAAAACAAAACAAAAAAAAAAAAACAAAAAAAAAGTCAAAGTTCACCCTGCGATCAAACATACCATCAATGTCCGCGAATGTAGACTGTGCTGATAGTCACGGCTCTGGAAATATTTCCTCCGCAAAGCCGTGACCGCCTTATAATTCCTCCAGAGAAAAAACGCAATGATGCCGTTGAAGAGCCAGGCACAGATGACTTGACTCCAGATCGCCTCCGTCGTGACATAAAGCGGGGTCATCGTCGCGAACGCCGACAACGACGAGCGGAATGTAGCGTTGCTCTGGGTGATATTGACGGGAATCATGACGCCGCAGCCAATGATACTGAGGATAATAAAGATATTGCGACACATCTTGGTGAAGCGCAGAAAAATCGTCGCATCGAGACCTATGCATTCCACGAGCTGGGGCTCCCTCGTGCGCAGGACGGGGCGAATCCAGGCGAAGAAGCCCTTCCCCACCGGCGGCGGGGTATGTCTGCGATCCGCATGTTTGACTTTGGGCGCGTAGACGAGAGAGTGATGAGGACGGAAGAGGGAGAAGAGGAGGGCGAGGAGGACGGAGATACCGGCGGAGGCGCCTAGGGAAGCCCACACGGCGTTGATTTGGAACTATTTTGGACAAGGATCAGTAGCTGAAGACGAAGGAAAATAATACTAGCTGAAAAGACATACAGCCGACTTGAACGGGTTCTGAATGAGCTGAAGGAATTTCTCAGCGGACGACGGATCGTCACGCTGTCGCAGAGCGGCATAGTCCATGGTATCCGGGAATTACTGCGGCATGGATGAATGAGGGTTTGGGATCCCTCAAGTGGAAGCACTCAGCAGCGAGAGTATAGATAGGCGATCACAAATGACAATGGGGGTAGGAACTTAGAGATGCATAGCATGAAAAAGAGATGAGAAAAAATGGGAAACGTGAAGGACAGGAAGAATATGACGATGGAATGAAGGCGGAGGGATAGAACGCAAGACAGCAACAAGCAGACTCCACGAAGCGAGTTTCGGTGGAGGCGGGTCTAGAGTCTAGACAGGGAAATCCTCTTCTCTTGTTCTGTTAGGCTGTTCTGACAGTCTGCGTCTGAGATTTATTTCTATCACTTTGATTTGGAGCAACTAGAGCACTAGACTAATGGGATATGGCGGATGAACCATTGGAAAACAGCATGTCTGCTGATACAATACACCTTGTATACTCGGTCCTCTCGTCTACGGCCTACCTCTCTCTACACAGTAAGTGCCCTCTAAGTACAAGCGTGGCGATCATCAACTGACCTACTTACGGTCCCCTGATGACCCCAAATATTGACTGTGCGTGAATCTCGTTGTTCCTTGGTAAACTGCTCTCGGTAACAGGTACAGTCTATTAAAAACGCTCAGTCTACCACTGGAACTCATCCATCTCTACCATACTCCGTAGGTTCTTTTCTACCATCTGTCAACGTCTCCCAATTTCCACAATACTGTCATTGAAATGAAAATGCAACCTAGCAAAACAAAAGCTGAATTAAAACACAGGCAGCCCCACCGGTTAAGTCTTCATCTGATTCTGATTGGGACATTGCTAAAGAAATCTATTTTCGCCCGCGAATCACCGTTTGCCACTGGGTTTGAATCTGGAACATTTTGCAGCTTAGTCAGGTGTGTGGCCACTCGTAGGGCGGGGTTTGAGACAGAAGCTCCACTCTCAGGCTTACATAGTCGGAGATAGGACGTAGGTAATGCAGATTTCATTGCAGCTGGATTGATCGGACACCTGAGGCAACTGAGAGATATGGACAATGGACACGGTTAATCTGTCTAGTGTCTACTCTCATAGCACGAGCCAGCTACCTAACATCCACTCTGTAACCATCAAAGAAGCATAGACCACAGTTTTCTCCGAGCAGACATACAATACATGGATATTCCAGACTCCTAAATAATAACCACACCTTACCACTGATGATCTCGGATGACGGATCAGATCTAAAGGATAAAAATAGCACCGCCCTAGTCGCACTATCAACGGCAATCATCAACTATCGCCAAACTATGTACTGTGTAGTAGTTAGTCGGTCCTAGAGTCGGCTTGTCCGTGCCATGGCACTGGCAGTGGCAGGGCCTATGTCATTGTCCTGTCTTGCATTCGCTCGGTCGACTCCGAGATTAGTGGAAATGTCGATCTTTGCTGGTAAGATAGTGGTTGCTGCTGAGTTCGCTCAGGGTGTAAGTTGATTCTGTCTACTGACTTGACAGTCTATCTACGGAGTACATCGCAGCTGAAAGCCACATTGATAAGCACGCACGCATGAATATTGGAGATTATTGAGATAAGCTTGCAGACAGAGAGACCAAACAAACCATGATTGAGGCGGGGATAAGGAGACTACCAGGAAACTCCTATGAATACCACCACAACAAACTGGTCAAGCTATCCAGGAAGAACATACTATCACGCTGAATCATTCATATTCTCATTTTATGTACTGGTATCTGACTCATGATATCTTGATGATAGATAAAGACATCTCCGATGTCCGGAGAAATTAAAGAGGTTAATAGAACAACAATCCAAAGTCAAGACCCTTACAGCTGACCAGCAGTGTTGAAGTCCTCCAGAGCAACCTGCACACGCTTGCTCATGGTCTTCTCACCCTCACGAACCCACACGCGGGGGTCGAAGTACTTCTTGTTGGGCTTGTCCTCACCGTCGGGGTTGCCGACAGGGGTCATCAGGTAGTCCTTCTTGTTGAGCATGTAGTCACGGATACCGGTCATGTAGGCGAACTGCATGTCGGTATCGAGGTTGACCTTGACGACACCGTAGCTGATGGCCTCCTTGTATTCCTCCTTGGTGGAACCGGAGCCACCGTGGAAGACGAAGAAGACGGGCTTGTCCTCCTTGGAGCTGGTCTGCTCCTTGACGTAGGCCTGGTGCTTCTTGAGGAGCTCGGGGTGCAGACGGACGTTGCCGGGCTTGTAGACACCGTGCACATTACCGAAACCAGCGGCAATGGAGAAGTAGGGGCTGATGGGGGAAAGGGCCCGCTCGATGGCCAGGATGTCCTCGGGCTGGGTGTACAGGGAGTTGTTGTCAACATCCTCGTTGTTGACACCGTCCTCCTCACCACCGGTGATACCGATTTCCTACACTCAATCCGTTAGCAAACGATACTCATTCACTTGGGAGGGGCACGGGGCGCACCATCTCGAGCCACTGCTTCATGGGGGCAGCACGCTTCAGGTACTTGGCGGTGGTCTCAATGTTGTAGTCGACGGGCTCCTCAGACAGATCGATCATGTGGCTGGAGAAGAGAGGCTCGCCGTGGGCCTTGAAGTAGCGCTCGTCCTCATCGAGCAGACCATCGAGCCAAGGAAGGAGCTTCTTGGCGCAGTGGTCGGTGTGGAGGACGACGGGGATGCCGTAGGCGGGGGCAATGCTACGGATGTAGTGAGCAGCGGCGATACCACCGGCGATGGAAGCATTCTGGCCGTCGTTGCTGACGCCCTGTCATTTCCAAAGTTAACTCGGGGTTTCTTCTCGACAGTTGCAGAGCCTATGGGCGTTCATACCTTTCCGGCGAAGTAGGCAGCACCACCCTGGGACAGCTGGAGAATGATGGGGCAGTTCTGGTCGCGAGCAGCCTCGAGACAGGCGACGACGACGGAAGAAGAGGTGACGTTCTATAGCCTGATTAGTATCTTCTCATCTCATCTCCATCGGTTCACTTACGATGGCAGGAATGGCAAAGCCCTTCTCCTTAGCGTACTGGAAGAGGTGGAGGACGTCATCACCGACGATGACACCGGTCTTGCGGGAGAGCTTCTCGAGGACACCCATTGTGACTGTTGTGATATGTGTTGGAGCTGACGAGCTGGTTTTGACTGAGAGGTATGTGGAAAGAGAAAGAGTAGACCTGTGGAAGACGGGGAGGAGATAAGTAATTAAGTCTCACCCGAAACGACAGAAACTTTTCTAGTAGTAGTTCCTTTTGCTTTACCGGACGACGAATACGGAGGCCGGAATTGAAGACTTAAATAACAGTCGAGCAGCAGGGGAGGGGCATCGAGCCACACTAATGGAGGGGCAGCAGTGTAGGAGGTGGGATGGCTTGAAGAACTCACCGGGTGGTGGGGAACTGATGTAGTCAGTATGATTTCACTGAACCGATTCAGGGAGAAGAAGCTGATCAGAAAGAGAGGGAGAGGGGAGGAAGAGGGATGATATAACGTACAGTTTTTTTTTTAGTTTTTTTTTTTTCAGTTGTTGGACCAACTTGGTGGATGGAGCTATTCTGTCCCTCTCTCTCTCTCCCTCTCTCTCTTTTCTCAGTCTCTCTCTCTCTCTCTACTCTATCTTCGTGACTGGTGGGGTAAATGCCTAACTAATTGTGGCCTGGAATTTATGACGCGGTTTGGCCTCAGGCTGACTTGGCTGGTCCCGAAAATCCCCGCGTCTATCACATGACATCATCGCCGGCGTCACCAGTTGTGTTTCCATGGGCCCGAAGAGAGAGCTCTCTCGGGGTGCTGCCACCAGCTAACTACCGGGTAGTCGAGCTCACACCATTCTGCCGCATTGGAAGCTATCTACGTGGTGTGGTCAATCATGCGGTGGGGAGATCCAGGAGAAAGGACAGATCAGATCATTTCATTTCATATCCATTACTGATGTCGGATCTCAAGAAACTCACGGCTGGTGCTAACTAGTTAGCTGCGGTTCATCTCTCTCGGCTCTTGCTAAAAGATTGATCCATCTCTCCGTGTTTCTTTCGTGACTATCGACAACCATCGGGCAATGTAGCGGGGAAACTTCTCCCATTGCCGCTGTTTACCGTTCCAGTCCTTTCCTTCGCTTTCTGTTGCTCATGGAGCCTAGGTAGAGTTTGGTTCTGTTTCTAGATCGGCTTCAGCGATACGCGGGGAGAGGGGGAGAGGGGGAGAGGAAACCGTTGCAGTGACACATATAATACAGAATCAGGCTTGGTATGATTCGTTGCGATTGAAATATCTAGTCTAGATCGTCTTATCGTTTGAGGGGGGTGTCTGTGCCAAGATTGCTCTCAGGGACTCTGTTCGCGTGCTCAACTGACTCTCTGGTGCAACTGAAAAAAACATCTGTACAGGGATACTCGGTCCCTCTATCTCAGCGCATATGTCCAACCCCTGGCTGTATGTATGGCGGCCCAAGATGGCACGACTGCTCTATGTGCATTGCATCCAACATCTCAACAAACAACTCTATAGGTCAAGTGCCCAAGATCCCACTGATCTTTATTTTTCCATCTCATAGAACAGGAGATACACTTCCTTCTGCATGCCCAGCACGTCCGAAGTTTTGCATTCCTTGATCTTCTCGTCCGAGATGCGCCACCAGCGATCATTCGTCTTCTTGCGGCGACGGAGCCGCGAGCTCGACAGCGTAGACGCTTCCATCGAGGTCTTTAGGGTGCTTCGCTCACTCACGAAGGAGGGTCGCGGCGCCGACTTGCTCCAGTTCCCGCTGTCGCTGGCCGGGCTCTGGGATTCAGACCCCGGCGGGGACAGGGTCTGCTTCGAGCTGGACGATTTGCTGCGAAGACTCTGGAAGGAACGACGCGAGCTGGATGTGCCCGGTCGAGCAGAGGGGGGAGAAGGCGGGTTTAGTTGTTGCGATGAATCCTTGGTGGAGGGCGATCGAGAAAGTACGGGGGAGGAGATCGACGTGCCCGAGAGGGATGGGGAGGAGGTCGAGGTCGAGATACTGATCGGCGATAGTTCGGTCTCGGACGTGCCGCGGGCAGTAAGCCGCGGACTCGGCGCGGTCGAGGGATTGACACTGGTCACCCTACTCTGTGCGTAGGAGCTGAAAACATCCGGCGTGGCGAACGGTGGGTAGAGGTGATTGCGCCGGAACGACTCGTAGTGGCCGCTGTTGTGGCTACCCTTATGACACACAATGGCCAGCAGCTTGAACCACTGCTGGTTCAGGATACCACCCAGGGGAAGGCGCTCAGGAAAGGACACCTTGGCGGCGTTTTTCGTAGAGCTGCTGCGATCGAAGATTGACCGCGAGAGATGGATCGCGATGAGTTTGGGAAAAACCGTGATGCGCATGTGGCGTGCAATCTTCCGCTTGGGTGCGAGCTCGGCCGGAGGTAGCTCAACTCCTTCGGGCAGGATTTCAGGGTCCGTAGCAATGGCATGCTGAATCTGCTGGATTTCTTTCTCCAAGCGCCCGCGCTCCTGAGTCGAGCGAGACTTGCTCAGGTCCACCATCTTGACCTCCAAGGCATGTTGCAGGCGGCATCGGTCGCATCGGAAATCATCAATGTACTCCGTCTTCAGCAGGCCGTCAAAGCAGGAGCTGAGCGTGGTCGAACTCTTCTGGGGGACTTGCAGCGTCAGGTTCACAAAGGACGTCTGATTCGGTCTGTACTGGTAATGACAGAACTGGCATTCGATTTGCGACTCCAGCTGGCCTTCAAAGGGAAAGCCGGGTTCATTGTCCAGTTCCTTCAACTTAGTATCAATAATTGCCGGCAGGCCATTCTCCGATCCATCGTCGATGCGCACTTCGACCTCCGCGGCCGGGTTCTCCTGCACCGAGTCCTCACTACCCGAGACAGCAGGCGCCTCGACGTCGAGGAGACCCTGAGCACGCTGCCGCGCCTTTAATCCGGCATGGTACTCATCGCACAGCCGCTCCGCCACGATCTGCAGAAACTCCTGCGCGTCCTGCTGGTTGCGGCTGATGCGGCTCCGGAACGCATACTCGAGCGCCTGGATGAACGCCTGATTGGTGATCGTCTTCTTGTAGATAGGCCGCTCGTTCAACCGATCCAGCATCTCCTTCAGCGCCCGAGTGATGGTCCCCTGCTGCAGCCCCACGAGCCGGTCCGGCCGCATCCCGCGCGGCATGTCGCTCGCCTCCGGCAGCGCATTGTAGATCTCCGGCCCGTCCAGCTCGCGCCGGTGCAATTCCCGGATCAGGTAGACGCGTAGATCGCCGAGTCCCGCGAGCGCCTGAAGCACCGAGTTGATGAAGCAGTCGTTAGCCGGGTTTGAAAGCCCCACGATGCTTTTCTTGCGGTTGCTGTCGTTCGACTCGTCGCCGTCAATGGTGTAGTTCGGTCCGAAGACGTAGAAGAGCGCCACGGCGGCGAGAGATGCGCCGGCCGCATAGGCGGCGATGGTGGTCGACTTCTCCTGCATGAAGGGTCTGTCGTTGCAAGAGGATGGTTTCCGGCCTGTAGAATGTATGGGGAAGGTAGAGTCTGTCTCAGTACACGGACGTTGACACGGTCATTTGCTCCATTTGCCGGTCCGGAGGGAGGGGAGATTGCGGAGGTTTGATGGGTGACTGCGAGGCGAGTCGTCCGAAAAGGTCAATGCCGGGCCCTCCGATGAGATGCAAATCGGGTAATCCTTCTTGATGTCTGCTATGTTCAAGTAGTCTGTTCTGAGGCTGAAATCAGCAGGGTGATGACCCTCGCTGGGCGGCGGCGGCGGCGGCTATATGGGCGGATAATTGTTTGTCAGACAACTTTTTTTCCCCATAAGTTTTGGCGTTGCACCCGAGGATGTTGAAACTGTGGAGAGGAAATTATGCTGGGGAACACGGAGTAGATAAATATAAGCAAGATAAGAAAAGAGGATCACTCCTTCATCCTCGTAACTTCGTAAGGACGCTTGTTCCGAGGATCGTTCTTCCACTTAATTATGGAAATCAAGAATAGAAAGATAGATAGATAGATAGATAGATCGATCGACTGAAGATAACTCATGTATCACCTGTGTAGTTTTGTACCGTAGACTCCTATCCAGGCAACAGAAAATACCTAGCCTATGCACCGATACAGCAATCTGATAGCTCTGTTGCAGTCCTCACTCCTCGGTCTTCAGTTCTTCACTGCTCAGTAATCATCTATTATTACTACTCAGTAGTCAGTACTCACGCTTCATGTCAAGCAACTCGCAATATAAAACACCTGAAACCCCCACACAGCGATCCCGATTCTTCACTCTCGATGAACTCTCGAGTCTCGGCCTAGAAAAAGTATGCAAAGTGCAAACTCTGCTAGCCCCAGCGATCGTGGAACCAGTATGAGTCTCGCATGAGTCTATGAGATCATCCAGGTGTGCTGGACTGCTGGACTGCTGGAATTATTTTTGATCCACTTCTCGATCTGCGGGACTATGCTGGCGGTAATTCAGAGGAAATAGATGATCATCCTCAATAGAAGCTGATAGATCGTAAATAAGCCTCGTAGCAAAGACACTTGAGAAAATAGATGGAAAATGATCAGGACGACAACCGCTGCTGTAATTCTTTATGTATACTTGCTGCATCCAAGTGGCATGATCTGAGACATCGTCCTGGGACAAAAGTCCCAATGAAGCGAAATCCTTCGACAACATCTCGCATATGTATACAGATATTTGGAAGATGGTTTCAACAGCAGCACCATTTACGCACTTAGTTACCTGCACTATCGAACGAGAGACTCCACCTTGATAGGACTTTTGGTTGTATCTCTATTGATCATCCTTTCTAACTATTTCATCAAGCGGTATATGCAAATATAGAATCATTCTCTTTTCCCCCAGGGGTCATTGCAGGGGGTTTTTCCGAGATCGCCAGGACAGGCGTACTTGGAGTAAATTATGCGCGCATCGACTCGGGCAACGTAGCGACCTTCTCGTTAAACAGATCCTCCGCCTGCTTCCAGACGCGAGCGTTCTTTCTGTCCTTGAGCTGCAGCAGGCTAGGCAGCAGCGCTTCGCTGAACATCTCGGAGCTCTCACGGGGCAAGAGAGAGGGGAGATGATCAATGCTGATCACGCTCAGAGGGGGACCCTGGGCGCCGGCGGACAGGGTCACTGGCACCGTGGGCTTATCAAAGGTGGTGGTGATCGAGTAGACGGGGATAGGGTTGTGGGGGTTGGTTCTATATAGCCAAAAGGACGGATTAGCGGGATGGAATTCTTCGAAGGCCAAGGAGACAATGAAGAACGTACGTGTCAGCGCTCACGTCGCAAATGACAGACAAGCGGCGGTTAGGAGTAGAGAGGGTCTCGGCGTTGACGAAAGGAGGGATCTTGGCGGAGAGGTAGATGCAGTTGACGAAGATATCAACGTCCTCAACGATCTCACGGAAGGGTCCACCTAAGCCATTAAGTTAGCACAGGAGTGACCGTAAGTGAAGGAACGAGAATCCCACCCTTCTTGGTCTCTTCAATATCCCACTGGATGATATCAGACTCGGGAATGCCAACATCCTTGGCCAGCTGCACAGCACCCTTGCCGCAACGGCCAAGCTACATTCAAATCAGTACGACGGGTTAGCTTGATGTGATGGAAGGACACTCACAGCTCCAATGACAAGCACCTTGGGCGACTTTCCAGACTGCTTCTTGCCAACCTCCAGCGACTCCTTCACGGACGCGATCAGAAGATCTTGGTTCTCATAGGGTGTCTCGCCGGGCAGAGGCTCGCCCTCGGGGTGTGTCAATTGCCAGGCCCAGTTCTTGACGGCCAGAGCAGAGCCTATGCATAATTTGTGAGTGTTCGGTCACGATGGGATTGAATGGATTGAATCACCTGCATAACCAGCAGAGTATCCGAAAGCTGTAGAAAAAAAAATGTCAGTCACTACACTAAATCTTCCAGTTGTGAAACCGCAGCTCTTACCAGCTACCCTGCGACCAACATCATCTGTGAGGAACTCCAAGTCCAAGAGGGTGCCGCCTCCACGGGGCCACCGGCTAAGAACCTTCTCCCAGCCACCTTGTTCCTTGTAGCAGTGTGCGAAAGAGATGTGGACGTGCTCGAGGGGGAAGTCATCTTCGGGAAGCTCCTTGAGACCCAGGACGTAAGCGTCCTTGGGGGCATCCTTGACCCATGAGCCTTCCTCAACCAGGGGAGCGCCGATCTATATAATAGAAGTGTGAGAGAAAATTCGAAATGAACGACAATAAAATCGCAGTATTCACCTTCGTGAACTCATCGTCTGCCAAGTGTCAACCCCGATCAGCAATTGTTACCATACAAGGTAGGAGAGTATGTTATCCTCACCATCAAAGATGCGTTGTGTGGAACGCTCGACAGTAACGTCGTAGCCGGCATCCATAAGAGCCTTGCATGTGGTAGGAGTCACTACAAATGTCAGATTAGCTCGCAATTCACGTAGAGACGCCAATTGACCGACGGTCATTGCTCATAGACAGGGACGACTCACAGGCAGACCGCGCTTCAGCGGGCTTGGTCTCAGCGCGCAGCCAAATCTTGTTGCTCGACATGATTCAGGATATCAATTGGTAACTTCCGTGCAAACAATGTATGATTCAAAAAGAAATAAAAAAAAAGAAGAGATCAGGTCCGGTAAAACTAAATTTAAACCGATAATATCTGGACCTGCGACACAGACGAACTAGATGACTCCTCCCCTCCACTGATGGCGGGGGAGAAAACGTCGTTGTTCCGTTCCGTGGTTGTGACTCAGCGACTGCTCCAAGCCCGATCGGCCGATGTCGGATGAAATATGATATGGCCTATGGAGAATATCTATTATGACATGCAGCGTGTTTCCTGCGCTTTGGCGATCACCGCATCATCAATGAGATGTGTAGACTAGAGAGCTCCATAATGATCATTGCCACTCGGCTTATTACTATTCAGCATTACATAGAAAGTCAGAGGCTGGAACAACATGCGACATAAACTGCTTCGGTGTCGCATCGGTTTAGTCTGAATATATATGGGCACCTAAGCTTGTTGAATGAAATCCTTCGAGAGATGGCATCGCATTTAAATTCATCGAATTGAATAGTCGCCCACTGTACATTTACATAAGATTATCCATGACAGACCAGTAGGTCGTTAACCTAAGCAACAACCAAGAGCCCCAAGAGTCTGAAGGTCAAGATGCAGCCTTGGTCCGGCTACGGGTCCGACTGCCAATTCCATCGGTAGGAAACGCCTTCTTCGCAGCCTCCTTGACCTTCTTCGAACGCTTTGTCTTCTTCTCTCTGTTTGCGCCATTCAAGGCTCCATCCTCGACAACTGCAGGAGTGGGTTCGTCTTTTACGTGACCATTGGTGCCCTTCTTGCCAGCAGTCTTCAGCTTCTTGGATGTGGGTTCCTTGGTCTCGTCAGCGACAGCGATGGGATCGGCACCGTTGGCATCGGCTACAGTCCAATCATGTCCTCGTTTGTCGCCTGCGTTTAGCTCGTCTAGGGTCTTAGTATCGGCTTCAGCTAATGCAGAAGCTTGCTCTACAGGAGCAGAGTTCTCAGTAGACCTGGTTTCATCCGTTGAGAGTAAGGGGTTTCCATCGGCCTGGGACTGCTTGGGTTGTGGTTGCGCATCCTGCGATGGATGATGATCGCTGTTGGTCGACGGTGCAGTGCCCTTCGACATATTCCCGTTCACTTTAGCTTCGATTGTGTTTGCAGTATCTGAGGACCTAGTTGTCAGTATGTGTGTTGCGAATTGGATTCGTGAGTGGGCTGCACAATGCATGTTGACGTGGAGGTGTGATAGGAGTGCCTCGGGCCTTCGACATACCTTGCTTGGAAGGAGAGCTGTCTACAGTGCCAATAGTGTCTTCAGTAGCCATGATGATAAACCAAAATGCTTGCTTATATGCGCGTCGAATCGTAGGGGAAGAGAAGAGAAAATGATGCGTGAGAAACGCACGACTTGATTCTCGCTATGGTTGAAGTATCTATAATACAAAGACCTTTCACAGGGCTGAGTGGCTGATGGAAAAAGGTCACAAAGATGATGAAATGTCAAAGAAAGGTCAGAGCAGGTTGCCTGTGTGACGTTGACAAAAGCACAAAAAGCGCTAACCAAATTGACAGGATCGTGCAATATCCCTCAATTTGCATTGAACCTGCTAGTCGGATGCTTATCTAGACTGTGGAACATAATACCCATTATTTCCGGGCCTCAGCTTGAAGGGTCTGGTCTGCAGGGCCAGCATAAGCCCTGACTGCGGCACCCCTGAGCTGTCTTTGGTGATAGAGTAAGCACGCCAAGAAGAGGAGAACAGTGTCATTTAGTGCGGCCGAGTGGAGCACAAGGAATTGCGGAGTGAGAGTGAGACGGAGTGACGGACGATGTCTCGCCGTGACTGAGAATCGAGACTGGCCAGGAGTATTCCCGCAGCCCATGACGACATCGAAAGATGCCGAGGGAGGAAAATTGCGATTGACTGGCAGGATGAGTCAAGAACCCCAATTGACTACGTGTGTGAAAGATAGCTCTGTGTGCGTGTGTATGTTTATGGGACGCTTCCACATGAGTTCTCAGGTCCAGGCCAGTCCCGATCGGTTGAGAATGATCTCTTCCTCTGCCGAACATGCATCTGTCTGTTCGGCAGTATTTTCTGCAATATTGTCCTGAATGAATCTCGCCAGGTAGGAGGCCTCTTGAAACCTCTCCTGATCAATCAAGAGGCGCAGGGCATCACAACCAAATCGCAAAAAGTTTTCTCGTTTGGACTTAGACCATGATTCAATCCACGCTGGAGAGACGCTTTCTGTAAACTGTAGAAGGGGTCCAGCGTCGGGTCGGGTTGGATGGTAGAGATGCACAGAGCCCAGCAGTATCGATCTCTTGGATGTAGACTCAATAATCCGTATATATTCGTCATACAATTCGGGAGAGATCTGCTGATTCTGAGACCGATCGCCCTGCACGATGGAATGGCACAAATGACCGGCCCCAGGGAGCAAGAAAGATTTCTTAAACTGACCGGAGAGTTGATCACCGGCTGCTGTTGGCAATTTGCTGGCCTCCACAAAGTACCGCATGGACGAAACTACTCCGCCCCCGTATTTGGTCTCTGCCTTCAGAAGATCGACTAGGAGATGGATGGCCATCTGCTGAGCGAGGGCTTGCGTGATGCGACCGTCCCGACCCCCAATATCCTGATTCAGCACCATTTTCAGCCACACCATCGCCGTCTCCATTAGTCCCTCAGCGGCCATGAACTTCAGGGCAGTCGGAGATACCACTCGCGACGATAGGAGCATTTTTCTTGAATCTGAGTCGGATGCGAACCACCAGCTGATGATCTTGGAACCGGCCTTGCACTGTTTCATCGCTTCAACCACCCCATCGCCTGTGTGCGCAGTGGCGAGCACATATTGAGCCTTTAGACAGTTGAACAGAGCCGACTGAGTAACAGAACCTGCGGCCACTAGTTCATCGAAGACTGTCATGGGCTCAGTCGCCAGTCTCTGTTCCGCCGGGCTCCCAAGCAGAGCAATGTCGTTGAGAGCAGCGGACTTTGAAGGAACTACCCGGAAAAGAGGATTGTCCAAAATGGACCTCAGATGTTTATCGGTCGCATGGACAGAGGATGCGGGATTGTCGCTATTTCCGTCCTTATTCGTGGTGGAGGAGGAAGGGTATTCATGGTCGAGCTGACGACGGAAAGAGGACGTAAGGGCGTTGAGTAATTGCTGGGACTCTCTTGGTGTACGGGGAAGCGGTTGATGGATATTTGCAAAAGGTCTGAATCTGAGCAGCGATGCCTTTTTCATGATGTTAGATAGCTTTGATGAATGATTGAGTGAACAGTAAGAGTCGTTATGATAGCATTCATAGGCAGGTTAGTGATGTACTGACAATCCCCTCTCTGCCCAGCGGACATCCGCATCACATGATGACCTCAAATAAGCCCTTTTTGAACGGATTATTCTTCATAAATAATTTAGTAGTGCCTGAACTACATCATCATACCTGCCTATCTATCAACGCCTCATACGACGAACTACCACATTCATGACTTGCGCCTGCTACTACTTGTCACCTACTGCTATGTCTACTACTACTCCTACTACTACTACATCATCACCGACTTATAACGATGCCTACTACTACGCCTGCTCCCGAAGCTTCCAAACAGCAGACGGTAGGTTCAAACCTGGTCATAGAACCAATCCTTTCTACTGAGCCTCGGCTTAAGAGCATAATGTCGATAGTCTAAAAAGCCACTGCCGCTATGTTGAGCATCGTAGTGGGCACTTTGGCTGAGTTGTCAAGGGAGAGCATTCGACCCTTTGATTTTCTTGGATCGTACACTAGAAGACGTTCACCAGAAAGCAACATATAGTTACCACAAGGAACAGTAGGAGTGCCGCATGAAATATCCGGTAATGCCTAGAGCAACTGGGACCTTTTGTACACTCTTCGGGTCCGCCTTTTGATCAAGGTCGAAGTGCGCACGAGGAATGGGGGCCTGGCGCGGGTGAACGCGGGGATATGCTCAAGAAATGAGATAAAGAGACACGAGATGAACCTATGCCTATCTATTCCATTGTGCAAACGAAACAAGAGAGAGTCATTTGCAACCTTGGCTGCCATGAGGTTCGCAGTGATGGAACAGCTACTAATGACAGCCAACCGCACCCTTCCCTATTTCCGCCAAACAACGAGAAGAAGGCCGTCTCGTTACAGTAGGATTCGGAGGTGCGAGTTAGGTGTGCTCGATGATCCGGCATTGATATTCAAGTGCTTCTCAGAGAGCAGCTTTCTACTGCTTAGATCGCCAGCCACCACTTCAAGCACTTCCTTGCTTCCTCACTCCCTGCTAGGAGGACCCTTCGAACAACTTGCTACTCAACGAAGGAGCTTTGAACAAATGAATCGTAGTCAGAAGGAACTAGAAGGTTTGGTATGCTGATCTGAGAATAAGGTCTACCAACAAAAACCGGAGGTCGTTACTCAGATATCTCGATGGGACAGACGGGGGGGATCACATGAGAGAAATGGGGGCGGTGAGTTCGCTCAGCGAATGAGATGATGGTTGTATGATCCTCAACTCAATGAACGCCGCACACAGTCAGTATACAGGTATTTAGACAGGAAGGATAGATACTGTACAGGAGAAGACTAAGGTTGGGATGTCTGTCTACGGTGGTAATTAAGAGAGACTGAGGGATGCTGTATAGATAGGTGAATCAGTGTACTGCTTCCTTCTCCCAAGTATCTTCAAGTCACCTAGCCATAGCAGAGCTTCTTCCCATAGTAAAGTCGCCTCGCTAAACGGGGGTCCAGCCTAACGCGACTCAGCCAGAAAGTCGCCTCTCAATTCTTCTCTAAGAGAGTCAGTCATCTGAACTCGCTCTCCCTTCAAACTTGGCAAAACTAAAGCAAACCAAACCAAACCAAAATTGAACCTTCAAAGTTAGTCTGTTCCCTTCCAATTGATCTGCTCCCAGTTTGTTAGTAGTTAGTTTGTCCTTGGTTAATCCTCGCTCTCACACTCTCTTCCTCTTCCTTTTTCCTCCCCTTCCCTCAACTCTCCACAGTCCTATAGTTCTTTTCTTTTTCCTTTCTAATCATTTTTTTTTCTCTTCCAGCTCTCCTCCAGCTTTGTCTGATTGCTCCTCCCTTTTTCTCCCGCCTTGATTCCTCAAGCTTGGCGGTCCTTGTGCCTTAGTGGTTTCGGTGCTGTCCTCTCTCGCTGAGGTTGCAGCTGTGATCATTTCCACTACCACTACCTCTTTTTTCACCCGCTACTCTCTTCTCGGTCAGCCACACACACCTGGTCATCCTCCGACTCTCGTGGGCATCCCTTCGATCCTCTTTATTACCATTTAATCTCTCCGTTTCCCCGGAGATTCATCAAATATTACCAGAAGATATGTCTGAAGTTCAGTCACGGTCTTCCGCCTCTCGAGGCAGGGTATCTACTCGTGGTGGCCGAGGTGGTTATAGCTCCAGAGGTGGTCGAGTAGGCAGCAGATCTACCAAGGCAGACACCCCAGACCAGATTACATTTGAAGATGAAGGAGAGATCGGTCAGATGAAGAAGAAATATTCCAGCACCTTGCCCATGCTGCAGGAATTGTTCCCTGACTGGACCGATGAGGATCTTGTCTTTGCTTTGGAAGATGCGGATGGTGTGCTTGAGGATGCCATTGAGCGCATTACTGAAGGTATAACCTCATCATTTTGTGCTCCACGTCTGATTCTGGCTTCGTTGAATTTCAAGCGCTGACATACTCTGTGCTCTTGTTTAGGCAATGTCTCGCAATGGGGTGAGGTGAAGAAGAAGACGACCGACCGGACTCGCTCCAAGCCTAAGGAGGTACAGAGCACCCCGACCGAGACGAACGCCAGCTCTGTTCGAGGAGGCCGTGGACGCGGCGGATTTGAGGGTCGCGGTCGCGCCCGTGGAGATCGTGGTCGTGGTGGTCGTGGTGGCCGGGCCGCAGCCGCAGTTCACACCAACGGGGCTCGCGCCGAGAAGCCCGTTGTCACTGCCACCGTGGACGTTGTAGAGACGACAATCATCTCTGACAAGAATGAGAAGCCTATCGAAGCCGAAACGACCACAGTCGATGCCGGCACGGCCGCGACCCCGAAGGCCAGCGTGATGCCCGAAGGGACCAAGAAAGGCTGGGCCAGTCTGTTCGCGAAGCCGGCGCCACCTCCACAGAAGAAGCCAGCCGTCGCACCTGTTCCTGCTCCTACCCCTGCCTCTGCCCCTGCCCCTGCTCCTGTTTCCGCACCTGTGGAAGAACAGCAGCCAAGCGTGGAGCCAGCAGCCGAGCAGAAGGCGCCTGAGCCCGAACCCGAACCGACTACAGCAGTTGCTCCTGCTCCTGCCCCCGTCCCCATTCCCGCTGCCGCTACCGCCCCTGCTCCAGTCCCGATCCCCGTCCCTGTCCCTATCCCCGTGGAGAAAGGTCCCGAACCTGTCATTCCCAAGCAGCTTGCCGAAGCTGTACCCGTTACTCCTTCTACGACCAGTATCACACCCGCCAAGGATGATTTGACCAAGACTAACCTTGAGCAAATTCCCGATGTCTCGCCTCCTCCTCCCACCGCCACTGCTGCCAGCACCGTGGGCAGTGCCCTTGATGCCAACAGTCTGGCGGCTGCCGCCACCCCCGTTCGTCAGTCTGCTACTACCTACCCTTCCAGTGTTTTCAAGTCTGGCGCTCGGGCCCCTGGTTCCCAGCGCCGCGTGATGGAGCAGCAAGAGGCTGTTGTCATGCCTGGAAACCATGCTGTTGACCGTGCCGCTGTGCAGTTCGGTAGCATGGGATTGAATGGCGATGATGCCGACATTGATGAAAACAGAGAAGATGCCGAAACTCGCGCTCAGCCTCCTCAACATTCTCCCGTCGCTCCTCGTGCCTCGTTGCCTCCTTCTACTCATGCCCAGGCGTCCGCTGAGACCCCTACCGTCTCTCGCCCCGCTCCTGGACTGCCCCCTGTCCCTCAAGTCTCCGCTGCCGACTCTACTTTTACCGACTTTGCCCGCTACAGCGACGCTCAGAAGTCTTATGACCCCTTTGCTCAGCAGGTCTCCCAACCTCAGCCCCAAGTTCCGGAGCCATTCGCCAACCAAGCTCCCGTCCAGCCAACTGTTACCTCCGGCAGCGAGTACTCGCCATTCTACGCCGTTGACCAGCGTCTTCCCTACAACTACTATGGCACCTATGGCCAGTCTCAGGATGCCTCCGTTGCTCAGAGAGCTGCGGCTGGATTCGGTGTTTCTGGCGCCGAAGTGCAGCCGCAAGTTCCCACCTCTCAACCTCCTGGCCGCTACGGTCATGTCGATGCCCCAAGCAGCGGTCACAACACCCCGAACCCCACCCTTCCTGCCGCTACCCAGACCCCCACCGCCCAGCACATGCCCGGTCAGGGCGCCGCTCATGCCTACGGATATGGATATCCCTACTACTCCAACCCCCACTACGCTTCGTACATGAGTCAAATGACTCAGCACCAGTACGGCCGGAACCGCCCCATGTACGACGATGCGCGCCGGTATGACGACCACTACATGCCCCCCAGCAATCAGTACGGATATGGCAACCAATACGGCCCATATGGCGGTAAGGGTGGTATGTATGGCCAGCCTCACGGATTCTCCTACGATCACTCCTCCTCTCCCGCCACCGCAGGCGGCTTCAACCAATCCGTTCCTGGTCGTGATTCTGTCTATGGCCGTACCGGATCCACGCAGCCCTCCGAGACTCAACAGACCACAGCCGGTAGCAATGCCTTCGGCGCCGGCATGTCGGATGTCTTTGGTCGCTCGCAGGCTGGTTTTGGCCAGAATCAGCCCATGTCTCAACAGCCACCTGTGACTTCGGAGGAGACCAAGAGCTTTGACACTCCCAAGGCTGCTGGACCCAGCCCCTCTCTTGCACAAGCCAACCGCCCTGGCTCGGCCACGAACAGTGTCCCTGGACAGCCTCAGGCGCAGACTGGCCTTCCCCCTCTTCAAGGCCAGCAGGGACAGCAGGGATTCGGTGGTTATCCCCACCTGAACCACCAGTATGGAAGCGGTCTGGGTGGTTTGGGCGGCCACCAGGCCGGTGCCACAGGCCAGACTCACCACCAGGCTTCCGGTTATGGTAACTACGGAGGCGCAGGTTTCGCTAACTACTACGGAAACACTGGACGCGGTGGCTGGGGCGGCAACTACGGCCACTAAAGGATCATGGCGTTACATGAATTTTTCTCCGGCTGGCGGAACGTTTGTTGACATATTATCTTTTTTTTTTGCTATTTGCTACAATCTCTGTTTCCTTTCCCTCCACTTCTACCAGGGCGGTATGCCTGGGTCCAAAAACCCCCTATATTCCACTGTTGTGTTCTGTCACTTTTTTTTCTCTTTCCTCTGCCATCTTCCAATGTGTAATCTCTACTCTCGGAGAGGGGAGCTTGGATAGCTCCCTTTCAGGACTCGATTTGATACGCAGGGATATGCTCATGATACTGTACTCAATTGAAAAAAATGCGAGGCATTGTTTCCTTTTCTTTTTTTCTTTTTCCCTTTTCTCTTATGTTTTTTTCCACATGTTTCACGGTTCATGACTCTTACCACCTTGCTTTTCTGTGTTTCTGCTTCCCCGCAAAGCATGATTGACCGCATCACATCCATCATTTCCGATTGCCTTGTCTCTATAGGCTTGTATCATCTGTGATGAAGGAAGGGGAGGAGAAAAAAAGCGGGCCTCTGCCGAATTTCTTCTTGCGCTTGCTCGGATCTTGTTTTTGCATACTCGGCTTTCCTGTACTGTACTAATTATCCGGTGTCAACTGGGGATTTACATTGCCTTTTCGGACTGGATTGGGACAAAGGAACGGGACCGGACGGGACGGGAGGGGGGTTTCTGGTGGAAAAAAATTTCTGAATTGAAATGACATGATTTGGGATGGCGTTGTGAGATTGGGATTTTTTTTGGTCTTTGAGACGAGTGTAGACTGTGCAGTGCGTAGGTGTCCATGTATACTGTGGTGTTGATGTATGCAGATGAAAAAGAAATAGTGGTATTTATGATTTACCCTTACTCCTAATTCCTCGCAGAAACGACCACGGCGACGTAACTTCTATATACACGAAACAAAATCTCTCAAGGGACGGACGAAATGTGGTCAGAAACGAACATATAGGGCCCCTTCCTCCCTCCACTTGGGGCAACCCGCAACCCCTAATCTCTATACTTGCAAATGTGTCACCGTTGGCGTGGGTATCCAACAGACCCCGGCAATTGTCTATTATGTGGACGACGGTGTTGTTATTTTTCTACTCAGTCACACCCAGACCCTCACCACCACTCTGGTGATACGGCGGCGCCGCACCGACAGCGCGCTCCTTGTCGAACCGCCAGACACCGCCGGTCTTGTCGCTCTCGAGCGAGGTCAGGCCGACCATGCGGACGAGGCGTTGGAAGTCCTCGTCGCCGGTCTCGTCAACGCGCTTGAAGAAGCGGCGCTCCCAGTCACGGCCCTCGGCCTTCTCGACCTTGCGGAGCTCGCGCTGCGCGTTCTCGATCTTCGACTTGGCGACGGAGGTGGCGTCCATGTCGCCGCGCTCGATGGCCGCGGCGACGTCGCGCCAGGCGCGTCGGCTCTCCCATAGATCCTGCGCCTCCAGCGGCGCGACCGTCAGCGGGCTCGTCGTCGTCTCCTTAGCAACGAAGCGGTCGACTTCCTTGTGCGTGCGGGCGTTCTTGATGACGAAGGTGTCCGACCATTGGCCCTCGGCGGTATACAGGGGCCTTTTTTCGCCGTCCTTCTCGTGGTACAGCACCGCGGTGAAGGTGTTCTTCTTGCCGCTCAGCCAGCCCTTGCCCGAGTAATTGATCTTGGCGATGTAGCCGGTGCTGCTGGCAATCATGGTCGATCGCTCCAGTTCCATGAATGGGGTGCCGTAGATGAGGGACTCGACGTGCAACGCAGGCAGGGTGATCAGGTAGCGCTCTTTCTGGGCCGGGTCGTTCTTGTCCGCCGACGGTGGGGTGAGGGTCAGTAGAGCATGGCCGATCTGCTTGATCTGGATGGTGTTGGAGAAGGAAGCCTTCTGGGCATTGTATCCTTGCAGCTAGCACGGTTTACCGTCAGTTCCTGGTCTCTCAGCGAGGAAAAAGAAGGGGATACTGAAACTCACCTCGACACCGTGCTTCTCGTTGGTGATCGCATAGGCAGTGGCAGGGGGATGATGGCTACAAACCGTCAGCCGTGGGGGGAGCCCGAACCAAACGAGGGAAATTATACGACTTACCTGACTTGCTCACTGATCAGGGTAGTCTCGCCGGCTTCAGGGTCATTCTCCCACTTGCCGAGGAAGAGCTCACCCAGGAAGGGGTTCAAGGGCTTCTTTTCACTGCCCAGCTTCTCGCTGCGAGAGCAGTACTGCTGACGAAGTGTGCTCAGGAACCATTTCAGAACAGCCACCGCTCGCTTCTCCGGATCAGCCTCTCTGGCCGCAGCCACAAACAGGCTTGGGTGTTCGGCCCAGTAGGCAGAGTATTCCGTCAGGGATGTCCCCGAGAGGATGAAGGGGGGAGCGGTCAATGAGGAAAGGTCACCGTTGAAAGAAGCGATCGACTGATAAAAAAAAAAAAAAGAAAACAATCAGATTAGTCTATTTGTTCTTTTTGTTCTTCTTTTTTTCACAATATCTGAAGACAACAACGACTGCACACACTCACCTTCAAAAAGCTCGACCAGGAGCCTTTGCTCGCAGCGGGAATCGCGGACTGTGGATCCTTACTGGAGCTCATTTTTTGTTTGTGACGGAAATGAATCTTGGACAACAAAGCCACGTAGGTTGTTCTATGATAGAATGATGGAAGAGAAAAGGACAATAAGAATAAGTGGGGATGGGAGATATGATAGAAAGATAGATTAAGGGGAGATACGATACTATTCTCCTGGGAGTTTCTAACAGCCTAACTCGTAGTTAGATAGATGGAGGCTGGTTTCAACCGTTGCTGCGACGTCATTCGAACAGGAAGATTCGCTGCCCCGCATCCCCAAAAATACTCATTCCAACACAGCCTCATCGTCGCTCCAGCATCACTATCACCTTCACCATCGATTATCACGAAGAGATTAATTAATGGGCATGCTTGATTCGGGCGTAGCATCCCTCAGCAACTCCTGGATTCGGTCGTCCGCGATGCTGGGTTTTTCTTCGCCACTGCAGTGATCTCAGTGGAGAGTTTGCTGCGGCATACTTGCTTGCTCTCTACGGCAGCATCCCTTGCTGGGGATGGCTATCATTCGGGATTGACGATCATTCCAGTAAAGATGGACAGCCATTGATGGAGGTTCGATGGTTGAAGAAAGAGGTTACTTCTCCCATGGATTTTCTATCTGATCTGTGCTTCTTCAAATGAACGAAGAGAATAATCAGAGATGATATGTATCTTATCAGATGACTTGGCAGTCTTTCTGGTCCAACAAAGAGATTAATTCATCGAGTGGCTATCTAGCACAGGATTCTCATCCTCGAATGCACAGAGCTATGTGCTTGGACTACGGTGTACTCCTGAGACATCCTAGGTTTTCACAGCGTTAAAACATGAGGATGTTCGCTACATACTCTCTTGTCACTCCTCAGAAGAGACCAGGCACCAGACATTGTGCCCAAAACCCCCCATGGCTTTCTTGAAAGGGATTATGCGTGTTTGACTCAGAATCCTCTCATTAGTCTTCTGTACAAAAGCACAGTAACACCTTGGGTTGATCAGGTGACGGAAACGGAAAGCCGCTTTTGTATGGAGCCTTGAATTGCGACATCATCTTGCCTGTCAAGCATCAACAGTCTACCAGGACCTTTAACCCCATCATCATCCATGGCGAGCTGGACATCTATTGATATCATAACATCATGATCGACCTGAAATATCATCGAAATAAGATGAGGAAATCCCATATGCTTCATACCTATATGCCCATGCAGGAAAGGCAGCCAAGGGACGCCATCGATATTTATAGATAAGTAAATTATCCTGAAGCAGTAATTATGTATCATTAGGGGTCGGTAAATTACCTCACTTAACAAGCTGACCCTTTCAAAGTGGTATTAACGCGTATTAATGCGTATTAATGCCCCGATCAGGCAGGAAGCAGGTGCCAGTGCCTTGTTCAGGTCATCTTTCTTCGATTCGCCTTTCTCTTTCTTACCTGCAGCATATTCTCCTTCATCTCACAGCGAAGATGTTGTTCTAAAAATGCCATGCCAGATCCTAAGGAAACCACCGAGTGGCAGGCAACCTGGACAAAGGCACTTGTTTCGGTCCTTTCAATCGATCAGTTTTGCATATGCAGCCCCGGGCCCCTGGTGTCGATCCAACATCCCCCTGCAAGGGTGATCGTCGAGAATCATTATGTAACGGAGGCTCGGAAAACCCGACTTGCTGCATAAAGAGAGATGTGAGAATTGTTGTCATCAAAACAGACCATACCCCTGTTTCTTCCAGTTCCAGGTTGCTCAATTTTGTCCTTCCGCCCATCCGAGGTTTCTCTAACCACGAGATTGGCAACGGGTGGCTCCGTACGCCGCGCAGGCGCCATCCCGTTTAGTGGCTTCGCCCCTCAACTATAAGCGTTGTGTTACAGTGTGCTATTCAAATTGCAGACTATGAGTTTGAGATGATGCGTCCCTTGGGGGATCGCCCATTGTGCGATGCTTCAGGGCTGCCGTTGGTTGTTCGTCAACCCCCGTTGCCCTGCGTTGTCGATCATGTTTCCACATCTAGGCCAAGCTATAGGAAATCGGGTCCTCTCCCGAAGCATATAGCGGCCCATCAATGTATCCACCGTTTGGGAGAATCATTGGGCTTCTAATCGCCTGGACTGGGTTCTGTGGGTCGAGGTATATACACATGAGAGAGAAACAATGTGTTGTGATTCCAAATCGAGCTCTTGAAGACCTGAATGTTCAGCTCCATCAGGGATTCAGCCATTGCGTGCTTCGTTGCATGGGATGATAGTCCCAGAAATGGGACTGCTCACTTCGTGACGCGCAATACCATATGCTGGGGGGCTTGACAAATGTCCGATCAGTGCCAGGAGATGCAAATTGCGTTAGGCGGGCTGGACAGATAAGTCTGTGTACCATCGTTGGGCACTTCTTTCTCCTCTCCTTTTATGTTATATTCAAGCGCGTCTGCCATTGCAACTTCTGGATACTCATTCGCTTCTTTCTTTCTGACAACCACACGCTCTTTTTATGTCTGGACGTCTTTGAGTCACTCGTTCACGGAGACTTGAATACACTCGTTTGGTCACTCGGGAAGGTCGTCTTGCTCATTCCTACCTTAATCAATGTCAAAAAATGCTTGAAAATAAGTGGTTACAACCTAGGGATACTACCAACATGTCTGACACATGCTCTATGGGGTCATCTACAACACAGCTGCCTGTGAAGGAGTTTGATAGTTCAAGCCCTTCCTATGGTCAACCACCTGACTCACCCAAGACGCTTGTTCAGGTACAAAGCCATCCAACACACCATGACGGGTCACTAGACTCAGATCAATTTGAAGAGGCCGATGCAGAACAGTATCTGCGGTTCTCCCCGGCTCGGAAAATAGGCATCGTGGCTATTCTATCGTTTTGTGCTTTTCTGACCCCTATTGCTTCGACTGCCATTTTGACCGCAGTACCTGAGCTTGCAAAGACATTTGACACAACAGGGGATATCATCAATGCCAGCAACGCACTATATTTAGCGTTCATGGGAGTGTCTTCCTTATTCTGGGGCCCCCTGAGTCAAATCTGGGGTCGTCGTCCTGTAAGTACAATGCAACACGGTAGATGCTGTTAATATGTCCCTGGATTCCTTCGGGTTCAAGCACATCTTCTGACGAACCTTTTCAACAGATTTTCATCGCCAGTGGCGTGTTATTCTGTATTTTCACAGCTGCCACTGCCTTGTCTCCAAACCTTCCTGCTTATTTTGTGTTTCGTATTCTCGCCGCTCTCCAAGGCACGTCTTTTCTTGTCGTCGGAAGTTCTGCGATTGGGGATATCTATGAACCACGAACTCGAGCTTCAGCACTGAGCTGGTTGCTATCGGGAAGCTTGACCGGACCTGCTCTTGGTCCTTTCCTCGGGGTACGTCTGACTTATGTTTGGTATTCCAAGCATGTTGCCCATCGCTGACTTACATTGCAGGGTATTGTGGTTACGTTCAGGCCATGGAGAATAATCTTGTGGCTCTTGACCGCACTGACTGGGTTTGCTGTCATACTGCTCGCCCTTTTCTTTCCAGAGACCATCCCCCATAAGACTAATGGCGGGCTTGCTGGCCATGGTCTCCCGAAACAGACCAAGATGCTATGGCAGCGTATCTCACCAGTTCGCGTGTTCGTACTCACTTTCTCCTATCCGAACATATTCATCGCTGGCCTAGCTGCTGGGGCTTTGGTCTGGAATCAATACGCTCTTTTGACTCCAATCCGATATGTTCTGAACCCTCGCTTCCACCTGACGAGCCCGATCCAGGCTGGACTATTTTACCTCGCTCCAGGCTGCGGATATCTAGCAGGGACTTTTGTCGGCGGCCGCTGGACTGATTACACCGTGAAAAAATACATCGATAAGCGCAACGGCCTTCGCATACCTGAAGATCGGCTGAGATCCTGTATAATCTACATCTGTATCGTTACACCGGGCTGTCTCCTTGTCTACGGTTGGACGCTTGACCAGGAGGTTGGTGGGATTCCAGCCCCTGTGATAGCGATGTTCCTGCAGGGCGTAGCCCAACTCTTCTGCTTTCCCAGTCTGAACACTTATTGTCTCGACGTTATGCAGTCGCAGGGTCGCAGTGCAGAGGTTGTTGCGGGCAACTATGTCTTCCGGTACGTGTTCGCGGCACTTGGAACCGGTGTTGTGCTACCAGCTATCAATGCGCTCGGGGTTGGATGGTTCAATACCATTTCTGCGCTGTTTCTGGTGTTTTCTGGCGTTATGGTGTGGTTGGCGGCTGTTTATGGGCCTCGCTGGCGGGAAGCTGTTGATTTGAAATATGCTCGGAAAGCTGCAGAGAAGAAGCAGGCTCAACTGCCGTGAGCCGTACGCTTCATCGGCGGCAGAATCATGTATTGTAGATATGGGCGGCCATAAAAGTTATATATAGAGGAAGTAGGGTTGGCTTATCATGTATGTATCCAATTATCATTTGGTCATTTGGTCGGTTCCCGCTCATCATCGTACAGGTTGCATCGTACATACAAACTGAATGTCGGCAAATACTGAAGCATCGTTTGAACTGAGCATCTTCCTCAAATCTAGGAGGATCACTCGTCTCGCGATGATCCACTCCCCTCTGCACGCGTAATAGCACTAGCTGCGCTCTCCCTACCAGAGTCCTCGGATATGCCACCGCCACCAGCAGCCACCCGCGGCCCCTTCCTCGCCTGCACAAATTTCCTCGCATCCGCACGCCCCTTCTCCACATCTACAAAGACAATCGCAATCATCGCGGCGGTACAGATGGCAAACAGGAACGGGAAGCCCATCCAGTTATTCTGCGTGTCGTTGATGATCGCTTGGATGACATTGGGTCCGATGATGGAGGACTGGAAAGAGAGTCAGATTAGTGGACTATGATTTCAAGTTCCATCGTCTGACTGGGGAACATGATGCAAGCAAGCAGGCTGGCATCGTGCATGTATGTGTATGCACTTACAGCTCGATTGGTGATTCCGAACAGCGCGAAGAACATATTGTCGTATCCTTGCGGCATGAGCTCGCTTATCATTGTTTGCGCGTACTATTCGGATGTGGTGGGACGGGGTTAGTCTTTTTAGCAACGGGGGATTGATGGTTTGGGAGCCCCGGGGTGGGGGGATGCGACCTACGGCGTAGTAAGGGGCCTGGAACAGGCCGAAGATGACGTTGTAGAAGTAGAATTCCCACTGCGGGTTGATTGTTGGTTAGGGGAGGATCGTGAAGTTGAGGAGGTAACTTGTGGAAGGGATACTGACCTGATTGTGGTATCCGATTCGTTGTGTCCAAAGTCCCAGCATACCCCAGAAGGGGATGATGACGCTGAACACAATGGTGACGAGAAACATGTTCTTGGTGCTGAACTTGAAGTATTTCTGGATGTACCAGAATCCGAACGTCGAGGCGATGGAGCAGGCAGCTTGTGCGATGCCGAGATATGTCAGCTGCAGGAATGAGAATGATACGTAGTCATTCTGGATGATTGAGACTAAGGTTCCTGCAACGTTGTCAGTATCTTTGAGGCTTGTTGCTTCCATATTGCGTATCGCGAGCCACCCACCGGTTGTGTTGAGTCCGTCGGCGAGCAGAAAATAAGCAACGAAATAAAGGAAGGTCTGCGGTAATGATCGGACTTCTTTTAGAGCGAGCCAGATCTGCTTGAAGCCGATTGTCGCGTAGCTTGAACCCTTTGGAACCTTGGGCCCTGGTCGCTTCTGCTGGAAAATGAACCACCACACTCCTAGCACGACCCAGTCTGTGAGATCATCTGTCAGAAGGCATTAAAGCGTCCGTCCAGCAGGGGTACTGACATGAATTCGTCAAGCAGAGTGCGAGATTGTTGGAGTAGTCGTTATTTTGAAGTGGAAGCAAGACACTCAGATTCAGTACGGACGTAAGTAAGAATCCGATATTGCTGTGTGCGGTCGAGACATTGCTATCTCAAATGTTAGAAAAATGCATTTCCATTGAGCTAGGGCTATACCTGATGTGGTTCTTCTCCAAGGACTCCACAGCATCATATTCTTCCTGACTGATCTTGCCATCCTTCAGATCCTCTTCGCGGGCCTTGCGAACATGCGGCATGTATCGAGCAAGCCTGGGGAAGACGGCAGCATAGAACACGAGAGTCGCACCATAGGCGATATACGCGACCACGTACAGCCCCATGGCGGTAGGCCATTGACCGGGATCTCGGATGGCCATCATGCCATACTGAAGGGCCCAGCATATCACAGTCAATGCCAGCAGAAGCCAACGGCCAAAAGATCCGTAGTCGGCAGCGCTACCAAGCCAGATAAAGATTAAAGTCATGAAGGCAAAACATAGTCCGTTGGCGATTAAGACCACAGAGGCGACGGACTTTGTGCCTCCAGCCCAGGGGACCACACATGGAGAGGAATCCGTGCATGGCTGACGAGGTTCAGTTCCTGGTTGCCAGCCAGCCCCATTCAAAGCCCATTGAAAGCTTTGTCAACAATCAGCTCAGGCTATAGAATGATGGACAATTTGGACTTACAGTGCTTGAGCGTAAGAACCAGGGCCGACCCCATTGTCACCTGATCAAATATGGGATAGCCAATTAGTCCACATAAACCTAAGAGGGTTAAAGGCACAGTACCGTTGTAATAGAGATAGTAAGACCATAGTTCTTGGCGAGTTGTTGTCGGCTGCTCGTGTAGGTCTTCATCTACCCCAAACAGCCGTTCATAGTCATCACGGGTGGACTGCACCTTCTGCACAGTTACTGCGGCTTTGGCATCAACTATCCCTCCACGAATGCTGCTGTCTACTTGATCCGTATCGTTGATCAAATCGCCTGCTCGATTCGAAGCATGGTTGCTAGATGCCATTGCAGTGGTGTTTGGATTTCCGGCTTTTCTAGTTCACCGTTAGTACATGAGCGACGGTATATAAAGGACAATAGCTTCACTTATAGATCTCGAATCCCCCAGATAAGCAACCAAGCAATTAAGGAAAGGGGGCATGCAACAGAGACCGTAGCTCGAGAGTCACGTCGAGGGGGTCGAGAGCCAGAAACAGTACCCCGCATAGATAGGTAGATGTTGTTATTGTTACAGTTGCATTCTCCCTTTCTCTATCTTGCGAGTTGCGAGGTGTGGTTTTCGGCCCCCATTTCGATATAAGAGCCGGTCTCAAATCCTGCAGGACGCTAAGTTGGCCCCTAGCCGGAGATTGAAGATAAAAGATCGACCGTGCCGATGCGAGAAGGAGCAGAAGACTTAAGAGTTAAGACTGACCTGAGTGGGATGATGGATCTCTCTGCTCACTGCTAAAACAAGTCAGGTGCTCCTCCGCCTCTGCTCCACCACCCTCATCTGTAGCGCAGTCGATCACTTCTGTCATCTTCATATTGATTTGTTTTCACAAGCAAGTCAAGACAGTCTGCTTCGCAGTATGCATTCCTGAAATTGTCGATCCTAGTCAGGAGAAGCTGAATAGAAAGCACCAGCTTCCTCAATCAGACCAAGCCAAGCTTCATCGCGATCAACCTTTCGCAACATTCCGGGAAAATGTCATCAGAAGAGCTACGTAGGAAAGTTGGACAGGTGAGGGAGCGTTCCACGGAGTGTCCCAGATCTAGATATCAGTCTGATTGGGGATTATAGCTTTTCGCGGTCGGTTTTCACGGCCTCGTCCCAAGTCCCGAGATCAAGACTCTGATCCACGAGTATGGCATAGGAGGCGTTGTTCTATTCAAGAGAAATATACAAGATACTGCTCAACTTCAGGTATGTCATCGTTATAATTAGCACATACAGAGTCGATAATACCGAACAATACGATTCAGCTAACACCCCACACAGTCGCTCACTCTCGCTCTCCAAGAGGAAGCTAGATTGGCTGGCCACGAGCGTCCTCTCTTCATAGGAATTGATCAAGAAAATGGGCTGGTTACTAGGGTATCTCCGCCAATGGCTCCTCAGCTGCCGGGGCCAATGGCACTGGGAGCCACTCGTTCACCTGAGCTGGCTTATCGAGTTGGAGAGATCACCGGTGAGACCTTGCGATTCTTCGGGATCAACATGAATTATGCTCCTGTCTGCGACATCAACTCAGAACCCTTGAACCCGGTGATAGGCGTTCGGAGCCCCGGTGACGATCCAGAATTTGTTGGTCGGTTCGCGAGTGCTACGGCCCAAGGACTTCGAGAGCAAAAGGTCATTCCAAGCGTCAAGCATTTCCCGGGCCACGGAGATACCGCCGTGGACTCTCATTATGGGCTGCCAGTAATAGAGAAGACGAGAGAACAGCTGGAGAAATGCGAACTGATCCCTTTCCGTCGAGCTGTCGCCGAGGGCATTGAGGCAGTGATGACCGCACATATTTCCTTGCCAGCTATCGGTGATGGTAAATTGCCTGCTACGCTGTCCGCTGACGTGTTGGGCATCCTTCGTAATGAAATGCAATATGACGGGATGATCATCACCGACTGCCTGGAAATGGATGGAATTCGTGCGACATACGGAACCGAACAGGGAGCACTCCTCGCCCTGGAAGCTGGCAGCGACAGTATCATGGTCTGCCACACCTATAACGTGCAAGTAGCATCCATTGAACGGATCTGTACAGCCGTGCAATCTGGAAGACTCGCAGCTTCGCGTCTCAATGATGCCTGCAGGCGGGTTGCCACCTTGAAGGATAAGTTTCTGAACTGGGATACTGCGCTGAGACGAAATGATCTGGAGGACCTGGTTACTCTGAATGGGAAAGCTGCCACATTAGCCAAGGAAGCTTACTCCCTCTCCGCCACTCTCGTTCGGGATGACCCTGGCGTCCTTCCTTTGTCGAAACCGTCTCAAATCGTGCTTCTCTTTCCTGGAGAAAGAACACCTGCGGGCGGCGCGGTTGATGGAGAAGGCACAGAGAAGGGAGGCGTGTACAATGTCACCGAGTTTGGTGCTGTCTTGAGAGCATACAGTCCAAATACCGTCGAAATCCACTACGGCGCGGCGGGATTGACGAGTGACCAATGGAAACTGGTCGAATCCGCCGACTCTGTTGTGCTTGTGACCTTCAACGCACGAGACTCGCCGTTTCAAAGGGCGATGGGTCTAGAGCTGCCCAAACATACCCCGAACCCGATTACAGTAGCAGCCTGCGCTCCTTATGACTTCATCGACGACGCCATTGTCAGGACGTACATAACAACATATGAGCCTACCATTGAGGCTTTTATGGCTGCCGCAGATATCATCTTCGGTGCGATCGTTGCCAAAGGTTCTCTGCCTGTCGGACCACAGAAAGTCGCTTTGGATTCAATCCATGTGTCGCCATTTGATCCTGCCGACCTCACTCCATTAGTGGAAGTCTGGAACACTTCCTTGCCCGCTTACCCGTTGCCTGCAGACAGCCTCAACAGACTTTTGGTCCAACCCAATGGACACCACTTCGTTGCACGTTTGGAGTCCAAGACCATAGGATTCTGCCTCTTGTATACAACAACCACCCGAGGGACGACCGATGGTCAACTTGCCGTGCTTGCAGTTGATCCAAAGCACCAGGGCAAAGGAGTCGGCACAGCGCTGGTTGCAGAGGCAAGGACATGGTTGATGGCGAACTACAAGCCCAGCTCTCTGTCACTCGGAAGCTCTTTCCCCCGATTCTGGCCTGGTATTCCCACAGATCTCCCAGAATCTGTGCAAGAATTCTTCGTCCATCGGGGATTCCGCCTCAACCCACCGGTCCCGAGATCTGTTGATTTATACCAGGACATCAGAGACTTCCAGCCACCAGAGAAGTACATGCTCCGCGCAAAGGAACGGGGCTTCACATTTGCGCCTCTCCAGTCAGAGCATTACGCCGAGTGTCTTATAGGCCAGAAGCGAAACTTTTCCCATAACCCGGTATGACTCCTTTCTCACGACCAGGGCGGCAAATATTCCTCAAAGATTCTAACCCTGCACAGGCTTGGGTAGACATGTACCACCAGCTCGACCCCGAGAGTCACCCATCCAGCATCATGACCGCCTTCGATCCACAAGGAAAGCAAGTAGGATGGACCCTGATGCTTGCGCCCTCATCGCCCATCTTGCAGTATAACTGGGCCTTCCCGCCTCTCTGCGGGCCGCAGACAGGCCTGATCGGCTGCGTCGGGGTGGACGAGGAATACCGCAAGGCAGGCGTGGGACTTGCACTGCTCTGCCACGCGATTGAGGACATGAAGCAGCGCGGGGTCGAGGGCGTCTTTGTGGACTGGGTGAGTCTGGAGGGGTGGTATGAGCAGATCGGGTTCAGGGTCTGGCGGAGCTATAGAACGGGGCAGATGTGAATGCGCTCAATCCAGCAGATATCGAGACTCTGATAGATGATACGGTACCCTGTCTAGTCTCTGTCTGGGGGTTATAGCCTCGCAACTTCGTACATACTCAATACCACCAAATGGAACAAAGAGGTTATTCGAGCCCCGACTGCAAGGAGCCGAAACAACCTTCACTCCCAGCAAAAGATAAACAAAAACACTTTGTACTCCAACTGAACCCAGTTCACAAACGCACTTCTCTACACAGTTAATCATAATTGGTGCTGTGGTCTAGTGGTAGGACGTCACGTTGTGGCCGTGCCAGCCCCGGTTCGATTCCGGGCAGCACCACGAGATTTATCTTTCTTTCTTTTTTTTTTTTTTTTTTTCCCTTTTGAAGGGGCGTGAATCGCCTCCGAACGGTATATTTTGCAGAATTACCGAGGCGTTGGGATGAAATTTCAGAAGTACCTACATATCGCTCGTACCTGGTCGTCTCTGTCTCAGATGTTTCAGGGACACAGTATCAGGCATTGGACTCTGAGAGTATGGTGTTCATGTTCATGCAGGTTCACAGCACATTCATATGCAGGAGGTGAGCTCTGTTTCTAGACCTGGATCCCACCATTCAGGTTCGAGATGGAATCGAGGTGTGTAATAATTTTTACTGCAGTACCATTCCTGTACTAATGTGCAGCGTGTCTCTTGCACCATCCAATTCCAGTGGAAATAATCAATAAACAAATCTGTCTTTCGATGAAACTAACTGACCCTCCTCTAACTACCATTAAAAAAGACGGGAGCAAATTGGCATAATGTTCGCAATCATATCTTCATCAAAGCATGGTAGGTGCAGTAACCGACCCAGAAGAATTAACGCACTCCCAGCAAATACACGGTCTGTTTTCGAGGACATCTACGTCTGAGTTCTAGGCGCGATAGGTCCGCCCAATTCGCGGCCTTCCAACTTCTCGTCATGAGGGGCCGTGTCGAATCTGTACAGAGGGGGGCATTCGACTTTGCGGCGGAAGATGTAGCGCTGGACCCACCAAGGGAGCACCGTGAAGCACTGGTAGCGCATATGCACTCGCGTGGGCACCGCAAAGATGTAATCGAGTTCCTCCAGAGTGCGTTGCTTGGTCTCGGGCACCCACAGGAAAATCATGATCAATGCTGTCACATTCAGACCACTATAGATCGGTCAGTTCACCAAGTTCTGCGTCGACGAACGTGAGGTGCGAAATGACTGGGGGAAGAATGACTGCCCAGACATGCCGAGACACCAAGGTGATCGGAGAAACACTTACGCATAGAAGCAAAAGGCGCCAGTGGGAGTCATCACATGGAGCATGCGAGGGAAGGTGATGGACAAGACTGCAGCCCATCCGAGACAAGTCGCAACAGCCCACGACATTCCAACCTCTACTTCAGAGTTAGCAGCGGATCCGATGGTCGGAGCCTGGAGCACATAGAATGGACATACCGCGGTGCGACAGAGGGAACACCTCTGCCGAATAAGTAAAGGGAACTGGACCTTCGCCTGGCGAATAGAATGCTCCAAACATGAAGACGAAGAGCGCAATGCATGGGAGATGGGCTTTGGACTCCTCGGGGATGAGGAAGCAGAAAGCTGCTGCGAGGAGAGTCCACGCCATCTGGGGGAAAGTGAAAAGAAGCAGGCTTCGACGTCCGAAAGTGTCAATGGTGATCACAGCGGGGAACGCGAAAAGGAAGTTAACCAGTCCGAAACCCCAGGAGGCAAAGAGGGCCCCGGTTGGACTGGCACCTGCCTCCGCGAAGACAGTGGACGAGTAGAAAGCGACGATGTTGATGCCACACATCTGTTGCGCAATCATGACAACGAAGGAAGCGAGAGTCGCGCGACGGACACGTGGAATGGTGAACAACTCGATGAAGCGAGTGACGTAGGTGCCATTTCCAGCGATTTCTTGTTCAACCTTGATCTGCGAATAGATGGAGAACAGGTCTCGAGCAGCTTGCAGCTTCGTGTTGCGCAGCCGGCAGAGAGAGTTGAAGGCGCGCCTCATGTTTCCTTTCTTGATGTACCAACGAGGCGACTCGGGGCAGAAGTAGACGCCCACAAGAAGAGGAATAGCAGGGATGAACGCCGAGCCGAACTGCAACCGCCAGGCAATTTTACCCGTGTCCTTGACAGCCAAGTTGGCGGAGAATCCAAGGAAGATGCCAAAGGCGGTCCACAGTTGCCAACACATGACCAAGCCTCCACGGATGACCGCAGGAGTGTTCTCTGCACAGAAGATGGGGACAGTGGACGCCTTCAGACCCATACCAATACCGAGGAGGAGACGAGTCACGAAAAGCTGGGGCCAGGTCTGGCTGACAGCAGTGCCAATGGGAGATAGAACGCAGAAGATGGAGGACAGGAAGATTGCACCGCGACGGCCAAGGTACGAGTTGACAGGGTCGGACAACCAGCAACCGAGAGCAGCACTAGCAATATATGGACCACTGATCACACATATATGAGTCAAGCTTCAAGCAGTCAAAAAGTGGGCTACTTACGCATTCACCACACCGACCAACCACTGGTTCCGTTCGGCGTCGGGATTGACAGAGCCGTCCAAGAGCTTGTCGCCATCAGGGATACCAAGAGCGTAGGGGAAGGAAAGATTGGCACCTGCAGGAGAAGAACAAGAGAGTCAGTTAGTACTCCATAAACGGGTGAAGACAGAATATTTTCCATACCGTTACTTCCAGTTTGATCCCAACCCCTGAGGAGATTGATATTAGTGGTGATTCATCTACATCGAAACTGCGCCAAAAAGTACTTACTGGACAGCGGCGCCAACGGAGCAAAGAATGATTGTGAAGTAAAGAGAACGAGGCTGACGCCATTTATGATCAGTCTCATCACGAATGGTGCTGATCTCGGCCTCAGTTATCTCAGGAACCGACTCGAAGTTGTCAGGATCACGCGCGATGAGGGCACCCTTCTTCAAGTCCGGGAGGATGTCTTGAAGATCATACTCCCGGGAGAATTCTTCCACGTCGCCAATGACCTGAGAGGGGGTGAGATCCGCCAGAGGATTTTTGATCCTATTGGAGACATTGGTTAGAGATCAACATCAGATACGGGGGTGGACTCGAAAAGCAAGAGCAGCTCGCAGAGAGTGTGCGTGAGATTGTCGCGCGACAGCACTTACTTGGCAGAAAGGTTGTTGTTCAGGTTGATATGCTCCATATGGGCACTCTCGAGCGCGTTATGGTCGCCACTGTTGTATCGCGCAGATGGTCAGTCAAGATGCCCAAGCAGGGGCTGCATCGAAGTGGATGCAAGAGGAGGACTTACTGCTGCTTGATAGGGGCATCAGTAGTCGCGACATGAGCGACATGAGCGACACTGTCCTTCTGCTCTGCCATGTTGACAGAGTCAGGCTGAACCGAAGCAAGGTGCTTTGAGAGCAAAAGAAGTGTGAAGATGTGAAATTGAGGAGGAGTGAGGCTTTGAGAATCTGCAGCTGGGGAAAGCGCGGAGAAGATGAAAGAGAGAAAGAAGAAGGTGCGGGGAGAGGGAGAAGAAATAGATGAGAGGGAGATCGATGAGAGCAAGAGAGTGAGAGAGAGAGAGAGAGTGGCAGATTAAGTACAGGCAGGGGACGAGATCAAAGAAAAAGAAATTGAATTATATTAAATGAGAAAGAAAAGAATAATAATTCACTGGAAATCAAATAATAATAATTGAAAGAAAAAAAAAACACGGCTGAGTCCACATGGGAGAATCACTGCGCATCCAGAGAGATTCACAGGTAAGAAAAGCATGACTCCTGCATTCACTTGCACTCTGATACTACTGACTGAACTACCTACATGCCTCTGTTACGAGCAACTCAGGTATACAGAGAATCAGTCGGGATCTGCTATTGGTCCTCCCGCGGCCGAAGGATTCAGACTACTCTGCACCCAAATGTCAGTAGCTGCTCTTCAAGAGAGCCATTCCCGCAGTCTAAAACTCCTTCCTTTGCTGGCGATTAGCCCACCCTCGATAGGAGTCTAGGACAGAGTTACATTTTCCTTGGATGACAACCACTCGTGAGCCACGTCCCGGCAAGGCCGACAAGTGATTCCCTTTAGCAAAGTGGATACTCGTTTGGTGGCCACTAGAGAGCTTCAAAGCTTCATAAGATAAGGCCTGAGTGGCGGAGCGAGGTTTTGTTGACCGCAACCCCAAGACGGATGAGGATAGAGCAGATAAAGCAGAATGACGGTGGTCAATCCCGATCCTCGTTTAACTCGATAGGATTCTGATTCTTTGGTAACGATCCCCAGAGAACCAGAGTTCAGTAAGCTACGAGGAACGGAATGCCAGATGGACTATTGGGGAGGGTTGTCTTCCATCAACCACGCGAATGGAGCGTGTCAAGGTGGAGACCCCCACAGGTCTGATGACTGCGTTAAGGCATACTCTCGAGTCTCGAGTCTAGATGATAATCCAGTGTATATCTACCCATCATCATAGGAGATTATGCGGAGTGCAACTCTGTTGGGGCAAAGCAGGTTGGCTACTTCATATACTTTGAAGCCTGTACTGCATGTTCAGCAGCAGCGTAAGCGGAATACTTCCAGAACCAAGCAGAGAATTCTCATCTTTCAGCGAGAACTTGTTCCAAATCCGGGGATCAACTACTACGTACGAGCATCCCTCCAGCAACGATTGGAAGAATCCCATGAGAGGAAAAAAAGGATAAACTCCGAGGGTTTCGAACCAGACCTGAAACAGCAGCTTGGAGGCATCATGTCATCTGTTGTTTCCGTACAATTGAGGGCTTTTTTTTTTCTTTTTTTTTTTCTCCCTCTGACGGACTTCCTGACTTACTCCCCTCTTCTTCTTCCCCGCCTCCAGCCAAACGGGATCCCGGATGGTTAGTCTAGTGAATAATGGTATTGGGTTAAACCGTAATAATTCCATCTGTTAGGCTGGTCTCAATGCACGAGCCAATGTTGCAAGCGCAAGAGCGCCACGCTTGTTGCTAGAGGGGCGATCCCTGCCCGTGCTCTCCAGGAAGAGGCAAGAGTAACAGGATCCCTGATGTTTGACCAAGCATTATTCGTTACTCTTGGCCTGTCTAGCGGGTTAAGACTAAGCCAAGAACAGTCACAGTGGTCTGTGGTACTGGTCGGTCAGGGCTAGCTTGATCCTTGGCGGGTCGCCAACCTTTGTCCTTGTTGCGATGTGACTGTGGGGTCTGGGGAGAGAAAAAAGAAAGAGACAGAGTTGTTCCCGTCTCGGGGGATTTCTCGAATCTAATCTCTCTTTGTTCGCGTGGTCATGGCCATGTTATTAATATCATGGACCTATGTAGGTTTAAGTATATGCCATAATGAGATAGTCGACAGTTGACAGTACACATACTATGTAGTCACCAGAAACAGCGGTGTCTCACTGTCAGCAAACTGGGTCTTTATCTTTGGGTCAGTGACCACTGACCAGTGTAACCAAGGGCCACACTCCAGATCAGGAACCCGGAGAAATCTGGGGAGTCTACCTCTGTAGTCCGTACCGTGGAGAGATAATTGGTAAGTTGGTAAGTTGGTAACAGACTACTCTGTACGCTTTTAGTTTAGCAGCCCCACATTCCAGTGAGCACATGGTCATCTGCCATCAACAGCTTACTTACGGAGTACTCCATACTCCATACTCCATAGTAGTACTAGTTACAATCACTCCCAAAACATCTTATATTACTTCTATTATGAACCCCACCTCATCATCATCATCATCATCATCATCATCACTTCCAACCTAAACGGACATCACCGTTCAAAGCGGCCAGCCTTGAAACAGTGCAAAAGGCTGTTCATGATTCATTAGCCAAGAAACAGCCCAGAGAGCGCAATATCCAAGCGCTGATCAACCTCGAGTTCATGAAAGAAGATAAACTTTCCCGGTAAATGGATGCGGAATCAACTAATTACTCATTCACTGAGTGTGTACTGTGTGTGCGGTCATAATGAATTTCCCCCCGGTCAGCCTTTAGGGCAATCTGCGCAAGGCTCAAGTCCACTGGTGACTGGGCAATAAAGGATTACGGAGTACAGCGCTAGAGAATCAACTCCTAGTCTAATTAGTTAGTCAGTAATAATAATCATAATCCTACGTATACAAAGAAAGCAAAACCACGGCAAGTGGGACGCACTGCCGTTTGCTTTTGCCTGGGCCAGAATGGACCTGGTGGCTGGAGATCACCCAAATCTTTCATTAAACCTTAGCCGGTTAGTGGTAGGGCCGGGGACTTCTAGAAGAGAGATATAGCTAGGGAACTGGTCCAGAGTGGCAAAACATTCACCCAGAATGGAAGGCCATGGCCCCTCGACAACCTTGGAGTATGCAGACTTCAGCCATCTGTTTCACGTCTTTATCTTACTGAAAAGCGGGATGCGATGGAATTTGGTAAAATTCTGCTCGCTCAAAGTTCAGTATCCTTCCTCCCCCCCCCCCCAAAGCACCTTGAGATTTTTGTTGTGCACCGGCATCAATGGTTCATGCTACACAATCTCACGCAAACCCGAACACGACATGTCCGATGTATCTTACCCGATTCATGTCGGACAGCCGCGCAAGGCCGTGGCTAAGGTTGCACCCAATTAACTCGATGGCTTGAATCTGGCCTCGTAAAGCCAGGCGCATCCATTCCACTGGATACGGAGGTCTCCATTCTCTGAGTCAGATATCTGCAATATTTACCGGGGTGAATGCAACTGGTTGATCGTCCTACGAACAAGTGTGGCGCAATCGAGACCTTGCCGTGCGACTGTTCCAGATGCGACTCTTTTCGGAGTTTTTTCGGACTCAGAGGCTACTGAAGCGGTTCGATTTGAATTGATCATCAGTCAGAAGAGCCTCACTGCCTTTGATGCACTAAGCCTTCTGTTGACCGTTGAGAGGTACCCATCACGACCCTATGAGGCTTGGCCTCGATGTCTGGTAGATAGACAAATTTGATACCTCTTTGAACTAGATTCGGTGTATAGAAAATGAGACTGAGTCCCTGCGAGAGATATCCATACTTTTGTGGTAGTAACACTATGGATGAATTCTCATACTTACAGTATATACTCTTTGACCATAGCTGCTGCTATATTACTCAATTGCCATGCTTAACACGATACTCTTTACATCATATGTCCCAAGAAGACTACTCGGCCTCTGTAGATTCTTTACAGGAAGAAATTTCTTGTCTCATTCTTCGGACGAGTCCAAGTGTTAGGTAGTACTCACTGCAGAGAGCGACCCGACCTGATAGCTAGTAGCCAAATAGGGTTAGACTATCAAAGCTACTATACCGATGTACCGGAAGGATTCCATTGCCATGACACTTCCACTCTCCCGGCACCAGTACTTCAAGAGAGTGTCGTCTCTAACAGACTCCTACATTGCACATCGCGCGTACCATTTCAGAGGACCTATCCTAAGTCTGAGATCGTATTGCCATCTCAGGCAAAGCATCATCTTGATATTATGATTGACAGAGCTTATGACTGGTTCGCGTCCGAGTGAACATGGGTTTACCCAAGTTGAGCTATCACTCTGCAGGATCTCTTGGCTTCAGAAGACCCGCTTTTTTTCCTTTTCCGAGTTCACGATTGACAATATCAGGGATGCTTTTCGTAAGAATGACTGTTCGTGGATGGAGAAGAGAATGCAGGAAGGCAAGCCATTTGTTATTCGCGGCTTTAACAGCGCGAATACTTGGAACAGACGCGTTTTGAGCAATGCAAGCTTATTAGACCTCTCCTCCTCGGAAGGTACGTCGCAGCCTTTCATGACCCTTCGAAGATCAGTCACTAGCTTGTGCTATTTTCCATCCTAGCACTGTGGGTTACAAATTGTGGAACTGGACGCAAATTGGGAGCGAAACTTGCAGAGCTCCTTCTGTCCGAAGTCGAATATGCACGAAGTTGCAATGCACACAGGATGTACGTTGACCACTACCCAGAAAAAGACGGTTACTCTGGCTGATATTCAATCTAGTTTATATGCAAAGGATCTTCGTTGTCCAGAGGTATAGAGCAGAGTACAGAAAAGCATCATACCGAAGTCTTTACGTCCATACCCATCCAGCTTGTTTATTCCCAAAAGGATGCTATTGAATGCAGTTTCTGCGGACTAAGTATCCGGAATCGACATCTCCAGTATGAACAATGCGGTGATTTTAACCTGTGTCTCAGTTGTTTTGTTTCCGGACGAGGCTGCCAACATGTTGTAGACTATAGGTTAGTCGAGCTGATACCAAGTGACACTTGTCGAAAGATGATCAATTCAGTACAGAGTTACCTTGGAGACCCATCGTCCTCAAGATCGTTGATGAAGTATGTACCAATATCACCCGGTATAGCACGACAGCGCTCTCCCATCTGTTTCTGACCGGATCCTGCCGGCCTGCCCTGGTATTACCATTACCCTTGAAGCTAATCGTCAACTTGCAGGCAGAAGTCGCTGGGTCTCTTGGCAGCTACTGCGGTTGTCTCTCGAAGAGAAGCTATGGTATACATGATATGACTTTGTGGCCGTGACTTCCTTTGCTCATCCATTCTAGGTCCGACTCTGCCATCTTTGCCACGGCAGGCATGCCCTCTAGAAAGGGGTAGCCTGCTCACAGTGCGATGTATTCTTTTGCTTTCGCGGTCTCTGCAGACACTTTGATATCGACCCTATTCCTTTCCTCATGATCCTGGGGCTTGTCCCAAATGCTCCCAAATGTGCATTTGTAGCTGTTGCCGCTTTGATCAGTCATAGCAGAACAGGGAGAAATTGACGAAGGTGCGAGTGGCACATATCGATCGCCGAGGTACGACCATGGGGTTCGTGGATAACGTAGTAAGCCGAAGAGTAGAGAGAGCTAGCTTAGCTGTACAGGCTGCATCATCAGAGACAGCTGCTTCGCCACGTGAACGAAAACGCCGAAGGCTGATAAGCATCGATGAACCTGAAGTCATAGTTTCCAATAGCAGTGACTACGCCTCCTTGGGTTACAACATCGCATCCTCTGCTGAAGCTGATCTACAAAACGCCGAGTCCCCAACTCCTTACTTTCGCGGCATAGGCGTGATCTCTGGTGGGGAACCTAGTACTGGAATGCTGGTATCTCCTAATAACCTTGTCGAAAGCCGCTGTCAAATAGCAGAACCAGAAGACGGCCTATCCATTGGTGCTACGGACTCCTCAAGTCAAGACAATAATCGAGCTAGAGATATCACATCTAGCCTGTCTGCCTCCGGGAGTGAAGAGAGTATTCCGGCTTTGCAGAAGCAATTGGAAACCCTTAATCAGTATGGGAGTGAGCTCCTCGAGCTATCCTTGGCGGAATCTCATGCTAAGGCGCTTGAGCAAATCAATTTACTGGAGAAACAGGTTGAGCAAGTCAGACGTCGAGAAGCAGAAGTACTTTTAAAAATTTGCATCATGACTTTCCTGACCTTGCTGATATAGCCATGGCGGAAGCACGACAGCGAGGCTTTGGGGATATGTATGAGTAGCGCCATTTGTTGCATATTGAGGCTGGTTTACATGAAGATGGACTGACTGCCTTCACGAACATTGTTTGACCTTGGCATAGTGATGTGAGATGCTCAATATTCGATCACCCAATTGCTGATGTAAACAATGGCAACATAGATCAGTTGACCATTGATCTTCATTTGTCAATCGTTAGTTCTAAATACGAAGTCGAAGACATGTGGCATACGATAGTCATTTCCGAGAAGATTGGCGACACTAGGCGCAGCTTACGGGACTAATCTTGAACAAACATTCAGCTCAGCCCACCTGGCAGAGCGTACGACCAATGCATCTCCACACCTCACAAAACAGACACATTGTATCAACTCACGATCGAATTCCAATATCAAGCCCAGAATCATCCCAGCAGATCACTGGCATCCTCACCATGGACCCTATAGCGGCCACGCAGCTCGCGGCAGATGTGGCGGGCATCTTCCTCAAGATCGTGAAAACGGTCAAAGAGGCCATCGAAACCATGAAGGGCGCCAGAGAAGCGCTCGTGGAGCTGCTCAGCCGCTGCGAAAGAGTGCGCCTTCATCTCGAGCTTTTCCGGTCCCTCGCGCATCGACTGTCGAATCCAGAGGGGAAATCCGTCTCCCTGTCCTTCAACGACAGCGCCTACCGACAGACTGCCGGTGAGATTCTGGGGCTTATCCACAAGGTCGCGGATGCGTCCAAGCACTCTGACCTCTGGATGAAGTTCAACTGGTTGTTCTACAAGGCGGATGTGACTGCTTTGATTGTGAAGCTTGATGCGCGCGAGAAGGACCTCAATCTTGTCTTGACTTTTATTGCAGCGTAGGGCTACTCTGGATCCCGGGGCTTGGAGCCTGGCTGAGAAGCTAGCTGATGTGATTTCCTACAGGCAGTCTAGTGTAGTCACAGAGCAGGAGATCATTGCCATGAAAGGCGATGCTCAAGAATCAGCGCAGATCACCGAAGCGTTTGGTGATGCTGGACCGAAGCAGGCTGGCAAAGTAGTAATCGTGCGACGGAAACACAAGAAAAAGAGTCATGGTTCGAAAAGCGGATCAGATGGTCCTAAAGAGCAAAAAGAATCTGACTCTATGCCGAGCCAACCTTCGAGCTCGAGGGAGCCGGCGCTGTGGTTAGGAAACGTCTTCAAGACCGGGTTGGATTCGTCGTATCTCAAAGAGAGAAAGCGAGTGTCTGATGCTGCTTACTGGGGGGACTGGAACAAGTTATTATCTGCACTCGACATTGGATGGCGTCGCTTCGGCGAGTCCTGGTGCAATGCACTTTACCTTGACAACAGTAAGCAAGCTCAAGTTTAATCCTGAGTGGGAGCTGAGAATCCATGCGTGCGCAGAGCCGGAAGCCGACATCCATCAACTGTCATTATGGACGCCTCTGCACCAGGCAGCCTATATGCATGCTCCGAAGAAGGTCGTAGAGCAGCTGGTCAGATATGGAGCATTCAGTAACGGCCCGGATATTCCCACCCACTTCCAAAATCATGTCTAACTATGAATGCCAGGGACACTTCCTACAGGGAAGACTCGAAGCGAGTTCCGCTATCATGATCTAACAGCGGTTGAGATTGCCCACGAGCTCGGGTATTCAGAGCTCTGGGACATCCTCACGCCTGTGATCCATCACTTCCTTCCCGCGAAGGTCCTGATAGAGCTGGAAATACAGTTTCACCAACTGATCCATGCCGAACTGGCGGATCCTTCTATTTCAAAGAACCTGCGACTCCCGCAACTGGTGGTGCTAACGGAGCTGGAGAACCCGGAGATGTGGTTCCCGGTCTACCCTCAGAGCGAGCATGGAAAGGTCAGATCGATGCAGGTGGTCTCATGTGGAACGTCACTGATGGAGAGGTCTAGGGATTCCTGTTTCGCCTTGACGGGCGCGAACTTGTGGTTCTGAGTGTTGGGAGGAGCGCACCAGCATCCAAGCAACTTTTCCGGGTGATGACTACAGGCTGGACTGCAATACAGGATGCTGTTGTGTTTCGACGGTAGTGTCTTGGATGTCTGCACTCTGCAAGGATGGCATGTTGATCGTTGTCCACTGGGCCTGGATTGTGCACGGATTGCACATTGGATTGTGGATTGAGGATTGAGGATTGACTGAGAGATACGGATATGGTGACTCTTAAGTCTATGGTCTAGCTTTCTTCAAACAATGTTGGTTATTGCTCAAAGTCAGCTGGTACAGTATTCAGTAGCAGTGAAGATATATCTGTATATATATATTTGACTACTAGACGCTATATAGGCTGGTCGATCAGTAGCTATTTTAGACCGGGCAAACAATACGATATTTCATGTCAAGTCCATTCCGACCAGCACAAATGCCTATTAATTATGAATACTGTCTCATTATTGATTATGATGAACCTGATGGCCAGCTGTAGCCTGTATGGTTCCACGGGAGCCAAGCGGGAGTTCCAACCGAACGATCGTCATCGCCTCCACTGCCGACTCTCTCTCTCTCTTTCTCTCTGCCAGAACAGACTCCCATCACCAGAGTCATTTTGGCAGTATAGATCACATGTGCTTGAGGCTCATGCAGTGATCATTTGGCGTCTTCATCCATCGCCTGATATCCCTTGGAGCTGGTTGATCTCCCTTATGATCGTGGTAGTTGGTACGTCTGAGTCTCCCATTCCACCCTTTTAGCCCCTGCCCCCCCGCCCACGGGGTCTCCTGTTGTAGTTATTCCGGGACCTGACAAGTCAGGAAGATCATCAGCTAGATAGCTATCTCCCTTCCATCAGCTTGGGAACCTTCTCATGACTGATTGAACAACAATCAAATAGTCTCGATCGAACTGCTCGAGTGATAATCTTATAAGGGCCTGCAGTGCTGCAATTGTTCGATCACTCTGCAGCCCAACTGGTCCAAGACTACTACGACGTACTATCCTGACCGCCTCCACAGCCCACATCCCAGCTATCGCTCACAGACGCACGATCTTCCCAACCTTCCTTTTTTTTTCTGAGTGAAAGAAAGAGAGAGAGAGAAGAAGAGAAAAAAAAAAGCTTGGGTTGTTTCCGATCGTCCCTTTCTCTTTTCTTTCTTACCTCCTTTCCCTTGTCTCATTGAGCCTGCTCTTTCTCTCATTGATCCCATCCTGGCTCCTGGATCTCCGAGCGAGGTTCCTCCATTCACACCCTACCCCCTCCCCTCCCGCCATGCCATGTTTCAAGGGTCTCGCCGTGAGTATACACACTCCAAACGGCCCCATCTCCGAGTTCTCCATTCAACGCCAGTCCCGGGCCTCTCGCATCGCATGCTATATCCCCGTCCCACCTCCTAAGCTTCCCGACTCGGCGAACGGAAAACCCGAACAATCGACCTTCGCCATCTCGATTACGCTCTTGAACCCCGGTCAAGATGTTCCGTACTCCACACCGAAACCGACGCCCGACGACCCCTCACCGAAACCTAAGGTGGTGGGGGGTCTCCCCGGTCAGACGGGCGAGCGCGGACAGTATAGCAGCTCGGTTGCGCCCTACCAGCCCTTGACCAACTCGCCGAACGAGACGGTCGCTGCCTACATATACTTCGATGGCCGGCAGAAGGAAGAGGTGGCAACCTTGCTCCGCAGAGGGGAGGAGACGTGGGTCAACTCGCGTTGGGTCAGCGTGCCGGAGTCGGAGGGCGGTGGTCTTGCCGAGCGGGAATTCCTGTTTCGCGAGGTGGGGTTGGAAAGATGGTTGAATGGGCTGGACCTCGAAGGCAAGGATGTTGCTGCCAGAATCGAGCGGAGGCGGCAGAAGATGGAGAGACGCCGGTTGAAGCGCGACTCCGCCGACGGAATGGGGGATATGGATATGGATTCCAAGTTGGCAGCCGCGAAGAGTAAAGGGATCATGCGGTATGGCAACGATACGAAGTCGCCTCTGGAGAACGTCTCAGACGATGACATGTCGTATTCTGATTCCGATGACGACCCGATTCCCGAGACCACGGGGCAGATCAAAGTGGCTCTGTTCCGAGTACTGGCGTCCGGGGAGATCAAGCGCGGGGAATACTCGCCGCAGTTCGATGCCCATGATGACGACGAGGAGAACCAGGGTGGACCGGCCAACAACGCGGATGTCGACCACACCACGAGTTTCGCGAAACCCAAGACGCTGGATCCCAAGACGATCAGCACGCAGACGGTCACCGGCATCGACCCGTCCGACAAACCGTATGCGATCTTTACGTTCATGTATAGAGGAGAGAGTACGTTTTGTCTCGGTTATGTCTCAATTGACTTGAATTGGCTAATGATTGCGTAGGACAACTGCAGAAGATGGGCATTCTGAAAGATCCCAAGGTCCAAGAGACGCCTGCCTCCGCGAAGCGAAGATCATTACAAACCGACTTCTCCAGTCTTGGTCCCCTCAAACCGGGCGGCACGGTTGGGTTCCTCAACTTCCGAGACAACGCCGACAGCAGAAAAGACAAGAAAAACAACAAGGGAGACGACGATATGGACAGCGAAGATGATGACGATGACTCTATCCTTGGCAAGGCAGATGACGAGGAAGGCAAGGAAGATAACCTCGACCTGTCTCCGGAGGACATTCGGCGGCAAGGTGAACTGGCGGAAGGGGTCCGCAAGATTAAAGTATGTGTCGGGCGGCTTAACCTGGATCTTGAGGTTTCTTACTAATTTGTGCCAGCTCAAACGTCAACACTCTTCTGCTAGCTTGGCCGGTGCCAGCAACAAGGCCGATGCCGGGAGTCCGCTCAGCGGAGGCACACCGGCGGCTTCAAGCATGTCGACCACACCTCCGAATGTCCCTACCGCTAGTATGGGGACATTGGAAGCCCCCAAACCCGCTGTCAACACACTTGATGGAGGATTCATCGGCAGTCCTTTGAAGAAGCAGCGGGCTAGTGTGTCTGAGGCGGATGAAAGTGCTCTGCGGCGACGCATGGAGTCTGGACTCTCCAAGGAGATCAGCGCTCTAGGAACGTCGGGCGAGGGGACAGCAGCTGCGACGGCAGCGAACCCCAACCTTTTCGGAGGGAGCTTGAAACCACAGGAGCCAACGCTACAACCAACCAATGAGGATGAAGAGCTGTAGCGTGTCTCCCTTTTACCAAAGCTCTCGCCCGACCGTACCTTATGATATTGACAGACCGCTGACTCGTATCGGTGGTGCTTGTTTTCGACCAGCTGAATGATACATTGTTGCGACGGAGGGTTATCCTGACAACATCGCATGTTATGACCGTGACGGATTGGCGTAAATTGAGCGCTTGAATTGCGATACTTGGGGATTCCTATTTCGCTTTTGTCTATTTTGTGACTATTTCATTTATTTTTTTTCTTCTATATTGTTGATCAGCTGGGAGGGAGGTGCTGTCCCAGATGCCAGTGGACTGGCGTGTTGCTTTTGTGTGCAAATTGGAAGGAGGATACCACAGCACAGTATTTATTGGGGTGGCTTAGAATCCGCGAAGTTTCCATACATTCACAAGAGAGTGGTGTGGAATGACGTATAGAAGCATGGACCAAAATATGACCCTTAGGATTATCATCCCTCATTGATTTTGTGTCTTGTAATTGGGGACGATTGATGCCGTGGGGGTGAGTGACGAGATGCATTCCCAGTCCCCGTGGAAACTTCTTCCCCTCCGAGTCCTCCTGAATCGTCCGCAATTTGTATCCCGAACAAGAATCAACCCAATCCATCAACAGAGAGCTACGATGCCGCTCGAACGCTCCACAGACCCCTTGGTCTGGATCGACTGCGAGGTGAGCTTGACATGTCTACAGTTCAGTTCTACAATCAAAATCCATCACCCAGGCCTCCTCCTCTCTTACAAACCTACGAAAAAAAAAAAAAAAAAAAACAAAGAAAGAACCCCCCCTCAGCTAACCCTTCCTCCTCTCCAGATGACCGGCCTCGACCCGGAAACCGACCAAATCCTCCAAATCTGCTGCTACATCACCGACGCCAACCTGACGCTGCTCGACCGGACGGGCTTCGAAACCATCATCCACCACCCGCGCTCCACGCTCGAGGCCATGTCGCCGTGGTGCATCGACACGCACGGCCGCACGGGGCTCAGCGCCGCCGTGCTCGCCTCGACCACCGACGCCGCGACCGCGGCCGCGGACCTCCTCGCGTACATCCAGCGGTTCGTGCCGCGGCCGCGCACAGCGCTGCTGGCGGGCAACAGCGTGCATGCGGACAAGATGTTTCTGGCGCGCGGCCCGTATGCAGCTGTGCTGGGGTGGCTGCATTATCGGATCCTGGACGTGAGTGCGTTCAAGGAGGCGGCGAGGCGGTGGGGGGCGGAGGGGTTGTTGGCGGACGTGCCGGTCAAGAAGGAGGTGCATTTGGCCCGTGAGGACATTCTGGAGAGTATTGAGGAGATGAGGTTTTATAAGGAGAGGTTGTTTGGGGGCAGTCAGACTCAGGGGGAGGAGGGGGAGGAGGGGTGCGGGTTTCCGGCTCGGAGGAGAGGTCTCCTAGCTGGTAATAACTTGTATCCGTAGATACTAGATACTCTCCTGTAATGCTATTTATGGAGACTAGTAAGAGTAGTAAATAGTAGTCTATAATAATAATGAATAGGAGTCGGTCGGAATCAGGGAAGCTGTATGGAAATGGTGGTAGAGCTAGATCGATAGTCCGTGGAGAGATCGTATCTTAGCTTCTGGACTCTGGAGGGGGTGGGTGGTCTGAGTCCTGCGGGAATGTGCTGGCAGCAGTTGAGGATGCAACATGTAGCGACCAGGGTTTGAGGAGTGTCGATGGTTGGGTTGTCAGGGAATATCTGGTGCAGTTATCCCAGTAGCAATGATGCTATTCGTAGAACACTCGAGGTACTCGAGGTAGTCTAATCTACTCCGTATAGGAGACCTGAACTGTTTTCATGATGACGGAGTTGCCCCTCTTCGCCTGAGGCCCACCCTTTTCATGAACTGAACTGAACTGAACTGAACTGAAACACGAAAGTCGGTGAACTTCCTCTTCCTCCTCCTCCTCTTCTTCTTCTTCTTCTCTCTCTCTCTTCTCCTTTCTCTCTCCCTCTATCTTTCTATCCTGCATTAAATCCCAACCGTCTTTGGATCTCATCCCATCCTCTCTGCTTGTCTTCTCCGGCAGCTGTTGACAACCCCCACCTCTGGTCAACACCAACACAAACAAACCCACGTCATGTCTGTCCAGACAGTCTCCATCCAGCCTTTTACCGACCAGAAGCCAGGAACGTAAGTGAATTGATTGATTGCTGTGATCTCTCGCATTTCCATCTCTTTGGATCCAGCTAATCCGATTGCTGTAGTTCTGGTCTGCGGAAGAAGGTCAAGGTCTTCGAGCAGCCCCACTACTCCGAAGCCTTCATCGCCAGCATCCTCCTCGCCATCCCTGAAGGCGCCGAGGGTGCTTTCCTCGTCATCGGTGGTGATGGCCGCTACTACAACCCTGAAGTCATCCAGAAGATCGCCAAGATCAGTGCCGCCTATGGTGTCAAGAAGCTCCTGATCGGCCAGAACGGCATCCTCAGTACCCCCGCCGCCAGCAACCTGATCCGCGTGAGAAAGGCCACTGGTGGTATTCTCCTGACGGCCAGTCATAACCCTGGTGGTATGTGTCCCCATTCCAATTATCCTTCGTACCTTTTCTAAAAAGAAAAAAAAAAAAATTCATGCAGGCCCCAATGCCGATTTCGGTATCAAGTACAACCTGACCAACGGTGCCCCCGCCCCCGAGTCCGTCACCAACAAAATCTACGAAACCTCCAAGTCCCTCACCTCCTACAAGATCACCGAGATCCCCGATGTCGACACCTCCAGCATTGGGACCAAGACCTATGGTCCCCTCGAGGTCGAGATCGTCCACTCCACCACCGACTACGTCAAGATGATGAAGGAGATCTTCGACTTTGATCTGATCAAGGAGTTCCTCAGCACCCACAAGGACTTTAAGGTCCTGTTCGACGGTATGCACGGTGTGACCGGCCCCTACGGTGTGGACATCTTCGTCAAGGAGCTGGGTCTGCCCCAGGACAGCACCATGAACTGTGTGCCTAGCCCCGACTTCAACGGCGGCCACCCCGATCCCAACCTGGTCTACGCCCACGAGCTGGTCGAGGCCGTCGACAAGAAGGGCATCCACTTCGGTGCTGCCAGCGACGGCGATGGTGACCGCAACATGATCTACGGCGCCAACTCCTTTGTCTCGCCTGGTGACAGCTTGGCCATCATTGCGCACCACGCCAAGCTCATCCCCTGGTTCCAGAAGCAGGGTGTCTACGGCCTGGCCCGGTCCATGCCCACCTCGGGTGCCGTGGACCTGGTCGCCAAGGCCCAGGGTCTGCAGAGCTACGAGGTTCCTACCGGCTGGAAGTTCTTCTGCAACCTGTTCGACAACAAGAAGATCTCCATCTGCGGTGAGGAGAGTTTCGGCACCGGCAGCAACCACATCCGCGAGAAGGACGGTGTCTGGGCCATCGTGGCCTGGCTGAACATCATTGCCGGTGTGGCCAAGCAGAAACCCAATGAGACCCCCAGCATTGGCTCGATCCAGAACGAGTTCTGGCAGACCTACGGCCGTACCTACTTCACTCGTTATGACTACGAGAACGTCGACAGCGACGCCGCCAACAAATTGATCGCCAACCTGACCGAGAAGATCAACAACAAGGATTCCTTCGTCGGCAGCACCGTGTCCGGCCGCAAGGTCACCGACGCGGGCAACTTCGCCTACACTGACCTGGACGGCAGCGTCACCAAGAACCAGGGTCTCTATGTCAAGTTCGATGACGGCAGCCGCCTGGTCGTCCGGCTGTCTGGCACGGGCAGCAGCGGTGCCACCATCCGTCTGTACATCGAGAAGTACGAGGAAGACAAGAGCAAGATCAGCACCGGCACCCAGGAATACCTCCGGGACAATGTCGCGCTGGCCATGTCCCTGCTGAAATTCAAGGAGTACATCGGCCGGGAGGAGCCTGATGTGAAGACTTAAAAAAAAAAAAAAAAATCATCCCGACGAGAGTCGCTGCAAACGAACAGCAGCAATGAGTAATTATGAATAATCCAGTATTTAGTTATTGAACGCAGTCAGACCCGGGTCTGTTAATTCATATATACCAAGCCCAAAATCGTAAACGAAGATCGTAACATCGGAAATCATGTCCTGAGTCAATATCATAGCTGAATCCCAGCAGCACCGAGCTTCTGCTCCCACCAATCCTTCCACCTCACCACCTTCTCCTCGCGCCTCGCCTCCTCCGCCGCAAAGACGACCGCATGGCTCCGCACCGCCTCTTCAAGTGTACAACCGACGAAATGGGCCTGCGCGCGCTCAACGTCCCACCCCAGATTCTCCACGGCGTCCACTGCCCGCACAAAGCTGCGCGCCAGGCCAAAGTCACCGCCGCCATGCGCCTTCTCCTCCTCGGGCGGCTGCCGCGGCACGTCGACACTCGTGGTCGTCCGCGTCGCAAAGTCATACACCGAGATCGTGCGGCTGTCGTACGAGAGCTCGCCGCGCGTGCCGTACACCCGGCCCCGGCGCTCACACTGCTTCTCCGTCGGCGCAATCATATGGAAAACAGCCGTCTTGGCCATCCTCCCGCTGCCGTCCCCGTCTTCATCATCCCACGTGATCGTCACCACCTGGTCGTCGCACACATCGTTGTCCGACTCCCACACGCACCGCCCGTACCACGGCCGCGCCGCAATGGCCGCATCGTCCATCTCCCCGCGCACATAATCCTCCCCCAGCCGGCGCAGCAGCAGCTGTTCTTCCGCCGCGGTGAAGCCGTCACCATCACCATCGCCGCCGTCACCGCCGGCCCTGGCACTGGCACTGGCACTCCCCCCCACGTCCTCGATATCCGGGACGACGATCTGCACGGGCCAGCCGCGCTCGCCGCGCGCAAGATGCATGTCGCGGTAGATACGTACAGCGCTGTACTTGCATTCGCGCTCAATGGGGCACGCCAGGCAATTGGTGGCGGCGCCGGCGGCGGCGGGTTTGCGGGCGCGCCGGAACTGCGTTAGGTGGCCGGTTGAGGCGATGGAGCGCGGGAGGTGTGCTTTGGCTGTTGCTGTTGCTGTGCGTTTGGATGCGGGGGCGGGGTGGGGAGGGTCTGTAGGACCACCATCGCCCTCCTGAGGAGGAGGAGGCGAACACAACAACCACAGGATAAAATCGATATCATGGCACGACTTGGTGAGCAGGGAGCCGTCGCGCGCGGGGGTCTCGCGCCGCCAGTTGCCGCGCACGTAGCTGTGCGCGAAATGCCACCAGCCCACGGGCTCGGCGTGCTCGAGCGAGACGATGTCGCCGACCACGCGGTCGGAGAGGAGCATGCGCCGCAGCAGCGTGTTGTGCGGGCTGTACCGCAGGACGTGGCCGATGGAGAAGATGGGCTTTCTATTTGACTCTGGGGCCGGCGAGAGCGCGCCATACACCCGCAGACAATCCTCCATCGATAGCGCGAGCGGCTTCTCGCAGAGGATGTGTAGACCCAGCGGGGCCAGCGCCGTCACGATCTCGACGTGTGTCTCGTCGAGCGTGCAGATGAAGACGCCGTCGACACCGCCTTCATCTCCATCTCCATCTTCATTCTCAGTTCCATCTCGATCTCCAGCTTTCACGCTCGCTCTCGCTCTCGCTCTCGCCCTCTCCCTCCTCCCTCTCTCCCACACCAACCACTCCCTCCAATCGCTAAATTCCTGGCCTGCCGCGGGCCTCCCCTTCTCGCCCCAGATATACGCCCGCCCGAACGCGGCGCGCTTGAACGCGTGCGGTTCCGCGACGGCGTGGATTCGGCCTGTGGTGGCGGTTGAGACGGCGCGGGCGTAGGCGGTGCCGCGGGAGCCGGCGCCGATGACAAGGAAGCAGAGGGGTTTCGCTTTGGGGTTGGGGTTGATTGTTGTGAGTGTGGTTGTGATGGTGGTTGCGGGTGTAGTGGGGGGGATAATCGGGGGTTGAGGTTCTTTCATTTTGGGGTTGGATTGATGGGGATTGATTGTAAAAGGGGTAGGAGATGGGAGAGGTGGCTGTAGAGTACTATAGCTATTTATATACTGGCGATTGCCATGTCACCTGAGATTGAGACTTGAAATTGCTGCAGGAATGTTTCCCGTCCTCATGGCTGTGGTGAGGACGAGGAGTACAAAGGCTGCAATGAAACATCACAGCACAACCTCGGATCAAAAGCCACGTCAGGCATCACATTCGCGCGTCTCATCTACATTACTTTTTATCCTTCATATACTCCAAGCAAATATTGAATAAGGTCATAAAGACCGACGAGTCTCGATAATTATAGTAGTATTTCTACCAGCGGAATCCGTCCCGGATTAGCTGGCGCAAGTATCCTCAATACTCGACGGGAAAATATCTGATAGAAACAGAAAATATCCACAAAACCTCAGGGCTTGCATATCGGTTGAAAGGCGAGTCTCAAGGTGCAAGACAAACAGGATACACAACATAGAAATGGAGAGAAAATATGGATAAGAATAGCCAAAGAAGGGATAAAATAGAAAGGGGTATCCATGAGAAGAGAAGAGAATAGAAAGAAGAAAGAAAATAAAAACAAAAAGAAAAATGATAGAGTACAATCAAGACATGAGAGACATGGCACACTATTGTGCAGTAATCGATCGTTGGTCGGTTCAGCTATGGCTTCCGACGAAGCCGGAATTCGTCTGTCTACGGTGAGCCACTGTCGGGGCCGCTTTTGACCGGGTCTCTGGGTCTGGCTATACATGCCTAGGCGGTAGACTGCTGTAACCAACGCTTTGATCGAAGGGGGTGATTGTGGACGCGGGGAATAACCCAGCTTATATGGATAGGAGGAATCAACTATCGGCAGTTGAGAGCTGCAAGTTGATTTCACAGACCGTCGAGACTTTCGGTGAAGCGGCTCCCCCGGCTGCCGTCAAAGCTCGGATGACTGCGACCCAGAACGTCAGGTCGCTGTGGTCTGGTGGGCGATAAGGCGCCCAGAGGTTGCGGGACAGCACGGGAGGCGGCCGGGACCGCGACCATGCTGACGTTGGTCGAGCTGGCAACCGGTGTGCGAGCCGGGGAGGGTCGGAAGACCACCACCGAGTCCGGCTCGTCCGTCTCTCGCGTATAACTCACATCCAGCGGCATGCCGTACGGCATCGAGGGGGGAGGTTGGGAAATAGGGGATCGAGGCTGTACAGGGGACCCCGATTGGAAATTCATGCTGGGTTCCGATGTGGTAGGAGACCCTTGATCGAATCCGCCGCCATAACCATCCCCTCCAGACTGCAGCACAGAGGGGATCTTGCGGCCCGAGATCTTCTGGAACCCACGCTCGCTGGTTGTGGACGTAAAGGTACTATCGTCCGATGCAACGGTCTGATTCGACTGCCGCCATCGCTTCACAAAGGCGGGAGCAAAGTATGAGGCCGTCCAGAGGGGGTCCCGGCTCGAGCGCCGCGATGCCATCTCGGCGCGGGAAACGGATCCGCCTTCACCGACGGGGCCACCACTCCCCTCACGGGGAGTGAGTCCTCGGTTGGGCCGGAACATGGCGGTTTTGCGCCGTCGCAGCATGAACAGAAGAAGAGCAAGCAAGGAAAAGGCACCGGCCAGGCCTCCAACAACACCGCCCACAATGCGTTTGGTCGTGACACTGTCCAGGCCGCCACCACCGGGTGACGAAGATGAATCTGTGCTGGCCGCAGGAGCCTCGCCCGTCCCGGTTGCGCTGTAGCCTCCGCCTCCCAGATATGCGGTACCGGTGCCGTACCACTCGCCTGTGGCAGTGGCCTCCGATAAGTCGCTCCAAGAGGTGCCTGTCGTAGTGCCTGTCGTAGTGCTTATCGTAGTGCTTGTCGTAGTGCTGTCCGTATTCGTGCTGGTGCTCACACTTGAGCTCGAGTTCGAGCTAGAGCTTGTGGACGCTGTGGTCTTCGGACGGGAGGTTGGCGTCGAGCTCGAAAGAACGATACTCGAAGGCCGCGAGCTTAATACCAGGACGGATGACTGAGCGCTAGTCACAGGATTAATGAGCGAATTTGATGTCTGGATCGAGATGGATGTCGCAGCCGTGACATCTAAAGACAACGAAACGGACACGGTGGGTATAACCGTTGCAGCATAGACGCTAGTCACGGTTGGCGTATCTGCAGTGAGAGAAGGGAGGGCAGGTGACGGTGTTGGGCGTTCATCCAATGATGAGGTTGCTGGCACAGCCACCGAAGTTGTGTCAGCAGGAGGATTGGAGCCGGTTGGTTGATTTAGACCAGGATCTAATGTCGACGTAGGCTGGGGCACCGTTGTGTCTAGTGGCACGGACGGAGCTGAGTCGTTGATCAAGGACGTAGGTATGGCGGTTTGCGATCCCACCGAGTTTGGAGACTGCTGGCGCTTCTCCAGAGCGAGTTCCAAATGATCCTGCGCGACTTCTGTGGGAATATCGGTCTGCTGACTGGGACCCAGAGATACATCTTCTGGGCTGGACACCATCGAACTCTGAGGAACAGGCTGTCTGGATGGTAAATCTCCGGATTGGTGGGCAGCCTGCTCCACCCCATCGTCCTGACGGGTCCGATGCTTGCGAAGCAACCTGCTCAGCCGATGACTCCGCACAATGCCATTATGGGCCATTCTGGCAGAAGGCACTTTCCGCCGTCAATTAACCTCTGAACGGCGAGTTCCGATATAGCCTCTTAAGTATATTCTCTAACAGAATATGGTAGATGGTCCGACGTGTTCAAGTCGGTGAGAGAAAAAGGCGCCGTGTGTCTGCCTGCACGACGTGTAACTATCTGCAAATGAATGAAAGTAGCGATCGAGCGGCGCAGAGTATCAAACGAGCCCGAGTTGCTATTGAAAAGTGGTTGACGAAGATTTCATCTGTTGTAAAGGGAATGGAATTGACAATGTCGGATCAAGTAAAAGAGTGTGTACGACGGTTCGATTGTAGCGAAACCAAGGAGCGGACGTCAACTGTCACGAGGCAGTCGACAATCAGATAATTCAAGTAAAGGAGTGGACGACTGGAAGTCATAGAAGTCTACAGTACCAGACCGATTGTTAGCCACCAGGTCGACCGACGCTGCAGCCACGATGCGATACGTCCACCAGCAAGCCAAAACATATGCGGGCAGGCGAGATAAGCATGCATACCTTTTAGAAAGAAAGAATTGGAAGACACAAAGCCAGAATATAAAAGGCGATTCAAGGCCAGCAAGCGTGGAAGCGGCAACTTTTTTTTGTTTTGGATTTCCCGTTCTATGGAGGCTCCGCAGACTCTTAAGCCATGCCTGTCGCAGGAGATGTAACAGCGTATTCCGCAGCGACGAGGGACGAACGGCGAAATAATTTGATCTGTTTGGAAGGACGAAAGTCTTAAGACTCTTGAGGTCGAGAAAGCAGTTGTCAAATTCCCCTCCCACCCAGAGTTCTGCTCCCAACGGTTTGACGGAACCACGCTTTTGGAAAGCTACCCAGGTGCCGGACCCAGGGAATCCTATCCCACGGCTAACCAGTCAGACTCGGATGGCAACTTTGAATCCCCCCGCTCACCACTTGGTGGTCCGATCTGGCAGTCGAATGAAGCCTGAGGGAAAACCAAGGCTACTCGCTCAGGCCCCGAAGAGCGATCGACAGGAGGAGGAGGAGGAGGAGGAGGAGGGAAAGAGGAAAGAGGGAGAAAAGCAGGCCAGAAAAGCCGTGCGAGTCAAAGAAAGGAAGAGAAGGAAGCAGGATGAGAGAGAGGGGGGAGAGAGAGGGAACGGGAAAGCGACGTTAGCAGTGGGTAGTCTGACCTGAATAGTTATCCGTTAGTAGCAGTAGTAGTTAGTAGGTGTTGTTTATTATTAGACCGAAGTACGAGTGTTTGTTGGTGGTCCATGGCCCATAGGCATGAGCATGATCCATCAGGCCAGCACCAGAGACAGAAAGGATATGATGGATCGTCGAATAACAGGCCTGACTCTGTCTTTCTGGACGCGGGTGCTAGTCTGCATTCTGAATCGCCTCGTTGGGCCAATTTCAAAATTAATTAAGGTACTTGACTAGCTTGGAGCCTACAAGGGAAGATGGAGGATGAAGATTCAGGCACACGGCACAAGAAGACAGAAATGAGTTGACCTGCAACACGAAAGGCTCTCTCACTTGTCATTTCATGTATGCAGAGTTGACTCCAAGGAGAGCATCTGTCGCCGCAAAACAGCAAAAGAAGCGTCACCAACAGGCAGAATGATTCTTGGACGAGAGTTCCTCTTGACAGACTCGCTATTGAAGCCGTTCGCATTATTCTTCTATTTCGCCCGCGAATAAAAGAAGCAGGAAAAGTTCTGGCCTGACGAGCATAATTATTAATATTTATTAATTTTAAAATGAGAGACACCACCCCCACTATCCACCCCAGAACAGGTCTAGCGTGGTGTCTGGTTTTTTCGGTATTAATCTCCACCACGCCTGAGGCAGGATCTCTTCCCTTTTCTTCCGAGTACGGAGGAGAGCTTGATGCCAATTCTTGCCTCGAAGAGAGAGTCGCAATCCTATCTTTTTTTTTGTCTTGTTTTTTTTTGGCTAAATACTAAGCCATCTAGAATCATCTCTTACCTCATGATGTACAGAGATCATCTTGTGCAGATGTAACTGTAGCAATAAAATAATAATATCAATCACCATGATTAGGTTATTATTATAATATTCAATTGTTACATTACCATGGTTGACCATACCTGACCAAATACCAATACCAATACCACCACCACATGGGAGTTCCATCAGTCCATCACAAATTCATTCCCTGATCGGATGGTGTCTGTCTGCAGTCGGCACTCTGCACCCCCCTGAGGTGAGGCAAGGGGCCCAAAATACTGAGTACTGTATCTACTTACAGAGTACAAGAAAGATCCTCAGAAGGTCGATTCCATACTTGTGTCCCCACGGAGTACTTCCAGCGATCCTCCCCCCCATGAGTGTGCATAATAATAGTCTGCAAGGTACCGAGTCGTCTTCAAGCCTACAGGGAACATTGGTACGACTGCAGTCCGCGGCTCTGCATATCTACCTAGACACTACAGTGACTTACCCTACTCTCTCGAGTCAGTCAAGATGGGATCTTGTATCACCCAGACACACTGGAGATCTTCTGTTTGCTTGCACTCGGAGCATCCTGATCCCTGATTGGAGCAAAAAGGAAGATACAAGAAAGGTCATCCTCGTTCCAACTTTACCTACATAGACCATCTCCCTTATATATATTTGGGTGCTGTATGTTGCGGATTGCGTACATGGTGGGTTTCTCCTTTCTTGGAGGGGGATCCATACGATGCTATTTATATACTCCATACCTCTTACTCTGTTCTGTGGTGTGGTTAGTATCATGTCACCACGTGTTGACCAAGTAGAGACATTGACCCATGGAAGAGGTCCTCTACGATTGTATAGAGCAACAGAATATGAATCTCTCTTGTCTACTTATCATCGCTTTATTCACCTAGATAAGTAGGGTCACACTGCAGTAGTACTACTGCACTGCACTCTAAGTATGCAAGGTGTAGACTCCTCAACTCTTTCTATCCCGTACTCCTGTCATCTACCAGCTATATAAAGGGAGCTTCATGGCTCCCAAAACATAAAAAAAGACATCTCCACGACAAAGACGTTTCAGTACTCAGTAGCTCCCATCCGCAAGCTGTCATCCGTCCGGTGGATAAGTGAGATAATCTAGCATACACTGATCTGCACATCATGAAAAACGGTTCTCGGATGCTCGTTTACCATCCGTTCTTTCGCGCAGGAAGTTATCTATATGTACGCGGGACGGACTGGTGGTGGCATCCAAGTTCCCACCCGCCGAGTATCTAGTATCTACTATCTAGGCGAGTTCTAGGTGAAAGGCCGGCGGCTTGTGTCTCACATCGCCTGTCTCATGTCTCATGTCTCAAACATTCAAATATGGAGACTGGAGACGATATCATCATCGAGGCCCACCGGCTCCGAGTCTGGGCAAGAAATGCGGGAGAAGGAATGGAAGCCTGCCAAGCGGGCCAGAGGATCGCCATTACTCAGTGACAAAGAGTGATCTACTTGCCAGTGTTCAGTACAACTGAAATGACGACGTGAGGATGATCGTCATTCTAAGATATCTGTCTGGACTAATTTATCGTACTACTAAGCAGTAATTTCCACCCAGGACCTATGGGCCACAAGAAAAGAGAATTCTCCAGGACAGCTCCAATACATCTCCAGACTACCCGCAGATGGGAGCCAGCATCTCACAATTCAAAGTAATCACACCAGAGATGTCACACACTATACACAGGCGGATGTTGCACTCCCACATCTATGCTTTGTATCTGCACACAGGTTTCGCGGCGACGAGGGAGCAACTCCCAAGTCCCCATCGATATGCCACTATTCAAGCCAACCAGGGAAAAGTAGGGGGGAAGGGGGGAAGGGGAGTAGATAGGAGGGTGTAAAAGAACCACCGTTTCAACGCTCGTGATAAAAGGGGGTATTAATTCAACGAAATGACGTCCATGGTTCAGGAGCTTAGAACGTCTCCAGCTCATCGGCGGCCTCCGCTTCCGCTTCCGCTGGGATCTCAAATCCTTCCTGCAATGGACATTAGTGCCATGATATGACCACACAAGAATCCACCCAGGGATAAATGTAATCATACCTCTGTCGAATACAAGATGCCCTGGATGTGCTTCACCAAAGTATCCTCCTCCTTCTCCAGCTCCGGGTCCGCCTCGATGGCGTTCTGCAACAGCAGCTCAATGTCACGAAGCTTGGCAAAGTAAAAGTCGCGCTCCTTCTCCAATCCGGAAATCGCCTCCTTCTGAGTCGCAATCTCCTGCTGCAGCGCAGCCACATTGGCACCGCTGGGAGCTGCGGCAGCCCGGGGACGGACACCGCCCGTCGTGGGAGTAGCTCCTCGCCTTGTGGCTCCGGTGGACGACGAAGCACCAGAACGACTGCCTGCCGCGGAAGCGGGAGGACCACCAGAAGCCTTCCGACGACCGACCGCATCGTAATCCCCGCCGGGGTAGTGCTGGTCCCAATATTTCTTAATCCACTGGAGAAACTCGAGGTTATCCTGCATGCGGCACTTCGTGAGCTGTTGGACGGGGATCGGCTTGTCGACCTGATGGCGGGCAAACACGTCTGGAAGGAAATACAAGTCAGGATCCGAGCATCCATCCAAAAGTCGGGTTTATACAGGCGGGCCATACTCTGGAGGACTTTGAAATTCTGAAGATAAGCATATTCAGTGTTGACATTGAACTTTACACGCGCCATGGGAACGTCCACTATGCAAGAAGAGAACATGGGTTAGTCTGGTCGATTTCATCAAAGAGCCAGGTGGCTCACTTGAATGTCTCCTGTGGGCACTCACTGAATATCGAATCGAAGATTTGGCAGTACGCGGCACTGCATACATCATCGAATTAGTACGTCGAGGACCCGTGCTTTTCATCCAATATCATTGATCTGAAGATTGGTGGGAGAGCATTCGATATGGCGTCCAGGGCAAGGAAAAGGAGCTGGAGCGTACCCGGTTCCGCACTGCTCAATCTTGGTGAGATTCAGCTGCAGCAGGTTGTTAAGCCATGCCAGCAGTTCCTGTCTGTAGGGAAACAGAAGAGCCGATGATCAGTGAATGGTTCATTCAATAGGAGAACGAGACTCCTTGTGGGATCCCTAAAGGCCAGACGAACCTGGATTCTCCCATGGTGGGGTAGATGGATCACGAAGCAATGATAGATGGCAGATGAAGGGCCCCGTTAGTGGGTAGGAGTCGGAAAGCTTGGAGGAGGAGGAGGAGAAGCACAGGAATAAGGCGATTGTTTGGGGACAAAATTGATCTTTGTTTATGTTGAAGGGGAGAGTCGAGACGAGAGACAGAGAGAGGATAAGTTGTTTTGCTGCGTTTCCCGAAACCCACGGAACAGCCAGACGCTAAGCAGCCCCTGGCCAATCACAACGGCCCCCCTCGCTTTGGCTGTGATTCTCCAAATGTTCGCAGGCGCCTGTCAACATACTACTCGAAACGGATTTCTCAACTGTTCCATGAACCATTATGAATGTGAATACTAACGTGGACAAATGGGACTCGGAATCTACCCAATTGCACCCTCTCTGTACTCTACCTAGTCTCTAAGGGGCCCCGGAACGGTATCTAACCAAAGCAAATAGAAGTACCCAAGCTAAACCCAAGACAAAGGCTCCCAATACCAAGAAGTAAGAATATCTATCGCTTTCCAAACGAAAGAAAAAAAGAAAATCAGGACACTGCTCCCTGAAAGCAAACCCGAACTCCATCAAGCTCACTTTTGCCAGAGTATCATAGAGTAGCATAACCAAAGAATATATACCGCACTCAGAATCATTCCTCCAACAGCTCGATACCGTCCAATCCATAGCCAAAGTCCATGATGACAGCGCGAGAATCCTGACTAGTGGCGACGATGCGGCGATAGTCCGATTTGACGCTCAACATCCAGCTGGTAGTCCAGCCAGGCAGGTCAATTGACAGCTCTCCGGTTTCAGCGTCGAACACCTTGACACTCATGTCATAGCTGCCGCTGACAATTCGTTGGTTGGTGCTGTCCAGATGAAGAGAGCGGACAAGCCCCGCATGGCCCTTGAGCTCGCGAACCATTTCGGCGGTGTTGGCATCAAACTGGTAGATGGCTTGATCGTTACCACCGGTGAGAATAGTCCGCGCATCATCACTGAACTCAACGCACGCCAAGCCACGATCCTTACTGGGGAATTCCTTCACACAGAGACCTGATGTGATGTTCCAGAGTTTAGCAACCCCATCTCCGCTAGCGGAAACAACCAGATCGCCGCGGAGCTGAACTGCATTCACAGGTCCTCGGTGGCCGAGGAGCTCCCTCACCAAGGCTCCGGTGTGCCGGTCCCAGACACAAATTGTAGTATCCTTGGAACAGGACACAATGTATCGATCGTCGAAGCAGACGTCCAGGACTCCTGCTCTGTGGCCTTGCAGACGGCGAATCGGCTTGTAATCGTTCTTGATGTCCCACACGATGCAGGTGAAATCAGAGGACCCAGTAACCATGATTTCCTCGTCGAACTGAAGACAAAGAATGGAGGCACTATGGTAGTCGGCGCTCTGGTCGATGGGGGCAACGATACCCGCGGAAAGAGTAGGGGGCGGGCAGATGGTGAGAAAAGGCGGTTTGCCAGAAGACTGCTGAGCTGGATTGTTGACTTGCCCGATACTCGAGACGTCGCCGGGAGGAGGGCCGATGATCTTGCGGCACGGCCAGGGATAATGAGCATCCCAGACTCGAATTGTTCGATCGCGGGAGCCGGTAATGATTTTTTCCCTGCAAGAAATTAGACACTGCAATCACGGGATATATATATATATATATTCGATAGAAGAAACAAGAATAAACATACTCATCAAACTGGACACAGTAGACGCTGTCGGTGTGTCCGTGCAAGTAAATTGCAGCGGCTTTCCCCTGCTTCCATCGATGATCAAGGGCACGACGGACAAGGTACATCCTCTTCCAATCTTGATCCGGAGTCGATTTTCCTAATCCAGCCGACTGGCTCTTCCTCGATGGAACTCCATTAGGGCGGCGATGGCCAAGCGCATGGCGGAACACCTGCCTCCAAATGTGCCGGGAGGATGCCTGCTCACTCCAGGCACGAGAAACCAATTCAGCCTGCATCAGAGACTCGGGATCAAGATACGCGAGAACCTGTGACATGATCTCAGGTGGCAGGTGGGTCACAGGATCGATGCGAACGAAGGCTAGATCTATCTCGGAAAGCTCCGAGCGATCACGCAAGTCGATTTCAATGCCGCTCTCCGAGTCACGGGTGAGTTTGGTATTGAACGACATCATGAAGTCTCGTTCCGCCTTCGCTAGCTCATTCTGCGCCGCGGCCGCGGCCCGAGCGGCTGCTCCTGCGTAGATATTGTTCGGAAGAGCTGGAGGCCCTAAGGCGCGACTGGGGATGGGTGGAACGGGTGCGGTGGGTGTTTGGAAGGCCCGGGATGCAGGTACACAGGGCAGCGAAGGGCGGCGATTGTGACCCTTGCTCCAGGCATGTCTTGATCGAGCCTCCCCAATACCGCCTGCAAGTTGGGAATCATCGGCCAGCTGCAGTTCGCCCTCTGGAGTGACTGGGCTTGGGGGGTGTCTGGACGGCTTGTGACGTATGGTCACCGACAGACGACGACCCAGAGCACGCAGGCCCTCCATAGGATGACGCAGATTGGAGAAACTCTTCGCAGCCCGGCGTCTGGGGGTAGGTTCTGGAAAATGACTTATCTCCTCCACGACTTGTCCATCGCCGTTCTGGTCCGCATCGGTGCAGGAGGGTTTATTCCAAACCTCATGTTCCAAAGTGAAGGGATGTGCTGTCGACAATGTAGCAGTGCGAGGACGACCTTTGCGAGAAAATGGGGGACGAACAGCAGCCGAATCTCGAGTCATTGTGGGTTGCGCGAACTGAAATAGAGATCGACAGAGTGCTCACGGTCGAGCAGGTGCAAGTGATCGGAGATTTCGGACTCTGCACGAATGCGTTGCTGGGCCGAGAATAAGATATTGACACCGAGAGTTTCTCAGCCTTGAACCCGAAACAAAACTGGGGGCTGAACGTAAGGGACGAGAGTGTCGATGCAGGATATGTACTTAAGTCACCGAGGGTTTAAAAGAAAGAGAGAGAGAGAGAGAGAGAGATGAATTAACAGCAAGAATTGATGGAAATGATGTATAGAGAGAATATCCAAAAACAAAGGTCCCGAGTAGATATAATGTAGAGGTAGTGAGGTAGAGATAACAATCACAGCCCACCTGTGACAGCGATAGAGAGAGAGAGAGAGGAAGTCAGGTAGGGCGAGAGAATGTACAGCACAGCACACACCCCAAAAAATGAAAGAGAACAAGACAAATCAGACAAGAAAGCAAGGAAACAGACGCTGACAAGAAGCAAAGCAGATGGACGAACAGATGGAGAGGGAAAAAACAGAGTAGGAAGAGAGGGATGATGGCTGCAGAGGATAAGGATAAGAGGAAAAGGAGGGATGGAAGGCGGTGAGACGCTTTTTTTTTTTTGGTTTCACTTGTTATACTTTTTTTTTGTTTTTTGCCTCCCCAGCCCCCGAAAGGCCCGATCTGTGAATTGCGATTGAATTCAAGATTATTTGACTTTTCCTTTTACTTTTACTTTTTTTCCAGAACCCTAGAGATTCAGGGGCAAAGGCAGTTCAACCATGGCAACAAAATGTTCATCATGACGGACATGCCGACTCATCGAGGGAATACTGTACTCCAATGGCGGTGGTAAACATATTCCGCACTCTAAACAACTTTTTACACTTTTTACAATATCAGACAGAGACATGGAAGATTCTTCCATTCTCGATCTCACAATCCCACAATTGGGTTCGAGAGAGAATTCTACTCACCGCTGAGACCATATCCAAACAGATTTGCTGAGATGACCGAAGTAACATACAGAGATCGATGTTTGGGTAGAGATGGGCCTCAGCGCAGTTATCAGCCTTGGGTACAAAAATAGGTCGATATGCGTATGTGTCTTCAGACGGAGAACAATGACTCGATAGATCAACTCTGGCTCGTTTTCTTGGTCCTCAATTCGACAATCGTACTTCGTGAGCCAACCCTTGCACAGTAGTTATTACTACCAACCCAATTCAAAAAATTAATCTAATGGTCGAGCTTCGATCTCCTAGGATCCCGTCCCCGCCCGTATGAGTATCCCTAAGGGATCCCCACGGGGATACTCATAAGGCTCGTCTAGGCTCTGGCACTAACTACGGGGTAGATAAATTACTCGTTGATCACTGAGGAATCTAATTAGCTAAATTTAAGACAATACCCTTGACACTTGGCTCTTTGGCATGGCTTCAGGGAGAGCATCTCATTCCTCGATTTTCAAAACAGTTCATTCAATTTTCACTTGTTCATAGAGCATTCATTTCTACTATCTCCTTTGTGTTACTTTGCCGTGCGGTTGTAGACAAAAGATACCATATACCTGATACTCTGAGGGCCCTCATCTTACATGCAAACACTATAATCATCAAGAAACAGGATAAGACGACTCTTGTATAGCTTACCTCCATAACTATTCCTCTATTCTCTTGTAGGCTGTGGGGCCACGACCATCCTGAGTACCTTGTGGAAGATTACTGCAAAGATGAAAAGGAGGGACACGGGCCTGGTCGATGTCCATTCGGTGTATGCGTGATATATACAAGCCTTTCTGTCATTTTCCTCATGTGCTCATTCATCGTACCTCCAACATCCTAACCAAAGACCTTGTCGTAACCAGTCAGGGTAAACCGGTAGCGAACATCGCCCTTCTTCATCCGGAGCATCGCTTGCTTCAGGCCCTCCTCGCCGATCTGCAGCTCCTCCACCCAGCTCTTCAGACCCTTGTCGGCTGCCAGCTGCAGCATCGCCAGCATCTCCTTTCGGCTACCCAGGTGGCTCGCGCCGATGAGAACACCGTTCGAGATGAGGTTTTGCGCCTTGATGACCTGGCCTTCTTCCTCGGGTAGACCGACGCTGATCCAGCGACCATGCACATCCATCATGGACAGGTACTTGGCCAGATCGAAGCCCTCGGACGAGTTGGCGCAGTTGATGATCAGATCAAACGAACAGAGATGGGGCTTCTCCCAGCCCTCCTCAGCGGTCGCGATGTACCCGTCCGCACCCAGCTGCCGCGCATCCTCCTCCTTCGCCCGCGACCGCGAGATGGCCCAGGTCTCAGCGCCCAGCGCCTTGGCTAACATCACACCAAAGTGACCAATGCCTCCCAGCCCAACAATACCGACCTTCTTCCCGGGGCCGGCGCCGTTGCGGACCAGCGGAGAGTACGCGGTCAGGCCGGCGCACAGCATGGGCGCAGCCAAGTTTGTGTCCAGTCCCTCGGGGATGGGGAACACCCAGTGCTCGTGGGTGCGGATATGCGACGAGTAGCCGCCCTGGCTGACGATGCCGGTCTCGGGCCACTGGGCGCCATATGTGTCGATCTGGAGAACAGGGCAGTAGGTCTCGTTGTCGTTCTTGCATTGCTTGCACTCGCCGCAGGAGTAGGACTGGGCGCCGACGCCGACGCGTTCACCTTCCTTGATCAGGGTGACTTTGGGACCGACGCGGATCGCTCGACCGATAATTTCTACGCGAAGAGCTTGGTCAGATGTCGGTTCTACCGGGAGAGATGAGGGAGTGGAGTGTCCCTCGTACCGTGTCCAACACAGAGGGGGAACTTCTGCTCTCCCCAGCCACCTGCAAGATCCCCGGTTGTCAGCACATCATCTTGCCTAGAGCTTTTGCAAGAAGATCTCAAGACGTACCGCTGATTGTGTGCACATCACTTCCGCAGACACCGCAAGCCTCAATCTTGACATCGACGTCTAGAAAATGCGTGTTAGTGGTGAACTGACCGCAAACTAGGAAAGTACCACGTACCATAATCACCAAACGGCTTCAGTTTGAACTACACCAACAGCAACCACAGGTCAGCATCATTTGACCCCCACTCAAACACATCCAGATTCGGGCACCTACGAATCTCTTATGGAAAGTGGTGAAAGTATCAGGACTGTCAACCTGGAAACCTTCAGCTTCTTCGGGGTAAGGCATCGTGGCTGTAACGGATCAAGATTCAAGAGACAAGGAAGTTTCCCTTTCTTTGAAAATCAAGGACAGATTGTTCAAGGAAGAAGAGAAGGAAAATAACCCCTCAGCGCAGCAGGACCAGGGCGATCTTTAAATCCATCCTAAACACGCGAGCCCACTTTCCATCCATCCAGCCCACTTGCCCAAGATAGCGGAGCCAAGGCTTATTATCGTCCATTTGGCCTTCATCGAATGCGTCAACCTCAGTCGATGTGCCTGGAGTGGGAGGTACTGATCGACTGTTCTGTATCCTGCAATGCCTCCCCTCCCCCCCTCCCTCTCGAATTGGAGTAGGTGTCTCTTACACGGCTGAAAATGTCGAGAAATCAAGTCGGGCACTTGACTGCTTGGATTGTGCTCCGCACGACATTGGACAGTATCCCTCGTCCTCATCCTATCCGTCTTTGGTTTCTATGGATATTTCACCACCACAGCCTGTGCACATATCGTATCAGCTAGCAACATACAACCACCATCCTCGCTTTCTGCTGTATCGGTCTCATCTTTGTCCACCCCCTGCTGACAACTTTTGGTAGCATTCGAGAAGTTTTGCCCACTCGGGGGAAATTGTCCACCTATCGGCTTTAGGCTAAATGAGCCTGGCCTGGCGTGGGGGGATTTTGGAGAAGTGCACGAGCGTGCTTGGACAGTCATGGTGCCGAAAAAAAGTGGGCTGTGGCTATCGGACGAGACGTACAGCCGTTGGATGAGAATTGAAGGTCATGAGGGGGGTGGACCGTTGATTCTTGGATGTTGTTGTGAAGATATATCTATTCCGAGTGAGCAGCGGCTGGTGCTTACGGAATTGATTAGGCCGATTAATCATTGTAAATACAAAAGATAGGGGGAAAAAAAAAGAGCACTTCATCATACAGTCATAATATTTCTCAGACTACCATCATCTATGCAATATCAGGCAATGCCCGCTCAACCTCCATCGCATCCTTGATCTTGTCCGCCAAGGATTGCGCCTGTTCCTCGCTTAATCGGCCCAACGGCCGCCGAGGGTATCCGCCGTAACCATAATAGCTCTGGATGGCGCTCTTGGTACCGGGAATGGCAGCCTTGGTCAGGACCCAGTCCGCCTTGCTCAGCAACTGCTGGGTCTCCATGGCCTCGGTCAGCCGGCCCTCGCTCCACTGGTTGAAGATCTGCACACAGAGCCGGGGGAGGACATTGGCTCCGCCGGCCAGAATGGCCGAGCCGCCAGACACAAGCGTCTGCAGGGCGAAGTCGGCGATGCCGCCAAAGGCTACGTAGGGGTGGTTCTCGACCTGCTTGGTCGAGGGCGTCTTGGTGGCCGGGGCGAGGGGCGACGGCGGCGCGATGGCGTTGAGGGCGCCGGCGACGCGCGTGAGCTTGCCCGTGTTGGCGCAGGTGAACTTGGTGCCGACGATGTTGGGGTGCTGCGAGATGCGGATGATGAGGTCGGAGTCCATGTCGATGCCGGCGACGGCGCCGGGGTAGTTGTACAGGATGATGGGGAGCGGGGAGCCGTCGGCGACGGCGGTGAAGTACTCATACAGGGTCTCGTCGTTGCCGACGGCGTAGCGGTAGTAGCTCGGGGGCACGACGAGGACGTACTCGGCGCCCGCGTCCGCGCACTCCTGGCACAGCTCGATGGTGCCGCGGATGCTGTTCTCGCTGGCGCCGGCGATCACGGGCACGTTCGAGAAGCCGGCTTCCACGAGTGCGGTCCGCGTCTCACGGATGACGGTCTTGCGCTCCTCGCGGGTGAGGTGCACAGCTTCTCCGTTGGAACCCATAGTGACCAGACCGACGAGACCGGCCTTCGCCAGGCGGACAGCATGGCGGCGGATGGTGGGGACGTCGAGGTCTTCGGTGTCTGGGTTGAAAAAGGTCATGGTAGGAGCATAGACTCCGGGGCGGAGAGGTGTGCGCGACGACATTTTGATGAAGGTCTTTCTGCTTTCTGTTTGATGAACTTGATCAGAGGGCCAACTCGCTGTACTGGACATTGGACACTGGGCACTTACTAGGAAGTATGTAAACAAACCGCTCTCAAGCTGGTTGATGACAAAGATAAGAACACCGACTGTTGGGAGCAGACACGGGCGAGAGAGAGCCCTTCATGATGTCTACGCATATAAATACAGACCACCAACAGTCAAGCATCCCACGGTGGCCCCGTCGCTCTCGGTTTCGTCCAACTTTTACCCCGCGAATTGAAGCTGTTGACTTTGTACTTCCGCCCACACTTTTTGCCGAATGGCCTTAGGCAGCCATGCCCCCCTCCCCCACCTTCCTAATCCACTCCTGCTGTGTCATTTGCCGGAATATGCAGTTTCCACCAATCAGACGGTGGATGGCATCGGTATTGGAAGTTTCCTCTTTGGTCCAGACGATCAAACACCGACAGCTTTGGCTTTGGCTTCATTATTCAGCACCTGTTATCTACTATACAACTGAAGGATTTTCTTCCCTGGTAAATCTCCAGATAAAACCATAGCGTTGGTCCTAGAGCCTGTGCTGAGCGATTTACGCTTTCCTCCGATTGAAATGGGATGAGAACATCCCATAAATAGCGTCCCTGTTGTATCTGGATGGGCTACCCCATTCTATTCCTGCCCTCCATGTGGATCGGCTATTGACGTTTGTCGCAACGGCGCAATTCAGGCTGGAGGAGCGCTCGCTCTTCCGTCCTGCTGGCCATGCACTGCGATTACAAAAGTCCTGCGACTGCCGTGGACCTGATTTCCTCAGTTTAGTGAAGCTGGTATTCTTGTTCTTCTGCCTTTTCCTACCTCCCCGCAGACTGTACCATTCCATCACCCCTCAGAACAGCTTTTCACAATGGCTCCTAGCGTGTTGATGGTGAGTGGTTCTTATCCCTTTTTCTCGTCCGTGTCAGAGCAGAGGTTGACTCCATCACAGGTAGGAACTGGAGAGTACACCACCGGTTTTGTGGGTGGTGCTGCTTCCGGTTCGGACAAGAAAGTCGGCGTCGTTGGATTGAGTCTCTTCGACCTGCGACGACGAGGGAAAGTCGGGAAGCTGAGCATGGTGGGAGTCTCTGGCGCAAAGTTCCCTGGAATCCGTAAGGCCTCCTCTCAGATTGACAAAAACAAGTAAAGACCATTTGGACTGACCGATTGGCCCCAGGCCAGCACCTCCACAAGAACATCTCCGAAGTCTACAACGGCCTCGATGTTTCCTTCGAATCCTTCCCTGCAGATGACAAGACCGACCCAGACGCCTACAAGGCGGCCATTGACGCTCTCGAGCCTGGCTCGGCTATCACCATCTTCACACCCGATCCCACCCACTTCCCCATCGCTCTGTACGCCATCCAGCGCAAGATCCACGTCATGATCACCAAGCCCGCCACGAAACTCCTGCAGGACCACCTGACGCTGCTCGAAGAGTCGCGCAAGCATGGCGTCTTTGTCTACATCGAGCACCACAAGCGCTTCGACCCAGCCTACTCGGATGCGCGCGCCAAGGCCCGCAACCTGGGCGACTTCAACTACTTCTACTCCTACATGAGCCAACCCAAGAGTCAGCTCGAGACCTTCAAGGCCTGGGCCGGCAAGGAGAGCGATATCTCCTACTACCTCAACTCCCACCATATCGACGTCAACGAGAGCATGGTCCCCGACTACACCCCCGTCAAGGTCACCGCGTCCGCGGCCAAGGGCACCGCCGTCGCGCTGGGCTGCTCCCCCGAGACCGAGGACACGATCACCCTCCTCGTCAACTGGCAGAACAAGCAAGATCCCTCCAAGGTCGCCACCGGCGTCTACACGGCCAGCTGGACCGCCCCGCAGAAAGCCGGAGTGCACTCCAACCAATACTTCCACTGTACGCTTCTTCCGTCTTCCTATTTATCAAATCCCACCCCCCGCGACTAACAAATACATCACAGACATGGGCTCCAAGGGCGAGGTCCGCATCAACCAAGCCAAGCGCGGCTACGATGTGACAGAGGACGAGCAGGGCCAGCTCACCTGGATCAACCCGTAAGTAATCTAGATATTCCATACCACCTTCATCACGTTCCAGCGCTGACGACAAGCAGCTTCTACATGCGCTACGCACCGGACGAGGAGGGCAATTTCGGCGGCCAGACTGGCTACGGCTACGTCAGCTTCGAGAAGTTCATTGACGCCGTCACGGCCGTCAACGAGGGCCGTCTGACCCTCGACCAGCTCGATGCGCGGCCCCTGCCCACCCTCAAGAATACCATTGCGACCACGGCGATCCTGCACGCGGGTCGGATCTCGCTGGACGAGAGCCGGTCCGTGGAGATTGTGCACGAGGGTGACAAGTGGGGGTTGAAGTGAACCCTCTTTCGCTTTGAAGAGAAATTCAAAAAGTAGATATGCAGTTTCCTTTTATAATATACTTGGTATACAGCATCGTCAAAAACAATCCTTTGGATTCGACGATCTATGACCTGAAATCTTGTAGCAAACATATCCATCTCTATGAACCCCCCGAGACTTCCCACATGCCATGTAACCTAGCCCCTGGACTCCAGTTAGACCACGCCATGCTCAAACACACACACACACACACACACACACAAAAAAGAAAAGAAAAAAAGAATCAAGGATAGTGAGTAAGCACATGCAGCCAGAAAACACCCCCGGGTGGACAGAATCGCAAATGTCGTGGTATCATCAGGAGAAAGAGGGAGACAGAGAGAGAGAAACGCCAAAGCGAGAACAAACAAAAAGATAATCAATCCCACGCGCTCTTGCGGGGAAACCCTAGAATAGAACAACCCCCGGGGAACAGGAACGGGATAGTCCAAGTGACTCAGCGACGAGAGCTCTGCTTGACGATCCCGTCGGTGCCTTTGTTGAATTTCACCCGGCAGTCTGGGCAGTACCATTTGGCGGTCCGGCTAGGCACTTCGGAGAGACCGACGCAGTCGAGATGGAACCATTCTCTGTCGCACTGTCGGAGAGTCATCAGTATAGCGTCAATAAAGGTCAATTAGCTCACTTAGGGGAATAAGGAAAAAGGAAAACGTACGTCTGGGTTCTCACAGCAGATCATCGTTCCAAAGCTCACGTCTCCGCATAGACAGTACCGCGGCTCATTGGGATCGATCTCCTCCAGCACGCCGTCTTCGTCGATGCGGATATCCTCCCTTGTACCGTCTTTCTGTCCCTGCTCGCGGGGGCCGATGCGTTTCTTGGCGGGTTTCGCCTTGCGTCGACCATAGCTGACCGCCGCCCCACCGTCGCGGCCCGACGAGACAGGCCCCGGGGCGGGTCGCTTCCTGCGCCGAATGGGGGCGCTGACGCTGGGCGCGCGGGAGCCGTCTGGCACGGGAGTCCGCCGTGCAGGCGTGGCACTCTTGCGGCGAAGGTCCTTCCCGGCTACGTCCGTGGCCGCAGCAGGAGCAAGATGTCGAGACGGCGGTCGACTGGCGGGTGGCGTGGAGGTCTTTCCTTCTTTGAGCTGAGCTGCCGCCGTGCTGGCGGTGGACGGTACGGGAGAAGGCTTCCTAATCTCGATGGTTTCAGCGTTGGCTGTCGTTGCAGTTGCTGTGTCAGCTGGCTCGCTGGACGCACCCCCACTGTCTTCGACAGGACTTTCCCCCGGCATTTCCCTGTTCGTTCTGCGGCGCTTCGAGCTCCGCAGGGATCCACGGGTTTCGGATTCCGCTGGAGGCGCCGATGCCGCTTCCACCGCTGCGCTTTCGTCCGCCCTCCTCTTCTTCAGTATCCGGCTGGACTTCCCTGTTGTCACAGCGCCTTGGGATCGGTCAGGAGACGCGGCCGCGTCAGTGATTCCAGCCTCGGCTCGCCGTTTGGCTTCGGCCTGGGCTGCCGCTGCCGCCGCCGCCGCTTGTTCCCTCGCCATGTTTTCGCGTTTGAGCTTTTTGGCCTCGTTGAGTTTCATCCCGCGGTTACTCAACTTGGTCTCCATGACGCCCTCGAGGCCATTCGCATCGCTAAGCCGCGTCAGCATACCGGGAACGAAGTTGTTCATTATATCGTCGCAGTCGAGGAAATCCGTGCCGTTGGCCTCGGCCTCCGCCTTCGCCGTCCGGTAAGCGTCCCAGCCACGGCCACGGAGGGCAAGTTCCCGGTGTATCATCACCTCACTAGGCTGCCAGACCGCGTTCTTCTTCATCTTTTTGCGTAGTTTGGTCATCTCCCAGTCGGTCAGACGCAACCATGGCAGATCCTCGCTACCTGGTTTCGCGTCTTCGGGAGGAGGCCTTAGCATCGCTAGAGCATTGCTGGTCGACATGGTGGGTCCTTGAGCAGGGCCGTTTGTGCTTGGACCGGAGGTGCGCGACCGCCGGGGCGGTTTCTCCTTTTTACCCTTGACCGGCACGGGTTCTTCAGGCGTTGGCTCCGGACTCGCTTGGGCTTCATTTTCCTCGTCCGAGTGTTCAGTGCTGGCGATAGGATTGTCCGGGTGCAAGCCAGCAAGGTGTTCTGCTGCGAGCACGCCGCGCCGGCTCCTTGACCTCTGTGCCGGTCTTGACGCCGCACGGGCAGGGCCGTCAAGCCGTAATTTGATGCGCGTTGTGGTCGGAGCAGCAGGCTCCGCCTTCTTCGTGAACCTCCCTCGCTTAGTATTCGGCGCGGCTTGTGTGGTCGGAGGCGTAGGGTCCCGTGATTCTGGCTTGGGGAGCGCCTGGAGCTTCTGCTTGATGCAGTCCAGCCGGTTGAAGTGCCGGTCGACGACATCGTAGAGGCGACACGCTTCGGCATAGGCAGACTCCCGCGCGTTGATCGCACGGTCAAGTTGCGCCGAGATGTTCTTGCGGAGGGTCTGTGCGTCGGGGCGCTCGCTGGGGGGCCGCTCGGGGAGCTGGCCCCATGTCGTTGTGAGTTCGTGGACGTTCTGCGTGGCTTCAAGATAGCGCTCATCCAAGCCGCGAATGAGGGTCAAGGAACGGATCAGGTCTGCGGGAAGGTATTCGGTATAGTCGATGTAATCGGTCACTGTGGCCTGCGCGTCAGGGTCAAAGGGGCCATCTAGGATGACGCCACCGTCTTCATCATTGTAGTCTGCCATAATCATGGCGCTGAGAAGGGTTGTCAGAGCACGTCAGAGGTCAAGTGAAGTGATTGCGACAAGTTGGACTTGGGAGAAAAGCCGGAGTTATGGTAGGGCTGGATTCAGATGGGTTACACCATCCGCGCCGCCATCAACGGGGGGGGCGCTCAGCGCAGATGTATGAACTGAAGCTCGATACAAATCGTGAAACGCCTGGGTGCAAGGAATCCCGGTACAGAACAGGCGCAATAGGCGCAAGAAGGTGAAAAGTAATGCGGCGATAGCAACTCTGGTCGTGGTCGAGCAGTCGGGGGTTGGGGATGTTGTTGATCGGGAGACGGGGTAATGCTGTTCCGCTGGTTCCTTCTATGTGATCACGTGACTTGTATTGGGCTTATGAGCGTTGAGCTTTGCTCTTTGCGCAGTTATGTGTACTCCATAAGGATGCCCAAGTTCGCTTTACGATCATCATGGCTGACTTTTTCTGATTGTACTGGACCTGGATTTGTGGCGGGCCGACTAGGCTCTCCACCCGAGCTTGTGGACCTATTGACTCTTGTCTGCAGATCGTGTAGGGGTAGACTGTTTTTTTTGTTTTCCTTTGCAAGTCCTGTCTAACTGCTTCATAGATGCACCTAAGGCACTGGTCTGTATAGCATACCTCTATTCTGCTCGAGTGGTCGAGTTGATCCTATTGCCAGGAGGGCTGGATGTTATTGTTGATCTACCACTCAATATGCGGAGTATAGATATTACACAGAGACAAATGTCCAGCACAGTGGGGGTTCAACCCTGTCCTTGAGGGCCATTATTATTGTTCTTAGAGCTGAAAGAATGACCGTGGCGGCTCGGAAGGAAGGGATTGATGACCTTTTTGGTGATGAGGTACTGTACCAGTGAATTGAGAGTTATCAAAAAGCCTAGAGGTATAGTCTCTGCGGCACTTCATCTATCTTTTCGTTCCTTGAGCTAGGAACAATGGGTTAAGATGAATAACAAGATAATGCCTGGCTCATCTTCATCCATTTCACTATCAAGGTTGAAGCTTGTGTTTCTCACAGGCACGCGTTTGCTGTTTGAGGTAAGACAAACACACCCGCGGCCGGCCACCTGTCTATAACACTCGTCTGGTTTCATTTGATCTGCATCTCCTACTGCTCGCACACTACCATTTCACCAGACATCAGTTTGCTGTCAACCTTCCTACTCCTCTCCAAGGGTGCATTCACACTCCAGTATCTAGTTGAGATGGACAGACAGGATCGTCTCAAGCTACTCTTCGAAGATGACGAGTCTCTGCTAGAGATTAACACAGGCCTCCATGGCGTGTCCATTACTGGCATCCAGCTGGAAGACAAGACTCCCTTGGCCGTAGTGACGAATATCGAGGTGCAGCCGCGAAAGAAGGAACCGGCCGTGGAACCGGAACCGAGCCCTCGATCGGAGCATACGACTCAACACGATGTCGAAGAATCTACGCACACAGGCGAATACAAAGATTCCGACAGCATCCAGGAAGGAACTGCACCCGCTGATGAAGTGCCCGTTGACGAATCTCCCGTTGATGGATGGTTCTGCCCTCTTATGGCAATTGCCAGATACCCCTACAAGGCCATCAAAGGCGAGCTATCACAGAAGGTTGCCCGCGGGTTCTTTGACAAGGGCCAGTTCTGGAGTCGGTGCTGGGATGTGTGAGTAACTCTTTAACTTTCCATTCTTCTCCTGAGGACTGTCTAGCTGAATGACTCTGATATCATACAGTTACTATATCCATATTCCTCCGCAACTCGGCTCCCGGCCTCTTCTGCTGGTACCCGCGACCCAAGTCCGGGAATTCCTTCAGGAGATCAACTGCAAGCTCGAGAGCAAGTTCACCATTCCGAAGGAAAGTGGTATGGGCATGCTTCTCGACTTGAATGGAGAAATCCCGCACCCTGCTTTCCTCGGTCGGTGTGCTAGCCGTGAAGACAAGGATAAATTGGAAGCCACCATTCCGATGGGCGACTACTGCCCGCCATCCAACGACATGGTTCTGGCGTATGAGGAGATGATTGAGAACGCGGTGGAGGCGTCGAAGAACAAGAGCAGGAGCAGGAGCAAGCAATCCAAAGCGAAGAAACAACAGTCTCGCATGCAGATCGAACGGGGACTGGCCGATACTCGGAGACGAATATCCTGCTATCTTGGCCTACGGTCCTACCGCGCGCTAGACCTTCCGGAACCGATCACCGACAGATCCTGGGAAGAGAAGCAGGACGAACAGGAGAAGCATGCTCAAAAGATACTTGATAGTGTGGATATTGCGGGAATCCCCCGGCCGTGGGATACGACCCAGCCGGCGCTGCATCCATTCTGGAAAGAGCCTATCTTCATCAGCATCGATGTCGAGTGCAACGAGCGCTGCCATGAGCAGGTGACCGAAGTGGGAATCTCGACACTGGATACTCTTGACCTGGCCGGGGTTTCTCCCGGCGCAAACGCAGTGAACTGGACTTCTAGAATCCGCTCTCGTCACATGCGAGTGCGCGAATATGGCCATGTCGTGAATCACCAGTTTGTCTCGGGATGTCCAGGTAACTTTGAGTTTGGTGAGAGTGAATGGGTGCGGATGGAGGCATTGGCCAAGACGGTCCAGGCTTGCTTCCAGCCACCATACTCCTGGGGCAGTGGAGATATTGACGGCGTTCGATTGGGCGACCCTCCTGAGTATAAGCGCCAACAGCGAAGTCTGGTGCTCGTGGGACACAACACATCCATGGATGTGAGGTATCTGCAAAACTTGGGGATTCAGGTCTTCGAGAACATTGCGACCGGGTTTTTGGAGAGTATTGATACCGCTGAGTTGCACCGTCACATGCGCGGTGAATCGTCGCAGCGGTCACTGGGAGGGATGCTGCAGGAGCTGGGAATCATCGGATGGTATCTTCATAATGGGGGGAATGATGCGCGGTATACGCTGGAAGCTCTGGTGAGAATGGTTGTTCGCGATGCGGGCCACGACGAGGATCTGGGACGCTCAGGTTGAAACTCGTGTAGTCCCTCCAAAGGGGGGGGGGACATTTACCTCATCTTGCTGTTTGTCCTCCGAGGCTTGTTTGGGAAACATCCCGCAGAAAGGATTAGTGACACAAAATGACAATATCTGTAGGAAATTTCATTCTGATTAGTTACATGCAATGCTACGGTATATGAGTAGTAATTATACCGTGGATAGGTATGCTTATTTATCCACTCTGTCGATGTCTCTTCGACGCATCTTGTTGTAGGGGTTCTACCGCTGCCCTAAAAGGTGTCCAGACCTTAGGGAGTCATCGTCTGAATTAAGGCTTGAAGTTCAGCCAGGGGTCATTGTACAGCTCTCTAGCCGTTGCCCGATCTTCTGGCTCCCAGCGCAGCATTCTGCCCACAAATTCAAGGAAAAGTCGTTTGTCTTCCCCGTGGACAAATGGTGTAAGGTTTGAAAGATTAAATTCCTCCGACGGGATTAAACCTGGCAATTTGAACTCTCCTGAATAAACACTTAGTTATCGCCCGAGATAATAGAAGTGGCAGACATCATACCATGGCTGGAGAAGAGTTCGGAGCAAATGCCTTGGTCTGCCCTTTCTAGTAACAGCTGTGGAGGCGGACCAAGCAGCCGTATTATTTGGGCTATGTGTTTTACTCGCGAGTATGTGCTGCTCCCGGGGTCCAGTCCATCAAAAAGAACACGATCTGCAAGAAGCTCCCATAGCTTTAGGGGGGGCGAGATGTCAGTGACCCGTGCAAGCATCTTCCTCAGGGCCATACCATGGTGCCCAAGTTCCATATATCTGCACTATATGTCCATGTCGCCTTCAAGAGTACCTCTGGCGCACAAAAGGGCAGAGGTTGGATATCATGGTTATGAGGCTCAGCCACGTTGCCAAAAACAGCAGCACTGAAGTCGCTGATCTGAACCAGTCCTACCCCTTTCCTCAGATGCCCGAAATCCGGACGAGACTGAAATACAGGACGACCATGATCGTCCCCAAACGGAGCAGGATTGTTTTCTTGTTGCCGAGCATAACTCTCAAGAACACCAGAGTCTTCGAATCCCAAGAGAAGGTTATCTGCCTTGAGGTCTTCGCTATAATTAGAGAAGACGATTGGGTAGGGCACAACTGAGAGGGAGCCTACCTGTATGTATAATATGGCACTCGGAATGGAGAAAGTCAAGGCCCTGGAGTAATAATTTTAAAAATGGCTTGAGGACGGCGGGAGGCACCCCGTTGCTTCCAAGGTGTTTCCCCAACAGCCAGAGCGGTTCCCTCAAAGGTTCAAATACCAAGCAGAAGTGCTCTCCCAGCGCGCCTCGGATACTGAAAGACTCACGCACAAGCCGAACATATTTCCGACCTTCATGATCAGATTGCAGCTGAGAGATATATCGCGACATTTCTACTTCTTCATTGGCAGATCTTTGTTCCTCTTTGCCACAGTTCGTAATTTTTAACGTCACATATTGATTTGACTGCCACGCCCAACTTTACCGTGTTAGTCAAGCAAATAAAGGGATTGGGCGAACTGACCGAGTTGTGTCTTTTGCTAGCCAGACAGTAGAATTTGCTCCCCAGCCTAACTTTGAGATGACACGGTATCGCCTGGAAATGGTCTCTCCAACCCGAGCAGGGTAATATTTCCTAGGATCGTAATTCGGGTTTTGATTCTCTTCTTGAATGAAGGACGAAGACATGGCTCGAGAAACCAACCGGAAACAAGGAAGGAATGAAATGACTCGCGTTAATTTCGCAGGAGGTCGATGGTAAGCAGACATTTAGAATTGGCAATGAGAGAGATAGTTGTGTCTGCCCAAATTTATGTTTGACAGACCTTCCGTTTAAAAGTCGGAAGAAGTACTAGGCCTCACAGAAAGATAGAAATAATCAGCTGGGGGGTTGGTGAGATGAATGGTAGGGGGGAAGGAGGAAAACAAGGGACATTTCATATATATAGTGCTTGACCAGGCTGGTCAGGACTGGAGGCCATCTGGCTTTGGCCGCAAAGGAGGTCATTTTGGTAGTGCATTGAAACAGACTGAAGCTTGCTGAGGTTGAGCGCGCCGGCGAAACATCCACTTTAGGAGGTGACTAAATAATGCTTGGTGGGTGCAGAATGTTGGTGCAGATTGCAGAGCCATGTGAGGATGTGAGGATGTCAGTATGATGTCTCTCACTACTAAGAGTTATAGGGTGGAAATGCAGCTGGTCATGGCCTCAGTAGCAGTCATGTTCAGTGTCAATGCCATAGGTCCTCATCTTCTACTTATCAATATCCTAAGGCATTCCACAATCCTCACCCTTGCAAAGCTCACAGCAGATGTGTGGGGATCATTAAGCTGCAAAGGCGTCCAGACTCCAGACATCATTTTATATACTTACTATTCGGAAGTCTGTCTGCAAATATATGGAGCTCGCTAATCTGACGTCAAACTGATAAGAGATCCAGAGTGAAACAGCCCACTTTCACCCACATTTCCGAGCCCCCCTTCTCCATCGTATCATTTTGATCTTAAGGTCGTTCGGTTGTTTATAGAAGTACTACCCCTAGACAATTTCCCCAGCAACATCTAACTAATTCACCTATCTGGAGCCACCATTCATACGCTTCCAAGGCCACCAACCAACAAAAAAACATCCGAAAATGACCACCCCCCTCACCACCCACCTCCTCAACATCTCCACCTGCCCACTCTCCAAAGCAACCACCCACCCCTTCCTCCAACAAGCCGGCCGCGGCCAGCTCTCCAAACCGCTGCTGTCGCAATGGCTCGGCCAGGACCGGCTCTACGCGCAGTCCTACATCCGCTTCATCGGCCTCCTGCTGGCCAAGATCCGCCTCCCGGCCCATAACCCGGACAGCAGCCAGCCGCACGCCGCCACGGCCGCCCACCGCGCCGTCGACGTCCTCATCGACGCCCTCGTGAACATCCGCACCGAGCTGCGCTTCTTCGAATCCGTCGCCGACGAATACGCCCTCGACCTCACCTCGCTGCCGGTCGTGACCGAAGAACAGGAGGAGAGCGGCGATCCCGGGGCCGATGCGGGAGGCGCCTGCGTGCGCGCCCAGCCGGGCGTCGAGGAAGCTTTCTTCGGCCCCACGCGCATCACCCAGGCGTACGTGGACATGTTCATGTCGGCCGGGGGCGCCGGGGTGTCGGTGCTGGAGGGGATGGTCGTGCTGTGGGCGACCGAGGTGTGCTATCTGCAGGCGTGGCGGTATGCGGCCTCGTTTGGGGCCGCCGGGGGAGCCGGAGCCGGGACGCGGCCCGAGGACGATGCGGATGGCGGCGCGCTGCGCCGCCGGTTCATTCCCAACTGGACGAGTGCCGAGTTTGAGGCGTTTGTGACGCGGATTGGGGATGTGGTGGATGATTTGGCGGCCGAGGTCAAGGGGGCGGAGGAGCGCGAGGCGCTGCTGGGGAGGTGTGTGCAGTGGTGGAGGCAGGTGTTGTGGCTGGAGGAGCGGTTCTGGCCCGTGGTCAAGATGGATTGACACGAGCAATAACACCAATGTATTTCACGTGTGGGGAAGAAATAAAAAGAAAGATATCATATTACATCTATCGTCCTATATCGTCGCATCGTTGAGTCCCCCGTACCGTACTCCGGTTCATCAGAGAAAGGAAAGAAAAAAAAAAAAAGAAAAGAAAAGGTAAGACAAGCAAGCAAGCACGCACCCAACGCCCTCCCGTTTTGAAGCTCCTGCTGGAAAATGCATCATCAATCCATCCGTCCCTCTATAGTAAGCTATCGGAAAAGAGACTCCTGCTGCCAGAGCAAAGCTCGAAACAACTAGAAAAAACATAAACATGGAGAAAGCAAAGCAAAGCAAAACAGAACACAAAAACAAACGTAATTGTGATCGTGGTGGAAACCTTGAACCGGCACTCGTACTGAGACACTGACACTGACAGTCATGCAGCGAGGTTAAGACGTCGCCGCGCTGGCCCGCGCGGCATTATTCATCTGCCGGTGATATGATCCAATCGGCTGGAAGCCTCTGCATACACGTTAGCAACGTCAACCCGCCAACGACTACCGACCTTCCATCGAGAAAGAAGAGATGACCACCTACCGGGCGAGATCAAATCCGGCATCCTCGTCATCGTCATCGGCCCCCGTCCCCGCCGACGCCATGGGTCTTTCCAGCTTCACCGCCCCATTCAGGCCCGGTCGCACGTCTCCCAGGTCTGCCGCCACCTCAGTACGCAGCGGCGGAAGCGTTCGTCCATGTCCGAGACCGTTCAACGTGCCAGGCTTGCTGGGGCTGACTAGATTTGGCGGCGGAGGGCTGCTACTTGGGAACCCAATCCCCTCGCCAATTTCACCTTTGAGCGGGCTCATGTCCGGAACTGGCCGCGCCGGTGTACTGCCAATGTCTGCAAACTTCCAGAACTGCGCCGGCGAGCTCATCGGCATAAATTTGGACGGGATCTGCGCCGTGCTGGGTGGCGGAAGCCGAGGCTGTTGTCGCTGCGGCGCGGGGGTGATCATCGAGGACGGACCGTCGTCGTAGTACGACGACGACAACACGGGCGGGGAACCGGCAACGTTGTCTGAGAGGCCATATGTACGACTGAGAGCGTTGGTGCCGTTGTTTTTGGTTGCGGAACGCGCAGGCAGCGGAGACGGCTCTTCGTAGTCCCGGGCACTGGCGTTGCGAAGGGGATGATCCGCCCGGGCGGCCCGCGAGCCCCGCTCTGGCGTGTATGCCTCGACGGGGGCTACGGGAAAGGAGCTGAAGCCAGGAGACGAGACAGGCGGGGGGGACTTTTTGCCGTTGAAGACATTCTCTCGACCGTTGGCGCCGCGCGAGACAGGTTCTTTGGTGGCAGGTGACGACGGGGCGGACGATTGGGTCGTTCCTTTGCGCAGCTGCTTCTTCCAGTACTCTTCACGGTACTCCGGCGCGATCTGCCATTTCATTCCCTTGCCGGGCTCATCCGTGCGGCGGGGTACTTTCTGGAACGCTTTATTTAAGGATAGGTTATGTCGAATCGAGTTCTGAATTGGTCAGCGGCCGATGAACTAGATAACAAAAAGAGGGTTCCATCGTACCTGCCATCCGCTCTGGGAATGCCGGTAAAAGGCATACTTGTCCATGATCCAGTTATAGATATTGTTCAACGTGAGTTTTTCCTCCTCGCTGGAGAAGATGGCTTGCGCAATCAATGTGGCGTAGCTATACGGCGGTTTGAGATCCTTGGCCGAGTCCTTGCTGTAGTCAATCTCCTCTGTACTCTCCATCATCATACCGCGATTATACAATGGCGACTGCTTGGCGGTGCGCGCGCCAACCGTGTCAGGGGACCGAGGCGGGGGTGTGACCTGACGTTTGAGGAACTGCGGGGCGGGCGCCAGTGACGGCTGGCCGCTGGTGGCCGGGGCGGCGGCCGGAGTCGCGTTCTGATCGTTGAACGTGGTCGATTGCGAGGGCTGAGGGTGCGAGTGTTGAGACGGGTCCCAGGACAGCAGCTCCTCCTCGCCGTTGGCGATGCGCTGCGCGCGCTCGACGAAGCTGGGATGAATATTGGCCTTGTCGCCGGGCGTAACGAACATCATCTGGGTGTTCGCGATCTCGATGATATCCCCGCACGAGATGATCGCATCGGTGCCGCGCTTGAGGATTACATTGTTCAAGCGGACGCCGTTGCGACCGTTGACGCGGATGTGCCAGGAGGCGGTATCCTCGCCGTCGTAGAAGACCTCGGCATGCAAGCGCGAGACGAACTTGCTGGGACCTAAATCGACGTGGACGTCCGGCAGGGCGCGGGCGGCGATGGTGACAGGGCTCGACTGCTCATCCAGCTTGGGTTCGCGATCCGGTTCGCGACCGATGTTGACATGGAGGGTCTTGACATAATACGTCCAGTTGCGGCCGGCGATCTTCGCATAGGCGCGGATACTCTGGGTGTTCTCGGTCTTGGTGTTGGAGTGGTCCCGCACCACGCGCACTTCTTCGCGGGAGACGTTCAGACACGAAATAACCATATCCACCAGGTCCTGGTTGGCGGACAGTTCGTTCTCGGGCGACGAGTCATCGGCTTCATCGGCGGATTCTTGCGCTTTCACGGGACGGACAGGAGGGGAAGGGCGGTGGTCAACCTATTTCGAAGCAAGGCATGAGCATCAAACAAACCGGGACAGCCTTGCATCCCAACCCACCTTGCGCTTTTTGTTGGAGGGCCGGGTTGGCGACGAGTCCGGAGCCTCCGCGTCTGAAGTTTCCTGCAGTTGAATTTCCTTGCGCCGCGCGCGACGGCGATTCGAGAGAGGCATGGTGAGTGGTTGGGGAGAGTTTCGCAATCGAGTGTTTGTTTGTTTATTGTTGTGGGTTGTTGATATCGATGGAGAAGCTGATAACAGATCTAATCACGAGGGTGGTGGATGATCAATCGCGAAGGAAAAGGATATTCTCCTTTGTATTTAGATTTCTTTTGTTGCTTCTCTCTCTCTGGGAGATCGATCAAAAATGCCGCGGAAATGAAAGACAGGGTCGGATAGACGGAGAGAGAGATAAGCAGGGAAAAGAAAAAGAAAAATAAAATAAAAATAAAATAAAAAACAAAGAGGCGACAACTCCAGAAGGAATCGGAGGGAAGAAAAACTTGAACGGGGGGGGGGTGGGAAATCCCAGCTCCCGTCGCAAAGTCGGATGAACTGAACTACTTCTGGGGGGACAGAGAAAGTAAAGAATCCAAGGAACCGATGACGGGTTTGCCACCGCGCAGAACAAGCGACGCGAACTGTGAGTGGCTGGTGGGAGGGGAAGCCAGCCACAGTTCAAGTTGCATGCAGTTCAGGTAAGGGTAAGGTCGAGAGATAGGGTGGATTGACTATTTGGTGTTATCGGCGAAGAGTGGAGGAGAAGATCAAACAGAAGGATGGAGAATTGGATTGATGGACAGAAGGGGAGAGGGGAGAGGTGAACGACAAAGGGTTGTCCATTCAAGGGAGGAGGAGGATGAAGAAGTAGAGTTCAAAGGAGGAAGCGGAAGAAGAATGGAAGAAGAGAAGAAGAAGACAAGAAGGAATGATGATGATGATGATGATGATGATGATGACTATGATAATAGTTAATGGCGCAGTAACGATAACGAGACCAGACGCGTGAGAGAGAGAGAAAGAGAGAGAGAAAGACAGACAGACAGACACACAATGAGAAAGACACTTACTTCTGGGGCGTGACTGTTACCCGCGTGGGGATCAATCAGATCAGAGTGGGTAAGATCTCAGACTCAAGAGAACAAGCAGTATCTAAACATTCCTGTCGATCAAAACTTAGAGAGACAGTTGATAATTGATCAAAATATTTGGGGTCCTCAATTGAGTCTTAAAAGAAGAAGAGATCAAGACGCCAATACCTCCTCCCATAGTAACCTTACTTCGGGATGGGGTCCTTTTCATGGCTCCAGCCGCCGTAAACAGATTAGAACCACTATGGAGTATCTCGATACTTACTTGGTGGTTACTCAGTTAAAGAGAATCATCAAGGTGGAGCACGACGCAGAAGGAATGGAAGATTAAAGAAAAGAAAAAAGGGAAAAGATCCTCTAATACTAATTATCTCCTCCATATAGTTAGATAGTAGTATAAAGATTGAAGAATGACAGCCACAGTCCTTGCATGCTCTACAGCTACACTAGTTGACGATACTTGCATTACTCTGCAGGGCTGTCCTCGTGCTGTTACCACCTCGACCCTTCAGCCTTCAAGACAATTCCATAGATACATAGATACATAGTAAACTGAATCCATCAACTCCTGTCGACAGAAAATCCAATCCTCATCTCTCATCGCATCCTAACGACACAGGTCAACACCCGGAAGTGGTAATCCTCAAGAAAGCCATTTTGCTGCGACACTGTTCCACATCACCTTCTAGTCTAGACTATTTGTATACATCTAAATCTAGTGCAGTGTAGTATTTCCCGCCATAGACCGTCTGCCTGATGTTATTCTGTTTGCGTCACTGAAATCCGGACGAGGCTTAGTGCGGTCCCCTGCGTCTATACTCTTGTAGAATGAGGAGAAGGACGACTCTCTGGAAAAACTGACACTGTAGCATCCATTATCAGCCTGGAACCTACTAAACATGGTTACAATTCCCAAAGGGGATAGATATCATCACCACTCCCTCTGTAGTTCTAAACATCGCTCTCCTGTCCTGATTTTCCTACAACTACCACCTCGAGGTCCGTGGTGGAGAACTGGTACATCCACAGGCAAAGAATACAACAACAACCAAACAATGACCTGAAAACGGTCATGGCCCAATCAAGTGAGAATCAAATGGTCTACGAGGAGAGAAGAAATCATCGACTTGTTTGGAAGCATTGAGATTGGCCCGAAGAAACACCGTCATCCACACAAACAGGTAAACTAGTCCCAGCCGGCAAAGAAACATTCCAGCAAGGAAAACGATGGTAATCACACAGAACCCAACCCGCCATATTCACAAAGTAGCTACAAAATGATAGAAACAAACAAGTGACAAAAGTAGTCGGAGGGGAAAAAAAAAAAAAAAAAAAAAAAAAAAAAAAAAACAAGAGAAAGGAGCAATAGACGAAGAGGGGAATCAAAGAATCGTCAACAACCCAAGATTTCTTTTTTTTTTTCTTTTTTTTTTCTTTTTTTTTTCTTTTTTCACACACTCTCTCTTTTTCTTTTTCTTTTCCTTAGGTTAACTGTGCATCTTGGTATCCTCATCCCCACCTAATCCACGTAGCGTGGGATACATCACGCTATCATCCGAGGAACTGCGGATGGCATGAGGCGCTACAGGCTCTTCGGCCTTCGTAGGAGCATGATCGGTCTCAACGCCCTCCATGTGGCCATCGTGGCGAATCTCAGGTGAAGCGCGTGCCAGATCACGCCGGGATTCCGCCGTATCGTACTCTTCTCGATCCAGGCGAGAGGCAATGTAGTTGCGCAGGTACTCAAGGAGACGAACCTTCTCAACCCATTGAGAATCTGTCCGCTCGGCCACCTCCGTGGCGGCCTGTGCCGTGCGCAGCGCCGATTCCACATCAGATGAGCTGTTGGAGTGCAGCGCAGGGTCAATGAGATTGGCCGAGATGCGGACAGGGGACGCCGACTGCGATGCAGGCTCTTTGCCAGTGGGAGTACGTTGGCCGTCCTCCTTGCCGTCCTGCCGGATGTCCATGTCAACAGACAGGCGGCGTTCTTCGGGCCGAGCACGCTGCAGGGTGCCGCCCGTGTACCGGCGACGATCATCGTCGAAGATTCCACTGAGAGTCGAAGGGGGAGCAGCGCTCGATATGGTCGGGTAACCAGCGGCCATACTGTCGGCCATGGTGGCAGATGGAAGGCGGGGGTACATGCCCGAGCCACCGTCGTGATGTGGTGGTGAGACACGGTGGACCGAAGACATGGAGACGGGAGAACGTCCAGAGGTATACGACTGGGCGCTCGAGGGCGGTGTTAGCGCCGGAGTGCCGGCGGGAGGCGAGTGGGTAGCAGGGTTGCTCATCATGGTGCTGGCAGAGGTGGTAGCCGTAGCATGGCTGGGGGGGAGCTGGCTGGGTGGGGAGTGCGTGGTGCGGTAGCTCATGCCACCATGGATATAATGAGCTCCGGGTTGGGCGATACCGGCAGCCGCAACATGGTCGTCGTTCTCGTAGATCGTTTCCTGCATCTGCTGGAGGAACTGATCGATGTTGAGCAGATCATTCTTAGTCCGCACATTGCTCATAGGGGGCAAATGGTAGACAGGAGCACCGTGTCCGCCAGGGCTGTAGCCACCGCCGACCGCCACAGGCGCTGGCATCTGCTGATATTCAGGCAGAGGGCCGCCGGTCAGAATCGGCAGAGACAGGTTCTGCAGTCCCAAGAGGCGTTGGCCGACAGCCGCGTACGAGTGGAGATCGAATTGACGTCGCTTCAGATCACCAAAGAACTCGTTCAGCGCGTCATAACCCCTCTTCTTGGATTCGTAGGAGGCATGGCCGTCATGGCCATGGTTGAGAGCATAGTAGACGTTTCCATACGAAGGATTCGCTGGCTGAGGGGGAGGATGGGCTTGATAATACTGAGGGGCGGCATGGCCGTATCCCTGGCTGGGCACAGCATTTAGCGAGGGCTCAAAGTAGTGAGCAGCGGCAGCATAGCCTAGAAAGAGAAGCACGGAACGTCAGCTCTGATATAGCAATAGATTACAAGAGATCGTCGCTCACCTTTACCACTTCCGGGGAACATCATATCCGAATTTCTAGAACCAGGTTCGGGTGACCGGACGAGAACCGAGTCATCAGCGTGCGTCTTGACATGCTTCTTGAGATCTTGAGGACGCTTGAACGCCTTTCCGCAAAACTCGCACTTGTGAGGCTTCAGAGGTACATGGACACGGATGTGCGAGGTGATGTGGTCGCGTTTAACCGTTGTGGTGCGGCAGCTACCCCATTGGCAAGTCAGGTTGAGGTTATTCGTGCTTTTCCGACCGACGTGGCGCTCGCAAATGTGTTCCTAAAAAAGGTATGGTCAGCTTGAGGTCAGAAAAGGGCAGTGCTGTGGTACAAATCGACTACCCCCCAAAGACAATCGCGTCTCCTGATACGAAGATACAAACAGGGGAAAGGGAAAGGGACGTCAACTTACGTAGAGAGACTCTGCAGAAGAACATTTCTCAGAGCAACCTTGCCAAAGGCAGGACAGCTCTTCGCTGAGACGAGGGCTACCATTCATTTGGGGGGTCGCAACCGCCGCGGTCGCAGCAGCTGCGGTCGCGGTCACCGAGGATGTGGGTGTGGCTGTCGACACGGGCGCAGGAGCGGTGGGGGCTGGGAGCTGCGACGATGGCTGCTCCTGAGAGACGGAAGCAGGCATAGGAGCAACTGTCGTCGAGGGAGACACGGCTGTCGCTGTATTGTTATTGTTGTTGTTATCCTGATGTTCTGACATGGTTGCCAAGACAGATTTCTTGTCCCTTTCTTGGGAGCAGCGGAAGACGAAAAAAGGGGGGAAACAGCACAGTCACAAGAGATGCAGACTGTTGCTCAACCCAGATCAGAGACGAAGGAGAGGTATGAATTGACAAAAACGTGTCAAATAATGTGAAATGATTTGGGGGGAGAGAAGACCGGGGGGGGGGGGAGACTTCGATTAAAGGTAATCGGGAAGACGCGGTGAGTCGCCTAAAATAGACAATCAGGCGAGAAAAATAATGTACACTCAGACAGTTCCGAGCACTAGATACCTAGCCCAGACAGGGAGGAAAAGAGAAAGAGAGAGAATATGAGAGAGTACCAGCAGAGAGAGAAAGGGGGGAGGAATATCGGAGGAGGTTTATCCAAATAGGAGGACGAGAGGAAAGTCTTGGTAAAATGTGAACGAAAGGGAGGAGGGAGAGGGGGCAATGCTTGGGTTCTTGTCCTTTTTTTTTTCTGGGGGGGATAGACAGAATAGACTAGATAACTTGTAACCAGGGGGAAAAGGAAAAAGGACAGCAGTACGGAGTAATAATACCAAGAACAGTTCAAGGGAAAAGGAAGAAGGGGGGGGGGGGGGAAAGAGTGAGACTTGGGAAAAAGGCCGAGCCATGCCCAGAAGCCCAGAGAAAACCGCCTACAGCATCGGGCGGAGGGACAACCCAAGACAGGGACAAGACCGGGCCAAGAGCCATGCGGGCCCAAGCCTGAGTGGCGTGCGGCCACGACTGCTGACTGGCTGAGATGACCGTTGGTGGGCTGTGCTGATCGCTTAGAAGATCAGGAATTCAAGGACTGAACCTATCGATGGCTCGGCTGGTATTACCTTGGTAAACGGCGGTAATTTTCGTGCGGTACCGTGGGGACTCTTGACTCCTTGAGGCGCCGTCCGTCTCAGTCCTCCATGTTTTTAAGTTTGTACGGAGTAGATACTGTTTACCTATTGGGCTTTTTACCATTGATCCCTTTTTGTTGGAGACTCGAATGGGAGGCACCCTTGAAAGTTGGCTGGTCAGGAGGGATGAAAGGATTACTTCATATTATTATTATTATCTTTATTCATCAGAGAAGAATTTCGATGCAAAATAAGCCCATAGTGTCGAAAGAAACAGGTCTCTCGAATGGGGCCACAAGTCTAGTTGGAGCAGTTGGCACTTGGCACAGTAGTTAAATGAGCAAAAACCAAGTCATACCGATGGCTTACTGTTATATTACAAGATGGCTTCAACCTTCAAACCCCGCATGATAATTGATACCCCGGGGAGTAAGAGTAAAAGCATGTGTATTATTATTATTATTAGTAGTAGTAGTAGTAGTAGTAGTAGTAGTAGTAGTATTAGTATTCTGATTGTCGTGACACAGACTGTTGAGATGGCAAGAATATTAATAATCCCATCTTGGACAGAGCAAAGAAAAGACCAAGATTTTCCTCTCAGTTGGGAACCGACAACCACAGTGCTCTCTCTTGGCAACTTGTCTCCCGCCCCGTGGGTGAAGTCTTGGGACCTGAGACCTGAGAGTCAAAGTGGACTCATGATTCATGGGGGTTGCAAGAAAAAGCAGTCATCAGCAGTAGTCAACTCCAAGGATGATGACAGAAAGGCATCATCACAAGCTGCTCGTGTTGGTCGAATCCTCTCGGAAGGAGAAATGCAATTCTCGCTGAGAGTGCCAGCTTAAGACCGGCTGAGTGTAGCCCGATCATCTCCGAGGTCTATCATATTAATTATTAACTAAGAGCCAGCACAGTCATCCCATAGGATATCGCCCAAGCCAATTATAACGTGATCAGCACCAGAGACCATTGGTCACAAGACCCGCGTCCAGCGAGAACCTGAGGCATCCTATGAAGGTCTAACAATATCACTTAAGTAACGATCACGGTGGCCATTGGACACATGCAATGGCTGTGGTGTAAAAGCCTTGACATTTGACAAGTTTAAACACGCATCCTAGGCAACAGGATATTACCTCTTCTTCAGTGACTAACTCGAAACGGCCTGGAGGTTCTACAAGGGGGGAGAGAGAGATGCAGTCTTCAAGCCAAGAATTTCATCATGGGCTAGACCCGAGAAATCGCATAACAGCAAAGCATTACTCCTGAGCTCGTTGCAGTTAGTAGTAAAGTCGTTGGACTTGATCAACTTGCACAGTCTAGGTTGAGAGTCTAGACTTGTGCTGTGCAAAGGATTCAAAAGTATGGTGTCCAAAATCAGGCAATCAGGCCACCAACTCCACTCTGGATCTCCAACCTCAACTCCAACAAAAATTCAAACAAACAACATCCAGGCACAACGCGTTGCAATGGCAGGATAGAGCTCCCATCAACCTTTCTTTCTTTTTGTCTGTGATTGCATGAGTTATTCATTCTATCGTTCAATGGCACAGTCCATCATTCCCTCCTCATCCCTCGTTTCCTTCAGTCTTTGCATTATATAGACCATTATTCCTCCATATCCACAACTGTAGATACGGAGTATACAATACGACGAGCCTTCAAACCATGCCACTCAAGCTCTCCACGCTTCTCACCTCTCTCTTCTACCTTCTCCCGCTCTACCTCTTTGTCCTCGCCCCATTCCTCCGCCAAGTCTTCCCTCCTACCGACCCATCCTCCTCCCCCCATGACGCAGACCAAGACCTCGACCAAGACACCACCCAAGATCCCGCTCTCAACCTCCTCGACGACACCTTCATCAGCATCGACGATGGCATCACCCCAACCTGCCCGGCCCCATCATACCGCACCCACGTCCTCTCCCACTCCCCGCTAGTAATCTACATCGAGAACTTCCTCACCGCAGACGAAGCAACCCACCTCGTCAACACCAGGTACCTCCTCCCGTTCCACTTCCCCCCCCCCTTCCTTCACCAACAATTCCTCCCAACTAACAACCCCTCCCAATCTCCAAAAGCCTCCCAAACTACACCCCTAGCATCATCTACACCGGCTCCACCCCACGCATCGACCCCTCCACCCGCCTCTCCGACCGCGCCCTTCTCCCCCGCGACACTCCCGTCCGCTGCCTCGAGGCGCGCGCCCGCGCCTTCCAGGGCTGGCGCCCCCACCTCTACATCGAGCGCATGTGGGCCCAGCGCTACAACGCCTCCGGCCACTACCGCCACCACTACGACTGGGCCGGCTCCATGCAGCATGGCGGCGACCGCGCCAGCACCTTCATGGTCTACCTGGCAGCGGAGTGTGAGGGCGGGGGCACGAATTTCCCGCGGCTGCGCATGCCGCGCGCGCGGGAGTGGTGCCGGTTTCTGGAGTGTGAAAATGAAGATGAAGGTGAAGATGGGAATGAGGGTGATGGTGGGAAGGGGAAGAGGAAGGGGAGGGAGGGTGTTACCTTCAAGCCGATCCAGGGGAATGCTATCTTCTGGGAGAATCTGAGGCCCGATGGCTCGGGGTACCCGGAGACGTGGCATGCGGCGTTGCCGGTGACGGCGGGGACCAAGGTGGGCTTGAATATCTGGAGTTGGTATCAGCCGCCTCGGAGGAGGTAGGAAGGAGTGAGTAGAGAGAGTTCTGTAACACAGTGTACATTATAGAGAGAGAGACCCAGACATAGAAGGCCTTGTAGAAGTAAAGTATAGAATAGAATCAGATCATGATTGATATTAGACTACCAAGGAGTAAGTATATCAACCTAGCACAAATTATTCGCAGCCCCCGCCCCCCACATATATACCATTCCAAAACGCCAAGCAGATGACATGACCATACACCATTCCTCATTATCATAGAAACACAAAATCGAAATCGCAAAGTTCCTTTGCTTTTGTAAAGGTCAAGCGAGACAAGACAGATCAACTTCCCACATTCATCCACTGGATCCAGTCATCATTGGCCAGTCCCCCATTCGCCCGATGGACGTCGCCGTTCCCGAAGATATCGTCCAGCGGAAGAAGCCCCAGGTCCAGCCCGCCGGCCATGGCATTGCTATCCTCCAACCCCATGCCGAAGTGATGCGACTCGTTCGTCGTCGGCATCGGCGGCTGTGCAGATCCGTCTGCCTCGAATCCCTGCGGCTGGAAGTTGTATCCCTGCCACATGAAGTTCTGGTTGGGGATGGATACCAGGTCTGGGCTGTTGACCGCCTCGGCGCCGCTGCCGGGCGTCGAGCCGTGCGAGACCGGGGACTGCAGTCGCGACTGGTTCATAGTCTGCTGTTTCTGTGGCGCAACCCGATGCGGCAGAGAGCCGTTGATCCCGGCTGAGTTCCCGTTCGTGAAGATGGGGAAGTGGCCAAAGTTATCAAACGTCGGGGTGGACACCGCGCCCATCGACAAGTCAGTCGTCGTGGTCGCCGGCAGCCCGTGCGGGGTTTGGTCAAAGCCCACATGATTGCCTGGCTGAAGTCCCATCCCGTCAGCCCGAGAATGGTCATCTTCAAGGGTAGACATCGGCTGCGTGGGGTATGCGAACGGGTCATCGGACGGGAACATGATAGGCATGAGGTCAGGTAGTAGATTTCCGGTGTTATTGAACTGCTGTGGAGAGAATGGTCTCGTCGACGACGACGACGACGACGACGACGACTGCATCATAGGCATTGAAGATGCTGTTGCTGTTGTTGTCGTCGTCGCCGCCCGGGCTTGGTCGGTGATGAAAGGCTCGGCCGAAGTTGCAGGCGTCTCGGCTGCAGCCTCTGACGGAGATGGAACCCACGTCGGGGTATGGACTGGGGGTTTCCTGCCTTTGTTGCCAAAGCTCGCGCTGTCGTCCTGGCTCTTCGGCGTGTTAGTCGCCTCAGCCTTGCTTGGGCGCGTCAGAAGCTGAAGAGGGAAAGTGCTAGCTCGCTGCGGGGGGCCCATCTCGGGTGTCAAAGGGTTCTTTATGTTGGCAGCAGCAGGCCGCGTGACCGGCGTGGGGGCAGGTCGCTTGAGGTTCACCGGCTTGACGGAACTCTGGCGGTTCTTGAGGAGTTCCGGAAGGTTTTTGAATAGGCAGTTGAGACTCTGGGAGCAGCGATCGGCCGCCAGACTTTTCTTTGCCAACCCGGCCAACGTGTTCTTGCCCTCCATGGCATCTTTCAAGACGCCATCCTTGGCCGTCGGTGAGTCAGGATTCTCAAGCACAAAGAAGATCAAGGAGAGGATAGCGAAGTAAGTGGTGTACATGGTGAACCAGAAGGAACCTTTCAGCAACCCCCGCTTCTGCATGCCAGTCGTGATGTGGACGATGTTCCGCGACACACTCACGCATGCGGCGGCGCAGGCGTAGGACCGTCGATCCACGCCGCGGGCTTGCGAGCCGCTGGAGACGTAGTGCAGGAAGGGACGGTACATGACGACCTGCACATGCGCATAACTGATGCGCAGTAGCTGGCGGACCCTGTAGTTGAAATTAGTTTTCTTTGGAGCAATAGAATTGAGGGCAACGTGCGTACCGTTCAAGTTGGGGAGACACCTCGGTCCCGGGGCGAAGAGCCGCCGGCAATTCTTCCATCCAGGTCTGCAGATCACGTTCAATCTCACGGATCTTCGAGTGGCTGACCATGTAGCGCAGGTCGGACTTGGAGCGGTGCATAGCATTCTTCACCGGATAGATGTATTTCACCACTTTGAGGATGATGTTCGACAGGCGGGTATGGGCATTGCAGCCCGCCATCAAGGGGGTATAATCGGACGGCATCGGCAAGATCCCGTCCTTTGTGATGAATTGTCCATCGACATCGATCGGGTACTCTTGGTCGATATCGTCATCGCTCAGCATCTGGGGGAGCCCCAAAAGCGTGCTCACGTAAACATCCATTTTGCGGACGACCCAGAAGATACGCTTCCGCAGCTCTCGCTCGATCGGATTGAAATTAGCCGTGACCGACCGATGCAAACCCAACCGGAGCGCCGAACGGAGCGCAATTCCCACATATGAATAGCAAGTGCTCAATTTGGCAGAAGATTGTAGGAAGAGGACCATGAAACAGATGGCTTGTAACGACGTCAGGTCACGGCAATCGGTGATATCCAAGAGCTGCCGGCCGGCTTTGAAGTATTGGAATCTGCGCGGGGTCAGTTTGTTGACTGTGGTGCTGGAATGGAGATGCGACCTACCCATGTCCAATGGCGCCTTCATAGCCGGAAAGATCCAGGGTACCAGCCCCGTCATCTGCGAACAGACATCCCACCGACATGACGATGTACAGAAGTGGCAGAAAGCAATTTTCCTCGTTACCGAACTGTTCCGGTGGAGTATCGTAGATTCGCTCCAGCATGGTAAAGAAGGAGGGCTCGTGCACGAAACGCATCATGGAGCAGCCCTCGTACAAGGCGTGGTGGCACAGATGTCGTGCAACCTCTCGCGAGGGGAGATCGTGAGTCGGGGGTAACGAAGAATCGGACGGCGACTCAGACACTGATTTGGGGCTCTCCAGGATCTGGGGCAGCGGGGGCGTGCGGAAGGTGGGTGGCTGCATCTCTGTGTCTCCAAGCTGCTTGCGCAACCGCCGCAGGAATATGATACCCGAGGTATGACCGTGGTAATCCCAGTGACCTTGGTCATCCAGATCTAGACAGCCGGAGTTCTCGACCATAGACTCCAGCAGCGACTCATCGCCCGCACCCGCGTCCAAAGCATCCGACGCGGGTTCCGGAGCCGTTGACGGTTTGGGCGCACTTGGGATGGGCGGCGGCGGGGCTGGCAGCGACTGTTTCTCCTTCTTGATCGTGGTGAGCATCTGTTCTGTCGCATGCACATCGAATTGGGGGTCGTCCAAGTTCAGATCGGGGAGGACGACGCGGAGGAGAGCCTCGGCCTTGTGCAGACGATTCTCGAGAGCCTCGACATACTGAGGGGCGGGGTTTCTGCGCCGGTTCGAAGGCTGATCGTAGGTACACTCTATCACGCACGACGCCTGAATCAGGAGGGGAAGGCCGGGAATTTAATCGATTGAAAAAACGGCTTAGAAAGACATACCATAGCTATAGACCGTGCAATGAGTACACGGCTGTTTCCCATCGCATTTGATTTTCTTGCGGCGACATTCGTCACAGGCGCGGGTTACCCGGCGCCGCTTCTGCATGGGAAGCGGCTCCTTGGGCTTCACCTCCGACAGCGAGCCATAACTCGAAGGGATATCATGCGAATGCACCGATGTCGCCGACGAATCTGCTACCTCATGGTTGTAGTACTGAGTATCCGGTGCAGGATCGTCCTCGTTGGAGGGCTCGGCGGGAGCGCCGTGACACGGGCTGGTATTGGCGGTCATTTGGAACGATGACGTTGGCGGAAGTATTCATGTAAGGGGGGGGGGGGGGAAAGAAGAAAAAAGAACGGGAAGAATGAATTGATAGATGAAGGGACCCGCGTGGCGATGCAGGATCTATCGCACACGAGGGGCAGATCGGGAGAATTATCCAAAGGTCATGGAAGGCACACACAGACACACAAAACCAAAGAGTTGTGTCAGACAGAATGGGAGGAGAGAGAGAGAGAGAGAAGAAGAAGAAAGGAAGAAGGGAGAGAGAGAGAAAAATAGACGAAGTAATTAATCTCCGCGGATAAATTCCACGTTTATTATTTGGTTCTTCGTGTCAGTCAAGTTCAGTCTCTGTTAGTTCGGCTTTGATAAGATCGGATTCTCCCGACAAGCAACGTCAGGATCTATACTGAAATAGGTGAGCAGGATGAGCAGGATGAGCAGGATGAGTCAAAAAAAGAAAAAGAAGAAGAAGAAGAAGAAAGCTTACTCAACCAGAGGGAAAAGGCGCAGGATGAAAAACGCGGGATATGAATGATGATTCAAGAGAGACAAATACTAATGAACGATAATCAATCAATGGTAAGCGGGCGATCTCCAAGTCAGTCGACGTCCCACCGTGTGTGGCTTTTTCCTCTGGTTTGGTTGGAGAGAGGGAGAGAAAGCAGCTCGGAAAAAGATTGAGACACACAAAGAGAAAAAGAAACAGGATCGACGATGGTCACTAGACTGGACGATGGGGCCGAGAACGAGTCTAGAAAAGGAGAAGAAGACGAGCGGAATTGGCAGACGGAGAGATGCTGGATCGACTAAGTGGGATTCGATGACGAGGATGGCCGAGGATGACAGAGGATGACAGGCAAAAAAGATTTGATTCAGAGGAGACACCAAAGGCTTGGCTGCGATTAGTGGTTATAGAGATATAGATATAGATATTGATTCATTAATCATAATAGGTTACAATATTGATACCGTCGAGGACCTTACGAGGGTCAATTGAAGGGGAGACTGACTTTTGTTCATCCATTCAACCGGATTTTATATATTCACCTACACACCCCTGGATCCTCTCCCCTAATAATATGAGCCTAGTTTCTGTGTTGCAAGCTTGAATCCTGTTCCCTTCCGGTGAAGATGGATGACTTTTCTAGGGTAATGCTTTCCTGCACATTAGTTTGCTGGCGACCCTTTAAAAGATAGGATTCTGAACAGTCTCATCAAAAGACTCTCCTCGTCGGGTGACGATGGATGGCATGCCGCTTCCTTATTCCATCAGAGGTCGCGGAATACTAGCACTGCTCTCAGAATTGGACATGCACCGTGGCAGTTGCGTGCCACACCAAGTCCGCCTAGATGAAGCTGCTTTGGCCTGGATTGCGGGATATATGGCCATGGCTTGATCATATGTCTCGTGTGAAGTCCAGCCATCCCTGCCCATGATTTCCTGATCAGGCGTCCCAGAAGCTTTGTACTTCATTTCCAAACCTTCCCCATCTTCGTATATTCAGAGAAACCCATTATTATTCAGGAGTAGATAGATACCTGAAACCGAATCATATAAATGATCCCGTCACCAGTGAACCCCGTCAAAATGATCTTGGCATTAATCGTAGTTAGTAGTTACTAGTTAGTAGTACTGTGTAGTAGAACCCAAAAGTACGGGGGAGGAGGGGATTTGCAGTCTAGAGTCAAGAATTATTAAGATAGTTACTACAGTAGTGATGCCGTGTGTGGCTAATAATATCACAGTATTATTATCACTCTGTCAGACTGTCACTCGATCTTTATTCAGCTAGAATCCGCATCCCCCTGCTGTCAAATTAGTCGTGAGCTTATTAGATTAAACAGAATCCAGACGGAATTGGCAGTTTTGCACATCTTCCTGGCATCGTGCCCAGGAAAACTTTGTCCAAAGTGGACAGAGGAATTGAAGAATGGATTGGACCATCACAGCCTTCTTCAGAGAGAGGTAAATAGCTTTCTCTCTCTCTCTCTCTCTCTTTCTCTCTTTTTATCTGTCCCTTCCATCCATCCTCGTCTTCCATCTTATTATTATTAATTTTTTTTTTTTTTTCGATTCTGCAGCAACAACTCAAAAATTCCAACAATCCTGACCCCGGCCTGCATATCGACAGCACTGAGCACAGCGCACGGAGGTTGGTCTGCAGTCTAACTCACATCATGATCCCTGCAATCGTTGCCTGCTAGAGGGTTCTTCCATCATGACATTCCTTCTGGTCACTCTCTGCTGTCTTCTCGCAACCCTGGGGTCCTTTCTATTCGGTTATGATTCAGGTGTGATTGGATCGACTCTGGAACAGGACGCTTTTCGGCAATATTTTCGCCACCCTTCGGATGCAGCCACGGGGGGCATTGTCTCTTCCTACAATGGTACTTCTTCTCTCGAGCTTTGAACGCAGGAAAATTAAAACCTCCCGTATGTCAACTAATACGATACCCTCATAGGAGGAGCCATTCTCGGTTCCCTCGTCGTCCCCTACATCGGCGATCCCTGCGGCCGTCGCCCGGTCATGTTCATCGGGGCGCTGTTGGCCGCCGTAGGAGGAGCTTTGCAAGCCGGAGCTGTGAATGTTACCATGCTCATTATCGGACGCTTGGTTGCCGGATTTTCTATCGGTTTGATGTCTGCGACAATTCCGATCTACTGTGTAAGCCTCCTTGAGGGCTCTCGTGAACTGGAAACTGGACTCCAACTTGCTCACGAAACTGCATAGAGCGAGGTATCTCCTGCACGCATCCGTGGCTTTCTCGGCGCCATGCAGCAATGGATGCTGGGACTCGGCGTTGTAGTAGCCGTATGTGTTTCTCCCCCGAGACACTTTTGCTCAAGGACTCACTCCTCACCAAAACAGCAATGGGTCGGATATGGCTGCTCCCTGCACACCGGCCCCTTCACCTGGCGATTCCCGCTCGCCTTCCAGGCCGTCCCAGCCGTCGTCCTCGGTGCGGGCGTCTGGTTCCTTCCCGAATCGCCGCGCTGGCTGATCGAAAAGGGCACAAGGACGCTGGCCGCGCCGTGCTCGACCGCCTGCATCTGGACGTGCCCGCTCAATGCCGACCTCGTCGACGCCGAATTCACCAGATCTGCGACACGTCGCTGCGAGTCACACTCGTCGCAGCTCGTGCGCCACCTACTTTTCTCCGCGCCCACCTGGCGCCGCCGCGTGTTCCTCGCCTGCGGCATGCAGGCCTTCACGCAGTGTTCCGGCACCAACGTCATCCAGGTCTACAGCCCGCGTATCTACCGCTCCCTCGGCCTGGCCACCTCCACCACCCTCATGATCACCGCCATCTGGGGCGCCCTCGCCCTCCTGTGGAACACCGTCTTCATGCTCTTCATCGACCGCGTCGGTCGCCGCAAGCTGCTCATCCCCTCTCTGCTCGGCATGGGCGCCGTCCTCTGCGTCCAGGCCACCCTCGCGCGCTACTACAACAACTTCACCCCTCCTTCCTCCTCCTCCTCCTCCTCCTCCTCCTCCTCCTCTTCCTCTTCCTTCCCACCCTCACCCCCCTCCCCGCACGCCCTCCGCGCCGCCATCGCCATGTTCTTCGTCTTCTCCATCTTCTATACCAGCCTCGGCCTCATCTCCTGGGTCTACCCGACCGAGATCTTCCCTACCGCCATCCGCGCCCGCGGCTCCGCCCTCGCCACCGCCACAAACTGGAGCCTCAACCTCGTCTTCGCGCAGTGCTCGCCGCTCGCCCTGTCGACCCTCCAGTACAAGTACTTCTACTGCTTCGTCGGGTTCAACTGGACCGCGGCGGGGATTGTGTGGGCGTTTTACCCGGAGACGAAGGGCCGGTCGCTCGAGGAGGTCGGCGAGGCGTTTGCGCCGGATGGCGCCGCGCAGATGGAGACGCAGACGCAAATGCAGACGCTGCGGGGATACTCGGTTGCAGAGAGTGCGGAGCTGAAGACTGGTGTTACGTGGCATGTAGCGCGGCCAAAGTGATGCTGGGACACTTGTATAGCTGGTATAAATAAATCCACAAGTTCATAGTTCGTCGTTCTTGTTCATTGTTCTCGTTCTCGTTCTCGTTCTCGTTCTCGCTGCTGGGTGGAAAAAACACCCAGGTTCAGTAGTGAAAGTGCTTTTCCAGCCCCATGCCACCTGCAAGCGAGACGCCGGTTCCCCCCCTACCACACTCATATAAAAAAAAAGATCCCATCTAATATACAATATCATCGTGAAACAAGGAACAGTACCCAACGCCAGACTTAGATCGGTGTATATATGTATGTAAAGAATCGAGAACCATCCACCTCATGTCCAACGTCCACTCCACACTCCACACTCCACACTCCACATCCCAAGGGATGATGAATGATGATGACTCACCCCCGCAACGCAGGCATCACATAGCTCGTCAGCGGCGCGCTCAGGATCTCCCGCCGCAACTCCCCCTCCCACGCCGCAACCGACCCCTTCACCGCCCGCAGCGTCAGACACCCGAGCAGGAACTCCACCACCCGCATCCACGAGGTGTACCCGACGCGCTTCGCGACCTTGAGCATCCGCCCCGCGAACCACGGCCGGCCGGCCGGCGTGCGGCCCCCCGCAGAATACTGCGTGAAATCGAGCGCTGCGGTGGACGCCGATGCCGATGCCGATGCCGATGCCGACGCCGGCTCGACATACCCGTCGTTGCACTCCAGCATGATCTGCAGTAGCGCCTCGACGGATCCGCTCAGGTTGACCTCGCTCTCGAGCACGGCGCGCTCGAGCGTCTGCAGGAAGACCTCGCTGTGTGCGACGGAGAGGCGGTAATCCCACAAGCCGGCGTTGAGCATGATCAGGGCGACGAGCCGCGCGACGAATTGCTTGCGGTTCCCCGAGGCGGTGAATCGGGCGCCGGGCGGTGCGGAGAGGATCTGGTAGAGAAGGGAGTCGGGTTGGAAGGCTGTGCAGCGCATGGGGGCGATGGCGGTGTTGAAGTGGGCGTGTTGGTGGTAGGACAGTTGCTCGCAGCGTCGGAGGAAGTCGATGAATTCCTCACACTGGTGTTGGAGTTCATCTTGGGGTGAGAGGGTAGGGGCCGTTGCAAAGATGCCTTCGAAGTCGGTGCACAGGTGTTGGCCTGATGGCCGAGATCCGGTCGTTGGACTTATTGACATACTCGGAGGTTGTGACGGTCGTATTGGCGGGGTGGGTTCGTAGAAGAAGCTCGGTCCGTGCGTCTCATACCCCGATAGGATATAATCCTGCCAGTTGATCAACATCCCCAGCCGGGTATTCTCGAACGCTGCAGGACCCCCGCGCGCGCGGATCATCTCCCGCGCAGCTCGCATATGGATCCAGCTGATCTGCTTGCGCCCAGGCCGTGGATCGAAATCCTCCAAACCGGCAGCACTAAGACATGCGATGATCGCGACATCACTGATGTCCCCTGGGTTTTCGGCCAAATGCTCCCGAAGCATGGAGATGGCCCGATTCCGGTGAACGAGGCCCATCTTGCTTTCTCTCTCGTTCCGGACCCAGGCCCATGTGTTGGCCGCGTGCACAAGGATGGTGTTCTGGAATGCGACAGCGCCTTTCATACCTTCGGGGACGAACACTGCCGTGTACCAGTTGTGCGCCTTGCGCGACCGGAAATGCGCGCCGTAGGAGCACGCCGGCATTTCGTTCACGTAAAAATCGAATAGTTTGTGGCCCTCTGTATCCATATCCATGGGCAGGGTATTGAATGGATCTGTTCGGGCGGCACTAAGAACTGACCGGGGAGACAGGGCTAGTTCGTATGGTGTTGTGGGTGCAGAGGACCATGACGTTAGAGCGTCAGACTCGGAGGTGCTACTCTGCTCCCCTGATGCATAGAAATCGCGTAAGGGGGAGGATGACGGAAATGTTTGAAGCTGAAGGGTAATGTCCTCGGGCAACAATGAGGATACGGTGTTCACCTCGCTCTGGCCTGGGCTTTCATCATTCCTTGCCAGTATGTCTGCCGACGGTAACTCATCACGGGCGGACGACGCGTCCGAGCCCTTCTTCCTTCGATACGTGCTGCGCTCCTTTTTTGTTTTCCCTGTGGTATTCTTGGCACTCTGGCTCTGGTTTCTGGGCTGCCTACGAGCGGGTGACGGTAGCTCCTCGCTTTCCTTTGCAGGCTCATCATTCTCGTTGCCGGACTGCGATGTACCGTGGCGTTTCTGCCGCATATACTCTTGCATGACATGGCGCTTCACTCTGGTCAGGTTGCTCCGGCTGTTGCTCGAAGCATCAATGAATTGCCAACGGGTTTGCGCTGTCTGCGATGACGGCTCCGATAGGCCAGTACTAGTCTCCTCTGGCGCATCCGACATGGTCCTATGCTGACTCTGGTGATCTCTGCTTGATGACCGGAAATGTGAAGCGAGAGGTCAGGAATTAAAACCAGCACAATATTATTTTCAGATTAAAGTAAATGCCGGTGGCACATTATCGAGCAGACCCCGCGGGATTCCCTCAATGCTGAGTCGCCAATAAGATGGTTGAGCGCAGGCTGCCCGAAGACAGACCGAATGTTATTAGTGATGTGAGACAAATCTGTTGCACAACCTAGCAAGGTTCCTGCAGGGTGAGACAACAGATTTAAACCGTTTAATCGAGTTCTAGAACCGTTAATCCTGGATGCTGTATTTGTATAGGCATACGGACAGTACAGAAGGGGGAGGGATTTCGGTAGAAGAGAGTTGTCACGGATGGAAAAATGCGACAATCAATAGCTGGCTTCCATATATAAAGGCGGGGAGGGGTGGAGGGGAGCGAGGGAGATGGATGGGCCTGTATCCGTAGCCCGTAGTCGGTAGGCGAAGCGAAGCAACCTTTGAGTTTGGTCTCGGTCGCTTGAAAGACTAGGAACCGGAATCTGGAAGACTGGAAGACTATGGGAATTAGAGATGTTTGAGATCTGCGTTCTTCCCCGGAGGATGGCCGCTGACCCAACTCTCCATAGTCCACACTCATAGAGTCATAGTTCCTACCACACCTTGACTTTGAGGTTGTGAACTTCCAAATTGACCATTTGGAGCTGTTAGATAATAGTGAATGAGCCTGAAAACAAGCTCGCAGGAGCAAGACGAGGCAAGGGAGTTCGGCGTTGGGGTCTCTTTTTGGTCTGGAGTTCAATCACCCTTGGAACCGTGTGATCCCCCACTGGACGCTCGGTCAAATCGTTAATTAGTGTTCCGTACGACGGTACGATAGATAATTAGATATGGGACAATGGGACGGTTCGGTGGATAAATCGCAGCCTCAAGGAAGATTAGCGTGAGACTGGCTGACCCAGTCTCATTAGCCTATCTGTCGGCTGTCGCCCAACGGACCGTCCATTTGGTTCTGACGATCTCCACAGGGTGCGCAGGATGCCAGGATCGCTCTCGTCTGTCTCTGCCTTTCCGGTCTTCGCTCTTCAGCGGTTCGGCTAGCAGGACGAGGCTAAATTAGTGTTTTCAAACATCGTGCAGAATGCAGATGGTTGCTCCTAGCCTCCTCCATAATCGGTGGCTTAGCATTCCCCTCGTCTCATCGGCTCAGATGATCGAAAACCCAAGGGTCAATCAAACCTTGTAAGAAAACACGTTGGAAGTGGATGAGCTGACTGTCATCTTGTTTTTTTTTTTTTTTTTTTTTTTTTTAATCTTGATCTTCATCATCATCAATCAGCCTTGCCTTGTCCTTGTGGCATTTCTCGAAAGTCGAAACATGTGGCAAGTCTTATCCTCCGTAGAGACATGACACAAGTGACAAGAGACTTGAGGGAGCAGTAAGCATGCTCAGTCGGGAGACCTCGATATCCAGAAGGTCGTTTTTGTCTCAGAGGATGGCACGTTTCCAATTTCCATCAGCCCGGTGTTCTGCACGGGACAGATAGAGTGATGATAAACCAACAGAACGCGAGATTCTGAAGATTTGATTTGCTCAGATGACTGAACCGGGCTGCAGGGGCCAGCAAGGAAAGGAAAGGGGGGACGGCTCGGGTGTCTAAACAGTCGACTAGATCACTAGAGTTGAGTCAGTCGACGCTAGATGGATGGATGGATCGTTGATAGCGTTTTTAGCGTTGTCCATCTCAGCCGTCGGGTCTGACTAGTGAAAGGACTAGACTCACTAGAGGGAAGTCAGTTGCGATGGATGAACTAGTTCGATGCTATGCTGCTGCTAATGCTATTATTATAGCTGTTTCACTTATCAATTTCCACTGGATGTTTGGACTTTGGAGGTGCTGGTGCCCGAAACTTGACATCGACTCGGCGACACCATGATAGTTTACTCTGTAGATAATGATGAATAGATAGATAGAGTACGGAGTGGTGAGTTAGTAATAATAGTCAACTTGACCAAGATCCCTGCGAGTCAACAAATTACTTGACCTGTGGAGGATTGAGTATTGACACGATAATAATATCATAATATCCTACATATACCTGCCTGCCTGCCTGCCTGCAAATTCAGGCAATGTCCAGTTGGTTCCCATTGTTTGGACTGACTACTTATCATGTACAATTCAATTAGTTTACCTTTCCAAGGCCCTTTCGGGGTCGTTTGCGCTTATGATAAAATCCAGTCGTTGAAATTTCCATTTCAGTAAACCTCGTTAAGAGGCTCTTTGCATGCCACAGAGTTTCTATCTTTAGTGGTCCGTATCAACTATCAAGACGAGAAATCACCGTAATGAGGGAAGTTTGGGCAATTACGGAGTATAGCGCTTTCGAATGCTTGGCTAAAATTAAATATACTCATTAATATTGCAATCACCCACCATCATCATAATTAAGTGAGAATATTATTGTTGCAGACGACGCGCCATAACTCCATATCCGTGAGGCTCTCAAATCACCAGACTATGCGAGGTCGCAACTCAGGCGGCTCGCTGAAAGGATTTCACATACGAGGTGAGGAGTCTGATATGATTCATGACTCTGTCATTGCTTCAAAGCTGTTTAGCCGGTAGATACTACTGTAGATAGTAGTAGGCTAGTAGCCCATCAATTCGACCCAGAGTGTCTTTCTTATCAATCTTTGAATGCTTACTGAACAGCCTCATCACATGACACCCAGACGCAGCCCGGACTTAACACTCACCGCCTTCAGTAAAGTCCGCCGCCAAGCCTGGCAAATCCTTGAATTCCTTCTGCTCTCCGCGACGCCGGTCGCGCTTCATGGTTGACGAGAAATCAATAGTCACACTACGTGCGAGGTTTGGAAAGAGGTTTGCGGTGATCAGAAATTTGGGATTTCGATTTGCTGCTGCGTTGATACGACTTTGGGCATCACTCGCAACGCATCACTCGCAACGCAACGTGTACGGTTCTCCGGCTTCGCATCCATCCTGAGGCTGACCACCGTGCTCCCAGGTGAGATTGCCAGAGCCACAGCTGTTCTTTGCTCTGTCGCATACGCTTGCTCTTGCGCTGCTCGCTGCAAACATCCTGTTACCTGCTTTTTTTTCGGCCTTCCGACTTCAGTGATCGACCAGGATGCTGTCGCGGCCTGTGTTGAGACCTATCTGTACCACCTAGCCTTCGTCCACAAATCTTTGTTCCTCGATATATACTCAGACAGAGCGTGGAATACATGTCGATCTGGCTTTTATGAGGTTGTCTATTGTGATCTAGGAGAATTAGCTCTTTTATCCTCCGAGGCCTCTAGGCTACATTCACACTGCGATGGCCCAAGACGCGGTCGCGCACGCCAATTCCAGCGACTGGAAAGGCACGATCCATGTCAACGGGACGGCTACCAACCCCTACGAGACAAATCCAGATCTGATACCCCCGGCGGATCCTTTTATCTCTCGGAGCCCGCACTATGGCCGCTATGCCCCGCGCCCTGAAGACTTCAAACCCCGCTACGATGATTGGCACCAATCCGAACCAGAACGCATGTCTTACTGGGAAGAGGTCGTACGGAAATCGTGCATTCCAGAAAATTCCCTAAACGTGCCTGGAACAAGAGAAGTCTACGCTGCTGGCAGCATACTTATCAGAGTTGACCAGGAACCGGCAGTGGATGCAGCAGCAGAGCGATACTCTCATGCCAACGAGAATGAATTGAGCGCGGAGAAGAAAGCAGAGGATGCGCTTCGAGAGCTCGGTGTAGCTGTGCCGGTCATATACTTCTGTGGGATAGTGGATGGAAAGAATGTCACCGCGGAGTCTAGAATTCCTGGTGTTTCTTTAGAGGTCGCATGGAAATATCTCACCATCGAAAAAATCGGTGCTTTCAAACAGCAATGTCGCCGTATCGTTCAGCGGTTAGCAATCATTGAACCTGCTCCACTGTCTGGATCATATGTCTGCAGCGAACTCAACTCGCAAACACCCCCGGGCGTCCAGGATTCCGAACGAGACATCCTATTTCCAGACAGCAAGGGAAATGAGAAACTTTATTTTGTTCACAACGACATGATCCGGTCCAATATAATTGTCAATGATGGTCGGGTGGTTGGGCTTCTCGGCTGGCGACGCAGTGGATTCTTCGGTTTTGAGAGAGCAAACGATATACATCGTCAGTTTCGGATTCCGGAGCCCTTCCTTGTCGATACTTCTGGGGTCAATGTGGCCCAGGTCTGGGCCGACCTCTATGATGATATACCGGATGTCAATGGGGTCACTGTGCCTGCAGAGGTCTTTGACCGACCTGGTTCTGAAGTCAAGGTTGAGTCCTCAAACATATCTTTGGACAAGTACTCTGGCGGCAACGAAGTCGAAAACAGGTTTGGTCTGGCACAATTTGATGGTACACATTTGCCAGAAGAGCATCCAACTCCAAGGAAAGTCGCAAACCTCAAGAATGAATGGGCGTCAAGAGCTTCATCCACAGATCGTTCATCACCATCCGGTTCCGTTAAAGGCGCACCATCGCGAAGAAAATCCGCCCCCGGCGCTTCGAAAAAGGGAACCGCCAAGAAACAAGCGACTAAGAAACGCAAACTCAACGATCAAGACAGCGAGAGTGTGAATGGTCGTCGCTCCAATACCCCTGCTTCGGTGCGCGCCGGCAAACCGCCTGGACAGAAAAAGCAGGGTTCCGTATCTATTGCTGGTTCCCCGGCTCCCGAGGCTAAGAAAAGGAAGAAGAATGCCAAGGATGTTATAGAAGAACGGGCCGGAGAGGAAGACGATGACGATTCATCGGATGGGGATGAGGTCTTTTGCATTTGCCGCAGAGGCGATAATCATACCTGGATGATTGCTTGTGATGGGGGATGTGATGATTGGTTTCATGGAAAGTGTATCAACATCGATCCCAAGGATGCAGATTTGATTGATAAGTATATCTGTAAGTCTAAGCTTTCATCAGCGAATTTTTAGAGCGGGAAGCAAAGAGACTAATTTTCATCAGGCCCAAATTGCAAAGCTAATGGCAAGGGATGGACAACATGGAAGCCCATGTGTCGCCTGAAAGAATGCCGCAAACCTGCCCGCGTGACGAGAAAGAATCCGAGCAAGTATTGCTCCGATGAGCATGGTCGAGAATTCATGCGCCAACGGGTCCAGCTTCTTAACAAAAACACCGACGACCCTGCAAAGAGAGCATGGGAGGAGCTTGGCAGCAGAGGCGGCGTCCTCACCGTTGGGGATCTCAACGCAGTGGTGATGGCCGTTCCCTCCGCCGCGGAATTCCGCAAACTCGGCGAGCATATCATAGCCCCGCCACCGGGCGAGGTTGATCCTGAAACGGGAGCTAAAATCTCAAGCACTAAGAAGCTTGGACTGGACGTGGACCCCGAGGGTCTGACTTATTCTCATGATGAGACGTCGAAACTCGAACAAGTACGCAAACACCGCGACGATCTTCTCCATCGTCGCGAGATGCTCAACGCTCGTACCACGTTCCTGGCCTTCGTGCGCCAGCGATCCAAGGCCATTTTGGATAAGCTGAAACAGACAGACCCCAAGGGGGGATGGAAGGATATCTGTGGGTTCGATTCCCGTCTCGCGTGGTCAGACGAGGAATTCGATGAATGGAGGCTGTCGGATCTTGGGAAAAAAGCCCTCGAAGAAGGCACTCCAGAGGCGCTTGCATCCAGCTACTCGGATGCTTTGGACGGGGATGGCGACACGGCCATGGATGATGATACCCAAGGGGAAGAAGATGAGCTGGCGAAGCTGTCCCGGGGCGTCTGTACCAAGAAACGATGCGAGCGACACAAGCAATGGGTCAAGATTCAGCAGTCCGAGCTCCTCTTCGAGGAGAACACGCTGAACCATGACCTCGCCACATGCGAGAAAGAAGCCCAGAATGTGGTGGAAAGAGCTGTGCTGCGGATGTGGGCTGAGAAGGACAATGCGCAGATTAGTAGCGAGGCTGCGTAAGTGACTGGCCGCTTGTGCTGGGGCTTGATCGAGGATTGGGAGGGGGGGGGCAATACTTCGTACGACTTTGCGCAATTCTACCACGAGTGACTTCGGAGGCTGCATTCTTGATTTTTGTAACTTGGTCCGTTTTGCTGGGACCAAATGATATGGCTGCATGGGATGGCGTCAGGGAACGTTCATGGATAAGGGAGGAAAAAAAGTGTCCGATTCGCTCTGATAGATATGTACGATAGAAGAACAATATACCATAATCTCGACGACACAACCATCCACCCTCAGAAAGACGTAGTGATATCCAACTACAATCGTGACTACATCTTCTCCCAAACACACCACCTCCCAACCCCGTCCCCAGCCCGATCCTTCACCACCTCAACAACATACTCCATCCTCACCGTCGAAAGCAAAAGATGCGTATCAACCCCCTGATCCAACGTCCTCATCAAAAGCGTAGAAAGCAACGCCGTCTCCGCATGGAAGGCAGAATACACACCCCCACCCACACCCACACCTTGCACCGGCACAGCACCCCCAAGCCCACCCGATAATCCCGGCCCTGACCCTGATCCAAGCCCGCTCGTATTCACAAGCATGACAGACACCCACCCGGCATGCGCCCTAGCCAAGTGTGTCAGCGTGCGCAGCGCGGCAGTCAACGCCGCGGCGCCGCGGACCGGGTTCGAGGCGCGGATGACGCCCTCGGTGAGGGTGTCGAGCCCCGCGACGAGAAGCAGGGTGCGTTGGGGGTTGAGGGTTGCGTTGGCCTCCCCCTCCTGATCCTGCTGCTCGTGCTCCTTCGGGCGGGAGACGTGGAGGGCCGCTGCGACGCTGCTGATGGCTTGCAGGGCGGCGGCGAAGTCGAAGACGGGGAGGAGCTGGACGTGGTCTAGCAGGGCGATTGCTTTGTTGCGCGGGAGGGAGGGGAGGAGAGAGGCGAGGAGGGCCTGGGGGGAGAAGGGGGAGAAAGTTGCGGGGTGGATGATGAAGGCCCTTGGGGTTGAAAGGGAGGGAGAGGGGGGTTTGAGGAGATGGTGGGTGAGGAGGTATCGGGGGAGCTTTGGGGCTGTTAGCTAGAGCTTAGGATCTGATATGATGGGTCTGGTATTGACTTGGGGTCTGATGTCTCTGGAGCATCAGGGTGGTGGTGATTGAGGGGGCATGGAGGTTGTAGAAGATATATACCTGAGCTATAAGTTCATTTCCGTCGTCGTGGATCTTGTTGTTCAGTCTGGAGAAACCGATTACAGTGCCGTACCGAAAGATGCTCGAGTCATCGAATGCGCTTTCGATGTCCTTTCGGAGGTTCCAGTCACCAGTATCTTGCGCTTCTGACCTCCGACATGGAGGTATAGGCTCCGGAAGAAGCGTGTGGGCGAGGACAGGCGGAGCAGGCTCAGCTGCATAGAAATTAGAGGAGGACATCATGGACGGAATATGTATTTCACGTCAATCAATCAATGCAAGAGCTCGAGAGATGGTTGTCAAGGTGATAGCTCATGAAAGGTATTTGCTTGCACAAATGACAATATTCAGTGTTGATTTATAGAAAGAATTGGCTTGATGATTGGCATCCCTTGCGGCTCTGTGGTGAGTATATTTGATGGATGCATGCTTTAGATGATGATAGAAATGGGGAAGTCTGGAAGATGGGATTTGTTGCTGCCTTAGGCTCTCGATTATTAGAACGGTTCGTCTACTGTCCGTTGGATTAAGGATTAATAATGATTATATACTATGCATCAAGCACGAAATGTTGGTTTATCACAACCATTCGCAAAATTAAAGACCCCCTAATTTCAGTTTTGTCCCCTTGGTCCCCTTGGTCCACGTTCCATATCCATCATGAACCCATTCGCTATGGTCAAGCACATCCCCTAAGATGGTAGACAATTCGGGCCGAAGGGCGTCACATGTATAGTCGGAGGCACAGAAACAGAGGAGTTTGGCTCTGCTTCCCATATCCCGGACAGCGTGCGCAATCAGGGTATAACCCGTCGCAAGTTCCATCCAGGGATCGCTTGGATCCATCGAGCCCCTCTGCTCCAACTCGATGACCTTGTCATCCGAACAAGGCGCCAGCTGAACACTTAGTGATCGTAGATTTGTCATCAACGTTACAGCGTCCAGCACTAGCTTGACGTGATTATAGAATGGAAACACTGCGGTATATCGGAATGATGTCAACTTGTTGAGCGAAAGGGACAAGGGAACACCCTCCGGGTGGTTCCGTACAGGCGCCAGCGAGCCCCAGCGATTGAATACCGAGGGTACCTGGAAAAGAAAATACTCGTAATGATTATAAGCCTTCAACGATGATGCCTCGTTGAAGAGCAATGATGACCATGTCCGAGCTGACAAGAGACTGGAACAAGCTTCAACTTGGGAAGATGAAGGCGTCTCCTGCGGTTCTTCCTGCTCTAGCTGCAGAGCTTGAAGGGGTATTTGGAAAGCCCAGTTATGCCCATCCATGATGCTGGTACCAAGGGTTGCTCCAATAAAAGATGGGGGTGCCAGGAGAGTGATGCGCCGAGGATTGAGTTCGTGGAGAACCCTGCGCCACCAGAAGGGGTCATCTTCGCTGTCTGGAGAGACATGACCCCTCACCACGATCGATGTCACACATCGACCCAAATCCCAGTCTTTGATGAACTTGAGGAACCCCTCTGCATCATTGAGATCAAAACAGGAATGAGCGAAAAGCCGCGGTCGTATCACATCGAGGAAACGCGATGATGTCCGCGATAAGTTCTTCAGGTCGCGTCTGGCACTCCTGACGATACAAGAGTTCGGGGGGTGGTCGAATCGGATGGGCGAAGGAGGATCAGAAGAGAGGTTGCGGACGATCTGATCGATCAGCTCATTCGGTAGCAACTCGAATAACGACGCCTGCGAAGACATGGTTGATATAGTATAGCAAATAGGTTGTGCTGCTGGGAAACTGCAGAGTTAGTGGTAAGTGAGGTTCACATGACGACAAAGACATCTTGATGAACCTGCATAAGGCAAAGATATTCATCAGGTGGCAAGAGAAAGTGGAATCTAAATGCACCAAGCCAAATAGTTCAATTGACACAACTCCGCACAGTCATTATCAGATGGTAGAGATAGTACTCTGTACGGAGTAGCTTTATATGATTGTTTTGTTGGAATAATTAAAAGTCGATGTTGGGATTGTTTGGATTGCTGGAGTGCTGACGCTGACGCTGACGCTGACTTGAGACTTCGGGAGAGGAGAAGAGATCCAAGTGCCGAGCGCTCTCCACTTCCAGGGATGTATCTCTCTTTCTTCCTTAGAGTCTCTGACTTAGTCCTTTAGCATGAATGGCCATCGGCAAAACCCCTTCAAGAGTGGAGTTGATATTTTTAGAGTCTCAGAGATCAGTCTTGTCTTGTCTTGTCTTGGAGTCAGGCACAGCATCACCAGCTCTTGAGCTCTTGAGCTTGAGCCCCACAGAAACACCAACTGCCATCCCTGCTCTTCGTTGCTTCAAATATTAACTACTGACTGCTTGCGCTGCCACTTCTCCAATCACAACCACCCGGCGGATTCAGGCCTGCTCAATTCCACTACATACAACATGAGTGCAACAACCCCCCAGCCCAACCACAAGTTGTGATACTGCATCCATCGTTTGATCCAGCACTGTCTCCTGCGACCATCGATAGTCCAGACTGTGGAGAGCCTCGCGATATGTGGGGCTGTCAATTGGAGGCGGATTCAAGTCGGCAGACCTGAGCGTGGTACAAGAACCGTGAAAAACATTGGCCATCGACTATTCAAGTCTTGCAACTCGCTTGCTGAGGGGGTGGGCACTGTGCCCCCCTCCCCCATCTCCTTGCTCCAGAGTTCAGGCTCAATCCTCTGGGAGACATTCTCTCTTCTTCAACTCTCTTCTTGTCTCGGTTGTCTCTGGTGTGTTCACGAAGACTCGCGACGAAGCTGTGTTTGCCAGAAAGTTCTAAGATCAGTAGCAAATTGTCTAGACTGACATATTTCGCCATGGCTCCTCAACTTCACCGGAACCCTCCCTTCCGTGCCGAGCACCTGGGTTCGCTCCTCCGGACAGACGAGCTCCTGAAGGTCAAGACAGCGTTCGAGAACGGACAAGCTTCTGCCGCGGAGCTCAAGGCTGTGGAGGATAAGGATATCAAGGACGTCGTTGAGACCCAGAAGAAGCTGGGCTACCCCGCTCTTTCTGACGGAGAATACTGCAGACATAGTAAAGGCCCCTGATGGTTGATAGTAGGGCTGAAAATCCTCAAGCTGACCCCCATACTCCCCGTCTCTAGTGTTCTGGGGTTCCTTCTTCCCTGGCCTTGAGGGCTTCGAAGAGGTGACTGACGTTGATGTCGATATCTTCCGTCCCTATGCCCCCGATGTTGCTGCCTTCTTAGCGGAGGGCCACAAGCCTGGTGAGACTGTCCTCTGCACCGGCAAGATTAAGCACGTCGGCAGCACATATGTCGATCAGTTCAAGTATCTGGCCAGCTTGGTTGCCCCTGAGGAGGTCAAGAACGTCAAGCTCACTCTGGCTGCCCCCAACTGGTATCACCTCCGATACAAGTCGGGCAAGGCCTTCCCCAAGGATGTGTACCGCTCGGAGGATGAGTACTTGAGTGACATCGCCAAGGCGTATCAGGAGGAACTCCAGATCCTGTATGACGCTGGCTGCAGGAACGTTCAGTTCGACGATCCCAACCTTGCTTGTAGGACTACCGTCCGTCCATGATCTGATGAAGCATGCTGATTAGATACTAGATTTCTGTTCCGATAAGATGTTGGATGGCTGGAAGGCCGATTCCCTGAACACGGCCACTGCCGACGAGACTTTCGAGAAATACATCAAGCAGTACAACGAGTTACTGTCCAAGCGTCCTGCCGATTTCCACGTCGGCGTGCACATCTGCCGTGGCAACTTCGTCGGTAGCCGTCACTTCTCCGAAGGTGGCTATGACCGCATCGCTACCCAGCTTTTCAAGGAGCTCGACGTTGACACCTACTATCTTGAGTATGACACTCCTCGTGCTGGTGGCTTCGAGCCTCTGAAGGAGCTGCCCCGCCACAAGAATGTCATCTTAGGTGTTGTGACCAGCAAGTTCCCCGAGCTTGAGGACAAGGAAGAGATGAAGAAGCGTGTCTATGACGCTGCCAAGTTCATTGCCGAGGGCAACAACATCAGCGTCGAGGAGGCCCTGAAGCAAGTTGGTGTCAGCCCCCAGTGTGGCTTTGCCAGCCATCGGGAGGGCAACGCCATTGATTACGATGGAATGATCAACAAGCTGAAGCTCGTTCGCGAGATTGCCAACGACGTCTGGCCCGGCGAGCTGTAAATGGCTTTGACCAAAAAAAAAAAAAAAAAAAAGGAAAAAGATAATAAATGGGCGATGCTCTTCGAGTATGCTTTCCAGGTATCGGTTATTTTCAACAATACGACGGGTATGGGGGCATGGTTGAGGATGCAGACGAACGATGTAATGATTAGCGGGAATACCACTTAACGTCCGATTCTTGTATATACAATTCCAAATGAGATTATCCCCTACGATAAAAGCTCCTGAGTCATCTATGACGCTCTTCCATCTACATTTACGAACAGAGAGCAGGCCCTGAAGACAATCATCCATTTCTCTCTATCTGCCCAAGCCAACCGAGCAACCATCGGCCAGGCGAAATGTAACGGACCATCTTCTACTACCTCACCCCCCCATGACCCGTCTACTCAGCAGGCCCAAGGATATTGGACTCCTTGATGGCCGATCTCCGATGTGTATGGGAGTTCTCGATCTAACAATTCCCCCAGTCAGACACTCTTCAACCCCATTCACCAGACACAGCAAAGCAAAGCAAACAGGAAAAAAAAAAAAAAAAAAAAAAAAAAAAAAAAAAAAAAAACTCACCTCATACCGCGGCTCCTCCTCCGAAGCCGCCACGTTCCGACCCGTCAACTGGGTTGGCTTGGTGCTGACTTCGCGGATGACGCCCACTGTCTCGGAGGTATGGGATTCAGGGCCTGAGATGAGTTTCCAAGTTAGTCTTGGTCTTTTCTCTCTCTCTCTCTTTCTGTCTGTGTGTGTGTATGTGTATGTGTGTATGTGTTCGGTTGAACAAAACGGGGGATGGTGAGGATTCCCCATACCTCCCACAGGCTTGTAGCGGACGCTATCTCCTTTTCTGAACTCGGGCATTTTTGTGTTTGTTGTTGTTGACGTTGGTGTTGGTTATTGCTGATGTGCTTCTTTTTTTTTTTTTTTTTTTTTTTTTTTTTTCTGATTTTTTTCGGCAGTGGGTAACTATTCAGGTATACTTCTTTCTTTCTTGCAGAGCTATCGCAAAAGGGAAAGAGAACGAGATCATCCCAGGGAGGAAAGGGAAAAAAAAAGAAAGGAAAGGAAAAGGGCTCGCCAGAGGCCCGACTTCGTCTTGCTATTTATGCCTTGTTGTTTGCTGGGGAGGGGTGGGGGGTTATGGACTTGATGTCCGGGGGGCTCACTCGTTCTGCGTCAGGTTGACATGTTTTTGATGTCGAGCTGTGCGGGTGTTTCATTCTTCTGTATAGATTCTACCTGAGTTGATTGATTTGGTCGCGTGTGGCAGAACGATGATTGCTAGCTACCATGGTGGATGGTGTTAGTCTGATGTAATTCTTGACGGATGAGTGCAAATCAATAATACTCCCACTGGGACGGAATAGACAAGGCAAGGGGAGAGTGATCAACATGGAATTCCGACAGGATGGGAACTTCCGTGCCGACTCTTCTCACTTGAATGTCCCTAGTGGAGTGAGGGTTCCGTCATTGTTGAAGGTGCAATGAGGCGACGGAAAGTTTCCCCGGAGGTTACGGACAGGGGAATAGTAGCCGATTTGCAGCCTCAAGCGCTTTGTCACGCGAGTGTTCTTGAAGCATGGGATTGAATGGGATGGCTGAGGTCTAAGCCAAGACAGACAATGATGTAGAGCCTGAATTTGTATGTGCTGGTCCAATTTGCCTTCTATTTAGATCTTTCTACATCGAAAGGAAACAGGGATGGAAACACGAGCGAGAGCCGACAGAAACGAGATTCGAAATGGTCAATTGCAGAGGGCGACAAAGAGAAGTATTAGTAATAGGGTATGTATGAATGGCCCGCACAGAAACACAGGGGGATATCATGAAAGATGAAAAAAAAGAGAAAAAAAAAGAATTGGGAGAAAGAAATATAGATGGAAAAGAAACCGTGCGGCACATGAGAGCAGGAAGTGGGAATGCTGCGTCGTTTGTCATCAAAACGGACATGAAACGAAATGGATCTTGAAGCCAGTTGGGCGCGAAGGGTATATTGTACACGAGGGCGCGGAGCGGCGCCTTCTGGAGGACGGGCACGATCAGGTGGCTGGGGGGTATCGAATCACTTTTGAGGCTGCGTTTTGACGTTGTTCGAAAGCCAGGCCTGGGTTTACATTAGCCATCTGTCCAGCGGAACAGCTTAGATACGTGTAAAAGGAAGCTTCGCTTACCAGTCCTTCAAAGATACCAGTTCCCTCGGTAGCAACGCTAGGCGCGACGTACCACAGCTTATCCTTCAGCTTGTTGAGCTGCAGGGCATTGGTAATCTCCTCTGGGCTCAAGTCTGGAGCAGCAGAAAGACTTATTAGTGACAGACCTGCTGGGGGACGCAAAAGTACTTACGGCCTTGAACATCCTGCTTGTTCGCAAACACAAGCAGGAGGGCATCCTTCATTTCACGATCATTGATAATCTTGTGAAGCTCGGAGCGAGCTTCTTCCAAACGGGCCGTGTCACTCGAGTCGACGACGAAAATCAGACCTTGGGTACCTGCGAACCATCACGTCAACATATGAAGAAGAGCCGTAGGAGCGAACAAGATCGTACCAGAATAGTAATGTCTCCACAGAGGACGAATCTTGTCCTGGCCGCCGACATCCCACACGTTGAACTTGACGTTCTTGTAAGTGACGCTCTCAACATTGAAACCAACAGTGGGAATTGTGGTGACGTCCTGGTTTGTGAGCTTCAATTTGTAGAGGATAGCTGGAATAGAGAGAGAGAGCCTGTCAGCCAACCAATGTCCTCTCCCTGAGTAGAAATCGGTGCATAGGGAGGGGGGGGTGGAACGTACTGGTTTTTCCAGCAGCATCCAAACCAAGCATCAGAATCCGCATTTCCTTCGTGCCGAAAATCTTCCCCAGCATCTTGGAGACTTGTCCACCCATGTTGACGGTTTTGAGGCGACTCTTGAAGTTGCGACCGACGAAGCCAAAAAAAAAAGAAAAAAAGTTGGTTATTTGGGCTGGTCGCTGAAACACCGAGGCTAATTCGGTCGCAATCCGGAGCGATGCCAACGAGGTTCGACTGCAGAAGAAAGCTGAAGACGGGAGCTGATGAACGTCGAGATCAGAGTATTAAGTCAATTGGGGGTTTCCTGTCATAACAATGCAAATGTTAATATGATACCTGTAGAGGAGATGCAAGGAAAAACAAGACAGACACATGGGGGCTTTGAGAGGGGAAACCGGCGCACCTTGCTTGTCACGTTTTGTAGGAGAGGCGGAGAGGGAGAGAGGGAAGAAGAATAACAATTGAGATCGAGACAGAAAAGTAGAAGGGAATCTTTGACTGGATGGGGTAGTTTTTCTGCTTTTTTTCAAGTTCTACTCCCTCAGCGTCTACTTGCTTCTTGTGCTGTAGACAGAGAAGATAGATCGATAGTTCTTCTTCCAACGTGGCAGTAGAAAGAAGGATAGATAGAACTACTCGAACTAACTAGAGAGAAGAATAATAATAAGATTCCAACAGTTAAATTGGCTTCTGGCGATAAAAACCCGACGATCCACATAAGGCCTGGCGACGGTTCGATTCCTACGGAGTACTTGTGTCTGCTCTTTCGTATTAGTGTCTCGCTCTGTGTCTCTCTGTCTGTCCGTCTGTCTGTCTGTCTCCATTGTCCCTTTTTTTCTTTTCTTTCTTCTTCTTCTTCTTGCCTAGACACCTTTTCTTCTGCTCAGAAACTCAGGGACTCAGGGACCCCCTGTGAAGGCGCGATAGATTTAGATTAGAGGGGGGCGTAAAAGGGGCTGGGCATGACTAAGCAGGCGGCCTTCCCCCGCGAGCCTTGAGTAGTAGAAGTAGTTAGAAGTAGGAGTACTAGTACTAAGTAAGTAAGTACCAGTACTTACTTAGTACTAGTCATCTGGGTATATAGTCAGCCAAGCAAATAGGAGTGTTTCAGCTGTTGGTGCAAACTGCAAAGTGCAAACAGATAGTGACTACTCCGTAGATAGGTAGATACTGACTAACTACTAACTAGTAACTACCCCAGATATCGGGATACGAGGTTATGATATTTAATCCCTTATTATGAGATTTATATCTGAGATCTGAGATCCCCCCAATATTTTTATTCCCAGGTCCCATCCCAAGTTTCCCTCAGCCCGGTTGTCTACCCATGGATCAGACAATTCTTATGTGTACGACCAGAAGATTGTCTGATGATTCTTCCATTCTGGCTGGAGGTCGGCTCATGCGGAGTCAAGTGAGGCGCCAATGGCCTGATAGATACATCTCTCCGGTTCCCAGCATGCGATGGACAGTATTCATTGGAGAATGGGATAGCCACGAAGCTCCCCCAATGAATCTTTTTGACCTGGACGATCTGAATTGTCGCCTCTTGACTTGTTGACTCCACATGCGAGCTGTGAATCTGATTGATAAAAAAAGAAACCTGTCTTCCGGTGCTTCCTGTGTCTTGGTACGTCATGCGCTGTCCTGATGAGGTCACCAACGGCTGGTGAGTTGTGACACCGTTAAATATTGTGAGTACGACATGCCAGCAGAATCATTCCCTGTCGCTCAAAGCTCCTTCATCTGAATCAATCATTAAACAAGTGCTTCGTATTGTTGCGTATCTATCATGCCTCAGGATTCCCTCTGCTTCCGGCGGCGGTCGTCTGTGCACCAGCAGCGTCGTTTGTCCGTCGACTTCAAGAAGAATTCATGGACTGCACCTCCTTCCGGGGTATGACATGAACCCTCATCGGTTTTTTTGTATTTTAAAAAAAAGGGAAAAAAAGGGGGAGAAAAAGCGCTAACTGCTCTTTCTATCTAGACCGTTTATGCGGGTGTCTCGGTGTTGTTCACAGATGATGGACATGCCACCATTGCTCTGGCCGTTCGCGATGCGACGTATCTTCTCGAATTCATTCAGGAGAAGATCACACCGAAGGATGGCCAGAGTCTGCCCGATGCCATCAGCGACTTCATCCTGAAGCAACTGGAATCGTTTACCGATAAGCATCTGGAGAAATTCATGGGCGTCGCAATGCCACAGCGGATAGCAGAGATATGCCCGGACATCTGTTCTCGCCTGTGGGCAGAGCTGGATATTATCCCACTCGTCCTTCCCGAGGAGACTGAGCAGAGACCCGAAAAAACCAATGTGCCTCTTCCCACGTACCCGGGTTGGGAAACCCGATCAATTGATGAACAAGCAGAATCTATGGGGCGGAAATGTGTCAGGTAAGAAAGTCGTGCTAGAGAAACTGGTGTACCCTTGGAATCATGCTGAACTGTAAACGCAGGTTGTTCGGCCCAGAAAACATTCCTCTGCTCCAGGTCGGCTTTCTGGGCTTGGTGGAGGTCGATTCCGCATTTTATGTTCACCTTACCAAACTGCATGACTACCCGAAGACCGTAGGACCCCGGACCTGGGACTCCATCAAGTACTATGTCGACGATCTCAAGAAGAGGAACGTCAAGGTAGCTTTCTTCAGTGCGACGCCCCAAGGAGGTGGTGTAGCCCTAATGAGACACGCCATGGTGAGATTCGCTCACGCAGCTGGAATTGATATCAAATGGTGAGACATCATCACAGGCATGACCATCTATCTACCAATTGCGCAATAGCTAAAGATTTTTCATTCTAGGTATGTGCCAAAGCCACGACCGGGTGTCTTTCGTATCACCAAGACCAACCACAACATCCTGCAAGGCGTGCAGAACCCGGGAGAACGGCTGACGAAAGAAGACTGGGACAAGGTCACAGACTGGATTGAGGAGAATGCTAAGAGATATTGGCTGATCCCGGGAGGGCCCTTGCGGCACCCGTCCGAAGGAGGTGCCGATGTCATTATCGCAGATGATCCTCAGATGCCAGCACTGATTGAAATCGCCAAAAACATGGCGCCAGAACGGCCCGTCATCTTCCGTAGCCATATTCAGATCCGGAGCGATCTCATCGCCCAACCTGACACTCCACAGGCAGAAGCATGGGGCCGCATGTGGGAGTTGATCCAGAAGGCGGATCTTTTCATCTCCCATCCGGTGAGCTCATTCGTACCAACGAATGTCCCCAAAGACATTGTGGGGTACATAGGGGCATCGACCGACTGGTAAGCATGCTCAGAGTTGAGTCTTTTGTTTAGAGACTCAGGACTCAGTTAGCTGACAATTGATTGTTTCAGGCTGGACGGACTGAATAAGAACATGCGGGACTGGGATGTCGCGTACTATGGCCGCGTTTTCAATGCATCTTGCAGAAATTCCGGCATGCCCCTGATCAACTTCCCTAATGGTAAGACCGATCCTCCTATTGCAATCTCGGACCCAGCTATTGTTGACATGGCTAACTTTACACTGTTAGACGAGTATATTGTTCAGATTGCTCGCTTTGACCCGTCCAAGGGAATCTTCGACGTTGTGGATTCTTACGAAAAGTTCTACAACCGTCTGACTGCCGCGTTCCCCGACACGAAGCCCCCCAAATTGTTGATCTGCGGACACGGGTCTGTTGATGACCCGGACGGGTCTCTCATCTACGATGCCGTCGTGTCCCACATCGAACATAACATCCCCTACTTGATTGAGAACATCTGTGTGATGCGACTGGGACCTTCGGATCAGGTTCTGAACGCGCTGCTCTCCAAGGCCAAAGTGGCTCTGCAACTGTCCACGCGCGAGGGATTCGAGGTCAAGGTTTCCGAGGCCATTCACAAAGGCACGCCGATCATCGCGACCCGGGCAGGCGGCATCCCCTTGCAGGTGGAGAACGGCAAGAATGGTTTCCTGGTCGATGTCGGCGACACCGATGCAGTGGCGCAACATTTGTTCGATCTCTGGACGGACGACGAGCTGTACAACCGGATAAGCCGCTATGGAATCAAGAACGTGTGCGACGAAGTCAGCACGGTTGGACACAGCTTGAACTGGATCTACCTTGCGTCCAAGCTGTCGAAGCACGAGCCCGTCAAGCCGAATGGCAGGTTCATTAACGATATGGCCCGCGAGGAGGCAGGCTATCCGTATCTGCCTGAGGAGAACCGGCTGACCCGGGCCGTCGAGGTGAAGAACATGGGCTGAGCGTCTGTGCCTTTGATACTGGATCCTCTTCGATCTGGCAACGAAGTAATATCTTTAATAGTAATCAGTTTGAATAGGGACGCGTAGTTTTCACGAGACGCTCCACTGCAATGAACCTAGTTGACTCTCTCCCAACACCCTCCATTCATTAATCCAAACAACACGCAAAAAAAAAAAAAACAGCCGGGGTATAATAAACATAACACACACAGGGAAAAAAAAAAAAACACCCTACCCCCTCCCAACAGCCCGATACCTCTCCCTCGCCATCCCCCCCTCAGCCCCCTCAACGCCATACCCCTCGCCGACCTCACCCACAATCCGGGCCGGCGCACCCCCCACCACACACCAGCTCGGCACCACCATGCCCGGCGGCACCACCGCGCCGTCAAGCACATACGCAAAGTCCTTCAGGATGGCCATGCTGCCGATCACCGCCTCGCGCCCAATATGCACATGGTTGCCCACCGTCGCGGCCTCCACCACCGCCCGCTCGCCCACAAACACATGGTCGCCGATCTTGAGCGGCAGGAACGCGTGCACCCCGCGGTGCAGCCGCGACGGCGGCCGCAGCACCGCCTGCCGCGAGATGTAGCTGTACCGGCCGACGTTGATGGCGACGGAGGGGCCGCTGGATTGGCGGTCCGGGTTCGAGGAGGAGGAGGAGGTGGTGGTGGTGGTGGTGGAAGAGGAAGAGGAGGAGGAGGAGGAGCGGTAGAGGTCGCCGCGGATGACGGCGTCGGCTTGGATGATTGTCTTGCCGCCGAGGATGATGTGTTGCGTGCCGTGGATTTGGGACCGGCGGGAGATTTTGTTGCCGGTGTCCTGGGGTTGGGGTTAGTGTGGTTTGTTGTCTGAGAGGGGGGGGAGGATAAGGGCGTACGGTTTCGATGTACTCGCCCTTGGCTTGTTTGGGGGGCATGGTGGCGGTTGAATTGGCTTGTGTTGAAGTTGAGTTGGTCCTGAGTCTTGAGTCTGAGTCTTGTTATGTGATGCGCGAATGTTTACAGTGGGCGGTACATGGAGGAGGCGGTGAGAATGAGATATCTGGTGTTTTGAAGATAAGACAATAACTTCTCAGATAGAGAAGGCGGTGTGGGCTTATCTGGAAGTGCAGTACGATCCACTCCGTAGATTCCTCGCAAATGCTACTTTACACCAAGTTACACCTCAAATCAAATCAACATTATCCAAGTCTAACTATGCAACATATCCAGGTATCATAATATCGCAAGTTGAAATCCATCGTCTGCCAGTAACGAGCCTTGTAACCCAAAGCTCACACATCGTAATGGACTCGGAAAGCTGGACAAATGTTAGCGGTCATGCCACCTCCAGAACCTGCAGAGAGATACTTACTCGTAGGGAAGACAGAGTAGCTTCCATGGTCTTCTCTCAGATAGGCAGAATATCCGTCAGCAATCGGGACCTTCTTCACCTCGCCCTGAGCCCCAGGAGCGCGGCGGAGGTTGTTCAGACGTCCGACAGCACGCAACATGGCTGTCAAAGCAATCTGGCTTGTTTCCTTGCTCAGGAAACCGTGTGGTCCGAGACTGTGGTTGATGTACGCGTCCAAGGGCCTATCGAGGCGAACTTCGCTAGGGTCGGGGAAGACAGATGGGTCGCGGTTTGCTTTGGCCTGTGAATCCAAACGTTAGTAATGGCGCGTCTAGGATATGGGCACCTCAGTGGGTGAAACACGTACAAATCCGACAAAGACCTTGTCTCCGGGCTGAAGGGTGACCTGGCCAGTTTCTTCAGTGACAGTCAGGCTTGTCCGAGCCTCGCGATAGGCTCCTGACGTCTTATTGAGACGGATGGCTTCCATGCAGTAGCGGAGCAGTTGCTCGTCCGACTCCTTGGACTCTTCTCTAGCCAGGCGCTGGATCTCAGGAAGATACTTGCTGCCCTCCTTGGACAGGTAAAAGTCGATGATCTGAGTGAACTAATGGAAGAATAAAAGTCAGCTGATAATGTGAGGGTTGTCTAGACTGAATGTTACTTACTGCTTGTGCCTGGCTTGGGACCATCGCAATCACGGTGGGCAGGATCTGAGACCACGTAATCTCAGAAGCACCAAGGCCATTTTCCAAAAGCTGCTTTGTCATGTGCGCTCCGTACTCCTTCAAAGCATTTTTGTTGTCCCGAGAGCCCCCTAGAATACCAGAAAGCAAGCTGCTGCCGCCAAGCGACTTTACGTTGGCTTCAACAGCCTTGCCCAGCTGCTCTCCAACAGCCTGGGAGGCGTGGTGAAGAGGGAATGACTTGGTCTTGTCAATGTCGAAGTAAATGCAGTTGTACAGAACTGCCAGGACGTTGAACATCTCATGCTCAGTGAAGATGCCTCGTGAGTTCTCCTTGCTTCGAAGAGGGAGAGAGAAGAGGTTCGAGGCAAAGATCACTGGTACCAAATTGCCGATACTGTTTACCTTGTCAGATACTGAGCATTGCTGAAGTGAGGCGAACTTACTCCCTGGTGATATCAACTTGGTTGATGCCTGCAAATCTCCTTGTCTTCTCCTCGAGCAGCCCGGTTGTAATCTCTTCATAAAACTCCTTGACGTTCCGTTGCCACTCATCCTGGCTCAGGAGCTTGCTGATAGTTTCCCTCTGCCTCTCAATGAAGGCAGTGTCCTCGGAAAGCTTGAAATTCTTGCTGGCCTTTCCGAAGACAAATTCAACGGTATCAGCCCAGACCGTGTGGAAGTCCTTTCGCTGCTCGGCAACCAACTTGGCACTAGGATATGACAGCAGATCCACAGGGGGAGGGATGTACTGAGGACGGTCGTAGGAGTAGTGTGCCTCTCTTCCTAGATTCTTCATAATCTTTCTGTTTTCGCTGGGGATAGTCATCGGGTAATGCGCGTAGATCGAGTCAGACTTGAACCAGTCCGGGAATGCTCTGGTGGCGAGCTTGTAGAAAACACATCCCTGATTGATACTGAGATCATATCTGACCTCGGAGTAACCCCAGTTTGTCAGGTTCCGGGCGTTATAGTCGATCTGTGGAATTGTTAGACCAACCACTGAGAAACAACCAATGTGTGAAAATACGTACCGTGTAGTAGCGATCACCGCGGACGAGAGCCACGGCATCAGACAGAACAGCACGGGAGATGGTATACGTAGGGGCAATTCCAACACCAGGAATCATCGGCTCTTTGGCCTCCTCAGACACAATACCGGGATACAGTTCCACGAAGTCAGGATGGTCATACAGACTGCGGAGGGACTCGGCGACATCAGGGTCCGAGTTGATCTCCTCAAAAGTCTCGTACGGCTTCAGTCCAAAGAATTTGCGGAACTCGTTCAGCGAGCCGACGTTCCACTTCCGGCTCTGGAGAATACCCAGGACTTCAACATTCTTGAGGACCTTGGGCACGTTCCTGGCGCCAAAAGAACCTGCCATGAAAAAAAAAAAAAAGAAAAAGGGTCAGCATCGTTCGAGATATCAAATTTGCCGACATCAAACTCACCAGCAACATCCTCGATAGCGCCAGTCAAAATGTTGACGAGATCCTCATCCCTGAATCTCCCATCCGCCTGGCGCTCCAAGCCGGCAAATGTTCGCTGAGAAGGATCCTTTGAAAGTCCAGCCTCATACTTGCCGAGACCCATCAGAAGCTCAGTCATGGAGACCTCTGACGCAGGCTTCCCCATGAGGTCCTCGTAGATTTTCTCGGTCCATTTCTCGTCATTGGCGCTAATAGCTGAATGCCAACGGTAGGCCAGATTAAACTCAACGGAGCACTGGTTACCCAGTCCAGACGGAGTTGTGTTGTTGCCCTCCATTTGTGCTCGGGGATCCTGTCATGAATCAGATTCCGCTTCTGAATAACTGTTTTACTTGTCATCACTTACCAGACACCAGGTCGAATTTGTCCTGTTAAGGTTGACGATCGTGCGCAGGTAATCGTAAAGGGTGATGTTGATATATAATCCACAGGTGATCCTGCATTTTGTCAGTACTCGAACCACTTGACAAGGATAGCTGACTGAGGCACGAACAGTCGTCCAGTCTGGAACAGATCTTCATCATATTTCTCCCAAGCCTTCTTGGCCTGGTCCTCTGGGAGGCCATCGCGGGGCTGAGTGAAGCGGCCATTCTCGTTGATAGCTGCCAGCTGCTCCACGACATGATTGTGGAATCTAAACGCGTTTCTGATGAGTGCTTGCTCCTGAAAAAAGCATATACAGAGCATACCTGTTCAGCATGACAAGCAAAACACAGCAGGCAGCCGGGAATGCTTGAAGACGGGGCTCGGAGAATGAATCCGTTTTCAGCCTCCCGCCCTCGAAAGTCCGGATCAAGTTCTGTTCCTCCTGAACATCGCCATATAGAATAGAGAGATCGAGGTAGCCAGAGGTCTTGTTTACGTGGGGGTTTCTATAGTCAGTCTGGAAGATATCTGTTTGTCCGTTAGAATTTCGCTCTCGATTCATTATTCAACGATGGAGGGAACTGACCGTGAATGATGAGAGATGCCCAGTCAAAGAACAGACTGGAGACGTTGTTGGGATGGGGCTTGAAGCTCTGGCGTGCGAAGAGTGTGTCAAAAACCAAACCAGGGTCTGGCAATCCACCAGGCTGGATGATCAAGGGCGCAATGGTACGAGCATATGCCGTGTTTGCAGCGCCCAACCATGGCAGTGTGGGGTTGTTGTTGGATCCGTCTGCGGAGCGATAGGCATATTCACTTCCCATATACCTGGACATTTCATCTTAGCAGGTGCCCCAAATCTTGGGATACAAAAGCTGTTCGCCGGCTTACGAGAGTGGAGGATGAGGCAGAGAGCCCCATAGTTCGTCAAGGAAAGAGTGGGTGAGCTCCTCGCGATGCTTGGAGTTATGAGGAAGACTGCTGACCAGCTACCATTCAAAGTTTCCAGATTAGTACATTGCAATGACAACTCTCCCAATTGGCGCAGAGTCAGCCTTACTTGGATAACGCGCTCCATCAACATGGTCTTATCATCAACCAGCTGCCCGGTTGCTTTGTTCTTTATGACCTCTTTCAGGGTCGCCAGATCCTTGAAACCAAGATGTCTGGCATCTTGCAGCAGACTGGTTGTATGCTCGTGTTCAAGATAGGCGCCATCGCCAGTCTGATTGGGGATTGGTGTCCGCGAGGCATGGAGAACTGATGCGTATTTCTCAAAAGGCGAGACCGCGCCGCCCTTTTTCTCGTTGCGCTCCTCTTCCGATGAGGACTTGTGTCCCTCGGGAACCTTTGAGTAGCGCTTATTAGTGGTGGGAGTGGTGGTGGTGGTGGTGGTCGCAACGCCGTTTTGCTTGGGCTCGCGGTCGCCCTTCTTCTTGTTGAAGGTTGATGAGAATCTTCGCAGCATTATGAGAACGGAAATTATAATCAATAGGAAGGATACTTTGAACCACCGGACAGGGAATAGACTGGAAGATTAAGAAAGAGCCCGACCAGAAGAAAAGAAAGGGAGGAAAGTCACCAGCCAGGCGCGGAGCTTTCAATCATCTGGAGGGTGAGACCGAGTATTTACTCAAAATCAGGCCTTTAAGCCACAGCCAATGGGCCAATGATGCAAATCTCGAATGTGGATCCAGTCTATTACTTCCGATCAAAACAAATCAAGCAACGAGTGAAGATGCTCGAGGGATGGTAATGCATTGTGAGGGATTGGTAGTTGACCACCATGATGATGAACGTGGGTGATAGTTCAGCTCGGCTCTGCCAGCTAAACTAGTCAAGGGCAGCTCACGCGCCGCAAAGGTAGCTGATAGACCGGGGAACTACTCGTTAGTCGTTAGTCCACAACTCCGTCCAGAGAGAAACACTCATATGATTGAATGTGCAGCAGTGGTGGATCTGGCTTGATCAGAGTCGTAAGTCGTAAGGGGGGGACAACCATAGAGCAAGTCCTCGGGGAGCAACCTGATAGACAAAGCCGGAAAAAAAGCATCTGGAATCAGAAGATCTAACCAACCGTGTGCTTCCAAGGTAATTAATCGGATCCTCTGTAGTCTGTACTCCGTAATATAATAATATTAGACTAGATTCTGGGTTTGACTTTTTTTCAGATCTTCAGTAGTTAGCAAGTAGTGCCTAACCAAGGACCTAACTACTCCGTATACCAGAAGTCATCCCGTTTAGTCTTACCAATAGTGCGCACCATCGTTCTTCAGAGACCATACTGTGTAGCTTGAGTTTAATAATGGGTAGCTGATCTACTTCTTAATTGCCACCTTACGGAGTAGGGCAAATTCCTGGTTGGGATGGAATCATTTATTATTGTGAATCAATAAGATCATAATGATCTATTTTCATACATAATTTGTTTGATTTTGATAGAGGAAGGATGAAAATCTCTACAGTGTACAGTTAATAATGCGAAGACAGCTGGCGGACCCTCCAGATTTTAAATTACTCAATTTTCCCAGTTGATCCCCATTATTGTCTTCTAAACAAACCCAGACATTTCAGCCAGCCAAGTGAAGACTCCTCTTCTTTTCAGCAAATCAATAATGAACTACAAGCGAAGTACTGTGCTCCTTGCGTTCGCCCTATATGCGAAGATGGGAGTAGTCTCTCAAATGGAGACTCATGCATCGGTATGGATCTCTAGTCCCTTCAGTCTTCACACTACCTACGCACCTAACTACTCTTTATTTAGCCCGCCATGGACTCGATGTCGATGGTCTCCACCTAAAATGGCATCAATCGAGTAGGGAACTAGGGATAAGGTCGTCCGCATCTTCTGCAGCAGAGTGGAATCGTCGTTCATTTCAAGTCTCGTCCACGAACCAAAACAGAAAAAAAAGATGATCTTTGCTGTTTGTCCCGAACTTGTGACCTCCGAGTTGCGGAATAGTTCATCCTTCAGACGATACTATTGATTGTCCTAATGGGCCCCAATCCTACCCATTTTCCGTTTCTACCATCCTCTCTCGAGCTATCTAGATAGTAGCGACGGAGTACTCCGTACCTACGACAACTCAAATGAAGCGAATGGCTCGTTCTTGAGGCTTCTGATTTTGTGACCTGTGGATCGGCATGCAGAAATTACATGATGGGCTTCGTGATAGGCCCCTGGGCTGCAGGGTAATTGATTTTGCGCTCTGTGCTGTACGACCTCGGTCTCCAACCCGCTGTGCCCCTACTGCACTCACTTGCTCCTAAAAGTTAGCTGAGAGTGCGGGCAAACACAGGAGTAGCCCCGCTGGTTACGATTATTGGATCATGGATATCTATCCAGCATCTAACTCTGTACTACAGTAGCTACTGCATCATGCATGATGGAGTGTTCAACACGAAGTCCCACTCGCCCTTCTGCGGCTGGCTTGGATCGTCTCGATTTGCAAACCATGAAAGGGAGGAAGTCGGATTGAACGGAATGTGTTGACAGTCGAGTGAGTGGTCAGTGGACGGTTCTTCCCCTCTCTCCATCCGGCATTGGCTTCATCATCCACTCGAGGAATGAGGGGCGTATCGCCTGCTAGTGCTGAGGCCTGATTTCTGATATTTACTTACAGATGATGATTGATGAGGTGAAGGAGTGCCGGACGATCGACGATATCTTGAGTTCCCTGGAAGCCAAAGGTTTCTTTCAGCAGGGATCACCATAGATTCGTAGCCATAGCTTCCTTTCACTCCGTCGAGACTCGAGCCAAGGAGTCGATCGAAACCACAAATCTTCCCCGGCGGCGCCCTCCTGTGACTTACATCCCGCTACGGAGTACAGCGTGCCAGGGCCCAGCCACCTGCATCTGCCGTGGCATGTGTGCGTCTCTGCCCTGCACAGTGTGATCCTTTATATTTTGATCCCCACGAGGCGCGGTTTCCGTTGATCCATCGTTGCGATCTTGATACATTCTTTCGCTATCTGCCAAGTGGTCGCGCAGAGGACGACCACTTCCAACTGGCATAATTAGTCGGCGCCCTTCACATAAACATGGATGCACCAGGGCCGGCCTCTGTGCCAAAGCAATTTGTCTTATGCTTTGACGGCACTGGCAATAAGTTTTGCGGGGACGAATCAGACAGCAATGTGCTCAAGATTTTTCGCGTGAGTCGTACCCTACAAACCTTTCGACGCGTGCGCTTACCGAAGGGTTTGCATATTGAAGATGCTAGACCGCAGCAAGAGTCATCAGTTCCATTACTACCAACCAGGCATTGGAACCTACGTGACAACCAACACATTATCGAGCCATGGCCGAATCCACCGAATCAAATCGGCATATCTCAAGGCCAAGGACTCCGCCGTGGGCTCATCTTTTGATCAGCATGTCATGGGTGGCTACAAGTTCCTGATGCGCTATTATTCGCCCGGAGACGAGATCTATTTCATCGGGTTCAGTCGAGGCGCCTACATTGCGCGCTTTCTGGCGGAGATGCTCGATTACATCGGCTTGCTCGAGGCTGGGAATGAAGAGCTGACTCGCTTCGCATGGAAGACTTTCGCCAAGTGGCAGCAGCGTCGGCGCGGGGACAGCGACGAAGAAAGGGAGGAGAAGAAGAAGCTATTCCGCTTCATGAAGGCTTTCCGTGAGACTTTCAGCAGACCTATCACGCGCATCAAGTTCATGGGGCTCTTCGACACCGTCAATAGCGTGCCTCGGTTCGAGTCCGCCTGGATGCAGAGAAGCAGATTCCCCTATACCGCTCGCAGTTCGGCTCGGGTTATCCGACATGCTGTTGGCATTGATGAGCGACGCGCCAAGTTCCGACAAGATCTCATTTCCGAGATCAGGCCCTGGGCCATGAAGAAACGGGATGGCCACCGCTGGCATCGAAACTACCTACACCCGTTCCGACCAGATGCGGAGAAGCCAGAAAATGTCCCTGCCATTGTCGTCAACGATGGCACCAATAGACAAGAGAAGCCACAGGATGCCGCATCAGGCCCACCGGATCCAGGAGAGGCAGAATCCGTCTATCGCAGTGCAGCGGGTTCGCGTGCGGGAAGCATTCGCAGTTCCCACCACTACCGGTCACCTTTACCAGCCAAAGGTCGAAAACTGAGCCTCGCAGTTCCCGTGTTTACGGGCTCCACGGAAGACTTGACATCAATCAAGAGTGGTCATTCAGGAATTTCACTTCAAGTACCGGATGGGGCCAGTCAGATGGCCGAAGACTATGATGATGGTGGTGATGATGAAGACGAGGACGAAAGTCTCCAGGACATCCAAGAGGTCTGGTTTCCCGGCGGGCACGCGGACATTGGCGGAGGTTGGAAGCTTGGGCACGGGGAAGAATGGGCCCTCAGTCATGCTCCGTTGGTCTGGATGGTGCACGAGGCACAGCGGGCGGGCCTCCAGTTTGATCCGCGCAAACTTAAGCAATTCGAATGCTGCGAGGAGTATGATGGAGAAGTCTCCCCTCTCCGAGAGCACGTCCAGTGGAAAGAAGACATAGATCTCTGTCGGGATCCCGATCACGGGCACCACGGGCACCACGACCACGAGCGGATGAAGTTCCGACCATCGGAGAAGAAAGACGAGCAGCACATGTCCAAATCGAAGCGCGGGTTTCTAAACGCACTTCACCTGTCGAGCACTACCGGGCTGATCCATGACTGTTTGTCATTTGGAAATGGTCTTCCACCCATGTCGGTGGTATCATGGCGGATCATGGAGTATCTACCTTTCCGTCGAATGGATCTGCAGCGTGATGGCTCCTGGAAGCCGATCCGATGGCCTCTGCCGTGTGGGGAGGTACGCGATATCCCGAATGAAGCCCAAATTCATGTGTCTGCCATTCGGCGCATGCAGGCTGACCCGGGGTACCGACCGGGCAACCTGATCGTGGGCGGCGGTGGGCGCGGTGTTCGACGGGCTCCAGAAGAGTATGGTATTGGAGAATGGGTCGTCAAGGATCATCGAGGAGATCCTATCCGAGAAGTCTATGTCCGCAAGAGTGTGTCGAGGATGTGCAAAGAGAATCATGCGTGATCCTTTTTGCGATTTGACCCTTATATTCACTGCAGTCTATCTTCTCCCCTACATCCTAATTCTGAGATTGCTTGTTCCTATATGTGTTGAGAATTGCTTGCTGATATATCCCATCGATATCCTAATTGTGCTGAGATGACGACCCAAATTAATCCCTTGATGTGTCTGTTGAACTTCTGAACTTCTCAGTTCCTGTATCCATCCTATGATTATTGGAGCCGAGAACAGTAGATAGTACCCAAGTTGTATAGCTCACGGTTCCTATAATATATGTCCAACCTTGTACTCGGTAGCAGAGATCATACCGAGCATTCAACACTTAAAGATTTCAAATAATCCGATTCGCCTGAACAGATAAACCCTGACGATGAGTCAATGGGCCTCTGGTCCTTGACAGATGCCTTGAAGCGTAGCAAGCATATGTACAGAGTGGTCAGCGGTGACTATTATTCCCTCTGTCTATTCGCTTGGCTGCCTGGCCATCGGGAGATGTCTAGATGCGGCCAGACTGATCTCCCAAGGCTTGGTCGATCAGATCTCTCTATCTAGTTGACAGCCATGATCCTGGGAAACCTGCCCCTGTGAGAACTGAGATGACTATTTCGTTTGTGAAAGGGATTCGTTCGGTCGCTGTTCTCCGGGATTCTCTCTTCCCCTGAGGCTGACAAGCACAGATCACCGTATTCGACGATGACAAACGAGAGAATCTCCGAGGGTTGACTCACAAACGAAACAGCAAAAGAGGAAGCGAAAGGGAAAAGGCAAAGAAAAAAAAACAAAGTATCTTTTTGGTCTCGAGACTCCATACTTATCTCCAATCATCAATAGTATCAACTACACGAGTCGTGGATGGTTGATTCCCTTGCGTTTTCCCCATCCTCTCTTCCTGCCCGCTCATCTCCGACCGGTCGATCACGCCTCGGTTTGGCCGCTGCTTCTTCGTCGCTCGTCTTCCTCTAATATTCTTCTTCTTCTTCTTTCTTCCTCTTCCTCTTCCTTTTGCCTTTGCCTTTGCTTTCTGCATCGTGTCCTTGACCTCACCACTCAACTTTAATCTCTCCTCTCTCCCCTCTCCCATCTCCATAGGGTTTCCCTTTACCCGGTTTCCCTAGATTCAACCAACCGTTGGACGGGTTTGTTGGGGGATATAATATCCAGGGAGAAGAACTCTACTATCTTCCCCAGGCTCGTTATCTATTTTTTTTTTTTTTTTTTTTTTGCATCGCCTCCGGATCCTTGAAGGTCTGGGTTGCTGAAACCGTTGACTCTCATGGTTTTTCTTACGCAATCAAGCATGAGGCCAAGCTAGTTCGACGCGAATAATCGAGAGAAGGGGAAAAAAAAATTAACCGAATTTGATCTCGAGCTGAGGATACCTCCCTTTATCTTCAGGCGGATATGGAAGCGTCATCTCGTTTCTCCCCAGAGGGAACCATTCTTCCGCCCCGCGCTTCAGGATCGGTCGAATCAGTCAATTTGGGAAACCCCGGATATGCGACAGAGGCCACTGGCAAACCACAGCGCTCCGACAACGTCATGATCACCTTATCGCTCACTCCCGATCCTCCGGTCTCTCCCCCGAGTCGCCCGTCCTTTCCCCGCTCTCATTATCGATCACGATCTTTGGCGGAGGTTTCGGGTATTCCTCCCATGACGCGCGCTCACTCCTCGCCGGGGCTGGGCTCCAGAGGGCGATACATTTTCGTCAACGGTCGCGAAGCGCCGCTGAATCTGAACGAGAATGCCTCCCGACGATATCTCCCCTTGCAGGCTTCAGCGGCGGACTCCCTGGAGTCCAGAATGGTGCCGCTGAACATCAAAGAAACCATCTCCGAGCACGTGGAGCTTGATACTTCCATGAGATCCTCGCCGTCAGCCCACGGAGATTTTTACACTACATCCCCTGTGCTGTCTCACACTCTTCCCCGTGTCAACCGCCGTCGACCTTCGTCCCCTCTCCATTTTCCCGGTGCGATGTTGACAAGCCAACCTGTCAGCAGTCCCACCTCGATGTATTCTCCGTCAATGGTTTTCGGTTCGCGGTACAACGAAACCTTCCCTGGGTATTCTTCATCTGTCTCGTCAGTACCGTCGACACCAACCAGCCTTCGATCGCGCAGTCCCAGCATATCCTCCCTTGAAACCATCCCCGATATACCTGATGCCGAAGCTGCAGCAATCGAAGCTGATCGGATTGCAGCTTTGAAAGCTGCTGCAGACAGGGCAGACGAAGCGGAAGCGGCAGCCAACGGAAACAGGCGCCGTGGTGTGTCGGACGCTGCGAATCCTGTGGGCTCTTTCGCGACAATGCGCGGCGGTTCCGGAACCTATGGCGCAAGAGGCGATAAAAGGAAGCGCTGGAGTGTCTGTGGAGCCGAACGTCGACAGGACCTTGATCTGGAAACGATCTGGGAGGATTGATTGACGCTTGACATTCACTCGTGCCGGAGATTGTCCTAAAATGAAACTCTCTTGCCCCGTAACTCATTCGCCCGAATCGGAGCGCCTTTGCGGCCATACGTGAAAACGCTCCTGTCAACGCCATGTCCTCATCTCGCAAATACCATTATAACCCCCTCTCTGCGGCTGGGCTCAAACTACCGGTTACCACAGATCTATTGTCCAGTGTCCGATACCTGAAAGCCTCCATTTGCCTTTCCTCTGCTGCCCACGAGGATATCTCTCTTAGGCCTTTTGTCTTTCCACTGTAACCTATGCTTGCGGTTTACTTCAAAGTTCCACTATCGCGGCTGGTCCGTCGATATTGTTGTTGATTATTCATACTCGGGCGCAGGGGGGTTCCTTTCTACATATGGTGTTGTTCAGGGTGTCTTTGAAAGCATTTCTTATTCAACCTTTGGTGAGATTGATTCCGTCTATTTCCTTTATTGATTCCCCTCTTTGCTCTGTATCCCCCTTTTTTTTTCTTTTGTCCTCGGTCTGCAGGTATGGGAAGGCTTCGTGTTTTCGTGTTGTTTGGGTCTAAACAGGCAAGGACTCTGTTGTTTTGCTTTGCTTAATATGTACATACTGCTCGTTCGTCATACAAACCCATTCTTCCTTGATTTGGATGCATCTCGCGAGTTATACACACGACCACCCAACACGACAACAATATATACTTCGGCAATATGTACTGCGACACTAGATCGCACGGCAATCAAGCCAGACCGGACGTCCTCTCACCCGCCGAAGGCAACGAATCATCCCGTCCAGCAGTAACACCCACGCTCTCCAGCCCCCGGAACCGACAGATCTGGCCTGCCGCCCGCTCACCACTCCAGTACGCCCCCGTCGTCGTGCCCAGCGCCACAAACGGCGCCGTGTGCTCCCCAGCAAACCACACCCCGCGCTCAGGGCCGATCTCGCCCCGCAGCGCCTCGACGTCCCTGTCGCCGTGCGCAAGCCCGATCTGGAAATTGCTATAGGACCCGTTCCCCGCGTAGGCGTCATTCTGCCACTGCGTCGCGACGAACGCGAGCGGCTTGCAGTCGGCCGAGGAGGATGAGTACCCGCGCAGCCGGGAGTAGAAGGGCCGCAGGAAGTCGTCGAGGAAGGCGTAGTAGTCCTCGGAGGAAGGGTGGAGATTGGCGATGTGTGAGACGATGTGTGTTGCGCAGGGGCCGTAGGTGTAGAAGAGCAGCGTGGGCTGGGCGCAAGGGCCTGGTAGCCCGGCGAAGGAGAGGCATTCCTGGTTCCAAGGGATGTCTGTGGGGTGCTCGGCGTAGGTTGGGTTGAGGAATTGGGCGAAGACGGGGTTTTTCGCGCCCGGGGGATTCGAGGCTGTGCTGGGTCCGGTGAGCCCGTCTTTAGCGTCTATGTGCCAGAAGGCTCGGGGGAATGTGACGTATACTTTCTCGAGCCTGCCGTACGAGATACTATTGATGGCTTGGGCCAGCCGGAGGGGAAGCTGGGGGTGGAACGCGGACTTGTTGCGTTTCAACCAGCCGAGGGGACAGGTCACTACGACGTCGTCGAAGTGGTGGGTTTCTCCGGCGGCTGTGGTCAGTGCCACTGTGCGAGAAGCACTGGAGTCCTTTGGATTTTGCGTCTCAATCCTGACGATCGGCTGCTTGAAACGAATGTCTGCGTGCTGGATGGCAGCTTTAGAGACGTGCGCAAGGATCTTGTTGTAGGTCGACGCTACGAAGAAGTTATCTGCCCATTCTCAAGTCAGCAAGAAGCAGAAATTGGGATGAGGGAGACTTACTCCCGTCTATGCATTCCTCGAGGCAGAAGAACTTGAGACTCTGCCTCTCGATTGAATCCCCTACATACGCACCCCACAACCTGCAGGACTCTATACAAAGCTCCTTTTCCTGTGCGGTGAAGTCCGTCTGCTCGATTTTCTTTTTGAAGAAGTCGAGTAAGCTCTCATCAGGCGGAATGACATCCTTGTTCTTGTTGCTGTATTGGAAGGCTTCATCTATGGTAGTCCACAAGAATTCGGAGATCTTGGTAGACACAGCCTCATCAATCAGCTCGCCCTTTCGGGAAAAGATAATTTGCTGGCCTTCAATGTCCTCAATCGTCGTCTCAGTCAATTCTGCAACCCCGGCAATGGGGTTCTTGTCGGTTCCATGAATCCAGTTCGGGCCCCTTTCGACGATTAACATAGACTCTTCTGGTACAGAAGCGAGGTCGATGGTCTCACAAGTCTACAAGATGACCACCGATATTTGTCTGATGGACCTGTTTGACATCAGTATCTGATCTAGGAGGGCCGTCTGATGGTTGCAAACACACCCTTCCTCCAACCCGATCTCTCGCCTCGAAAATAGTCACTTGCACGCCATTCTGGACAAGAATGTCTGCACACCGCAGACCAGCGAAGCCAGCGCCGATGATCGCTACCTTCGAGCTGTGGCTCATCGTGATTGCACGCTGCGAGAGGCGGTTATGAGGAGTAAATTTCCTGAATTGAGCAAAGTGTCGATGAACATGCTAGCATTTAATTCAGTTAGTGCTGTCTGATACCAAAGTAACTCTAAACATGGCATGCCTGTGCATTGTTTGACATAATCGTCCAAACAAAGATGCATAGCTGATAGGTTCATTGAACCAACACCGAACACAGGGTTGAAAACCAACAAAATTAGGAATACCGCCGGTCTGATAGCTTTACTCACCCAGACAATCCGATGTCTGACCTTCAAAACGCGCAGCGAAGAAGGGAAGCTGCACATATAGAGAGGAGGTGAAGTTCGATATGCTCAAACCAAACATTGATTGCTTAATCAGTCACCAGGCGAACCACGTGCGTCCGTCCTGCATTCTTCTTGCCGCCAGGAGTTTCCTTCGACCTCACCTCATTCTTTGCATTAGATATTGGATCCTATCATGGTATTCTCGAGGCTTAATGCTGGGTTGAGATTATAGGAATCTATTGTATTCGTCTTATCGCTATATGAGCGGGAAATATGGTCTGAACATCGATATCACTTGGCATCTAGCCAAGGACACCATATCATCAATGACAGACAAGTGGTCATAGCCCAGAGGGCGACATATGTTCTGTGCAACCGAGGGCTATGTCCACGAAGAAAACAGACAGTTCAATCATTACAATATGAGCATCACTCACACATCATACATGGAAACACCGCTTGCTGGCTTGCGACATTCAACATGGACACAAAGGAACGTCAAGAGATATAAGACAAAGGAAAAAGAAACAAAGGAAATCATTCATTTCACAGTCAAGATGGAGCATTTATTATCTCCATGCTCCTTGACTCAGAGATAATAGGCCCTGAACACAGTCAAGATCTTCTTCTTGGCTCGCTCCTCCGCCACCAGCCATGAAAGCTGAGACATCCGCGTCTAGCTCTGGCATGGACTTGACGGATTTACGATGTGACGTTTGTTGAGAGATTCGTGGACGTCTTCCGCTGGATGACAAGGTCCTGCTAATCTTGCCATCCCGTCCACTGGCTTCCCTAAGAGCCGGGCGCTGAGACTGATGATGGGAAGCTGCACGACGGCGAACGTGAGAGACACGGGTTCCCGGAATCCAATTTTCTTTGTCGGAATCACCGCAGCCAAAATCCAGTTCTTCGTTGTCTTTCATGAGTTTTGAACTTTTATTTGTGTTTGAAGGCGTCCGGTTGAGGTAGCTCTGTGCAGACTCAAGTCGACCGAGGGAGGAGACTGTGCGCGAGAGTTTTCGCCGCTTTTCAGCAGCACGTTGGGGAACCGGTGTATTAAGATAATCCCCAGGCGTTGATGGCATGTGGTTGCCGTGTCTTCCTGACAAGCTTCGGGTCAGTGACCTTTGGCCCTGGGCAAGGAAGGAGCCCGGAGAGCCTGAGTTTGGAGCGCTCTGAGAACTCATGGGAGTTGACAAAGCGCTTCTCGCGTCGGTATCGAAGAAAGACTCCCAGTTTCGGGGATCCCGGGATCTCCCAAAGGTCTTGTCCTTCTCCATGGAGCTAGTTCGGGGCGTCCCAAGGACGACCGCACTACTACTCCTTCGAAGCCCGGTGAAACGGGCGCTTTTTGCCGAGAACATTGAGATACGACCCTTGGACGGAGATGGTTCATCTTCGCCACGAATGACTGCTTTCCCGTCTGAGGACATGGCGATCCGGAGGGAGTTGCGTCCTTTCGGAGGAGATGGTGTCAGCTCACCATCTCTTCGCACCATTGCCTCCCCATCGAAAGACAAAGATATTCGAAGAGATGGAGGTGACTTCATGCCCTGCAAGCCCACTGGCGTCGAAGTCTGCAGCGGCTCTTGAGTGACAAGCATATCGCCGTGGAGATCTGATAGGGAACGCTTTCGCTTGGCGGACTGTTGTGTATCATCAAGGGGTGTAGTGGCATCTTGCTGGGTGGGTGTTGGATTTGATTTTTCCGACGCCTCAGAGGATAAGCTTGTTTGCGAGCTCAAACAAGGCCGCACCAAATCGTCATTATCGCCGTGCACTATCGACTCATAGGAGGACTGTGGTACGCCATCGTCGAACGACAGTCCAGCGGCGTCTCTATCATGGCCTGGTCCGTCAAACTGATCCACACCGCTGGAAGATGACGGCTCTGCGGCGATGTTGTTGTCGTCGCTCGTTGACTGCCTAAGGGGACTGGACGCGTCCGATTTTGGGGCAAGAAGCTCGTGAGGCTGGAGAGGCTTGGACTTTCGTCGATCGTTTTGCCGACGGTTCTGAAACCAGATCTAGAAGACTCAGATGTCAGGATAATCGGTCCTGTGGTGTTTCCCATGCTTGCGCCCAAGACATACCTGCACTTCCTTCTCCCCCAACGATACACGACCCACGATACTGGCGCGAGCCGCTTTATCTGGTTTTGGGTTTCGTTGATATTCGGCCTCGAGAATTGCGTGATCCTCCGGACTATAACAACGGCAAAGCACTGATCAGCCGATTTGGACCAAATATAGATTATCTCACTGGGCTGATATATATACCTTGTCCGACGGCGTTTCTGACGAGCCAGCAGTTTATTATCCACGCGCGGGGGAAGATTCTGAGTTAAGGTCTTTTGGGAGTGCACAAGAAATGCATAGTTCAGAGTAGCAGACTCGGGAGTCTGAACAGCTGGCGGGGACGAGGAACACGCCGCAGCAGAGGGCTCCGGATCGGACATGATATCAAGATTGCAACCGGTGATTAGATCAAGATTGAGGCGACATGGAGAATTGGGGGTCAAGTTATGGGGAAGACCGGAAGAGAGAACCGTTGAGTTTAATGAATTAAAAACATTGGAATGAAAGAGAATTGGATGGTTTGAAAGAGAGACCTCGAGTGAACGAGAGGCTCTAGTGGTGTAGTGAGAAAAAAGCGTTCATCTAATCGCGTCGCGATGTGGACGCGGACGACGTAGCGTGTGCGGGCGTTGTACGGAGTACGGTCGTATTCCAGTTCTAGTACTCCGTACACTTCGGCCGATCCAACCCGGCCGCACGAGGAACCTTTGGCGTTGGCGGAGGATTCCACAGTTTTGGGGTTAAAAGTCTTAAATCTTAGATTGGATGAGAAGAGCAGAAAGAATGATAATGCCAGTCTGATTGTCTACAAAAAGAACTACGTACTACTATGGACAGTCACAGCCTCACAGCAGTCCGTGGTCATTCAACAACCCCCCTGCTGAGAGCTGGAGACTCGTCACGTGTGCCACGTTGACTCTTCCTGTCCACATTGAAGGTTCGTAGACTATGACATTCACATACGGTCTGAGATGAAAAGCTGTACAGCTATATCGGTCGCACAGAGGCGTTCATGATGACCTATGATTCATCATCTGCCTGTCCAGTTCAAAGCTGAGCCATAATCATTGAATTGAGAAGATACTCGAAGCAAGGAGTGGCACCGTGTCCATTAAGCCAGCAAAATCCTTGTGAAGAAAATCTCATATAGAGTTAGTTTAGAGAAAAGAAAGTGGCTATCCAATAACAGGTTCAAATAGTCTTAAGCATGGATGCTCCTTTCGTGTTCTCCGAATCTTTCGGTCAACACTTGGAATTTACGCCAAGCGGACCGTTTGGCGTGTTTCGCGATAAGACCGGGCGCGCCAGACGCGAAGTCACGTGCTGGAATGGCTACTACCTGCTGACTCATAACGCTCCCCGCAATCACGGTGCTCTAGTCATGTATATCACGTGATATATACCTGCCTCGCTTCCCGCCCAAGCAAGCCAAGTCGTCGAGTCGTCTCGCTCGAGAACCATTCTGGTTAAATGCTGAGTATTGTTGGACCCTGCGCTTCAGCCCAAATGTGGCAAACTCGGCTTACGCAGTGGACCGTATGACTTGAAGGATACGTCCGTTGGTCATATACCAGCCAAGCCTATCATCGAGTTCAGTGGACGTTAGCAATCCAGTCTAGACTCTTTGCTTTGGAACCCAAGATGCGTGTATCGCTGACGAGAAAAATGTCGAACTCCTTCTGCCCGGAATCGGCGCCCGCTATGCCGACTGAGCTTGAACTAACCCAAATGTCCTGTCACGGTCTCTGGCTTTGAATGGCTCAAATGCTTGTGCGAATGAGGACTCACACTCCCGGAAGTGATGGATCCAATGCCAATTACTTGATATCCCCCTGTCGCCAAGGTTCTTGCACTCATTAACGAAACTCCTCACCTGAGTGTCTCAACTCTCAAGATTGTGTCGATTCTTTTCCGCTTCCCAGATGTCAAAGCTTTGGGACAAACGAACGCCAAACCAGCCTCAGAAAGCATATGGTTGCTTGGCTTGTTCTACGATTGATCAGACGGAGAGATCTCCTTGTTATCCTGGGTCTCATGTGGTCCTTGGATCAATAGGATCGCGAAAGGATAAATGCAACATACTAGCCGCATCTCTATCTAATGCACCAATCAGATCCCTTGACATTTTCCTGCCAAACCGATTCTCAAAATGCAATCGAGTCCATTGAGTGGACTGCCGGATGAATACAAGAGCTAAGGATGAATCCTTAGTCACTTAAGGACCCCAAAAAGTCCAAACCCCGGATTTGCCCTTTCTTCCCCCCGCTCGCCATCGCCGTCACCTGGTGTGCTGCTCTCAACCTGGCATGGCCGGCATGGAGTGCTTTTGTCTCCTTCCGCCACTTATTGCGCCAGTAATACAAGCCTTTGTCGATTTGACGGCGCGTGGCGCATTGGCTGATTCTAGCTCTTATATACAAATGGCTCGTCCGCTGCCCTGTTCACCTGTTTTTGCCTCCCCTCGCTATGTATCTTACTCTTTGCGGGTGATCAATATTGCTTCGGGTGGAACAAAATGGGCAGATTTTTTACTATTTCCCTGGCTACCTTTGCGGCCACTGGGTCGTTCCTTTTCGGTAAGTTCAAAGTTAATGCATTGAATTTTCCTGTGGTTTCAATTCCTAGCCAGGAGGGTTCACCACATCTTCAAGGGCCGACAATATCCTTCATAATCCCTCTCTATTGATGATCAAGCTTATATGTCTGTCAATAATAGGATACGACTCTGGTGTGATGACCGATGTTATTGCTAGCCCTAACTTCCTCGCTTTCTTCAACACTACTAAAACATCTGCCATCATCGGAGCGATCAACAGTACATTCAATGGAGGCGGTAGGATCTTCTCTAAGCCAACAGAGTCAAGCAATCTGTCATACTGACGAGTTTTCCACGCAGCTGCTATTGGTGCCCTGCAGGGCGGTCTCACGATGGATCGGTTCGGCCGTAAATTCACCATTCAGATGGGCGCGTTCATCTGTCTCGTTGGTGCCATCCTTCAGGCCGCCGCACAGAACTTGGCTATGATTTTGGTTGGGCGTATCTTAGCAGGCTGGGCCGTCGGTCTCATGTCCATGTCCGTCCCAGTTTACCAGGCTGAAGTTGCTCATCCTCGCTCCCGTGGGTTGATCGTCGGTTTAGCACAACAAATGATTGGCGTCGGTTTCATCGTCAGCACGTATGTCTCCTGATCCCTGATCACAATCCACTATTCACATATCATAGGTGGGTTGGTTATGGATCGCTTCACGCACCGGATACCAGCGAATTCCAATGGCGGTTCCCTCTTGCATTCCAGGCAGTCCCTGCTCTTCTTCTCGCCATCGGTATGTTCTTCTTACCAGAGTCACCTCGATATTTGGTTGAGAAGGAGAAATATGACGAGTCCTTGAGGATTCTGAAGAAACTGCACTTTGATGGAACGAACGACGACTGGATTCAAGCCGAATATAATGAAATCAGGACAACCATTGAAGCTGAGAAGGCCGTGACCGTTTCTGGTTGGCTCATCATGTTTCAGGTGCCTCAATGGCGGACCAGATTGCTGTGCGCTTCCCACTTCCCACTTTTCTCGACTTGACTAAGCTTAGGTACTGACAACATCCATCCAGTCATGGTGTCGCTGTCCAGGTCTTTACCCAGATGACTGGTGTCAACGTAATTGGCTACTACCAATCCATCATGTACGAGGCTCTCGGCATTACAGGGAATCGGGCGACGCTAGTGATCGGCATCTACAACTGCGTAGGCCCCCTGGCCAATTTGATTTTCATCGTTTTCATTCTCGACAAGGTGGGACGACGCAAGCCCATGATGTTCGGTACAATCGGAATTACCATTGCTCTGTTCTGCGAGGCGGCATTGAACTCGCAAAATGTGAACGGTGAACGCCATGGTTACAGTATCGGTGGTGTTTTCTTCCTCTTCTGCGTGACTGTCATGTTCTCTTGTTCTTTTGGCCCTTGCAGCTGGTGAGTGCTATTGTTATCCGTCCACTTGATAGAGAGGCTATGGCTAACTGGTTTATGTAGGGTTTACATGTCTGAGGTCATGCCTATGCAGATCCGAGGCAAGGGAAATGCATTTGCTACCGGCATCGGAAACTGGACTGTCGCCACTCTCTGGGCCCAAGTTTCCCCGATTGCTCTGGGCAGTATCGGTTGGAAATTCTACTTCATTTTCGCCGCATTTAGTAAGTTCTGTGCTGGAGTTGCACTTCTCTGAATAGGGGCTAATAAGATATTCAGACATCTGCGTCTCCCTTCCGGTCATCTACTTCCTCTTCAAGGAGACTAAGCAAAAGTCTCTAGAGGAGATTGACTTGCTTTTTGGTGGCCGTGCCTTAGGCACCCTGCCTGAGAATGTGGCCGAGAAATCCGACGACACCGGCATCTCTGTCACAAACGTGGAACACACTGTTTAAAGTTGAATCTGCGATTAAACTTGGAATATGTGATGAAACCTATACTATCATGTATGCACGATTGAGTACATAGCATAACAGCTCACGACCATGATGTTCTTTGATTAGATCTACACTCCCTCGCCTTATGAAGATTTCCAAATCCTTGTGGATAATATCATACTCCTGGACAAATGAAGAAACCCACTGCCAGCTTGAGGCATATCATGCTGTCGAAAAGATTACAATTTGTGGAGCAATCTCGACTATAAAGATTATACTGTATGTTGGTATTGCCCTATGAATAGACGTCACCCGCACATATGAATCCCACCTGAACGCATGTCAGTATCCAAGATCTCTTGGCGAATCCTGCATGACGGCTGGTTCCTTCGTCTCTGTGAACAGTCCCCGGAGTCCACATCTTCTCAAACAGACTCCATGAAGAAACCATATGAAGCCATGTCTCCGTTTTCAATGACAACCTTTGTTTCATATGACTTCTGAGTATTGTCTTATTGGTTCAATTATCATCCTTGTACTTGTATAATCCAGCGAGAATTGTAAGGTTTGATGCATAGTGGCTCACTCTCGTTCCATCTCCCCCCCCCCCCCTTCTCAATCCATATTCTAGGACGAAGTGGTACGGCCAATACCAACAAAGTGGTCCTGCTTTCCCATGGATGATCCCACCATCCAATCGTAGGACCAACAGGCCGAAAATTCATGGGGGCGTACCTTAGAGGTTAAGTTGAAGAAGAGCTGTGGTCTGGTAGTCACTTGCCAGGCGACCAGCTACTTAGCAGTCCTCTCCTCGATGTTGGAAAGGGAAAGGTATATGAAGGCCTGAAGTCCCCAGATAACAACAACGCTTCTGTCCCCTTCCAAGCAAAATCAAGTTCCTGGATGACCTTAGATCTTTTGAATTCCCCGAGTCAGACCAAGAGAGGATGAGAATGCCGACCTGGAGAACCGCGTTGACTGCTGGGTTTGTCGTGTTACTTACTGGTGTACTAGTCTTTCTTGTCCGAGGGAATTCTGATACTATCTAAAGTCCGGATATTCTCGGTGCGGAACCTCCCTCGATTATTGCTATTAGCGGACGCTTGTGAATAGAGCAGCAAGTGCTGGCAAATCAATGAGAGGTTCTGCGATTTTGGAGTAGTAGCTTGTCTAATGCGTCGGCAATTCAGGAAGATAGTTGTCAAGTCGCTCTAAGGGGAGGTGTCATGGCATCTCAATTCAAAGTCATTTATAATTGTAATGTTGGGACATCAAATTATGTTACCGAACAGAACGATGGACAGATTTTGTGGAAACACTGGTACAGAAGAGGGTTTTGTAGGCAAAGCAGTGATCTGGCATACACTTGCTGCATCACTTGCTGCATCTGAACTCACTGACTGGCGTTCTTATTCTCAGGTTCGTAGTTGTATGCCTGAGCTTCCAGGTATCAAGCCAGCCACTTCCCCTTTAGGCAACACATCAGGCAACATATGCCCCCCCGTCAATTCTACCTCAGCAAGGAACCGGGGCGGTAGTGCAGCGGTCAGTCTATGCAAGAAGGCTGCCCAAGGCAGTGACTTCTAGCAGCCGCTGCATGATCCAGTAGGTCCCCGGTTCGAATACAGCGTTCTGCTCCCTTCAAAAATAGGAGCAGGCGTTGGGCAGAATGTTGAGGACGGTTGTACTACAACTGCACTCCATTCTGTTTTGCTGACTGTGTATTCTTGCTTCGACATAAAATTCTGGTCTCGAGAGCGTATCTAATTCTCTATTCTTTCTTCTTTACTTTTTAGTCCTCTCCCAGCTATCCGTACAGCCAAGAGAGCGAGTGAGGATGAGATGTTGAAAGTGAACGTTGTTTATATTGACGAAACATGAGCGAGCACATATGGAAGGCTTATAGAGATGCAATATATTGCCAGTAATACTATCATCACTTATCTTTCTATCAAACATATCCATCATTCGAGCAATATATTGATAATGTGAGATGTTGATTTTCAAGTTGACACTTCAGATCTATACACCAGGCGCTAGCTGCTTTGGGTTAGGGAGACCAACCACCACGTTTTGCCATGTCTCGGAGAGATTTCTCCAAGACAGCGATCAGTCATCCAAACTCATTTGTTAATCAAACATTTTCATCAAGTAATGGAGTCAAGAACCCTCCTTGATGGGAACCACTGAGCGTTGCCATTGAGTATGGCGGATATCGCAGGACAAACCCGATCGCCCGCAGTCCGTCGCAATGGAACATTGCAGTCCTGTGAGCCTTGTCGCAAAGCAAAATTACGCTGCGACCATGGGCGACCAGTATGTGGCCGCTGCACGGCGAAGAAGATCGCTAGTCGATGCTTCTACCATCCTGCACCGATGACAAAGCGCGCTGTGGGCAGTCGAGCCAGTCCAATCGAAGCGACGAGGATATTGACGAGTCAGCCAAATTCAAAGTCAAGTCTTCCGTACCCTACTGTCCCACGCGTCGTACCTTACTGACTGATAGTAGTGCCTCGAGTCCTGGCTCAAACCGGGAGGGCAGTCGACTGCGTGTGACCCTGGAGCCTCCGTCGGCACTTCCTGGATACCTTGGATCAACCAGCTATTCGGCTGTCCTGACCGAACATCGCAGTGATATCCCGTATGAGCTGGACAACAGTTCTGCCGCTGCTGCATCTACTCGATCTGTTGATTCGGATCGCTTACAGCTGGGGATAGAGATGCTCAAACTACTCTATGATCTTCCGATCTGTGATATTATGATTCGAAAATATCACGTTCGAACGGTGGTCACGATTGTGCCGATTATCATTATCGAAGCTATTCTGCAATCATTTCGAAGGGTATTCGAAACCTTTGAGGCTGATGATTTTGAAACCCAGTTTCAAGATTTAGTCCATCAGATCTTCCAGAATACCTCTCGTCCGCTGACCGTCCATGGTTCAATGACTGTTGAGCAGTATTTCTCCTCGTTCACGGGGCGAAACTCGCGATGGGAGGCTCTGGGGAATATCTTCGCGATCACTGGAATAGCATTGATGTCTACCCCAGATAGTGATCCTGACCTCAGTCAGGCAGCTCCTGATAGTGAGGCGAAGGAACGACTCCGTGCTCAGATCGTTGAAGCCAGCGGCATATGCCTTGGCTTCTGCGACCAGGCATCTTCCGCCAATGAACTTTTAGGGTTCTTTCAGTACAACGATGTCATGCTAAGGACACAGCAATATGGAGACTCGAGTATGACCCCAATCAAAAACTGACTGAGTTTTATATTGATAAGATGACAGGTTACCAGGCATGGCGTCGACTCGGTGACTTGTCAGCTACGATCTACGCTGCTGGACTTCATCAAGAGAACGTTCAGGCCGACGACTGCCCATACTTTCTGCGCCAATGGCGAAGACTCTGTTTTGCTTCTGCATTTTACGCGGATAAATCACTTGCCACTTTTGTGGGCCGACCGCCGCTGATCAATTATCGATACTGCACACTGACGCCTCCCTTGGATGTCAGCCATGAAATACTGATTGCCGGGGGATCCACTTTAACACAAGCCATTGCAGAATTGGATAAGGCCGGTTGGCATGTCTACGGAAGCACGCATGCGGTGACTCTCGTCCGCCTTCGATTCCTGCTCGCTATATTTCGGGAGCAGGCCCTCGAGCTAGCGCTTGGCTTCAATGATCAGGATGATCTTGTACAGAAATCCAAGTGAGTTTGTTATACAGGTTCATGGTTTCTTCGCTTACTGACAGCGTCTATTAGTCAACTTGTGGGAAAGACACGAACGACATGGGACACCGCACCTAGTTACTTGCGCTATGATATACGTACCGAGGGGGACGATGGCGATATCTATTGCTCATATTTTGCATTGCTTCACACGTATCTTGATTACCTGTATACCATCTTTCTCATTCAAAGGACGCTTGTTAAACGAACCAACACTGGGCATGAGGCACTGTTCGACACGTCCCGAGAAGTACTATCGATCATTGTGCGAATCAATACAGAGCGAAACTCGCAGATGGATATGAGCCGGCACTACTCGTGGGTCGTATGTTAACCCCATGCATGGTCCTCCGGGCCCTCGAAATACTGATTGATCATAGGTTCTCTACTACGGACTGCCCAGTGCTAGCGTCTTGACGCTTGAGCTTCTTCGACAGAGCCAAGAGGTCGGGCCCCATAGTATTGTATTGCCGCGGGCGGAGCTCATCCGGAATCTGAGCGTCTTCGTCTCGTGCCTGTCCTGGGTTGCCCGTCCTGGCCAGGGGAATTACCAGACATGCAAGGAGGTGGAGAAGAAGCTGTCTCACATCCTCGATCAAATCCTCGACCCACAGCCGGTGCAGGCGGAGGTCTTCAACGACGTGACGTCAGGTCTGTTCAACTATATGGATGGGTATAATCCCAACACCTGGGATTTCAACTTCGAGTATCTACCATCAAGGGATGGGTTCCCGGTCTGAAAAGGTGGTCATCAGTTGAAGGTATCGCATAGGTCATAACATGATAAGGCAAGTCGTAACGTTACAACGCCCGTCAAAAAGGGACAAAGCACGAGAAAATAAAAAAAAACCGACCCTGGCCGCCCCCCGTGAAAAACGCCGTCATTCCCGTCATACCATCCAAACAAAATCATTACTCGGGCGCGACTCCTGAACATAATATGCGCGATGACACAGTGGACAGTTGAAGTGGTCCTGCAGATACCACTTGTCCAGACATTCCTTGTGAAAGACGTGCAAGCATTTGAGTTCTCGGATCTCCTGCGCGCGAAGGACCGATTCGAGACAGACGGCGCTGGGGTGTGTTTAGCTGGCGGTCGCCTTGATCCGCTCAGATTCCACCTACCAGATAAACTGTCCATCGACCCCCTCGGCGGGTAATAATGGCCCCTTCGATTTCGACCACCACTCCTCGAGCGTCCGAATGGGCGAGACGGCGTCCAATCTGCGCAGCTTATCGGCGGGATCCTTCCGGTTCTTCTTCTTGAAAGTGGGCGTTCGCTCGCGGCGATTGACGAAGATGGTTAACCTGGAGAGCATTAGATTCGAGGGATTAGACAGCAGACATTCGCTGTTTTGGCGCAGTTGGAATGAGGCCGTAATCGTGGTAGTTGGTAGTGATGATGGTGATGGTGATGGTGATAGTGACGTACAGCAGACACATGATGATCAGTGAAACAACTCCTAGACCAATACCCAGAACGATGACCATGTGATGATTTTTATCGCTCATATCTCCGTCGCTTGACGACAGTCCCATGTTCCGGTCCAGAGGCCAGAGTCCAGACTTCTGCCGCTGTGTACCGTAGACGGGCGTAACTCTAAGTAGATCTTGATGGGGGAGGAGGAAATTGCGAATGCGACCGACCAGGAACCAAGCTTGAGCTCGACACAAACAAGAACAACAACAACAACAACAGAGAGGTAAAATCAACGAGTTTTTGTACGCACCACAGGAAAGAAAGAGAGAAAATCAGTCAGTACTTATTTAGTTCGAAGCGAAGAGGGAGCAATCGAAACAACAACGTGATGGTCGCGTCCGAGTTCGAATCGAGGTCTCCCGATCGTCATCAGTTCACACTCAACCTATTGAAGTCGGTCTCTTGAAGTCTATCATGGCGGGGTCACAGCCTTTTAAAGTTGCTGTGCAGCTATGTAGCTGATCAGACCATTGACACTTCCAGCTCTCTGCATGATTTTTAACACCTGAGCTGCTCTGCCGTCAAATGATGTCCTGCAGGCGATTAAAAAAAGAAAAGAAAAGAAAAGAAAAAAGGGAGGTTGAGAAACGCTGGCGTTGTGTAGCTGGAGACAGAGAAGAGAAGAAAAGAAGATCAGAGCTTCAAATCGAAGAATGAGCTCGCCCACTCGCTTTATTTCTCCTGCAGTGCCATCAGTCTCATAATCTCCATTGAAACAAAATCTTGAACACGACCCCTTCCCCCGGGGGATTCCAGCTGCAGGAAAAGACATGTATGGAGAACTGGTTGCCTCTTATCATTTATATATGAGTTATTCGGAATCAGTTATTGGTGGTGCATCGCAACATTCCAGCCCATGCGCGAGCCCAGAGCACTGCCATCAGCCACCACTCTGCTCACGACTAACTAGATGGTCCTGAGTCCTGAGTCCTGAGTCCCGAGAGTCAAGAACTCAAGGCTAGAGGAAGTTGGAACGGAGGCCCCAACCTAACATGCCACGGATTCTTTACACGAGGCGAATAATATGACTGGTCGGTGAGCGGGCGTAGCTCACCTCCCCCTCAACCAGGTTGATTCTTAGGGATTATTATCGCGGGTATCTGAGTGTTGATCTCGTGAACACTTCAGAGTATGTATGCAGTGCAGGATGCAGGACGCACACTATCTCTGCCCGAAGGAGGATATATGACTTATTCGCTATGCGCCAGCCTCCAGGTTGAGGGTGATGGGTATGGTCATGCCATGTCATGCCACCACTGTTTTGGATGATGCTTTTTCAGCAAATCGAATCAAGCTCTTTGAAATAGACTTATTTTCCTGGAGGTTGTGCTCAATCACTACCTATCCTCTGCATCATCCAGAAAGCACTCTTTCAAGTGAGATTGTTGTTGTTGTTGTTGTTGTTGTTTTATTATTCTGTCGGTGGTACTCCGTACTACGGAGTACTCTGTACTATGTTTCCTTTCTCCGCTTTCGAATACTTAATACTCCGTAGGCTCCTTTCGCTAGGCAGTAAGTACTCCTGCAGTTCCGCCATCACTTTCTTCCACTTTGGTCGTAATCGATCTTTCTCTACTACTAACTCATCATCTTCTTGCTTCACCTGAAGAATGTGGCTGACCTCTTCCTTTCGTACTATTCCCCCTGTACGTAGATGGGCTCTGGAAGCTTATGCACAGCGTTGATGTGCCTTGCTTTGCAGCATCAGATTGGGCCATTGAAGCTTCTTCCTCTGGATCTAGCTGAAGCATATGACGACCAAATCTACTTTTTAAACTCTGGAGTAATGTTCCACTGATCTTTACTGATTCCAATCTAGAAGCTAATCTCATCAAAGTTATATAGATCTCAGGGATGGATGCAGCTTTTATCCATCAACCCTTGAAAGCATGGTTTGATGACTAGGGCTCATGTCTGCTTCTGCTCAGCTTCAATAGCTCTTTTGCCTTTCAACTCGATATTCTGGATGCCATTTGAGGAAGCGTTTCGTCCACTTTTCACTGATCTGAGGAGGAGGGGTGTTGGAGTGGTATGCCCTCAACGGAGTATACCCCCCTCCACTACTGCACCCACGGAGATAATCGGCTGTTTCAAGAGACTAAAGGAGGGGCCAGACAAAGAAGAGTTACTGGACAAAGGACAAACCCGTGAGAAAGGGCCGCCCTTTCTCTCTCTGTCTTATCGCATCACAGTCATCAGGTTCATCAGGATGGAATCCTCTGCTACGAATCCACAGATGATCCACATGGTCTGCAAAGCTGACAACTGCCAGGGCGTTGCTGGAGAGAATGGAATCTATGGGGGATGGGGAAAACTTTGCAATGGTGCCGTGCGCCCTGAGGAGGGGTTGGTTTATGCCTTGTAGACAGATCGATCTCATTGAACAATAGTCTTTTTCTACCGAGGCTGTACTCAGTCCAAGGAAGGGATACCGACTCAATCAAGCCCTAAAGACAAACGCCACAGAAGAAAACATCACCACGGCGGGAATAAGGAACCGGCTGCGACTTCTGGACAGTAAGCGTTTCATACACTAGTTCATTACAGGTTTAGAACCATCCACACTGCTTATATCCTTATTGCATATATAAATTGCATATACACTGAGTAGTGCTGGCGGTTAGGAGGGATCAAACTCCTGGAGGGTTTCGTGCAGGAAGTACCCGCCCAAGACTGAGAAGCTCCCGGTCGATTGTTGTCAGGATGGAAATAGGCGTCGATATTGAAACGCGATGACGGCACATGAGCTGACTGGCCACTCCCCTGGTCCATCATCATCTTCCAAAGTCAGACGGAGACCGCACATCCCCTGGGAGATGGCAACCTGGTTTCTCTCTAGCTTAAGGAGTTGTTAGTACTGGAAAACTAGAACTCACCCATTCCTATTACTATGATAGGCTCTTACTATTCTAACTAGTCACTACTTATGCTTAAAGAAGCTGGAGGATACTCTACTTTCTATGTATAGTATAGTGATATATTTAAAAGAGTTAATATAGATCAATAGAAAAGGATCAATGGAGGATAAGTTGTGTTGACTTATTCCAAGCCCACTAATACATGATATATGTATATAGCCCTGCATGACAGGAAATCTGACACATCACCACATGGAGTGCAATGTGCATCATGCCCAGTGCTGTGTCACCGGCCTCTCTTGATCTCATAAAAGTCATATCGGGACCGCTTTTGACCGGAGAAGGCGATGCTCATCAGCTCCTTGCACTGGCGGCCCCATTGTCGGTCAACACCAGTACTGGTACGATAGGTGCCGATGGGTATGATTATCACCCTATATACACTCCCTCCATTCCATCCTGGTCATATCAACAAACATGTCAGGCCTTCTACATCAACCTCGTCATAAGAGCTGTCTTCTCACCCGCGTATTTTCTGCTCTTCCCCAGATATCCCACCCAGCCAGGCAAATCAATGACAGAGAAGCCTCACATGATGGACTCGATTACCACCGCGGTCTTCCTCGCTGGGTCCATGTGCTTCACCATGGCGATCAACTTCGGCAGGACAACATATCAGTCTCTCGTACCAGCACACGACATCCCGAACGCCGTCGGGCGCAATGACTATCTGTCAGGACTTCCGTTGGTTTTCCTGTACCTTGCAACTTTTAGTGCCAACAACAGCTAAGGCCAAGACCTCGGTATGACTGTCTTCCTCGCCGTCTCAGACACGCTCTATCAGAACCTCTCGCTCGGCAAAATTGCTCCCGTGCAGCCGAATGTCTCACCAGGTGGATATTCACCGGTACAAGGGACTTTCAGAGCAGCATAAGACTCTTGTAATGCCGCGGATCATGGAGGCGATAAGTAGTCTGTGGTTGTTCTTCTTGGTTGGTGGGGCGTTGAGTTTAGTCATGGCTGTTTTCTTAAGGGTATGGTACTGACAAGGGACTGAGGCTTGGGTTAGGGCAAACGGGCAAACAATCCTGCAAGAAGCGAGGCTTTTAATTTCACTGTTAAAATAGGCTCTTGGATGTGCTGGGTATGTTTCAGCAGGACCTTGTGATTTCCGAGTGTGGAGTCTATGGTGGTGCTCTGAAACGGTGATGCTCTGAAACGGTGAGTCTTTGCCTCCAAGGCCGCCATAGTTGTCTCTAGGTTGGTGAAGATGGTAAAGCGGACGGGGCTACCTAGGTATGTTAGTAACATCAGTATTTATGTTCTCTACATACAGTTCAGCTCGTATAAATGGAATCTACTCATCATGTCCCTTCTCCCATCCAGTCCGGCAGTCCAGAGGCCTGCGATGAGCCTCGGATTCCTGTAACATGTTCTAGTACACTAGAAGGATATAAAGGAGCACTTACACCCAAGCATCCTCTAGCAGCATTACCAGACAGACTTCTTAGAGCAGAAGAACTTAGGATTCCTGCAATCCTAGTCCTCGTTGAATGTAAGACAAAGAGATTTACAAGATGGAAAGATAATCTTGAAGCCTAAGGCTCCTAGAATCCTTACTACCCCTACTAGGATCGCTACAGGATCCCACACCACCTATATAAGTTAGTGGAAAGGAAGAGTTGGGGGGTTAGTAAGTTCCGCATATCTTACCTCTGCTACACTCGTTGGACAAGAGACAAATGAGGGGACCTTCGAGCCTTAACGCGAGTAGATCGTAAAAGGGCCCCTTGGGATCTGAAGGATCAAATGATGATGGATCATGATTAGTATCGGAGTAATCTACCCTAGACCTCAATTATTATTACAATGCCCTCGCATCTTCCATCCACAGAGCTTCATACCGTCTAAGTCCAAGTGCTCGGCCCAAACGTCTGCCCCGGTTCCACCGTGCGCAGCGGCACACCCATCCCATCAGCCGTCCGCGTGGTGATCTCGTTCCCGAACCACTTTACACGAACCCCCGGGTACGCAAGGCAGAAGAAGATGAGGAAGTTCCCCACCGCGAGCGCGGCGTCGAGCCCCGCCGACAGGATGTAGTTGTATTTCATCCACCAGTGCTGGTATCTGCGTTTCAGATGGCCGTTGAAGAACAAGCCTACTATGCCCCAGGCCATGTAGTTTGCCGCGGTGGCGGGTGGGATCGATGCGGTGGATGCGAAGATGGCGGGGAGATGGATCTGGGACGGTTAGCGTGCCTGTCCGTCTACCTGTCTTGTCGTTTGCCTGCTCGACGAAGGAATGTCTGACCTTTCTTAGCATGGCTCGTGGGAAGCGTCGATCTAGTAAATATAGTATGATGGGGGTAACGGTGCCAATGAGAAAGAACCACAGCATAGGTCGGTACATTGAGCCCGGCGAGAAGAGTCTCTTGGGTCCGATGAGGCCCCAGAATAGAGCGTTGGTCGCGTATCCTGCTGCTAGAGGGCAGTAAAACTGTTCTGAACTCAGCCGAGTACTTGTTTATATCTCGAGGCACTCTCACTTACGTTGTTACTGGCGTCTGGAGTGCAAATATTCTCGATGTTCCCCATTGCCCACACATTGACTGCTGTCTGTGTCAGCCAGGAGACGATAATCCCGGTGCACTGTGCAGCGAATGTGACGCGTGGAGGGATTTTCTGCCCTGGTCAGCACAAATTCAGCTGCAATTGGGAGAAATCATACCATGTAGTGGGCAAGCTTCATGCACTGAATGTATCCAAGTCCCTGAGCTGAGGAGACCAAGGTGAAAATCTTAAAGACCACGTTATTCATCATCTTCCCAGGCCAGATGTACCCCGCGATGAGCGCGGATATAACAGCAGTCGATAGCTTTATGTTGCAGTAAGCCATCATAAGCCCTGTTGGCAACAAAAGCACGATGTTGAGCGCGATCGCCAGAACCAAGCCGTACCAGGGAAGCCCTGTATCGTAGACGTAGAGGAAGGCGATGCTGATGCCGAATATGGCTAGGAAGCTGCCTCCATACCACCACATCGGGACTTGGTTGTACTTTTTCATCAACTACTCAAGTCAGTGCTGTTCTCTCGAAGGAAGATGTGGTACTGACCCTGGCGTGAATGTCTGGTTTCTCGGCATTTGATCTCCCAATGCTGGCAAGGAGACCGTTCCATAATTCGCGGCGGTGATAGAGTGCGGTATGGACGATAATTGAAGCCACGGCAGCAAATCCCAGTCCGTATGACAGTACAGACGTCGTTGACAGAAACACGGGTGAGTATTCATGATAGGCAGTTTGGTTCAGCGAGTAATCTGGATTCATCACCCGGCTTGTGTTGTACGGCTTGCCTGGGTGATATCAGAGCTGGTAACGCTGGAAGAAGTTATGAGCCTACCTGTGTTGTCAAAGCTTTGCGACGAAGAGAATGGGAAATACAGTCCTTCCCACACATTGCTCCAGTGCAATGCCGGGGACACAATCCAGAGGAACAGTACGCTCCCGCAGAACACATTGGTCAATGCCCATGTGGGGACAAGTAGGGGTGATCCAAGATAGCCAGTGATTTGGTTCCAGTCCAATGTCAGTGGGAGTAGATCCATCCCCGAGACTGCTCCAAAGACCTGGTTAACGGTGACATTCTGAGGAACAATCCAAGTAATCCAGGCAAACGTCGTGAGGCCGGTAAACAGGAAGCCAGGAAGAAACTGGTAGAGCGATCCACAAAGAATGATCACAGCGAAGAGCTTCATGCGGCTAATCTTCCAGCCATTGGCTTTCTCGTTCCGTTTATTCCGTAAATGAATGGTGTAAAGCAGTGAGCACGTCGGAAGCACTCCCGGCCAAACACACGCTGCAGGCTCAATGAGAAATTTGTGAAACAATCCTGCAATTCCAAAGCTCAAGGCCTGGCTGGTAAGAAGGAACATAAGCCTGTAACCGAGGGAAATCGGAATATGAAGGAACTTCTCAAAGGCGACATAGACATCCGTCGCAAGAGATCCATTGTCAAAAGCAGTCACGAGAGATGCCATTATAGCCACGATACAGTGCTCCTTTTGGTTGAATGGCCCTGGGTTCAAGGTAAAATCCCAGCCCAGCACGCGCCATGTTCTCATGGGCAACACAGCTTCCAAGAGTTTTCCGCAGGGAAACGTCACGAGAATCGCTAGATATGCAGATAGAAATACTGCCAACCAGTCAGCCTCCATGCAACCATATGCTTGGCCCTGGCGACTCACAAGGTGGAGAATGAAGCTGAAAAAACTGATTCAGAGCTGTGAGGACCATAGTTCCAACCACCCCCAAGAACCATGCTCGAAACGTATTGACTGGGACATCTTCATCCTCGGTGGGAACGCTCGCTCGTACCTCTGGAGGTGCACTGCTAAGGTCAGTGTCGTCCATCTCACACATAATAAAGGAGTTTGGGATTTTAGCGTACGAGTTATCCTCATCTTCACCTATCTCGAGCTGTGACGCCTTCGTATAGATCTGTGGCTCGGACGACTGAAGTCTGCCATCGCTCAGTGATTCCCCGGATGGTTGGCATACATTAACATCTATCGACTCTTTCTTCGGTTCCATGGTCAGAGCAGATTTGCGGATCAGTCAACAGTATCACGGCGACGGAAAAGCCCCCCATTTGAAGATAGAAGCATCGCAAGAGAAATTAGATTTATGGTCTCGAAATATTTGTGAGACCAAGAAAGCCTAAAAGTTGCATTCACGGGAATCTTCGATTGAAGTGAAGGTCCAGCTATGAGCTGAGGGTAAAGGCAACCAAATCTGGAGTCTGAGTAACCCCACGAACAAAGCCGGGTTGTCTGTACTCTGTGTAAGCAGAAGAGGCTTAGTGACCAAGACATTCTTTGTTTGCATTAACTAGGCATGGAGATAGTGTATCCAGATTTAATTTCGTGCATGGCATTATGCTGAATTCTTGTTGTTTCAGGGAAGCAAGGAACTCACTCCATTTGGCGTCAGAAGCAAACACAGCGTGGCGGTTCAAGAGCCTGTTGTGAATAGGAGATAAAGGTCAATATTGTCCTTTGGTACGCCATACAACCGCTGATATTATGGAACTGATCTTTTGGTATCCTGTAGTTGAGTACAGATGCTGCACAATAATAGAAATACACAGCTGGAAGTTGAATATCAAAATACTTCCACAGCAGCCTGCTAGATAGATACTGAATTATCGCAGCTTTTACTCTGTATTTTTGGACGATCTGCACGCCACGCCAAACTACAGAGAGTCCCCTTGCTTGCTGATCACATTCCAACAATCCCACGCGGTCAGTGGATCGGTCACTTTCGAAGAAAAAAAAAGGGGGGAGGGCACCCTGGTTGATCTATCGAATATTCAAAGATTGTACTCTAGTTTGTCGATCTGTTACGCTCGGGTCAGTGCTTTAGTGGCATGGCAAATTATTGTCTGGTTGCAGCAAGTTCTGCTCTGCCAGCTTATTATTATTTCGATCAAATTTTACTTATATTCCCTTCTTTTCCGACACCCTCTCATCCGAGATAACACCGTGATGAGTTCTAAACTAGCCCAGTGGCTTCGATATCATTGGTAAAAACACGAGACTCGGAGCCTCGCGCCCATTGTACCCTATCGATACCAAGCGTTCAGTTCTAGGCCCCAGGGTACAAAGTACTCAGAGCGACCGCTGGAATAACCATCTTTGATAAAGCTCAAGGGCAGCTTCAGGTTGATCTAATGGAACCTAGCGCTGCATTGGTCTCAAAAACTTCGCAAATTATTGTAAGATGCACTCACCATATGCCCAGATCTGTCTACAGTGACAAACGCAAATTGGACCTCCCTGGAATCTCCGTGGGATATAGGTGCCGAGACTTGTTTAAAGCTGCCAGCCTTGACTTTGATACCACCCACTGTTGCGTACCAAGACCTCATATCTTTCGATGTAAACGGTGCTTGCCCACTCCAACGGAAAGCATGTGCCCATCTCAGATTACCCGCAGTGTTACATGCGAGGTCCAAATTCCCATTGTATATCAGGACATCCACCCCATGGTCGAGGGTGTACTTGATGTCAGTCATGACATTGCTATACAAGTCGTTCGCTGTCTCAAAGGCGGAAGCAACCTCCTTCGACTCGATGGTAAACTTTGCAATACTATCAGGAACCTCGAGCGCTGCCCAGGTGCTCGGTGCGTTGATGTATTCCTGGATCTCAAGAGTCTCTGAGTAGCAAAGGTGGTCGACCTCGCAGGTACGAGTGACTGGTAAATTTCATCAATATGTTTTATAGAGTGAGAAGGATTGAAAACTGAGCTTACTATCGAATGGATCTCGCCCACCCGCGTATGACTCGTTGTGATACAATTCTTTGATGACTCCGCATACTACATCCGTAGCCTCGCAGACTACCTTTTCTGGATGCTGATAACAGACCTCATATATGTTGAGGCACCGAGGGAGATTCTCTGATATGATTCCGCATCGAGTTCGGTTCAAGACGGGAGCATCAACGCCCGGTTTGGTTGTGCATAGTGTCTCGTAATACCCATACAACGTGTCCATTGGGGAAACATAACCATTCCCAATCAATATTGATTGAAGTGGAATCTTCACTGCTTCAGCAACTTGGTTCTGCCGGAGGATTTCTCGTGACAAGGTTGGAATATAATGTCCCTATGAAATCATCAATACTGAAACTCTAATCATGTCTCTAGAAATGTCGAAACTCACAGCAAAGCTTTCTCCTGCTATGTGGAATGGATTCTGTCGACGTTCGGGGAAAACCTCCGTCATCAGGATCTCGAGGAAAATGTACATATCTTCAGCTGCGATCTTCGAGCTGGTAGGAACCTCTGTCTGTGAATCCACATATGAAAGACCCGTCCCTACGGGCTGATCGACAAATATCATCGATGAATTTCGTGTCCAAGAGTGAGGGTTCCTTCGTGTATTTTCACCACCCTTGTTTATTCGACAGGGGCCAACCTCTAGCATCAGACCTGGTTTCAATTAGTCTGTCAAGGTCTGGCTTGTAAGTTCAGAGCAAAGAATATTTCTTACCAACCAAGCTGCTCACTCCAGGTCCTCCTGTCAACCATAATGTGAGCGGGTCTGTTCTCGGATCATTCAGACTGTCGAAGTACCCTTCTTGCGTTCGATCAGCGTTCCTTCATCTTCAGACACCTACAAGACTCACAGAAAAACACGTGCTTCCCATGGAAATCGAGCCATCCGGTGTACTGCTTAGAGCCTGCGTCACAGACTTCGTCGGTTTGCTCCTTGATCCTGAGGGAATGAGAAGGAAAGCCCGGGGTCCTGAACGTCTTGAATGACTCTGTGTCGTCATTGCCTGACAGCGGAGCTTGGATAGACTTTGGACTCACAGCTGTCTTTGCTAACGCAATCAAACCAGCTAGTGAGCACCCGACAAGCCAGTGCCTCATTGTGATCTTGTGACAAACGAGGTTGGGTTTAAGAAAAACAGTAGAGACGATTTATTCGAGAAGCGGGCATGGTGTCTTCGGTGATAAGTCCAAGCTACTTAGCTTAAGATGTTAATCCAGGAGAATTTTCGTTGCGTGTTCTGCCGAGTGATGTGTATACCAAGTTCGCCTGTTTGGTGTTGGCGCTAGTGGCAGATTTTCCCAATTGGGTAATCGGGAACGACCACTTCACTTAGACCCTGAGCGCTTCTTCTCTTCACCTCTCGCAATGCAGCGCCAGAAGGCCTCGAAGCAGATGATCTCCGTGCTGCTAACATGTCGTCGTATGATATGCTTGAAATTGGGCAATTTTATCCAATGTACCGAGCCTTATGGCAACAAAGCTTAAACATTTCCCCGTGTCCCTTGCCAAACTGCTTACCTAGACTCGACTCAACAAAGCGCTCAGGCTTGAAAGACTCCAAAATTACTATTTTAGGACATATGGACAGCAAATTTGACGCTTTCCACCCAGATGCCCAGTTCTTGGCCATGCTATGTGGCCGGGTACGCCTGGGTCAAGTAATTCTGATGGGGAGCTCAGAGAAAGAAGCAGGCAAACCCATTCAAGCAGGTTGATGTTATGAGCTACTAATAAAAGGTACTTTGGCCTCCGATACTCTACGAGCTACGGGGTATTCACTACTCCTTTACCATTTGACCTTTTCAACGAGGTGTCCATCATCATCTTTCTGGACATCTATTTCCTCAGTTCGTATGTTAGCACCTTACGGCACTCAAGATGCGCTCCTCAGTCTGTTTACTTGAGCCCAACATGCTGGTGCTTGCAGGACTATTCCTGCTACTTTGTATCGTCAACATCATACATTTTCCCCGTCAAGCATCACCGACCGGCTCGTTATCGTTGACACCAACGCATGCTCGGTGGGGTGTATTGGGCCTTCTGTGCTCTGTAGCATGCTCAATATCCTCTGCAATTTCCATCCAAGAGACAGATACTTGCAGCAGGACGAGCTATATCACAGTTTCTCTGTGGGTAAGTTGAAGTTGATTCCACCTTCATCCGAGATCCGGGTCTTCCTAACATCTCAGGCGGTTGTATGTCTGTTTCGAGCCCTTTACTTGGCCGCTTTCCCTTGTCGCTTGATCTTTTTCAGAAATGCGACACTCCTGAGCCTTGCAATCTTTTTGACAACGAACGTGCCTCGTCAACTATATCCCATGATATGGCTTGAAGTCCCACTAAGTCCTAGTTTCTCGCTATTGGATACAATCCACTTAGTGACGGGCTTTGGAAGTGCCATCGTGCTTCCTGTCATCTCGCCAAATCCATACACCCCAAGCAAGGGTGTTCGTCACCCGTCAGAATCTTGTTCCCTCCTTTCCCGATGGTGGCTTTACAATTGGGTCAGTCCACTAGTGACAACTGGCTACCAAAGCAATGGCTCCATCCACAAGGAGGATCTTTTCTCACTTCGTGAAGAGAACTCAGTGGAGTCCTGGCAGCAGGAATATAACAGCCATTGTCATGTATCGGTGCCCTTCAGAGCCATGCTTTGGAGGTTGTTTCGCTCCAGACTGGCTTCAATGGCTCTTTTTGCAGGCCTCTGTGGCTTTTTCGAGCTCCTTGGAACAGTCGGCTTGTATCAACTTCTGCTTTTCATTCAGACACCCTCTGACGCAAATCTCCAACCGTGGTTCTCAATAGTACTATTTGGTTTTTCTCCAATCATTCGTGGTATATGCATGCAGACTTTCGAATATTACTCCACTCATACAATTGGAGACTGGAAGGCCTTTATTGTGACAGCGGTTCACCAAAAATTGACCAGGCTCGAAGCAAATGCGAAGCTCGATATTGGTCAATTACAAAGCATTGTTTCAGTTGATATTGACAGACTGGGCACACTTCGATACACCGCGATGACTGCATTCATGGTCCCAGTCGAATTCATCACCGCCTCGGTGCTCCTGTACAGAGTCATGGGGTGGTACTATATCCCTAGCCTGATATTTCTTCTTTTGACTAGATATCCCCTATCTCGGTTCATAATATCGGAGCAGACAAGGGTTCAGTCAGCAATTGTACAGGCGACAGACAAACGAGTTACCCAAACAACTCAAATCATACGAGCGTTGATACTGATCAAAATACTTGGGAATGCCCAGGCTTTCATAAGGAGAATCAACGATGCACGTTCACATGAGCTGAAGGCTATATGGCTCAAGATGCGTGTCATCATCCTCTCAGAAAGCCTTTCCTCTTCATGTTCCTTCATAGCCATAACCCTCTGCTTATGTGTTTTGACACTTGTAGGAGGACGGTCTCTGACACCGGATATTGTCTTTACGCTTGTTGCTGTCTTCAACATCATCAAGAGTATGCTCATGTTGAGTGTACTTGGTGCGGGTCAATATGCGCAGGCTATGGTGAGCTTGCAACGATTGAGCGGTTTCCTAGACCTTGAAGAATTTGAGCAAGTGACAACCCCAGAGCAGTCCACTGCACATGCTAAGGGTAAACAACCCGATAATATGTTGGTTGTCACGCAAATGACTAGAAGATCCGATGACAATCACGAAAATATCGACTTTCATCTTATTGATGGTGGTATCAATGTGATCGCAGGAAAAACAGGGTACAGTTCACCCTCCTCCCTTCCTTCAGTTCACTCATTTACATTCATACATAGCTCAGGGAAAACATTATTACTACACTCACTACTACTCGGCCGCTCTCATACTCAACATAGTATAGGGCTGAAAAGGGCACAGTTTGAGCCAGTTGCATATGCATCCCAGGAGCCTTGGCTACTGAGGGGTAGTATTAGAGACAACATCATTTTTGGCACTCTACTTGATCCAAAACGTTATGAGCGCGTGCTCAAAGATTGCGGTCTGGAGAAAGATCTTGCAGCTTTCAAAAACGGGGACCTGAAGGAGGTGGGTGAATGCGGCCGAAGTCTTTCTGGAGGTCAACGACAGAGAGTCGCCCTTGCCCGAGCTATGTATATGGACGCCAGGGTTGTCATCTTGGACGATGTTCTCTCCGGTCTAGACCCAGACACCTTTGAGTGGATAGTGACCAAGTGTGTGACGGGGTTGAGGCAACAAGATCGGACTTTGATTATGGTCACGAATAACCCCAGAATACTCCAGGTTGCTGATATGATTCTACATATGGAAAACGGCAGGATTGCCCGGTTTGAGAAGAGTTTGTCGAAGAATTATACATCCCAAATGCCCATCGTGGAAACGCTCGATGGTTCGTCCCCTCATGCTGGAATCTCTGGAGATAGCAACAACGCGAGCCCAGGCTTGTGTCAATCATCGTGTACAGGCACTGATCACCAATATGTGAGCAGTTTGAGATACGGTAAATGCGGCTTCCCTCCACCCTACGATGCCAGCTCACTAAACTGTCAGGCCTCAAATATCTTCGCTTATTCGGCAGTCGATCTTTCATCGCCTTGGCCTTGGTCTCTGCGGTAGTGGCCCAAGCAGTGGAAATTGCGCTGTCTGCATGGCTTTCCGTCTGGAGTGCCAAGTTGCTGAATAGTGACAATAGCAGTGGTGGCCTTTACTTGGGAATCTATACAGGTAAACTTCTTCTTTGCACAACTAGGCCTTTCATTCAACATTCGGCACTGACGAGGTGTGCAGGTCTTGGATGTGCTCAGCTTTTGATCCTGGCAGTCTCGCTTTCTTTGTTATACTCCGGTGCCTGGAGAGCTAGTCGTGATAAATATCTGGAAATGGTTAACACAATTTTCGGAGCCACCTATTCTTGGATCTGGAATACGCCGGTTGGGCAGGTCATCAACCGTTGTTCATCCGATACCGCTAGTCTGGACGACACTTTATTCAAGAACTTTCGTCCAGTCCTAGAGACATGCTTGTCGATTGGTCTCCGGATCCTAACGGTGTCATCGCTCATCCCGCTATTCTTACTTCCGTCAGTCCTGCTGACTGGAGCTGCACTCTATGTGGGCTACCGTTATCGTTTTGCAGCGACCGCCGTGAAACATATATACGCTGCGAGCCTAACACCTTTACACCACAGCATTGCAGAGTCTGCCTCAGGTCTTATGACAATACATGCATTCCGTGCGCAAAGAATACTACAGACACGATTCAATGCGGCTGTTACGCACCATGTCCAAGCATGGAACGCAGTTAGTGATCTTCAAAGGTGGTTGGCAGTCAGGATGGACATATTCGTTGCCCTGATCTCGATCTCCGCAGCGACATTGGCAGTTATGCAACCGCATCCAAGTGCTCCCGCCGTCGGTCTAAGTCTCGCTCTCACCACTGGGCTCTGCACCGCCCTTCTTTGTAAGACATTCCGGACTGGTTGTCATTATCAAACTTGCTAACCTTCTTAGATTTGGTTTATCTATCCAGTCTTCTGGAAGTGGAGATGGCCAGTTATTCTCGTATCGACGATTACATTCAGGGACTTCCTCAGGAAGTCTCCGTTGATAATGAACCGACAGTGAAAGAGTGGCCAGCACAAGGTTTCATTTACATTGAAAACCTAGGGGCCAGCTATGCTTTGGATCAGGACGAAATTCTAAAGGGTATTGACCTTAAGATCAATCCCACTCAACGAGTTGCTGTTGTCGGGCGCACAGGATGCGGGAAAACCTCTCTGGCATTGAGCCTGCTGCGGCTCACAACTAGGACGCGTGGAACCATATCGGTCGATGGCGTTGATATCGAGTCGCTCAAGGTGGATAGGTTGCGACAAAGCATCAACTTTATCCCACAGGATCCCACGCTGCTGGATGGCACGATACGTTTCAATTTGGATTTCAATGGGGAATATGACGAGACTTACCTACAATCTGTGTTGGATGACGTGGCGGGAACAAGAAGATGGAAGCCGGATGACATTGTTGAGCTGAACGGGAGAAATTTCTCACAAGGCGAGCGACAACTCATCACCCTCGCACGAGCTATGGTAAGCAAACAAAAGATTGTCATTCTCGATGAGGGAACTGCTAGTCTCGACAAAGAAAGCGAAGATCGCATCATGGCTATCCTACGGACCCGTTTCAAGGATTGTACGGTCATAGCCATCACACACAGGTTACACAGCATCCTCGATTTTGACCAAGTCCTCGTAATGGAAGATGGTCGGATAATAGAGGAGGGAAATCCTCGCCAGCTCCTTGATGAAAGCGAGGGACGATTCAAGACACTGTACATGCAGCAGTGTTACACGGACACTACTGTCGGTGGCAGCAATGTCAGCAGCAACCGTGATCAATGACAAGGTATTTTCATCGAGACAACTCGAGATACGAATGCAATACGAACCCCTTGAAGTGGATTTGGGTCATGCTTGTAGGCTGACAACCTGCTCCCCAGAACCAGTAGAGAGCAACGGATGATCCGCGTGTGAGAAAAGAACTTCACAGCGTACAATACCTACTCCATGCGTACTAAGAAGGTATGATACTGTTTCTATAGAGCCACAAAATTCCTGAGTACGAAAACCAGAGCATAAATTGCGAATAAATGAGCGCTTTGTTTGACTAGCTTAAGGCTGTGAGACACGGAGGTCAACGAAAAAAAGGAGGTGACAAAGCGCCCATTCAGATTGGACTTGTCACATTCCTCGCTTTCCTGGATAATTGGACGTTGGCGGAGCCTATCCCCAGCCCCATCTGTTTAGCGTGGTGTCTGGGGGCTCCAGCCTGCCGATCTACAGAGTACATCCTGATCTCTCATCTCCAGCTAGTCAGTCGATCCCTTGCGCTAGAGCTGTTTGCCGCCATTCCGACAGGAACAACGAGACGTTGAGACAACTTAGATCAAACGGTTTGAGACCTTAATGGGAGTTGAACTCGAGCTTGTAACAGTCGTCTAATCTCCTACGAACATTTTTCATATATTCGATCTGGGAAACCCTACATGTCCAATGGCCACAGCTGCTTTTGAGTCGACATTACTCCATCCATCCAATAACACAAGATAATCTGCCATACAACATCAACGCTGTCTCTCCGGAGCCGAAATGTCCCTTGCCGCTTCAAGTGGCAGATCCGTCAGAAAGCGAAACGTCGTTTCGCGTGGTCGAACGGGTTGTTTGACGTGCCGCCGCAGAAGACTGAAGTGCGACGAGACGAAACCGGGATGTAATAATGTAAGCTTCACTAAGAGTCGTATGCCATTGTCAAGCTCGATCTTGAATGCTAAGTCCACTATAGTGCAGACGAATCAATCAACCATGTGAAGGATATGCGCAAAGGATCACCTTCAAAGACCAGACAAATTTGATCGTTGCCAGAGCGAATGGCAGAAACGTTGGGAAGAGAGGAAGGTCTTCGGGCTCCAAGAGCGAGAAGAATGGCGACCCAGATAGCACATTTATCGAATCCAGCAGCCAATTCTCAGTTACAGTGAAAGGGCCACCTTCGCCGCCCCCATCCGAGTCTCCAGATGCACGTTTTGTTGACAGCCTGACGAATGAGGATACTTCTCCACGAGTGGCTTTACACAGGGATCCAACGACTCCAGACGATTCCGACACTGAACATCATGTCGCGAAGGGATTCGACAACAACGAGAGGCTGTTGACGTATTCAGTTGCTCTTGAATCCTCCCCTAATACGCCTTCAATCAGCCAGGCTCCCTATATGATACCCCCCTCGCGGGTTTCTGCTCATTATATGCTCTCTCCGGGCCGAATCTTGCACAACTCATCTTTGTCGTCGATTGGAGTCTTTGAATTCCCTGAGGATCATACGTATTTCGAATATTCCGCGAAGGGCCAGCTCTCAAGCTTGTCAAAAATCTTACCTCTTTCAGACTTTTTGCAATCACGCCCTATGTCTCCGTACGTATATAGCGCTGCCATGGGTCTTGCGGCTCTCACCTTGTCAGCCCTCCAGCCCTCTCGAAAAGCTTCGGTAGGACTACGTCGCCATGCCTTCCATCATACTCTTAGAGCTGTCCAAGGCTTGAATTCAGAATTATCCTTGAGTTGCGCCGTAGGTAACTCAAGTCATTCCTGGAAAGACGAGACAGCTCTTTCGTTTTTCGCCGCAACCATGCTGTTGGCCAACTTCGAACTTCAGCGAGGCGCTTTACTTTCATGGCGTTCGCACATGCAAGGTGCTGCATTGTGTCTCAGCTCCGCCCATAAACAGCTTGTGCAAACCCCAACGGGTATGCTGTTAGTAATAGCGTTCGCAAGGATGGCGCTTCTGCTGCGCTTGTACAACAGAGACTACTCAGTTACCACTGCAAAAACCATGCCAACAAGAATCTCAGAATGGCTAGATCTCCTTCTGCGGCAATCCTCTCAGCTACGAGATAGGATGCTCTTATTGGTGGAAGAGGTGACGACATTGGAGATCGAGAAACGTCAGCAGCCCGAGCTCGACAACTTCTGGTCAAGTAAGAGTATGAAACTTCTCTGCAAACTGGACGGCTGGAGAGATGACCTTCCCTTTGACGAAGTACCTGTAGATGAGGACTCTGGGGGAGCTTATCTGACGATATCGTCGCCTGACCAAACAGCCCTAATACGTGTGCCTGCACTCGTATTTCCAAATGCCACTGACCAATGCACCTCGGCAGTTAATTATGCAGCATATCTTTGCACAGGAATGCGCGCACGTACTCGGTATCTTCCAGATGCAGGACGGATCTTACCTCCCGATGCAGAGCAGACCGCACTCACCATATGTCGCATCGCGGCGGGAATACCACCCACAAGATTTGGCGAGTCTTTCACATACAGTTATGGCATGCTTCCATCCGTGGTTGGTGCTTACCGCTGGTCGGAAAACCCAGGTCTGCGTAACTGGGTGAAACATTGGCTAGCAGGATACCAAGGGCCGCGTGAAGGAATATGGAACATCCATCAAACGTTACGACTGCTTGCCACAATGGACAGCCAGCTTCTCAAGGCCGGTTGCCATTTTATCGCCATGAGAGTGATTGACGAGCCACAAGAGCCGTCGTCAGAGTTGGACGAATCCCGCAGCAATGAGCCTTTTAAAGTAGTCTTGCACACCAGGATGCGCGATGGGACTTCGACGAATGTCATGATTGTCAGATAGCAGATCCTTCCCCGCGTGATGAATGCATTCGAGACAAACGATGGAATGTGTGAAAAATTAGGGTCGCTGCTCAAGCCTCGATGACAACGGCTGATCTGCTTGGCAGATTTAATCTTCCTCATAGAGCTCATGCTTGCTGTATGAGCATTGGGGATTATAGACTATATTACAGCCGCAGCGGACTTCGAATGCTTTCGAACATTGGATGCTCGGAGAATCTCCGCTTGAGAACCATGTCTAGAGGACCACCGAGCGAGGATTATAGATGACTAACTCGCTCTGACTTTCTGATTTCTCCAAGGCACAATCTCCCACTTCATCCTCATTTAACATATCTACTTATCATTTTGACCTCTCAATTCTGTCATTTTGTCACAAACAGCTCAGGAATCAATACTTCCCATGCGGCAACGAGGATTCATGATTTTGAATTCCGATTTCTTGCAACCAAGATTTCAGTTTGCCTTTTGTCACCAAGAAGTCAAGAACAGATCTGGAACCCACACACCCGAAACTCGACAGTGCTGTGAACACCTCTTCAATTCCTGGTTACAGCGAATAAGACTATGAGAAGGAGGTAAGCCAAGATCCTGAATATTCACGTTCCACGGGCCCACGCTTGGCCCGTAGGATAAACATTCCAGATTGGTTCAACTGTTGCATTAAGCTCGCTGGGCGGTTCCGTTGATCCGCTAACACCAACTTGCAAGTTAGTACTGACTAACGCTTGAAGACTGCGCTTGAGCGAACGCCCTCCTCATTCGTCATGTTCGATGTTGAACCGTCCTCGCCGCTGGTCGATCAGCAGAAAGGCTCTTGCTGCCTCGCCCCCTGGACAATGGGACTTGAAGAGCGGAGAACCCAGAAGAGCCACAGGGTGCGATTGACCAACGAAAATCTCGAGTTTCAAAAAAGGAAAGAGTTAAGAGATTTCTAGAGGACAATGGTGATGAAGGATCGAAGAACAGAAGAGACCACGCGAACCCATGTTCCTATGATTTTATTTCGTGGCTGATTTTCATCACCGCTGACTCGCCCACGCCCGATCTCTCTAGGGGGGTCTCTTCACTATTTCATGGTCGCGTCCAGGTCACCATTTAATACATAACAAGTTAGTCATTATAGGAATACACCCTACCAGTTCCATAAGCTCCAAGTGAGTGAGAGCATGTAGGATCACGTCGGTCAGCATGGTCGGCGTTCCGCGAAGCACAGGGTGTTCGGTTTGCATCAAAAGACGTGTCAAGGTTCGAGCCCAGCTTTATAGCGTCCCCATTACATGACATATGAGATCTGACACGATTAAAAACACAGTGCGATGCTCTGCGGCCCGCATGCTCCCAGTGCCAAAAATATGGCGTCCATTGTCCTGGTTATGCAAAAACTCGCAAATTTATGGACGAAGGTCCCTTAATCAAGAAACGATATGCGCGATCAACGAACCTAGTCAACGTACACAAAACCCAACAGGGCCAGCAAGATCACGTATCTCCAGCCAATTCAATTGACGAGCAGCTGTTCCCATCTCTAGTTTCGAAGTCGATGACCAGACAGCAGCCTGAAATATTCCGCGACTTTGTTCTCACGGCATTTCCGCGCTGGTTTGGGCTGAACAAGTATCGTGTCCACGTCCCCTGGGCATCGTATGTAGCCGATGTACTGGGTCAGAATGCCGCACTAGATGCTGCTGTTTTCTGCATTACGTCTGTGTTCATGGGGCGGTCCCATTACGATTGTACACTTCAAAAATCGAGCCGTGAAATGTACTCCAAGGCCCTGGTTTCCTTAGGTGGTATAATCAAGCATGAGGAAATCATGCGGTCAAGGGAAAGTGTTAGCACTTCCATCTTACTTAGCATGTTCGAAGCATACTCCCAGACGAAGGAGGATTCATGGGTCCAGCATGCTGCCGGTGCTGCTTTGCTGATGTCCCTCCGTGGAGCGAAATCTCACCTTACTGGTTTCGACCGCTGCCTATACCTCTCTTTCCGCAGCTTTCTTGCCGCTGCTGCCTTTATTGAGGGCAAACCATGCCTCTTCGAGAAGCCGGAATGGCAAGCTCTGATCAGTGAAATCAGGAAGCAAGACATGGTTGATCCTCGAGCGAACGCAACACTCTCCGCCCTCATCGACAGGACGGATCGACTATTCATGGAGGTAGTCAAGATCCCCGGACTCATGTATCATACAAACCAACATCTTCATGCGACACCAAGGAAATCTCCCTCGGAAACTGATGAGCTGGTCACACAGGTTCAACATTGTAAACAAATGATACAGGGTTTAGCAGCTGAAATTCGGCTCGTCGTTTCTTCAAAAGGGCACAGGAACACGGACGGCCGAATGACACTCATAGGCCCTATACCGTCAAACCTGCCACAGAGCTTCGCGAGCGGTGTTCTGCGCGGCACCAGCAATTGCTTCAAAATCCTAGGTATCCTTTTACATAACCTTGCCGTCTATCAGCGCGAGGTATTTCTACTATGCAGCGCGGACGACTCGCCTCTCGAAAGCCCGATGTCGTCATTCTCGCCATCATCAACGGACTCGCTACAGGGTGAGATCTCATTTGGGTTACCCAGAATGATTCCATTTCGCATCGTCTCCAGGTTCACAATCGTGGGGAAGACGACCATTTCGTCCCGACTAATGGTCAGAAAATGAGTCCTGTGGACAAATGGTTAGACCAAGTAGCGTCATCCATGGGTATGGAAGCCTTCGAAGTTGTCATTGGGGAATGAGTCCAGGTGAATGCGCGATACCTCCTCGCCCCATATACTGCATGTCTGCGTACTTCGGAGGGAGAGGTTTTCAGAAAGCAGGTTACAGCGATGACGCATATATAAGGATTGCTTCCACTACTGTGAATGGTGTTCATCTCCCTTGACATGTCCACTTGCACTATCCTTCTTAAGCGCCATCAGTAAATGAGGTCATGGCAGATACGCGCCCTGCATGACATCTGAGGTTGAGCAATCTGCAGATGTCTGAGATCAGTTGATTGAGCAGCAAAGCCACATCCCCTTCGACTTTTTGGTACATTCCCTGGGGCGAAACTACTTTCTTTCTTGGAAATCATGAACCTTATCATTTCAAGTAGATTGTATACACAGGCGCGCATGCACACACAGACACACATACATCATGTTTAATCAACTAAATGATCATCTGGGGAGACTTCGACACGATCAGAAAAGCAAATACGCGAGACTTTGAGAGCCTTGTGTCTCACAGCCAGATAATTTGAGTGCCAACTTCTAGATCGTCAGATCATCAAGGATGCAACCAAACGCCATAACGCACATATCCAGACCCTTCAAGCCTTGAAACCGGAACACCAACTGACAACCAGGATAGAAGAAAGATCATTAAACAAGGTACAACATGAATTGAAAAGAATTGAGAAAATGCCAAAGTGGCGCGGGGTATGTAAGATGGTCTTCTACAAGACCGAGAATAGAAGGGAAGGGTTGGAAGCCCAAATTTGGCGCAGAAGAATCAGAATCGCAGTGAATACAAATCACTGGTCTCCTATTTGACCCGCAAAGGACTCCCTGCGCTGCCGATTCGACCGCTCATTTTGCGGACGCCTTTGGAGTCACTTCTGCTGTCGGTAGCACGACGAGGGCTCGAACGGACCTTGGTGACAGACATTGCCCCACTTCCACTCTTGCCGCTGACAGGAGTCTTTGGGACTGCATGTCCCGCTTCGCCCCAATTCTCTTGATCCTCGTGAATACCGTCCGTCAAAGTATAGCTTGCAGTCACCGTTGCAGAGTGGCTGACTGATCGCTGGCTTGGCGATGCGACAGGGGACCTGGATGAACGCTTGGCCAGCATACGGAGTTGGATCTCCTCTTCGCTCTCGCTGCTATCGTTGCTGAGGCGAGAACTGCGAGTCCTGGTGTGCTCTGTCTTGCTCATCTCCTTCTCAACAAGCAAGGTACCGGAAGTCGTGCGGGCGTAAGGGTGGTGGCGAGAATCCTTTCGGTGAGACTTGCGGGGTTGTCCGGGGGTTGGTGCAGGGAGGTACTCTTCACTGTGCGTACCAGTGCCCTCGTTATGATCAATTTCTCCAAGCGCGGAACGCTTGGAGTGACTGTTGTTGGGTGGCGTTGCGATGGGGCCGTTGGCACGTTGCTTGGTAGATGGTCTTCCTGGGGTAACGGGTGCTGTCTGCATCTGGGCTAACTTTTCCTTCATACTATCTTCAAACCACCATTCACGGAATGAGCCTTGGTTGAGATGGAGCCAATGTTGTTGTGGGCCGACAACCATGCCAGGACGCATGAATCTCATGAATGCGATGATCTCGTTCGCAGTGAAACCGTATCGATAGATGAGATAAGCACCAATCAAGCAGCCTGTGCGCCCGAGACCAGCCTTACAATGCACTGCGATACCTCTTTTCTTGACTGTGATCATGTCATGCGCCATCTTGATGAACCGTCGGACAAGCGGTAAAGGAGGACATGTGCCATCCTCGAAGATCATGTCAATGTGGTTGATGCCCAAGGCTGTGAAGTAGGATGGGGAGTATAGCTCTGAGTTTAATCTCACGACGAGCCCAACGTCGCGAGATGCAAAATGTGCCAGGACATTTTTGAAAGGGAGAGGAAGTTTGGATGAAATGACCTCGGAGATTGTCGACGGCAAAGCATCGTACTCAGGAGTATCGAAAGGCACTGGGGCGATGGGCTGGTGCTGAGGGGACGCAAAGGCGAGGAAGTCGGGCGTGATCCAATTGAAATCGCCCATGTCCACTCGTTCAAACTTTTCATATCTACACACTCCAGTTAATGGCGGGGTCAAGTGAGATCAGCCAGGGGTCCACATACTCTTCAAGGCTGAAGCTGCTTAGACTGCAAAGCGACTGTTCCTTCGCTTTCCAAACTCCGTATACCACGTCCTGGATGGTTAATGTGAAATCTGCCTGGCTATATCCCGCATCACGGAACGGCATGTATGGAGGATCAGCCTGCGCGATAGGCGCCAGGGCCAGATGTGGCGGCCAAGATTGGATGAGGACCATGTAGCAAGCAACTAGGCATGCTGCGTTTGCACGACTCCGTGGATCGCTCTTTGAGTAGAAGACCACCGCTCGATCTTTGTTTGCAGGCTCTCCAAGAATCTCGTGGAAATGAACGGCGAACCGATATAAGTGACCAATGTGGAGAGGCCCGAAGTCCGCATGGAAGGAGTTATAGAACAGGCTGTCATCCGCGGTAAAATAGACCGGAGACCGTTTCTTGCTGGGTGTCTGGGGCTGGTTGCGCGCCGAACGCTTGCTTGGAGACTTGGACTGATCCAATGGGAAGGGGAAAGGTGATTTCGGGTCGGGCGGAGAATCATAGGACGCGAGGTAGAGCCGATCTGCGTGAATTGAATGTCAGGTTCCATCCCTCATGGTAACAAATGACGACGGGACCAAAATCGTTGTTTTGAAAACTCGTCTCCAGAGGATCAAAACAAAGACACGCACGCACCTTGGATGTATTCGATGACCTGGCACTGGCTACCCATGTTTCCAGACATTTTGCTTGTTGATGATGGAGTCGCTGAGAGCAGCAATGCAGTCAAAGCTTGAGCGAGATGGAATAATTGTACGACAACAAATTTGGATAAGGCGAAGTCTCTTTGCAAGGAAAGGGACCGCAAAGGCTCGAAGCGCTTCTCACCACAAATCGGCAATGATGATAGTATAGATTGAGAGAAAAGGATGATCCAGCCTAAACAAGCATGATCTAACTGTTTTCTTGACGCCCTCAGGAAGCAAATAGATGTATGATGATCCAACGCAGGGAGCGAGTAAGGTAATGATACCAGAGGCAACGAGGGCCACGAACGAGGATGATATACAGAGTGGACCGAGAAGGATTCCGATGAGGGGTTTAAGAAGGAGAGGATAAGAAGACAGAGAAGAAGGAGAAGCGAGGAGACGATAACAACAATAATGTTTCGCAGGCTGCACGAGATGGAGGAGAAAGCTAGAGCTCGAGGCCGATGAGACCATTTGGGCAACCGAGATGCACGCTAAGTGGCTGCTGTTATGTTATGATGGTCCCAAGGAGGCTTAGTGCGTCTCGTTGACAGGACAACTACCCCGTTGCCTCAGGCATCCCCATGGAAAAACAACATTCAGGGTCATGGCGCTTATGTAAACCTGTGTTTTCCCCCCACAGGCAAACAGCGCAAACAAAACAACTCAAGCCACAACCAAAACACTCCAGCCACATCCTGCAATCCATCAAGTTTCAGCCACAGCCAGTTTGTTGTTGGGCTTGCTGGATCTGAATAATGGCACCAACTCTGTTGCAGAGAAAGCATTTGTAACCATTAGAGCCTGGTTGATATCACATAACACTGGAATGGTGCATTCTCATTGAAAGTGGAGATGCCGAACATCCTGTTGTAACTGTTGAGTACTTCTCGATGGATGTGCTATCTATGCGAGTGATATATATCTGTCTCAAGTATGGCTCGCCAATGACTTATCCAGACAGTTTGGGATTCCTCGTACCATTATTTCGCGGAACTTCCCTCTGACAAAATGAACCTGGGCTTTTGTTGTTCCTCATTTAGAATCTCTCCTTCGACCTCATCTGCCATCCTAACCTCAACATTGATCGACATAGACCCTCTGTAAGAGGAAAACCCCGAACCAGAGACCGGAATCAAAGACAATACGATCTACTTAGCTGTGTGGTTTATATTGTTCATCGTGTCACCTTGGAGTAGCAATGACGGCACCCATACACCTTCGGGATGGTACCGGGCATGGTCAGACAAAGAAAGTCAAATAGAAGATCAGATACTCGGCCACACCGAGTTCTTGCCTGGGATAGCGAGCTTCTTGACACGGGTCTATCAACCACGTTTTCGAGGGCTCTCGCAGCATATAAAGCTGGTTAAGCACGCATGAATTGCGAACCACCTGAGTATTCACCCCTTCCAACTTCTTGTATCACAATCAAATCCTCCACTAAGGTTAGAAACCGCGAGTCCTATCCATCCAAGCAAGACGATGCATTTCAAAGTAATTGTTTTCTCTGTGGCACAATGTGTTCTGCTCGCGTCAGCGAGTCGTCCCCTTCGCGAATGTTACAGCATCGACAGCTCTTGCTCTCCATGTCGTCAGGAGTATTGGTTCCAGCCCAATGATTTTTCGTGCCGAGTGGGCGAGACCTGTTGCGCTGGTCAATGCTGCAGGTCTATTTGATCTGTTGTACCACTTCCATCTCTCTGGTCTCTGGTAAGATAAGACCGACAAGTTCCGATTAGGGATGTTCTTGGACGAGCTAATGGGAAGGCGATTATAGAGGGGCTACCTGTGTGATGACGGATGGAGGCCATTCGCTTGACTATCAGATCATTCAAGGGCGGTTAAAGCCTGTATATGGCACGCGAGGTTATTAGGCATTGGTTGTATGAATAGTTCACTCCCTTCGGCTTGAGAAATCTCGAAGGCATGGAAGGCTTGAAGTCTGCTCATAGTGGGCTTGATGATGTTAATAGCTTGTTTTGGGCAGTATTGCATTGTTTAGATCAAAGGGAGTCTGACGCCAGATTCATAGAACGGTAGAGATTATGAGGTACGATGACTGTTAGATGAGATTTTCTTTGTCAAAGACTGAGAGGAGGCTGGATCGAATGCTTGAAGGTATTGCAGGGAAGAGACCACAGGGTCGACCTGGGCTGGAACAAAATACTGGAAGATAGCACATGTATTCGTATCGGTTTGGCAAAAGGTATGAGGGGGAATTGCAATCAGCCAAACGACAGGATTCAGGGGCATGTATGATGAGTACAAACTGTACATCCAGGGTAGGATATCTTCAAGAATGATGGATACATTTTACCTGGACAAGAACGCATCCAGTAGATATAGCATTTGAATCATCTTTAAGGGTATCAAGAGAATTGCTATCCCGCTATGATCTACTCTGTACTACTGAAACACCGAGCCTGGCTCTTTTGTCTTGTATCTACTTGACAGTCATCTCATCATCTTGAATTAGATATAATAGCAATCAAAGCCGTGATATCAGCCATTTACTCTAGTATCCAGTAAGTGAAATTATGACAGACAGAACAAACACCTTTCTCGGAGACTAGGATGATGTAGCTCTGAAGTATCGCACGGTCGTGCACCAAACTTCCCCATGAAGTGCGCGAGATACTCTCTATATGAGGCTTCATCGCAAGGCCCCCAAGATCTCAAGTAAAAGCAGTAGTCATCAGGCTCCTTCAAATGCTTGTACTGTGTGGTTTCCAATTGAACTTCAGGGGAGGATAGGTCCAACTACCCCTTCAAAGACCGTATTGGATCCGAGGTCTACTTTCTGGGGCAGTCGGAGTGGACAGGTCGGCACGAGATTTCGGAGTAATAGCGGTCAATTTCGAAGTTTCAAGAGATGACAATCATTCGAAGGGAAGACGTGATTAGACTTGCCTCGTTGTTGAGCTTCTGCACTTTGTCATTTGTCTGTTAAATGACTCTGTTGGGTTCGAATTGCGATTCCCACGCAGGTAGAATATGATCGGCAAGATTGGTATGCCACTAGTCCCTACGGAAGTATGGAAAGTATGGAGTCGTCGTTCCTACGTCCCAAGATCATTGCTTCTCCTAACGTGCTTCTTCCATTCATCCATGTCGATACAACAACTCCAACAGTGTCAAGATATCAATCACATCTAAAAATTTGAGATCGAATGTAGCAGACGTAAACTTCTACGCATCTATTCTTGATAACAATCTTCCGGTGAGATTGCTAAGACCTCTGTTTACGAGGATTTCGGGGATGGTGGCAACAATTAAGGTGATAAACGACTGACGATCTTCCCGCTAAACCAGACTATTGGTAAAAAGGTTTGGATTCAAGCAATCCAATAACGTTTAATCTGCTTCTCTCTCTCTCTCTCTCTCTCTGTGTGTGTGTGTGTCTTTTGTTGCGGAGAACAGCGAGAATCGACAGTGTCTGAAATGAAACTTGCTGCACTCCCCGCGCTGTTTGTATCAAGTTGTCAACGTCCTCCGCGAACTATCTATAAGGTATTGTTCCTGGATTCATACCCCCTATATGTTAATGTGCCTAATGAAGCTAACTATCTGCTTTGACAGAGCTGTTCCGACGTCTCTGAGCCCGCCCATGTACCCGTCTGTCAACTACCCCGTCCACTCCTCATGATCCATTGGTTGCTACGACAAACTATTCTGGTCTTGGAGATTGTTGAAGAGACGGTTGCCATTTGGGAATAACTCACAAGTCTCCGCTGACTTGAGTTTCATTTAGTATCTTCTCTTCCCACCCTGCTAGTGCCTCTTTCTAGACTCCAACCTTTCAAAATTGACAGTCAGGGTCCGTTATAGCTGGGATAGTACTTCCTTTGGCGGAGTCATAGAAGGACATCATGTCCAATAGAGCACCAAGCCGATGAGAAGCTTTCTCTCCTGAGTCCTGAGGTATTGCCAATCTCTATGGGTCCATAGGGCAATGGCCATTCTTACTCGTCAGTTTGAAACTTGGAGTCTGAGCCCACGTTCTAGTATTCAGGTATATAGATAAATAGTATGAACAGACTGAGCCCAAGCAAATCTTGGGTAAGAATCTTGGACAAGAAATATCTCTCCTCCATGCCGATCGCTATTAGTATCAATTCCAGCTCTAAGAACGAGAGGGTCCGGGACATGATGGTCTCCCATTTGGGCGTGCTCGAGTATCCCCCTGATCTACACATGTAGAATCCAAAGCAGCTTTAGGATAGAGGAGCACTGGGCAGTAAAGGAAAGAAGGACGAAGGAGACAGGCGTAGGGGTGAAAGGATCACCTCTGAGGTTCTCGCATGGAGGCATATAAAATGACGGTCCGTCCGGCCTCAACCCAGGTTCTTCTCTTCAACACACCAAAGCCCACTCTTTCCAGTCGTTCATTCCCAAGGTCAGCTTTCAGCACCCAGTCACTCCTTCATCACAAACTTTGAAGTCACCCTTTTAAATTTCCAAACCTTAATTCAAAACCAACCATCACAATGAAGTTCACTGGAATCGTCGCTTCTCTGGCCATTGCCAGCTCTGCCTCTGCTCTTGCTATCCCTCAGACTCCTGTTGATGCTACGCTCAGCAAGCTGAACGGTGTCCTCGGCAGCGTTGAAGGCCTCGTCGGTGGTCTCCTCGGCGGCGTCTGCAAGGATGTTGACCTCACTCTGGTCCAGACTGGTAAGTCACAGCGCTGCAAGCAAGCCAAACCAGCAACGCTGACTTGAATCTTTTAAACAGACCTCACCGATATCAAGGGTCAGCTGGTCAAGCTTGTTCCTGTCGCTGTTCCCGCCAAGCGTGACGTTGCAGGCCCTGTTAACGGTCTTACCACACCCGTGACCAACGTTGCTGGCCCTGCTGTTGGCACCGTCGAAAACACCGCTGGGGCCGCCGTAGGCACCGTTGAGAACACTGCCACTGGTGTCGTCAAGACTGTTACCGGCAGTATGTGATGAACACCCCCCGCAAAAGAGTCAGACACGGCTAACAAGTATATAGCCGTCGGCATCAAGCGCCAGGAAGTTGGCCAGCTCACCACCCTTGCTGAGAGCCTTGTCACCAAGATCCAGAACAGTAAGTGTCACTTTGTTGACGATGGTAGATATACAGGTTCTGATGTCTTTTAGATGCCCTTGATGCTGCTGGACTCGAGAACGTCCTCAACATTCTCGGCCAGACCGGTAAGTTATCCCCTTTTTTGACCTTCAAGAAAACAATGAGTGCTAAACCCTTCCTCAGGTGGTCTCTCCGCTGTCACCACCATCCTCAACCTCCTCCAGTAAATGCTTCATCTCATTTCAGGATCCCAATACCCCACACTCTTGAAGAAAAACCCCGTTATACACGGCTCCGGTCTGCGAATCTGAGAATTTCTTGACCATATGGTAGTATAGCGGCTTTGAACTACTAGTTACGGTTCATTTTCAATCTGCCTAATGGCTTTGGATCCTGTGGATACAGCTTCATGTATAGTAACTTACTCAAATTTCACAAATTTCATAACATCATGTCTGAACAACGTTTCTTTTGTACAATGCAGCATTGCAAGGTGCAAATATAATTTCAGTAATCTGTCATATAATATAGGAATGGAGCAACTTGTGGTATTCTAGAAAGTTCAAGTGCCAAAATGGATGGAAGAACGTCTTTGGGCTGATCTGGATGCATTAAAGTGCTGACTCATCAGAACCTCCAAAATCAAGCATCCCCCGCCTTGACTGTTTCCCCTTTGTGAAAGTCGTATGTATTGAGAACCACCTCACTAGCTTCATATCTCTCAAATTACTTTCGCCGTCAGGTCTCAAAGTCCATTCACAATGGCCACCATTAAAACAGACATCTCCGAGTTCCCTTACTCGCTGTAAGCATTGCTCGCCGTCATCCTGCTCATCTCCACCTATCACTAACAAGCCCCTCCCCTTCACACCAACAGAACAATCTCTCTTCCCCTCCCGAGCAATCGCCTCGCCTCATCCGCCATGCGCGCCCTAGAGGTCGACACAGAGTTATCCCCCTTTGTCCGCCGCAGTTTCGCGCTCAAGACGCCCACCCAGGACGCCTCTGACGACGAAGCAGCAAAATCGATCTTGGAGACAACTTACCGCGCCACTACGAATCGCATGCTCCGTGTTGCTGTCAATGGGTTCATGGAGAGCCTGGGAGTTGTGCTCGGGGTCATGGAGGAGTTGGATGTTGATGTTCTGGAAGAGGAGAGGGCGAAATGAGCGCCACTACCTTGGGAATGCACTGAGATATGGGATGATTGTCCTGTGAGGACTCCGTCTACGGCGCGCTGCTGCGCTCTATGGGTGCGGCTAGTGGATTCCTCGTCCATTTGACTGCAACGATTGAGTGACGACGCGATATCCCTGGCTACAACTCAGTCGCGGCGGTTACTCCTTGCTGGATGACTGGAAAGTGAGAGATGAAGAAGTCGTTCGCGCCCAGGACGATTACTTCTGAATCGGTCGCAATGACAAGAACAACTAGAGTATGCCGGTGAACTTTAGGACACGCGCAGCCCTCCCCATGGCTTACTGTCGGTCAAGGGGCTGGCGTTCCAACGATGGGGATATGCCGCAGAAGATGTGGCTCCTGGAGAAAGAAATGGTTTACGGATAAGGGCAGTTCAGTTCCGGGCTCCTTGGTGCGACTATGAGGTGGTACAAATATGTGGGGATTCAAGTGGAAGCCCAGCAGCATGACAAACCATCCCTCGTAGCCAGTCAAGACAGTGCGGCAGTGCTGCTCTCGAACAATCTCGAAGCCATGTATATGGATGTATCTGCTCAGTAAATTGATCAGATTGGCCCAATGAGCCAGCATATTCATCCACTTATGCAAGCAGTATAGAAATAAACATGTGGGTTGAGCCATTAAGCCACGCATTTGCCTAGTCTCTTAATGGATTAATCCCCGATGTCTAGAACTATCATGATGACAAAACATAAACATAGAGAACCCAGAACTGCAGGCTCGAACTGAGATTCGTAGACCAAAAGAAATGATTTGGAATTGTTCAGAACCGTTGGATGTTGATATCACAGCCATCAGCCCAGCACGATATCAGCGTCATCGGCGTCGGATGGTTTCACGTCCGCCAGCGCCCCTCAACAGATATCACCAAACCAGTGTCTTAAAACGCATTGCGTCCCCCGGTTCCGAGCAACCTCGGTTCCCTGATTATATAGCATGATACCAATTTCATCAATTCCTCCTTCCTCTGTCATCCTGCGCGGCTTCTCCTTAACTAATATAACACGAACGCTATCGGTCAACGTCCCAAGAGCTTACTCTATCGTTTCTCAGCCACGGATCCCCCTAAGCGGATTTTCTCAACGACCCAGTCCTATCGCATCATCTTCTTCTCCTAGAAGCTGTCTTTTTCAGCACCCGAAAACAACTTTCATCAGAACCATGGCGTCTGCGACAACATTCTACGACTTCAAGCCTGTCGATAGTACGTATCTCTTTTCCCGCGACCCAGAGTCACTCATCCATACACTCCCTGCAAGTCGGGCGCAACACAGACCAGAAAAGAAAACAAAAGGAAAAGAACATAGCTAATCCTCCACCCTCACCTCCAGAAAAGGGCGAGCCCTTCGATTTCAACTCCCTCAAAGGCAAAGTCGTCCTCGTCGTCAACACCGCCTCCAAGTGCGGCTTCACCCCACAGTTCAAAGGCCTCGAGAACCTCTACCAGTCCATCAAAGCCAAGCACCCCGAAGACTTCACCATCCTGGGCTTCCCCTGCAACCAGTTCGGCAGCCAGGATCCCGGCTCCAACGACGAGATCCAGTCCTTCTGCCAGGTTAACTACGGCGTCACGTTCCCCGTGCTGGGCAAGCTGGACGTCAACGGTGATAACGCGGCGCCTGTGTTCACATGGTTGAAGGAGAAGATGCCTGGGCTGATGGGTCTGAAGCGCGTCAAGTGGAACTTTGAGAAGTTCTTGGTCTCGGCTGATGGTAAGGTCGTTGGCCGCTGGGCTAGCATTACCAAGCCTGAGTCGCTGGAGGAGACGATTCTGAAGGAGATTGAGAAGGCGAAGAAGGATGGAACGGCGGCTTCCATTCAAAAGGGAGGAGAGGCTACCGAGTAGGCTAAGCTGTCGTAGATACAGCTGCTTGCCGAAGTGATACCATGCTTGAATTCTGTCGTTTTGTGTGTTCAAGGTCTACTTTCGAGATGGGGTTTGTAACAGATGCTCTCTACTTTCTGTATACCATAATGCGTTATGAGAATGAATTTGTATTCTGAAGCAGCAGCTTGAAAACGTGCATGATGTTATGGCTGTCAGGTTGATGTATAGTTCGTCACTGGTATCATGTAGATCTACATGCATGTGACTAATGACTAGATCAATTACCATACTCTACATCGTACAGATTTCCTGGGCAAATTAAGCCGCGGCGCTTCCCTTGGGAATCAAATTGCGCAGAGACAAATCGTACACCACATCCTCGACCTTCTTGACCTTCAATCACATCTCCATTAGCAGCGTCCAAACAAGCAGCGAGCCACAGAGGCCATTGACTCACACTGTACTTGATCCCATCGCTTCGCTTCCGCAGAATATCGTTTTTCAAGTTCAACAGCTGGAATCCACCAAACAGATCCTTGATGAACTTGCCAATCTGGACAGGGCGATTATAGTCGCCCAGAGTGACCGAGTTGACTACCAGGCGGGACTGCATCGGAGTCAGATAGCCGTACAGCAGGTCTAACGGAGTATGATTGGTACGTACCAATTCCTCAACCATGGAGATGAGCGCAAGAAGATATTCCTCGATGGTCAGGTGGAAAGCATCTTTTTCTTTCAGGTTGACCGGGACTGGCAAGAGCCCTCGTTAGACATCCAGCTACGGCTAAACACAAGAACAAAGAATAAAGGCAGGACATCCAAACTTACTGTCTAAAAACTTCCCAACCTCCTCGATGGTCAGGAACGAAGCAGAACCGGCACCCTTGAACTCCTCTAGGCCTCCAAGCCATGCGCACAGCTCAATCGAAGTTACCTATTCGCAACTTAGCATGCCTTGGCTGAGCGGCAAGGTTCAAGAGGAAAACAACTGACGAGGTTCTGCAGCTCCCTCGTCCACACGCCATTGTACTTGTAGAACGGGTGCTTGTCTGCCACGGCTCTGAGGCGAGAAACCTCGTCCCGCTGGGCGATGATCTCTCGAGTAGCAGCATCAAGAATCGGTTTCACTGGATTGTGCTCTGTCAGTATCATGAACATATACTTTCGCTGACCGAAATGGACACCATACGCTGGTCAGATGGTGTAGAGTGGGCTCTAGCGAGTATAGCTTGTGTGGATCTTCCTGTTTTTGAGTGGTTATGTCGCGTTAGCTGGAAAAGAATTTAGAGCTTGCAGCGCCAAATTGGGCTAAACGAGCATGGTTTGGTTTGACATGAATTGGAGTTTCGCGCAGCGAACCTTTCTTAGCAAGCGTCTGCACAATATCATGAAGCTCCTAAGCGGGGATTAGCTTTCCTTCTGGGAAGCTCGCGAGGTGACGATCGAACTTTTGTTTTGGAGGACTTACATCGCGGACGGCTGTTTCTTCATCGATCTTTGCTTGAAGATCTTCAAAAATGGCGTTGTCAATCATTTTTGGGGAATTGCTGGGGTTTCTGATTAATTTGTTTGTTGCTGTTTCGGGGTTGGATGAGCTATTGTGATGTTCGATGTTACGTCAAGGCAAATGAGGTGAAGAAATTGCGGGGCGTTGAAGCTGCTCGAAAGCGGACGTGGTCAACGAAAAAGCCTTTACAGCGATTCCACGGGAGGATAAATATGAGATTGCAGCTCACTAATAGCTGCAATATGTTTTACCGCATATATAATTGTATCATGAATGTAGAAGGACTACCTGATCAAGCACCTTTCGATCAACTGCATGGACATATATATTTACGTCGTTGACCATGCGGTAACCTATTATATGTGGGAATGGTCAAGAAAGAGAATCCAGAGTATATGTGAATGAATCAATCCATGTTCATTTTTTCGTATATGAACAGTAGACTGGCGCAAACCGCCTCTCGATTAATACTACCGTGTAGATATCGACATAAGTCGAGATGCTTGCCTTCAAAATCAAACTTTCATGCCTCGTAGTCTCATCTCACAGACGAACAAATAGAATGCAAAGCAATAAAAACAGAGCAATGGTAACTCTGCTAGAGCTTAAGACTGCGGCTCGTCCCCAGGCAATAGCTCTACCAGCTGAGCACGAATCTCTAGTAGCGATATCTCGTCGAGTAATCTGTACGGTTATTAGTCGCAGGAATTGGAAGATTCAAGAGAAGATCTAGGGCTTACCCTTGGGACTGACGACGAGACCCCGTCCCTTTTTGGCACCCTTGTAGATGGTCTCGATGATGTCGATCAATTCTTGCTTATCCTCGAGTACCCAGTTCAGCTTGTTGTTGTTACCAGTACCAAAATCGCACATCATGTGCTTGTTTCTCCAGAAGAACATGATCGTCATGGGATCGAACAGTTCGTACATGGAGTTGAACTCGGGTACTTCATCAATGTCACAGAGATAGATCACTGCGAAGTCTAATGAAACATGTCCATCAGTAAACTCGATGCCTTTAGCCAGATCATGACTGGAACGAAAGACCCTAAAAGCGATGAAGCCAAAATGACAGACTAGACTTACTCTTCACACGCTCGGCAATCTTGAAAAGCATTTCATCCTGGCGCATACCTGACACACGTTGTTAGTATCCCAACCCATATGAGCTGCGATGGTGGATTCTTACAGTCAACGTCATGATCGCGACCAAATCTGATAACCTGTACCAAGTCCCAGATCAGTAGCCATCCTATAGAACTAGATGCACGCTTCAAAATGAGAACTCAAATACATACTACAAGTCTGTCCTCCTCGGAGAGAATAGCCTGGTCGACATGCCAGGCAGAGCGCAAGTGTGGCAACACGACTGACCCCATATTGATAGTTGCCGATTAAAGGATGATGGTATGGAAACTGGTTGCCCAATGGAGGATTTGTCGCCTAGTACTCCGTAGTATATCACGTGTACTGATAAGATAATGAAGTCCAATCTTCCCTTTGACTTCTTGCTAGAAGATGAAGAGAGTAATATAGTCTAGATCGCGGAGACAAGAATAGAAAGTTCATTCGAGGGATAGCTTTAAGTTGGTTCTATGAAGGAGTAAAGCATACATGGTCATCAAGCTCTGTTTCCATACATTATGGTAGCCTGATTGGACGCTCTATAACAGCTGGAAGCTTCCACGTACATCTACCAAACAGGCACAAACAGCGTTGCTGAGATTGTACATAAACCTAACGAATGAAGCCAATCACTTCTTCTCCAATCAGTCGGACAAGCCGGCCAAGTTGATGAAAAAGGTGGTTCGCGTCAATCGGGAGTAGTGTAAGCCCGATGACACTGTGTGGTGAGGCATGCGCAAGCACAGAGGCCTCTCCACAGAATCCAAAAATGAGATTAATCAATGTTGTGTTCCTTAGAACACTTTCAGAGATTAAACTGAAAAGAACAGATACTACACTTGATCTAAGCCAAAAGGCAAAGAGAGCTGAAGAAGAAAAGAAAAAAATTCTAAATGATGGCGGGGGCTAAGGAGTATTTATCTCTCTGGCAAATGGTCCGTGCGGCGTTAGCTGCCTAGCCTCATCTGCCTTCTGCTGTAAGCGAGGTGAGGCTGTGGTTGCGTTCCATGATTGGCTGCTGTCCCAGAGTATGCCAGCACTGTCAGATGATGCTACCGGGCCCTAATATCTAACTGTAGCCCTAACTGCATACCCAAAGAGGTTAGTCACGCCCACCAGCGACCGGCGACCTGTGACTCCACTACTAGCGAAAAGTTCCCTCTACTCCATACAACTTCTCTCCTCAGGCGCAGGATAATCACCTCTTTGCGACCACTGTATCTCTCTCCCACCCTTTCAAAAACACCCCCATCAGTCACAATGGCTCCCGCTGCTGTACGTTGTCATCCCACAAACTGCTTTGCTGTTCCCCCATGAGGGCTGGTTATGGCGCGCTTCTCGTCTGTTCAAATCGCCGGAGTTCCTCCAGCAATTGACAGGCAGGAGACGATCATGATTCTCCCTCGGGGTTCGACTTATGGAACAGTAGGCTAATGGTTCTGTTTTCTCGGTGTTAGGCTCGTGGTCGCAAGGCCCAGAAGGTCACCCAGAAGGTATGTTGGCAATCGCACCAGAATTCTCATTTGGACACAGACATGGACAAAGAGCTAACGCATGGCGCTACAGTACATCATCAACGCTTCGCAGCCCGCGAGCGACAAGATCTTCGATGTCTCTGCCTTCGAGAAGTTCCTGCACGACCGCATTAAGGTCGAGGGCCGTGTCGGCAACCTCGGTGACAACGTTGTCATCTCCCAGGTTGGTGAGGGCAAGATCGAGGTTGTCGCTCACATCCCCTTCTCTGGTCGCTACCTCAAGTACCTGTAAGTTATCTCGCGCTGCGTATACAACTTGCGGTGTGTCGGATACTAACGGTTTCCCCCATAGGACCAAGAAGTACCTCAAGAAGCAGCAGCTCCGTGACTGGCTGCGCGTCGTCTCCACCTCCAAGGGTGTCTACGAGCTCCGCTTCTACAACGTCGTCAACGACGAGGGTGAGGAGGATGAGGAGTAAATTACTCCTCCGTGACGACTAAAAAAGTTGCATGTGATGGATCCATGAATGCTCGCACCAGGGGGGATTCGCCAAGCAAAAACGGGAGCTTCCAATTGGGAGTATGCTATGGGTTCGTTCGAGTGTTAGGTGGACTTGATGGGAGGATTGCACGCTATCAGACGATGCATCTAGTTCGAACAGTGAACTTGACACAAGCCTGAAAAGGTTGTGCTCAGTCTCTTGCTTGGCTTGAAGCGATCTGCTAGTGTTTCCTCTTTCTACTCATGACGTTACGATTGATAGATATGAATCGAGTTAATCTATCGCCCGAATTTTGATAATGAACAGTAGTGACGGCTGTAGAACTCCTCACAGTGGATGGTTGCCTATCATTAGATGCAAATGGGTATCATGTAGTATATTGCTTGACTCTAGGTTAACGCTCCGTCCTTCCTCTTATGACCGGCTCCTGGACCAAGTCTCCGATCCTCTGCCACATCCCTCGTGCCGGGCGGAGGAGCGAGCTTGCTGTCTCGAATCTGCCATCCTTTGGATTTCAAAATCTTCCAAGTTTCAGATGCCTTGACCCGTACCAGATCACCGGTGGCTACAGCGTCTTCTTTGGAATCATGCCCTTGGTTCCCTTTGGTCTGAATATCTCTATCGAGGTGTTTCTTCACGAGGGCTTTGAGGCTCATGCGGATCGGCAGCCCTCGCGGATGCGGATAGAGAAGCACCGTATCGATAATCGTGGGATGAATAATGCGACAAGCGTTCAGGTCATTGTCGATAGCATGTCCGATGAGAGGTGTATCGGGTTGTAGAAGCTTGAAGAGTAGGGCCCGGGCTGCTGCTGGCGATTCGACAACTTGTAGTGGCTTGGCCTCGACTTCGCCATCTTCGAGGACAGGGGTTGTTGTGCTGCCGTAAGGGATTGCTTTGGTGTAATGCTCCGGGAATACACCGGAAAAGCGCGAGTTGAGATCCAGAACTTCGCCCATCGGCCGAACCAGGATATCCAGAAGTTCTTTTCCTTCTGGCCAGCTGACTGCGGTCAGACGAATGAGTTCAAGCCCCATTGTGGTATATCCCATTTCACAATCGAAGCAAACCGGGTGCTGGGTTCCTTTCTCGGGCTGCACCGGAGTCTCTTCGAATTGAAGGATCGACGCCAGCCGTTTGAATTCAGACACTTTGAATACATGGGTGCTGCCTTTGGTACAACCAGAAGACGTCCCGATAGATTCGTTGCAGCAGGGGAAATATGCTTCTCGGGGGCCGGTGATGTGGTCTGTTTGCTTCCTCGGGGGATAAAATGGCTTGCCAGGGTGATATGTGCATTGGCCTCCGGTCGTTAAGGAGCCATCTTCGCGACGACCAGGGAAGACTTGAAATCGTCCACCACACCTATCGCACTTCTCCCATCCTTTAGATTCAGTGACGCCCTTTCTTGCACTTTCAACTTCCTCCTTTGTAGGTACTCTAGTCACGTATCCATGAGCTTCAAGTCCTTCCACAGGAGTGATTAGCTTGCTGAGGAGAGCGATTTCTTCCTTTGCGCTCAGTCCCGTGTCGAGGATCTTCGGCGGCGCTATTTGTTGGCTTTGTTGACTTGGCTCTATCTTGTAGTATCGCTCATTCAAATGAGCTTTCACCTCTTTCTTCCAGTCTTCCAGACCCAACTTTGGTAGTTTCACAATCCGCAATTTGATGACGTTCGCATAAATGCCCGGGTTCTGTTTTGCTGCTTTCTCTTCCTCGTCCAAAGCCATCGTGACAAGCTCATTGGGAGATAATACCAATGGATTCTCCGTGGCTCCTTCTTTTTTCAGCTTCTCATTCTGGGCACACATGGCGACATGTAGCTTTGTTAATATAGACAATCGTACGCCATGAGATACTGGTGCCTTTGGAAGCATGCGTGGATTCAGGCTTTCTCGTGGAGCTCGTCTCGGGGGTAGACGAGCATCACTTTTTGAAGATGCCTGAGATTTAGTCTTGGCCAGGGCGTCCTTCTTCAGCGGAGGAGGGGAAACCTCTCGAGACATCGACTGGATCTTGGTAGTGCTTTGACTTATCTGTTGCGGCTTCGATGCTGCCCCAACATTCGGCGCACTAGCTGGTTTGGTCACAGCCTTGCTTGGTTTTGACGGCGACTGAGTCTTCTGCGCCGTCACTTTCGGTGAGGTGTCCAATCTTGGCTTCTTCAACGGTGGACCCTCGTCGGTCGTTTCTTTGGGCCTTTCAGTCGTGTCTTGAGCATTACTCACGTCGATTGATGGAGAGGGCGCATATTCATGGGAGAATATGCAGGTCAAAAGAGAGCATCGTTGACCTTCTGGACAAGGAATGTCCTTGAATAATCCGAGAGGAGTAAACATGATGATGATGGAGCACAGAGCCAGAATGTGCTTGGCTCGGGGAGCGTTTTATAGACTTTCTAAGCTCAGATATCATAAATTCAAAACTGAGATTGAAGTGAAGGTAAATAGAGCCTGAATGATTGAGACATGCAACTCAATGATAGTCTTAGGTGGAAGCAACCAGCTCTTCAGAAGGTCTCAGCTTAATCGTGACTGAGCCAGTTGCTCGTGTAAGCGTGAAGCTCTAGATGATATAGCGCCCTGCCACTAGTAAACCACACATGCTAGGGTCAATTGTATGCAATTTCCAGCTCCTAATGCTCATATTGGTGTCACCATATCATGATCATGCTCCTTTGCAGTACTCCGCTGGGTTTCGGATGATACGAGACAGCACCGCTCAAGCCTAGAAACGTCTCTGGTATCTGGTAAGATTGGCCTATAGCCTATCAACAGGTAGAGACCTGGCCCAAGTTAATCCGGACAGTTGTCTCAGAAGCGACTCTTGATGATCCTCTGAGCAGACAGGTTGTGGTCACCAGGTCAGTTGGTTTCGGTGGACAGGCGGCGAATGTTGCAAACCAAACAAACCTGCCTGATTTCTCAGGCAAGAAATGACGCCAGGTCCACTGGGCTTATCATCAGAGAGTGATCAAAAATAGAGATCAGGCAGAAAGGAGAATCGTAAGCACTACGGAGAAACCTGGAATTACAAAATCTGCAATGAAGCCGGCGAAGAGATTGACTGTCATCTTCACAGATGGAGATTGACCATAACCAACTCTCTAAGTCTAACAATATGGCGCATAAATCTGACCATCTTTGTGTTCTAGTGCATGGGTAAGAGAAGAGAGCTTCTTACGCGCCACCACTGATGACGTTTTTGCCTGTCCCATGGATGGAAGTCGCTAATTGTGTGAATTCATCCTGCAGGCTCTGGGGTAACCCATCTCATCTTGATTTTTTGAAGTCATCGCTTCGAGAGCGCTATGATGAAGACCGTCTCTACATCCTCGCCGCGAAGGGCAATTCCGGAAATTTTACCTACGATGGGATCGAGCTCGGGGGTGAGCGATTGGCGCATGAGATCGAAGACACCTTGGGTATATTGGCAGGGGAGGGTAATCACATCACAAAGCTGAGCATTGTCGGATATTCCTTGGGAGGCTTAGTGGCCAGGTATGCGCTGGGTTTGCTCTACGCACGAGGATGGTTCGACAAGTTGGAGCCTGTCAACTTCACGACATTTGTCACGCCGCATGTCGGCGTGAGAATGCCATTGAAGGGGTTTCAGGACCATGTCTTCAATGCCATCGGAGCTCGAACTTTGTCCACGTCTGGAAGGCAACTGTTTCTGATGGACAGTTTCCGTGACACTGGAAAACCTTTACTTAGTATCCTAGCCGATTCAGACAGTATCTTCATGCAAGCTCTGGCCAAGTTCAGGAATCGTTCAGTATACGGAAATATCGTCAATGACCGCTCGACGCACTTCTTCACCACTGTTGTCTCGACAACGAATCCATTTCAGGATTTGGGGAATAAGAACGTGAAGTACGTGAAGGGCTATGAGCCAGTTGTGATCGATCCCGATGCGTACTTCCTGCCTCCAAAGGAAAAGAAACCACTTCCTTTTGCCTCTAGACTGTGGCAACAAATCACTGGGTGGTTGACCAAGCTTTCAATCTGGTTGCTCGTTATTGTTCTTGTCCCTATTGCAATCTCGCTGTTCCTTCTGAACGCCGTCGTGCAGACATATCGCAGTCGTCAGCGGATTCGGCTTCACGAGGATGGCAAGGCCGGGGTACTTCTTTCGAACTACCGAGTACCGATCATTGTCAAAGACGTTCAAAGCGCGGTAGAAGGTGCTTTTGAAAATGTGAATGGGATGCAGGATCCGGATTATTTGCCCAACATAAGCAACGATACCAGTAAGACAGGCGCACCGCTGCGGACATCGGCCGTGACGGTTGGGGATTCCTTGGGGAGCAATGATAATACAGACCAAACGTCAACACTAATGTCCGATGATGTTTGTGGAGATGAAAAATCCCCGACACTGGCTCTGACGCCAGCGCAATTCTCCATCATCAACTCCCTCAATTCCGTGGGTTTCCGAAAATACCCGGTATGGATCCATAACCATCGCCATAGCCATGCTGCCATCATCGTGCGAGTGCCCAAGAAGGGATTCGAAGAAGGTGGGACTGTTGTGAAGCATTGGCTCGATAACGGCTTCGATATCGAATGATAACTTGGACCTTGATTTCTTTCAGATTCGCAATAGCAGCATGCGGGGAAGATATTCTCCATGCGGGGGATTGCGGGCCACGATGGAGCAACCTTACCCACAACACCCGCCAGTGAGAAACCCAATACTCCATTTCATTTCTCTGGCTTCCTGCACGCAGCAACAATGAAAAAGCGATATGGAGCACATCACTCTGCATAATAGGCCGCCCGGGATCTCTTGGCCTCGTGTAACCCACCAACACCCCGCTCTCACTAACGGAACCGGTGCCTGGACGGCGGCGTTCTCGGCTGCGGCACCATGCTGCGTGGTGCGCAGGCTGGCGCTTGACATTCGATCCATTCCCCCGCGCGCGAAGGCTGCAACTGGGATGCAAGTCGCCAAGGAGTCAAAGAACAGCCACCCAATAATCACTCACCCGCTCAACACCTCCTCCCCCCTGCTTCCAACCAATACAAATCTTCCACAGTATCCATGTGTGCCATACCAGGAGTACTTCCCAATAGAGCCACTTGCCTCTTCCCCCCTCTGCACTCTGACGTCGTCCTGACACGCGCAAAGGGGTGGAAAAAGGGGGCAGAGATTGTCAATAAACATTGCATAACAGACGAGAGGCTACGAACCTTAAAAGACACCGGAGTTGCCGTGTTTGTGTCTTCCGGTTCGCAATCCACCCCCAGTCTTTGTGGCTGTACGATGGCATAAATGGCGCATCTAGGTGCGCTTGGCTTTCAGCCTTGTCGCCGTGTCCCAATCATCCGTAGTGGCTCTTGCTAGGTGTAACGGGCTTATGGCTAGTGTGGAATGGACGGAGCAGCGAGTGTTGCATTGGAGATGCAGCTAAGCTACCCCTTCACCATTGTCTGACACTTTGTGTTTTTGTCATCATTTCATTATTCGTGGGGCTAGGTTGGGTTGGGTTGTAGGCTCGGCTTCGGTTCGGATATTACATACTCTCGTTGATTCGGATACGTCACTAGTTTGGAATAAAGATCTGTTCAAAATATTCATTCATTTCAGGCCCACGGAGCCGTACCCATCTGATCCTCGAGGTGTGTCGGCAACCACGAACATAGGGTGTCTATCTTAGTGGCAGAAATCATGGGCAGTTCATAGGAAGTAAAACAAAAAAGAAAGAAAGAAAATCATACTGGGCATTATCTGGGAATCAAGATGCGCAAAACAAAGAAACAAAAAAAATCATGACATGTTCGTTCAGACATTGTCGGGAAGGAACCTCGAATGTCATGTAATCGAGGTATATTATGTTTAAAAAAAGAAAAGTAGGGTAGAAGGAGAAAAATGCGGTATGCAATCAATGCAAGTGAAGAAAAGGAGCAAAGATCAAAATCAAGCCGTGGCCGACTCCGAGTCTATCCCGGAATCCACGTCGTCGACAATGGCCGACTCGCTAATCTGCTTAGCCATCTCGCGGTTCACGGCGAACTTGACGGCCTCGAAGACATTGTCACAGGTCTTCTTGGGCGGGTACCGCGGGATGGTTCCATCCTGGTACACGCCCGTCTTGACGAGGATGGAGAACCAGTGATTGTCGCTGACGCGGTCGAAGTCGTTGGTGCCGCGGATGTCGGACTCGGGCGTGTCGCCGACGAAGTAGACGGTGGAAGGAGCCTTGTTGATGCCGTGGGTGTCCTTGCGCCACTGGCGGAGGAGGCGGGTTGCGAACTCGTACGTGCCCAGCTGGGGCTTGCCGAACGCGACGGTGGTCAGTTCCTTGCCCGTGACGGCCTTGTAGAGGGCCTCGAGCGAGGCCCGGAGGGCGCCCATGCCGATGCGGGAGTGCTCGTGGGATGTCGACCAGACCACGTCGTTGTGCGAGAAGAAGATTGGCGGGCCCTCGTTGAACGTCTTGGAGCGGGTACCTAGGTACCCATTCTGAGACATGAGCACGTCCAGGATGATTTGCTGGTCTCCCGCCCAATCCCGGCTGTCGGCGAAAACGAAGACCGCATCAATAGGTGTTTTGCTGAAGTCGCGGACCCGGGAGTTGTTGTACTCTTCCTCGGTCAGTCTTCGGAACGGCGTCGTATCATGGCGGGTCTTGATGATGTCGCCGGGGGTGATCACGTCCTGGAAGCCGTATCCCTCGGCCACAATGCGACATTTCTCACCCTCACCTCCAACGACGAGAACGGTGTGATATTTCTCAGCCATTTCCCGCATGGGGGTGTGGCCGCAGATGAATTGGCCGGGGGAGACCTCCAATTCGAGCTGCCGGCTGAGATCCAGGCAGCGTTCTTCTTCGGTTTTACCTCCGCCATTTGTTACGAATATGTAGGGGCTATAGTCTAAATATCAGCTCCTGCTCTCAAACGGCCATACAGCCGAGGAGAGGTTTAACTTACATCTTGACACCATAGGGGTTCTGACCGTTGATATACTTCATAGCATCAACAGCCTCCGGAATGACCTGGCCACCTCTGATAAGGACGCCATCAATGTCAAAGGCCAGAGCGAACTCATCCGCCGTCGTGAGCGTACGAGTGGTCTTGGCAATTGGCGAGGCTACCCGTGGAGATTCTTCCTCTGAGGAGACTTCTTCTTCGAGGTGCTGCTTGGCCAAGGCCATTTCCAAGGCGGTATCATGGGCATCGCTCGAGGCCATCAGATGCTTCGGGGGCACGACCACGTTGGGCCCGCCGTAGAGATCGGCCAGATTAGCATCGATGCTGGAGAGCCGGCGTACCCTTTGGGAGCCAACGCCGTGGGTTGTAGCCATTGTGAAGAAGAGTGTAGTGGAGATGTGGGTAATAATAGGAGATAAGGTAGATCGAATCGGGTGGCGATATGGAGAATGTATGGGGATATTATGGAGCAGTGGGTCAACAACGGGGGATGTTGAGAAACCAGTGGGAGCAGTTATTAGAAGAACAATCACTAGAGGGACCACTAGTAGGGATACAAGTTACAACGTCCCACTAACGAGCTGATTCCTGCAAGGAGCAGAGGTAGGAAGTATCACACTGGATACTACGACCTGCTGAAGTGTAGGGGGGGAGGAAGAATGGAGCAGAGCAACGATCAATGCAGAATCACTGATAGTCGAAGTTGGAAGGGGGGAGGTGGAGAATAGGATCGAGGACCAGGATGATGATGGACATCAACGGCCTTAATATAGATGCGTCGAGGGAGACAGGGTGGATGAAGGGGAAGCTGAATCAGTCTATCAGGTTGCAAGCTGTGATGCAGCCCGTGGGCTCCGTCATCAACCGGGTATGGACGGTACATCGGATCTGGTGCAATGACAGTGAGGCATTGGCATTGGTATTGGCATTGCGACCTATCCGTTGTCCAATGTATTCTGTTCGATGAGCGAACTCGTCTCCAGCGGACGAGTCTCCACCGACAGTCCAAAGTTTGCCCTCCATCCGAAACAGCTGGATGGACGGTGATTCGTAACTGATCCCTCTCGAGTCGACCTGCATCAGGTGGGAGATTAGGAGTAGGGGGGTTTTACTAGTTAGTCAGAATGCGACTGATTCATAAAAAATGTCGAACTCGTAGACTTACATATTCAAAGCGAAGATACCGCATTCTGATTCGTTCCAAATGTCCGTTTAGCGTTCAGAGGCTCCAGGAAGTTTCAATGACGGACAATGGAATTTGTCGCTGTCAGCGGGGCTCCTCCTGCTTAGTCGATCCCACGTTGGTTGTTGGTGCTCCCTCGGTAGTATGACGGTATGATTGTTATTATTGAATCTCTGGGAAAGATAGAGAAGCTGTACCGCAATGGGGACAGTACAATGGGGTTCTCTACCTTCTCTAGATGTGTGTTATCCTTTCTCAGGGGGACTTCTACTAGAGGCATTTCTGCTCCAACTCTTCCAAATTCCCAACTGATATCATTTCTCAGTGCTATCTACACAGCCTTCACAGCCCGTTTGATTGGCATCATCTGCATCCATGACACACTAAACTCCCCATCCTTGTTCCTCTAACAATCAATAATCTCTCAAGGGCATAAGCTCAACACCTCCGACTCGTGGGGTCTGTCATCAAAATCCGAAATTGGCGCTGTTTCAGCAATGATGTCGTGCCGGGTTCGGTGGCTGCATGGTAAGTGCATATCGCATGGCCGCCAGACAGCCACCACTCAGAACGCACCTGGAGTAGTCGGTCCGTATCTCGAACGGTGCAATGACCCCTACCAGTAGAATGAGTGATTTAAACCAGTGGTGTGTCGTATTTATTTTTTTGGAGGAAGAAGGGGGGGGGGGGGGTTGTCTCTGGCCATTATGATTCTCAACATCATCGCCGTCCGAGCAGCTTTTAGTTGGACTCGCCAGAAGATCAGTTCTTGGTTTGACGTCATGGCGGGAGACTTGCCTTTGGAACGTATACGCTAGGCTGCTTTGGGTTGGCGAGTCAGGATTACGGTATTGATACGGTTTTCCTGGTCCTACCTACCTCGGAGTAGTACCTAGGTACCTAGATAGTACTCCGTAGGTAGGCAGTACCTCATTTCTACCTCGTCTACTACTACTCCTAGGTGCTTCTCATCCATGTCTCTTGGAGACAAATTCAAATTCTCATCCCCCCATAGAGCACGATTAAACCAGTAAAAGTGTCCAAGTCAAGACTCAAATTCACTTGCCTGCCTACCTACCTACCTACCTACCATATCAAGTAAATCCTCAAGGCACAGGGTACAATACCCGGCTTGTGGCTTTAAGCGATACTGTAGTCCCTTCCATCCCCCTCAGCCACATCTCTCACTTTGCATGTGACGATCACTCTACGAGGTAAACCTACGCTGGTTTAGGTTTAGGTCTATCTATTCTTTGCTGGTACTTACGACCTGCCAGACTATCAATCACTAGGTACGATGTTACGAGGGATCTTCAATACATATGATGTCCTGCCAGGTCCATGTCAATCCGCTGGTGACGGTACAGGTACGCAGGGGGCCAGGCACGGATGAAAGTTCCGTGAAATGGGTGCGTGTTTTCTGGTTTGCGGGCTCAAGGGGGGGGGAAGATGGTGTCACTGTGCATTATCCTCCTCGCTTTGAGGGAGGGCTAATACTCGACTAACCTGTGCTGTCATCAAGGTGCATGCTATGATCTCAGTTTCTAATGAGTCTTGGTTTCTTCACATAATCCGGACTTCAGCATCTGGAGCCCCAGAGATCGATGAGATTCAGACAACGACTGTCTTCGAAGGTTCATTTTTTCCCCTCTAAAGCGGGAGCCAGCCACTGCTCTATCGCAGCTTATCTGATAGTACAACCGAGTATCCCCCTGAGAAAGTAATGAGACAAACAGGATTAGATCAAGGGACGAAAAAAACTAGCTCATCCAGCTACACAAAATCATCATATGTTACACGTAATGGTCAATATATACTTGAAAATAGGGAAATCGCGGCACAACGCGTCCTCAGTCCACACGGAGAATCAGGTCAGACCCTCTCTTCGACGGGGTGACCTTGCGCCCCCAGGACACTGGTTTCCTCGCCGGCACACGCGAAGTCATGTTCTCCACCGGATAACTATTATCGACCGGGAGTCTTCTGCTCTTGGACCCATTTGAATATCGCTGGCCGGAGTCATAGCTGGGTGTGAACCAGCAATCTTCGGGGGAATATGGCGTACTGAGTCCTTGGGGCTGTGGTTTGCCCTTGCGGATCTGCACCCGTTTGATATCATCACGTCGCACGATTCGAGGCCGTGATACGATCTCCTGGGGAGGAACGGCGGCAGAAAAGGGCATTTGGGGATACTGCACAGTCGCATTCTCATTGAAGTATCCCTGGGCCTCCCCCCTGGGCGCAGCACCCGACGGGGTTCGCACCTCCTTCACAGGAGTGAGAGGCTTGAAGTCACCCGAATGTCGAGATTTGCGGCGAGGAGTCGAGCTCTCGTTGAGGTTGACTGTCTCGAACCCCGCTCCCGGATCTCTTAAAGAAGGGCTGGTCGTCCCAAGGCCCTGGACTGGTCGTTGCATAGATCCCCGAGGTGAAGGCCGTCCAAAGCCGTTGTTCTGATTCCCCCAGTAGTTGCCCGCGAAATCTTGCTGATCTGGCATCCGAACCCGTGAGTTTCGGCGACTGTCATCGCAGAGCTCGGCTTGCTGACCGAATTGAACTCTTTCTCCAGTATTGGCGTAGACTGGCTTCGCTCCATACTGGCCGCTCTTCTTGGGTGGCGGGACTCGTCGTGCTCCTTCCGTCCCATATAACATCGCGCGGGGGTTGGAAGGAAGTCCCATCGTCGGGTTTTGCCTGTATTGGTGTCCATTGTTGAGACGACTTCGCCCACCTGTGAGCCCCAGGTATGGGTTTGCGGATCCCAGAGAGCCTCGGGACTTTGCAGCCTCCTCCTCTTCAAACAGCGTGTTGCTGCTGGCAGGCCTGGATTTGTGGATGCTCCACCTCAATGGCTCTGGGTACAGATTTGGTTTGTCCGGTAAAAGGTCGGAAATCGTGCGCTGCGATGCTTGGCTTGGAGATGCATCAAACTCGGAATTCGTTGACACCGCAAATCCGATCCGGTCTGGAGTGTCATACACAAACCGATAGTCGTCTGGCGTGGTAACTACAACGTCTGGATTCCGCACTGTGGGCTTGAATGGCGACATTAATCTCGCGGTCTCGGAATCAGAATGTTGATTCGTTGCATCGGACATGGGATTATCAGGTGGCCCCTCCGCTGGACGTCGTGGAAGAGGTTGGCTGAAATCCGGCGGCTCCGACATAACACCACCAATCTCAAAGAAATCTCGATTCTTGATCCGCTGATGCCGGCGTCGGACTCTCCGACAGCAGAAGAAGATGATAACGCCGAGAATGAAAAATCCAGACACGCCGGAGGTGACGGAAACTCCGATGACTGCAGCGGCATTCAGGCTGCTCCCACTGGCCTCCGCGGTGGTGGTGGCTGTGCCGGATGCAGTTTGTGATGATGATTGTTTCTCAGTAGTGCTGGAAAATGATGGATCGGCGTGAGTTAACGTTAGAGGAGTCTGGAAGGTAGCAAAGGTAGCCGAAGTAGTGCTCGGCGTACTTTGAGACAGAGATGTGCTTTGAGGCAACGAACTTGTCGACACAGATGGCGACGCGATCACCGTCGGGCTGGAGGTCTCAGCTGTCGTAGTAGTAGTCTGCGTGGAGATCCCTGTTGTGGGATAGATTGTCGACATAATCGTAGCAGTGATAGTGGCATGGGTCTTCGGGATCGCACCCGGGACCGTATCGCATATGTTGTAAACATGCGAGCTCTCAGCCACACTCATGGGACAGAAAGAAAGATTGCAGCGCAATGCTGCCTCACCCAAGGTATATCCACTCTGCGTGTTCGTCCTGCAGAGACAACCGATGTCCAGGCTAGCACATGCACTTCCCAGGCCATCGGATTCTATGAAAGCTTCGACGCATTTCAGAGCACAGTGTGGAATTGAGTCGAGCGCCGACGATGCTGTGGGTGCTATGCGTCGAACCTTGTGAGAGCTGTGCGCTACACATGGCGAGATGAGCGAGGATATTGCAATGAGGGTTTCTCCGATGGAGGGTAGAAACATATTGCAGCAGTCCTACGTCCGGTCAGACCATCCCAGCCTTTTCAAGTTACTGGAGACCAAGTTGTAAACCCAACATAGAATGGGTTTGAAGATGCCACAACTCACGTTCATAGATGTACTGTGGAGGAACACGTACCCCAGCAGTTATGAGGAGACATATAGACACATTCTAGTTCTGAAAGGTACCAGCAGAATAGGGAGAGGCCGATGATGCTCAAAAACCAAATTACTGAGGAAATTCCGAATCAACTCATGAAAGAATGCAAGCAGGAAACCCAGAGTAAAGATCAGAGCATGGACGATGAAAGAAGAAGCGTCAACCCATTGTTGAAACTCACTCTGCTCAGTTTCCTGAGTACACCTGTGTTGGCGTCAGAGGAACGATCGCCTTCCTCTGCCATGACGCTGACTGGCTACGCTTTGCAGAAGACAGGTCGATGAAACGAAGATAGCGCAGCTGAGTCGCTGTACGCGCCCAGTTGAAACAGGAGAACAATGCGGTTAGAATCATCTTCAGTGGCTGGAAAGGGCATCTTGAGGGTGTCTGTTGGAAGCTGGCGCTTCGATGAGCGATCAGATAGGAGAGTTGTTGAATACGCGCCGCGTTGGCGCTGAAGCTGCCAGTGTGAAGAATGATGTCAGATCAGCCGATCGCGTGCCGAAGGGGTGTTGCGCATCTACTGATTTTAAAATATTTCCACGGCGTGTCAATTATGCTTGCATGAACTAAGTAGAGAAAGCCGAATATATAGTTCTCAATTCACACCTGACCAAGCCCGCAGGCGGACTCAACAAGCTGATGATCGCCAGTTCTTCAGAATTCATGCCAAGACTGACAGCAACACCCCTGAAAGAAGTATTTATTTCTGCGCAGCCAATTGCAAAGTGAAATGGGAATGGGAGTCATCTCTTAACAATTGCCCTGACAACTGTCTCAGCTCCCACAAGTCGCGACAAATGCTTACGAGGACGGCGAGAGTCGGAAAAGCTTCCAGGAAGACGAGATATAGATTAGTCAATAATTATGTCATTGCCATCAATCATCACGAGAAGTCACTGATAGCAAAACAAGAACAAAAGCCCACAGGGGCAAATGAGCTGGTATCATCCGAATCGAAGAGCGATAAAAAGGAGAGAAAAAAAAGAGACATGGCGCAAAAGCAGTAATTAGGACACAAGCAAAAGGAGATATTAGGCCGTATCGCAATTAGAGAGATACTCTCGCCCATCAGAAGCTTTGCGATATTTGAGCAGCGGCTGCCAAGATTGGTGGGGCTAAACTCAGCCGGCGCCTCACGGAACGCATGCTGACGACACCGCCTTTGGATCCGTCATCGGTCGTAGTTATCCGTTCGGGTCAGGAATTCATATCGGCTGATAGTATGTAATTATTATCGAGCGAGATGGACTTCACTTTCCGACCGCGCATGACTTGGAACGATAGAAGTCACAGGTGGTGGTTGGGAGGTTGGAGCGCGCTAGTACTTGAAAATGATGTAGCTGCAGAGCCCAGTTAGTTGGGAGCACTAGGCAACAGCGCAAAAAAAAAAAAAAAAAAAAAAAAAGAAAAAAAGAAAAAAGAAAAAAGATGGGAGGCACATACAAAGCGTGGATAATACCAGGGATCCAACCCAGGATTGTCAAACAGATGTTGATGAGAAGATCAGCACCGCATCCGCGCTCGAGGAAGACACCAAGAGGGGGCAAGATGATCGCAAAGATGATCTTGCAGATGTCACTGTGTTAGAGGATGAATTGTCAGTAAATGCGTCCCCAAATCTTTCGGTTCTGTGATCTCAATTGAAAAAGAGGTTTCGAGGGGTAAAGCTGCGCCTTTTGCGAGCGAAGCCTTGGGCGACGGATGACTAGGAAAGGAGGACAAGACTTACGAGGCAGTGAAAGGCATTTTGAATCAGAAACCACGAAGGGGATGGATTGGGAAAACGAAGTTGGAAGACAGGTAGAAGATGGATTGTAGAGTGATGTGATGAGGGAAGAGGAAGTAAACTAACAGAGAAGAAGAAACTGGGCGGAAGGTCGGCTCTTAAATCATGGGCGGGACTTCCAAAGAATACTAATATCAATAGCGTATCATCGTGACAGGGACTGGCTGTTTCTCTTTTGCCTTGCTTGACGTCCGCCCTCTTCCTACAACCTATTGTTTCTACTTCTGGCTTTTTTTTTTTTTTTTAGTTTCAATTTTTAATCTTCAAGCAGCATAATTACTGATTGCGAGAGAGCCATGCTACTAATTGGTACCTTTTTTTTTTTTTTTTTTCCACTTTCTCCCAGTTAATACGGAGTACTACCTGCTACCTAGATATCACTAACTAGTAACTACATCATGCGCTTTTTGCAGTTTGACCAAGGCTGAGCACTACGTCATGCTTGTACCGCCCTCTCGACCTGCGGCTCATTTATCCACGGCTCGGACTGATTGGTCGGAGGAGCATTCATGAACATTTTGATATTGCGCTGCCTAAATCCCTATATATGGAATAAGGAACTATCTACTACTCTACTCTGAAGATAGTTTGTAGAAAACACTATATGGATGGACAGTCTGGAGTCTGGACCTGAAGGAAAGGAGCTGCTCGAGCAGCTATTACGGAGAGCGAGTTAGAAATAATATGACTAGACTAAGTGGTAGGGCTGGGATGGGGCCCTATTACTACTAAGGTACCTACTACCTACTACCTACTACCTATGGACTATGGAGTATGGACCTATGGAAGTACCAAGTTGAGCAGTTGTCATCGGCTGATTTTTCCCTCGTTCACGTCAATTTGGTACGTGTGATTGCCCAGCCACATGCACCTTTGGCTCAACTTCATGTCGGGAGCATAGGTACTACCATCGAGTACGGAGTACAGGAACTGCATTACCGAAGTGGCTGAACAATCCAGCCTTGTGTCTATCTACTCCGTACCCTAAGGCGATATCTTTTCTTGTTGCCTAACGACCAAAAATATACGTCAGGCTATTGATTGCATTCTTTTTGAAGAGTAAGAACTTAATCCTCAGCCGAAAATCCATCAGACATAGTTTTCTTGGTTCTAGGTTATGAGCAGTATCTACGTAGATGTAATCTACTAGTACTATCTATCCAATCTTTCTTGGTAGCCAATTCTTGAATCTGAGGCGCAAAGCCACCAAAATAGCTAGATAGATAATTGAGCACAACATTTTTATATTTTGACCTCACGACTGTCAATCAGAATTCCCACAACAAAGCCGAGCCAAAACCTAAAGACCTCTCGTTGGAATGAATATCAATCATGAGACGTATCCGAAAACCTATACCCTGTCCCAACTCAATGTAACAGAAATGATGACTGCTTCGTGCCGTATTCTCAGCTCAGGGCTTGGCATCCACTGACAGAGCACAGAGTATCCAGAGCGCCAGCCAGCCGCCAATACTGCTTGCTGCCGTAGTGGCTCCGCATTTCTTTTTCCGCAGACTTCGCTCACATCAACGCCAGTAATGGTATAGCAGGCTAACAGCAATCGTTTCAATTTTGATCGTCGCTTTCCCATGTATTGATGTTGAACTCTTCCGGGCTCACCCCGCTGTCCATGTCGGCGCGGCTGGCGCTCAAACTGGGGCCGCCCCGGCAATTCCCCAAATGGTTTCGAGGGCAGGCGAAGACACATTTCTTCCATCAGCAAACTTGCAATGTGACACGAAGATGGTATCAAGCGCGGAGCGGCAAAGCTACTGACTTACCTTTCGCCTATACCTGGCTTACAAGGACGCCTGATCAGATTGTGAGTGTCCCTTGCTGCGCTCAGGGTGATGATACCAAGCTAAACCAGCAAGAGACTCCAGATGACGTTCTTACGAGCTTCCCTTCTACTTCCTCGTCGTTAGCAGAATCAGGCGATGTCCCGATCCTTCTTGTTACCCCCTCCTTTGCGCATTGGTTCAATTCCGATAATACATTCCTCGAACAATGGATAAACCGACTCTATCAGAATCCCACCACACCCGCTCCGATTCACGCCGTCCTTGCCATCGTTGATAGAATACCTGATCCTCGTCCTCAATCTGATATCGGAGGGCGGAAGGCTGACACACCCGACACCTTAACGGAATCGGAGGGTTTGGCGCTCACTTTCGCGAAGGCGGAAAATATCGCTGGGAAAGCTTCCGCACTGCGCTCTGTCAGGTCAACGACTACAGAGGAGTCGTCCTTGATATTCTCAATCGAAACTACCGTTCCAGACACGCCTGGACAGTCTGTTCGCAGGCCGGTCCATGAAGTTGGGTTGCGTCTCGCTAATACGATCTTCATTAATGGAAATGATACCACTCTTCTCGGGACACGCTGGGTGTACGACTCCTCCTCGAGCAAGTATAATTTAGATCAAACTCTTTCTCTGTCTAGCTGCGTGGTCAGAAATTTTGCGCAAAGTCTACAAAGCTCATTTGGGCTTCCATTGTATCCTGTCAGCCAGAGACGGAAAGTCATCGCTAGCATGGGTAATATTCTACGCCAGCTTGCGAAACATGCAGATGACCCGTCCAATGAACCGATGCCCGCTTCTTCTGAGCTCGAAAAGGAACTCCCCCGTTACATCGCGGAACACAACATCGCCGACCGGAGAGTTTCTGTCTGGGCCCTGGTTGAAAAGCCCGGTAATAACGCCTCTTCTGAGGCAACCCTTACTCAAGACCGCCTCACTTCATCCGTTCAGGCAGGCGGCAAGCTTCACCGTGTCATGAGTGGCGGAGGAGGATGGGGCAAGAAGCAGGGTTTGCTATCACTGGATCCCGAGACCAGCTTCTTGGATCCAAGCGACCGCGGACAGCTCTCCTCTGTGGACCGTCTATTCTCTCTGGGTGATGTAACCCCGGCGGGAGAATCATTCGCCTCCCTCGACAAGTATATGATGATGGACGATCTCTCGTCCCTGTCACAAGTGGCAGAACAAGGTGACTATGTCCAATTCTTTGTTTCTGTCGAGCCAAAGAGTGAGCATACAAAGCTATCTGAGCTACCGGATGGGGGTGTCACGTATCGGTTCGGGGTCCTCTCCGATGCGGAGTCCTTGACCAGCATATCACCCGCACATAAGGAGCTGATAGCGGTTCCTCATTACTTTGGCGCTCTCACTGAGAAGGCAATCGCGTATTCCCAACCCAAGATTGACCCCGACTCGAAGGGAGGAGTACTGGAAACCAGCACCAAATGTGATATACCTGGTTGCCGGGTTGAGATGACTCTTTCCTAGACTTACCACCCTAAAAAGCTAGTTTGCAGAAAAAATTGTACAATATGTAGCAAAAATCAAAATATTGGGTCGTCATCTCCAATAATTACCATATCTAAAGTAAATGAAACGGTCTTATCTACTCTGTAACTAGTTCTGTCCGTCATTGTTGATCAACCAACATGAAAATCACGTGGCAGCACTGGTGGTAGCTGAGCCTCTCCGAAGCCACCAGCCTGTTCGCCTTCGACCTCCAACTCCAACTCCGTCTTGGAACTCAGCGCCTTCGCATCATCACAACGATTGTTTCTGCAGTCTTCGACCCGTTGTTGATCCCATTCATCATCTTCAGCCTAGTACAATTAATCATTTCCCACATTCTGATCGCTTGATTATTTCAAAATGGCCACAGAGCTTTGGTAAGCAATGACCCTATCAGCTCCTTTTCAGCTACCTCGACGAGCTTCGACTGGAAGCTTGGTCAACCCCTGCCACAATTCGGATGAGATGCAAGTTCTTCATGCTAACGTCTATCTCTTAATAGCCCCGTTTATGCGGTGAGTTATTCACTTCCTCGAATAGTCCTTCAAGATCCGAGTCCTTCCCCGAGCCCCGCGTCATCGCGTTCCTCCTCACCGAGCAATACCATCTACACCTCCTAAAGCCCCTCCTCATTGCTAACTGCTTTAGCCCTTCTTCGGTGCCCTTGGTTGCACATCAGCCATTGTTTTCACCTGCTTCGGAGCCGCCTATGGAACCGCCAAGGCTGGTGTCGGTGTCTGCGGCATGGCCGTCCTTCGGCCCGACCTGATCGTTAAGAGTACGTTAAGGCTTCGCCCTGGGGACCACGTCAACTGTAAGGATGAATTGACTGACGGCACTTGATAGACATTGTCCCCATTGTCATGGCTGGTATCATTGGTATCTACGGACTGGTCGTGTCGGTGTTGATCGCGAACGACTTGGCCCAGAGCCTCCCTTTGTACACAGGGTTCATTCAGTTGGGTGCCGGTCTCGCTGTCGGTCTGGCCGGTTTGGCAGCTGGGTATGTTCCGCCTCCTATGCTGGTTCAGCTTTGGATGAGAGGATGCGTGCGGAGGAAGACTAATCTTGCACTTCAATAGTTTTGCAATTGGTATCGTCGGTGATGCTGGTGTCCGCGGCACAGCTCAGCAACCCAGACTCTATGTCGGCATGATTCTGATTCTGATTTTCGCTGAAGTCTTGGGTGAGTTTCTTACAATCCATCGGAGTGGACTTGGCGTTGTTTGTCTAACCATTCTCTTTCCATCTACCCAGGTCTGTACGGTCTGATCGTCGCTCTTCTCATGAACTCTCGCGCGAAAATCGACGTCAAGTGCTAAGCGAGTACTTTATCTACCCTCGCAAACACGAGGACAGATGAACCGTTCTCAAGCGAGATGAGCCTATTCTCTTTTGTGTGTACGGAATTACAATTGGGGATTTAGGTTGCTCGAACATCCTGATTTTTGACATGATATTGGCCTCTTCGCCACTGATATAATAGCACATGACGATCTTTGATTTGCTATTCGACGTCTAGGCGCAAGGCTGCGAAAGTGGCTCGAACAAGGGGAAAGGGAAAGGTGGAATTTCGGGGATGTCATCGACTATAAATGGACAAGAGATATAACTGCTGATGTGTTGGTGGCTGGAGATGTAGACTATGGGAGACGCGGGTTCGATCAGGATCTGGGAGGTAGATACATCGCTGGGGCCAACATCCGCGCTGCACTTGTACTTTATGGGAGTTTTCTTTTTGTTGTTGATCCAAGCTAGACTGGGTCGCTTTTTTTTTTTACATTGCAACGCTGAATGTCTTCTGTTTTTACGACTTTGTCGGCCACGTCTTGGGATCCCGCTCCTGATCTTTCGTGGTTTACTTATCTACATGTATTGGCAATCCTTGTAATACAAGCTTAACGCTCAAGGCAGTGTTTGAGATGAAATACTTCTCAGAAACAGGTGAGCGTAAGCGCTTCCTATCTTATTCGACCTCGCCAAGGTGTCAAGAAAACACGAATATGCGGCTGCGTGGATCAAGGGAGAAAAAAATGGTAATAATATGTTATATGATATTGGTCTATCGGATAGGAATATGCACGGCGAGAATGCAAAACTGTGAGAGGGGAAAAGAGATACCACAGGAACCATTTGTCAACAAAAGCCCACGAAGAGGAAAAAATATCACAAAGCAGAGGGAGCAAGGACCCCGACGCTTCGGATAGGGTAGTGGCTGATAAAGACAGACAGATGGAAAAAACAAAAAACCATGAGACGACGAAAGAGAAGGCATGAAGGAGGAAGACAAGGCCAAGCTTGGAGCTGACTCCGCCTTTAAGCCTTGTCGAGCTTGCGTCTCAGAGTTCTCGTCCTCCGCAGCAGCTTCTTGTACTTGTGCTTCTTCATCTTCAGCTTGCGTCGTCGCTGGGTGCTGATGGCGTGCATGCCGGTGTTATCGCGCAGGCGCTCGATGTACGAGCTGCCGGAGCCGTGCGGGGCGTCGATGAAGGCCTCGTTCTCCGCGGCGCCGGGGGCGTCCATATCCTGCGTCGGGACGAAGGGCGAGGCGTGCGCTTCATACGTTTTGCGGCCGTCCGGGTGCGTAGACTCGTGGATGGTCAGGACAGTCGAGTAGCTCGAGGTTTCCTGGGACTCCGCGGCATTCTGGGCCTCGTCGAACGGGACCGGAGGTGGTGGGGGTTGGAAGGGACGCAGGCGCTTCGTGAGCTCCTCGATCGAGATCCGGAGCTCGGGCATGTTCATCCCGTCGAGGTGCTGCCCTTCGAGCTCATTGAAGCCACGACTCAGGATGTTTGTGGATTCGTCGTGCTCGCCGAGCTGGTAGGCTGAGTTTTCCATGTTCTGGACCGCGGAGGAAAGAGTGAGGATCACATCGGCCGGATCGGACTTTGAGGATTTCTTCGCAGTAAAGATGGCATCAAAAGCCTCGGCGCTGGAAGGTGGAGGGACGGTGGTAGAAACGGAAATAGGGCGATGGATGGAGAAGAAGGACGCGACATGGACATCTGCACCCACGCGGGAGAAAAAAGTCAGTCTGAGATCTTCAGAGTCGCGGAGACCGGACAAGAAAGCAGGAGCTCCCGAGGAACTACATCAAACGAACTGGTTCACTCACCATGAGGCTGAAGATGCTGCGTCGAAGGAACGCTGGGGAGTCTGGAGAAGGCTGCATGCTGATTCGACTTGGAGCCGTTCCGGCCGTTGCTATCCTTCCCCCTCCGCTTCGAGGATTTCCCTTCCCGCTTGTCCCCAGAGCTCACCCCCTTGGCGGGAGTCTGAGAAGAGGCGTCGAAATTCCTTGATCCGTCGCTGGGTTTCGACGACGAGGAGGACGAGTATCGGCGCTGACGCACATGCTCGGTTGCGCCGAGGAGGCCATTAGAGGTTGCAGCAAGAGCTTGGCTGGTTGTGCGAGAGATTCCGGGAATGGGCACAATAGGCGCCCATGCTGCCCGGCGTAGTGAGGATGACAACATTTTCAAAATTGAGTAACCCAGCAACTGGGTGACGGTGTTGGGTTGAAGCCGGCAAGAGTCGTCGAAGGCGAAGGCGAAATCGAAGTCGGAATTGATCATGCGGTCCGGTGATTATGTCAGCTATTTGACGCCTCAGGCATAAAGGTCACATGATGATACATTGATCACTTAGGCAGAGAAACAATAATGAAGATTACTCTCGAACAATGCAAGCTTTCTACCCTTCCCCCCCCCCCGCTTCTCTCCCTTATGGGTCGTAATTAGATGAGTAGTTGATGATAGGTCTACTTCTCCTTTGTTCTGTCAGAATTGAATTTTGAGACAGCGTTGCATACGTTTGCTTTGAAAATCTGTGAACTAAAATACCAGTTTATGCATCTTATCTCTGAAGAGTCTGCAACATCATATAGAGAAAGGAGAAGAAAGAGTTATACAGGAGGCATGCTGTCTAGAGTTTGGTGAAGGTGACAATCGATAATCATCGAGTCTGCACATGCCACTGGAAAAGAAAAAAAAAATGGTAGAAAAAAAGACGTGGTATCACCCTGCATTATATAGACAATAGTACCGTCGCTAGTTTGAAGGAGATATGGGATATCAAATTGGATGAGCTTTTGATGCAATGTAGCTTGATAACGTAGCGAAGAGTCCACAATGCTCTGATTTATCGCTCTTGTTGCGCGAAAAACGGGATGGGAAGCTGTATCAGATATATAGGCGGAAGAAGAAAGGAAAAAAAATGTATGAAGTTGGAGCTCAAAGTCCAAGCTGGGATGAACGCTCTAGTTATGCAATGCGAAGAATGGCGTCAAAAAGAAGTGGAAAAATTCGGCGTCTCATGGTTATAGTAAACCTCGTCAAACCGATCGTCTCGGCTAGGGGTAGACTCATAGAATGAGTGTATGGAGATTCTTCTGAATGATCATGTCCTGTACAGACTCCATTGTCGCCTTGAGAAGCGTTGTGTCTGTGGCATTGGTATAGTGAATGTAGATCTCACGATCCGGTATTCGGTTAATGCCGCGGAATCTGTCAGCGAAGTATCGCGCTGCAGCATCGAAATCCGAATTCGAACCGTTGTAATCTGGGAAGTGCTTTGATACTGGTGAGAATTCGAGTTTTCCTCTGAACAGATCGATCTTGTTCAGGAACAGGATGATGGGCTTGCGCTTGAACCATTCTCCGTTCACCAAAGATTCGAAGAGCATCATCGCTTCGTGCATTTGGTTCTGCGAGGTGGTTAGTATAAGTGGAAGTTCGCAAGTCTGACTTGAACTCGGAATGGACTTACGGCATTCTGGTCTTCCACCAAACATTGATCGTAGCCAGACAGCGCAACCATGAAAAGAAGACACTGAACTCCCTCGAAGCAATGGATCCATTTTTTGCGCTCAGACCGTTGCCCACCTACGTCCATCATTCTGAAGTTCATTTGCCCGAGCTCGAAAAGAGTCTCTGTGATACCCGTTGTCCTTAAACGGGCTTGTAGCATATCCTGATTGTCGGGAAGCCAACCGGGTTGGAATAACCGATCCAAAGAACCGAAGAAGCTGGAAGAACCATAAGTGACTGTCAAACGGACATCCATGCGTAGAAAGACTTACTATTGAAGGTTATCGTGTAGTGCGAACTCATGACCTCGATAAACAGCTTTTTGGACACCTGAATCGTTCCACATGTCTCTCATTGCGTCGCGAACCTTGTAATCCGAGAAAGCTTCGTCGGATGATACGTCGGGTTCCAGCTCATCTATGAATTCTGCCAATTTCTGCAAATGAAAGACGCGGTTAGTCTCGGTGAACGAGCAGATGAAAGCCATCATCATGTTACCTTTGTGGTTTCGAGTTCGTATTCAATGTTCTCTGCGCTGACGATATCCAGCAGAACCTTGAATGCAATGACAAGATTGGAATAAATGACCGCGCGCGTTTGTCGACGTTCATCATCAGGGAAACCTCCGTCATGGATAATGCGCATCTGCTTGATGATGGTTGACTTCCCAGATTCTCCGGCACCTAGATCGAGCTTATTAGTACATCGGCTTGCGCAACGCAGATTGTATTGAACGCAGCTTGCACAGGAGACACACCCAGGAGCAGAATCTTGATCGTCCTGTCCATCATTTTCTTGTCATTTTTCAAAGACTTGTCAATTCTAGCTGTCTGCTGGACAGCTTCTTTGTCCAGAGCCTCAACAGGCTTGGAGCCCATGCAACCCATGATATGAGTTGTGGCGGTTGGATGAGAAGGACAGTGATTAAAAGGAGTGGGTTTTCTGAAGAAAAGAAGTCAGTCAAAATCGCAATAGACCAGCAGCGCATACAACACTCGAGGTCCACGGCCTAATGCGCATGTCCTCAGAGCTGAATCAGGAGTATGCCTGGGCTGCGCCCAGCGACCACCCGGCCGTCGAGCTTTGAGACATGGATAACCATCGGTTCGCAATACGAGTCAAGTCGCATGGGAAAAGGGAATGTAACAGCGAGGGTTCCCACGGAGGGGGATCAGCACTGAAGTCTGGCGACTTACCTTGTCAAGTATGATCAAGAGCTAGATTGACCCAAGCTTCTGCTGCCGACAAGAGTTGCTGGTTAGTATGCGACGAAATCCGGATAAGCTGTCGCGCGCTCCTGATACCCACGTACTTCTACAGCTGCAGAGAATCGCTTTGCTTTGGCCCGCAATAACTTCTAATTGGACACTGGCGTTTGATTCTGAGGTCGAAATATCGAGGATAGCGCCCGTAAGAACGGTAGGAAAGTTCGAGGCAGCGCAGCTGGGTCTATAGTGTACAAAACACTAGTGCAAGAATAACGATAAAATTGGAGCCGAAAGAGAAAGAATTAAACCAAAGAACTTCCAGGGCCGAATCGCGATATCCAAATAATATTGTGACAACTGCGAATGAATCACAAGCCAAGTGTCGAGAGTGCAATGGCTACCGAAACCGAGTCGCCGGATTTTGGAGGCGGAGATACTAGGATACTGGAGTCTCGGGTGATCGAATAGCTCGAGCAAAAGTCCGACAATCTTGGGTTGGGAAGTCTGCCGGTAATCCGCAATGATCTTCAAGCTGAAGAAATAGCTGTTGCTTGCTAGTTAGAGTGTAGCTACCACCAGCAAGCAATCCGAGCGGCGGTCTCGTAGAGAGTGATTGAGGACTGAAGGATGGAGGAGGAGGGGGGGGGGGGGGGAGAAGAAAGAAAGAGATGAGAGTATCGGGATCTCGACCAGATAGGGGAGTTAAGGATTAAGAGTAGAAGTAGTATTACTGTAGTAGTGAGTAGCAGTGGCACATCTCTGACCTCTGTATCGTCCCACACCTGACACCAGAAGCAGCTGATGGAATTCGGACAGACACACCAAGCGGGGGGAAGGAAAGAGAGTACCTAACTCCGTAGAAGGAAGAAGTAAGCCGAAAGAGGTTGAGTAGTGGGAGACCTTTGGAGTTAACTAACTCGTAGCTATTCCCTACCTTTTTGTTGATTAAGTACGGCTTCCGTGATTATTATTATGATTATTATGATTATCAGGATTGTTCAGAAGCAGTTCCAGAGGCCTTTTTTTTTTTTTTTTTTTTTTTCCAGCCCGATCGAGGGAAGCTAATTTGTTTAGTCAATTTACAAAGGAACTCCGGGCAGACAGACTACTACTACTACCTACTATTAATTACTGCTATATTTGTCCAGAATTTACGTTTCGGAGCACTCATCATATTCCAGGAGATCGTCGAATGAGAATGACGAGTAAAAGGTTTCCGACCCTCACAGACGTGTCAAACTCAGCACTGCTACGGAGTACTTTGGTACTATTCTAAATGAAAGGAGGAGGAAGAAAAAGGTACGATCCCATAGTACGAGATGGACGAGCCATAACCAGCAATAATTCCATCCTTATTCTCAGTTAATAATTGTGAATAATGAATGAATTGGAAAGTCGGATATCCCAGTGGCTCAAAGACCCAGTTGATCCACTCATGAGAGGGGACCATTATTAGTGACTCTTCATTCTCCGTTGGAAAGACGCCAGGAAGTCTTCCATGTCCCTTCTCCTGCACCTGAAACTCAATACATACTGTGTATATACGATCTACTATGTAGACTTGATGGAAAATGTCGGCTGTTGCTAGTAGAAATTCAATCTGAGTTTCTGACTGATGGTAATCCTAATGTGTCGACGGACATCAAGGTCCATTAGCGATCTGTCAATTGCGCCATGGGACAGGATGCCGTCCACGATTTGACTCTCTGCAGCAAGCCAACACGCCATGCGTCTCTACGATACCCCAACCTATTTCTATCGAATTTTAATCTTCCATCTTCAATCCAATCTAAACCCGTCTTTAGTGTCCTTATTCCATATTCCTTCTTCTATGCTTTTTGCCCTTCTTCTAGATAGTTCCCACCGAATAACTTTCTACTGGGCCTCCCTCCCTTCCTCCCCCCCCCTTTTCTTGGCAATCAACCGCAAGCGAACGACGCCACGAGGCGAATGAATCGCATTCGTGACGGATTTGGCATGCAAGGATCGACGGACGCCCGATTCTCTCGCTTATTCGCTCATCACATGATCACAGGGGTCTGGCATGGTTAACTATGGTCATTGTTCATGGGTCGGAGCTTTGTACGGAATCTGAATGGTGTGCATTTCCCCTGTGAGCGAATCACAGCCGTTCCTCGACTCCAGTCTGAGTCCGTGTGCGCGCTTCTCTCCGTACTTATTATTTTCTCGTGAACTAACTTTTGCCCTTTCCGGTGTCATCGTCCAGAGACCTACTCCGTACGCTTGACGGTGCTGATGGAGGATGCAGATACCCTGCTATACGATGATGGCAGTATTGACTAGATCAGCCACGAGAGCTACTAACAACAATAACAACGCAATTATAGGCCTCCCCGAGCGTTACACAACTCGACACTAATCTCTCCTGTGCCGTCTTGAAGTATTATGGCACATTCATAACAAGCAGCCTTGACCCTCATTGGCTGGCGCTTGAACGTTAGGGAGAGATATGGATATTGAACAATCCTCCGTCCTTCTGGCATTGCTCATTCGTACGAATAACAGGCATCAGGAGGGATCAGCATCTGGATATTATTCATCAACTCGACAAAAATGCCATTCGGACTGGACCGTAGTCACTAGTACCTAGATTCCCCCAAAGTTGGTGACAGTCGAACTTAGAAAAGTCACTACTCAAGACTAACTCGAGTCTAGATAGATACTCCAAGTTTCTAACTTCGCAGATAAAGTCTGTAGCTTTTGGTCTGGTGAGATTCCGGCCTTCCGGTTTCATCTTGCTGATGAACAATGGAACAGTCCGTTTGAGACTTAGGTAGGGGTGCCTAGCTAGACTGCTCGAGTCGCTTTGGACTCCGAGGACATGGCCAATAAGGTCAGACAGTCATATATTTCAGATAGATAAGAAGGATCAATAATCGAAGCAACTTATGTTCTCTGTCCAGACTCCAGGCAAAAACACGAAGAGTGCAGGCAGGATTGTGAGATCTGTTTCTCTACCCATGACAGATCACATGTCGAGTCCGATTTCCCTGCATGTCCGTACTGTAGATGCTCTTTGATATCCGGGAATGAAGCATGACTGGTAGGTTGGATATCATAAAACCCTGGGATCCTGACTGGCCGTATTATAGTTTCCATCGCCTTGCTGCATGGACGGGACAATAATGGTCAGATGCAATCCTGCGTGTCTGGTCCTGGAGTCCGAGGCTCCAAAACATAAAAAGCAATTATATATGTAGGATTTGTAATTTGTGACCCCAAGGTTAGCGATCAGGTTAGTAGGATCAATGTCCAAGAACTCCTTGTTAGGTTCTTTTTTTGTAAATAATAATAATCATCCTCTAAAGGTCAGCACAAGATCGACTTCTCCAAATGAACAGTGTTCTTGGAATGCAACTACAAGCTTAGCAGCTCGACTTGATATACAACTTTCCTTTACACCCAGCTATACTAAGTGACCGAGTGCGGCAATGAAGCTACCGATATTATTTAAAACATCTGCAATGTCCCGACATCTCACTCATCCCACGTGTTGAACCCTGCCATCTCCTTCTCTTTCTATCCCTGATCATCGCTGAATTCGCAACGGGACTGCATAGAATTAGATAGGTAGCAGTCGATATCCATCGTGAGCTGACCCTTCGAATGTGTACTCTGTACCACTAGTTAGATTATCGTTTTATCACTCCACAGTCTACAGTCCACATCCCGCTGTCGACCCACGAGAATTAGTCAAGAACCATGCAAAAAATTGTTTTCGAGGTTCATGTTGTTGGTCATGTCGTCAAACCAGCCAGTTCTCGTAGTAAACAAACATTCCGCTTCGTCCCTCCCATCAAGTATGAAGTATCACATTGACCCAACCTCGAGAAGGCTGAAACCCGAACAAAGTATCTGAAATCTGAATGAATATTCTTAGATCCTTGTCATCTTCAAATATGAAGATTGCAGATTTGAATCCCCGCAAAAAAACCATGCTGCAGAGTCCGATTGACCGATTGCCCCTACAGTGGGAATCCCAGGCTTCGTTTTTTTTTTTTTTTAAACAAAAAACCAGGCTAGATAAATAGACGATCTACCGTAGTACCGTCCACTCAGTTTTGTCGGGACCGGGACTCGAGCGTCCGGGAAGTCATCTATCGTCTGATACTCTGATTCTGTCAAGCCCACTTTTAAGATCACAAGTCGATTGTTATTTGTTGAAGTCTTTGCCCTTTCAGAGGGGGTCGTGTTGCTTAGCCACCGGTATCCATCTACTTCTATGATCTTTCTAGCAGGTAATAATAATGGACGCCATGTACTAGTTACTCCGTATCTAGTAGTACAATCTAACTAACTAGTAGTCCGTACCCCACCGCCAGTTCCTGGTGCAAACTGCAAATGCCATGAGCCCATAATATAAGGATCTACAAGTAACCAGTATGGGACAAAGGGGTGACGAACACGTTTTTTTTTTCCTTTTATCTTTTCCTTCGGCTCTGGCGCCTGTTATCTGCATCTTTAGTCTGGCCGGCCGTTCAACCGTCGTCGATCCAATAATGTAACGGGCGAATGTCGCGAAGAGGATACAGAAGTGGCCTGGAGACTGGAGAGTGGATTTCTAGCGGTCTGGACCACGGAAATAGGCCTGAGAGAAGAAAAGAGCTTCGGTGGGGGGTTGAGAATTGAGGAGACACTTTCTACGAAGTACACGCCTTTGAGGATTGGTTGTTGTTGATGCTTGGTCGATCTTCATCAGACTAATTTAGTACTCTTGTTCTTGGTTTGAGGTGAGTTGAATTCAAATGCTAAATCCTAAGCAAGAACAGTGATTTAGATATGCATTTCAATGTGCCAACTGCCAAGTCCCCTTGCATGAATATTTTATTTATTATTGATATCACCGTATCCCGTAGACTATCCGAATTCTGAATAAACCATGTAGATAGTGCACTGATGATCATCATAACAACTGTGGAACGCTCCAGAAGAGAGTGTTGAGTGTTGACAACTTGACGGTTTGTATCTGACAGTTGAGTTTACTATTTAGTCTAGAGCCTTTTGGCCCCTGAAAAACTGGACAGCTCTAGAGCCGTTCCGCCGAAATTCCGCTCTTTTGTTGGATGATCATATCATCATACGATATTCAGAGTGGCAGCCACAGTTTAGTTTTTTTGTCCACATTTCGCATAGTAAAAGATGAATCGATGATAGCAAAACTTAGTCGAAAATTGAGAATTAGCACTGGATTCTGCTCAAATAAGTTAGTCTGCCATCACACTAGCACAGCATAGCATACATATTGGCATCCCTGAATTGCGGTCTTCTCTTTTTAGAGTCAGTTGCTTCATGGTAGGACGTAGTAGTAGTCATCATCTACTCATGAATTGCGATGCTGTCATCTCAATAACAATGTAGTAGCGATCATCTCTTCAAGGGAGGACTAAACGACAGGGTATCTAGACAGGGGTATTATTATCTGAGTTTGATGGAGTGCAACTTGCACTTGAAGTCTGGGCACTTGCAACAGCCTATCCTTTGTCTGGGTTGTTTCTTTGTTTCACGGATTCCAGACAACTGACTTGAGCCAAATCAACATAAAGTTTGGCAGTCTTAGTGAGATGTGGGGTGCTGCAACTTGCTGCTGTTTGACAGTTGACGGTTTACTTGTGCTCTGCAGAGAATGGTGAGTTGGTGATTGACACGATATGCTTACAATGAGCATACGGTCAGACAACATAGATCATACAGCATCAGACAGCAGGAACATCAGGTATCTCGTATCCAATAATGTTTCTATGTTCTTAGATACTGAGATGTCTGTGGTGCTGCAACAGCTCAAACACTTGAAGCTATGGCTGACTCATCGTGGCTCAACATGTGATGCAATCAATGAAACAACAAACAGTGGAGGTGCTCTTCCTGCATCTTCGTAGAAACCCCTTGATTCGAGCATTAAGACACTGATACTCGCAATTACACTCTTGATTGCGCCGAGCGAATTATAGATATATATGAGTAAATAGTATTGACACGGCAGGAATGAGCTACCGGGAGGACATGGGTCCCAGCTCGCCCCTTAATAGGTTGGTTGGCCTACACTCGCTGATGTTTAAGAAGTATTTACTGAAACATGTGCTCCCAGCAGCCATGGCAGCTTTGACGACGAGTATACCCTACGAGAACTCTCAACGCCGGAGCTCGAGAAGCGCCGGTTTCTCTACGCGGATAGCCCTACTAGGGAAGACTTCCTCAGCCACGATGAGCTCTATTCGAGACGGTGCAACAAACCATGTGCTGCGCGCAGAGGAGTTTGGTTCTCGATGCTTCGATTTGCCATCTTTTCTCTGCTCATCTTTGTCTCCGTTGCATATTACTTTTGGTCGATAATACCTAGTATGTGACCGGCGGTTCATATGGCTTTTCGTCTTTCGCTCTAACTCGGTCGTGTTCCAGATGAACCATCAGACAAAGTCCCTCCTCGCCCGGTGTCGCCGCCTCTCTGCGAATCGCCTGAATGTATTCATGCTGCGTCTGAGATTCTTTATAACCTCGACCCCAATCATGGCAAACTCGATCCGTGCACCGATTTCGAACAATATGTGTGCGGGGGCTGGAGAGAGCGTCATGATCTGCGGCCCGACCAGGGTTCTATGTTCACTGGGACTCTTATGGCCGAAGCAGCTGACATGCGTCTTCGCCATATTCTAGAGTCTACAAGTGTCCCGGAGGCCGCGGATGAGGAGAACTTCAAGAAACTGAAGGCAGCTTACAGTGCCTGCTTGGATGAAGCCGCGATCAACAAGCGTGGTAGCCAGCCGTTGGATGCTTTGTTGGCCCGTTTTGAGCATATATATACCTCTGGGTCTGGTTCTTCTGCTTCCGATGTCAACGTCACGGATGCAGTGTTATTTCTTAAACAATCCGGTGTCATTGCGCTGGTTGATTTGGATGTTGGTGTAAGTTAATGCCACCTGCCTTGGTCAATTTCTCTCAAACTGACAGCCAAAAGGCCGATGATCGTGATCCGGACTCAGTCATTATATCGGCCGCTCCTCCATACGAGATCGGTCTTCCAGTTAGAGAGTACTACAACAGTTCTGAGACGGTCACTGAGTACACCAAGGTGATGAAACATGTTCTCGGCAAGTTCGTGGGAAACAAGATGGATATCCCCGTTGAAGATATTGTTCTCTTCGAGTCAAAGCTCGCGAACGCGACACCAGACACGCAGAGTATGCAAGATGTGGAAAAGTACTACAACCCTCACACTCTCAAGGAGGCCGAGTCTATGTTACCACAGATATCCCTGTCCGACATGATTTCAGCGCTGTCGCCTCCGGACTTCAAAACGGACCGCTTGATTGTGGGTTCACCTTCGTACATGAAATCGTTGTCCACCATTTTGAACAAAACTCCCCGAAAGACGGTCGAGTTGTTCTTCAAGTGGAAGATCATCCAAACATACGCCGACGAGATCGAAGATGCTAAGATCACGCCACTTCGCCAGTTCTCGAACAAGCTAGCTGGCAAAGACCCGAAAGCCACCCCTGAACGCTGGAGAACATGCATCAAGTCATTAGATCGCGGACTTGGATGGAGTCTCAGTCGTTTCTATGTCCTTGACTCCTTCTCCAAGGAAGCAAAGGACCTCGGTGACCAAGTGGTGTCGGACATCAAGGAACGCTTCGTCAACATTCTCCACCAGACCACTTGGATGTCGCCCGAGGTGAGAAAGTTGAGCATCCAGAAAGTCGGCAACATCGTTCAGAAGATTGGGTACCCCACCAAGAGCCCCAATGTGATGGACCCAGCAAGCATCGAGACGTATTACCAAGATCTTCAGGTATCAAACGAAACATATTTTGAGAACGAGATGGCGGCCGCCAAATTCCAGCTCCAGCGAGAGTGGTCGAAGTTGGGCAAGCCCACCAATCGCAACGAATGGGGTATGACTGCTACGACCGTGAACCCATACTACAATCCTCCTCTACAAGAGATCGTTTTTCCGGCGGCAATTATGCAATCCCCAGCATTCTACGGGCCCTCTGCGCCGCTGTACCTGGCCTACGGGGCATTCGGCGCGATCAGTGGTCATGAACTCTCCCATGGTGAGTGCTAGTTCCAGACGGACTAATTCATTCTTTATCAGCACTGACCATCTGTGCCCAGCCTTTGATTCGACAGGTAGGCACTACGACCAGACCGGGAATTATACCGACTGGTGGGATGAAAAGACGGTGCAGGGATTCCAGGAGCGCGCGCAATGCTTCACCGATCAGTACTCTAATTTTACGGTTCCAGGAGAGAACGGGGAGCCGCTGCATGTCAACGGACTGCTTACGCTTGGAGAGAACATTGCGGACGCCGGCGGGATTGGAGCGGCCTTCCATGCCTGGAAAAAGAGAGACGAAACCTCGCCTGATCCGCACCTCCCGGGGCTTTCCCATTTGACCAAGGAGCAGCTGTTCTTTGTTTCGTACGGGACCTGGTGGTGCAGTAAGACGACCAAGCAAGCGGCCATTCAGGCGGTCTATAATGATCCGCATGCCCCCAAGCCTGCACGAATCTTGGTAAGTTCTTCCCCCCCCCCTCCTGTTGGCAACGACAAGGAACCAAGTTGACTGAAGGGTGACAGGGAACGATGGCCAATTCCCGCGAATTCAATGAGGCGTTCAACTGTCCCACCAAGAAGCCTGTGTGCAAGCTCTGGTAGCTGTGATTGAACAGGAGGGACTAATCTCGGAAGTAACTCAACTGGGCATGATCATCGCGCTGGCAGGCAATCATACTTTGTATTTATTTAGGCGTATCCGTGCAATAATATCAATACTTTGTCCCCATAGAGATCCATGTTTACTCTTGGTCATAGTCAATTGACCGACTAAATCTTCATGTAGTAGTGGAGTATATATTTTAGTTCAGCTCGGCCTAAATCCAACAGATTTCCAATCCCAGGAGATAAACCAAGAACACAACCTAACCCCCACAGATCAATAGATCCTACGGAGTAGACCATGATGGTCTATCCAACTCAGCAAGTGATACTTGCAGCAGTCCCGTGTACGTACTCAAATAAAGTACGGTCGACCCTAGACAGGTGGAATCCCAGTCTGGATAGGTAGTAATCGGTCCACCTGCATGGCAAAATGCATCCAGTGAGTGGCAGATTCCGCCCATCTCACACAAGGCCTGCAGTGACGAGATCTTCGTCCGAGTTCTATCTACCTTAGACCTTAGTATCTACTCCCGCGGGATCGCGGGATGTGACTTGAGACTTTCTGCGGCTGGCGATGCTGTTCCGCGAAACTCTCGCGGGGAGAGCGATCCGATGCAGATCGTTGGGGCTGCGTCCAGTCCGGAGTGTTGGATGGTACGGGACTATGTAAGGATGTTGGAACTTGGAGGTAGTTAGTCCTGGAGACTGGATAGATAGACACTGCATGGCTTTGATGTGATAGGGAGCAACCCCAAGACCTGGAATTTGGATTTAAAGTGGGGGGGGATTTTTGGTAATTCCTGGAATCTCTGGGAGATATCTATCTCATGAGTTTTGGGAGTACTGGGGTATGAAGTGCCGTTGGGGTAGAGAATTACTGCTTGTCCGACAGTCCAAGTTTTGGGCATGATTGTTACTGTTACTCTTCACTGTAGAAGTCCCTAGTCCCTACCAGTATAAAGTTTGGTACCTAGAAAGTCGAAAGTTTCTTCTTGACAATTAACGGTTCACAGGAAAACTCTCTGTACTCTGTCGAGTGTAGACTGATCCTGATCCCTCGGATCTGGTCAGTAGTCACTGGTAAGGCTGGTCCCTACTCCCTAAGTGCTCCCTGCTTGTCTATTTTTACTTCCCCCAAACTAGGATAATGGACAACTGGGGGCCTATTTGATCATGAGGAAGAGAATTGATCTTCTCCTTTTCTTCCTCATTTGCTATTTACAGTATGTTACCCTAACCACCCCCTTTTTTTTTCCCTTGTGGTTGAAGTAGGGAGGAACGTCACTGATGGGCGATCATTCGATGGCCGGATATTAATCTATTCCGTCCCACTATGGAGTCTAGTCTGTCTTGTAAGTTGCAGTTCAGTTCAGTTCAGTTCAGTTCAGTTCAGTCAAGAATCAAAAGATGACGGAGAACAAAAGAAAGGGGAATGTGAAACTTGAAAAAAGATCAGTATTTGGGATGAATGTCTTAGCTGTAGTGCAGAGTGATACTGACAACTGAAGAGACTGCTCTGGGTTAGCAGCAAATCAATAGCACTGTTAGTCCTGCTAGGTTTGTTACCTGTATACTGTATACATTCTTCTGCTGGTGGCCTCATCACCACAGAGGATGATTTCTCCTCGGAACCATTGGCATTATTACCGCGATTTCGTCTCTTCATTAGGAGTACTTCGTATATTCTACTCTACATAGTACATACATACCTGCTCAGTTACTCACATGATGCGCGAATAGAGCCCCTAAGATTTCCGAGTTGATAGTTCACGGATAGACAGTTCGAAGTTCAAAGGTTCCGCTGGGCTGGAACCAGTAGTTAGTTATCTATAAACCAAAGTTAACTAATAATAATGCCAGTTGATGCGCGTGTTTCGTGTGAATCCATCCATCAACAATAATCATACTATACTACTCTCTATGCGGCCCTCTCTCCTGTTTATTCACTCTTCTTCTTCTTCTTCTTCATCTTCTTATTCTCTTCTTCCTTCCTCCTACTCTTCCCCTCTCTTCCCTTCTCCTTGGTCTCTTTACGACATGAATTGACGACCCCCGATCCCCTGCTGTTGTTTCTATTCTTCGACGACGTGCTGCATGGACTAGCTCTTAATTATTTTCTTCCCTCCTTTCTCCGAGCCCTTCCTGCCGATAGACCACCCTCGATTGTCGGATAATTTTCTAAATCCTCCTGGTTTCCGCCCCCCTCCACCCCCTCTCTCATATTATTGCATTTACTGCATTTCGTCAGTCACGCTGTCTTGGTCCGAGCAGATTAACCCTGCCATCCCGTCATTTCTCCACTACAGCCTGCTGGGAATTTACTCCAGGAACACCTCGATCGGAATACTATAGCCTCGCCGAAGCCTGGTCATGTCGTGTCGCAAGCACGGATTTCGATCCCAGCTTGGGTTATCCATCCGTTTCTACTCCGTCTAGTTGACGCGACCGCCGCTGAGTGAGAGGTCGACACGACCATTTGGACGGTTGTCGCCTTGTCGTTCGATAGACAAGAATCCCTCAATTGCCCGCGGTCCTCTTTACATCCACAGCCATGGAGTCGGTGATCGCAGCGTCCCTCAAGTCGGATCTCTCTCCGACAGTACTGGAACGTGAATTCATGGTGAACGAACTACATCGTGCCGAGGACCGGGTTGCGGCATCCGCCTCGAATCTGCGACGCGCCCATACTGTCGCACAGGGAAGGAACATCGCGAACACAAACACTGGCGTGAGCGCTGCCAGGGGACAGGTTGCAACCTCGATCCTACGTGCCAAGGATAGCCATGAGGTGCTTCCAAAGCGTCCTGCTAGGCGCTTCGACATCCCACAACTTTCGCGTGATACCCTGGCTGGTGGAAGGGAACCGAATCACTTCACCGTCGGGAATGTCGGACAGAATGGCAAGATCTTTCTCAGGTATGACACGTTCCCAATGGGAGGAAGAGCTGGCAGCTCAGCGTATCACGAAGTGCTAATGCGACCTCGTCATATGTGCAGGCCGATTCAGAATCCGTCGCACAAAGAACACCATCTGCCTCCGCCCTTCCTTCCTCCTACGGCTCGGTCTCAGGACGAACGCTTTCTCCTGCCGACACAGTGTCACAGTGGTAATGGTCCGTCGAGATGGTCTAACTCGCAGCTTTCGGAGCTACGGCCGGAGTTCATACCAGAAGAGGGTTGTGAGGATGCAGATTCCACCGCGTCCGAGCCTGCGCTTTCGGAGGATAACCGTCACCACCATCCTCGCCAGCGAGCACAGTCGTTCTCGACCATTTCGGAGCAGCGGTCGGTGTCGGGTGCGCAGCGTCACGGTGAATTCCGGATCTCCATTGACCGGACCGACGATCGACCTAGATCTGCAGATGACTCGCTGCGTCCGACGCTGGATACACCAATCCCCCATTATCGATTGGGGACGCTACGGTTCAATACTGAAGGAAGCGCTGCGTTGCATAGCTCTATCTACTCTCGGACGTCCTTCTCGGACAATTTTCGTGTGTCAGGATTCCTAGCAGAAAGCTATAACGCCAGTACTGGCTCTCATGCCTACCTCGGGGACGCTTTGCAGTCAGGAAGGCCTTCTTTTGCTGCCTCTGTGTTCTCCGGCCAGCCGGCCATGGGATTGTCCCGAAACTCAGCTGCAACGGTGAACCCGATCTTTTACGAGTTGAAGGAGCCCATTGAACCCGCTGTCTTCGAGCACTTATCGTCCAAGATGGATCATGAGTCCGTAGTCCGCTATATTGCGGGTACGAAGGACATTGGCGCGGCCACGCCAGCTCGCCTGGTGGCCCAGATATCTTCCGAGTCCTTCATGGATTACGAGCTTGTATCGGATTTCTTCCTCACATTTCGTTCCTACCTTTCTTCCGGTAGTTTGCTAGCTCTCCTGCTGGCCCGGCTGCAATGGGCTATCAACCGACTTCAGGACGATGGGAGAATCATCCGCATTCGCACATTTGCGGCCCTCCGCCATTGGATCCTCAATTATTTCGCCGATGACTTTGTCCCGGATCATAGCCTTCGAACTCATTTCTGTGAGACCATTAACACGATGTATGATAATGTCAAGGCCCGAGAAGGAGGTGGGATGAGTGATCTCAAAATTTTGATTGATCTCAAACGCTGCTGGCACGGGAAGTGCGCTGGCTACTGGGAGTGGTCACCCGAGCATATCGTGCCAGATACTGCCATTTCCCCTGGTGGTTCTACTCTAGAAACGATACCGCTGATTGATTTCCGTAACGAGTACCAGGACACTATTCAGCATGAAAGGGGTCATGCGCTTCGGCATGGTGGCCAAGAAGTGCTGCCCATTGTTCAACAGATTCGGCACGACCGCAACAACTCCACAGTGACTGCGAGAAGCATGCCGGTATCAACGCAGAGTGACAATAGTGTTCAGGTTACCTCCTGTTCTTTACCGCCGAAATCTCCCAAACGCCTGTCTGTTCCTGTCGCCGCGTCAAAAGCACCTCATCCAGTACCCATCATACCTCCAAAATTTCTGTGTTCTCTACGAGCCTCACCAAATGCCTCGCCGATCATCGCAAAGCGCCATCCCTCCCAAAGTCATACGCACAAACGCAGTGGTAGCTTTTCCGACTCCGTACGGGACGACAGGTCACCGTTGTCCCCGCTAAAGCTCGAACAACAGACGGTGTTCTCTTCTCGGGAAGTATTAAACCTAGGAAGCCTGATACGTGGCGAGCTATACGCCCCGGCAGAGTCCTACATGACTATGTTAGCGCCGCCCTCTCCACCTCTGCCCTCATCGGTTATCAATCCGGCTATCGATCGGCGCAGCACGTTGAACGAGGGCAGTAAGCCTCCTACGTCGAGCTCAGGCATGAAGACTATCATAGGGTCCATTCGACGCGTTCTGCACAGCCGGAACGGACAGAGTATCTCGGCGCGTGCCATGAACGGCCACTGGAGTCCGACAACCCGTGGAAAGACATCAACTCTGCCTAACAACGTCGCCTTCGGGTCTGATCTTTACCGAGACAAGAGGTCAGCAGCGAATCCCAAACGACCAATGCGGATTGATATCCTATGTGATGAAGCCATGCAACAATATCGCCGTGCAATGGGAGAAGTTGAGACACCGCGGACAGCGAAGACTCCAGGTCTTGAAATTTCTGAGCAGATTGCCGCATTTGAACACGCCCAGCCAAGCCATCGTGCTACTCATTTCGACCATTCAAGGGCAAAAAGCCAGATCACCATGGGAAGTCAATCTATCGTCATCGTAGATGATACTGGCACCGGAGGTCCCGTCATGTCGGGGGCCGTAATGGCGCAGACAATAGGATTGGAAAGATCCCCTGGCTTTCTAGACGCTGCGGACACCCCAACAACTGTGAAGGCATCTTCCCTGCGCGTCCCATCTCAGCGAACCACTCTCGCAGAGGACCAATATTCACTGCCCATCTATTATGACGAAGCTGATCATGCGCCGCCCAATAATCGCATCTCGAGATTTCTTCGGGGTTCTGGGCTTTCTGATTCACGCCGATCTTTTTCCGTGGAGCGTTTCTCGGCGTCGTGGAAAAGAACATCGCCGTCTCTTCGTCTTCGCAAATATGCTTCTTTCCAGAGCGAAATTTCAAGGCAGCGTTCAGCCATGGCTCAAGAATGGCGACCGCCAGGTGCGGATACGGGAAATCCCGAAACGATCGCCGAAAAGCAAGTGGGACCGACACTTCGCCGGCGCCCTGGCGGGGACTTGCGCCAAATGCGCAATGGGGGTGCAGCATTGTCGCGCCCTGCTTCCGGCTCATATGCGTCTAGTTCTACGTACCGCAGTTCCTTCGCTGATAGTATGATCAGCAGGGCCAACGACGGCACTTCAAGGCCCCAAACGACCCTGATCCCTCCTAATCCCCGATATGAGTTGATTCAGACCCATTCGTCCCAAATAGTTCGGCGCTCGTTCGAGGCGGCTATTGCGCAATTCGCCCAGATCCCAGACGATGACGATGGGGGGATTGAGTCAGCATTGCTGAAACTGGAAGGAAAGTGGCCCGGTTCGCCGATCACTACTGGCAGCGATGCTGGATCCGCCGAACTGCTGCAGAGAAGCCAGGATCCGCGAGTTTTCAGACAGTCGGATTCTACCAAGTCGGGGATCGCCGGCAGACGGCATCACACTCTGCTCGGTAATAACCCGCCATATTCCCAGGTTCGTCCGCGGCTTGCGCCCCCCAGGTCTTACTCTGATTCCATTACATCGGAGTCGGGCGAGTCGTACAGCTCAATCCCGCTGCTTGAGCGGGGCCTGAGTGATGAGTCAATGAAGAAATCCAGTCTGGACCGTATTGCCCAATACCCTGTCATGCCTCCCCGTTCCGAGCTGGATCGATCATCGACTCGGAATGCGTCAGATGTGGAGTCATCCCACCCATCCATCGACATTTTCAGAAAGACAGATAGCCTTGAATGCATCCCGCGAGAATCAACGCTGCCGGTGCCCATGCCTGAGAGACTGAGAGCCAGAGGGGAACGTCTTTCGGGGCTTTCCTCTGGGATTTCAGTTGATGTGACAGATGCACAGGAAGTCTTGGATCAGCGTCTGTCACTCGACACACAGAGCTTGGCCGATGGATCCTTCGAAATTCCGCCGCATCCTCTAGCACACCCCCCTTCGCCGCCGATGACTATTCCCAATCCTCGTTCGGTGGCCTCCTGCACAGCGCCGATGGATTCTGCCCTCTTTCCAGCGCAGCCATTGACTCCGGACCCATCTCCTCGACATCGGAATGGCGGAAGACACAATATCCGCTCCGTGGACATGCGACAGGTCTCGGGTGACGTGCTTTCTCGATCGGAAGAGGACCGTCAGAACCATGATCTCCCCACAAGTGCGGATCTCGACCATATTCCTTTCATCCTCTCATGCCAATCGCAGGTCCTCGCTCAGCAGTTGACGCTGGTGGAGATGGCTGCGCTCAGTGAGGTCGACTGGCGGGACTTGGTCGATATGAAGTGGAGTAGCGGCTCGCCGTCCACACAAAATTGGGTGCAGTTCCTTACCGATGAAGAGCGCAGAGGTATTGACCTGGTGGTTGGCCGCTTCAACCTAATGGTGCGATGGGTGGTCTCAGAGGTCATTCTTGTGCGTCGGATTGAAGAGCGCGCCAGCACCATCATCAAATTTATCCATACCGCCGCCCATGCAAAGCGGATATGCAACTATGCGACGATGCTGCAGATTGCGATCGCGCTGTCATCTACCGACTGCTCGCGGCTCCACAAGACTTGGGCTCTTGTGCCACCATCGGACAGACGCCTCTTGCAAGACATGGAGTTGCTCATCCAGCCCGTCCGGAACTTTCACGATCTTCGGACGGAAATGGAAACGGCCAATCTGCAGGAAGGCTGTATTCCGTTTGTGGGTAAGTTTGTTATTGTTCGTCAATTCGTTCTATGTGGACATTTGTTGACTGATATTGTCTAGGACTCTATGTTCATGATCTTACCTATAATGCGCAGAAACCAGCGCAGGTTGCCAACCCAGCTGGAGAGCCTCTAGTCAATTTCGAGCGGTATCGTACCGCCGCGAAGATCGTCAAAAGCCTTCTTCGGCTGATTGACGCGAGCACCAAATATAAATTCGAGCCGGTGCCTGGCATTATCGAGCGTTGTCTATGGATTGCTTCGCTTTCGGAGGAGCAGATCCAGAAACGCAGCCGGTTACTGGAGTAAACCATTTGATACCCCGGTCATTGTTTCTTTTGATATTTTTTTGTTTTTTTTTTGTTTTTTTTTTTGGACATTTACTGGCGGCGTGAGCCCGTTGTGTTCAGCATGGAGGAGTTTTTTTTTCTCGTGAAGGAGCTTTGCTTGGTATACATGCGTCCTTGGGGGGGTTCTCATTTGCAAGCGATATTGGTCATTTCTGTGGGTGTGCGGATCTATATACGAGCGTCTGTTATGCCTCTTGCCTGTAAATTATATCTCTGCATCTGACTTGCATACTAGCATTTGAGAGGAATTGGGATATCTGAATGAGTTTATCGGTGGTGGCATCGTCTGGAAGTGCTCTGTAACCGTAGAGGGCGGGAAATGACTCCATATCCACCAGTCTTGGGATGAGATGATGAAACATTGGCAGCCAAAGGAAATTCAGGCTGCCGAGTAAGTAGTTAGGGACCATCAATAGTTGTTTCTCCTTGACACAGATTGTGTCAATCACTGCTTTTGTCAGAGAATAATAGAATAATATTACGAATCAGGGGCAGAACACCACCGACTTACAAAGTACCACGGAACTGCATCCACGGACATCGTGGGATCGACGTAGTCGTTCAACTCTCCATCCCACTTCCCTCTTGTCGTCTCCCACACCCACACTCCAACCTCCTCCCCGACGCTGCAGCAACATACACATACACATACACATCCCCATACCCATACCCACGCGCACACACAAAAGCGTTCTCGCATAGCAGCAGAGAAGGCTCTTCCCCATGGAGTTACTACTGACCAATCGACCCTTCTGACGCGCCTCCGCTCGATTTGCTGCTTTCACTCCGGGTGAACCACCCACGACATGGATCCGTCAGAGTCCCCCCGCGGGACGTCCGACGAGTTCAACAACCACAATCACAATCACAATCACAACCTTGATGACGAGCTCGCCGACCAGAAACCCAGAGTGCTGCCGGACGATCTGCCCACCTCGTTGGACGATCGCCGCTCCGTGCCCGTGTTTCAGGAGACGGAGATCTATGATGCCTGGCAAGGTGCGCCCTCCCCCCCCCCGGGTTCTTACGTTACTGCATTCCGATTGCGGTGTCGCAAGCCTCCCTCTTTCCTCCCTCCTCTCCTCTCCCCTCTCCGGCCCCGCGTGCCTGCACTGGATCAGGATGGGTTACGAGTATTGATATTGACTGAGAGACGTAATTTCTATTCTTCCACAGGCCAATCCCAATTCCTCACCACCCCTGTCGCCGCAAAACCGCTCAGCTTCAGCCTCGCGCTCGACGACCACTCCCACGACGACGAACATAACCTGCAAGCGCAGTACGGCCGCGGGCTCGGCGCCTCGCTGGACGACGACAATGCGTCGACGATCACCGCGCGCCTGGAGGACAGCGACGCCCGGTTGATGGAGATGCTGGCCGCGCAGGCCGCGCATCGCACGCTCGAGTCCCTCGACGCGGACGAGGACGCCATCGCGACGGACAACAAGATGCCTGACGCCGAGAAGCGGAGTATCCTGCAGCGCAGCCTGAATATGGCGGCGAGTAACGGCGATGTGGACCGCGTGCGGAAATTGGTGCAGGGCAAGGCGAGGGAGTTTGTGGACGTGAATATGCCCGATGAGGAGGGGACGGTGCCGTTGATCTATGCGAGCTGCTTTGTGCGTAGGTCCCTGTCTTTGCTTGTGGCTGCTTGTGCGGGTGTTTTGTATGCATGTGCGTCAGCTGGGCTAATGATTTGAGCACAGGGGCATCAGGACGTGGTTTCTGCGCTGCTGGGGGCGGGCGCCAACGTCGACCAGCAGGACCGCAACCAGTGGAGCGCGCTGATGTGGGCGATGACCAACCGCCATAAGACCATTGCGAAGATATTGCTGGATCATGGGGCGTCGCCCGATATCAAGTCCTCGTCCGGCGGGACTGCGTTTGACTTCGCGCAGCCTGGGAGCGAAATCTCCGAGTACCTCCATGAGAATGGCTATAATTTCGGTCCCAGTGCAATTGAGGATGATTTCTACGATTCCGGGTTCGCCCATAGCCGCTTCGAGGAAGAGATCGCGGAGAATGAGATGAAACGCCGCATGATGATGGAGGAGAGTGCTATCAACCTGGAAGTCGATCTGTCGAGCCTGGGGCTCGACGAGAAGTTCGAGGTGAGTTCGCAGATTCCGCACATCGTGCACGGGAAGTGCTTTGCTGACCGCGGTAAGCCGCTCGACGAGGACGAGCTGGAGGAAGAGCAGCAAGAGTTCGTCTGGGATCGATGCCTCAACGACCAGATGTTCGTATTCCAGGAGAACGAACTGGAAAGAATCCTCGATATCATCATCACCAACATGACCCCGCAACGCTCCCCAGCACAGAAACCAGTCCCGGCAAACCTCCTGTTCCTCAGCGCCCGATATGCCCATTACCACGCCAGCCCTGAATTACTGGCTGACCTCCTGAACTCCGCGACGGCGAAGATCAACGACGTTGTCGAACGCCACCAGTGGGATATGACTATTCTTGCATTCTGGATGTCGAACGCCACGCTGCTCCTTCACTACCTGAAGAAGGACGCAGGTCTGGTGGAGTCGACCGTGGAGTTCCAGCTTCACCTGGCGGAACTCATCAACGAGATCTTCATCTTGATCATCCGTGACGCTGAGCGTCGGATGAACAAGGTGCTTGACGCGGCGATGCTGGATCACGAGACGATCCCCGGCCTGGAGGACGTCCATTTCCAGAACGAATGGAACATTTTCCGATCCAAGAACAAGGCGAAAGCCCCCGAACCCGACGAGAAGCGTTTCCGGCCTCCGTCGCCGAGGCGACGAGCCCAGGTCTCGCCGCGGAACATCACCTCTCTCCTCTCATCTACCCTGTTTGTCCTCGACCTCTACGACGTACATTCCGTCATTACTACACAGATCCTGTCGCAGCTCCTGTACTGGCTCGGAGCCGAGCTGTTTAACCGGATCATGACCACGAAGCGATACCTTGCACGAACCAAGGCCATGCAGATCCGCATGAATGTGTCTACCTTGGAGGATTGGGCACGCTCCAACAACCGGCAGCCGGAGCACTTCGAGAATGGCTCGACGACGAGCACGGGGGATAGCACGATGGACAGCGCCCGCAAGCACCTGGCGCCGGTGATCCAACTCCTGCAGTGGCTGCAGTGCTTTTCTTCGCTGGGCGACGATCACGAATCCCTCGTGACCACCCTACTGCAGCTGCAACAACTGACTCCCGCGCAGCTTCTCCACGCGGTGAAATCATATCGGCCCGAAGTGGGCGAGAAGGGGCTCACAAAACAAGCCATGCGGTTTCTCATCGACCTCCAACGCGACCCGGACCTCCTGTACCGCGAGCAAGCTAAATTGCAGGGCGCGGCGGAGCCACCGGCGACAGAAGATTCACCGCAGACGGACGGTCGTCCACAGACCCCTGGACGGTCGGACCGGCCGATCAGCACGACTGGGCCCGAGTCCCCAGACGCATCGTTGCGCGGCATCGCATCACCCGGCTCTGTGGGCACATCTCCTCCACCAGGCGCAACATCCCGACTGGACGAACGCAACGGGTCCAACTCGGTGTTCTTGGACCCGTCACTCACTCTTCCCTTCTCCTTGCCCACCAGCACCGACATGTTGATCAGCTACGGCGCGGGATGGGGTGGAACCAACCGCGAACGCGCTCGCAAGTACATCCCCACGGTGCCCCCGGAAGTTCTGAGCCGCTTTGATCGCGAGGCGTGAGATGCGGATTGCTGGAGTGCATGCGACGCTTAGGATGACGTTGGTAGTGGATCGCGATACCCTTTTTTTTTTTTTTTTTTTTTTTTTTTTTGTGGAATCTAGAGATGAAGGAAAATTCCACGTATATACTATACTACTTCCTATCTGCATCATACTGTTGGTCCTGTTCTTTGTCGGGGGAGCCGAGGGGGTCCGTAGACCGTAGATAAGAGAGTAGACGGAAGCCGGCATTATTGGATTCATCTACAGAGTACATCAAATGAGTAGCTATTATGATCACCCGTCGAGTTACTGGATGTGGCCAAGTGACATCGAAGCTGGGGGGGGGGGGGGGACGATGGTTGGACTTTGGAGATGTCTATTCTAGATGAAACATGGCCAAATTCTGGGGAATTCCTATCCCCTCGATCGTCACTCCCTGGGCCGGATGAATGAATATAGGAGTTCCATGATGCCTATCCATGATGCCTATCCCTATCCCTATTCATCTAATCCAGAGAGAATCAATATAGGTAAAATCACAGCAGGAGTCAGAAAAGTTAATACGAATGAGGAGAAAAGAAGCGATTGTTGATCCGAACGGGACGAACTGCCCGGCTCGATCTGGCAGGACAAGTCACAGATCATCATCACCACGGCCGTTTGGTGGTGATATCACTTCCGAATCTGTGCGTCGATTGGACAGATCGCATCGACCTGCAGTTGACCAAGCGTCTCCTAGACTATCTATCTAGTACAGAGTAGGAAGTTAGTGTAGCCAGTGTTTCTTTTTTTTTTTCTTTCTTTCCTCTCCACTACTGTACTCTACTCTGTAGGAACTGGAACTGGCAACGGGACAGCCTCAGGCCGCGGTAACTTATCCAGAACAGGTGGGTACAACCATCCCTAAAGCAGACTAGCCGCTGCCCAACTAAGGAGAGGCGCCACTCCACAGCTAACCATACTGGGATAAGCGCCAACCCTATGCACCAAACTAGTCATGGCGGCCGATCCACTTTCGGCTCCGATATCCCCGAGAATACTCAGTTGCTGCGATCAACTGGAGTCATCCATCGCTAATCGACCGCGCTGATTCGTGAGTTTGGAGTGTTTGAAGGGGGACATCATGCAGGCTGGCTGGTTTGGGAAGTCACGGGCGGGAAGCTGACTTGTTTGGGCAAGTCGAGCTTTCCCTCTTCGGGTCCTTCCTATTCGGGGGATCTGGGGCGATCCGCATCAACAAACGCTTCGTATCTTTCCTCTTTCCTCTTTCCTCTTTCCTTTTTCTCCTCCTCCTCCTCCTCCTCCCTCTCTCTTCCTCTCTTTTCTTCCTCTTCTTTCGTTCCATCTGCGGAATCCTTTCCCGACTTCACTCGTTCCTCTACCCACGGTTAATCCCATCGGGTCAGGTCAATCGCATCTCATCGTTCCTCCCCTCCTCCCCCCCCCACCCCCCACCCGCCAACCATGAACCGCTTCCCCAGCTTTCCCCACGTCGGTTCTTCTGCACTCCAGATCAATTGATATCATTGATACCATTGATCCTTTCCTTTCAAGCCAGCCATTCTTGTCACCCTTGTATATTATCTCGTCCGTCACTCGTTTATGGTGGCATGACCGCACCGTTTTCCCGGATCATCGCTCGACGTCTTTGCCAATAGCGCCGTCTGACCCGTGTTTGGTTGGACTAGCCGATACACTGGCCATCCCCGCTTGAGCATAGCTCCGATCATTCCCACATCCGCAAGTCATGCTGCTCACTCTGAAACCTTCTGCTCAGAACAGGATCAAAGGTCCTCATGAGTACTCCATCGTTCAACAATCTGTTCCATCCCCGCGACCTCCGCTCGCTGCTGTTTCAGAGCCTCCCCCAGCTGCAGTGCCTTCATGTTTGGCTGCGGATCATTCTGTAGACTCCAATCGCAAAGGGCTGCCTCCTCCGCCGTTAATGAATCCTTCGTCGGACGGTGGTCGTTCCAGCATGAACCTGAACCCCATGAGTCAACTTCCTCCAGCTCCGCTCATATGTAACACCCCTGACGTGACGCGCGACTGGCTCCAGGCGAAAGCCGAGGAGGACCGACGATGGCAGGAAGAGGAGAAAACACGCCAGGAGACTCTCCGCCTGGAGCAGCGGAAGATTGAACAGACCATGCTCCGTGATTCACTACAATCTGGCGTGCCGCCCCATATGATCCCGCTCATCTTCGCAGGGATCAGTGCTGGTAGTCTGCCTCAGTCCGCGGTTGAACTGGTACAGCAGTATGCGGCCCAGAATACCGACACACGCACATCGGCGCCTCCCCCTGCAGCTTCGCAGCTGCCGCCGCCACTGTCTCTCGGCCAAAGACATCCGCCTCTTGCTATGCCCACCGATGTTTTGCGGGACTCGCGAGCTCTCCCACCAAGCCCGTACACAGCTCCATCAGCACACCAACAGCCGATCCCAGGTCCTGTACTCTCCCAGCCGCCCAATGCTCATCGACTCTCTCCCACCCACCAGTCTTTTGCGCGGCTCCCACCCGCAAATGGCCCTGCAGATGCCCGGGCTCCATCTTTGTCTCGTATCAACAACGCTGAGACACAATTGCCACATCCTCCCGTCACCCGGAACAACACACAATACGGCCCTGGCCCATCTTTACCCCCATCCCAACCTGCCGCTATCAAACCAGAACATCCCCATCCGCCACGGCAATCCCCTCCATCTCTGTATTTCCACCATTGGGTGCCTCCCGGTCACTCCCAGCCTGGTACACCGTCCACAAGGACTCACCATGAGTCTCCAGTGACATCCCAATCCCAGTCACAGCGACGATCTGAGTACCAGAGCTCTCCAGGTCGCAAAAGGAAGTCCCAGATTTCCCACCAGGCACCACCCCCTCCTTCCTCCCGGCCTTCAGATGCTCACTCGACATTACACCTGTCCCGTCCAGGTTCTCCGGTGACCGGCAATGGGGCTAATAGCCGCCCGACACATCATCGCCAACGCAGTGACGCATCGATTGCATATGACTCACGGATGAGGGACCGCCAGGATCCGGATCAACGAATCGTTCCACCGAGCCTGGCCCACCGCGCGTCTAGCTCGATGTCTTCAGGCGACCTGAGCCCAGAAAAGAGCCTATATCGAGGAGATATCCCCCCCGGCAACACAGGCTTGCCCACATATCAATCTCACGTTGACCGGATCATCAATTCGACCAAGGTCGAGGTTGACGTTGATAGATCGCCGCGACATCAGGGCCGATGATGATGAGCCCAACTCTTTCAGTGAATTATTAGTTTTGACTGACGCGCAGTGCGTGTCCTGTTTTGATCTCGATCTCATCTCTCTCATGAATAGCTAGGGAGTAGATCGATGGTCTACAAAAAAAAAAAAAATCAAAGAACCAGTTTCTTCATGTAATAGACGGCTTGCCGAGCCTGTTGGCATGTACAATGCGCTAGAAGCAGATACCTGGCTTGATTTACCACATTCTGTCCGAATGGCACCACTTGCACTCAGTTTTCGAGTAACAAACTCGCTTACTTGTCTACTTAACGGGAGGATGGTACAAGATCTTATAGCTGGCTAGTAGCAAATAGTAACCCGTTGATTGACCGGTCTATTGAGACTGAGACACAAACAAAAGAAGAGCCCAACATGACATGACAGAGACGAGCTCGTGCGGGGGTATCAGGATTAGAACTATGAACCGAAGCAGAATCAGACCAGATTTCGCAGGGACGATTACTTTCCCCCCCCCCCTTTTTTCTTTCCCATGAGCAGGACAGGATTAGATAGGGAAGGACAGAGGCGCAGTGCATCAAAGCGAAAGGAAATAAATAATAATAAAGAAAGGGATGAGGATAAAGAAAGTGCGTGAAATGATTTTAGGACGAATTAAGGAAAAGTAAAAGGTAAGCGAAAGGATAGGGTTGGTTGGTGGATGATTATTTTCAAAAAGGATTGAGTGATTAAGATGACTAGATGCGTCGTAGTGGGAGGTGTGAACGGTGTATTAGACATTCTCCCTCTTGTCTCTGCGTCTGGAAGGCTGTCGAATGCCAGTTGACACCGTGCTTGATGGCGTCCGCAGACGAGGGGAATGAGGGTTGACTTTGGAACTTTTGGATAGCGAGTGATGATGAATGAGGAGGCGGCCGTTAGGTGGGATTTTGAATTATATGCTTCGAGAGATGGGGTCTTCGAAGCCGAATGAGTCGGGGGGTTGGGGGGCTGGATAGTTCGTCATTGATGTGATCGTTGAGGTTGAATTATATTAGAGGTATGTGTGTGTGTGTGCGTGCGTGCGGTATCCTACCCGGGAAGGGTGAAGGATCATTATGGTATTATAAGGATATCAGGCGAGGCGAGGGTCATCGTCATCATCATCATCATCATCCCCCCCTCTTGCGCCGGTGGACTTTCCATTCCGCCTTAGCGACGCGCATGAAGAGCTCGACATCCTGGATCGGCACCCAGCTGGTGAGCACCTTCATTGCATTCTCAAAGTCCGACTCGAGGATGATCTCGCGCATGCCGTCGATGAGCGCGGCCGAGGTCGCGTGGAGGATGTCCAGGCCCCTGCCGAAGGCGCTAGTGCCTTGCGGGTCGGGGTTCGTCGTAGTGGTGGTGGTGGTGGTGGTGGCGGCGGTGCCCTTGCCGGGCGGATCCTCCGCGTCGCCGAGGAGCATGAAGACGTCCCAGACGCGAAGCTGGGCGGGGAACGGAATGGAGTAGTTGAATAGTGTTAGGTACCAGCGGGTCCCGTAGGCGGTTGGCGGGATTCCCAGCTCGTTGAGTTTCGCGGCGACCTCGCCCGCGTCCAGCCACTCGCGTTCAAAATCGCCAAGGGCTTCCAAGAGGCCGGAAAAGCCGGACTGGTATAGACGCTCGAGCCCGCGCAGCTGCCAGAGCCGGACGAGCATGATGAATGCGTGCTCCTCGTCGTAGTAGGCGAGGAGAGTCGCCGCCAGCGCGGCCATGCCCTGGACGTAGCCTGTGTCAGGGAAATAGAGGGACATGGCGTGCAGCACACGGAACAGGAGCCGTTGGCCGCCCCGGTAACGGCGGCGGAACATGATGTGACTGGTGATGGTCCGGGGAACGTCGATGTCAATCTGGACATCGTCAGGCGATGAGATGAACTGGAACTCGTTGAACGCCTCGATGAGCGCCTCCTCCGTCGGGCTGTCGCTGCGCCGCTTGGCGCTCGCTTCCAGAAAGGCGTACCACGCGGTCGCGCGCCATCGGTCGGGGATCCCCTTCCATGTGCGCTCGATGAGCTTCGAACTCTGCGTGTCGAACTCGAAAGTCATCCCGCCACCGAGCCTGCTTCTCCTCGTTGGCCGGGCCATCTTGGTCCACTTGTCTTCTCGCTCCCACTCCTTCTTACGCATAGCACGAGCAGCGGACGAGTCCCGTCCAGCTCCCGCAGCCACCACATTGGCCGGCAGCGTGAGCATGTCCGCCGCCTCATCCTTGAACCGGCGGTTCCGGTTGTGCGGGAGATGGTTGGCCGCCTGTCGGAACCGCGAGGTTGACCGTCGCAGATTCGAGCTATAAGTGCTCTGCGACGATGATGGTCGCATTGTAGGAGCGGATGACTTCCGCGTTGGAGACCGACCCGAGAACGGTCGGTTGCCTGCGAGGGTGGACGTCGGTCGAATGGAATGCTTTCGCCGTGGAGTCTCGGATGCAAGCAGCAGACTGGTAGAAACGCGCTGGAGCGGATTATGGTCCGTCCCGTCGCCCGAATTTTGTGTGGTGGTGCGGATGAAGCCATACCGATCCACGTCGCCTGCCTTGATGTTTTGCCAGTATTCAATCCCGCCCGCCAGCTCGTTGGGCTCTCTCGCAAGAGCGCACGGGCTGCTGTCTGGCTCGATCGAGGACCCACCGGCACTCGCACCACTCGCACTTGGCCCAGAGACAGCGGATATCTCGGTAGACGTGGGCGCAACCTCCTCCCACAATACCCCGTTCTCCAGCGCGAGAGACTTGGCCACCTCCGAGTCGGTCACGTTCTCATCGCCTTTCTCGTACATCAACCTCACCCGTCGCGAAAGCATGTCCTCATCCGCCGAGATCGCCCGGCTAGGAATGCTGCTTGTCCTCGCGCGAAGATACGATGGGGGCTTCACCCGCCGTCGCTGTGTGCCACAGACGTCCGTCTCTGCGCTATTCTGATCCGTTGAGACCCTGGACACACTCCCTTCACCTTTCTCCTCTGACGTTGGTTGTTCCTGATCCTCAGGTATCGGTGGCGCTAGTTCTAGCCCCTGCTGCTGCACTTGTTGTTCCTTCTCTTCCTCGTATTCTTGCTGTTGCTGTTGCTGTTGCTGCTGCCTCTGTCGCGCCTCATGCTTGATCAAACTCCCACGCTTCGAAAATCGCATAGACTGCGTGCCGAGACCCTCAAGAGACCCCGTAGGGATATCGAGCGAAATCTTGTTGAACGGAGTCTCGATCTGCGGGACAGGCGGCGGCGACTCCGGTCTCCTGTCAAACTCCCCCGACAATTTCCCTCTCAACTCGCTCCATTTGCGCTCCGACCACCGCGACCCCGGACGGGAGACCGGCCGCGCACTGGCGTCGTTGACGGTGATACTCGGTATACTCCGCAAGGACCGTATGCTGACCGCGGAATAATCATCCGCGGGGGGCGTCAGCCGCTTCTCCGTTGCGATTGAAGGTGAGGGCGCAAGTCCTGAATCTGCGCTGTCATTCCGACGCGACGCAAGCGCCGCCAGATCCGATTTCCCACCGGCATCATCAGACGATGCGCTCGTCGACGCCGGGTTGTTCTCTGCGCCGAGGGTGTAGCCATGGGGAGTCGACAGTGAGGTGGATCGGGTGGCCCCAGAAGCTGTGGCGGCGACGGTATCCTCGTAGCGAAGGGCGTGGAAGGGCGAGAGAGCTTCCGTCATAACGACGGTGGGCACCGAAGAAGAGCGTTTGTCCGCCATTATCCTGGCATTGCTTGCAGCATCGGGGTAGGTTTTGTTGTCTCGTAGCCTCGTAGGATTTTATGCGTCCTTTGTTTCTTTCTTTCTTTTTTCTTTCTTTTTTTTCTTCTTTGTTGTCCTTCTGTGTCTTCCGGGTGGGATACGCCGTTCGCAGGGGGGGGGGAGAGAAATATGGGGGAGGGGGGAGAGGAGAGGCGAAAAGTAAGTCGACTCGAGCTCGCGCAACAGGGGAGGAAAAGTAAGTCAAGAGAGAATTAACAGTGGTTCAAAGGACGAAAGGAGTGAAAAGGAATGACAAGAGCACAAGGGATCCTGTGCAGCCAAACATGACCGGCCGGTCTCGATGAGAATAATAATATGAAAGAGGACGGCAGGACACAAGAGACTAGTTGGTAGTAGTCCTTGTTAGAACTCGGTAGCAGGTCAAATGGACCGCGGCTCCCCTGCGCTGGATGCTTGGCAAGGAGGATAAGCTTCACTTCTGCCTTGAATCGAATCCAGGGGGGGGGAGATGGATAATTGACATCAAAGGGTAGAGGAAGGTGGGCGGAAAAGTGTAGTGTAGAATGAAGATAGATAAAGACTGAGGGGAGTGGTGGTGGATGGGGATTTCCGCCGCTTTTTCTCATCCTCTTGCTGGGTTCTTTCTGCAACCATAGCCTGATTGATACTCTGTACTATCTAGTAGGTATCTACTCCGTTCACTCTCCAGTCTCCAGCCAATGATTCAAAATGCAATTTATCAGGTAAAAAATATTCAATGCAGGGATCAACAAAGGGGGATTATTTTCAACTACGCATGTCCCACTTCGGGCTGTAGTGCAGCACTCCTCCTACCTAGTCTACTGTCTAGTACGTACCATGGAGTACTAAGTTACTCACTACTCTCTACTAGGCTACCAGCTCAGTCGTACCTTGACTAGAAGCAAGTCCTGGTGGGTCACTGTGGGTTGGATGACTATTGTTATCACGGCTGGCATTGGGCTAACGACTTGGCAATTTGACAGTTTCTTGTGACGATGGATCGTTGGCAGCTGGCCGGACATGGTCGACGACCTGGTGAACCGTGTATCGACGACTTCTGATCCACAAACGCCCATATGAATGGCGGATGGGGTACGCCATTGCATCGCAATCCATAGAATACTGAGGGAAGGCTGTATTACGATGTGCCTCTGTGGAGCTCATTGATTGCATGGACAACAAATCTAGATCATCTGTTGACTGGAGCAAGTTGTTGGCGCAGAGTCATGACATCGACTGGGCGAGAGACAAGATCTGATCGAGAGATCAAGAGATATCGAACAACCACGAGGGGGCCGTTATGACCAGTGAGTGTGACCTTAATATCTGATCCCGTTGTCATGGCATTTGAATGTCAATATTGTCGATCATCATCCCTTGAATCTCTAGAAACAAAAGTTCGCGGAAAAGGTTCCCCTTGCAATCAACCATCGCCAATGGTGGGCTGCCGGAAGTTTCTTCCATGGACATTGTCAAAGGGGGCCATACTCCATAGTCATAGCGATCTACGATCTACATCTTGCAGATGAATGCAAGGTATGGCGCGGATGGCTCCTTTCCTGCCTTCTGTTGTTGTTTTTCTGTTTTGGGTCCTTGTTCATATCAAACGTAATCTCAGCCAGATCCTAGATACACAAACACACACGTGCACACACTATTAACTCCGAGAAGGCCATATGCCAGCAGGCCATCAATGCAATAGGGAGCGCCGGGCCATTACGAACAGTCCTGCTGCAGTCACAAAAGAGCGAGAGAGAGAGAGAGAAAAAAAAAGGGGAAAAAAAAAGAGAATAAAATGACGAGTAGAAAAACGGAGGGGACCGACGAGATCTCTAAACATCTCTCCTACGTAGTCTGGTGCTTCGAAGAAAGTGATATCGCGTTATCCTTCCATTAGGCCGTGGCGGTGTTGACTCGTGATCGCGACGGCTCACGCGCGGAGCGTGTGGGCTCAACGGGCTCCTGGGGGAGCAGTTCGATCTGGCGAACCAGGAAACTCTTCTCGTCGGTGAACTGATCATCATCCGTGCGATCCATAAGGAATTTGGGAAGGAATTTGAGCAAACGCTCCCGGTTGTTGATTAGAATGCGCTGCACCGCCACGGATTTGTTGGGATTGGCAACAAATACCTATGCCACATTCCTTGTTAGAAGACCCCACGGTTCGCTGTTGGAGGGGGAGGGGGAGACTTCTATGTACCTTGAAGACGTGAAATCCCTCATATTGGATCATCTTGCGATCGTCTTTCAGCAACTGCATACATAGTTTCAGATTTTCTCCGCTGTCCACGTAGGCCATCATCACGCTGTAGTTGGCGCGGTCGAGCAGGATTTCTCCGAGAAGTTTAATGCTCTGCCGCTTCGTAACGTATGAGCTTGATTGGATGAGCGCATTGAAACGGGAGAAGACGAGATCGAAGTTAACGGTCAGGTATGAAGTTACGAGACTCTTGTGACGGGTGAGAATGTCCTGTGCCACGACGACTGATATGTTATCACTGTCCGAGCATATCTGATCCATACCGAAAGGTGCTGCTTACCCTGAAGGTTGTAAAGGAATCGGCGCTCACTTCGAAGCTGCTCTTGTCGATCCAGTGGAAGAACCTCCAGAAAATGCCATTGCCTTTCTGAGGGACATCCGGATTGACCTGGGTCAGTCGGATTGCCGGTTGACCCTCGGTCGACTGATCGTACAGGATGATGGCGGCGCACACGTCGAACTTGAGTGCCTCTCTTAGAATGGCGCCACATGGCATCGTGCTTTCTGGCGAGTCGTAGCCTCGACAGAGCTCGACAATGATTTCCGGACGGTTATGAACAATATACGAGATAACAGGCGGGTCGCCATGGTTGCCTTGTGCGGGTTTGAAACGAAGGATATGGGAGAATATGGTTTGCGTATCTTTCCGGGCTTGGAAGGGGAGATGACGAAGGTTGCGGGCCAGGTCGTATAGTAGATCTTCCTGAACGGTTGCTTGCACGAGTGCATGTACTTGATCTGGCGCTGTTTCCATCTCTAGAAAAGTCTGGATTAGCATCTCTCGTTTACTGTCTGTGTGATGGTTTGATACATATCTATACGAACCTTGAGTCCCTTGCACGATCACTTTCATTTGCGAAAGTTGCTTGGCCAATTCGTCTTCAATCTGTATAAAATTGTCCGTAAGTCACAAGATCGACGTCAGCAAAATAAAGAGCGCAAAAAGCCGACCTTGGGAGCAGTTGGCGCTTCACCCAGTCTCATCAGCAGCTCCTTGATTGTTCTGACAACATCCGAGGGCGGCCGTGGCCGATTGCGCCAGAGGAACGCCATTTCTGTAGTTTATGAATAGAAGGAAACGCGAGGCACAAAAGAAGGTTGAATGTTGAACAAAAAAAAGAAAGAAAGCTGGTGGTAATTAAGCAGACAAAGAGCTCCTTAGTGAACAAAGCAATTGATCCCATGCGGAGGGGGGGATAAGATAGCAATCAGCACCAGCCTTGTCTCTCCACCAAGGGAAGGTGAGAGAGATAGAGAAACAGGATGGAGAGGCTTTGTAGGTCGAAACAACGGATGGAGTTGAATAGTGTAGACGGTCAGAATAATAGGATGATGTGAGCAGTTCGTAGTTAGCTCCCTCCACACTGTTCGATGTAGTTCAGCTGGTTCAGCTGATTCTGGCGGAGAATAAACAAAGTCCGTCACCAGCGAAAGAGAGAGCGGGGCAACCAGGGCGGAGTTCTTCTGGTGACGCCTCATCTTTCTTTTTTTCGTTTTTTTTTTTTTTTTTTTTTTCCCCGTTTCCGATCCCTCACTCACTACATCGAGACCTCCCATATACAGAGGCTCATTTCTGTGATCAATATCGTCAATTGTTTCTGATACCTCGTTTAATTTATATATATTTATTTGTGAACCCAATCTGGAACAATGTCTGCCGCAATGCCTTCCGATCGTCCTCCCAGAGACCAAGACGCTCTGTCTACAACATCCGAGGACTCGGATCTTAGCAACGAAGAGGGATGGGAAGATGTTGAGCCTGAGGAGGAAGAGACACAGCCCGTCGTTGGCTTGTTCTCTGAGAAGGTCTATCCCGATGTGAACTCCATGCTGCAAGAAGCGAAAGACAAACATGGCTTTGATCTGCGGGGTATTCGCAAGGCGTTTGGTATGAAGTCAATCAGTCTCTGGTCATTTGTGCGATCTCATGAAACATCAGTGCTTTGTGCTTGAACCTCATTTGAACTGTTTATTCCACACAAAGAAAGACTAACCAACCTGCTCTGGCCGCTAGACTTGGATTTCCTTGGCACTATCAAGCTGGTCAACTACGTTCGGTCTCAAGTCAAAGATGGAAACATGACTCCCGATGTCTCTTCCAAAGAAAAGTTCGACGACGATGCCTTCTTGAAGCCGGTCCTTGCGGACGACGCTCTTCTGTACAGCCTGGACGACATTGAAGAGGAAGACTCCACGGCAGCCGGTACTACAGAGGCTGAGCGACAGGTGATTGAACTGCAGGAGGAGCTCGAGCGCCTACAGAACCAGTTCACCGAGTACAGAATCGCGGTACAGAAGTCATTGGAAGAACAACTGTCAAAGGATGATGATATGCCCTCCAATGGCCCGTCCGCCAAGGCGAAGACCCAGATCGAAGAGGCCGACTCGGACTATTTCGTTTCCTACTCGTACAATGGTAGGTTCTCTCCGCTCATCCAATAAATATTCCGTGCGCTAACCAGCTCTTTCTTTGAAGCTATCCACGAGTCCATGCTCAAAGATACCATTCGTACGGACTCCTACCGCGATTTCATCTATGACAACAAGCATCTCTTCAAAGATAAAGTCGTGCTCGACGTCGGCTGCGGAACCGGCATTCTTTCCATGTTCTGCGCCAAAGCCGGTGCCAAGAAGGTCATCTCTGTGGACAACTCCAATATCATCGATAGAGCCAAGGAGATCATCTACACTAACGGCTTCGGCGATGTGATCACGTATGTATCTCCCTTTCATGATTATCTGGACATGGCAATCGCTAACCTCATGGCTTAGATGCATCCGTGGTAAGATCGAGGAAGTAACTCTGCCAGTTCCACAAGTCGACATCATCGTCTCGGAGTGGATGGGCTACTGCCTCCTTTTCGAGGCCATGTTCGACTCGGTTATCTACGCCAGAGACCGCTATCTCGCTCCAGGAGGCTTGATGGTTCCTTCGCACGCCACCCTGCGTATTGCTCCCTTCGCTGATGCCGACCTCATCTCCTCTCACATCTCGTTCTGGGACAATGTATATGGCTTCAAGATGGGCAGCATGCGCACCAAAATTCACGACGAGGCACTCGTCCGCAGCGTGCAGCCTGCCGCAATCCCTGGAACCTCTGACGTCTTCCTCGAATTGCCTTTGCACTCCATCACGGTGGACGAGCTCTCCTTCTTGAAAGACTTCCAGGTCACTCTGAATGAAGATATCGATGTCCTCGATGGCTTTGCTATCTGGTTCGATATCTTCTTCATGCCTTCGAGAGACTCTGTTGTGCCCAAGGATGCCGTCCCTTCGGACATGCAAAAGAAGGGCTTTGTGGCTTTCACTACGGGTCCCTATGGACAGGAGACCCATTGGCAACAAGGTGTTCTCCTCATTGACCGTGAGAACAAGAAGGCCGTTGCCTTGAAGAAGGGCCAAACCATTACCGGAAAGGTTGGCTATCAGAAGAAAGAGGAGGGTTCGCGCTCGCTAGACATCACCATCGAGTGGGACGCGCAAACCGGCGAGAAGGGAACCCAGCAGTGGGCTCTTCAATGAGTGATGATGTCCCCCCAAAAGTTTTGTCAATTATTGTCTTATATGAATTATGCCCCTTTGGTACATATTGCTGAGGAATATGGGCCGCCCAATATGATGATTGAATCAATCACTTGTAAGAAACCATAAATGGCACCGGGTTTCGTTGCTATGTCCGCTGCTGCCGACGGTCCTTTGTAGCTAATGATATTGATTCTTGGTGCATCTGAACGTGATGATTTGGGCTGTAAGATAGATCATTCACGCGACTGGGTCTCATGAGCATGCCTAGTAGTTCTTTCGCTCATGATCATGACGATCGCGGTGATGGCGCGAAGGAGACCGAGAACGATGGTGCCGGCGTGAACGTTCGCGGCTCCTATCTCGATGATTTTGACGTCGACGATGCCGATGCGCCCTTTTTGAATCTTCGTGATGTCTGTCAGATCCATCCAACCTGAAATTGTCAAGGCTATCATCCGCACTAGACGCCGGCGATCGGGACCGCGAACGTCTTCTCCGATGACGCAATCGTTGTTTCTCCGCTGCCCTCAGAGCTTCTAATTCTCGACTTCTTTCCTCGTTCCATTTCTTCCGCTCAGTTTCGACCGACTTCAACTGACGAACACCTCTCTTCATCATCGCAAGCGGGTCGTTGGCATCTAACCGGGCCCTCTCTCTTTGTTGCCTCAGAGGGTCCTCGTTACCCCAAACATCCTTCTCAGGCATGGCATCAGGTGCCAAAACGTCATTGCCGGAAGCAGAGTACCACGGCTTCTGCCCAGCCGACTGACGATATCCAGCTGCATTCGAGAAGCGCATAGTGTACTGATCTTCGTAACTCCGGTTCTTCTCAGCCCGCTCCTTTTCGGCATCTGTATTCTTCTCCGTGGGCTTTTGTGCCACCTCGGTAGGAAACAGGTTGATATGCCCCGCGCTATCCAGAATCGGTGCGTCGCTGGTCCTGGGCGCAGCGAGCTCCTCCCGCTTCGTAAGCATCATCTCGGCATCCTCCCTTGCAAGTCTGATATCTCGATCGGTGTCATTTTCCCCGGCCAGTCGCCTCCGCTTCCTGTGTCCTCCAATATCTTCCCTATGAGATTTGTCACGTCGTGAGTCGGACCGCACCGAGCGCGGGGGTGGTGGTGGGGTAGAGGGCCGTTCGCCGCGGAGGATCTGAATTCTGCGCTCGGCATCAATCTCTTGCATGTGCCGTTCTTCTTCCTCTTCTCTGGCTTTGGCTTGCGCTTCGTCGCGCCGGACGCGAGCGATGTTTTCTGGATTGTAGACGTTCCATGACTTCTTCCCCAATAGATGACTATTTGATCTGTCAGTAAGATGATCTAGACGTGTACAGAAAAGAAGCAGATTAACTGACAGAGGCATGATAAAGTAGTTCTATAGAAGGAATCAAGAACGCCACGGTTGTTTCAGATGTCTTTGGGCATTGACGAGAGTCCTGAGCATGGCTGGTTGAAGCTCCCCTGCGACGATAAGTTGATAAGAGTGGATCGTCTTCGGCTTCAGCCACGGAGCTGCACGGGCCGATGTGGCTAAGTCGGAGCTACGTATATGGAACATGGAGGCCTTGGTTGGCTGCTCCAGACTATCTCCAACTCACCATCATCCCTCTCTCCCTACTACATACGTCTCTTCCTCTCTCTCACTCTCTCTCTCTTTTCTTTTAATTGATTTACTCTCATAAGTTTCTGATCTTTCAATTCTCTCTACTGAGATATATCTTATTCTTCTTCTTCTGTTACTCTTGCACATAGGCTAGCTTACCTTGGCGGTTGCCACATCTTCAATCTAGCTAGCCATACTACACTTCACTTGCGCCTAACCAACCTCCCGCCTCATCCGACTCTCGACTCCTTCTCAAATCTCCTAAACCCTCTCGTTCGAGATGTTTAACCGAAACAACCTTCCGTCGGTGCCAAATCCTTTCTCAAGTCGTCCATCCTCCAGAGGCAACGCGGGTCCTGGTCAAGGAGCTCCCCCACTTCCACAAAGAGACGGGTACACTACCGGACAACCACCCGTCGGTGGCGCAGGGTATGAGAAATCGTCGCATCAGTCCGATCACGATGTTCAGATGACTGATGCGAATGCGTATTCAAGGGGATATGGGACTCCATCACCCAGACCAGGGTACTCACAGATGCCTCCAAGGAATCCCGGAGGGGGAAGATCGCCAGATGTTTCTTCCCAAGTATGGGAGCTCCGCCCTGCGAAGAGCCCCGATAACACCTACACCTTCGGAAATTTGTAAGTTTGTGCTGCTTGCGAGCTGAATATAAGATAGAACTAACAACATGTCAGGGTGGCGGTCTCAACAAAAGATTTCCGGCCTCCCCGTGACGGTCTCGACCTTCTCCTTCTTGTGAACGATCTCTATGTCTTTACTGCTCGGCCCCTCGACGGCTTCCCACCCGGACATATCAGCATGTCGGATCCTCAGCGAACGTGGGCAGGTGTTGCTTTCACCGATGCCGTCAAGGCTCAAATATATAACCCCTTCAGCCAGGGTGGACAAGCGTATCTTGGGGCGGCGGATATTGAGATTGGCTTCGCAGGGAAGAAGCGAGTCGACACTCCGTACGACCAGGATGATTTGAGCAACGCTGTCATCAGGGTAAGTTCCTGATCTTTCATGGCTTGCGCAGTGTTCTAACTTAAGTTCTGCAGACTTTTGAAAATCAGATCTTCGCTCCGGGTCAAAAGATTCTGATGGACCATAAGAGCATACCTCTTCTGCTGACCGTCAAGACTGTCCAGCGAATTGGTCTTACCTCTGAAAAAGCCCCCGCTGGACGCGTCGAGACGGACCCGACTGCGAGGGGTATCCTAACGCGGCATACTCAGATTACCTTCTTCAAGGATGGCCGCACCGGTATCAACATGAAGTCTTCGAATCGCCGTCCCGCTGCAAACGCTATCATTACTCCCGACTTCAAATTCGAGGATATGGGAATTGGTGGCCTTGATGCGGAGTTCAGCACCATCTTCCGTCGCGCATTCGCATCCCGTATCTTTCCTCCGGGCCTGGTTGAGAAGCTTGGTATTCAGCACGTGAAGGGCATCCTGCTTTATGGTCCTCCGGGAACAGGTAAAACGTTGATTGCACGACAAATTGGAAAGATGTTGAATGCGAGAGAGCCAAAGGTCATCAACGGTCCGGAGGTACTGAACAAGTTCGTCGGTCAATCAGAAGAGAACATTCGAAAGCTCTTCGCCGACGCAGAGAAGGAGTACAAGGAGAAGGGCGATGACAGTGGGCTTCATATCATCATCTTCGATGAACTGGATGCTGTGTGCAAGCAGCGTGGTAGTGGAGCAGCGGGTGGCACTGGTGTCGGAGACAGTGTGGTGAACCAGCTGCTGTCGAAGTTAGATGGTGTCGACCAGCTCAACAACATTCTTCTGATTGGTATGACCAACAGAAAGGACATGGTCGATGAGGCCCTGCTGCGACCCGGCCGTCTAGAAGTCCACATGGAGATCTCTCTTCCAGATGAGAAGGGACGTACCCAAATTCTTAAGATCCACACTCAAAAGATGAGAGACAACAAAGTTATGGATGACGACGTTGATTTGGCCGAGCTCGCGCTTCAGACGAAGAATTTCTCAGGAGCTGAAATCGCCGGTCTCGTCAAGTCGGCGTCTTCGTTCGCCTTCAGCCGGCATGTCAAGGTCGGAACCATGGCTGGCATCAGTGAAGATGTCGCCAATATGAAAGTGAACCGGGCCGATTTCCACCATGCGTTGGACGAAGTCAAACCCGCCTTTGGTGTGTCCGAGGAAGAGCTTTCCAGCCGTATCCAGTACGGCATTTTTCATTACTCTCCTATGATCAATGAAATCCTGAAGGAAGGAGAGCTTTTCGTAAAGCAAGTCAGCAATGCCGAGTCCTCGCCGCTTTTCTCTGTTCTATTGCACGGCCCCACTGCAAGTGGAAAGACTGCCCTCGCCGCTCGAATCGCCATTGACTCTGGTTTCCCCTTCATCAAACTGATCAGCCCTGAGGATATGGTTGGTTTCAGCGAAATGGCTCGTGTTCAGCACATCAGCAGGATTTTCGACAATGCCTACAAGAGTCGCACAAGTGTCGTTGTCGTCGACAATATCGAGAGAATCATCGACTGGGTGCCTATTGGTCCTCGGTTCAGCAACACAATTCTCCAAACTCTGATGGTCTTTTTGCGAAAGCAGCCTACCAAAGGCCGCCGATTGTTGATACTTGCGACCACAACAGAGCGCGCGGTGCTTAAGCAATTGGACCTATACAACTCATTCAACGCGGACATCATGGTACCGAATGTCATGACCTACGACGAGTTGCGTTACATCATGGAACAGTCCGGTGCGTTTGAAGATTCTGAGATTGATCAAGCACTGGAAGAAGTTGGTGGTCTTACCGAGGATAAAACCATTGGTGTTGGTGTGAAGAAGGTGCTGTTGGGCATCGAGACGGCGAAACAGGACCCTGATAAGGTGGGCCGGTTTGTTCGTGTGCTCAACCGGGCGATCGAGGAAGAGCGGACTTTTGAATAGAGTGGTCGGAGGCAGAGCTGATTGTATATGAGCACAATCTTTTTTATACATAATGAATAGAACGAGTATGCCTGGAAGGGGTTATGTGCAGATGATGATCCTATTTGAAGCTATAGACTCCATATGGTCGTAAACACTCGTTTTTGGAGACCAGGAGGTAGCTATATATATATATATATCTAAACACCCGCTTCTGTGGGCTGTTGCATTATACTCAAGACAGTGAACTATACAACTCTTCAGGCCAAGAACTATTTTGAGAAACGTCCGCGACAGTATGGTTTATATACATTGATACTGCTTGCTCTTCGTATATCGGTACTATCCTCAGTTCCATCGAGATCAACAATGACCGTGTCTCCATCGGGTTTCTGGTTCTCAATGGCCCAGGCCCAGAGATTCAGGGGTTAAAATCATCCACCACCACATACCGAGCAAAAAAATCTACGAGCACCTCGACGCCTGCCCTTCTAGTTCTAGTAGGTGAGCAGTGCCGCCCTGAGGTCGCGCGACGGGGGGTCTGATCCAGGATGTTACAAAGGGACGATCGTGCTGCATTTCTTGGAACACAAATACCCTTTCGCGGAGACGAACTGGACATGGTAGACCTCAAGAAGATGCATATAATTAACGTTGCCTAAATATATTCATTCTCTCGTGTATGTCTCCTTTTCTGCTTCAGCAGCTGTGTCTATACCACTCGAAAGTGAATCCGAGCTGCTCGGGTTCAGCCGAAGAAAGAACGCGAAGTAGGCCACGCTCCTCCAGATCCTGACAATATGCTTTCATCAAAGAGAAATCTTCTGCAGATCGTCCGTGGTCAACGTGACGACTGCCATCACTTCTGTCGTTGTTGAGCCGCGCTCGGTTGCTCATGTCGTCGCTGGTGCTCTGTCGCAGTGATGCCCACCAGCCCCCAAGAATTTCTCGTGACCCACGAACTATGTTATTAATAGGCACATTCCAGGCAGTCCCCGAGATCGTTTGGGCATTAGGTTCTCTCTCCTTTACTCCTTCTGTAAGGAGCCTCCCTGTCTGTGCAGCCAACTGCGCAACCGTGGCATACTTATTATGCCAACATTTGTCAATGATACTATCAATCAGCGGGTCACCCTCTAACCTCGGAAATTCCATGTTCTGCAGTGCGTCCACAACCTTAGGTCCATGATCTCTCGGATCATCTGCAAGACATCGATCCCCATATACCTCGAAGCCGTAGTTTATGAAGTAATATAAGGACCCTAATGCGAACTGCTCTGTCCGAGGACTTAGCGCACCAGATGTTCCAGGTTGCCCTTGGGCTCCTTCACTGCTATTGAGCAGCCTTCCATATGGAGCCATGCAAGCCTCGAATTATGACCCAATTTCTGCTGTATAATCAAAACCAGACAGTTGCAGTTGGTCCCGGTCGAGCAAGACATTTTCAGGCCGCAAGTCGCCGTGGGCAAGGTTGAGCGATTCAAGGAAAGCGACGGCCTGAGCAAGATCATTAATCCATCTCTTTCACAGTGGAAGAGGCTCCAGACTTTCCACTTTCGTTACCATCATGGTTTTCTGATCCCAAATCTGGCGGTTTTGTATTCGAGAAGATAGAGATATATCTAGAGACCAGTCAGCCCCATCTCTATCAGTAGCCGATCAGAGTCTCACCTCTCATGTACTCGAGGAAGATACCATTGTCTGCGTGAAAGAAGCACTGTACTATATAAGGGCAAGGTGTATGTCGTAGGAATGTCTCGTAAATCTTGAGTTCCCTTCGAAATTGCTCCCTTTCGAAGTCTCCATTCTTTGGTACCTTGACCACAATGCGGGGATGTACTTCGTACACGAACGATATACCGCCTCCCCATATCCAGTGCATGTCAGGAAACTGGCGTTGGATATCCATGGCATCAAGGTGATGCGAGAATTATACTTTTTTTTGAAGAGCACGAAAAATGGCGTTGTGAGTTTGGGGAGAAATCTGGACAAAGGAAAGGAAGGCTACATAAAGGGGAAGCTAGGGGCTTCGATCACTTAATACATGCTGTTTGGTTGATATCTGGCGCCTGCCATGTTCGTCAGCTTCCAGCCACTCCACTAACCTACCATGATAAACATGGATAGAAGCATGGTGCAGGCTTGTTGATAGAGGTATTCTGCAGTTGTGTAAAGCAGAATGGGAGTGGATATTATCCACCTTCCCTAGATAGTAAGGCCTACCACACTGGCTATGAATCTAGTAATCTATGTAGCCTTAGTAGTGAAATGATTTTAGATAACTAACCAGTAGGAAATTAGGAAATTAGGAGCGTATTAATTTTTAGCTATAATATTAGATAATCAGCCTAATAGGTAGGAGAAATATATATTAGCAGGACCTTAATACCTAGGTAGGCCATAGATATAGCATAACAGGCAGGGCTTATAGCTTTAATTAGTGCTACTATTATAGCTATGAAGCATACCTAGAATATCCTTATCTTAGCATATTCCTAGCTTCTTTAGCGGCACTATATCTAATCCCGCATACTGGAGAAACCGAATGTTAGGCTTTGTACGCCTACTCCTCCATCTAGCTGTGGCAGCGCTGGCTATGTCCCTCATACGCCTAATCGGCCAATTGATATTCAACGCCAAGAATCGTCAATTCAAATAATTACTATTCGACAGCGCTCAAAAACACCAGAGGAAGCTCTTCTCTACGGCTACAGCAGATAAAGAAGGGATTTGAACAGCCGTATCATCGGGCTACTATACTGGCGCATGAAAACGCACGTCTACCACCAGAAGCAAAAGCGAGCTCAACCAACCAGGCGAATAGCATATAAAGGTGGAATGAGTGAAATGGGGGCTCAGGAGCAGCTACAAACTGAGTTATATGCTGTTGACAACGATGCTGCTGCTACTGCGGAGGCCAGCGGAGGCTCTATATTGACCAATCAGAGGCCCCAACTGCGATGTGAAAATTGTAGACGGAGAAAGAGGGCATAACCGAAAACGATGCCCTCAGTCAGCTGAGAGTAGTAATAATTGAATTTAATTGGTTGTTATTGAAATATATATGTATGTGTGCGTGTTGGGGGGTAGGCGGGCCGTGGCCACTCGCTTGCGGGTTACGTTACCTAGGTTCCTAACTTCAATTTCACCACTTCACCTACAAGAGCACCCGTTTGGTCAGGGTTCTAGTGAGAAGGAAGCGTTGTCTCATTTCATGCGTCAAGTCCTCAGCACGGTAACTATGAAAAGAGTTCCTTTCAACCTTAAGCTGGGCTCCGATTTTAAGAGCTTCCTACTACTCTTAATAAAACTTATAAAATACCCACTATTATGCTCACCTATTAGATCTGCATAGCTATTGCCGGCCTGCTTGACTAAATTTTGAGTATGTTTGAATGGCTTACTATTGTATAGTATTTTAGTGCGTTTAGTTATATCCAGCAGTATGGTGAGGCTTTATATTACTATAAGATTAGAATCAGGCTTAATAAAGTTAACGGCTAGACTATTAATTAAGCTATAGGCATGGGCCGCATGGCTAATAGTCTGCTTAAACTAGATGACTAGCTTATTAGGGCTGGAGCTAGTATATAGTTCTTTATTAGTGTCTTTAGCCTTGCAACTTTAATCTCAAGCTGGTGTACTGTGTACATAGAATGATGACTAGCAGAGACAGAGCAGGTTGAGGGATATATATAAGTTGTTTAGGTTTATCTAGGGAATAGATATCATAGAATTAGAGCTTAGCTAATAGACCCAACTTTGCTGCTAATTAGTTCATTATATTGGGGTTGTTCTCGGCCATTTATAAAGAGTTTCTACTCAAAAATAAGTAGTCCATGAGGGCTTAGGTCCCTTACCAAGCATTGACCATGTCTTCTTTTCCATTTTGGGGAATCAATGGATAGAGAATGTTAAAAAGTCAGAAATATTAGCAGGAAGGAGATGGTGTAGAGATTGCAGGATCTTAATGGAGTCGCGGGATGAATGGTTCAGATCTATCTATAGCTATGTGGGAACACTTCAATGTTGGTGGACGCCTGACCCTGCGCTTATGTAGACCGATCAGCACCTCGTTACTTTGTTCTCCTCTGAGCCCTACTACTTTCTCTCATTGCTTAGACTATGGAAGTCAGGCAAATACTGGGGTAAATCATTAAAAGTTGAGTTTGCAAAATGATGAAGTACTACCTAGGTACCTACTTAGTAAGTACTAGGTGGAATCGACTCCATACATGAGTATTTGCTCCTTCGCTTCCACGCCTGTGCTCGCGCTCCCAGGTAGGTAGGTATGTATTTGGGTATTCAGCTTATTCTTTGTACCTAAGCTTTATATTTATATACTTGTAATAATCTGACCTTACCATTCACCTGACAGTTCTCTGGAAACGGTCCAACCTGTGGGTTATTTGGTTGAAGCGTTGCTACTTCGAAGGTTTCTCAAACCATGTTGTATCCTTATTATCTCAATAGTATTTATTTACATTTACCTAATCAGTTCAAAGGTGACAGATGTAAGCTCAAGACCTGTCTGAGACCCGGTAGCTTATTTGTAGTTGTGTATTCAATTCTCTATCAGAATAAAGGGCAGTAGTAATGTATCCTTAATGAACTAGTAGTTTGTAGCTGTGTTTTCTGGGATGTCGCTTATAGAAAATCAAAAACTCAACGGTGGATCCTTGAGCTATGAGCCTGGCCACGGATGTAGACCTGGGGTATGTGTTGGACTTGACTCTCCTTGTTCGTGCGCCCTCATTTTTGCGGGCTGCTAATGCTGAAAGTTCATGGTTTTTCTTCCTTTTGTCTGAGCGAGTTTTGTATCTCGATTTATATTCGGTTTGTACAATATGGATATCGTAGGCTTTTCGAGGTCTTACTGTCCCAGGACAGCCCTTTTGAAAGGCAGGTACCTGCCTAAATGGTAGCACCATGTAAGATTTCCGGGGTTTAGGCCTAGTCATGAGTACACTACAGCTTTCCTGCCAGTTTGAAGTTGTTCGGTGGATAAACATACAGACCGTAGTTAAGCAAGAGCAGATAGGGCCAACCGCGTAATGATTTCATAGTAACTTCCTGAATTATCGCGAACCAGATGGTGTTGTTGTTGTTTCCCCCCCCCCTCGAATAACTTTCTCCATTCTAGGTACACTTGTCCCGATCATCTTGCCTCGTCGCCTTGCGTTCTTAAACGGTCAAAAAGAGAAGTGCAGTGATCAGGGAAGGCATTCGGCTTGTTTCGATTGGAGATCCATGGCAGTATCAACGATTTGGGGCATAATACTTGGCATTTCCTGTTTTCTTGCTTGGGACAGGGTCACATTGCTCCTCAGAGTGTATATCATGCAGTTCATCATCGAGGCAAATGATTCAACTATTCCCCTTATCTGAGACTGCTTGCATTAGCACAGTCCATAAAGAACACACAGGGTCTGATGATGCTCAGCTTTTGCTGACTTGCTTGTATGTAAGAGGATCATATATATGAAATGATGTATCATTATCCCGTAGGGAATATGAAATGTATGATGCCCTGCAATGTCAGAATATCCGGGTTCAGACACAGCAAAAAGAAGTGAAGGGACGTTTGGCCAAGCGAGGTGTGTTGTCAAGGTTCAAAGAATCCATGGCGAGGTAGTTTTGTTCTGTAGAGCAAACATGGGAATCAAACCAGCGGGCCAGCACTCCATGAAAACGCGTCGGAGGCCAAGACTGTTCTCCCAGGCCACTTTTACTGGAAATCAAGAACACCTAGCTGGCGTGTACCATGTCACTTCGGGAGGCCCTACAATCGTCAAGTCTCGAGTTTAACTCGCAAGCGCGGTATTGGATTGGAAGAGGTGAAAAGACGAGCGAGGCAAATAAAGCAAGGGGAGTCAAATAAGAAGATGGAGAGGAGAGGAAAGATGAGTTTTACTCGTGAGAAGAGCCGCTTAATTGATGCCTTGAGCGTGGAAAGTTGTGGCTCCTTAGGTAACGCGCGAACCAACTTCAGCCGATTACAAAAGGGGGGCAGCATGAAGGTCATCATTCCGTAGACATTTCATGGCTTACTTCTATGATTGCTCTCCACTAGAAGAACATAGCAGCAAGAGACCTTCCGCCCCCGTCTTCTTCTCATGACATACAGATGTTTCATAGATGCCTCCTACAATATGGTACACATTAAACCCAACCCAAGGAACTAATTAGCTCAGTGGTAGAGCAAAATACTTCTAATATTTTGATCCAAGTTCGAGTCTTGGAGTCAAACCACATCCTGAGATGTACTCAGTGAACGCTGAACCTGACTCTGAGCGCCCTTAGAAGCGGCGGCCGCTGGAAAAGGAAAGGTCCACAAGCCAGGAAATATGGTACTCCATAATGTAGCGTGATATAGTCTGTGCTAACTACCTAGTGTATCTATGGTATAGTAGTGTTTCAGAAGTTTGATTTGAAGCAACCAACTGAGCTCACCCTTGACTACGTAAGAGGCATACGGGCAATGGATTGGAAGACTTCAGAATCAAGCCTACACCTAAATAAATTACTAGATTCATGGCTAGTGTGGTAGGGTGGATAATATCTACTCTTATTCTGCTTTACACAACTGCAGAATACCTCTAATATCTAAGTAAAGCAGCTTAGAAACTAGCATAGGTATAAAGAGAGGATATAGATTAAGAATAAGTATTGGTATTAAAAAGATAAGTAAATCACCTTTAAGGATAAATAAATCATCCAACTTACCTAGCGTACCCTCTTAAAGCAGCAATAACTAAAAGAGGAAAGAAAAGCATGCCTGTAGATTGTGGAATAATATCCTTACCTATCTAGTATCTACTACCCAGTAAAATCATCATTGAACGGGTCACATCATCACATCTACCAATTGAATATAGGTAGTCCAGACTGCCGACTGCGAAACTTGTTTCGACGCTCTCCATGCGCAACCCTTCCTGGTAGCACCTGAATTTTGACTTCACGCAGGAAGCATCCCACCATACGCCCCGTGGCAAGGCTAAGTGACCGATGACAGGCCCCTTTGCACGTCGAACTACGAAGTATGGGACCCCCCCTTAGCCCAGAGCCGCACGTCTACCGTGTCTACGGCGTATCTGCTGTCTACCGGCCATTACTAAGGACGGCCACGAAAGAACGCGTCCGTGACCGAGACGCGTCTCCTAGCCTGCTTGAAGTTGAGTCACGGCCGAGTCCCCTACGGTACTGCTAGCTATTGGATCACGCCACGAACAATCAACCCACCACGCGAACCATTGTACCCGGCATCTACGGAGTGTGGAGTACAGTTCAGACCCACAGGCGACTCCAGGATCGAGATCTCGCTGCCCGAAGGTCTGACGTGCATGCGTCCTGCTACTGCAGGGGTCGGCGGCCGCGCCGCCCCGCAAAAGCGGCAAGCAGGATGAACCGAAAACGGAGGGCGGAGCGGAGGCGGGACGAGTACCAAGAATATCCGCTGGCAGGCGGGGGACAGGGGACAGATTGCTTCTCCTTGCTCATTCCTGGAGATTCGGAGGGTCAACGCTTGGTGGACCGAAAGCCTCAGCCTTTGATCCGGTCATCTGCTTCCTGGAAACCGGTGGTCCCGATGCCCTGGGTATGCCGTCCCTCGCTGTTCCGCGGAGTCCTGGGAGACTGATTGAAGCAACCAAGGGAGATGAGTCTGCCAGCACAAGATAAAAAAGACAAAGCGTTCCCATAAGGTAAATTTTGATCATACAAGATCATGGTGATCAGCAGGAAACATATATACCCCCCGAAAACCAAATTCGCACCCAGATTCCCAAATTTGCAAGCCGAAAAAAGCAGACGCGCCAACCCAAACCTACCTAGACAATCGAATTTGAACCCAGAATCATCACTGTCGTAAAGAGAAAAAAAGGAAGGAGCCATCCGTGAATGAGAGCAAACAACACTCTCGGGAAAGCTAATTCTCGTCATCGAAGGTGTATTTATTCGATGCTCGTCGGTACTCGTCAGGATACGCCCTCTCGGCCTTAGTTTTCAAAGCACTGGAAGCACAATTCTCGTCAGTCATCTTGATTCGGCATGAAATTCTCCATTATCTCGCAAGCAGTCGAGATATGAACCTGACGCCTTTGCCAAGAATATACTCATCGGCGGAGCGCGGCGGGATTGCATCGCTTCGGTGGAGCGGAATTCAACAACATCCATGATGTTCTTCAATTTCAACGGTGATGAAAATGGCGCAAAACTCACTTCACACGCTTCTGAGTCCACTCAAGATCACGCTTGGTCTCCCGAGCAACCTTGATGCCTTCCGAGAAATTGGCGCGCACACCCTTCAGACGGCGCTGAGCGAGAGCTTGTAGTTCGAGAAGCTCTCGTTGTTTGGCATTGAGCTGGCCGGATCTAGTCAGTCACGAAGTTAGTCCCTCAGTTTCTGCAGTGACTTTGCGGAAGAATATAACTCACGTTTGCGCCTGTTTTGCGAGTCCTCGGTCCAATGGCGTCGGGTCGAAGACATCTTGCATGCGGTCATTCAGGACGTCAACAACATCGATACCGGAGTACGAGGTGGAGCTCGACTCATAATCGCCGCTGAGCACTCCAGTGCCGTAGCTGAAACCGGAGGTGCGACTGCCGGTGGTAGTGCTCGCGTCGGAAATATCTGGCGGGGAGCCAGAAACACGACTGATGGGAAAGAGACTGGCAGGAGCTGGAGCCTTTGAGGGAACATTGATGGGAAGTGGAGCAGGCTGGTAACGCTGGGTGGCCATTGTGGTATGATGTCTTGCTCACAGGGAAGAACGTCTGACTCAAGATCCGAAGGATAGCAGCGTGTCGATCAAAGAAATGAGCGCAAGATGAATCGAAGTTCTGAGCAAGGGATGTATATATTGAAGAATGATGAGGTAGAGCGTGAAGATATAGTTATGAGAGGAGGAACGAGAGGGATCAAAGTTGTGTACAGGGTAGGACCAGGACTGATGGGATGGAAAAGGGAAGAAGGAGAAGGAGACATGACGGACGGAGAGATGAGGGTATTTATAGCCCTCGACGGAGGCTCATCCATCCGAGGACAAGGCCTTTCGAGAATCCACTGCCCTTGGACAGAAGAGAAAAAGGAAAAGGGGGGGGGTGGTGGGAAGAGGGCAACGAGGATGATGTGACGGCGGATGGAGGAATCATTGGGCAGTTGTCCCATTCGGGAATCTCTTCTCCCTTCTCCCCCTCAACCCTTGACCTCCCAACTCTTCCTCCTCCCCCAATCCCAACCTCTCAATTCCGCCTGTTCCTCAATCTCTGGTCGCCAATTCGCTCTTGATTCCGACATGACCCCGCTTGGGGTGGAAAGACAAAACTTACGCGAACGATCCCCGGTGGACGGACACTGGTCCAGCCATCTCGATCTTCCTCCATTCGGATGCCCTTCCATTTCTCTGTGGCGAAGATGAAGTCGGACATGCGATAACAAAAAAAAAAAAAAAAAAAAAATCAAATCAAATCAAATCCTCCCTATCCGTCTTGGGCTCCGATGGGGCCACAGAATGAAGAAGAAGATATGGTGGGAAGTGGTGAGTTGGTGAGGTTATAAATATGCCCTTTCCCCTTGCGAGCTTCGGCGGAAGCTCTTGACTACTTCCACCTCTACCTCCCTCTTTCTTGGTTTTTTCTTTTCTACGACTCTTTCAATGCATGGTAATTATCTCTTCCTAACTTGTCTTTTCAGAGTTCGATCCCCAGACTTTGTTAACCATGCATAGCTTCAGCCATGGGTCAATGATCTCTCAGCTATATCAGGGGGCTTGGTGGCTGGAAGAAGGGCATGGATGGCTGCTCAGCAAGGGCCCAGCACGATGAGAGCATTGCATGACTAAAGGGCTGTCGGCAAGTGCCAGAATCAGGTTGCTCACCGTGGTGCTGCCACTCAATTCGCGGTACTCGCCTCCCAATTATTTCGAGGCGTTATACTGGTCAACTGTGCTGGAGCATATAATGCCAGTCCATCTGACGTTCACACTGCGTCGTTGCATCGATGTGGATGTGTGTTTGGGTTTGAGTAAGTGAGTTCAGGTATCATGAACTGATAGAACAAGGATGTGATTCGACCAGGTTTGTTTTTTTTTTTTTTTTCTCTACCTCTTGTAGTCGCTTTTCCCCATTTTGTTTTCACGCCATGTTAAACTTTGCCCTTTACCTTGACAAGAATGACGAAGGACTGACAGGTAGAGCAGAATTTGTGGAAAAGAAACCTCACAAACGGATTGATTATCACAAGCGTTGGACATCACTGCATGAGATGGGAGAAAGGTGGACAAGCCTCACAGAAAAAAAAAAAAAAAAAAAAATTCAAGGATGTCTTATCGAAGCACCCAAACGTGTCTTACCTCGCTCTGATCCCGGGAACAGGAACCGGGGGCCGCCTAAATGCTGTCTGGCCTGACACGAGAAAGTTCCAGTACAAGGACGATTACTGTGCAACCGCCAAAGTTTCATTAGTCTGCCTTTGGCTCGATGGGAGCCTAAAGAGAATATCCAGAAGACTCAATCTACGCTGAGACTCCAATTCGCCAATCGCAACCGTTACCATTGCCACCTTATGACAAGGGGAATCACAAAAAAAAAGCCTCCAGAAAAGACAAGCGCTTTAGACGCCGACGGCATGAAAAATTGGCTGCAAACGAGCGAAGTGGGCCTGGGGAAAGACCTTGACTACACAGTACGTGCAGGTTGCAGCAAGCAGAAAAGTGGAATGATCCATCCAATTGTTCTCTGAAAGTTTTGAGAATGCCAAGTTCCTGCAGAGTATCTCCATTGAGGGCCAGAGCAACAGCATCGTTTTCAAATGTGAGAGAAAATGGAGGAGAATGCCATTTTCCCCACCGGACTTCTCGAAAGGTTCTCTGCGGCTGACATGACTTGAGAGCTGCTTGGCACCGGATACTATGATTGCATGTTCTGCTATACTGGCCCGTCGGCTCGGACGAGGGACAACGAAGCCACTTAAGATCACCACCAATTGATATTTGGCTGTCCTCCGGTGTCGATGACATTACTCTCCATGCTTGGTGCCTTACCCAAGCTGCTTGATGCCTTATATGTCTTGACCAGTCATCCTGGTTCTTTTCAAGTCAGTATCAAGTATGCCTGAGGACGAACCAAATGTGGAAAGCGACAAAGGCATTGGCGTGATAAGAAACTAGACCGATTTCAGTTTTGACCGACCGGATTCCGGGTAGCACAATGAGGCCCAACGCACTACGGATGAAGCCCATTTTGCTCGACTTTCGCGTCCAGGGCCTTGCGCCGGCTTCCTTGTTTCTTTCAATCTGTCAAATTTGGATTTGTGTTTGCATTGGGTATTGAGAGCCTGCGGAAAAGGCCCGTCGAGTCGATATCTTGACCGTTTTGTCCCGCCTTCATTGACCGCGGCAGGCTACTTCTAGTCATCTCGCCAAGTTCATCTGCACTTCTTTATTCTCTTGAGTTTGTCACAGGTATCAGAACGTTTTCTGTCATTTCAACAAGAAATACCCCTCTTTGAGTTGTATTCACTCTCGTCCGATGAGCTGGGTAAGGTCTGTGTTCTAGGATGGTGGGCACCACCTCTTACAGGCTAGAGCATGCAGGAAGGCTGCTGCACTTCCATCGATGCGGCGTCATGTATTCTGCGAGACAAATTTTCAGTTTCCAGTGAGCACTCGAAGACACCGGCCCAAAATGCACCGCGAGAGTTGCGAATGTGGGGTTGGATCCAACTCACCTATTGCGCCGTTGCGTCTCACCGCCACAAGCAAGCCCGATGCCTGATACAGCTTCAACCAATCGGCTTCCCAAGGCATTGGTGTTGGATTCTTGTGCGGAATAACGTTGATCGACAGACAACGATTGCAGAGTTCGGAAAGACTGAGTTCGACGATGACGATACTGTCAGCCAGGTCCAAGGTATTGTCTGACTACTCAGGGGACTGACTACTTCTGATCATATGGTCACTATCGGAAGACTCCTGCCCCGAGGACTTGAATTTATCCCTCATGCTCATGGAGTTTCCCGGACTCCATCGCGCATTGCATTGCAATGGCGCAAGGAGTTGTGAACTTCCCATCTGACCCGTTCATCTTCCATGACCCCTTCCGAACTCCTCATTCGTACCATCCGACAGCTATAAATCATCGCAAGCCACTGCCCTCGATACACCTCATCATCCATCTCCAGATCACGTAGTACAAACCCTCATCCAAAACCCAGCTGACAATGACAAAGAAACCAGTCGGGACCGCCCTCGCCCCCCGGGAAGAAAAGAAAAACAGCACCGCATCCCGGACACCCATCCGTATCCTCGCCTCGCCTCATCGTCGTCATCAGTCACACCCGGCCAGCGCGTTACACTATCCTCGCCCCGTCAATCCTGACCGAATCGGAAGTTTACATCCCTTTTCCCCATCCTTACCTCGACCACATGGCCAGATCGAAGGTCTATCTCGCACTAACACGATCACGAACCCGATCATCGCATCAGCAGCCGATTAGCGAGCCCGAATCCCGCATGGAACTAGAGGGAAGTCTAAGCCTCGCCCCTTCCAGTCACTCAAGACCCCACCCTCTCGAGCGCGAAAAAGAATAGATGCGTTGATGCTGTGTTCCACCCAGCGCTCTATCAACCCATAACATACTTGCAGGAATCTGCAACGGGATGTTTGCAACTGGACCGATACAGCATATCTGCTGAGGATGTTGATGTCATCTGTGTCTGTCTCACGGAGTGAGCCGGTTGAACTTGCTGGCTTGGTGGGGAGAGTGTGTTCTGCACGACGTGCGGTAGTATCAGACTCCTAGTAGAATAGTAGACTAGTAGGTATAGTGGAAAGCAATGTTCTCGGTAGAGCAGGCACGTAGGACATATTACCTGGCCTGTTGACTCTCTGCACTTCATGAAGAGGTTTGTCTACATATCTACAGTGGAGATTGCCAAACGGACGAAACCAGTTATAGACAGATATATATAAAGGTAGAAACTAGCCAGCTATGCAGGGTATATCACTGTACATCGATTATCTATTTAGCAAGTAATAGCACAAGACTGCGAACAGCAAGGCGCAATTCTCAATCACCAGCAAATACAATTCCCAAGCGCAAAATCCATGCTCGTAAAAGTGGTATCTAAAAGCAGACCGCGCAGAGGGGGAGTCTGGGCGAAAATAAAGAACCACAGGTAAAATTTGTCCCCCAGTAACCAGATCCGAGAACTGACGCCATGCACACAAGGTCAAAGGTCCCAAAGAACAATCAGCCGGAATACCTCGGCAACCCCCCCTTCCCGATGCTGGAGCAGGTATCGATTAACCTCGCATGCCGTATGCAAAATGTGAAAAGAGTAGAAAATCCGTCATCGTGGGAGGGGATTCAAACAAGGCAATCGAGGTAGAAAGTAGAAAGAAGAAGAACAAAAAGTAACAGTAAATGCTATCAATGTAAACCCTCCCTGAAGGCGCCGTTCCGACGGATAGTTTCTCTTTGCCGTTGCATAACCCCAACCCAAGCCAAAATGAGAAAAACAAAAACAGTAAACGTAACGCTGCACGGTTGCTGAGGTGTTGCTGGGACGAAAGATCGGATAGAAGAGGGTTGTGAAATTAAGAGTATGTGTCAAGCCCCAGGCTTTGCACTCATGGTACGACTGACGCAGCGGACAGATGGCCCTCCGAGTCGGTTTGGAGACGATCCCGAAGAAGAAGTAGTGGTCGGTCGGGCGAGAGCAATCCCATCATCATCTTCCCAAGATCATTGTGCTTGATAGGCTTCGTCACATAGTCGTTAAAGCCAGCGCGTGCAGCATTCTCGATCTGATCCGTCATTGCATTGGCGGAGAGAGCCATGATCGGTATTTGGGGATAATGATTCTTCAATTCCCAGGTGCGAATTTCACGGCAGGTTTCGTAGCCGTTCTTGACAGGCATTTGAATGTCACACTAGAACAGATGGTCAGTTACGAAAGGATTTTGACGGATCTGTATCTAGATACTCACGATGATCAGAGAGTAATACCCCGGCTCCTTGGAGAAGACCATCTCGGTACATTCTTGCCCATTGGCCGCAGTCTCAGCCATGACCTTGATCTTGTCAAGATACTTCATCATCACCTGAAATTGTCATAAGACATTAGAAAAGATAGAAGCAAGGGGTCGGTAAATGGTGACATACCATGCGATTTGTCTCGTCATCTTCGACCAGCAATATTCGGTAGCCTTTATTTCCAATAACCTCCTTCACAATCTTCGACATGGTTTTGAAGTTATTGTTGATCTCCCTAGCCATGTCCTGATTTCTGTCTTTGCTCAAATCTCGTTGGTTGCTAGGGTCAAAGATGGTCGAGAAGGCAGAAGGCTTGACCGGTTTCGGCACAGTAAAGACACGCCTTCCGCTCGACGATAGGTCCATGATCTTTGAATTGATCTGTCGCTTTTGGTACAGGTCGGAAATGATTACAAGAGCCGGGGCTGTGGCCGGATCGCAGCCAGAAACGTACTGCATCATCTCCTTGATATCATCCACGTTGGGTAGATTAAGTACCAAGTGAGTCGGTTGCGATGCGGATCCATCGTTTATGGAGTCTCGCCAATCCTCAACGTCAGGCAGTGACGAGATCGAGAATGGGATATCGTGGGGCACCACCTGCTCAATATGCTGTTTGATGGCTTTCCGTGCGTGATCCAATGGACACAGGATGAGGATAGAAAATGGACTTCGGTTCTGTACACCAAGAGTCCCCGCAGGTGAAACCTGTACGGACATTGATGGTGGTTGCTGCGGAGGCAGGAGGGCATCATTACTGGGTCCAGTCGCCGGGTGTGCACGGCTTTGAGTCGCATCCATCTGAGGTGAAAGTTTTATGGCGTCCGCGCCGGCTGAAGGGCTCATTCCAAGAACCTCGGGAGTTGGGAGAGCAGAAGACACAGATGAACGATCGAGAAAATTGGTGAAGGGAAACCGTGCAAATGACTCAAAGCCACTCGGAGGCTGAGATAGGGGAGATTCCAGAGCGGGAGATAAGTCAGCGGGTTCTAGCACCTTGGGGTCAGCCGAATCCCTCGAATAGAACAACAGTCTCTGGAGGGAATCCGGTTTGGGCTGCGCCCCAAAGGCCTCCGATGTGCTCGAAGACTGCCGAACAAGGCGAGGGTCCTCCGCTGAGGGTGGAGGTGGAGCGTCAACCTTGACGAAGAACGAAAACTTTGCGCCCTGCCCTTCCTTGCTGCTTGGGGTCAGCCGCCCCCCATGCATCTCGACCAGTTGCTTCGACAAGAATAGCCCCAATCCACTACCAGCATTCTGCTGAGAGGCATTCTCTCCCAATTGACTGAATCGTTGCATCAGCCGTTCGGAATCCCTGGCGCTGAAGCCCTTCCCGGTGTCCACCACGTCAAAGTTCAGCATCAATTCTGTTTCCTTGAGAGGCACTGAAACGTCGCAATACATTGAGCACCTGATGTAGACCTCCCCCTGGGCGGTGAACTTGACTGCGTTACCGACAAGATTGATCAGGACTTGCCGAATGCGGAATCTGTCACCAATGACCATAGGTGGCACATCCACATCCATCAAGTAGTTGAGTTCCAGGCCTTTGTCGAGAGCCCGGGAAGAAACAGTGTCGATCACATCTTCAATCACAGAACGCACATGGAACCAGGAATTGACCAAGGACATCTTTCCAGCCTCGACTCTGGAAACGTCGAGAATGTTGTCTACCAATTCGCGCAAGTTGGTAGAACTGTTCTGAATGGTGTCGAGCATACGTCTTTGGTCAGTATCAAGCTGCGTATCAAGAATGAACGGGATCGTGCCGAGAATGCCGTTAAGAGGTGTTCGAATCTCGTGCGACATGTTGCTGAAAAACTTCGTCTTGGACTCCATCTGGTGGTTCAATTGTTGCATGGCACGGTTGAGTTCCCGCTCCAGATTCTTGCGATCGTTGATATCAGTGCATGTGCCGTACCACGAAGCTTCACCGCTGCCGAAACTGCTGGTTTCAACCCGAACCAGGCGGACAAGGTGCCATCGGTAGTCGCCTCCCTTAGAGCGCAGACGAATCTCTGTCGAATAGAAAACACGGCCGTTCTCATCCTTTTGAACGGATGCGATCCCGAGTCTAACGAGCTCATCCAGTGCAGGCGTGACACCGTGCGGGAAATGCCTACCGGGGGAGCTCACTTTCTCTTTACCAGCATCTTCGGCGGCCCCATTGGATTCGGCAGATGGCTTCCTGGGGGCTTCCGAGAGATAGGAAGAGAGAGAGCTGCACTTTTCTAGATCATCAGGATGGATATGCTTTGCGAAACCAAAATTGAGTGCATCCTCCAGCTTCTGGCCAGTATACAGGTGCCATTGCTCATTCACAAAGATAAGACCACGATGTTCGGTTGCTTCAAACACGACTTGAGGGATCGAATTGGAGAAGGCACGATATTTGGCGTCAATGGCGAATTTCTGCCGCTCTTGCACTGCTTTCAACTCTGCGATATGTTGCTCATGGATGTCAAGGAACGACCCGATCCAATACAGGACCTCTCCCGTGGAGGAAAGTAGCGGGTTTGCGCGAAAAATGAACCAACGGTAGGCTGCATCATCGTTAAACCGCTTGACGCGCACGCGTTCGGTGAACTGTGACCCAGTCCGAAGAGCGTTGGCCCATTCCTGCGACACATGTTCCCGCTCGCTCGGATGTATGTTCTGCCATGGGTCTCTCAGCTTTTGTTCCTGAGGCTGGCTCCTCCTATAAGCATCAAACTTAGAGTTGGTCCAAATTACCTCACCGCTCTGAGGCTTCGCGAGGAAGAGGTGGAGTGGAACTGAGTTTAGCATCAACTGTGCAATTGTGTCGGAAAAAGGGCGTGGAAGCTCTCGCTGCAACTGTGCATAGAAAGCAGTTGCTGAAGCGTGGCGAGAAGTGTGCTGAGTCGGTGATATGACTGGTGCAACCTTAGACTCTTGCAAAGGGGACAATTCTGCGACAGTGGGGTCTTGAACAGACGATTCTTCGCCGACCGAACGTTTTTCCCATACTCTCCCTGGAGAAGTGGGCGTCGATGCAGCGGTTTTCTTCGGCTTTGAGAGTTTATTCCGATGATGGGTGAGAGCATCTCGGACGCTTTTGGATCGCTGAACGTTAAAGTAGCTATCCACAGCCTCGTTCCCACTTTTCGCACTCGGTCCTGGCGATTCACCAGGATTGAGGGCTGCACCTGCCGTGGAATATCCAAGGTCAATGCCCGGCGTACCAAAGCCAGATATGGCTGGACTAAACTTGGTCGAATTGGATCTTTCACCTGGGCTGGAGAGACTGGCACGGGCAGATAGCGAAACATCGTCAGCAAAGTGATAACTGATATGTCCGCTAAGTCCAGCGACGAGTTCCATTTCGCTGCTCTCGTCAGAGAACGTGCCACCAAGACCGAGTATGTGACCAAAGCGGGGGATGTCCACGCGTGAGCTGAGCTGGCGCTCGAGCTGGCTGTACTGTTGCGCCAGATTGAAAGAGGTGGTGAGGTGGGGCATAAAAAATGCCAGAGATTGTCTCAGGCTCGAGGGATAGGGTATGATAGGTGATAGGATCGAGATAACTGCAACTGGGAATCTCAATGTTGAGGGTGACGTCTCTTTGGAACGTCCGGCGTGGAGTAGAGGAATATGAACCACCGACTTTGCCAAATCGACACCAATTGCTTCCAGGGGTTCCGTGTTCGAATAGTCATGAGGCGGTGGGTGCTGCGCAAAAGCGCTCTCATCAACGGTGTGGATAGTGAAGAAAGGATTCTGATCTGCGTGCGCGCGGGGTGCTGGAGAAGGCGCTGGGGATTGTGACCATGGAGACGGCGGTACTTGTTCATATTCGTCGTACACATGCATTAGCGGAAATCGTTGGGAACATGAACTGGCAGTACTAAGGTTGGATGCAGATCTAGGGCGTGCGTTGTGATTGTATTGTGGGATTTGTTGCGGTGTTTGGGACGGCTCCGTCGTAGGTGTTACCTGGACCGTGTCCTCTGGTGTCTGAGCGACTTCGCCATGTGCCGACCTGGGTGTCACGACTGGATTCTGTGAATACTCCCGCGTGAGCACAACCGGTTTCGTACGCCCGAAGAGTTTCACTACTCCTGTCCTCTTGATGAGGGGATCAGGCTCAACCTCTAGCGGTCGAGGTAGAGGGAAAACAGTGTTTTGATCATTGCACTGAGAAGGATTAGAGGGATCACAACTTTCCTGGATTCGGGCCGTAGGGGTCTCTTGTTCAGGAATCGAGGCAACGCCAGGTGTGCCCAATTCGGAAACAGACGGCATTTCATGACGATGCATGTTAGAGCCTTCCCTCATCTTTTGGATATGCTGAGCTCGACTCATGTCATGCCAACTAGTCGCTGTCCTTTCTTTTCCAAATCCGGCAAACGAATGGCGCGACAGTAGGGTCGGACGCTTGGGAAGAAGGGGCGGAACCGGTCCATCTCCGGCCTTCTCTTTCGCGACTTCCTCTTTCTTCAATTTCCCAGCAACTCCAGCGTCCTTGTGAGTTGGATAAACCGGTGTGATCGTCTCATTGTGCCCAGCGACAGGGTTTGCGTCGGGGCTCCATACCGCTTTTTGGCCCCATGGAACGTTTTCGAGGTCCGTTGTGTCGCCCGGCACAGCAAGTGACACTCTCTCCGCACCATAGTGAGTCTTCAAGATTTCTACGACATTCGCCCACCATGCTTCAAGCCCCGAGTCCGCATTCAGTTGCAAAGTCAGGTCATAAAGGTTAGGGGTGGGATAGGAAGCATCGTCCGGAACAAGCTTGTGATCTAAAGGTAGAAATGCACCTCCCGAGACATATTTGTTGATAGCAGGCTGCCGGTCGTCCTTTGATTGTGTTGGTGCCATATGGATCTTCAACTTCTCAGACGGGAGGGTCAGTTTGAACTGGCCCGAGTGCGATGTCGCGTCCTGGATTGGCTTTGCGATCTGCTGCAAATTCATCTTAGGAAACGGATACGATGGAGTCTGGTCAATGGCTTTCGAGATATCATCCTCCAGGTCCAGGGCCTTGACTGTGCCAGCAGAACCAGTCGAATCTGAGTGCAAGGTTCCGGTAGCGGAAAGGGCAAACTTCGGAGGGGAGAGGTTCGAGATGCGCCGTTTCCTTGCTGAGTCGTGCAATACCGACGAACCGGTATTTGTTTCTCGGTGGTTCGACGGGTTGTGATCCTGGGCTTGCTGCATCTGCTGATAAACCAGTAATTCTTCCATCTGTCTGCGGAGTTCTTTCAGAGTTTGCGAGCTCCGTCCTTCCTCCAAGCAGCCTTCGTCTGGATGGACATTAGCGCCTAGGGTGGACGACGGCATCTGACGCGCATTTGCGCTGCTCCCATGCGACACCTGGGATATGTGCGAATGTGTTTTTCGTGCATGATCGCTTGTCGCGATCTTCTTCTCGAGGGGATATCGTTCGTCACTGGCCCGAGCAAGATTCGAAGCTGGCCGAGACGAAGCACGGTTGTATGGGTTTGCTGCTGTTGGGGGGATAGGCGAAGGAACCTCGGCCGGTGATGGTAGTGGAGATGTGCTCATGCCTTGTACTTCCCCCATCCTTGAACTTCCGCCACCGCCGAACAGATACTCAATTCTCCTGGGCGAATCCGACTCCACAGGAGGAAAATGAGGCACTCATCTCTCGGCCAGACCGGTCCGCAATAAAGGTAAATGGCACTAGGCGGGAGGTTCAAAAGAAAAATAACACTTTGCAGGTCTTGATGCTCTTGAGCGCGGCAACGATAGGAAGGTGGAAAACGGAGGAAGGCGAGTGAGTTGAAAGTCAATCGAAAAATCGAGCCAGCGATGAGATTCCAAAGGATACGATTAAGATAGAGGCGACAGTAATGTTGCGATTGGATAAATTCCTGCCAAATTAGATAGACCTGTAGATGAGTAAACCGACGTCACGAGAATTTGGGAGGCGAAAAATAGGACGAAACAACCAAAGAGGAACGTTGAAAAGGACTAATAGACGAAATAAAGAAGGACGGGAAGAAAAGTAAAGGGGGGGTGGTATATTTTTTTTTTATGATTTTATTCGGCTTGAGAGAAGGAATCCGAGGGAAGAACCAGAGTGTCTGTATCGTGAGTCCAGTGTGGTGGTGGGAATTGGAGGAGGAAGAAGGGGAAAAAAAAAATTGGTGGTGGTGGAAGTAGAGATGGCAGAGAGAGAGAGGCTGCAGCAATAATGGTGGTGGTGGTGGTTGTGGTGAGAAGAAAGGGAAGGGTCGACGTACAACAGGCAGTGGAGTAGTAAGTAGTAGTAGTAGTTAGTTACAATTACTAGTTTACTACTACTACTTGGAGAGTAGGTAGCAGGTCGCAGTACAGTAGTTAGTAGTAGCAGTAGTAAGAGATACTCCTACTACAAACTATGACTGTCTGTCTACTTCTAGGGACTTATCAGGCCAGTAGGAGATTATATGATGGTCTGGGAAAAGCTTCTGAGTGTGACAAAGAGCGAAGAGCAGTTGAAGGCTTTTTGGATACCAATCGATCGACTGACAGGCAGAGACAGTAGTACTGTGCCTAGTAGGTAGTGCCTAGTGAGCACTGAGCAGTAGACAATACTCACTCCGTAGTGCTGGAGGGGATTATAGTGGACTGTGGGAATAAGGAATTGGTCCGTCTCCGGGGGCTGTCCCAAGCTATGACGTAGGTGAGCCCGGCTGACCAAACCGTGGGACCTGGGAAGTTTGGGGGCTTTTGGAGACCCAGAAAGGCTTGGGAGAAAAAAAAAGAGGAAGAGAGAACAAGAAAAGTATTAGATCAACAAAGACGGGAAAGCAGCAGAAGCCACAGTCAGGTGAATAAAGGAGGATAATACTAAAAAGTAGGATTAGAGGAGGGGAAAAGAGAGAGGGAGAGGAAGAGAGGGAGAGAGAGAGAGAGAGAGAGAGAGGGAGAGAGAGAGGGAAAAGAGACCAGCACCGGAAAGGAAGTAGAATACTCCGTTCACCACGGTTATGAATAATGTTGCTACAATGGAATATCTAGTAGTTACTGAGTAGACTAACTGCTGCTGTATTTGGTCACTGATATCCGTCACTACCATCTACTGACTTGATGGCACTCCTGCCCGGTGTTTGAAATGTTCAAGTGGATAGGAAACTAAGGTAGAGAGGGAGTAATCGTGCAGGCTACTCTGGTGGATAAATCCAGTAGACTTGCCACAACTAAGTGCTTTCCTGTTATCTACAGTCTATCTCCTTCATAGCTCTACCTAGGTAGTGTCAGAAAAATAAGGTGCGCTCATCCTCTGTATGGAATAGGTACTGCTGTTGTAAGATTGGATCATTGGAGTCAGGACGGACAAGGTTCATACAGGAGGCCATCTTGGATCACGGTGAATAACAACGAATGCCACACAACCCTCTGTTGCGTAAACTCAGGGTACAAGAGAATTTCGTGTTGTCTAAATACATCAAGTATGGTTGAATTCAACACTCGCCGCCATAAATTTTGCAGCAGAATGATGCCAGAAACAAAGCATCTATCGGCGGTGGCCGGCACACGGCAGTAGTGCGTCATAGATTCGGCCTATTCCTAAGGTACCTTAACTGTGGAAACTGAAAAGGCTGTACAGTACTATCTAGTAGGTACCTAGTGTTCCCACTAGAGAGAACCCGTGGATATGTCCCCGTGCGAAATCCTGGTCATCCTGGCTATAACTACAAACTTACACACTTTATATTTCCCAAAAAATCAGGGGCTTACTTGAGAGAAGAATAACAGAAAAAAAAAAAAAAAAAAAAAGAGTCCGTCACCAAACAAATGAAACGGGTCGATGCATGGCCCAGTATTCATGTTGATGGACCAGAAATTGATATCTTCTCGCTTCCTGCGCTAGTTAGTGTTGCCTTGGTCAGACTCGACTGAACCAGGATCATCAGGCACCCTCGTGCAGGTTAGCGATTCAAGAGAAACCAGAAGCGGATCAAAGGGGTTTAGACGGGAATGAGAGAGAGTTAGCGGCACGCCGGCAATCCACCAGATTTGGCATGGATCTCTGTTTATGGCATCGTTAATGCGGCCGTGGCTGGGCACTACGGCTCCGGATTTTCATTCAATCATCATAGGTATGGATTCTCACTTCTCAGTACGGAGTAAGAATGATGTATTATTTGTTTCATTTGTTTTATATGAGGTTGGATTATGGAAGCTTAGAATTTGGGGAGGCTAAAAATCCGTGGGCTGAATCTCTTTCTTCCAAGAAGTATCTATCTATCTGAGAGCGAGAGGTTCTCCACCAGCCTGCCTCACCGACGATGACAAAACCCATGGGTGTATCCATATTTTCATAGCATTCTCCTGTCAGGCTGTCGTCTTGTCGCGTGGTCAGGTGGCGACGTGGCGAACGAACTACTACTGTTAGATAGTTACTACTCTGTGGCTGGGGGACAACATCTACAAAGAACTACTACTTTGACCTCATCCTTATGTATCCAGCACTTGGTCTTAGTCATCTTATGGTCGTCATTCTGCATTATTCGAACCAGATAATCCAAATACTCGGAAGTCCAGGGGTGCTAGTTCTCGTGTTATTTCCACCACCTGTCGATCTTGAGCAACTTCGTGCTGGACAGCTGCTCAGAGAAAAGAAATCTCCGGTGAGATCAATCCAACCTGGCAGGCGAAGAAAAGACAAAAGTTACTGCTCTCTACTTACCTAGCTAGTATCGTCTTGATTCCACTCCATAGACAAAGTACCGACCTTGCACCACCATAGTTCTACAGGACCAGAGCCAAGAACCTGCAACAATTCAGGGAATAGCCTCTCTCTCAAGAGAACGAATGACCCAAGTATGGGGAAGGACATGGTTGCATTGGCCAATGACCAGAGGATGCACAACCTGATCTTCAATGATGTCTCAAAAAGCTATCAATCATTTAAAGGCGTGTTCCTTGTTCGTCTCACCTCGCCATGCTGCTCAATCCATCTCCCGTACATTTTCTAGAACGCTTCCGCTATCAGATTAATGGCTAGATTATTGGTCAACTGGGAATGCACTGTGCACTGTGCACTACCTGCTGCCTGGATACTGGGAAGATACCCCGAGGAATGAAATTGTCCAAGTCTCTGACTAGCTATCGGGTTCTACTTGTTTCAAAAGAATCCTTGATTCACATCCATCCTTTGTGTATTCAGGAGCGAGTTAAATACGAAGTTACAATATCCAAAGCTCCTCACGGGACGATAAAGTTATTCCACTTGGCAAGCCACCTGGGTCTGACTCGAGGATCCTGTGCAAGCCGCTCGTATCTGGATTCTTCAAGAGAAATCTGTCGTGAGAATTGAGTCCGTATTTCATTGCCGACGTACGCAACTGCGATCCATCTATAACGTGGTAGTATTGCCAGTTCCGAATGTGTCATTTCCCAAGATATATCCCTCGATCAGAGGGCTGACATCCGAACCCACATCTTTTGCTGAAATCCCCACAAAATGTCATATTGACTTGTCGAGACTCTATCTAGACTCCTCTGAAGTCTTGGACAAGGAGTGTATTGTTGTCATGAGCAAGTCCATCCTAGCGGTTCGATTTCTGGTTTTCGATATGGCTTGAAGGAAGCTATCTTGTCATTATGCCCAAGACGAACACGAAAGTTAGAGCTACGCCAATGATGAACTGTTAAGATGACCAGACAGAATGACAGGCAGTTTGGTAGCCTCACATCATTAATATTCTGGATCTTTGCAAACGACCATGCATTATTGCTCGCTCTGCTTGATGCTCGTGGAGGGAGAAGTCATGCCCGCCCAGTGCCCAGGCTTCTAAAGTCCCGTGATACCCCACCCACAGCTGACTAACACTTTGCCAATGAGGAAATGATAGCCTCAGGCCATCAGACCCCAAACCAAAGTTTCACCTGATGCTTGAATGATAGATCAATGACTCCATCTGGAATCCTCATTTCGACCCAGAAAATTGTTTACAGCCGGATCGTGACGGCCATCTCTGATCTCTTTGATTTTTACACCATCTCGTCGTTTGACCGTCGAAGCGAGCCGCACCAAACAAGTTGTTGAACCCTCCTGGAGCCCACCATTCTTAGCCTCACGCAAGTGAAAAGTGCCTGGTGATCGAACCGTTTCCGTCCATATGAGAGCACTTCTTCCGCTCCGAACACAACCTCCTATCTGAGCAGTACCACGACTCGCCCTCTGGAGAGAAGGTGGGATCTACCTATGGCTCTTGCTTGAAGAAAGCAATTCCGTTCAAAACGATTTCTCGGATAGCTGGTCGAGATGGAGGAGGATAATAATTACATTCTCGGGGAAGACCTACCGCTTCCACCTGCCAGGCTTTTTGAGAGACTAGCACAGCTCCCCGGCTACATCTGGGATCAAACCGTCGAACCGTTTCACTCCACTTACAGCCATTGGCATGTCTTTGGCCTCCGTCACTGTGCCGAAACGGATGTCTCAACCCCCGCCGCAACCTCCTCCGGGCCATCGAGCCTAAGTCGCATCTCCCCTCGCACCGAATCCCGCCCGTTCTTTCGCCATCATTGGAGGAGTAGTCTGAGCGAATCAAGCAGCGAGCTCTCGCTATCCCGCACGGATCAGGAACCGTTATGGGCCCCGGTGGTGGCCCGGGTGTCGTCCCACGTCGTCAGACTCGAGCGCGAGTTCCACATGCTCCGATCGATTGTGCAGACATCAGATCCGGACTGCAACCATACCATTCGACCGATTGACTTGATACGATTGCCGCCGGACCCCGGAGACGCCGGCCCGCTGCTGGTGGCTCTCTTCGAATCTCCCGGCCCGAATATGCTGCGTGAGCTGGTTGCCTTTGGACCTGCGTGGTTTGCGGCGGGCGCCAGGAGCGATGGCAACCTCCCCACCCCGGACGAGCAGGTTTCTCTTCCGGTATTTCTCGATTTTGCGATTGGCGCATGCGATTGTTTGGAATTGTTGCACTATGGCCTCAAAACCGTCCATGGTGAAATTCGGGGGGATGCTTTCCATTTCAATAGGGAGACCGGCACAGTTAAATTACTCAGCACGGGCAACGGCGCGAGATCCTTTGAAAATATCCTAAGCGATGGCTGGTCCTCGTTGTCGCGGGAGCTCGGTGTCAAGAACAAGCTGCAGTTCGTCGCACCAGAGCAGACGGGGAGAATGCCGACTGAGCCGGACAGCCGAACCGATATCTATGCGCTAGGTGTGTTGTTCTGGACCATGCTCATCGGGAAGCCAGCGTTCACGGGAACCGATCCCGTCGAAGTCGTGCAGAACGTCCTGGGGAAAAAACTGCCCCCTGTGTCCGTGAAGAGAATGGACATCCCTGATGCCGTGTCGTCGGTGATCCAGAAAATGACCCACAAGTCCGTCAATGATCGCTACCATACCATTTCTTCCGTCAAGCGGGATCTGGCTCAGATCTCCCAGCTCCTCGGCGACGGCGACAGCGAGGCGCTCCATGATTTCCAGATAGCTCAGCGCGATGTGTCCTCCTTTTTCACACTCCCGACCCGCATGTTTGGCAGACGGGAGGAGTATAATAGAATAATTGGCGTGATCGACAAAGTCTATCGAAGACAGCAATCCGCGCACGCGCGCGCTGCGGTTAAAAATTCCAGCGGGGTGGGATCCAGTTCTTCCATGTCCGACGGCCGCGTGGATAGCTTTGAGATTGCTTCGGGCTCAAGTGATTCTGGTTCATTTCACTTGGCCCCCCGGAGTAATTCGAACGGGGGTGCGTACAATCTTGGGCGCGTCTCGACGCACGAATCTTTGCACAGTACCGAGTCGTCGCTTTCGACCCCTAAGGCCGGGTTTCTTTCCAGCAAGACGAAGAGCCCCGTTGAGTCCCGCTCCTCTTGGGAGCATGCGGACCGAGATAGCCACCCTTCCTCGGGTGCGAACGCGCAGAATTACCCAGAATCCCTCCCCTCAGTCAGCAGGCAAAAGGCCGCTCATAAACTTCGTAGGAACGGCATATGCGAACTAATCACCATCAGTGGTGCCGCCGGTATAGGGAAAACAGATCTTTTGAACCGTGTCCAGCCTGCAGTTCGTAAATTGGGCTACATTGCCATCGCTCGTCTCGACCGTGCCAGAAGAATACCCTTTGAGCCTTTTGCTAAAATCCTCGCACAACTTCTGCGCCAGATTTTTTCTGAACGTGATGTCACAACAGACTACCACAATAGCGTTCGCATGGCTTTGCGACCGATGTGGCCGACCCTCCACAGGGTCTTGGAACTCCCCGAGCAGCTGATGTCCGCTGGAGGGAGCGATAAAGAGATCTCGCCTAAGATGTCAGTTGCTCAGCACATCTTCAGGGATGTCTCTAGCAAGGCGGAACCCTCAAGGCGCATGGCGATGCCTCGACTTGACCGTGGACAAAGTTCCGTCGAATTCTTTCTGTCCAATGCCGCGTCGAAGAACATGCGATTGATGGAGACCTTTCTGGAGATCCTCAAGACCCTGTCCCATTTCAGATTGATTTGTGTATGCGTCGATGATCTGCACTACGCTGACGACGAGACTCTCGAATTGATCTTGAATATTGTCAGAGCTAAGATACCCTGCGTGCTCATGGTCACAAGTCGCAAAGCTGAACTGGAGTCGGATGCTATCAAGTCGCTCTTCGAGACAGAGAATCCGAACGTGACCCGAGTTCAACTCAACGCTCTCGGCGAGGATGAGATCATGCAATATGTAGCGGCCACGATGCACCAGGATCCCAACCCCGGACTTACCCCTCTTGCTGCTGTGATCCAGGAGAAGAGTCTAGGCAATCCGTTTTATGTCCGATTGATGCTCGAAACTTGCTATAGCAAGAACTGCATCTGGTATTCTTGGAAGAATTCCCGATGGGAATTCGACCTCGATCGAATCTTCACCGAGTTCGTCGCTCCACGATACGGCGAGGGGCTCGGGCTGGGCTTCATCGCCAAACGTCTCCAGGAGATCCCACCCGCGGCTCGATCGATTATGATATGGGGAGCCTTGCTTGGAAGTCCGTTTTCATTTGCTCTTGTTCAAAAACTCCTCACGAGCGAGTTCCTGTATGCTAGCGAGGAGGATGAAGCTATGGACTTGACATGCCCACAGAATGCCAGCTTGATCCGACAGTCCGAGGCCGATATTGTGGTTGGGCTTCAATACCTTGTTCAGGCGAACCTGATTGTGCCAGGGAAAACAGACGATGAGTTCAGGTTTGTCCAAGTCCTCTGGCTGTTGATTCATCCTTGACTGACGTTTCTTAGATTTGCGAATGACCGACTCGCGCAAGCGTCAACTTCGTTGACCGAGGGCCGTAACGTCGACAAAATGCATTTTATCATATCGCAGGCGATGATGAAATACTACCACGATAGTCGCAGCCGATATGCAATCGCCCGCCATATCGGCCTGGCTTCTCGAATTGTCAGATCCCGTGTAGTTCAGAGACTTGACTATAGGAAGATGTTATGGGACGCCGCGCAAACGGCTGCTCAGTCCGGCGCTCGCCCCACTGCTCTGTGGTACTTCCGCCACTGTATTGCCCTCCTTCAGGATGACCCATGGGACGACAACAACACCGATGTTTACTATGATGAGACGCTTCGTTTGCACATCGCCACGGCGGAAATGCTATGGTCTCAGGGGCACCATACGGAGGCTCTGAAACATTTGGATGAGGTCTTTGCCCATGGCAAGAGTGCTGTATGCAAAGCGCGGGCGTGGATTGTCAAGGCCAAGATATACGCCCAGATGGGCAACCATTACCGCTCGATGAACTCTCTTCTCACGTGCTTGGAGGAACTGGGCGTCCATCTTCGAGAGCCCACCACATACGAAGCATGCGATGCTGCGTATGGCACTCTAAAGGCATATCTCGAGAACGCCGATCTGGAAGTCATCGTCCGTAGACCCATGAGCAAGGATATCAATATGATCACGATCGGAACCGTCATGGCCGAGGCAATGGCTGTGACCTACTGGGACGACGCGTTGACATTCTACCGTATGGCCATCGAGATGATGAACCTCCATCTTTTCAAAGGCGGCTTCGTGCAGATCTCGATAGGAAGCTCCCATCTCTCTATGATCTCCTTTAGCCGTTTCAGAGACCTTGAGTTCGCCGCTAAACTCAACGAATGTGCCTTGACGCTTCTGGAATGTTGTCCAGAGCCGTGGACCCAACGTCGGGGCTCGATTGTGCACAACCTCTACATCAGCCATTTGCGCGTACCCATGCCATCCACGCTGCCTGCGCTCGAGACCTCTGTCGAGGCATCCTTCTCAATGGGAGATCCCTATATCACTTTGATCAGCCTGTCATCAATGGCCATGACCAGACTTTGGCTGGGACACGACATGGGCCACGTTGAGCATTTCTGCTCGGAGAGCGCGGACGATATCCCGGATTGGTCCAAGGATACCCGGGGAGGAGCCAGTCTTCTGGCTGTTCGGTAGGTCCTTCTTTTCTGCAGCATAGTCTGCATTAATAGGGCGATGACAAGGCTGACTCAACCCCATCACAGACAAGTCGCGCGTGCTCTCCAAGGGAAGACGTTCTACCGCGATCCCAATACCACCATGGACGACGAGCACCACAGCACAGACGAATACATCGCTTTTCTGAACAACAATGCTAGTAATGCCGACCGTCCTCGCGACATCTATTGGGGCCTAGCCATGATTCCTCTCTTCCTCTATGGGCACCATGCCAAAGCGATAGAGACGGGCATGTCGATGATGGACACGATGCCCAGGCTGTGGTCGGCTCGTGTGGCATATGTCGTCTATTTCTACTTGGCTTTGTCCCTGCTGACCCTCCACAACGACTACCCCGCCGGTGGATATCTCGACGGAGACGATCTGAAGACCGTGCTGAAGTATAAAGCGGAGGTTGACTTCGCTAGAAGGGCCTGCGATGCAAATTATGGCATGTGGTCATTGATCTTGGAGGCTCTGATCGCAGAGGTTCGAAATGACCACACGTCAGCCATCCAAGCGTTCGAGGTAAGAATCCCCATTGCATTGGGACATTCAAAGGGGAAATTCCTGAAACTAATCTTACGATGTAAGGCTGCGATCGACCACTGTCAAATCCACGGCTGGCCAATGGAAGAAGCCCTGGCCCTGGAACTACATGGTGAGTGCACGTGACTAGCTGTGCTGTGTGCTACTTCGATCCTGGCCTTTTTGTTTACTGTCACCATTCACTTTCCTGTCGCTGACCACTCGCCAAAGGTGAATTTTTGATCCGACGTGGTGCCAAAAGAGCAGCGCGCTCTGTCATGCAGGACGCCATAGGTGCTTGGTCCGCCATCAGCGCTACCGGCAAAGCAGCACATCTCACTGAAAAGCACGAGTGGCTTTTGAAAACGGCGACATCATCTCGGTGTGCTGATGCTGGTGTCCAGACTGTGGATTCGCTTCTTGGGATTGATCGCAACACGGCACAGGAAGATATGGCTATACCTCAAGTCATGGAGGGGGATGATAGGAAACAACTTTGGATTGAGCAGAATGGAGTCACCTCGGGCGAGCGTTCTCTTGACATATCTGGCGTTGGACTCGGTAAGTGCTTCTTGCTAAACTACAGGGATACGGACGTTTCTTCCTTGCTAACAGCGGGCTAGATATAATCGACCTGTCAAGCATTCTAGAATCGAGCCAGGTCATGTCCTCCGAGCTACAAATCGATAAGCTTCTCACCAAGATGATTGAGATCGTGTTGGAATCCTGCAACGGGTCTGATTTCGCGGTGATCGCGACTGATTTCGACGATAGTGGCTTTGCCGTCGCTGCTGCTGGAGACCTGGAGAAGGGACAGCGGTCTTTCGTCGACGGTCTTCCGTTGTCAGAGTTCGAGGATAAGATGGCGCAGCAGATTTCTCACTACGTTATACGTACCAAAGAGGAAGTCCTCGTACACAATTTTCTAGAGGACGACCGTTTCTCCAACGTCAACGAGGCATACCAGAACAAATACCCGCTCGGCAGATCCGTGATTGCGCTGCCAATCATGCAGGCAGACCACCTTCTGGGAGTGATCCATATCGAAGGCAAGCCGAATTCCTTCACCCAGCGTAACGTCGTTGTGCTTCACCTCCTATGCAACCAGATCGGTATCTCTTTGGCCAACGCGCTGCTGTTCCGCGAAGTCCGCAGGGTCAGCGCCACAAACGCGGCCATGATCGAAGCTCAGAAGCGTGCCCTCGCACAGGCCCGCGAGGCAGAGCAAAAGGCGAAGGTGGCCGAGGCTGAGGCAAAACACAACGTCAAGCTCAAGGAAGATGCTGCCAAGGCCAAGTCCATCTTCTTGGCCAATATCTCCCACGACCTCCGTACACCGATGAATGGAGTGATTGGTCTCTCTGAACTGCTCAAGGGCACGAATTTGAACAAGGAGCAGGATGAATACGTCGAGTCGATCCGCGTCTGTGCTGACACATTGTTGACCTTGATCAACGATATTCTGGACTTCTCCAAATTGGAGGCTGGCAAGATGAAGATCTCCACCGTCCCGCTTAATATCCGCGAGACGATCTCCGAGGTTGTGCGCGCTTTGCGCTACACGCACCGAGACCGCGGCCTTGAGACCATCGAAGATCTGGACAAGGTGCCACCCGACCTCGTGGTCCTCGGGGATCCTGTTCGTTTGCACCAAATCTTCATGAACCTGCTGAGCAACAGCTACAAGTTCACCCCCAAGGGCTCCATCACTGTGCGGGCCAAGGTTTCGCGGGAGGGCAAAGGCCGCCTGCGCCTGGAGTGTGCAGTGTCCGACACTGGTATTGGCATTCCCGAGGAGCAAAAGTCGCGTCTGTTCAAGCCGTTCTCGCAGGCCGACAGTTCTACGGCGCGATCATACGGGGGCAGCGGCCTTGGTCTCAGCATCTGCAAGGCTATCATCGAGGACGTCTTGGGCGGGGCTATCTGGCTCGACTCGACTCCTGGGGTGGGAACCACGGTGACCTTCCGTCTGTCGTTCAGCAAGGCAAAAGACCCATTAACGGCTACGCCGTGGTCAGATATCAGCGCGAACAACAATGCGGCGCCTCGGCCGATGACGCGCGATCTGACTATGATCCCTCGCGACCAGATCCGCGTCTGTATCGCCGAAGACAACCCTATCAACCAAAAGATTGCCGTCAAATTCGTCACCGGTCTGAAACTGCAATGCGAAGCATACAGCGATGGTCTCCAGGCGGTCGAAGCTCTGCGGGCTCGTTCTCGCGAGGGTATCCCCTTCCATGTCGTCTTGATGGACGTGCAGATGCCCACCCTCGATGGATACAACGCGACCCGTGAGATCCGCAAGGACCCGGACCCCAACGTCAATGAGGTCCTCGTGATCGCCATGACCGCCAGCGCCATCGAAGGAGATCGCGAGAAGTGCCTTGAGGCCGGCATGAACAATTACCTGCCCAAACCTGTCCGGTCCACTGTTCTCAGCGAAATGCTTGGTCGCTACCTTGCGCCCGCGCCGACCTATACCAAAATGCGACTCGCGATGCGTGCTCGAGGAAGCATTAGCACCGAGGCTGGCACCCCAACCAGCTCTTCGTCTTCTACCTCGGAGCAGGTGATTGCTCTCACACCGGAGGAAGAGAAGCGACCCCGGCTGATCAAGTCTGGAACTGGCTAGACTGATTGATTCTCTTGACCTCGGCTCTTCAGTAATCGCTTGCTTTGCGGCAAACCTTTTTTCTTTTCTTTTCTTTTCTTTTTTTTTTTACATTCTGGCGTCTTGAGGTTCTGGTTGGTTCAGTTTCTTCTATCCGTTTACTCGTATTCCATTTCTTTTCCCCAGTTTCTGTTATTTGCCTGTTATTTCTTACGATCACGAAGGCTACGACTCATGAGTTTAGCAATGTGGGCTGCGACTGTCTCCATCTATGGGCTATCCTTCCCACTCTTGTTAATATCTATTCCTTGATGCCAGAACGTGACGTGCTTCGTCAGGAATTTTGATATCGTTCCTGTCTACGAAACCACCTCACTCTCTGCATCACATCTCATTCCCACTTTCCATTTCTTATCTTCCCCTCCATTCGTACTGATTTAGCGATTTCTTTACAATCGCCATGTACTCTGTTTCTTTCTCATCGGTGGCGCTCAATATTCCCCTTTCCCCCTACCATCTCGGCGTTTTGGGTGTATCTATCACACTCGGAACTAGAATACAGGGGACCATAAAACACTCCAAAGTTATCTCTTTCTTCTTCCATCTTCTGCTCTAGGAAATTTATTCTCAAGGTTTTTAATTTTTTGACTAGCATAGACCGTAGGGAAAGGGATTACTAGGCTTACGTTGAGCGAAAGACCATACTGAAAGCACGAATATATATAAATACATCTGCGTTCTTGAAGACTGTATATCCACTGAACATAAGGTACCTAGGTATCATAAGGGGAGAGATAGAGATACCTAGGTAGGCGTACTCGCAGTCGCAGTCCCACTCAGATACCCATCAAGTGAGCTCCAACCATCTCCTCCGCTCCGAGAATATCTTGAAGTTATCTTCTATACCCTCCGCTCCATCCCTTCAAAGTCCTCTTTTCTCACCACTCAATCGCAATTGAAAAGCTATCTTGTCTCCATAGTAATGTGGTTTCATCTACGACTATGGCGCATGTGTGACATGTATGCATTGCACGGACGTCGGAGCGCTTGATTCTCCATCTACACGAACAGAGCCATTGCTCACTAAGTACGTTTTGGTACAGCATAATGCCGGTTGTTATGCAACAAAACACAAAAAAGAAAGAAAGAAAGAAAGAAAGATTAGATGGGATATTGAAACATCGCTATTAAGAGCCCCGCTATTATTTCCAGAGCTGAACTGGAAAAAAAAAAAAGAGAGAAATATGCTGTGCGCAGTGCTCCACTTCTAGTACGAGAACGCCGGTGACGAAAGCCCGCAAGCTCCCCGTCATATGCTGAATGCATGCTAATTTTGACTCCAGCAGGGAGCCTCCAAATCTGCTCATATTCCACAACCACTTCTGTTCTGGACCCGTATCTCAGCCGCCGGTCGTCTGGGTCGCCACTTCCTCCAGTCGTTTATACCGCCATTCGTACTGCGCCAGCTGCTTCTTTTCCGCTGGTGACAGGCTCTTTCCCTTGTCTGCCATCTCCTTCTCCACTTGCTTGAGCATCTCCCAGCGCTTGAGGATCCGGGCTTGGTTTTCTGAGATGGAAGCAAGGTGGGCGTCTTTCGAAGCCATGCGTTCCTCGATGGTGGAGTGGTAGGATAATTTGGCATGGAACAGGGCCATGTCGGATTCGTCGTATTTGAGACCGCGTCCCTCAGGCAGAGAAGCTGAATGGCTTCCTTTGGACGGCATGCTGGTTGATCGCGGCGAAATATCTCGCACTATCTTGTGCTAGAACTTTGGTGATGCTGCGGAGGTGGCTCAAGACCTGTTTCGATCTTGGTTGGGTAGTCGAGACTCTTTGGCTTGAATACAAGTGAATGAACCACAAGGAGCTCCAGCTGACCCCGGGTATATGTTGAGGGAGAAGATGCAAGGCGTCCAATGCTTTTTAGACTCAGCGTTTGATTTGAGAGAATCGACCTTTTGTGGAGCATATAGGAAATCCTTCTCCATGTCAATCCCCCTGGCCGACTTTTATAGTTCGCAGGCCCTCGCGGACGTCTTTCAAGGTGATACCAAACATGCCACCGAACGCCACGTTTGTCAATGCGCCGACGCAACAGAACAACGGAGAAGAGGTGCAATAAATCCATATCGTCCACTGGAGCGGCTTCTCTGCCCACCCTGCTGCATTTGTCCCGTTGTCTTGTGATTATAGTGGAAAACAAATGTCATCACTAAAAACAGGAAAGCGTTTGTTCCTCATTGGATCGGACTGTGACACATGAAGGATAACACCGGCGCAACCAGGGGCGGTCTGGAGATGGTTTTGCTCGGGCTCGGAGCGCTCTCCTCTCTTCTCTGTCCGCCGGAGAAGTGAAATTGTTGGAGTCGGTGAAGAAACTCGGACCACTGGCGGACAGACCACATCTGCAACGGGCGACGGCGACTCTTAACAATCGTTTCCTTTCGTACTTCAACGATTCTCCCATGCAGATCCAGTGGGTCGCAAACACCCCTTGACTGGACACCAGGACAACGCCAACATGGCTGTCCGCCATGCGATCTCGCCTTGTTACACAGGCCAGGGACCGTTTCGAAGAACAATGATGGAAACCAACGCCCACTCTCCCAGCAACGCGCCGCAATTGGGAAGGGGACCACAAAAGCACCACATCAACCGGCTAACGGGCCTGGCTCATGGCTTCTAGGATATGGGTCACCGATCGACCGTCACCATGGCTTCCATGATCCTCATCGCCGGGCAAACGCGCAGCGCAAAATCCAGAACCTTTTTTTGCCCATTGCAGCCAAAAAAACGGTCCACTCGACCGCCTGATTCGCTCGTCCTTCCTCCATTAATTTCCCGTCAGTGGGTGCTTGGTGCCTCATCCCGGATCGTCTGCAAGTACCCGTGGGATGCGTTGTTGTGTCACATCCGAGTCAGGACGTCGTATGAACGAGTAGTACCCAGAAAATGATCTACTCACTCATCGACGCAGATGAAGAGGTAAGAGCCAATGGTCCTTCACCAACATCCAGAGATACTTCGCCTGAATACGATGGGATAATCGCCACACCCTTTTATTCAGCTCCAATTCCACAACTTGCCCAAATCGGCATAGACACACAGCAGTCATGATGTCAACACCACTCACCGCAGCTAATATCTCCATAGCTGCAGCAAAAAAAGCACGATCTAGGTTCATCGCAAAGCCACATTCATTCCCAGCCCAGTCGAGCCCAACGGGCTCCTTGCATATGCTGTGCAATCGAAGCCTCAAGCTCCATACCCGGGACTGCATCTCTGCATATGTTGTGTCTGGCCACCCCTGCCGCGTCGGGATTGCAATATGTAAGTACCTGCGTATTCCTCCTGAGATAGATTTGCGGTGTCAATGTCGGTGCCGGTAGTGATTGTTTGCTTCGCATGCTAGGTATACAGATGAGGCGGTGTGGGGGCTGTTCAAGCTGGGTTTCGACAGCTAGAAGATCCGTGCTCTCGTTAGAGTCATGTTCTCTGTCTAACATAAGGGGATACAAGTTGAGCGGGAATGGACAATGAGAAATTCTGTAGAGGTTCCTTAGGGCAGGCCAGGGGACCCGGCCATCCGTGTTCATCATACGATACCGGCGATAGGGTAAGGAAGACAATCGATTATGTATTCGTGGTACTCATAAGGTGGAAACCGAGCTCATACAGCTATGATATTCCTTGATTAAACCACGTCAGTGGTTGCTCTCCTCGTCGCGGTTCGCGTCTTGCATTGCCTTCTTCGCCTTCTGGATGTCCAGTGACATCTTCACCGGTCTAACTCCAGGCGTCTCGAAGACAGCGTCAATCTCCTCGAGAGACAGATTAGATGTCTCCGGGAACACGAAATACGACAGGACGAGCTGGACGCAGTTGTAGACGATGTAGACCACCCAGATCTTGTATCCTTTTTTTTTTGGATTCCCACGCCAATGCCGTATGTCTGGATGACTCCCGCGCCACCCTGGATTAGTCCATAAAGACCCATTCCTCTAGCACGCAGGGGCAGGGACAAGATCTCGACCGGGTAGAGGTTGTGCATCGTCGCAATCAGGGTGGCGAGGAGGTCTGGTAGAGATAAATCCACAGGATAGTGAGCGCAGCGGCTGCGCGACTCTCCGTTACCTTATATTGCCAGGAGGTGATGGTCGTCGCAAATTGGAATATAATCATGCTGGCGGGACCCGTGAGGATCAGCCTGCGTCTCCGGAATTTGTCGACGATGAGTGCTCCGATGGCGGTCAATACTAAATAGACGGCGGTAGTGCCGAGACTGATTCCTAGCTACTGCATTGAGCCCTTGAGACCGATGGTCTCCAGGAAGGGAATCACCTAAAGATACACCGTGTTAGTCAAGAAAGGTCTAGGAGGCGCGGAAGGCCAAAGACGGCGACTTACGTAGTACGTGATGATACCTCCACCATTCCATTATTGGAAAACAGAGTAGAGAAAGAGGACGAGAAGCCGGAAGCGTGCCTTTTTGGTGAAAAAAATCCGACAGTCCCAGGACTGATTGAAATTCGTCCGGTTATTCTCAAGAGACGCCTCAATCTGTGAGACGACAATCTCAACAATGGGCTCATTGATCTTGCCACTGATCGTGTGGTATTTGGCGACCATTTGTTTGGCAGTGTCCCTCTTCCCGCGCATGACGTAGTAACGGGGCGACTCAGGGGTCAACAGGTAGATGGTGACACAGACGATTGCGGGAAAAAGGGCTTTCAGAATGAGTGGGACTCGCCAGCTCCAATCTCCGTCCATCTTCGTGAGCCCAAAAAGGGCCCGAGTCATACCCAAAACGCCAATCTAAAAGCATGCGCCAAAGATACCAACAATCAGACCACGGAGGCGTCGAACCACCCCATGGGGTCATTGCGGGAGCTCCTCTTTCCTTTCGCCACAGACTTGTGTCTGTTGGAGGAATACTCTGAAGAAATCAGTCAATGAGAAGTTCTGATTAATTTAGCCGCGAAGCGTGAAAGGACGTTGGTACAGAAGCCCTTAGGCCGAATCACAGACAGACAAAAGTAATCAAGGACCAGTCTAGTGAATTGCATGTGGTGAGGTGCAGCTCATCGATACTATCCATGAGAGGACCAATCACGGCGTTTTTATGAGGTTAATCGTAACCTCCCTTGTCGTGGCTTGTAATTTTCCGCCATTGAGGGTCTCTCCCTTGCCTCGTAGCATCAAGGAGATGGCAGGTGGCCTTTACGAGTCCAGCCTGCTCATATCGCTAGGCAAGGAACGGCAAGTCTAAATAACCTGGCCAACTAGGGCTGCGTCAAGGGAATTAGCTCAGATCAACTTAGGGCAGGATAGTTTGATCTGGGGAATCTCTAACCTTGCGACAGGGTATTATTATTGCACATAGCTGCATCCTGAGACCACTCTCACTGAGGTAGGTTTCTTCTGTTAGAAGAAAAACATATTTAGAGCTAAATGTACCGAGAGATGTGAATTCTATGGAGTCAAGTCAGATGTCGAGAATAAGAAGGATGCAGTCCGTAGGGTAGTTGAATGATGGACAGTTGAGACATGAGAGATGGGAGAAATCTCCAGTTGCGCTTCACAGGCACATGACTTGCATTTCTTCCCCCACAGGTGAATTTATGATTGTTAAAACTACAGAACAACTCAGCAACGACGGTTATGGCTGGCACGAGGATCAGCCACCCACCTAGATATTGCCCCCCACGAATTTAGTCCTGCCAGCCAAGGCATCGATGGTCCATGAGAATTCACGCACGCTATTCTTGCTTGTGCCAAATGCTGATACGTGGACCGTGGATCAACTGTTCTAGTTCACTTCCACCCCAGACTATCCTCCGCATTTTGGCTGAATCTCAGCAGTATCTACACTTAGTTCGCTTTGATGCTTCGGATCCACTTGAATCAGTGCTCCTACTGATTCTTATCTGATATTAGATTTCAGCTGGGAACATGGGCCGTTAAAAGGATGGGCGAAGAACAGTTCTCTGCTTCCCTCGCGATGGGCCGCGGATAGAGATTCCAGGCTAAGAGGTGCATAAGGTCAATCCTCCTACTTGATATTGTACTTGGACTACGAAACATATATACAGAGCTTTGGCCTTCACTACGGGGCCTGTTATGCACAGTGGCCGCAGAACTTGCACAAGTTCCTCTTGAGCTGGTATTGACCCAAATCCTCGGGCCGTTGAACTCTCGATCTGAAAGCACACTATAAGATGCAATGCCAGGATAGAACCTCGGGTGAGGTTGCATACTTGCAAGACGATAAAAACAAGCTACTCGGCGCCACGTAGGAAGGAAGTAGTCCAACTGCTTCTGACACGGGAGGTGGTCCATGTCATTGACACCACTATAGAGTACTTGGCAGATGGTTGATGAGCAGTATTGATAATCAGTCAATTGATCGAGAAACTCGCAGATTGATTGTCTTGTAGTAGTATCATTTCATGGTGGAACGATGTAATCATCTGGAATCTCGATTGCTTAGCTGTAGAGATTACCCCATTCGGAAGACAACATTGGTATCAAGATTCTCTGATCAACAACCTTTGAGACATCTTGTCAATAGTTACGCCATGTAGTGGACTCTCCAGCAGCAGATTCTACTTAGTACATAGTTGCTGTGCTCTCTCATGATGGAGTCTTGTGAAACCACAAATCTAACTCTTTCTACGGTCTGGGAACAGTCACGAAGGATTAAGCACCGACGTCCGGAAATCACCAAGATCGACGTGAATATTGACAACTGAGCTCTTCTCTTCCCCTCATTTGTCTCACCCCGCCTGGACCCGGCTCCGATAAGATTCTCAAGCAATGATGAGGCAACCTGATTGAGTGGATCGGTTGTGGACGCAGCTAGAAGATGCGATGTAGCTGGACGGATCGCTGGTAGTAAGTCATCAAAACGCCGAACCTCTTCGATAGTGCTAACCAGGATGATCATCTGGACTATTTCAGTCATAAAGTGTCCCGTTCGCGAGTTTCTTTCACTTTTTGCGAGTCTCGAGTCCCGAATTAACTATAAAGCTGGAGCATCAGAAACAACCTGAGACCGACGACATGGACCTTCAATCTGTTCAAGATCTCAAGGGCGTCTTGAGGAGCGACTTGTACCATGGCTACGCCACAGCAGCGGCCCAGGTAGAGGGCGCCTGGAACAAAGACGACAAGGGCCAGTCAATCTGGGATACCTTTGCGCACACTCCAGGGAAGGTCAAGGATGGAAGCACGGCCGACGATACGATCCGCTTGTACGACTTCTACAAGGAAGATGTGGCGCTGATGAAGTCGTATGGGGTCAATGCATACCGCTTCTCCCTGTCCTGGTCTCGGATCATCCCTCTGGGAGGCGATGATCCCATCAACGAAAAAGGAAACCAGTACTACTCAAACCCCACCGACGAACTCCTTCGTAACGGCATCACCTCATTCGTCACACTCTTCCACTGGGATACACCACAAGCACTTGAAGATCGCTATGGCGGCATGTTAAACCAGGAGAAGTTCGTGCCGGACATTGGGTGAATTACGCACGCATTTGCTTCGAGAGACTTGGTGATCGTGTAAAGAACTGGATCACACTCAATGAGCCCGGTGTCTATACTCCAGCTGGGTATGCAGCGGGAGTACACGCGCCAGCCCGCTCCTCCTTCCGAAGCCGCAACGAGGAGGGTGACTCGTCCACAGAGCCGTTTAGAGTGGCGCATACGGAACTAGTCGCTCATGGCCATGCCTCCCGTCCCTAAAAGCAAGAGTCCCAGCCTCTCCAGCACGAAACAATCGGTATCACCCTCCACGGGAACTGGTCCGAGCCATGGAACGAGGCTGATCCGCAGGATCAGGAAGCGGCTGAGCGGGCCCACGAGTTCGAGATTGCCGGGTTTGCAGACCCGCTATACAAGACAGGCAACTATCCGGCGTCGATTCGGGAGCAGCTGGGTGACCGTCTTCCTAGATTTACGCCGGAGGAGTCAAATCTGGTGCTAGGCAGCTCCGAGTTCTACGGCATGAACACCTACACGTCATTCTTCGTCAAGCACAAGGACACCCTAGCGTCACGATTTCAACAAGCAGGGTGTACCTCGTGGCGAAGAGAGTGATACCGAGTGGCTGCGGGCAGCGCCATGGGGGTTCCGAAAGCTGCTGAACTGGATCTGGTCGCGGTACCAGATGCCCATCTACGTGACCGAGAACGGAACAATGGTCAAGAAGAAGACGGCATCTATGCCTGAGGCCCTCAATGATGAGTTCCGCATCAAGTTCTTCGAAGGATACGTGGGGTGGGCGTCGGCACGCGCGGTCAAGTAGGACGTCGTGGATGTCCGCTCTTACTTTGCCTGGACCTTCACCGATAACTGGGGTAAGTGTTTGCTTTTCTCGAGACATCTGATGCTAATTGATTTTACAGAATGGGATGCAGCCTATACAGATCGATTTCGGAGCACGTTCATTGATTTCGATTCTCCAGAGAAGACTCGATATCCGAAACAGTCTGCTTACTACCTGGACAAGTTGTTCAAGCATCTCATTAAGGATACCTGGGAATGATAGCATGAGATGTATAGAACTATGCATACTACAAACTATGAATTATAGACGCCGTGCTGAATCCAAGACTGAAGAAGTCATTATGATTACATCTTCCTGAACGTTGTCAGATACTTCCAGCATGGATGCCTATTAGTTGAATCTAAACAAGCGGTTTAGCTAGTGTACAAACCCAACATTGCCGCAATCATATCATACAAACGCACAACGCCTTTTGCATCCAATCCATAATCTCATGACAGAGTCATCCACGCAATACTGTGCCTCCCGATCCTGACCACAGAAGAGATCCGATCAACAGTGCCACTAGAAGGCGTTAGCCACATCTACCAGAACATCAAACCAAACTCACAAACTCACAAACTCACAAACACAGACCCATCATACAACCCTCACGAAAAGAACCGCGGAATGGGACCAGAATGCCGTCTCTCTTCACCCGAGCGCCGCACAGCCGGAACCTCAAAGCGCACGTGCTGCTCGTGGTCCCTCTGCTGGCGCTGCTGCTGACCCTCCACGGAAGACCGCAGGATCGAGCTGGGGAAATACGGCGTGGAAGGCTGCCTGGTTCCCGCAGGACGCTGGATCGACAGCGGCGTAAACTCGCGCAGGAACACCTCCCACGGATCCTCGGGGACCTTATCGCCGTTGCGGACTTTGCCCTGCAGGACAAGCAGGCGGTACAAGGTTCGCTCGAGATTGATCCAGTCGACGCCGTAGGGTTTGTGGGTTATGCCCGTGGAGTGGTCGGTGTTGCTGCGGTATATGTGGGTGAGGGTGCCCATGATCTTCTGGAGTTCGAGGTCGGCTTTGGCCATTTTGAGGGTTGCTTTGGGGGGGCTCTTGGCGTGCTCGTAGGAGGTAGATGGGGATGACTGAGGGGAGATTCGATGATGAGAATGGAGATTTATGCAGGAGATGGTTGGGATGGTTGTTAAAGATCGTCCAGAGACATCGTGTTGGTGATGAGTTTTTGAAGGAGCTGTGGAAGGTTGTTGGGAGAGGTTGGGAGAGAGATTAGAGACGGGATATGTTTTTCATAGACGCGAAAGACGCGAGGTGCATGCGAAAGACTGATAGGTTCAGACCGTGAATGACACAGGTGAGGATTGGCCATAATCAGTTGACAGCGAAGTGTGATATAATCGTGAATGATAGTGACGCGCCTGTCATTTTTATCTCGCATGCATAAGAGAGATTTGCTAGTCATCGTGATAGGGATATCCTATACTTCTGGGAATTGGACTCATGTGATCTGTTGTTGACAGACTAAACAGGATAAGTTGAAGCTATACAACACTGGCAACATACTCCAACTAGTGATCTCCAACTCCAACCCATTCTCCAACAAGCATCAGCGTCAATCGACAGGGATCCCGGCAAACCACACCCGAGTGAGGGGATAAAGGATTCTACCCCAAATATTACAAATCTCCCATCTTCTGTTCCTTATATTCTGTTCTTCTCCCTTGGGGAAATGATTCTGCGTTGCTGTTCAAGGCTTGAAGCTCTTGAGATCTACTAGAGGCATCCATCTCCGTCGCTCGAAATGCAGCTCAAAATCGAAGAACCTCCCCGGTTGGAGCTAAAGGGGACTCCAAGAGAGGTATAGTATCCTATTACGCCTGAATCCCTTCTTCGTTACGAAGGCTAATTTCTACCAACTAGATTGGACTGGAACATGGCCGTCTCCTGCAGGACCAGATCAAAGACCAAATCAAGGTCTACGAGAACATGTTCCAAGAAACCTCGAAGCTATCCTGGGACGCTGTCCGAGAGCTCGCAGAGGAGTTCCGCGCTTCCTTGGAGCAGAAGCTGCCCGAGATCTACGAAGAGATGCAGGGCATCGCAGACGGCGCGGGACTCGATCTGCTGGACATCGTGGCCCTGAATTGCCGCAGCGAGATTGCCATGGGCTTTTTCTCCGATGGCTGCACGAGTCTCTCGTGGAAGAAGCACGACAATGCGCGGATCCTGTCTCAAAACTGGGATTGGGCTGCCGCTGCGGGGAAGAACATTGCAATTGTGTCGATCGAGCAGCCGGGCAAGCCTAAAGTCTATATGGTTACCGAGGTTGGTTCGAGTTTGGCAGATGACTGCGTTATTGTTTCTGTTTACTGACATACATAGGCTGGTATTGTCGGAAAGATCGGATTCAATAGTGCTGGAGTAGGTGTCTGTCTCAACGCCATTAGGGCTCGGCCGTGCATCAGCTCCAAAGTGCCCATCCATGTGGCTCTGCGTCTCTGCGCAGAAAGCTTATCTGTCAACCACGCAGTGGAGAAACTGTCGAGTCTTGGGGGCATTGCTTGCAGTGTTCATATCCTCGTTGCAGACAGCACAACCGCGCTGGGTCTCGAGCTCTCGCCTCTGGGAGACGTGCATCTCACAGAGGACGCGCTGGGCACGGTAGCCCACACCAACCACTTCATCGAGAACCGCTACGTGTATGAGCCGCCATGGCTCTCGGGCTCACCGATTCGACTGGACCGTACCCAACAGCTTGTCCGTGAGTTGAATGAGAGTGGGATTTCTGGATCTGAGATCACACCGGGCCTGCTTCGAGACAAGATCTTTTCAGACACTTTCAACGCCCCACAGGCAATTTGCTGCTCGGAAGATCCTGCTCGTGGGCCTGCGGTGCGTTCTAAGACCATCTTCAACATCATAATGAACTTGGAGCAGGGCAATGTTGGTGCAGAGCTTGTGGTTGGTCGACCTGGTTCTGGCGAAGAGACCGCTGTGATCCAGATGCCCTGGAACTGAAGTTGTTTTTCGTTTATAGCCATGTCTGGGTGGATGTCTGATACACTGTATATTTGGGGCTTTGGCAACCAGGTTTGATGAAAGATGAGGTCTGAAAATCAGAGCGAATGCTCTGAGATGTATCTGATTACACAGTCTCTTTGTGAGAAACTAGACTAGAGCGAATGTTCTAAGACATACCAGGGAGACATTCTCCTTCTGGCATAATCATGGCATTCAGATATGTTTCATCCAGCACAGTTACCTTGGGGGATCTAAGAGATAAAGTCAACAATGACATCCAGATCTACAACACCTAGCACGCTATTTGTCTCGCTATCCTAGCAGCTAGTAGGAGGAACTATGGGACTTGACAGACAATACCACTTCAGTCTCTTCTCCAGCGGCACTGTATAGAAGCCTTGACTTCTGCCCCTGGCAAGATATCATCAACATCATTCTGACCATCCTACTCCTATTGACTATTCACAAGCGCAATCCAGCCCTCTACAATCACAACCGGTCCTCTACAGTCACAGTCCAACCATTTATCAAACCCCATCTCAACAAATCTCTGTATCTCAAAACAGCAATATGCCCAGCTACTCTGATCTCACCGAAGAACACCGTATCCTCTCTGATGCGCTGAAAGAAAAAGCTGACTTCCTGGAGATGTGCCCTGAGAACCAGGACCAACTCCACAAAGATATGAAAAGCTTGCTCATGAGCCTTGAACATGTTGAGTGTCTGTTGCAGGAGCACGAAGAAGAAGCCAGTGCATCCTCTTCTAACTCAGATTACTCCCGCTCCGTATCTCCGACTGAATCTACTACCGATGATGCCGAAGGTATGAACTCCCACCTTCAGGAAAAATTGGGGGGTAATGGATTTGATAGTAGTGTGTAGAGAGAGGGTTGCTATGGTCCATTAGTGTGCTCTTGCTTCTGGTGTTCATGGTCTAAATCACTATGGAACATTCTGATGACTGCATCTGCAATACTGCTTAGTATTGCCGGTCCATTGTTATCTGAGGGTGAAAGCGATTGAGGAGGTAATTAGACGTTCAACATTTCGACTGCTTTTCTTCATGTTATTTGCTAAAGCTGACTAGACTCCTTTGGTCTGTTTCAATGATATTGACCATTCATCGGACTTTCGATTCCTTGTAAACTAGATGATTCAATTAAAAGGTTGAGGTCTTAGAGTCAGAGGACGCTCTAAGCCATACATAGTCTATGTCTTTACCAGAAGTCGCCTTAGGCGTGCGAAGCAATCTTGAGAGCTGAGTATTTACTCCTTAGATATCGAACATATTGGAGTTACCTTGAAGAGTCGGTAGGCTGTTCTGATACATATTTAGAGTAACTTACAACAGTGAGGAACCACTATGCCTCGAAGTTAAATATGTCTAGGGGTTGATAACCCTAAGAATCGCTACGCATAGGGATCTAGATATGAGTATGCCTAGGAGTCTAGATATCAATATAGCTAGGTTTGCTTGCTTCACTTCATAATAAGATACTTAATAAGAGTAAACACTTGAAGAGATACAAGAGTGACAGGCTCTCATATGGATAACAATGGCATGTAGATAGGTCCCTTCAACACAGACTTACTTGAAGTAAATGATAAACAGGGCTTTATGAGAGAACGATGATATTCTGAGATGTTCCATCCAGAAAAGCTCTCTTAAGACATACAAGAAGTAGGCAGTATCTTTGTGAGATAGCAAACAAGAGCACATGCTCTGAGACAGGGAGTAGTCTCTTGATCAGACAACAATGCCATTCAAAACTGTTCCACTCTGGACAACCTCTTTGAGATACTGTTGTCTCGAAGTCCCTTCACCTGTTATCCTGAAAGAGACAATATGAAACTTGACAGGAGCATTGATCAAATTTATGTTTCTAACAGCACTATATATGAGCCTTGGCCTACCCCTTCTATGGCATCTCTCATCATCATCATCAGCATCATTTGAATACGCTCTCACTACCAACACTACAAGCACTACTATCATTACTTCCAACACACCGATACTCAATATCCTGCTACCTAACACACAACTACACAAGGAATACCTCACTACCCAATACACTACTCCTTGATCATAACTACGAGAAGACGATCATCCAGAATGTCAACCTCTGCTAATCTCATGGCAGAGCACACAGCCCTCTGTGCTGCACTCCAGAAGCTCTCCGATCTGCTTGAAGAGCAGCCTGATGATCACCAGCGCCTCCGAAAAGAGATGGAGGAACTGCTGAACCAGATTGATGAGCTTGATCATTTGCTTCAAGAGTTGGAAGAGAGAGCCAGTCATCCCTCTCCTACCTTTTCTGACGACAGCGCCAACTCTCCTTTCCATCAGGATGCTGACGGGTTTACAAGCCCAACGGATGCTGCAGGCTTCAGTGGTGTCAATGAGAGTGACACTGACGGCTATGACGATGCAGAGGAAGGTATGAATTCCCACCTTTGCGAGAAACTTGGGAGGAAGGGTTACGACCGCGATGCGTGAGATGCCCCTGTTGATCCTTAGTATGCTTCTGATTCTCGCTGTAATGCATTAGATGATTACAAAGCAGCCTAAAACATAGCATGATACTTTTCTTTAGTCTGTGTGCTTTCCGATGGATATGAAGTTGACCACGTCCTACCGGCCGAATTAGGCGATATATTGTGGAGGAAGATGAAGGTTCTCGACTTGTCGGCTGTGTTTTTGAATTCATATGCTTACGCTATACAGGCTGCTTTGGTCTATTTTTCCTTTTTCCTTCAATATAGCATAGTAGATGTGACTCTTGAGTTGGAGAAGAGTTGGTGTTATCAGACTGGAATTTGCCCCAATAATGAATGCATGTTCCCCGCAGTCCAGCATATTTATTGGCAATCGGCGGATCGAAATGCGCCATCAGAACTGACAACTACTGGCCTATCGTAGAGTACATATATGTAAGTTATCTCCCAGATATCTTCTTCGATATTCTGACCTTTTCTTCAAATAGCCCTTCTCTCAGTTATCCTCCTCCTTAAAGTGAGACTGCATCTCTGTGGTGACATCATCAACATCATGGCCTCTGCCACGGGGATCCCCCAAGAACATCCTCAAACTATCGAGGCAAGAGAAGACGAGCCTCTTTTAGGCGCCCCAGGTGCAGTAACACAGGGAGATACCGAGGGTATCTGTCGTAATCTGATCAAAGGTTCGTTGTTGTTTTGGCCAGCGTCGCTTGACCGTTCCCATGCTGATCTTCGCTACTACTGCTTAGGAACTGCTGCTGTTGCTCAAGCTGGCATATTAATTGTACGATACTGCCTAATTGAAGAATCTATAGCTTCAGATGCCCAACCTTGACTTCTGGTGTGGATGTTACTGACCGAGATTTCATCTAGCTGGCGGCTCTTGTGTGGTCTGGCATCTTTACGCATGACTTGATATTCTTTTCTGCTCATCCAGTACGTCATGCTTCTATTTTAGAATCCGATTATCACTCTTGATGCTAATGGCCACAGCTTCTAAACTCTTCCGCCTTGTTCCTCCAAGTACAAGCAGCCCTCATTCTGCAACCGACCGCGACACCTCAACAAAAGCTCACGGGCACCCGCATTCACTACACCCTTCAAGCTACAAGCCTGGCCGCATTTATCGCAGCTTTTATCATCATCGAGGTGAACAAAGGCGATCATCCACGTCTGACGTCCCCCCACGGCATCCTTGGCTTGATAACCTACATCTTCATCATCTTCCAGGCTTTGCTAGGAGTTGTGCAGTACTTTTTCCCGGTCATCATCCTAGGCAGCCTTGCAGCAGGAAAGAAGCTATACAAGTATCACCGTCACCTTGGATACTTGGTGCTTCTCTTGGAGCTGGCGACGGTGGCAGCGGCCACACAGACAACCTACAATCTGAACGTGCTGCGTATTCCTCTCTGGGGTATTCTTGTGGCCGCAGTACTGGTTGTTGCAGGAGTCGGCGCCAGGATCAAGAAGCACAAGTTGGGTTTTTGATCAAGCCTTCAATGTTGATGTTCGCTTGGAGATATATTGAACGCATATGAGGATACGGATCTGTTGTTCATGCCTGGTAACATACAGATCGAGTTGATGAAAATCCAGGATGGTATACCCAAGTATGAGTATACAATATCTTTAGGAACTGGGAATAAGGACGATAAATGAAACTACTGGCTATACAGACAGCGTCGGAGGTTGTTAACGAAGTGTAGATAGAGGTTGCCTAATTAGGAAAGGCGGCGAGAGCTCCATTCTTTTCGATCAGACGATTGAATGATCATCCATATTCCTGTCAACTCTCACCTCTCCTTGCGCAGCACGCCGTGTCATGGCGTCAATAAAACCTCCATATGTCTGTATCAATTGCAGACTGACGAACAGACTCAGTCGTCGCAATTTCACAGCGTCTGCTCGACATTCGGAAATCCTGCGACCCGCAACAGCTCCGAAACCCACTCCTGATGTCAAAAGCATCCGCCAGAACGCCGAGCTCTACTCGAAGAACAGCGTCGAGCGAAACTATCCATCTCACGCCGAGTACCCTTACAAGATCCTAGAACTGTCCGAAGAAGCAAGACGTCTTGACCAAGATCTCAAATCTCCCCGATCCCGCATTAAACAATTGGAGAAGACCATCGCAAAACTTGCCAGCTCCGCTCGTCAGGATGCCTCATCCAGCGCCAGTGGTGAAGAGCTCGCCGCTCTGCGATCGGAAGCACAGCAATTGAAAGATGAGTCTCATACGATGACAACCCGGAGAACAACATGTACCGAAGAGATCCAACGACTCGCCCTTTCCCTTCCCAACCTTTCCTCTCCCGAGACCCCCGTCGGAGACGACGCAAGGCTCGTCACGTACATCAACTTCGACCCTCAATCTCCTCCCGAATGGATTTCTCATCCCGACCCATCGCGCTCTCACGTTGCCATCGGCACCGCTCTCGATCTGATCGATTTTACGAGCTCCGCAACCACCACCGGCTGGGGTTGGTATTTCCTGATAAACGAGGGAGCGCTCTTGGAACAGGCCCTGGTGCAGTACGCTCTGAGCGTTGCTCGCAGCCGCGGCTGGAAGGTGGTGTCGCCCCCGTCGATCGTTTACTCCTACATCGCGGAAGCATGCGGCTTCCAGCCCCGCGACCAGCACAACGAGCAGCAAATCTGGGCCATCGAGCAGAGCGACAAGGACAAGAGCAAGCCCCAGCGGTCTCTGACCGGCACCGCCGAAATCCCCCTCGCGGCCATGTACGCTGGCCGCGACCTGGACGCCTCGACACTACCCCTCAAACTCGTCGGCGCGAGTCGCTGCTACCGCGCCGAAGCGGGCTCTCGCGGCGTCGACACGAAGGGCCTGTACCGCGTCCACGAGTTCACCAAAGTTGAACTCTTCGCCTGGGCCGATAATCTTCCCGCAGGCGAGACACCAAGCTCGCCCTCCTCCGACGACCTCTTCACCGAGCTCCTCGACATCCAGACCGAGATCCTCACCTCCCTCAACCTCCCCTGCCGTGTCCTGGAAATGCCCACCACCGACCTCGGCGCCAGTGCCAGCCGCAAACGAGACATAGAGGCCCTCTTCCCCTCCCGTCTGCGCGCTCCTGCCGCCGGTGCGGAATCGGACCTCGAGTCTGGCTGGGGCGAGGTCACCTCCGCCTCGATTTGCACTGATTACCAGAGTCGCCGACTCGGGACGCGTGTGCGCGGTAGCTCCGCGAAGGACTCGCGCTTCCCGCACACCGTCAATGGAACCGCGATGGCGGTCCCGAGGGTGCTGGCGGCGATCCTAGAGAATGGCTGGGACGAGAAGAGGAAGGTCGTCGTCATTCCAGAAGTGCTGCGGAAGTGGATGGGAGGGTTGGAGGCTATCGGGCAGAAATCTTAACGTCCCCCTACCATTGACGTTCTCGTCCGCATTGTATAACCATAAACCCTGTACGATACTGAAATAACAGGAATATGGCGGTCATATATCTGGTACTTCTAAATTCTGCTGTCCTCGTGTACTCCGTACAGAATCCTGTATCAAGTAACTCCTCCCAGATTTGAGAGGATGTCCACCTATCTAGACCATAAAGAGAAATATCATAGCATCATCAGTGAGTTATAACCAAAAAAAAAAATATATCACGGACTTGGTAAGAAATCATTAAAGGCGAGAAGAAAAAAGCAGCAGCGACTAGGGGGTAATTGACATCAATATAGCAAGGGGGGTATCGTGAATCATATCGACATGACCAAAACCAAAAAAAAAAGAAAAAAAAAAACTCCTCCAATTTTCGCATACATCGTCCTATCTTTCGTATCGTTAAGTCATTCGGAAACCGTGGCTGGCTCGGTTTTTGAGTATCATTATCGTCGTTGTTTCGATGTTTGTGGCTGGTTAATTGATTGTTTCAGTCCCAGGGGATATCATCGTCCTCGACCTTAGTGCAGGTCAGATACGGGAGCATGGGGAGGACTGTGTCGCCCGCGCCACCCTCGGGGCCCTTCAGGTCTAGTTCGAGGAAGTTGCGCAGGAGCGGTTTGACAATTTCGCGGGCGAGCCGCTTGATCTCATCCATCTTACGCTCGAACCGTTTGAGGACGTCGCGGGTGTAGAGCGAGTCGGCGGAAGAGGTGGGGTGGAGTTTGAGGAATTTCTTGAGCTCGTCGTGCGCGAGGTAGGCTTGGGTGGAGGGGGAGCCGATCAATCGGTATACCTGTGCTGGGGACAGAGAGGGCGACGTTGGAGGCGGTCTTGGGTTTGCGGATGAAGAGTGCTGAGGCCGATGGCTGCTCTGCGAGGGACGGCTGGTGTGGTTCGTGGCGCTGGGGCTTGTGCCGCGGAGAAGGGTCGTTGAGGGATTCTTGAGGATCGGGGCGGGCGGGGGCGTGGTGTTGTCCACAAACCACTGGCGGAATAGAGAGACGGCCAGCCAGTCTAGGTAGGCGTTTGTGGGGGAGACGCGCTCTCCGCGGGAGGTTGTCAGCGTTAGGCGCAGGAGTTTCGAGTCCACGCGCGCCTTCAGGTCCTCAAGATCCTCGACCTTGTCTTCGATGAGGTCAAGCACGGAGTTGGGAAGCGGGGAGTATGAGCCGTTTCGTAGGTGAGGAAGTCCTGCCGGCCATTGACCCACCACGTGGATGAGCGCTTCGGAGAAAATCACCCGGCTACGGGCCAGGTATCCCAGCTTAAGGTAGCTCGGGGGATATTTGGCGATCTGCTTGAACAGCCGAGATCCGAATCCGAGGAGATGGTGGTCCACTCGAGGCCCGGTGACGGCAAGCGCATCGTACATGTCGGCAAGCGCGAGCAGAGACCGGCATTCGGCATACGCAGTCGCAATGTTGACGCTGTTAAGCACAGGAGGGTAATTGTAGAACAAGCGGAGGAGGTTATCATAGTCGCGAATGATGGGATCCACCTCCGCATTTGCATTTGTAGTATGGGGAAGGTTGACCACGGATTGCATCCCCGCAAGATTCGCCATTGAACGGATGAATCCAGTCTGTGCGCCCGAGGGTTTGGTCATCGACGGGGGGAGATGAACGGCATCGCTTCCAAAGCCGTTGGAAAATGTTGGCTGCTATGTATAAACATCTCACATTTAGTCTCTAGAGGCTACGCGACAGGAGGTTGCATGCTCTCAAACTGACCTTCTGAACCAGGATCGGCTCCTCATCCTCCGCTTTATTCTCCCAGTCCAGCTCATATCTCCATCTCCTCTTTTCGGGATGCAATGACGATCCTCCGCTTTCCGACGGCACAAGAGTCGAGCCGTTGGACAGCGAAGAATTGTCCTCGCTAATGCGCGACAGAACCCCTGGGTCGATATGGTGGGGTCGCGATGTGCCATGCCGCGACCACTCCTCGCTTGTGCTCGCCTCGAAAAACCCCGAACATTGCGCCAAAATCAATCGATGAAGAAGATAGCGCCGCTCTTGTCTGCCAGCGCGTATCACAATCTCGACATCGCCGGTATGAGTGAAGATAGGGAAATCGTTTTGCGGCTGATGCGAAAGCCCTCCATGATGGGAGCGACTGGAACGATGACGGCGACCGTTGTGGGAGTGACGCGACACAGAAGAGGGAGCACTCTGCATCGTCACAGACCGATCCATCACCTGAGCTTGAGAAACCATTTCAACTACGCTGGTGGAGACGAAGGAGGGTTTAGTGACCATGACCCAGGCTCGTTCACCTCGACACCAAGCGCTTCAGGGACCGCCCGGTGACCGACACCAAAGAGCGCAACGAAGACGGTACATTCAAACCGATCAAGCGGCGTTTGGCGACTTCAAGGTAGACAGGAAACAGAAACACAAAGGGATTGATCCCTGATAAGATAGTGCGAAAACGAGTAAACCGTGTTTGTTGTGGCGTTTAGTGGATTCTTTCACCGCCGCAATAGAGCAATTCAAGGAATGTGAGGAAGCGAGAAGACTCAGAGAGTCAACAACAGTCAAATGAGGTCGCAGATAAACAATCAGAGAGGGTCGAACAAGGATCGGAAGCAGTACTACGATTGAACGGGACAAACATCCAGCAGGATTCGAGGGAGAAAGCACCCGAAAACCAGATGGCAATACGGAGTACCTTATACCTAGGTATAGACTAGGTTGGGACAGCCACGGCTTATCAGAGAACGGACACAGGAAAAGCTTTGAGGTATGGATTGCTATGAAACTCGTTCTACTCATAGACTGCGACTGCCTGGACTTATCACCCATGCATGAGACTTGCGAGTTGCGAGGTCCATCCAGTTCGATATCCAGTCATTTCCACTGCAAGAAGAAGTCGCAGAAGTACCTCTGTGGGATCGGTTCTGTATTCAATACGGTATCAGAATGTTTGAAACAGGAATCATGTTTCAGTCTAACTGCCTTTAGACTAGACGTGATTGATGACTCAGCCAGCTCATCCCACCAATCATACATTGGGATGGTGTTGTCATTTCGATGTTCTGCCCTACCCGACAGGCTGCTTCCTTTTGCTTCTTCTTCTTGGATCTCTGGTTAGTCTGGGATGCTGCAACTGATCAGAAAGAGGTGGTTCTACCGGACACCTCGCCCTTGAGCAGACCAGTTATCGCTGCTTGAAGAGATGTTCCGGTGGCTCTTGAAGTTGTCTTCGACCCCCGATTCTCCCTGACTCATTGCCCGACGATGGCGAATGTCATGCTCGGACGCTCTTGCCTTGGTTCTTCAGGATAGCAATCCTTCTCGGTACGCCCGTGGATCTGTGTCAGAAGCTAGTGTTTGATTGCTTCTCGAATATCAAATCATGAACAAAGGCTGTTATACCTGCCGTCGCCGCCGCATCATCTGCGACAATGGCCTCCCCACTTGTCGAAAGTGTCGGAATGCGGGGAAGGAGTGTCTGGGATATCAGAAGCCCCTTGTCTGGGTCAAGGGCGGTGTTGCAAGTCGTGGAAAGATGATGGGCCGCAGCTTCGACGATATTAGGAGTAATTCGACGGTTGGGAGGGTCGATGCGCATCATCCAAAAACCAGTTTGGCGGATAGTGCGATGCTACCGTCGGCCGCGGGGACTTTTAGTCAGTTCGGAATAGAGAAATCTGTGACAGTCAGTCCCGATGAAACATCGAGTATATTACACGATCAGTCTATGGTGGAGAGCACGGGCACCACTACTGGCTGTCTGGCCTCCTCCATCCAGCATAATCCTGCGCCAGCTGAATATGTCCCCACGCCTCGAGTACTGGTGGATCCTTTGTTCAAAGATCTCAGTCCGCTGTCAAGATTCTATCTATCTCATTGTATGTAACTGGAACTCTTTTTTCGGAAATCTTCTAGGCTGGGCTATCTCTGACGCCGCGTCATCCTCTAGTCAATCAGCACCTGGTGAACTACCTTGCCTTGTACTCCAATGTCAGGAATCCGTACCGCGACCTAACATCCTTGGTTGGCGAATCGCGCGTCCTCACACATGCTCTCGCTGCCACCGGAGCTTTGCATTATGCGATCTTGACCAATCCGGAGCTGTCTCTGCCCTGGTCTTCGGACGCTATGGAGGAAGCTGGGACGGCTCTGTCTTCAGAAGAGATGGAGCGCTCTGTGATCAACTCTATGGCTAAGCGTCCATCCTCGCAGGTTTACGAACAATTTCTGGGCTTCAAACAGCATGCCCTTCGCCAACTCTCCCTAGATCTATGTGACCCCGTTATGCGAAACGACAACCGGACACTGGCGGCCATCATGGTTCTTGCGCTCATGGACGCCATCGAATCAGGAGGTGGCGCATGGAAATACCACCTGGAAGGGGCAAAGAAGCTGTTGAAGCATCGGGAGCAGTCAAAGGCTCCAACTCAGACCCAGGGGATGATGGATTGGCTAGATACATTTGCGATTGACGGTTGCCTCCTGTAAGTCCCCATTCCTTTTCTTCCGTCCAATAACTAGTTTCAAGCTCACATTCACTGTCCAGAATCCAACTGATGGGGTCGACCCTCGCGCGGCCCGGCTCCCTCACTCAACCGTTCTACACCTCCAGCATGGGTTCAGCGGTGCTCAAACGTCTAGAAGAGACCTCATGGGTTGGATGCCCCGCCTACCTCCTCGAAGTCATCTTCTTCGTCCAGGCGGACCGATTCGCAGAACCAGACACAGGCCTCAACGCACACCCCAACAACATGTCCTTCTCCTCCGCCTTCCTTCCCTCCGAATCCAACCCGCTCCGATCCCCCGACGCCCTCCTCCACCACATTCAAGTCTTCGACCCCGTCGCCTGGGCCGAGGCCATGCAAACCTGCCTCTACCTCGATGACCTCTCCATGCGCATCGCCCTGGCAACTATCTACAAGGCCGCCGTCTACCTCTACGCCAGCCGCGTCCTCTCCCGCCCACGCTCCGATCCCACCTCCCCAACCGCACACCCCTTCTCCACCGCATTCCACCTACCTCAAGACCACGCCGCCGTCACAAACATCCTCATCCGCCAGATCGCACTCATCCCCGTCGCAGATCCGCACTTCAAATGCCTTATCTGGCCCACCTTCATCGCCGGCGCGGAATGCAGGGACCCCGCGCACCGCCCCTTCCTGCTCGGCAAGCTCCGCTCTCTCTACTACGACATCACAAGCGTCAATGTCCGCAACGCCGCGTGGGTGCTGAGTCTCATGTGGCGGAAGCGTGATCACCGGCGCCAGGAGCGGAATCGGCGGCGCGCGGAGCTGGACGAGCTCATGGATGAGTCGCCGCGTTCGCCCTTGACGACTGATTATGATGATGACGATTTTGATTGGATCCAGGAACTGGATGATTCACGGGTCGATTGGTTGTTCATATAGCATTTTGCTTGCTTGCTACTTTTGGTGACTACCAATTGTCTGATGTCTATTACATTATGTCACAGTACCTATATATCTTTTATTGTACATACATGAGTCGCTCCATACAGGCCACATCGTGAAGATGAGCCATGTTGCAAAGTCTTGCTAGAATATCCATACCTTTATGGTATCGACATCCACCACCGAACTAGGTCAACGTCTGGCTCGATTCAACTGGGCTGTAACCGCATTCAGACGTAATAAGAAAACTTCTGGCGCTGTCCAAGCCTCAAGGATGCATATCCAGACGGGGAGGTCGAACATCGAGTTTGACCATTTAATCACATTGTCGGAGAAGCTATGTGACAGGAACAGTTAAGTGTATTGGAATTGAATAAGTGGAAGAAATCAGAAGAAGAGATTACCATCTGACAAAGGAAACAAGAGTGGGAGAAAGAAAATGGGTTAAAAACGAAGAGAAAAGACAAAAGAGAGAAAAGATCTCCAACTCCTAAAAAGAAACCCGCTCATTGTAACTAACCGAATGGTATAATGATAGAGAAATGGAATCCGAGGTAGCAAAGTGAAAGAAATGTGATGTTTCAAGAGCCAGAGAAGCAATCCTCTTAACGAGAACTAGATTCTGTTCAATGGTTCAGCAAATGCTTGGTCAGGCTTCGGCCTTTTTCTTCCCATATATAACTCGGGAGACCAGGAGAGAAGAGAAAAGAGGATAGAGAAGTGAAATCAAACAAAAAAGAGGAGCAGAGACAGCACAACAAACTGTAAGACGGCAATATATGCATACTCCTGCCCATCTAGATGCAGAAATCTCAACAACAAAACAAAACAAAAACACGCTCATCATTGCAAATATGCAAGATCAAAGCAAAAACCTGGTAATCACAGCACAGAGGAGATTCTTACACACGCGAACAAAAGAGAAGCAAAGGAAAGATCAAGAGAGGTACAAATGGTCACAGTCACGAGTGAGATTCAATGGTATCAACGGAGGGACAACCTAGCCAGCAAGAAGAGACGGAGGAAGCAGTTCGGCAAAATCCTTCGCGAGTGCAGGATCTGCCATTAGGATGAGGGGAATCGATGGAAAGTGTCTCAAAATTACTCTGAGGAGAAATGAGAAAAATGGAGTTCTCCAACTACAATCGAGTTGAAGTTTGGAAAAAGTGCAGAGGGGATGTTGGTGAATCAAGAGTAGAGCGTCGGACGAAGGAGAGGTCAGCGAGTCAAGGCATACATTCCTGAAACCACCTTAGAAAACCGCAGCCAGGCCGTTCTTTGAATGACGCCGGCTAAACCTCTTGCGTCCTTTGACAGACTCAGTGTCATTGGGCTGTTGTTTGACCAATGTTGCCCGTCCAGGTGGGGGGGCACTCTCGGATTGGATCTCGGAGCTTCGGTCAAGTGTGTTTGCATGACTAGACAATCCAGATGATAGATCTCGGAATGCTTCATCCGAGTATGAGCCATTGCTTTGTTGAGCAAGGGCCACCTCTTTCGCTCGATCCAATGTATCCACCCATTCCTGGACAGACAACGCGGTAGATCCCATGTTGCTTGAGGATGGTTTACACTCTTCAAAGACAAAATGTTTGTCTCGCTGCAAAGCAAGAAAAGAGATAGTTAGTAAAAAAAAAAAAAAAGAGAAAGACTTTCGTGGCGGGGAAGTCATGAATCTTACTGTGTCTACAACCCAACATGAGAACCCTTTGGTGTCTGTCGCACTACGATATGACGTCCCTGGAGCAAGTAGAGAAAGCTCCATCTTGGCCTTCTTCTCATCACCACCGGCGGCAGCCATAATAATTCGTCCTGAGGAGGTGATCATCACCAAGCGCTGCCGCTTCTTGGTCGTACTTCCACCGAAAAACCGCGAGAACTTCTTGGGTGCTTCAATTTCACCACTTCCATTCTTCGAGACTGGGCTGTGGCCTGCCGGAGAGGTCAAAACCATCCAATTTCCAAGCTTCAGTATTCTTTCGTTAATCTTGGTTAGGACAGGTGACCACTCAATATCGATTTGAGTCGGGGGGGGTAACTCGGTTACCAATCGTGGTACTGCCCGGGTGCTGGCATTGGGAGCATTTGAAGGTGCGGTAGAGATACTGGGTGGGAAGCTGTCATTGTCACCTCCCCCATTCAGCTTGATGGGCTCACGAGGTGGAGGCACATAAGCCTTGAGACGAGGTGCTTTTCTTGTCCATAAGTCCGTGCCCCAGGTCACACCCTGGAAGAACTCGTGATTCTTGATGTGTTCAATGGGCAAGCGCCTAGCTGGATCAAGAACAAGGAGACGCTCAACCAGATCGCGGGCTACTGCAGGAAACCCAACGGGGAATTCGTAATCAAGCGCCACGATCTTCTGAAACGTCAGGTACTCGTTCGCGGCCTTGAAGGGAGGACGGCCGGCCAGAAGCTGATAGATAATGCAGCCAAACGCCCACAAGTCACTCGCTTTGCAAGCATTCTTATCCGTGAGGAGTTCCGGACTGACGTATTCTGCCGTACCAACAAATGAGCTTGCCCGCTCGTCTTCCGGGATCTCGGAGGAGTCTAAGATAGGCATGCTGTTCGAATTGTGATCGGATTTCTTCTGATTCTTGAGGATTTTTGCCGTCCCAAAATCAGTGATTTTGACGTACATCTGGCTGTCAAGAAGGACATTTTCCGGTTTCAGATCACGATGAATGACGCCGCATTTATGCATGTAATCGATGGAGTCGAGAATCTGGGCACCGTAGAATCTCGTGCACTCTTCGTCAAAGGAAGTCATCCGCTTCAAAACCCCTAGTAACTCGCCACCCTTGCAGAGGTCCAGCACAAAATATAATGAGCGTTCGTCCTGGAATGTGTAATAAAGGCGAACAATACCCGGGTGTTCAGTGAGTCGATTCAGGGTGTCCTTCTCGATGTTGACATATTTCACCTTCTTCTCCTTGATGATGTGGCGTTTGTCGAGAATCTTGATCGCGTACTCCTTCAAGGTCTGGCGATCTGTAGCAAGTACAACGGTGCTGTAGGAACCTTCTCCCAGTGTATGTCCGAACGAGAAATCGCGGACACCCTTCTTGATGTACCGTGCAACCGGTTTACCATTGGCATCAATCTCCTGCCTGACCGATATCGCTGCACCACGCTCCTGCCAATCTTCGCTGCTCAAGGGCGGACCGTTTTCGAGACCGTAAGGTGTTCCAGGAACCTGCGATGGTGCGCCACCACGAGGGTGAGCTCGAGAGGACTGCCGCATCACCATGGGCCCATTTCCCCCGGGTAGTTGCGCGGTCCGGTAAGCGCGGTCACTGTGACTGTTATCGCGCACTGGAACTCCAGCCTGGAATGCCGCAGAGCCACCTCGGGATTCCGCCCGTGCTAAAGTTTCCGAGGCGGAGGATGCAGCGGAATCGGTACGAATACGATAGGAGTTTTCGCGAGCCAGAGTCGAAGACGAACCGTTCGCGTAGAAAGCGGAAAGAGGGCGGGAGGATGAAGACTGAGTAGCAATGTGCTGCTGTTGATTTTGGGGTGAATAGGGGACATAATGCGGCGGATCGGAGAGAAGAACGGAGCTACGATCGTCCGGAGATTTGGAGAAAGGATCAGGGAGGGTAGGGATGGAGGAGTCTCGCTGTTGCTCGTTCGAGTGTGGTGCCGTCATCGGATGACCTGGTTTAGTAGAAATTGACGACTCGCGACCTGCTTCGGGGGTTGGAGCTGAGACAGAAGGACCCGGGGTTGGAGTCGCTGTATCCTCAGACGAGTGTAACGAAGAATCATCTGGATTCGCAATCCGCAAGCCTCCCAGGGACTGGGAAAGACTTAAATCCCCGTCCATGATGGGAACGGCGGACTGGATGATCGCTACGGAGCCAGCGTGTGACGAAGAAATCGAGGGATTGCGGACCGAGACTCGAGGGGGACAGCTCTAGGACCAACGAAGAAGGGAACAATTGGGGAGGATGAGCCCCAGACACCACTTTGGCGCCTGGAATGCAAAAGATGGAGTTGTGGTTGATAAAAGGACGGTGGAGAGAATCGTCGGTCCAGCCTGATGTCAAAGGAAGGAGAATAATCGCTTGTTCTTTTAGTGAGTCGACTTGGAGAGGGGTGGCCGACGGACTATGGCGGCGGTCGGAGGAGTTGCGGGTGATGCATGGTACTACCACGAACCTGATGAAAGAGGCTGTGGGGAGGGGATTAATGGACGATAATTTGCTGCTGAGAGCCTTGAGATGATAGTAGAAGAAGAAATCAAGATGAAAATATGCACGGAGGGGTAGTGAAAGAGGAGGGGAGGAGAGCTAATAATAAACAATAGTAAGGATGGGGAGACAAGAGGGAGAGGCTGAGTCGGGTTTGGGGGCCCAAATCGGGAGATGCGACGGAGTAATTGCAAGGAAAGACAAGATAGAAGAAGATCAAAGACTCTGGATGGTCATGTTTGACGGCTGACGGTGATAGATTCCTGCTGTGAGATGACCTCGACAGGATGGAATTCGCAGGGAGAAATTAATTCTAGGATGGTTTGATCTTGCTACTGTTGGGGGAAATATATCCAGAGAGACCACATCATATTTCGATGCCTGAGATATTAGGCAGAAAGGCATCTGGATCTCAGGGATGCCAACTCCAACGCTTTGATGGATTCGAGAAGATATTCGACAGTCGAGGAGAGGAGATACCTTTGAAAGATCAGCGTAATGCAATAAATGCAAGAGAGGAATTCTGTATTTGAAATGATATACCCCAGCATTGACCCAGATTCTTGATGCATCTATAGCAATACAGTTCGTAGGCATACAACTAGCTACTTCCCAACTACTTGTCAGCAGGAACATATGAACAGCATTGCTCTTTCCTCGTCTCCTTTGGTAAAGCATTAAACGACTCTTCCCCGTATGATGAGTAGCTCAAATCGTAGCAGGACGGTGTGTTCTTTGTCCGATTCCCGATTCCAAGCATGCTGTGATATGGCTCACTCTCAAGAGGCCAAGGAACCACCATGATACGATTCAAACCATCGTCCATTGCAATCTCAGAAAAGGACCTTCAATATCACCTCGAGAAGGTTCTCCTTCGCCGCCAGAACCAGGTTGTTGAGGCGCGACAACACTCCGTTGAGCGCAGCTACGTCCATGAGAACCAAGCGGCTTCCATCTCCCCAAACCTCGTCCTCCTCCCCAATTCTCGCTCATCTTCTCCGGCGACAGAATTGGGTCTCAATTCCGTATCAGACGTAAAGCTCGATCACAGCCTACCGCGGAAGGATCGCCAGGAGACCAGGAGTCCATCCCCGACATCGCCGTTTGGAAACCCTGTACATTGTCAACAATACTCCAGGAGAGGGAGTGAAGCACAGTTTCAGCTTATGAACAATGTCCAAGAGAATTCAGCTGATCTCCAGGAGCATCATGATCCCCAGCGTGCTGGCGATACCGGCTCTGATGTGGTCACCAGTCATCCAGTCCTGCAACACAACAACAGCAGTTGTGGAATCAATGGTGTAGGAAGTCCGGTCGGCTTACAGTACCTCTTAGGGAATATGATAGACTCACCTGCTTCACTCCCTTCAGAAAGGCCATCGGAGGCCTTTGCTGATTTGGCACATGAAGACCAAGAGAGAATGGTTCGGGCTCAGCAAAGCTTCACTAGACCTGATATTCACCACCACACAGAAGATTCTTTGCATAAATCTGACCCACAAGAGGAAGTGGTCTCCTCAGCTTTTCCTCCTCTTCAGTTCCCTTTCACTGCTTCAGACTCAGCGCCCACCCTTGGACTATTCGAGTCCCCTGGAGACAATCGCCAGTTTAACAACTCCCATATCAATATCAAAACAGATGCAAGACCACATCCAGCATTTTTCTCTAACTCATTTTCTAGCCATAGAAAAGACTGTGAGGTGGTTTCTCAGACAAACGCAATGGAGGAGAGCACAATGAAAGGAAAGGAACACCTTGGCCATCGTCGAGCTAAGACCCTTCCGTGCAACATAAATGTGAGTCTCTCAAAACAAACAGCACAACTGTTGTTCGATACTCAACACAGATTAGATGCAGGAGAGTGTACACACTACTGGTGCTAGCAATGTCTCTGCCATTCCCGCTCAGCATCACAATTTGGCCAGTCAAGTCGAGCAAGGGGCCAAGCCTGGGCAATCTTTGAAGCAGCCTCAAGCAGTTGGCGAGGAGTTGCGGCGCCGCATGAGGGACTATCGTCGCATGGTCCGTTGGAAGCCATGGTTTGAAGCACAGCAGCTGTTCCTCAAAACCACTGGGGAGCAATTTTCTGCTGCAAACCCAGGACAAGAGCCCATCCTTGTGTCAGAACCAACTTGGTTGCAGCAGCACGCAGCTCTCTTGAGCGAGAAGGCCATCCAGTCTGCACAGCAGGTCCCTTTCAAAGGATACCAGCCAGCTTGGAAGGAAGAGGATGAGGAGGTCGAGAACACTAGACCTGCACATAAGGAACGCACCGACAATGCGAATCCGCCGCCGCTGGCAAGCTCCAAGCAAACTCTTGCAGAACACATCGCCTACAAAAACAAAATACCCCCTAAGCGCAGACATTCCGAACCTGCAGTTCTTGTGTGTGTCCCTCTTGTCTGTTTTAGTGAGCCGCTGTTGCTAACTCTTGAATTCCATCGAGCAGAGTAAGTTTCATCAAATAGCATTTACCAGCAGCTACGAGTTTGCCAACCATATCTTTGATGCCACATATTACGTGGATGAGCCAAACTGGGACACCATCTTTGATTTCGGATACCTTGCCCTCCGGGATAGACCTGTTGATGAATGGCCTCGCATCTGAGATGTGCTAAAGGATGGGGGTGTGCTGTCAAAAAAGGAGGTCAAGGAATTGAATGTGCAGTTGGTTTGGGGCATCATGCGGTTGGCACATTGGTACCAGCTTTGATTTTGTCTTTCGGAAGATTATTCCATGAAATCATATGCGCAGAGGGAGAGTTGAGCCGAGCACCGATCCCTGATGTTATCACAATAGGCCATATCATCTACCTGTGATGCTACATAGATATACCTAAGCAGTAGTTCTTCTGCACTCTGTAAATATGTCGTCCAGTCCTCTCGATACCTGTCAATATCCACGTACATCATGGCAAATGGACCAATATGCAGGGATCGAACCTTAAAGCAGGTAGGTCTTTTTACCTACGGAGTAGATATAATTATCACATTCTAGCGCTAGTTATCTAGAATTCTAGAAAGATACGCCGATGATTATACAGACTACGGTATTGCTGCATAATCTATTTCTGGACAACGGGTTCCCATTCAAGCTCCGAGTGACCCATAACTTACTTACGCGTCCCAGAATCCATGGCTCTGCTCCGTCCAAACCACTCAAATCCGAGTTGAGACGTTTCGTGAGATGGGGGCGGTTTTTGCCACATCCGCTCAAAGGTATGTACATACATGGTATCAGGCTACAGGATAATTCTATATACATAACTACCTACCTATCGATAGTACTCCTTAGCCTGATATAGACAAAGATGCTGTCGGGTGTTTGACGATAAATACTCCTTTCAACCAGTACTCCGTACGAGGCGCAGCATTTCAAGTTCTCAGCGTTCCGGGTGTGACAAGGACAACTGCATCGTGACTACCTAGGACCTACTGGCTAGTGTCTACTAATAGTTAAAATATATAGTTACGAATTAGAATTGCGTAGTGCTTACTGTGGCTCAAGCAAGGTTAATTATAGTCTCTGGCTTATTATCCATGGCTGTTGATTGGGGTTTTGTGTGAGTGTTTCAGCCTGCAGCGTTCCGTGCCATTCGGCGATTTGTGATTCGGAGGAATTGGATGATGGTCGTGACGATCTGTTGGAAGATAATGAACGTTGGGCTTTGGGGTGTGGTGGTCACTTCGTTAGAGCCTGGAATCGTCGGCAGATACAGTGCTCAGGGGGCTGGAGATCTGAATCTGAGATATATGACTGAAATATGAAACGAGTGCTCAATTCTTTAGTGGATGCTAAGCATTACCCAAAACTGGCAAGCAGTTGACTGAATTATAAGAGAAAAGAGACCATCGCTGTGGTCTATCAAAACGTGACCATGTATCGAAATCACATCAACCGAGCCAGCAAAATGTCAAGACGTCAGAATATCAAATGAGATGAGGTATATAATCGATGCAAGCAAAAAGTCTAGAACATGGTTTATGTCTGAAAAGCATGACAAGAATGGGTAATGCGAAGCCAGAGAAACAAAGATAGCTGATGATCGTCCATCAGAATAGTAAGTCGGCAAAGAACACCTCAGACATCACACATCGCTTCAAAATAAAAAGCAAAATGGCTCCCATTTGTTGTCCCTTGTCCCGCCTCTAAGTTTTTCCCTTGTAAATATGATTCAATATTAAAATTGACGTAGTTGTAGTATCAAAACCATCGTGGTGCATTATTTGGAAAACATTTCACTGCGCCTTGCTCTTGGCAAATGCCTGAGCACCGTCGACCAGGCGTCTCTCAGTGTTCTGCCGACCATTGACAAAGTCGGGGTAGTTGAGAGTCAGCTCGACGGCACCGTTGACGATGTTGTCCACAGCCTCAACACCAAGCATGAAGGAGTGGTCCTGGTTGCCAACCTCGTAGCGCCAGCTACCGAAGCGGCCACGCGACCAGATGTCCTTGTCCTGCAGCTTGGGCAGAATCTGGGTGAGAGCACCCTCACGCTCCAGAGTGGGGGTGGGGTAGCCGTGGTCGAAGCGGCGGTGGTAGGTCGAGACAATCTCGTCAGTGGGCTTCAGCATCTCGGTGTTAACAAGACCCTGGATACAGTCGGCCAAAAGAGCCTCGTGGTTGACGGGCTTCATCGAGGACTCGGAAACCTCCAACATGATGGACCAGTAAGGGCCCTCCTGAGCCTCAGTGCTCTTAGGCTTGGAACCATCGGCAAGCTGCATGGTGGGCAATTTCTTGGAAGCCTCAGGCTGGTTGTAGGGGGAGTAGTTGGAGAAGATGGTGGCACGGTAGAAGGGGCAGTTGTCCTCAGGGAAGTACAGCTAGAAAACGTCAGCTCCACGTACTCATTCGATGGGAGGAAATTGTTATTGACTTACCCAGCACTTGTCGCCGATTCTGTCGGGGCGAGAACCACGGATACCGACACCAATGACGTGGGTCGAGGAGTAGAAGAGCTGCTTGGTGAGGCCAACAAGCTCCTGGTCATTCATCGCCTCAGCCAGGAAATCAACAGCCATGGTGGAGACCAGCTTCTTGTAGCCGATGGTGGTGCCGTCCTGCAGCGTCACCGTCTTGTTGTTGGCATTGACCTTGGTCACCTTGCCCTTGTCGCCGAAGCGAGTCTTCTCCTTGGGGAGAGTGTCGGCGACGGCGATCCAGATGCCACCGGTACCACCACGAGCGGGGAAGCGGAAAGTAGCATTGGGACCCCAGTTGCCAGCGGTCTTGTTGAGGATGACGTTGGTGGTCACGGCCTTGAGGTTAGGAGCAGCGACACGCTCACCAAGCCAGGCGCATTGCATCTAAAAATGAAATTCGTCAGCTCGTGTTCTAGAGCAAGTCATTTGAGATTGGAATTGAGACTGAACTGACCTTGGTGGTGGGCACGGCCCAGACCTTGTAGTTATAGGGTCTCATGAAGAGGTCGGCAATACCGACACCCATCATGCGAACGATCCACTCGTCGAAGGTCGTGGGCTTGGTGCTGGCAACGCGAGCCTCAAGAGCAGCGTCAATCATGCCATCAATGCACTTGACCTGCTCCTCCTTGGGAAGCATGGAGATGTTGTTCTGGAAAGGGTAGGGAACCCATTGGCCCTGGCAACGGACGTAGGAGATGCGCTGGTGGCTGTACCAGTCATCATCCTTGGGAAGGGCCTCATCGATGCAGTCATCGAAGTACTTATAGTGGGAGAAGATAACGTGGCCACCGACATCGTAAAGCTAGGAAGTCGGTCAATTCTGCGTTCGAAACCCCTCGAGGAACAGGCTACCGTCTAGCGAGTGACAAAATAAGCAGGGGAAGACATACGAATCCTTCGGGGGTGACATCGGTCGAAGCGAGACCACCGGGAGTTTCGTTGCTGTCAATGATCATCCATGAGGGGCCATCCTATTGTCGCCATTAGCTTTTGCGATCAATTGCGCTGCGAGATAAGAAACTATTGGCATACAATCTGATTCAAACGCTTAGCAGCACCCAGACCAGTAGGGCCGGCACCAATGACGAGAACGTCAACGGAACTGGAGAATGAAGAGCACCAGGTCAGTAAATGCCGTCTTCGACAACAACAATGAAACCCCTGAGGAGCTTCGATGAGGGGAACACTCACATATCAGGGTGTGTCATTCTGCCTTGTAGGATATCCTGGAAGCTGGGAACGCGGTTTAAAGTCTTGCGAGCGAGGCTAAGCATAGAAGATGCCAAACTGCAGGATACTGCAGGGTTCAAAAGGACAAGCAAGAGGGATGAGGAATGAAGACAAGAAGACGGTGAGGAAGGAGGGCGGCAGGAAAGGTATAGGTATTAGGTGTATCACAGGCGGTCGGGAAAAACGAAACGTGACAACAGCCAAACAAGCTGTGGGGAGGGGGAGAAGAACGTCTGTTTCAAGTTTAGACCCGACGGACCAGAACCAATTAGTTCTTTGATAGGCTCGAGGGGCAAAAGTGTTCCTTGGATCTTCTGTTGGAATAATTGCTGATTGAAGCTCTGGAAAGGGGAGGGGGAAAAAAAAGGGGGCGAGGGAAAATAATGGCTGGAAATTTGAACAGTAATGCTGTACAGTCGCTGGAAAAATAAAATAAGATATAAAATACAAAATAAATTAGACCAATGTTAACATATTAAAAAGGGAAAAAAAAAAAAAAAAAAAAAACAAGGTCTGGAAACAATTGGGGCAGGAATAACCGATTCTGATTGGATTGCTTCCGACTGGAACTCGTTATCTGCAATCTATTTTCGAGATTAAATTGCGGTTTACCAACCACATGTGTTTCTTGGAACCATCTGGCCGTGACGGTACTGTTGTCTTGTTGGATACCTATAGTACATCATGTTCAAAGCCTTAAAAGAGCTTCAAACCACCATTAGGTGAGGTACAGTCAATTTGAGTATGGATACATGTCAGGTCCCTGAGATAGTGGGATGACCTAGACCGATCCTTGGTCTGTATTGTCGAAGATTGTCCAGCAAGATAGCGACATCCCGACGCCTTTGACAGTAGTAGTCCTACTGTCCAGTACCTCCACGAAGGCGTCTATGGTTTGATCAAGAGCGCTCGCTTTCATGTCTAATACTATTCTGTACTTTTTGCTGCCAGCAGTCAATTGGAAGGGGTAAGAAGATCGATTGCAGCTTGATAGGGCTGCCGATAACATTCTTCGGGTCGCCAATTCCCAGCTTTCGGTTCCTGCCACCGAGAAATATCATCATCAGATTTACTGCGCTGGAATGGAAGATTTACTGCCTTTAGCCTGTGCGATAAGAGATACAATTGCGACATCCAAATGCTTGTACAACATATACTCCGTAGTGTAGAGAAACAACCTCCGATTCAGTGCACCGATATCCGCTTTCGACATTGAGATCGTTCTCAGCCTTCTCTATGATGATCTTCTCAATGGATGAATCCCTGACTCTTAAGTGTCAAGCCACCCCTGACTATGGTTCATTCCGATCCCCGAGTCGTGTGTTCTTGTTAAAACAAATTGGGTTGACAGCCTGACGAATGACGAGCACCATATGCCGTGGGGTTGCTTCATGATCCTGAGGGCGATGACAGCGCCACAGACGTCGACCGATCTCAGTACCGTCGGAGATGGGGCAGCAAATTGAAACTGATCGGCTCTCAGTTCCTCACTCGCCAGGATCAATCTGTGTGCTGCTTGGCAGAATAGAACCTCAGCATCTGATGCCTCATTACACTTGCAGTGGTTCGACCTTCCCGCGGAGGTGCAGACTGCAGAGCGCAGCCGACGGCTGTACGCTTGCACAACGCAATGTTGAGCCTAGCCATCATATCCTGTGATGAGGACAGTGACACTGCCTGGCTACCGTGCATAGAGACTTCGTACTGTGTAGACAGAGATGTCGGTTGACGGTTCAGCGGAGGGTCCACTGATTGTCATTTCCGAGAAGGGAAATCCATTGGAGATCTTCTTCCAGAAACCGCGCCAAAGCGTTGATCAAAGTGATGTTTGAAATGTCCATGTCTCGGTGATGAGTGATAATGACGAATGTGATGGTTCCAAATCCAATCAACGTCTGATGAGGCTGCACTTTTGCAGCTGCCGATGGGAGATAGGGTAGATGGGCCGTGATGGTAGTGGCTTTCTTGATTCCGTGGAACCCTGAACGTTTCACTGATTTCTCAGACGTCTATGATTCCATGAAGACTTGAGAGCTTAGTCAATAGAGAATGACCATTGTGATGATGGATTACCATTCCAAAAATATGGAGTAGTACGGACTACGGAGTAACATGTGGTCCTTTTCGGAACTCCATCGCAGAAAAACAAGCACAGCAAGCAGCATATGGGCAACGAGCGTAATCCTCCCTAGGAGAAATTAATCAGTCCGTGAGAGACCAGGCACGCCACAAGGAAGCCCGGCCTTTTGAACACGCCAGGGAACCAAGTCAACTCTTGTGAAGGAACCAACTTGAACCAAGCTGCAATAGCGCCAGCTTCTCAATCGTTTGCTGGACCCCCGATCGCCGCATGCTCCACCGCAAAGGGACCCTCGCGGCGACGCTATGATTAAGTGGCCGCTGGAGGCGGGTAACTGATTGCTTGGCCCCCGACAGCTTGCGTAATGCAGTTTGGTGTAAACAGTCTAATAGGACCCCAGTTAATTTTGATCAGCGACGGATGTTGCAACTTGCAAGATGTTGTCGGTCCATCACCTTTGTCCTTCAATTAGATTTCCAAGGCCTGCTGGCAGCGAGCACACAGCGACGATCAGAAGGAAAGAGCAGGAAATGATCGTCTTTTAGGGAGGTGATTTGCTACGATTGCACCTGGATATCTCGGAGCACTTTTGGACGATGATACGACATTTGAATTTTTATTATGCGATAGAGAAAATAACCCCATAAGTAGGTTTGGTTGGCTTGGTAGCTATTTTGAATGGTTTGATTGCTGCTCAATAAATGGCGACGATGATGGTTAAGACCCTAGGTACTACCTGATTTTGAATTATTACAGAGGGACCAAGTATGAAGAAGGTAGACTAGACGCTCTGAGGACTACTACGTAAGTAGTGAGGACTGAGGACGGAGTGAGGATATAGCAACAAAGAGGGAAAAGGGGCAAAGGATTTGGTAGAGTGGAGACTGGAGATTGACACTATCCAAAAGTCAACAAACCAAACTTGAAAAAAGCTGAGGTCCTTGCCACAAGTTGGACAGATGAACGCTCCGATGGTCGTCGGTACGTTAATTACCTTTTATATCTGTGCAGGATGTTACCTATTGGTCTTTTTCCAGAGGACTAGATAGATAATTAATCTCACTCCACCTAAGTACTAGATCATCCAGCTGATATCTACAAATTGCAAAATTGAAAATATCAAGACAAACATTTTGGAGAATATAGTAATGATAGTTGTAGATTTCGGTCCCTGAGATTTGTTGTCAGCGATTATCGGCAATAATATATGAGTTCTCATTCAGGCAGTGTGTGAAAGTAGGGTAGTGTTATCAAACACATCTTATCTAACCCTTTTTTCTACTTAAAGGCGTCCGGGTAAGTAGAGGGAGTACAGATTATAGAGGACAACATTTACCTAGTGTTCTGTCGTGTGTACTCTGTACTCCAGATCTCATCTGCATACTGTAGGCATGATTCTTATTCGTATTTTTCTTTATCTCGACATGGGCCTGTCAACTGATCCTGTTGAATAAACTCCTATTAAATTATTGGACCATTACTTGGCAACTGAACTTGCCTCTCCACCCAGGCCAGAGAACAGCCCAGAACATGGAAATTGAAAGTTGAAACTCCCACATCTGAGCTCAAGAGCCACTTGCGGGTGTTTCAACTGCTGTTTCTGTACTAGCCTCCACCTCATCCAGTACTTCTTGGGTTGGGTTTATCTGCTTTTAGTCAAAGGTCTCCACCCCCTGCCCCACCATCACTATTCTTGTCCCATCCGATGTACGGAGTAAGTAAATTTCCAGTATGAATGTAACGAACATGTAAAGTCTGGATGTTTGTATCTCAAGCAGTGCGTCAACCGACGAACGACATACCTCATTCTGGCCCACGATCTCTTACTATGCTGATTGCGTTGCGGATCCTGCCCTTTCGCTGCTTCTGATTAGACTACTAATTACAATTAGTACTATTATTTTGACGACGACGACGACGACGTACGACGACTACCAAAATATTATTATTATTATTATTAACCCCTAAATAATAAACTGTCCCGTGTTTAATTCTCTTGACTGTCCCCCCCCTCCCCCCAAGAAAAAGAAACTAGACTGATTGTAATTCCGAAATTTGCGGAATCTCTCTCTCCAGTCTTATCCTTTTTCCACCCTTCTACTCTTTCCCCTCCTCTCCTCCGCTACACCCATCTCGACATCCCTCTTCAATCCATCTTCGGATCCTGGCTTGTTCTCTGTTTTTGTTCTTCTTTCCTGCTTCTCTTCTTTCAGGCCAACTCTTGTCTCACTCGTTAGACCGCTACTAATCCTCTCTCACACACTCTTTTTTCTTTTTTTTTTCGCTCTCATCATCACCCCTGGCCTCCGCACGCTTCGGCCAGAGCAGCCTTCTCCGGCCGCGACCTTTCGACTTTCAACGTTTTCTTTCCGACCAAAGTCAGCTTTTCACGATGAGTAACGAGGGAGAAAAAGTCAGAACCTCTGGTGAGGTTTCTCGTCCGGAGCCTACTCTGCCGACTGTCAATCCCGCCGTTGAGAAGTCGGAGCCTTCCAGGCCAACCTTCCACCCTGCTGTCTACGTCGGGTGAGCGAATTCTGATATACTACGCATTACTATTGATCGAAATGGGGTGTGCTAAGACCTTGTCAGTGTCTGGATTACCCTCAGTTCCAGTGTTATCCTGTTCAACAAGTACATCCTCGATTATGCTCAGTTCCGTAAGTGCAATCTGGCCGATTTCCTCATGAACGTGATTGGCAAACTTGGGGGGGGGAAAAATAAAGAAACTAACATTTTCGCAGGCTTCCGTAGGTTTTTCACTTGATCGCACTCCCTGGCAAATTTTAACGCTTCCCAGCTATCATTCTCACAACATGGCACCTGGCATTCGCGACCTTCATGACCCAGGTTCTCGCCCGCACAACCACACTGCTCGATGGCCGCAAGACTGTAAAGATGACTGGACGTGTCTACCTGCGCGCCATCGTTCCCATCGGTCTTTTCTTTAGTCTGAGCTTGATTTGTGGTAATGTGACATATCTGTATCTGAGTGTTGCATTCATCCAGATGCTGAAGGTTGGTTTTCGGCCCATTCCACGAGGAGGTTTGGGGTGCCGGATCACTGATAATCGAGCATAGGCTACTACCCCCGTCGCGGTCTTGATCGCCACTTGGGCTATGGGAATGGCCCCAGTGAACCTGAAGGTCCTCATGAACGTCTCTATCATCGTCGTCGGTGTCATCATCGCTTCGTTTGGTGAGATCAAGTTTGTTTTCATTGGTTTCATGTTCCAGCTCGGCGGTATTGCCTTCGAAGCTACCCGTCTGGTCATGGTCCAGCGTCTCCTGAGCTCTGCTGAGTTCAAGATGGACCCCCTGGTCTCTCTGTACTACTTCGCGCCCGTCTGCGCCGTGATGAACGGTGTCACCGCTCTGTTCGTCGAGGTTCCCAACCTGACGATGACCCACATCTACAATGTTGGTGTTTGGACTCTGCTTGCCAACGCCGTTGTTGCGTTCCTGCTCAATGTTTCTGTCGTTTTCCTGGTAAGGAGACACCTGTTTTTCCTCGGAGATTGTCATACTGACAGCATCGGTCACAGATCGGAAAGACTTCGTCTCTCGTCATGACCCTGTGCGGTGTCCTTAAGGATATTCTCCTGGTTGCGGCCTCGATGATGATCTGGCAGACCCCTGTTACCCCCATCCAGTTCTTCGGTTACTCGATTGCCCTGATTGGTCTTGTATACTACAAGTTGGGCGCGGATAAGATCAGAGAATATGCTGGCCAGGCCAACCGTTCCTGGGCCGAGTACGGTGCCACCCACCCCGGTCAGCGCAAATCTATCATCATCGGCGCGGTTGTCCTGATTTTCTTCCTGCTCATCGGCTCCATGGCCCCTAGCTATGCCCCCGAGTCTGTGGACAAGGTCAAGGGCATGCTTGGTGGAGCCACTGCCGGCAACTCCTAAATGCTGACCATGGATTTTTCATCCTAAGACAATTGCAACGACGCTTTCTGGATGAGATCGAGCTCAAACCGCAAGGCGGCTCATCCCGTATGTGCTTGCCTACCTCTCGACGGTAGCAGAATAGAATTATGTGATTCCGAACAGTGGGGATCCTGCCTAATACTCTACATTCACTCTTCCTATTGGGGCCCTGACGAAAAGATCTTGATGGCCATATATTCTTTCCTTTTTTTTTCTCTCTCTTAACTCTTTCTCGCTGGCCTCTCATGCTACGATCATGAGTGTCGGATGAGATTGTTAGACGTGTTCAGCTTAGGGATGGGAGACTTGCGATGGCCACATGCAGGTAATGCAGCCGTTGTCTCGCCATTCTCGGGGCTTTTGCATGGTTCGAGCTGTTTTTGATCATTCCTATTTTTATTTTTTTTTTTATCCCCACGAACTTTTGACTTTCATGTTAGATTAGCACAAGTTTCTGGTGTCAGATGTATTGTCCCTTGTTCCATTTTCTACTCCGAGGTTCTCTACCAACCCACGATCTCCTCGTTTCTTGTCACCCCGCATGTTACTATAGGATCCTTTGGTGTGCTATCAAAATAGAGTGTTCTTTTTTTTTTTTTTTTTTTCTTGGATCCACAAATTTCATCATTCTCATCATGACTTTATGGGCAGGCCGTTCGGAACGTCCAGCCACTTTGGGATCTTGCTGACTGAGACATTCCGGGCACTTTTGCAGGGCATCCAATCGCCTGTTGTGGTGCAGCCAGCCGAGGCGGAGAGCAGATACGAGCCAATCACGGCCTACCCTGAAGCCTGAGGGCAGCCGCTGGTGGTTCGGCCAGTTATGCGTCGTAGTGGCGCTGACAGGGGCTCTTTGAGGGGGCTGACGCGCAGACCAAGCGTGCATTTTCTGGCCAATCGTAGCTAGCGGTGTGTCGTGCGGTCCCATATCACTCGGACTGGTGTGATGATCCATCAACCAATAATGCGCGAATCCTTGCAGCCCGATCTGGATCTTGTGGGGAGGGACAATCATTACCGTCCCGTATGGTATGATGCGGCCAAGTACTGCCCTAGTTTGCATGGCAACACGGCAAATCCAGTCTTTCATGGTGCTGTACGGTACTGTATCCAGCAGTCAAGGCAAATTCTCTCCGCAATCCGCATCCTCCAAAGATTGAAGCTCCAAACAGCAGCCAAAAAAGAGTTAATCAAATCAAAGAGTTAACCTAAGAATCATCCGCATCCGTCAGCGCCTTTTTTTTCACCCGTCCTGGTCGATTTCAATCTCTTCCATCCTGGCACCCGCTTATCCTGTTGTCATCACGCCTGCTGCCATCACGTTTCGTCCATTCCTTTTCTTCGTCTTCTGCCTCTTCTTCCCATTCTTTCTCTCCTCTCCTCGCCTATCCTCTCCTATCCTTTCTTCTCTTATCCTCTTGGCCTTCCTTATCTGCTTGACACTTATCTCGTTCTATCTCATCTCATCTCATCTGAGACTTCTCTTGATCACTATCATCATCCTTCCTCTTTGGTTTACCGCACCTCGTGACCTCAACCTCCTCTCTGTGCCGTCTCATTTTCTGACCCTTCTCTTCGAAAACGACTTGGATCTTCTTCGATCTGCAGGTTGCTCTAGATCTTTTGTTTTCAGCTCACTTGACAAGACAGAACAGAACAGGCTCGGAGATCCCCTTGTAGCCGACTTACATACAGCCTCACTCTCTCCCTCCACGATGTGCCCAATGCTCCTAAGCGGTCTCGCGGATGGACCTGCCATGGTCCTCTCCCCTCGCCAGGAACACACATTTGTTCAATTCCCGCGCCAGTCGCAGTTCGACTCGCCGTCGGCCGCTTCTCGCAATTCCTTCTTCATGAATGGCATGCACTCTCATGCTTCGTCATTCGCCAGCAATGCTTTTACTGGGAGGCTGGCCAATTCTGCTCCTAGCTCTGGAAAACCTTCTCGCAAGAGGTCTCGAGAAGAACCCGAGTTTGAAGAAGTGCGCAATTCGTTCAGCTCCCCAGTTGTGCCGGCTGCTGCCCCTGCGCCAAAGAAGGCGCCCGTCTACGCAGAGGGCATGACCACTCTGAACTCTTGTACCGGCATCCCCCTGTCGGTAGAAAACCAAACAGGCTTTCAAAGCCGCAAAGCCCAGCGTCTAACCCCATCCACCTCTCGCGTCGAAGACACCACACTCCAAAGACTCAACGAAACCAACGACGACAATAGCCGACTCCTCAGCAACGGGACTCGCACGAGTCCCTTCACCCCAAATGATGTCTTGGTCGACGACGCGACCCACCTCCTTGGGGTCAGCTGGCAACGCATCTCTACCAATGACGTCGACATCGCGGCCGCCGTCCGCGGCTGGAAGAGATATATCGACAAGCAGTTCGCGGCATACCTGTTCGATTCGCAAATTCTCATGAAGAATCGTGCCCTCAACGCGTATCTCGTGACAGCGCGGCCTCTCACTCCTGCAGGGCCCTCAAACGCCCCGGCTTTCTATCTTTTCAGCGAAGATCTCACCCAGGGTCAGCTCGTGGCCTCCTCCTGGGAACAATGCGTGCACAATCTTCGCTCCACCCCCGTGGTCTTTGAGCAGAACCAAGTCCTCAACGCCGCGGACAGACCTCTCAATAACACCAACAACACGAGCGTACTAGGATCGACCTCAATGACGGAACCTGGTCTCCCCCTCTTACAAACAATGTGCGCCCAGCCCGTCAGTAGTGACGCGTGCGCGGGATTGAACAACGGTGTAGGAATGGCGATGGGGATGGAAATCGACCCGTAAAAGAAACACATCGCTCTCGCAAGTCCATCCAATCAACCAATTTGCTCCAACTTCAACGACAAACGACCGACCGAACGAACCTTTCTTCTTCCTCTCTTCCTCTCGCACCGCGACAACTCTAACCATCTGGCAGTACTTCGAAAACCGGCCGCAGCCATGGCTCTCTTTTTCGTTTTTTTCCCTCTTCGCTTGAAAAAAGAAGTCTTCCGGTTTATCTTCTCTTCGTAATTTTGCGGGTTTCTTCTTTCGGAGTTTGTATGCCGTGGGTTCTTTCTTTTTCCTCTTTTTTTTTTTCAAAATATGTCTTATATTATCATGATCTATCTTTTTTATATCTTCAGAACCAGAAAGAAATTTATGAAGTCTTGAGAATATTGCAGCTGGTGATACGATATTGCTCTCTGTGGGGGGAGACATTGACTATTTATTCTGTGTTGGTGTTGGTATCTCCATAGTAGAGTGGCGACTAGTCTAGTACCTCGCTAAATTTCAATAAGATGGAGCATGCTGCATGTCAGTTGCATGTTATGCATATGCTGAATTAGCTATTTCGTACTCTGTGTTCTGCTCAATCCGATATATATAGATAAACTTAGAGAGCGAAATGATCCACCGAATGTGAAGGGGTGGATAGACGTTTCTCAAAGCTCATTCTACCAGAACGTGTCTGGAAGAGATATTCTAGAAGATTTCTTTTCTTCGATATATCGCATTCAATACTGGCTGATTCATTGCCTCTGATCGAATAAACTACATAAAACTACCTATGCGAAGGAACTAAAACCAACAAGACATCCATGGGTACTGAGTAAGCATAAAGTAGTATATGTCGCCGAGTACAAGGGGCTTTGTTGATTTGCATTGGGGACTACCAGCGACCTGACGTGAATCTGGTTGTCGCTTGATCGCTGTACAGGGTATGTAGACGCTCTATTTCTTTTTCTTTTTCCTTTTGCTTTCCAATCGCCTTTTGTTCGTGGGGGAGCCGTCGTTACAGAATTCCGAAGATCGCAACAGGGGGTTGTAAACAAGGATGCCATGTTTCGTCGTTCGTCTTTAGTTTGTCTTCGGGTTTGTCTTCATCCATCCCAGAAGAGTGTGCACTGGGTGCTTGGTGCTCCGGTTTGGATGGAATCGGCAGAAGCGATCTCTCGTTTAGCCGATCTTTTCGATGGAAACCTCGCATTCTTTCTGGTTTCTTTCCTCATCGAGACGGCGGGACTTGAGAGATTTCTCAAGGAACAGAGTGTCGATATCTTCGAGGGTCAAGTTGGCAGTTTCGGGATAGAAGAAGTAGATCAGCTGTAGCAGTAGGGTAAGTATATGGTGGACGGAGCTAATGGAGCCGACTGATGTGGTGGTCAACTTACGGGAATGAAGGAGAAGTTCAGGCACATGAAAATGAGATAGGTCTTCCAGTGCAGTTTCTGGAGCAGGAGGGGGGTAATCATGGCCACGAAGAAGTTCCAGAGCCAGTTCGCAGAGACGCCAATTGATTGTCTATTCAATGTGTGCAAATTAGTACTCCTCTTAGTCTGCTTGCCTCGAGAGCACAAAAGATAAAGACTTACCCTTTGGTTCGCGCATGCAGAGGAAGCAGCTCTGGTCCGTAGGGCCATGGGATGCAATTCGTAGACGCTCCAAAGATAAGCATGAACAGGAAGAAGAATGCAACAGCTGCTGTTGCCGTAGATTGCTCTTGCGGCGTTCCTAGAGGAAAGTCAGCCGAAAGATTCCAGCTCCAAGATGTCCACTGTACCTTCGAACGAAAACAGAATACCAAGCATGAGCATGCACACGCCCAAGCCAAACGATCCCCACATCATTGGCTTACGACGACCCAACTTGTCCGAATAAAGAGTAGGATAGAAGGAGCCTGACGGTATAGTCAGCTATGCGTCGCTTGCACTCAGGGTGACTGTGAACCCACCGATAACAAACATGATCTGAATCACACCACCGAGCAGAGAGCTCATCTTTGGTGTAAGTCCCACATTATCCTCCAGGACTGAATCATAACCTGGTCAGTACGTTTGGTCCGAGGGCGAACACGAAGATATAATTCTTACCGGTGGGAACGTAGAACTGGTTTTCATGTTAGCACTGCGCATTCCATTCCAGTCGCACCCCCCTCTGAACACTTACAACTATGATGTTGGTGCCACCCATTTGGTTCATGAACTGGAGGCCATAAGCCATCAGGACTCGAGGGCCGGTCTGCAGTTCGTCCCTCTTCAAGATCTGAGACCATCTATATTCTCCACGAGCGGCTTCCATATCGAGGGCTCGCAAAATGCCTTCGGATTCCGCAATCACCTTGGGATCGTCGGCTTCTCGGCCATATACCTTGCATAGAACCTTTAGGGCTTCCGAGCCCCTGTGCTTTCTGTATAGCCATCGAGGACTTTCTGGGAGACTATATTGACAGTCAGGCTTTTGTCGAATTTTGAGAATAACGGTCTAGTGACTTACCCGGCTACCATAATGACAACACAAATGGCAAATACTTCCTGGCAAGCAATGGGTAGCCGCCAGCTAATGGATCCCGTGACAAAGGTCATGCCATAATCAAACCAATATGCAATGACAATCCCGAACCCAACAGCAAGTGGTTGAGTGCACACGTATTTTCCCCGTTTCCGTGCCTCGCATAATTCTGATTGATAGACAGGGACGACTGTTGACATGATGCCGGTGCCAATACCGTTCACGAAACGGGATATGAGCAATTGGGTTAGAGAGTACGAACAGGCTTGGATAGTACCACCGATCTGAAACAACATGCCTTCGTTAGCCTTCATCTCCACGCAATAGCCCCCATTGTCGATACTAACCACTATCCAGCTCATGGAGAACCACATAGACTTCTGGAATCCAAGCCGATCGGTAGTGACAAAGGCAATGAAGGTGCCGAAAAAGCAGCCGAGATTGTAAATTGACACTAAGAACCCGAGCATGCCCGCCTGGGGGTGGTTCACAATGTTGAGAAAGTCTTCATTCTTGATGATACCAGAGAAGACACCCTGATTATAACCTAGATAGAAGAGACAAATGTCAGTCCGCTACCTCCCACGCCATGATGTTTCCAGATTTCCCACCAAATAGAACGAACGCGATCTGGCAGGTGATCAGAATCGCCAGCTGAAGACCTCGCCCCCGGCCATACATGTTGACTTCGACCATGCTGCAAGTGGAAAGACAAAATTGAAACGTGAGAAGGGAGAGTCAACTCAAAGGGACTCCCAATATATAGTCATTCAGGAAGTATTTATGTATTCGCACAATATGCAATATAGGGGGCACGAGTTGACGATGGAGGTAATAGCAGCAGCATGTAGATCTACGACATACCTGCTGCAGCCCAGAAGCTCGGGCGCACAGCGCGGAGATTTACTCCTTCCCTGACAGGATTTGCCCATATCAAAAGTCCATCTAGCCATTTGGAGACGGTCACAGGCCCAATTTCTCCATACCAGATTCCGCGGGAATCGGAGAAATATTAGGGCTATACTAAAGATGGAATCAAGGAGCACGAAGTGAGTCCAAGGAAAAGTAGCATCAAGCGGGGCCAAGTACTTGGTTCATCATCGTAGATCGTCGGACGTTTTTTCCTTGCGCATTCCTGAAGCTCGATGGGGACGTATCGGAGCAGAGCCCGAGCCTGCGGATGGAAAAAGCTTCACAGCAAGCCCCCGACTGCTCAAAGAGGCCATAATACTGAATCTTATTGACATGCCTCGACCTTCCCACTGACATCACCCAATGTCATGATCTATGGAGAAAAGCAACCTGTGGATGGGACAGAAAAGGTCAGCCTACGGTTGCCGTACGAGGGACCATAACTGACTCAAGGTCAATATCATTCGGCTTTCCTCGCTTTCTTGCTCTCTCTTTCTCACACTCCGACAGGGGTGACCCCTTGCCTTGATGGAGGGTTCCGCACCAGCTTGATCTGTCCTAGCAAATAGGTAGACCCCCCATTGTAGATGGTTCAAGTCAGACGGCGATGATCACAAGTATATAGTTCAGTTCTCATGTTGCGGAATGACAATCGAGAGCTTGTGTGGGGCAGACTATCTTGAGAGCATGATGGATCCGAGCGAGATGAGCGAGCTCATGACGATAGTGAGTGGTGATCATGCTGGGTTAAGGGGAGAAATCCGATGGGAAGTGTCACGTTGAGGGGAGGAATCTTCGTGTGTTTACTCTATAGGGAGTATCGAACTCACGTGACAAAAGTACCACAGGTCTTCTTTCGACTTCAACTGCAACAGTTATGAGTAGATGAGATGGACACTACTGAATATTTCTCCGAGGTTATACTGCAACTGTCGGAATTGCTTGACTGCTTGTACTTCTTGCTCAATATCAGATGAGGAGAGTTCCGGATCAGCGGCAGGCAATCCCCCATAGAGAGAGAGAGAGAGAGAGAGAGAGTAGCCTTTTGGTGCATGGAATGTCGTCAACCAAAATGGGCTAGGCCTCATACTTCGGAGTGGATATTGACTTGATATGGGCCAGAGGTGATCATCTACCAATACAATGAGCACGGAGGACAACCTGGGGCTAAGGCGCCCATTCCTCAAGACGAGTTCATTGCCTTGCCAAGTACTTCGCAATTTACGGGTCTGATTGAGACGCACATTGGTGATCAATGAATGGGAAAAAGAGCAAGCTGAATGATCTATTCTTATTTCAAGTCATCATCAACGGTTCTAGAGCTTATTTGAGTAGTTTTTTTTTTTTCTTCCCTGTTCTTTTTTTAAGATTTACCTCCAACAGCATACTAGCATATAAAGAGCTAATCGTTCATGACTTGAGCATCGACCCATCGAACGCGCGTGTTTCGGTTCCCACCTAATCACTATCGTAATCACTTCCCTCGTCGTAGTAGTCACCGTATTGACCCGCAAATGCCGCGTCAACACCGTCGGGATCATCGTCATCGTCATCCTCTTCATCATCATCATAATCATCTTCCTCGGCCGCGTCCGCAGGCTTGCCATCGGCTCCGGGCGCTGGTCCGAGCACCTCTTCATTGGCATGTGCACGGTCAGCCTTGTCAGCCTGAATCCCTAGCTGAAGGAGGGGTTTCTCTCCAGGAGGTTGCGTGGGCCCTGCAGGAGGCGCGGGGGAACCAACAGGTTTAGCTGTAGACAGAGGCATCGCGCGTGGTTCCACACTGGCACTACGTCGCGAAATAACACTTTGGCTACGACTGCGGCTTCTGCTCATAGTCTCTGCCTTAGCCTTGGTGGCATCGTCGGCTCCTTCATCACCGAATAATGACTCTAAAAGGCGATAGTTGATCTTCTTGCTGAACCCTCTTCGTTCTAACATGCGACGGGTCGCTTCTGCCGGAGTGGAGGCCCGAGTGCTTCTCCCATCGGCGTCCTCTCCGTCTCCTTCAAGATAGGTGACATCGCCCAACCTGCCCTTGCGGCGCTTACGGGGCTTGCGCATCCCGGGCTGCGATTCAGCCTCCGCCAAGGCCCGCTTCAGAGCCTTGGCCTGCTGAATCCGCAAGTATTCTTTGTTCTCGTGCACCCAGATTCGTTCTTTGATTTCGACCTCGGCAGGAGACAAGAGGCAGTCAGCAACCTCCGGGTCAGATTCAAATTCGGAAGCATGGATTTCTACGCTGTCCGGGATTTGCCTTCGTGATTCCTGAGTGGAGCCCGCACTCTCTATCAGAGTGGAGCCTTCCTTGAGGAGAGTGGTCATCTCAACTTCAAGTGCCTCCTCAGACGCGACCTGATCCGGGGTTGGTGAAGGCAATTTCTGTCGTTTGGTCGGCCGCCCGGGTTTAGACTTGGCCAAATCTTCTTCAATAGCCTCGGATGCAACCTCATTGACTGTGGACGCAATGGACGATCGTCGCCGGCCGCCATCCGCTGCTATCAAAGCCGGGTCAATAGGAAGGCTCGGGATAGCGAAGCCGTCGGCATCAACACGCCTTGGCTCCGCATTGTCTACATCCGACATGTCTTCCTCAATCTCCGCTGCGGTCTCCGGAGCCTTTCTTTTAAGGCTTCGAGACGGTTTTCTTCCTTCCCTGGCTCGCGTGAAGGAAGGTGGATCATGCGAATTCTCCAATTGCACAGATCGAAATTGGTCGACGGTAAGCTCGGCACTTTCAGTCGAGCTGAATTCGTTCAAACGTTGATTGATGGTGATCTCGGTAACCTTAACGACGTAGACTACCTCGCGAACAGTTCGACGGAAATTGTTCATCCGGGCAGCAAGGATCAAGGCTGCACCACAGATACCAGCGGGGCGTCGACCAGTTGTCATCCAGTCACGGTTCATCCGCTGCACGATACGCACGGCCTCACTAGCAACTTGCATTGTCGCGGTACCGAACTCGAGTTGTTTGGCGAATCGATAGATCAAGCTTTCCGGGTCAATGGGATTCATCAAGAAGACATTGCCACCCAAGCGCAGTTCATCCAGCAGTGCTTTGTAGGTTCGACCGAGTTTGAACACATTGACCTAGACAATGTTTAGGTTAGAAATACATGGTATGTGGAAAGTTTGAGAAAAGAGTGTAGTACCATAAGTACGTCAGCAAAATCGATTAGCATGACGGTATTTCCGTCCTGTCGTCGACAGGCAATGTACAGACATACTGCGGCCACCGTCTTGGTTCGGCGACCTTGAATGAAGTTCAACCCCACTGCAAGCTTGAAGACTTGACCCGCAGCCTTCATGGCACTTTCCGGGATATTCAGAGCACGGCTCAGTTGATTGATGTACCGATTTCCTGTTATGAATTAGCGTGGGTTGAATGATCTGAATACACACAAGACACCATACCGTTTTGCTCGGTGATTTCTCGACTCTCCATAGCACCCCCTCGCTGGAAACCTGGTCCATAGCTGCGGACGTGGGTTTGATCCTCACCAACGAATGCTCCTTGAACGACCGCTGCACCCGAAGATGTTTCACCGAAGGTGACTTCAGAAACAATGTTTGCTTCACTAATAACAGTACCACACCCAGAACAAACCTTATGACCGTCATCCTCAACGATATGAGGAGCAGGACAGCCGGGGTTAGGGCAAGTGGTGGTCTTCGGATGAGTAGTTGGCCTGGCAGCTTGGGGACGCGCGATTGATTGAGGCCGTTTGATGGGAGTTGGGGTAGGAGCCCTAAGACTGGCCAAACGGCCTACTGGAGGAGCTCTGGGACCAGCCCTTGACGGGATGGGGGGACGCATGGGAGGTCTTGAAGCAGACATCTTGCACAATATAGTGTGGTCGTAGGGCGGATGATAATCTTCAATAGAGATGATAAATGATATCGACGGAATTGGAAAGTCAACCCCAGATGAGCAATGATAGAAAATAATCACAAGTATCTATATCATAGATAGAAAAGAATATGTGACCACTTCATACTTGAGGATAGGAGCACTTCATGAAATAAGCCAGGGAGGTCGAACTCGACCTAAATGACCAATATCGGAGAAGCAGTAAACGGCTTAGATCAACGTCCCAAACAGGAAGGTGGCTGGGGATTATAAGTTAAGTAATAGAGAGAAAAAAAAAAAAGAAAAAAAAAAAAAAGGGCGAGGCACCGCGGGGGGGGGGGGAGTGGACGAGGCGAACAGTTCCTTCGGAGATTGACTCGCACAAAGAATTCAAGCAAGACTGATTATTATCTTTTGAGACTATCGAAGGGAAGTGCAGTACACAAAACCCCATAGGAAATGGCATAGATGAAGGACGAATCCTCTTCTTCGTTGGTTTCAGGATGATGACGGAGAATGAGAACAGACAAGGGGGAAAAAGTGTTGGAGGGAGCGAAACTGCACGCGTCAAATTCGGAGTGAAAAAGCCGCGATGGCCCAGTGGGAGTGTCACGTGGGGCAGCGGTCTTGGACAGCGGCTGTTCGAGCCCCGGAGAAGACATACTTGTTCAGCGATCATTCTTTTTCGACTCCGTACATCATCTGGTAATCAGGATCCATCGATAATAAATCAATAATAAACGGCTGCTGCAATCCGTACCTCATGTTAATAATGATATAGTGTTCTTATATCATTACTTTTGTGAAGACGGGTAATTGGCAAACAGGAGATGAGATACTCTCCGTACACAAATCTCTCAGCAAGGACTGCCATCACCAGCCAGCATCGTCCCCTGTTCTAACCAAATAACTATGTTCCGTTCAGCCTTACCGTTGCGGATCTAGATCATGATCATGATCAGATAAGGTTATTCAATCTAACTACTCCGTACAAAGTGGTTCTTCCCCAGATCGCGCCGGGATTTGCCACTCATCTCCAGCCATCATGAAGTATTATTTCAGTCCCCGATTCACAGCCCACCTGCTGGATGGCTACGGGATTACGTCCGAGGAACTAAATTGGGTTGACTCTTTTCACATTCAGAATTCGGTGACTGATACCCACCCTCCCTTAGATATTTGAGACCAAGGATGTTGCATCATTGGCCACCCCGATCCGGTTCTCAGGAATGCGAGATTTGTGCGTAGTTTAGTGTGTTTTGCGAACCACCACATCAGACAGTCAAGGACAACTGCGCATAAAGCCCGCAATTCGTCTCGCTTCGATTATAGTCATTGACAGATATATCGAAGAGGCTATTATTAATTCTCCAGGGAAATTCATTCTTTGTCCTTGGCAATAGTCATTATATAAATGCATCGCAGCCACCCTATGCTGGGCTCTGATATACTGCACCACCATACATATTGCATTCAACTGTGATACTGGAGATTTTAGCTGTCTGAGTACGCTTCAAATGATTCAAGGACTGTCAAGGTCACAATTTTACATACGGTAATTGTGATTTGGTCTGCCGGGTTCTCCACGCTGATACCGACTGTCGACACTCCTCCGGTTGGAGTCAAGGCGTATAACGCGCGCGCACACACACACACACACACACACCACTTCCGAGCATTATCTTACTGAGTTTCTGAATCAATCATCATGTCATTACAAACGAAACCCCTTGCGTCTTCGTCCCTTGCAGAATCAAATGTCCGCTGTCTCAAAAGCTTGTTCTTCGTTAGCAACGTGCATTGTTCCTCGTGCGTCGCATATATCACCGAAGTACTATCGGAGGTATCAGGGGTCCATGACATTGACGTTTCTATCCTAACCCATGAGGTTCGCGTGCTGCACAACTCAGAGACCAAACCTTCGGTATTGGCCAAGGCTCTGATTGGAGCGGCCTTCGAAGTGCATCATGTCACCACATATGACCGTGAAGGGACAGTGATCTCAGATCTCGACACGAGCGCATGGCTTTCACCGGATTCTATGATCTTTTCACCTGAACAGGATCATGCTCCTACATCGAATACTGAACGCAATCAACACATCGCCAACTGCGATGCATGCAGGAAGGAAGGGCTCAATAGACCAGCGACAGTGACGGAGGCGCATGGCGCTACCGCTGCCTCTCCAAAAGATGTCAAGAAACGATATGCGAGTTACCGATCTTTAGGTGCAAAGGACTTATCTGATACGGAGAGTTTTGTTTCTCAAACATCTGGAGCAGCCGCTGGCCCTTCTGCAGGTTCTGATAACCCCCAGCAATTGCACTCGCCCCGCGATGAAGAGTTCAATGCCCGTATTAGCATCAGCGGTATGAGCTGCGCGTCTTGTGTCAACACAGTGACGAAAGAAGTTCGGCAGTTGGACATTGTGCGCGACATTACTGTCAACCTTCTCACGAATAGTGCAACCTTGGTTTACACAGGCCCGCAAACGAACATCGAAAAGATCATCGATCGCATCGAGGACATTGGCTTTGAAACGTCGGTCGATGAAGTCAACAAAGTTGTGCCACCCGGACCTTCTGCCTACCTCGCCGAAATATCCATTGGTGGGATGACCTGCGGATCTTGCTCTGCAACAGTTACTCGAGGACTCGAAGAATTGCCCTTTGTAACCGACGTTTCTGTGAACCTTTTGGCTCACAGTGGGAAAGTTCGGTTCGTGGGTCAAGACAACATTGACGCAATCCTGGAGAAGATTGATGACCTTGGCTACGAGGCGTCTCTCAACAGCGTTGAACCTTTTACTTTGGACGATGAGAAAAATATCATCAAGAAGCGGGTAGTCTCTATCCGAATCGATGGTATGTTCTGCCACCATTGTCCAGACCTGGTCTTTGGCGCCCTGCAAGGCTTTCCGGATGTTGAATTCGAACGAACACTGTCCCTTCAGAATCCCATTCTCAAGATCACTTACATCCCAAACCCTCCCTCTCTGACCATCAGGACGATCCTACAAGCCATCGAGGCAGCACACCATGCATTTCGGGCCACTGTGTACCACCCACCGAGCGTGGAAGACCGCTCTCGTGCAATGCAGCTGCATGAACAGCGCAGATTGTTGATACGCTTCATCTTTGTGCTGCTGGTAGCCATCCCGACGTTCCTCATCGGCATTGTGTTCATGAGTCTTGTGTCACCGACCAATCGGGTCAGGAAGTATCTGGAACAGCCTATGTGGGTTGGGAGTGTTTCACGTATAGAATGGGCGCTCTTTATCATGACTACACCGGTGATGTTTTATGGCACCGACATCTTCCACGTACGAGCGATAAAAGAGATTTCTTCACTTTGGCGACCAGGTAGCCGTGTCCCGATTTTGCAGAGGTTTTATCGCTTTGGCAGCATGAACCTTCTCATCTCTGCCGGCACGACTGTAGCCTATGTCTCTTCATTGGCTATTCTCATCATGGATGCGGTCTCCGATACGTCCGTCAGCACCCACACTTCGACTTACTTCGATTCCGTTGTGTTTCTAACCTTGTTTATCTTGGCTGGCCGATACATGGAGGCCTACAGCAAGGCCCGCACCGGCGATGCAGTTGCCTCTCTTGGAAAATTGAGACCTTCTGAAGCATTGTTAGTTGAGAATCTCTCGGCTTCTGGTCAGCCCTCTCCAAATGAGACCCAGCGAAGAATCGGCATCGATTTACTGGAGGTTGGGGATGTGGTTAGCATCCCTCATGGTGCCTCGCCACCGGCAGATGGTACCATCGTAGGGCAAAACTCTTATCAATTCGACGAAAGCTCTTTGACCGGAGAATCCAAGCCGGTGCACAAGACGACGGGTGATCATGTTTACACCGGATCCGTGAACGTTGGCCAGCCTGTGAAGATCCAAGTCACGGCGCTTGGAGGCTCATCGATGTTAGACCAGATCATCAACGTGGTTCGCGAAGGGCAGAGCAAACGAGCCCCTCTCGAACGAGTTGCAGACATACTTACTTCCCATTTCGTCCCTGTCATCACGCTTATTGCCATCCTCACGTTTCTCATCTGGCTTTCCCTCGGACTCTCCGGAGCTTTACCTGACGATTATCTCGATGTTGCGCGTGGAGGCTGGACATTCTGGAGTGTGGAGTTTGCCATCGCCGTGTTCGTGGTCGCTTGCCCGTGCGGATTAGCTCTTGCTGCTCCCACAGCCCTCTTCGTTGGAGGCGGGTTGGCTGCAAAACAGGGAATTCTTGTCAAAGGTGGGGGAGAGGCCTTTCAGGAAGCGAGCCGTTTGAATGCTGTCATCTTCGACAAGACCGGTACCCTTACCGAAGGTGGTCAACTCAAAGTGTCTGATCATGAAGTCCTCCTCTCGAACGACGAGCAGATTCACATCGCCTGGGCTCTCGCTCAGAAGCTTGAAGAAAGCAGCAATCATCCCATTGCTCAAGCGGTCTCGGATTTCTGTCAGGGAAAGTCTACTCTCTCTGTTCTATCCTCCGATATCGAGGAGAAATCCGGACGGGGAATGAGGGGTACATTCACTGTCGCGATCGAGAGCACGGCATCGAAGTCCAACGCAACAGCGACCTATGAAGCTGCAATTGGCAATGAGGATCTTCTCCGGAGCCTTGTTTCCCCAGACGCCAACACTTCACACATTTCCAGCCTGCTCCTCAAGTATCAGTCATTGGGCAAATCCACTGCTATTCTGTCACTTCGCAAGATTGAACCCACTTCCGCAGACAAATCCTATTTTGTACCTGCACTCGTCTTCGCGACCACCGACTCCATCCGCCAGGATGCATCAAAAGTCATCGCGGAGCTCCGCAAGCGCCAAGTCGACGTGTTCATGTGCACAGGCGACAACAAAACCACCGCCTACGCCGTCGCCGACATGGTCGGCATCCCCCGGTCCAACGTCATGGCCAACGTCATGCCAGCCGGCAAGGCGGACTTTGTCCGCAAGGTGCAAGACGGGCTGTACCCCGTCCGCTACGACGACGCAGCAGAAAGCCAGAAGAACCGCACCGGCGCGCACTCCATCGTCGCCTTCGTCGGCGACGGTGTCAACGACTCGCCCGCCCTCGCCGCCGCCGACGTCAGCATCGCCATGGCGTCCGGCTCCGACGTCGCCATGAACTCGGCCAGCTTCATCCTCCTCAACTCCGACCTCGACACGATCCTGCAGCTGGTCCTGCTCAGCCGGCGCGTCTTCAAGCGCGTCAAGCTGAACTTCGGCTGGGCCGTCGTTTACAATCTCTGCCTTGTGCCTGTTGCGGCGGGCGTCTTCTACCCGATCGTCAGTGGACACAAGCAGATGTGGATGGGGGGTGAGCTTGTCACGGTCAATGAGCATTGGAGACTCAGCCCTGTCTGGGCTGCGTTGGCCATGGCTTTGAGTAGTATCTCTGTCATTTGCAGTAGTCTGGCTCTGGCGATTGATGGACAGAAGATTCGAAAAATCCTTGGTTTGTCCCGGCGTTAGGGACTTTTTTTTTTTCAGATATATTGTTTATTCTCATGTCTGGTGTTATTGGTGTTGCCGCTGGATATATTTGGGTGGGTTAGTGTTAGGAATGGTGCCAGAGAATAGTTCCACTAAACAAGCTGGGCAAGGCACCAAGGCCACACACTAGTAAATGGTTGGTATAAGGATCTATGATCCATGAGAATTAGAAACTAGTGTGAAAGAAGAATGTTCATAAATAGATTTAAAGGTAGGTATCCTTATTTAAAGAGATTATTACTAAACTTCAGAGTTTAGTAGTTATAGGTAGGATTTATATCTTTATATATTATATAATTATTTATATAATCTCTTATAAGGAGCCTTCTTAGTAATAGGCTCCTTTATAAAGATAGCTTTAATATAATATATAATAGATCTTTATAATTCCTATAACTACCCCTCTTTTTTAAAAGACCTTAGCCCCTAAAATCTATCTAAGATTCCTTATTTATAATAGGGTACACTAGTAAAAACCTTTATTTAGTAAAAATCCTTTTTTATAAAGAGAAAATTATAAATAATAAAAAAGATTTATTATTTGGAATTACCATGGGTAAGGTAGTAGCACCAGGGGTGAAGAGAAATAGGCTGGGCTAATACCTCTTTACTTACCTAGGGTAAGATCCTATATTTATATCTAGCTATTAGCTATCTATCTAAAAGATAAGTTATAGATATTATAGAGATTTCTTAGATTAATCTTAGTAATCTAGGATTAATCTTAATAATTATTAATCTATTTATAATATTTATTTACTAATATTATATCCTCCCCTACTTAAGATAAAGCCTATCCTTAGTAGGTTATCTAGCTCTTTACTAAAAGATCCTTATAGTTTAAGGGGGTGACATCATATATAGTAAATAAGATTAGATTTATACTTAATAAGTAGTATTAGATTATGCTTAGTAAGTAGTATTAGATTATACTTAGTAAGTAGTATTAGATTATGCTTAGTAAGTAGAGGAGGAATTATATATAGTAAGAAGGGTTACTAGTATAGTTATTATAGTAGAGGTAAGATAAGATTATATTATTTATTTTAATTTTAGGTAACTCTACTTTACCTTACTTATTCTCTTTTATCTCTTATATTTCTTTTTCTCTTTTTCTTTTCTTCTCCTATAAGCATCTTTCTTTTTATTATATTAATTATTATCTTCTTTTAGTAAACCTCTTTCTTTATATACTAGTCTCTTATATTCTTCTTATACTTAGTGAATATAAGTATCCTATAAAAGAAGGGTAAAGACTATCTTATTTATTAGAAGAATATAATTATTTTTAGTAAGTTTAGTAAGTATTCTTTCTAGCTTTAGTAATTACCTCTTACTAGTAATAGAAGATTATCTTAGTAGGCCTAATAAAAGTATATTAAAGGTGATAAATATTATTTACCTAATTATCTAAAAGTTTAATAAGAATAAGAAGCTAAATATAAAGGTATATACTTACTTAGGCTATATATTAGCTATTATTCTCTAGTAGTAAGGTATATCTTATAACTATATATTAGCTTATAATAATTATTTTTTAGATAAGGATTTCTTTAGGAAATATATCTCTACTCCTAGTTATAATAAATTTATATTCTTTTAGGGGTCCTATATTAACTATACTTAGAGTAACTAAAGATTAGTATATTTATTCTATATATAAGGCCTTTATATATAAGATTTTAATACTCTTAATAAATATATATTCTCCTTAATAAATATTTTTTATCTATAGTTACTAATCTTTTTTATTCCTATAGATCTATTATTTATACTAGTAGTCTTAGTTTCCTTACTAATTATAGTAATAAGTTATATAATTAGCCTATAGAGTTAATAATAATAACTAGTAATTATAGTAAGGAGTTAGATAATAGCACTAGTAAAGATTCTCTAAATAATAATAAATATATATAATCTAGTATAAAAAAAAATATTAATTCTTCTATAATAAAGATAAGTCCTTCTAGTATTTCTTATAATAAAAGCTCTTCTCTTATAGTAGAGATAGGTCCTTCTAATATTTCTTATAATAAAGGCTCTTCTCCTATAATAAAGAAGACTCTAGCTAAGAAGTATTATCTTTTCTTAAAATATTCTATAGTAGTAGTAATTAATCTAGCTAAGGAATATTATTCTATTATAGTAACTTTCTCTTACTCTTAGACTAGTTCTTTTTTAGTAACTCTCTCTCTTATTTAAAATAATTTAGTTAGATTAACTCTCTCTCTCTCTTAGATTAGTTCTATTATAGTAACTTCTTCTTATACTTTAATAAGTACTATATTAGTAGCCCTAATAAAAAGTCTTATTAGATATTATTCTTCTTTATTATTACTTAGTTATAAAAATTCTTTTAATAGAGTTTATATTCTCTAGCTAATAAGTTATATTAACTAGGGTAATTATTATAATCTTTCTATAGTTCTTTAGGATCTTTAGGTATTTATTTATTATATTAAGGCTTACCTAGAGGAATTAGCACCTCCTCCTAGTAATAATAATAATTTATTCTAGTTAGCTGAGGTCTTATCTTATAAGGTTCTTAATATAAAGTTTAACTTAGACTTTTAATTAGTGATTATTTATTACTTTAATTAATTAATATAATTCTTAATACCCTATTATAATTAGTTTTTCTTTATAATTAATAAAATCTACTAGTCTATAATTCCTTTTCTTCTTCTTAGGAAAGTAATTCTAGTATAGTACTATTTTTTAATCTATCTATATAAATATATTATCTTTATACTACTCTATTTACTCCTAATAAGAGGGTATTATAACTATAAATAGTTCTTTAAAATCTATCTCTTTAGTATTCTTTTAAGATATTAATTCTAAATTATTACTTTAAATTCCCTCCTAGTCCTTATTATCTAAAATAGTTAAGTCTTTACTATTCTATGGCTCTAGTAACTCTATTTATTATTATATAAGATAGCTATTCCTTACTAATTTTTATTTACTAATATATTAAGTTTTTTATTTATTTATTTTATATTATATTCTTAATCCCTCCCCTACTTATTATAAACTTTCTCTTAAATATTTTTATTTATTATATCCTTCTGCCACACACTATAATAGTTCTTTATATAATAGTATTAGGGGGTTAGTCTTATTAAGTATCTTTTATATTTTAATTAGATTAGAGATTAATAAGCCTATTTTTTATAGCCTAGTATTAAGGCTTACTAATATCTATAGATATTATAGATTATCTTTTATCTCTACTTTTACTAGTCTCTATTTATTAATAAGATTCTTTAGGGTATATCTACCTAGTTCCTATAATATATATATTTTAAGGGGGTAGGCCTTAATCACCTTATATAGTTTAAACTACTTATTCTTAAACTTCTAAGGGCTCTTATTTTATATAAGGACCTACTAGCCCTCCTTAAGATATTTTTTTTTTATTTATAAATCTTAGATTATCCCTCTCTTAATTATATATTCTAATAGCTTCTTATTTACTAGTACTTATATATGTGTTACTCTTATAAGCCTATTATAATTATTAGTAATATGATATCAGTAATAAATATCATGAGTAGATTAATAATTATTAAGGCTAACCCTAGGTTACTAAGGTTAACCTAAGAAATCTCTATAATATCTATAACTTATCTTTTAGATAGATAGCTAGTAGCTAGGTATAAATAGAAGATCTTACCCTAGGTAAGTAAAGAGGTATTAGCCTAGCCTATTTCTCTTTACCCCTAGTAATACTACCTTACCCTTAGTATTACTATCTAGTAGCATATCTAAAAGTTATAGATAATAGGAAATTAAATACTCTTACTCTACTAGACTTATATTTATCTTAGTAAATATCTACTGCTCTTCCTTATAAGTAACTACTAAATTTAAGCTAAAAGATAGTAGGGTAGTTATACTTAGTAAAGAGTTTTTACTATAGGAGAACTCTCTACTAAGCCTTATTAGGAGAGATAGAAATAAAATAAGATATAGTAACTCTAGGCTAGAGAAGTATTACTTAATTACTAAAATAAGTCTTAATAGAAAATAATCTCTATAAGATAATATTCTTAAATCTTCTTACTAGAACTATTAGTAATAACTAGCTATCTATAGTGAATAATTCTACTAGGGATCTACTAGAGGATATAAGATAAGCCTTTACTAGGCTATTTAAGATAATAACCTAAGAAGTACTACTTACTAATATTAATATACTCTTCTAAAGTATTTACTAAAAGTAATATAATAAATAAGTACTGCCCCTAGGATTATAAGAGATAAACTATTATTATAGACTATTATCTATTTTTAAGGTCTTAAATCTTACTCCTATCCTAGAGTATAAAGATATATATATAAGGGATACTACCTAAGAATAATAAAAAAGAATTAAGAAATATTTTAGAGATATCTTACTAGTAATAAGAAGAGTTCCCTCTAATCTAGAATATCTTATTATTATTAAGTAGAAACTTGCAGGATATACTTATAAGAGGTAAAAAGTAGATAAAATCTAATTATAAATTAATCCTATACTTATAATTACTAATATAGAAATCTTTTATGCATGGCTGCTAAGGAACTTTAAGAAATATAATATAAATAATAAAAGATAGAAGGAATATAAAAGCCTTACCTAGGGTCTATAACCTATATAGCTATATATTATTATCTTAGGTAAAGCTATAGTATATATATCTCCCCTAGTATATAAAGCTTCCCTTATTTAAAAATTTATTATTAGGAGTTAACCAGAGCTTAGGAAAAGATAGGTAGAGGACTAAATATAATTATAAATATATAATAAAGTAGTTAAATACTTCTCTCTTTATAAGAATAGCTTAGCTACTACTTAATAACTTAGAGGTAACCTATAATTAAAACTATAATTTAACTAGTATAGTAGAGATCTAATAGATCTAAGTATAATTACTAGCTCTCTCTAGCTAAGGAGAAACTTCCTATAACCTAATAAGAAGGATTAATAAATC